AATGAAGCCCCCCAGGACCCACTAGTGACATATATATATCCCCCAGAAACCCGCTGGTAAGTCCCCGAAGATAATCCGCGGGGATCTCTTCAGGGCCCTTGCCTATTATAACGCCCGGGCTAAGGACGGCCATTCGCTTCACACACCGCGATGTCTTTAGAAGAATTATAGCATGTGTTAGCTTCACCCGAGCCCGGGCTACTAGTCAACAGCACCGCGAAGAGGTCCATGCTTGTCGCTGCTGGACCCTCGAGAGCAAGCCTGGAAACAGGATTAAGAGACTCAAGGGCCCCCTGTCTGAAACCGGAACAGGGACGGTGAGCACCGGGGTGAAGGACCCATACCAGTGCCTTGGGCCCCCGAGAATCAAAGGGTTTCTCGTTAATGGGACCCCCTGCCTATTATACCGAGCAGGGACGGTCAGCGCCGCGGGCTGGAATCAGGGCCCTGTCCCCCTATTCTTTATTGCCTGGGGAAAGACGGCAGTGGGAACCCTCCTATTCTCACCGGGAGAGACGGTCCAGCGCTAGAATGTCCCCAGGATAGCCTGCGGAACAGGACTTACGGTCTGGGGCCCTCTGCTTATTATCCCGGGCAGGACGGTCAGTACTGAGGAGAGCACTAGTGAGCCCCTAAGAGCACGATGCAATGTACAATGCAGACTTATGCCCCTCGAGACCCTTCGATCTATTTGCCCGGACCGAGACGGTCAGCCTATCGGCCATTTCCACCGGAGAACCTGCAACTAGGAATGGATTATGACCAGAGGACATCTGCCTATTGCGCGCCGGGCAGGGCGGTCAGTGCTGTGGTCTAGATAGAGCCCGCGAGGCAGACCCTTCCAACCTCTACCTTTAACCGGGTAGCACGGTAAAGCTGCGAATTTTAACCCGCACAGCTGGCGGTCCAGCACTAGTAAAGCCCCGAGAGGATATCAGAAGAATACCCCCGAGACCCCAGCCTATTCAATGCCGGACAGGGGCGGCACCCTCCCTATTCTGAACGCCTGGTGAGGGGCGGCGCCCTATCTATTATAAGGCCGGACAGGGGCGGCCATGCTGTGGTCTAGATAGAGCCCCGCGGGGCAGAACCCTCCGACCTCTACTTTTAACCGGGTAGTACGGTAAAGCTGCGAATTATAACCCACAAAGCTGGTGGTCCAGCATTAGTAAAGCCACGAGAGAAGTTCAGGAGAATGCTCTCAGGACCCCAGCTTATTATAATGCTGGACTGGGGCGGTGCCTTCCCTATTCTTCAAGGCTGGGGCGATCACATGTTTTCTCTACTGGGACAAAGCCAATGTACCCTGTCTATCTGAATTCTGGGTTAGCGACGGGTCGCTGTCGACGATATATATCCCACAGATCCACTGGTAATTTAGCCCCCAGAGACCCACTGATAATACAACCACCGGTAAGCCCCAAGAGATATCCTCATGGGCTATCTCTAGGGACCCATGCCAATAATTTATGCCGCGGCATGGACGTCACTCTCATCACTATTCTGTACTGCGGGCCACCCTACCCATTATGACAACGGCTTAGAGACAGCCTTTGCGAACCAAACTAACTTGCCCCCAGGGAATTTAAGCATGCGTTAGCTTCACCCAAGCCTAGAGCCTGAGTTACTAGTCAACAGCACCACGAAGAGGTCCATGCATATCGCTGTTGGACCCTTGAGAACAAACCTCCGAAGAGGAATTACAGTCTCAGGGCCCCCCGCGTATTCTATGAGCCGGTGCAGGGTCGGCACCCCAGTCTATTATAATGCCGGAAAGGGTCGGCACCCCAGTCTATTATAGCGCCGGAGAGGGGACGGCAACCCATCTATTATAGCGCCGGAGAGGGACGGCACCCCCGTCTATTATAGCGCCGGAGAGGGACGGCACCCCCGTCTATTATAGCGCCGGAGAGGGGACGGCAACCCATCTATTATAGCGCCGGAGAGGGACGGCAACCTATCTATTATAGCGCCGGAGAGGGACGGCACCCCCGTCTATTATAGCGCCGGAGAGGGACGGCACCCCCCGTCTATTATAGCGCCGGAGAGGGGACGGCAACCCATCTATTATAATGCCGGAGAGGGACGGCACCCCCGTCTATTATAGCGCCGGAGAGGGACGGCACCCCCGTCTATTATAGCGCCGGAGAGGGGGACGGCACCCCCGTCTATTATAATGCCGGAGAGGGACGGCACCCCCGTCTATTATAGCGCCGGAGAGGGGACGGCAACCCATCTATTATAATGCCGGATAGGGGACGGCACCCTGTGCAATAAAATGCCCCCAGAGCCACAGTTAAGCATATGATGGCTTCACCCGACGGCTACTAGTCAACAGCACCACGTAGAGGTCCATGCTCGCCGCTGTTGGACCCAGAAGCAAACCCCCAAGGGGTATTACAGACTCAAAGGCCCCCTTATCTAGTCTATGGACCGGACAGGGACAGTCCTCGTCTATTATCATGCCGAACGACAACAGCACCCCCCTATTCTAGCCGCCGGGGCAGGGAACACGGCCAGGTCCCCCGTTCATTATAATGCCGTACGGGGCAGAAACGGCACCCTCCCTATTCTCAACGCCGGGCGAGGGTCGGCCAGGTCCCAAGTTTTTTATAATGCCGAACGGGACAGAAACGGCACCCTCCCTATTTCACAGGCCGGGGCAGGGGCGGCCAAGCAGCGATCGGCGGCGGTCGTGGGTCGGGGCAGCCCTGTGTATTATAATGCCGAACAGGGCTACAACAGCACCCTGTCTATTATAATGTCGGGCAGAGAGGGCACTGGTAGGTTCCTGCAGTCCGCGATGGTGGTTATGTCCCTCAGTGCCACAGGGTCTTTTCCATAGTCAGTGGGCTGGGCGGTCCGGACCGTCCCGCAGTGCCCGCCGTGCGCTTGTCCCGCAGTGCGCCCCGAAGCCTTTAACCCCCAGTGTCCCGCGGGAAGCATACCTCAGCCCACAATGCCCCCCAAATTCGTCCCTCAGTTTGTACCGTTAAGGAGATGCGGTGCAATAGTTACCATCCCGGCCCTCTATACACCCTGAACCTCGTAGAAGATCGGCCGCGAGGTTTACCATGGAGCCTCTTAAAAGGTTTGGGGAAGCATCTTAACCGTCCTCGAAAAACGCCAGCTATCGTCACATAGCTATATTACCCACAGCCTGCCCTTTGCCCCACTGTACCCTCTGCGCCCTCTGCACCCTCTGCACCAGGGGGATAGTCCCTCAGTTAAACGTCCAGTTAAGTGTACCGTTAAAAGGGACGGGTGCGATGGAGACCTTTGAGGCGCTGTAGATATCATCATCATAGCAGATCGGTCACAATATCAAAAATATACTCAGAACTCACTAGCAGGATTGGTAGATTTCCTGAATGGACCATCGATTTTCTCACACACCCACCTCTCTCATAGTCCCACCGGCTACCCCGGGCCATCGGAACTGGCCGCTGCTGCCGGGCTTCCTACCCTGAGCCGTGAAGCGCCGCTTTCTGCCTCTATCTATAGCGGCTAGGCCTAGAGGGCGGTAGCCGCGTTGGCTGCATACTAAGCCGCGATCCTATGTTCGTGGCACCACTATATTTTCCCCATCCTCCCTCTTCTCCTCCTTGAGTCAACTGGCGAACGAGAGCGTCCTTTCCTTCCTTTTTCAAAGTTGCTTCACCAACTGGCGAGATATCACCTGCTCGTTCGGCCACAACGCGTCCGCGTTGCCCCCAGGCCCTTCTGTACGCGTCCGAGCCCATCAAGACCCCATTACGCGTCCCATCCACCCCTTCGTGGCCTGCATCGACGTACAAAGGCCACAGCTCCGTGTCAACCACAGCAGCGACACCTCTAAACCCACCCCCCTCTTTGTCCACCACGACCGCAACAATAAGAACAACATCCCCCACAAATCGGCATCAGCGATTATTTGTATTTTTACTTTCGTCGATCGAGCACGTAAACATTACAATTACAACTTGAGAATAACGCACCGTTATTTTGCGTCTGTTAATTTTGTTCTACCAGTCTCGTATTCATGCGCAATGAGCGCTTGAATTGTCAGCTTCGTAAACCGGATCCTCAGCCTGCCCACTCTCGTAACCGCCGCCATTCCACGGCATTGCCTATTCCAATAAACCTTGAACATCTTCCCACGTGGGGAATTGATACAAATTACTCCTCGAGAAAATATATTCTACGCAGGGACTCGAGGCGCCATTCGCGCAACATCGACTGACTCGAGACATTCCTCGAGTACTTGGGCCCTCGAGACCATTTACTGCAGGGCTCAACATTACTTTTTGATTACAAGATCGACTATATGCATATCGTTACTGCGCACGCGCCAGCGCGCCGCGGCAATCCCACCTGGAGTGCTGAGTCTTCGAGCATCCACTGTAGAGCTAAAAGTTATCGCCCATTACGACATCGACCACGTGTACAATGGATAATCACTGCGCGCGTGCGAGCGCTTCTACGCGCCATTCGGGCTTCAGTGCCGAGACTTTGAGTCCTCGAGGGCGTCTGCGGAATTGTCGATGAGGCTAAACTCAATAAAGATAAATATACACAGCGCACGAATGTCTCCGTACTAGCGATTAGCGATTAGTCCTACTCATTATCAATGCAGTCCGCATATCCAGACCTCGATGGCATTTGTGGTTTTGATTGACGTGATATAGACTTTCTCAAAAGCAATTTTAAACTCACGTAGTGCGGTTCGATTATTGGCCCATTGCCCATCGCCCCTCATGCCAGTCGAGGCTTAGCGCCAGTCTGTTTCTCATGTGATAATTTACGGAGATACTCCTAGGACTACGGGTCAAGAACTGGGACTTGGCAGTGGAGGATTCAAAATTTTTATTATTGGGGGCAAGAAAAGTACAACGGTCCCATAGGGACACAACGTCCCGAACGGGTAAGCCCCCAGACGAGAAACAACGCGAAGATAACACCACACAAAGATGACACCACAAGGCGGCGACACCACAACTTCTTCACATTCTTCATCCTCACTAGTCCTCAGAATCAAACACGTCATCCCAGAAGGACCGGAGGATCTCACGACCGGGCGACACAGCGGGACGGTAGAAGGAAGGGGAAACCTCAGTGGGACGACTGAGACGTCCAGGAGCGAGACCAAGGTCGTGACCCTCGAACAGGTCGCGGCCATCCTGGCCATCCGAGAGACCGGCATCGCCAAGCGCACCACAGCCGGCCCCACCACCGTGGATAGGTCGATCGCCGCTGACACCGGTGCTGGGAAGAGCACCGCAAGCCTGCATAGCGACACGACCAGCAGAGAGGCCAGCCAGGCCAGCAGCACCGTCCAGGGCACCACGGCGTGAACCAAGGCTGCGGCGAGGACGGCCAGTACTGGCACCGGCGGCACGAGAAGGACCACGAGGAAGACCAGTGACTCCAAGAGTGTCACCACCGTGGGTGACAGCAGTTTGGATCCCTCGGTCGATGCCTCGCGCAGTTGTTCCTCGCTGCTTATGGCACATTGTTGGCTTTTGAAACGATCAAGGGTGGATGGCGGTTCGTGGCACTTACTTCTTGCGCGCGGTGCAGGGCCTCGAAGCGGCTGATCACTTCGTTGTGCATGACGTGCGAGGTGGAGATCAACTCGGGCTATCAATACTGTCAGCTTGTCACTGTTTATGGAATGATCTACTTTCCGATTGTGGGCATTGCTTTGAGCTGGGGTAGGGAGTTGATATGGAATGACTTACCATAGTGAGGGGCCGAAGCCACTCGGCGAACCGGGATTTCGCCTGGCGAGCAGCTTCGAGGCCGTCGATGGCGGGGGCTGCTGTCACCTCCGTCTGTTCATGTTGTCAGCTTGCTGCCGTACAGTGACCGATCCGCTCTGGTCGTGGCCTTCATTTGAAGGGCGGGGCAGTTAATATTGAATTACCGGAACAATGGCCTGCTGGACTTCAGGCTGGTGAGCAACCTGAGAGGCACTGGCGGTAGCGGCCTCCCTCTTCAGACGCTGAACCAGGTAATACTGTCAGCTTGCAACTCAAAGCAATGTGATCTTGCGATACTCACCCGGGTCTTCTGCCTCTGGCGCGTTCTCTTCCTCGCTGCCGTGCGGGCAGCCCGCGCCTCGTCGGACCGGACACGCTCTCCCCGTTTCTTTGGAGGATTACACCCAGTTCCAGCAGAAGCAGTCTTCATCCTGGCTACGAGGAAACGTTAGCCGGGTACAGGATACCATGTGAGGGGTCTTCAAATCACTTGCAAGTTTGTTCACAGCAATGGTATGCCGTTGCGTTGTACTGCTGTGATGGAGGAGAAGATGTTGCAGACGATAGAATTGCTGTGCGAAAAGCAGTCGACTACATCGTGCGTGCAGCGCGTGCCTGCCTAATTTGTTACGCCTCCGTTTGTCAATAGAACCGGGTGTCACGTGACATGATAGCCCTACTTCGCGGGATCCCCCACGGTCATGTGCCCGCCGGCCGCTATTTCTACGAGCAGCCATCCATGATCATAAAAGACGCATGCAACGATCCTAGTGCGCCTATATGGAGCAGTCCATTGATAATCTCCATTTCCTGAAGTCTAAATGACCTGTAATATCTTGTGTAATAGCGCCCAATCGAATGTGTTGCTATAGCATACCCCTCACCACTGGAGCTATTTGATACGATAGTAGTCCTAGTCGCTTTCATTTCGAATTCACATTCATATTCTACTTTGTCTACAAAGTGAACGTACGAGGGGTACCAGTTGAAACATTTCATTGCCGGGGTAAAGGACAATGAAAAACGACCGCACTCACCAAATACACCGATGTGTAGCACAACGAAAGACAAGAGAAGCAAATATAGAATTAGTATGCGCAGAGCAACCACTTATCTAGAGAATCCAAGCCTCAGCGTCCACCCCGGTATGACCATCCGTGGCCTCGAGGCAACCTCACTTCCGTCCCTCCTAACATCGTACCCTGGGGGAGAGTCGGCGGGGGCAGGTCCAGCGGAGGCCTTGCGTTTAACCTCGATGAATTGGGACAGGGCGAGACCTTTTTCGGTCTGGAGGGAAGTGTCAATGTCAGATCGTGGGAGACGGCTACTTGCCTCTTCGCGCTGACGCCAGGCATACAAGCGCTGCTTGAATTCTTCACCAAGGACGTTGCTGTCTCCATCGATTAGACGATTGGTCTATCAGTTGTGTCAGCGCGGCTCTATACCAACATCAGGTCTGAGAGACATACCAGAGTCTCATCTTGAACCAACTTGGGCCAACGGCGTTCGAGGTCGCTGGCGGTGCTCGGGCCGACTATGTCAACGAGGGCGTTGCGTCTAGTCTGTCAATCTGGTCAGCCTGGATTCATGGACGATACTTACCTTCATTTTCGAGTTAGATGTTCTGTCGGAGGGGGTTCAACAAGCACGAAGGCCCTTGGTGTCGGAATGGTCTGACGTGGTGGAGAGAAGAGAACAAGTAGTCAGGATATGGATCACACGGATGCAGACTGGTGGGGTGTGATCAAATGCAGCTTACCTGGAGTGTCTTCCCTCGCGGGTTGTACTTGCGCATATTCCGCCCCTTGCGCAGTTTGCTGAAGAAGTACCGAAATGGCTTCGGGTCCTCGACGTGCTCGGTCGAAGTTCCCTCCGGTCCTGGTGCTTCCGGTGCGGCGTCGCTCATTTTGACAGACTGCAAATGATCGTTAGCTCAGTTGCATGATGATGTGAGTTCTGACAATACTTGCAGGTGTTGGTACAGCGATGGAGAATGCTGTCAAGGGTTGCTGTGTCTGGTGTGAAAGCCTTGCGGAGAGGAAGATGTACCTGTTGTGGAAAGATGACGAGGCGTTGTAGCGGGAGCCGAGCATGGCCACCTTGTTTTGGTCACCACTCCCGCAAAGTCACGCCGTCAGGTGACTCGCTTTCACATTGGGAATGAAGGAAGGCACGTGTGACCGGCCACCCAGACATAAATACCTGGTGACTCACCGTTCTGAACTCCTCTTCTTCAACCCCCGCAAACCCCGGACTAACGGCCGTCTAGATGCTAATTACGCAGGTGATTTATCCCTTCCTCTATACCCCGACTAACCACCATGTAGATGCTAACCACGCAGGTGAATTACCCCTTCTTCTGAAACTCCCGACTAATCCCGTAGACACTAACCCTCGCAGGCACATTGAACTGCGAGGCAAGCGTGTAATCACTCCCTCCGTAAACCACTGGCTGACCATCTAGTGGCTAACCATCCAACATGTAGTTATACAGCATGTAATCATTGTAGAAGCATCGCCTTCCCAGGCACCACCGCCACACACTATCATACCCGCCTTCGATAGAGACGGCTCTTCCATCGCTACCCATCACGTGCCATACGCGTCTACGTCTAGGCAAGCAGGTCCTTCATCCCCTCCACGCCACCAACGGCGCCGAAAAGCTAGTCTCACGTCTTTCAGGGCCGGAACACCGCGCCTCCTCGTCGGCGACGTCGCGAAGGGCACAGGGTGGCCCACTGCGAACCTTTTTTCGAGGGGCGTGTCAAGAGACAACAAATGCGCAGTCCATTCCAGGGAGGGGTGAGAAGAGAATTATCTTTTTTATATGCTATACATTCTGACTGTTTGGTTTTGAACGCTCGTGCAATTTCATTGTAGTGGATTCTATGGGGAGAAAGAGTATTACTGCATCTGCTCAACGATCGCGGTTTGACATGAGGCACGCGAGTAAATGCTTCGGTTCTGACATGAGGGGCGGATTGGTTTTTCATTATGTACAGAATACATGTGCTGATTGAAACGAGACTGTTCGAGATGGAGCACATATTGATGGTAACAGGAGGTTCGCTAGATGTGAGGGAGGGTAAGTTTTGTGAATTCACAACGGTACAGACAGTTCTTTCACCTGATCTTGATACGCAGTGTGGTGATGACGCAGTCCCAAGTCACAAAGGAAATCTTTTCCTCCCCGGGAGCTGTGTTTTATATCCTGGTTCCGCTTGGGTGTCCATTGACGAGGATGCCCCGGCACGTTGGTGGTCGGCGTGATCAATGAGGGAAGACGAGTCGAGGAGGAGTTTGCCTTGTCAGCTGGATCGTACCGCGTCGCCATAATATGTCGAGGCCGTTTGATGGCAGGCCAGAGACATGCAGCATGGTAGACTGAGGACCCCTAAGAGTTGGATTCTGAAGTTTGATCAGCCTGGCATTGGTTAAGCAATACGAGAATGCCAGTTTCTTTATAATACTAAGAGCCTCTCACATACCTCTGTTTGCTGTGTGCTCATTCATTCAAGTCCAGGGCATCGGTTCAAACCTTGCAACTCGACTGGTCCTTCGTGACTGGATCCCGTAGACAGTCCATTGGCCAGCCTATGCGGAGGAATGTGGAGAAGCGCGGTGAAGTGTGACTTCCAAGGCTGTTACTGGCCCAGCTGTGAAGATCTGCACTCGAGTATCATGAATGACTTGGACAATGATGCACACCGAGTCGAGGATTGACTGCCTGCACCAAGGGTTCCGGGCCAGGCTTCTAGCGTCGGTACAATTTTCGGTTCACCCCTAGACCTTTGCCGTCTCTGTGGTCTTCAGTCTGCATGTCATTATGTTGCTGACGGGCGTCCGGAAAGGTAGCAGGGCGAGTCGGTTGGGGCTGCGTAAAAATGGAAGAGGAGTAAGTATAAACGAGGAAGTCGAGGAAGAGCAGACAGAAGGGCGGCTGCAAGGAAGACTGGCCGATGCTTGCTCAACTTCGTTGGTAGCCGTGTTCCCCCGCGTGTAGTATGGCACGAATGGCTTGTTTGTTCGAGTTGAAATCGTTGTGGCTCTCGCGTACATCGGAACTAGTGGCTCGATGCTCACCACGCATCTAGGTCAATTGTGGCTGTCAATTTCCATATCTGATCCTGGGGTATGGTTCATGGCTTGCTTGGCCGTCTCTCGTGGTCGTCGGGAAGCCTTTTGAGTGTGGTCATCAGCGTGAAAAAGCAACAGAGTCACTAGGAGGCGAGTGACAAAAGCTGCAAGCTATTGCATTACAGCGTCGTTGCATGCCCCAGGCTGCCTGCATAATTGTATAAAACCTCAGACCATGACGTGGTTCTCCGTGACGTTCAGTATGCGGGGATCACCTGACCCGCTTTCATAGACTCACGGCAGGCACACGCCCCTCCAAGATAAAGCCTGGTCATTTCGTCCACCACAACTTTCCTTCCGCATCTATCCCCATCCTTTGCCTCGCTCGCAATCAAACCCTGCATCGACTATTATCCTCACCGTGCACGATCTTCGCTGTCACTGTTTCCATTTCGCCATTGCCAATCACAACCCTCGCCGTCCCTTTTCCCCATCCTCATTGAAACCATCCGCATCGATCAGCCCGTCCCGGATCACAAACCACCCAAACCCCAAATCACTCACCATTTCACCGCACCCTAAAAGCTATAGGCGTTTTCATCCTACGAACGAATGTAGTGACGCCGTATCCCGTCATACTTCGGCCTACATACTAATGACTTATCAGGCTCGCCGCCTGGATATTCACGAGCTCCCTTCGGGTTGAGCATCTTCCAACTAGGGTGCATGTCAACCTTCTCACTCTAGTTGGAGGCCCCTCTGACCTTGCATCGTAACCGCAGTCCCGGCCACGATGGATTGGTCGGGGTCCCCTGAGGCTGTAATACTGCTCTGCGACAAGTTGTCTCGGGGACGCAGCAGCGACGGGCATGAACCTCTACGCGGTGCTGTTGACTAGTAGCCTTCGGGCGAAGCTAACACATGCTCAATCTTCCTCCCATTTCCATCCGTCTCCATTCAATGTCTTCCACTGCCAAACAGCCACTAATACCAGAAAGAAACAAAAATCCAAGTCCTGACCCTCATTTTGTATCAAGAGGATAAATGCTCACTGGTTTCCCTTCAACAGTTGTCACGGCATCACTGAATTTTATCTGAATCCCTGAGCAGTTCGCGGCCAGCCATGCGATTGTTAAATCGAAGTATCTGGTCTCTAGTTTGTGGCGAGTGTGCCCACAGACGCTCTGCTGCTCTCTGCGGTCCGGGAGCGTCGTTAGCGGGCATTCTCTGCAGTGTTTCGATGGTTCTGTCGACACTTATTTCGACATTCTGGTAATTGCGACGGTTTTCCTCAGCGAGCCGTCCGGCCTCCACGACATATTCATCAAGCGGGCGGAGGCGAACTTCTTCAAGTTCACGTATTTGGGCATGTGGTCTGTGGAGCTCGTCCAGGTCGTCCATGCGGGTAGTCAGGCGACGCAACTGGGTATGTGTCAGAAGGTTTGTAGATCGGCAGACTTGGAAGCTCACGAAGAAGTAACTGGTGAAAAGATGAGCGACGATAGCCACGAGAAGAATCGCAAGAATGAGCGACAGGTACTCGTTGGCGAGGTCCATAGTGATGCGAGAATGAGATATTTGTACTGCACTGGATGTTGGTGTTATGTCGGAGGTAATGTGAGAGGAAGGAAATGGAAAGCGATATTTGGATGATGGATTGAACGTTGTAAAAGAGCAGTTATTGAGACAGAAAGGATTGGAGGCTGCTGGGAGGTCACTTCATTTTTGCGCTCGTATTCATTAAAGAATAAGAATTCCTGGATTTTGGAAGGTCAAGAAGGCAATGGTGAGTCTGGTTTGCAGGAGAGTGTTGGCAGCCGGATTCCAGTTCGGGAAAACCTTCGCCCCTGGGACTCGAAAGTAAAATGTATGATAAATCCTACATTCCAAAGACCAGTACAGAAAGCAGCCCGGCCCTTCTCCTTCTAGAAACCTTGTCAGGGGCGCCAGTAAATGGGGGCTTCCATTGTTTCTCGAGTACGGCCGGGCTTGCAAGGCGAGCCGTCGATTCCGATTCTGATAAAGAGCCATGGGAAGCCACAGTGGTGCCTTTGCTCTGCTTATTTCAAGAATGTCACGGCCTAATCTTCAGATACGACTGTTGATGTCTTGCAGGTTTCCAAATTTCAAATTGCCAGCCATCCGATTGAAGCAACAGTTTCATCCATGAGCCAAATGCGGACCTCTTGAAGCTCTCTGGCTTCAGAAAGCTGTCTATGGCGCTCGTAATTCTCATCCGTGAGGCCGTTGAGATGGCTGATCTTGACAGTTATCAGTATATCCGTATATAGAAGATCGGGAGAACGCACACTTACGTAAACGGTCGGAAGAAAGCCAGCAGATACCGTGACAGGAAACATCACAAAAGATGCCCGAAGGATTCTCAACGGTAGCATCCATAGTAATTCGGGAGATAGGGACTTAAACTCGCTTCGATGTTTGTGGGATGTTCGATATGACTTGTAACGTGAAGAGAGTCGGAAATGACCCGCGGGTGACGGATGCAGCGTTGAAGAGAAGTGTATACGATAGGGACGGGCTTCGTATCATAGAATGAGTCTTACAGGCCACATGACCTGGGGGCAAGTGAATGTTGGCTCGGCAGTGAATTCGGCGGCGGGTCGCCCACCATGAGAATGACCGGCCGAACCACTTTCAATTTCCCTCCCGCAACGCCTTCACAAAAGTTCTCCAAAATTGCTGTTCCATCACATAACTTTGCAGCAAGTCAGTCTCGCTTCACCCCTACCTTACCTTCTCGTCAGAACCACACTCCATCCCATCATGGATGTTGCGATCGTCGTCCCGGCCGCCCCTCCGGTTCGTGCTGTGAGTGCTCGCCCCCGTAAGTCAGCGAGGAGGTCCCGAGCCAAGATTGACCAAATCAAAAAGAAACGAGGAAAGCCCGTTCGTCACCCTGTGACCCCCGTCAAGAAGAAGCCCGCGGCACCTGCTCCGTTCGTGCGGCCCCTGATGGTATTGAACTGATGGATCATCCCCCAGTGCAAGAAGAAGAACTGACTTCAGTGACTAGTCACTACCGCGCAAAAGCGCGCGCAGGCCCGGCTCAACGGGTTCACCCGTCGAGCCCATAACCCCCTGCTGGTAAGCCCCCGCTGCCCATCACATCTATCAGAACTGAGAGCGGACGTATATTGACAGAAAGCACCGTTCCAGCAACTCCTGGGTATTCTCGCTGTCCGCTTGAGGAAGGTGCACATCCAGTCTGTGCCCACCACCAACAATAAGCTGGATCGCCTGGTGGGGCAGCTAAAATCTGCCCACATCCACTCCTAGCCATGTCATCCCCCATGGCTTTAGCACAGGTTCGAGTCCTGTTGCTTCTTCTTTCGGCCCATCCCGCCTCCTGGTCATTCCGTCACCCCATGGTCTTGTTCCACCACTCACGGATAGGGGGTGGTCTGTTGTTGTTGCCGCATAGTTCGGCGTCGTGGGTTCTTTCTTTCGGATTCCGGTTTTGTTTTTTTTCTGTGAGCGTGCCTGTCGTTCCTGTTCCCGGTGGTTGTCGGTTTTCGGTTTCTCGTTCCTGGCGGTTGTTGGTTGGGGGTTTCTGTTCCCTGCGGTTAGTGGGGGCTTTTTTTCGCCTCGGCGTTTGCTCTGTGGGAAGGTTAGGCTCCCCGACTTCTATCTAAATGTTTTGGTTTGATTAAAACATAATTTCTTAATCTACTCTAATTCCACTGGGTCATTCAAGTTCTCTTCACTTTCCCGTCATCTAGGAACAGACAGTAGACCCAGACGGCGATTCCGTAGACACTCCATGGTGTAGCACTAGACACCTATAGCCACTTCGCCATTGTCCTAGTATTTTGGCATCGGTAGAACTTACCTACTACCTATCCAGTACCAGGTAATCTACCCCATTATTTACTCGGAGCCATATACCGGATCTTCTGCCATATCCAGACACAGCAGGCGCCTATGTCCTCCGACCCACCTCCCCCGCGGCATCAACATCATCGTCGTTTGTCCGTCAAAATTTCGCCAGCCTATCAGTGGCGATGTTTTAGGCATTCATAAGCAGTTCATTCAAGTTCTAGATACTAATTCCTATCTATTAATTCCTCATTTCCTTACAGAGCATCATGATCATGCTCTCAAGGTGCATACCCGGCTGGAACCAAGGATGGAACGCCTTGGATTTCCAAGACGCCAGGGTATCTACTCTACCGAGTCAGTTACTCCATTCGAAAGGCCTCCATGCTAGATATCGAGTTGAACTAAGTGAAGTGTGAGCCATACGTGCTATTTCGATTCAAATAAAATCCGATATTAGGAATGAGATCTCTATCTTGCACCGCTGCTATGCTGCCATTGCGGCACTGGGCTGCGCGATGACCTGATTTACAATGCAAATCACATAGGCGGGCAGCGTCGCCCACCTTAAGAGGCGTCTCCCCTCCTCACAAATCTTCCCTCTCCCACCCTCTCAGCTTTTTTCAAATTAATCAATAAGATCGCTTTGAAACGGTATGTCAAGGTAATCTATTTCCCTGCCTACATACTAACGGGCCTTGTAGGTTTTCCTCCGATTCTGGAGCTGCTGTCGGCCCGGGTGGCCTTAGTGCCCTCGTGGCACTGTTCATGTCCCGCCCCAGAGCGCCAGGCCGCCAATGTGGATCGTGAACGGCACGAGGAGTGTGTAAAGGAGAAGGTGGACGCTTTCCTTCGCCAAGCCGAGGAGCAGCCCCGTGAGCCTTGCGGCCCTTTCAAGCGGGCTCCTCTGACGCCCCACAAGAAGTGCCGCAAGGCCAAAGACCAGGTACGATATGGCGTCTGGCTGATGAGCTGAGATCTCGCTGACTAGAAAGCAGCGCAATGCCCGCAAGGCCGGCAGGAAAACTCCTTTGCCACGAGCAGGAGGCTCGTCAGCATGAGGCCCAGGTCGATTTCGACACAGAGGACTCCAAGGACACTCAGCCGAACAAGTAGGCTGGCCGGTGAATTCTTCTTTGTAAAAACGTGGTTGTCCTGTTTTCGCTCTTTTTTCCTTTTGCTGGGTGGCTTGCTGGGGGTGGTTTCCGCCTTCGGAATGCAGATGTTTCTTTTGCCAGCCCCAAGGTTGGTGTTTCCATTCCTCATTCTCGTATACTATGTTTTTCTCCCCTGTCTTTCGCGGCGACGAGAGACATGACTCAACAGCAAATTTCGTAGTCGTTCTTTTTCACTGTACGCTCTAAATATTCATTCGTAGCCACTTACTCCGCTCGTCGGTAAAAAACATGTATCTTCTCCATCTTCCGAATCTATTCCAGTAAACAGTTCAATGATTCGTTTGATTGACCACTCTGTCGCTCCGGCAAACGCGAATGCTGCCGCTAATGTAGGAAGAAACATTAGCATATGCATAAGCTCAGCGGCCATATATCCAGCGCATTCCTTCCCCACCCTCCTTATACAACCCCATTCTGATCCGCAAGACCTACCTAGGTACCACTCCCAGGAAACCTTCATTTGACACCCTTCAGGCTTCCAGAAAGAAGAAAGTACCTCAAAATTGGGTCATCTAGCAAGTGAGACCACCGAAAACGCGAGTCCAATACCCAAGTCCAATACACACTCGCATGTTGTCATGATGCAGTTTATGAAGTGATCAGGAGTTAAGGAAAACTGATGACCGGGTAAAGAAAATTATATAATGAGCTTCTAGAAGAGCATAGTAATCTCGCGCTGAATAACTAGACGCATACTGCTTCTCCCTGGTCATGAATGGTGATGGGATCACCTGACATGGCCAACAAGAGAGTTTACTGAGTAGGCAGAATCGCAACTCCAAGGTGCCTCGGTTCCAACTTGGATGCTTTCTCCTCCCCATCCTCTGTCCGACCTCCCCCTTGTCCACCTGACAATCCCACGACATCCAACATCATTCGAGTTATATCAAGCTATCTTCATTTTAAATCACATCCAGGCTAACATCGCATGTCATAGTAGCTGCACGTCGACTTCCCTGTCGCTCGGACATGGATGCTCCACTCGCGCCTCGCGTTTCCGCCGCTGGGGGAGGGGACCCCACAAAACTCCCCAACAACACGAAGCCGGTGAGCAAGAGCAGCCGTCGCAACCAACGCAGAAGGCAGCGTAAGAGGGAGCTGCGGGAGGCCTCAAAGGTCGCAAAGGTCTCGAAGAAAATGGGCAAAAAGGCCGGCAAGGAAGGTGGCAAGGTCCCGGTCGCTGAGGATGTATATAATCACATTGGCGAAGGGCTGTCATCATCGATGATCAGTCTGGTGTACGCAGTACCGTGACGGATAGCACTAACAAAGAATTAGGGATCGGAGGGTATTCAGAAAAAGGGTCCCAAGGCCAAGCGGGCCCAGGGCAAGCCCAACCGCCAGCAGCGCCGGAAGGCCCTTAAGAGCGTGTGTTTCCTGCTGCCCACACAATGAGTTCTAATACTTACACATTTATCCAGCGCAGGTCTTCCCGGACCCTGGATGAGGAGATCGATTTCCTGGCCCTTCGCCTGGCCAACTTTCATCTCGGCCGCCATGTTGCTATTTTTGTGTGCCATTCCTCATTCATAAGGTGCAGAATGATGTGTCTAATGTATGGAATACAGCAGATCATTACTACCACCGGTAAGTTCGAAACTTCTTCTGCTGCAGCAAGTGGTCCCTCTCCCTCCGCTCCTTCCAACACCCGCTCTGATCGGGATTATTTCCTCCCCCGTCGCCTGTAAATGGCCACTCATTCTCCTAGTAATGTTGACACAACATGGCTGATGAAAGCCAGAACTGGAGAGAAAGGGTGTGAGACAGGATGTGAGTATTGCTGTGGTTTTATCTTTTGTTGATCCCTTTGCCTTCGGTTCCTAACCGGCCCGGATACAATTTGTCAATTTCCAATCCCTGCTTCGACTGAGTGAACATCATTGCTAGTACCATCGTACCATCCCCTTCCCTCTTTCCTCTAACGGCTGCAGTATTTGCTTTCTATTGTTTATTGTCATCCCCGAAGACGCAGTTGACACAGCAGGTGATTTCGTAGAGGGACTAAACGTGTAGGTTCACGTGTCGACTTTTTTACCGCTCCCTAACTATCTTCCGCGCTTACCTAAAAGGTATACGACATATCTGCTACATCGACCATTGCTCGCTAGCATATGTAATGATCCTCTCGCCGCTCAACTGGAAACCTTGAAGAACGGCCTTTCGATAGTCATGAAGGCTTCAGCTCATATACCACCTGGATTGTTCGCTGCGGATGCCCGATTGCCGCGGATTTACATTCCATCGTCACACTCCGTTCCGGGAGTCGGATGAGGCTCAAATAAACGAAAAGAGAATATTAAATGAACCACTGCAGTGTCAATTTTAATCACTCAACGAGATACAATTGACAGGAGGACTGCTCGACAATTGTAGGATACTACAAATCATAATAGGGTTTTCTCACCGCTGCAAGCGAGGGCACATGACCTGGGCACAGTAATTGCTGGATGCGGCGGCTGTCCACGCACGCCTTAAAAACCGTCTCTGTTCTGGCTTGACACGTCTCCACATCACCCGCTTTCCGCGTCCAGCCTCCCTTCTCACAAAGCACAAAGCTGCTCTTTGTGGACGGTGATTCCAACCCCCCTTATTCTTACTCATTCTCATTCTTCTTGGCACACAGTGCTAAATGAACAGCCTTTCTGTTTCCGCCGGTGGTGAGGGAGAAGATCCCCCCCCACCAAACCCCTCACCCTAATGCACAGTCCCGCCACGAAGACAAGGTATGATTCCCAAATCCCGTGACCCAATGTTGTGTTATTTTTGAATGGCCGCAGACCGTTGTTGTGTTTTCGATCTGAGGGAAGCTAATGAGAAGTACAGCTGGCAGCAAAGGAGGCCATGAGGGCTGGGGCCGAACTGAACAACAGCATCGACCACCTTGCCAACCGTCTTGGCAATGTCCGGGTCCAAACAAAGAAGCAGCGAGTCCGTTGCCCATCCCCTGGTCATGAATGTCCGGATAGCTAATGAACATGTTATAGAAGGCTGCCCGCGAAGCCGCTGCTTCCCCCGCAAATGTCCCGGCCAATGGCCTCCCGACTCCCTCTACCCGCACGGGTAACAAAACTCCCCGCGTGCCCAGGATGGGCAAAATCATTGCCGTGTCTGACGGGCATCACCAACGGTACGTTCGAGAGCGCAGAGGCAACACCGGCAAGGATGATACCAACACCCACCGCGCTGACCCTCGTCTTCTTAAGAGCGGTAAGAAGAACCGTCGCCAGAAACGCGCCGCTAGCGAGCCTGCTGAGGCCAACTATGCCAGCGACGACCTTCGCCGAGGCCAGCTGCTATTGGACAACCAACCGGCTGAGAATAACGGTGCCAGCGTGTCAACCCCTTTGGTGGTCCCACAGGCCCTTTTCGACGCCTTCGGCACAGGTACGCCCATGGGCGAAGATACGCCCATGACTGGAGGTACACCAAGTCTTGACTGTACTCCCATGAGCGAGTGAGTACTTTCACGTCGTACACTCACGGAGGTCAACTTTTTCAAAGGGTGTCAGGAATTGGCTTTGTTCTGGTTGTCAGGTCCTTTTTGTGAGACATGCTTGTCTCGGATGGAGGTGAGTTTAAATATCCTTGTTAATCCTTTCGTTCCCCGCATGATCCTTTGCCGGGCCGAACTTACTAGCAGCTGATAGTATTTTCGAGAAATGATGATTCTTCCGGCACCAGGTGAGTCCCATTCCCATTCTCCTAACATTCAAAAGTTTCTGTCTTCAGGTACTTGTCGTAGGCCTCGTTGTGGAGGGCAGTAATTTCGTAGATAACCGAGTGCGTAGCTACAGCGACAAAGTATCCGTACACCTTATAGATCTCTTGAACAATTGCATAATGAATAATAAAACCCATAAAATTTCAGTATGGACATCCGAGTATCCTCGTACCAACCTGTCCTATCATGTAGCCGAGGCTCTTTCCTGAAGATTCGGGCGTCTCGCGTCACGTGAGCAAACGTTGTCTTAAAGGGAGGAGTTTTATTGGAGTTGCCTCACGTTGCCCACGCTGTCTCACGTGACATCTACACCGACATTACGGAGGGCTCCTTCCTCCTACAACTGCCTCTGAAGAGTCAGTTGCTTGCCTCTGGTGGTAGCTTGTCGTCTCTCACGCAGTCAAGACTCGATTTTGTCCCTCCCACCTCCCCTCTGTATATAGAAACCAGCATTGCAATATACAGACACATTGCCTCCCTACGAGGGAGCGCAGACGGGCCTTCTCTGACGTTACGGTCTAATGCGTTTACGCATAAGACCGCAGAGACAGGCGACCCGTTACGGCCAAACTGTACACGTTTCTGTTCCCTTCTTGACTGCGAGAGGTCACCAATAAATCTCATATATATCCTGCAAAACCAACCTCCTCCATTCAACCACCGTCGACATCTGCCTCTGTTTCACTTCCTCGAGGATTGTACTCTGCCGAAAGCAGTTTTTCACTCCTTCTCACTTTCATACCAGAAATTCTTCCCGAATTCTTCACTTCTCAACATATCCGAACAACCCAGACCCAAGATCGAAACAAGGCCTGCTGATCACACTCATCCCCACTATGAGCCACGTTGACATGAATCGAGGATGAATCCTACAGGACCACATGTAGGCGTTTTTAACCTTCCTGGATGCCTATGAAGATGAAGCGGGTCACGAAACACCGTGGAGAAAGTCCCCGCTTACTCGAATTTGCGATGTCTACCTTTACTCAATCCTCCGGCGAAGAAACTTCGCCTGAAAAACGACTGCGAAATCGATTCCGATTCCAATAGCCGGTCTCTTATTGACATCCCCAGGGAGAGAGATCCCTCCTATTCTTCTCACTATACCATTGCCGTCTTCGACTCGCCAACCTGACATCTTTGTCGCGATTGAATGATCTTCTTGCCATTCTCTGTTTGGCAGAAGCAGCCGAAGGGTTACCGATACCTGGATTTTGGGGTCGGGGGATGATAACCGAGTTCAACGTCGACGGATGGGTGGCTGGAAGAAAGACAGATGAGAAAAATGGAAAGGTATGGTACTCAAAGGTTTCTAGGTCTTGCTTTCCTCTGCAGTAGTAAAGAATGACTGGAGTGACGGGTACCAGGAACGTGGTCAGACCCGGTTCAATGGCCACACTCTCAGGGTGATGAACCCGCTGCTGGTAAGTCTCCCTGACTATGCCGACTATCTGACCTGGAAGCTCACGCATATGGACAGAATGCCCCGTTCCAGCAGCATCTAGATATTCTTCCCGACCGCTTGTTCAAGGTGAACATCCAGTCTCTGTCCACCACCGGCAAGAGGACAGTCCCGCTAAGCCAAACTCCGGGAATTCGAGAATTTAGAACAGCAAAGTGAGCATCAACGACGACGAGTGGACACGCCTGGTAAGGGAATAGTTCAAATTGATCAAGGGTATTAATACCCTGGTGTGAAAGCACAGAGTCAAGCCAGTCCGAAAGATTCTGTGCGAGGTTGTTGAGGGAATGAGGAAGCTGTCAATTAACGAGGACGAAGATAAGGGTGAGGAATTGACATGCCTTGAAACGGAGTACAAGCACAGGGTGCGAGGATTGAGGGCAATAAGAGTCTGGCTTGGGAGCGTCCAGAGGCCAAAAGTGCCCAAAGGCTCCTACGGGGAAAGAGAGCACAGATGCGGGAATTGCAGCTTGAGCTCGGCCAGATGAAATTTGTGTTGAAGAGTGAACCAGGCTGCAGAAACAATACGAGCAATTGTGCTACGTCATCGAATGCATGAGGAACCTGGGCATTGATAACGGAGTGGACTGGAACCTGAGTACACTGAGTACAAATATGCTGGCGGATACAATTGACATAAACGTATTGGAACCTCGAAGCAAACAAGAAACGAGTCTCCGTCAAGACTGGGTGACCATATTTAGTACACGAGAATGCTTACCAACTGCAGTGCAATCCAATCCGGATAAGTCCAGTACTCATTCCACCATCAGAAGATCCTCTAACAATTAAAGTAAACAGTACAATCCGACTCAACAGACTCCCCAAGGCCATAGAAGTTGGTCTCACTAGTAGGCTCCTCACCATCAATATGAGTCTGAGTAGCGTACGCACCGTGGCAGTTGCTGAGAGCACACTCTGTCAGTACCTTCCAAGATGATTTCGCAAGCGTTGGAAACGACGTACCTGAAGCCACTTCCACCACACTCCGCGATCCACGAAAAAGCGTCTTCCAGCGAGTCAGAGACAAAAGTGATTAAGTCCGAGCGCACAGATTTATCACCATCGTACTTGCCGATATCATTTCCGTCGCCATCGTAGAGCGTGCTGCCGCCGCCGGGTGTGACGGTGTTTCCGCCCGAACCGAATCCCGCGGAGTTGCGGGTGTAGTGGACCATGTGCGGAGCATTGGGCCTGCCATTGCAGTTGGGAGGCCGAGGGCTGCTAGGATAAGGGTGGGAAGCGCGAAATGCATGATTGCTTTCGAAAGGTCGGAAAGATTGTGAGCTTGAAGACTTGGATGAGTGATCTTGAATATGTGATGGTGTGGATGAATGACGGACTGAAAATCAAATAGTGAGAACCTTTATATACCTTTTCCTGCTCCTCGATGACCTCGTTCGGCATGTCTTCAAAAGAGAAGAAGACCGTTCTTTCTCTCGCCCGACGTCTTTGCCCGATGTGCCAAGATTGCTTTGCAGTAGTATAGAAGTCCGTTTTAGTTTGTGCATCTATGAAGTGGATTCTAGTAATGATCATATCCTGAAGAATCTACTTCATACCTTTTTATGACCGGCAAATGCTGTAAAACGGGGCATTTGCCCCATGTTTGGGGGCTGGTTTTATGACTTGCGGCTGATTTATGGTTGGCGATCGTCTTGGCCGAAGTCCATCACATTTCGAAGGCCATGAGCTGAAGCAGAAACTATCTGCTTGTGAGTACCGATTCCCAACAATCTATCATGGCTTTTCCTTCGGAGTGTCGGGGATGTCATGCGTAAAACTTGCTGCTAAATAAAGTGTTCGTCCAAATAAACGCTTTTTTCATTGTGGCCAATACCCCAGACTGTTATAACCGAAGCTCCACAATAGTCTGTTAAAACCGATGCCCCCAAAGAACTTGCTACGACTCGAGAACGAAGGACAATGCAACGTACGTCAATGGTCGAGTTAGGGTGGTTCCTGCAGGAGGGAATTCATGCACCCAGTCAAAAACGCAATGAAGTCTTGAAATTCACGCATCGAACTTCTCAACCTCCATCACTTTGTTTGCCCATCTCTCGCCCCTTTTAACACATCATCTTCTACTCGCACCGCCTCTTGCAGTCAGTGTCATTCCCAATTACAGATGAGCATCACACAGCAATTTCCAGGGGTGCACTGGATCTGAAGCGGAGGCATCTAATTCGTCGGCGAAGTCCACCCCCCGCATCGTAATCAAAGTCCCCCGAGCCGACGATTTCGACAGACAACAGTTTTAAAACAAGTCAAGATCTGCGACATATTCGGTCAACATCCGCCATGCCATTCTGCGGTGCAGTGCTTCTACTCCACAGAAAATGCCGTTTTCCTCGAGTACATGCCAGGTGGGGTCCCCATAACCTGCATTTAACATTCCAAGCTATTGCGAAGGTTCTTGCCTGATGAAATCCTCTCTTCCAGGAACCAAGAAAACCATAGCTGAGATCGACGCACCAGCGTGGTGGCAAAACTGCAGAAACTGGAACCACTATCTCTTCGAAAAGAGTGGATGAATGACCTCGTTTAAGCCGTCGCTTTGAATCGCTCAATCTCGCGGACGGCGATCTACGACCGAAGGACGTTCTCATCGATTGGGATAGATTGAAGTTGTCGGATCTTGACCAAACGGCGGAGATTAGGACAATTTTCGAAGCTTGTACGCCTCCATGCGGAAGGTTATCAGAGGCAATGTTAAACTGCGGGGTTTCAAGGCCCGCGAATATTACAGCAACTATGGATTTGATGTTTATGGTGATCGATGACTTGATGAGGATCTGAATGTGCATGGTCCCAATCGTTGCGAGTTGTTGCAGAACATGAAGTTTCCAGAACTTGGCAGAGATCCAGTCGTTGATGAGACTATTGATGAGTGTTGGCATAACAAATATGTCAGTATAGCGGAATTGGCCGCATGCACCGAGTGTCTTCTTCCCAGGAGAAACGAGCGGGAAATGGCTGATGGCACAGATCAGAAGTGTTCATTGGAGGATTTTGCCTCTAAGAGAACAATTTGCCAGGACCTGGAAAGAAACGTGGAATTGTTTCTATGCTTGAGTCTGGCGAGCCTGAGGAACTGGGATGTAAGATAGAGTGGCACCGATTGTCTCAGAGTTAAAGCACGGCGGTTTCGGAGTAGATTGACTCATTGCATTGACTTATTGAGCAAAGAATGCTATCTTGACAGACTATACACATATATACAAGACCTGTCTACGCCGTATTAGCCTCGGCGAGGTTTGACAGTATTTACAACTTCGCTCTAGGCGAAGCAAAACTCGACCCCGAACCCTGCCCAATGGCCTCAACAATCCGATCAACACTGTTCAAAATCCACTCATTCCCCGCATCACTTGCCAACCACCTAGCCCCCTCCTCACTCTCAACATCCGCAGTCCAAGACCCATCCTCCAGCGCCTTCCGCAGTCCAAAAATATGCGACAGAACCTGGGGCGCAACGCCCGACTGCGCACGCAAACATGCAATCGCAATAATGGACGTGACAAGCCGACCAGCCGAGGTCCGCGGATTTTCCCGCTCTGGATCGGAGAGGAGGGACCCGTAGTGCGCGTTGAGGATTATGACGGGGAGGTCGGGGGTGTGAGGAGGCGAGTTTGCTGTACAGCTTTTTCTCGAAAGGTCGGTAGATTGAGGTCCAGAGGGAGTGGCCGCGGTTTGCGATGTTGGTTATGTTGGTCGGTGTGGGTGTGCGGGTGGGGGTCGTAGAGAGGCTGTCGCTGATATTCTCGGGCAGACTTGCTTTGAAGGCGTTGAGGTTGTTTATTGTTCGCGGAATGCCGTTGAAACTTATGCACTTTAGCCCGATTTCGCGCATTAGCTCGGCGATTTCGAGGTCGTTGTTTGCTTCGACGGAGGTGAGGGTGAAGAGGGCGGCGAGGGACTCGGGGGAGTTCATTGTCATCGTTGCTGCGGTCTACACCGTGTGAGCCTTCCAATCCCTGCGACGAGCAGCTGCAACATCTCCAGGCGCTTACCGACAGCGCGAGCCAGGACGGCTGCGAGACATTATGCGCCTTGGCAGACTGCTGGATGTCCTGGTAAATAGCTGTAATATTCTTCGGCGCCGGCAGTGTATGCGGACGAGCTGCCGGGCTGTTAATCAGCGCCTTCAGGCTGGCCGAGAGCTTCGACATGTTGGCACTGGCACCGACAAGGAGCTGTCGAGGGTAAAGCGGGCGCTCCTCGGGAACTTGGCCGGTCGGCCTCGGCACTCAGAAATGCGCGCCGAGGGCAAAGATACCAACAATACGTAAATTACGCGTATATCTGATATCATTAGTAATAGTCTGACCAAGCTTCGCTAGTCCGGGGAAAGTGCGGGGGGACTTGCTTGGCTGCGTTCCCACTAATGTCACTTGGCTGTGGAGCCAATACGATCTCTGTCGGCATTCGCAGGGTTCGCTGGAATTGTTCAGGGCAGGCGTCGGCGCTAGAAGTGCAGCCCGAGCTCGCCTTTTGTGTCCGCGCGGTCGACAGAGTCCTCCTTTCTGCATTTTACCTGTACCCTGCACCTGCAACTTGCACCGCATCGTCCTAAGAACCTCTAGTATCATGGATCCAAAGCCCGTCGCTGCAGAGCTGGAAGAGAGTAAGGTATACGAGAGTCCTCTCAATCGCTTTGGCGATGAGGTGCATCAGCAGAAACTTGCGCGAAGGATTCTGTTCAAGCTGGATACGCGGTGAGATGAGCCCCTTTCGTCACCCCTTGACATGAGCGCTTAGCTAACGGGGGATAGGATCCTGCCGATGCTGGCATTGCTTTTCCTCTGCTCTTTTTTGGATCGTACGAATGTCGGCAATGCAAAGATTTATGGGCTGGAGAAGGATATCAATATTTCGGATCAGCAGTATGACGTTGGGCTTACGGTTTTCTATCTCACTTATGTCTGCAGGTAAGCAACTCGCAATGGAATTTTTTTTTGACAACACCCCTTGGGTACATCCACATGCTGATTATCTAGTGAACTGCCGAGCAACCTCGTCCTGAAAAAGGCCTCGCCGAAGATCTGGTTGCCGTTTTTGACCGCGCTGTGGGGAATTATCACAATGTGCTTGGGGTTTGTGCAGAACTTCGCTCAGTTTACGGCCGTGCGAGCATTACTCGGCATTGCAGAGGGTGGATTGCTTCCAGGAATGGTATGTGCTGCTGTGATATCCTGTGGAATCGACGCTGACGTCAACAGGTCTTGTACCTGTCTGCATTCTACAGACGAGGTGATCTTGCTCTGCGCATTGGCCTATTCTACACGGCTGCGTCTTTGTCGGGGGCTTTTGGAGGTGAGCAAGCCTTCTTTGGCTGGTTTTCTATTGACAAATACTGATCGAGTTAGGTCTTCTTGCTCGTGGACTGTATGAGATTGGTCCGCGTGGCGGGCTGGAGGGTTGGCGATGGATTTTGATCATTGAGGGACTGCTGGTAAGTGCTCTCCCACTACAGGTTGAGCTCTAAGCTAACAATAAACAGACATTTGCTGCTGGCGGCCTCAGCTTCGTTGTCCTCCCGAATAGCCTGGAGACTGCCCCCTTCTTGACAACCGAAGAAAAGGAGTTCGGACGAGACCGGCTTCTGCTTGACAATCCCAAGAGCTCGGATGGGTAGGATCATCCCCCATCTTCCTACAATTCCCTTCACTTACATCTGCAGAACATTAACTGCCGAACACGACGGCTTCCGGTGGTCCGAAGTCCGCCGCGGTATCCTCGAGCCACAGGTCTGGTTCTCCGCCACCGCATACTTTGCAATCCTATCCGGCCTCTACTCCTTCGGCCTATTCGTACGTTCCCCCTCACAGCCGAAGATCAGAATCTAACAAGCCCAGCTCCCCACAATAATCGAAAGCCTCGGCTTCGCCAAAGATGCAAACGAAGTCCAGCTCTGGTCTGTCATCCCCTACGCCGTCGCCGCAGTCCTCACCGGTGAGTCCTCCCTCCCTTCTTCTTCCGAAAATCTTATACTCATCACGGATAGTTCTGGTTGCCTTCGTCTCAGACCGTCTTCGTCTTCGAGGCGTAGTCATGCTCTTCACTCTCCCCATCGCCATTGTCGGATACGCCGTCATCGCGAACATCGATAATCCCCAGGTCCAGTATGGAATGACCTTCCTCATGGCGACGGGAATGTATGCTAGCGTTCCGTGTATCCTGGTATGGATGTCGAATAATTCGGCGGGACATTATAAGCGGGCGACGACCTCGGCATTGCAGTTGGCTATTGCGAATTGTGGTGGTTTTGTTGCTAGTGAGTCGCCCCTTTTGTCTGCTCTTCGTTTACGGTCTTGGTATTGATGAGTCTCTAGCTTTCAACTATCCTTCGCGTGATAAACCTTTGTATCATCGTGGACATACGATTATTCTTGGGTTACTGGTTTTTGCGTGGTTTATGTGAGTCCCAGCTTCAATATCGTTTTGCTTTTTCGAAATTCGAATGCGCGGATACTAATACTCGCAGGATCTTGTTCAATGTGCTCTACTGTGCAAAGGTAAACCGTGACAAGCGGAAGGGCAAGTACGATCAGTACAGTGGATATAACGATGATCGTAACCCGGAATTCATCCTGGTTCTGTGAGACGATGCTTATATAACGGGAGATTTCCAGAAAGATTATGACACTGGTGGAGATATGATAGTACATCAAGAATGAATACTTGATAATGGCCGAAATTAAGCACATCAACACCCTCTCTCACAAGAGCCCTCCAAACATAATTCCTAACCCCAACCGACCACTACGGCATCGACCGGTACGGTACCGAACCTTAAGTCCAAGGTGGTGAGCCGTGCGAATCTGATTCCGCAGCTTAGCCAACTGCTCCTGTAAGATACGGCTGAAAGACAGTGGCCCGATTGTTATGGGGCGTTGGGATCATCACCACCCCGTTTGTAGAGGTCAAGTACCCGCTTTTGCGGAGGGTGGTTAGTATTTCCATCACGTAGGGCCAAAAATTTTTCGTCTTCTTGTTTGAAGTCGATGAGTAAGACCAGGGACTGGGTTGTACATGTTACGAAGATTGCGACCGATTCGTCTGCTTGTGGTTGTGCTTGGGTTCGTAGTTCGCCCGGTGTGGAGTGGAGGTATCCAGATCGGGATGGTATCATATGTAGGTTATGTTGGTTCAGCATCTCCAGTACCTGAATTTGTTCTCCCAGAGCCGGACATTTCTTGCTTCGAACCCGACAGAAGTGAGGTTCGCCTCACTCCCGCATCTCTGCCAAGCTTCATCCTGCCACCTTGAACATATAACCTTCATGATATGGTGGTTCCAAAGAATCAGCCACATTAACGAATGAAGTACAGGGAGGTTAGCGCCTGAGAGCCTGACCAACGAACCAACTCCACCACCTTTATTGAATGAGCCCAGTTTACTTCTTTCATGTGCTTGAAGGCTTGAACCGGCCACCTACCCTTAGGAACAAAGAAAACATATACCTGGAAATAGCTTGAGTTAAAAGAAATCGTCATAGCTCCTCCACCATTTCCTTTAAAACCCTGGAACCACTAAATTTAGGGTGCTGTTACAAGGACGCCCCCCACGCTGAGTCACTCCCGTTTCTGCACCTTGACCGTTTTTCTGCCTGGTTTCTTCGGTTTCTTCCGCATTAATGCCTATTCAGGTTTAGCTCACTTCAATATATGGTTAGTCAACTATTCAGCATCTGTTTTCAAAACATCGGCAAACTGCTTTTCTCGCGCATTTGAACGACACAGCTACCATGGCTCTTTCAGGCCTAAATGCTTATACGTCTGATTCCGATGAAGCTGTCGATGCAACTGCTGACGCAGCACCGGCCACCGATGCCCCCGACATGCGTTCCGAGGCATTACTGATGCCTCTTCCTCCCTAGATCAGCAGTTCTCAACCCCAGAAGCAGCAATTGATGCAATCAACGAACTCGTAGTGCCTTCGGGGTATGCAGTTGTCAAGCGCCGCAGCAAGAAATCGAAGCGAGGGATCGTTAAAACAGTTACTCTGCAATGTGATCGCGGAGGTGAATATGTACCAGCTGTTTTGGAAAATGTCCGCAATGTGACGGATGAACCTGGGAATAGTCTCGCCTCGTGGAAGGGTGTTTGAGGCATAATTTTTGGTCGTTTGCACTACGCGTTTGCTGGTGCGCGTTTGCTGGGTACTTAAGCCCTCTTTTTCTGGCGGACTTTCTTTCTTTCTCCTTCCTTCTTCATCTTCGAGATTCTCGTCTGTAGGCACCGAATGAATCTGTTTCTTTCGAACGGCCTGTAACACGCAAGATGAAGACCAACACATACGCTTGTGGGCGTAATTTCCAGGTTACGCTACGCCTACAACCTCTGCGCTTGGAGACCCCATGGAAGCTTACAGTGGAGAATCAATGGCATAATGATCACGAGCCATCAGAAGCATCTGTTCATGCTGTACATCGCAAACGAGAGGTTGCAGAGAGAGAGGCATTTATCAAGACACAGCTCCATCTCCAGATACCGACACGTCAAATTCTGACTACTATCACAAATGAGAATCTATCCTCATGTATCATTGCTGCAAATATCAACAATCTCCGTGCAAAACTCAACCGTGAGTTCCTTAATGGCCGTACCCCTATCCAGGCACTGCTTATGGAGCTTCCAACCAATGGTGAATGGATGTTCCGTACGGAGCTTGATGATGGAGGTCATCCTCTTGTTCTATTCGCAATGCATAAAGCCAGCCTTCAGATGCTAAAGCGTTATCCCTGAGTTCTCTAGATGGACTGCACATCTAAGACGAATCGATATAATATGTCATTACTTGATATAATTGGGTTTACATGTACTGGCGCCTCAGCTTACCTTGGTTGGGCATTTGTCAATGATGAGAAAGAGGAGACATATGATGTGGCTCTCAGGTTTTTCTTGGAGAGATATATGATCATATCCGAGCCACTTCCATGGAATCTGACCCTCGGGACTTCTCTCCGCTGTTGCAATCCGCTACAATCCTTACCGATAAGGAGCCAGGCCTGATCAATGCAATTCATAGAGTGTGACCGGAAACCGATACGATTATCTGTATCTGGCATGTGAATATGAATTCGATGAAGAAGGCCCGTCCGTTAATCTGCAAATATATCGCTAATATCCGAGAAGAAGGGCTTGAGGCCACTTATGAAGGTATTGCTCTTCCACTTGCAGCTCAGTTGACTAAGAAAGAGCTCGACGACGCTCTTGTCAAGATCGCTGATAAAGGATGGAATAAGATGATGAAGCGATAGAATCGCCTGATCTATGCGTCCTCACAATCAGAATTCGATACTGCCAGGGAGCGGTTCCAGGATACCTATAGTGCGCCTGTTTATTCGACTCTGTAGGATTATATTCGGAAGGAATGGATTGAAGACTGCCCTGAAAACTTCCTCAAGATGTATACTGATCAGTATCTGCATCTCGGTGAGGTTTCTACCTCTCGTACAGAAGGCTCCATTGGCTGTTGAAACAAGACCTACATGTGTCTACAAAATATCTACTCCCTGTTTTCGATAACTTCAAGGATGTTATCACCCGGCAATACAGCAAGAGCAAGAGTCAGATTACAAGTGAGCGAGATCGCAGGCCAACAAGGAAGCTGCATTCAATTTTTCAACCAATTATTCGGCACGTTTCTCTCAAAGTTATCAGTTATGTTGAAGAGACGTACAACAACTACATTCCTGCGGCAGAAGGCAAGCCTTCTATTCCTCCTGGCTGTTACTGCAACTCAAGAAACACATCTGGATACCCTTGTATCCATGTCATTGTTAAATGCATGGAGGAAGAGAGGCCATTTAGCCTTGAAGATTTCCACCCTCAATGGCATCTGTACAAAATTGGCCAAGCACCACCGATTGACCCTCTTCTCTTAGTGCAGAACCCTCGTACAGTATGCCGCCGAGGTCGACCTGCTCGCCGAAGGAATAACCTTAAATCTCGGCCTATACAGCAGCCACCATCAACACCGGTAATCCAGGCTCCAGAAACGCAGCGGACATCTCCGGACCCGCTTACTAAACCGCTTACACCTTTTGAACGCTCAACACAACGTGAACTGTCGGCATTTGAACACATACTAGCTGCAGAACATGGCCGTGGCCGAGGGAAGGCAAAAGGACATACAGCGGCTAGCCAGGTAGGAGTAACCTCAGGCACCAGGATGCAGACCCGGCGTAGGGGTTGGAGAGCTGTGGAAGTCGAGGATGTCGAAGAGCATGTGTGAGGTAGTGCCAGCAGCTTAGATGCTGGCGCGGTTATTGGCTCGGATGACTCGGAATTCGATGGTTAATATATGTAAATAGCGTTCATACAAATTGACCGAGAAAAGCAGTTTGCCGATGTTTTGAAAACAGATGCTGAGTAGTTGACTAAGCATGATATTGAAGCCTGCTAAACCTGAATAAGTGTCAGCAATCGGGGTCTATGACTCGTCTTAGTCATGTGCTGGACCTCGATTGACGTGGAAAGATGAGATGGGTGAGAACAGCTAATATTCAGAGATGAGAACCTTCAACTGCCTAACTAGCTAACGTTGGAATCAATCTCATATAAATAGACCAAAATAGAAGCAAACAAGCAGACAAACAATATAAGCGAAAGCGGGGTAAATTTCGTACTTTCCCCTTTACACACGAGCTAACTCTCTTATTCCCCAGTGAGCTGATCAGGATTACATTACAGCCTTAGAAGTCAGGTGTTGAACTACTTTGACTTCCAACAATAAGTTAGTTAGGCATTAATGCCGAAGAAACCAGGCAGAAAGGCGGTCAAGGTGCAGAAACGGGTGTGACTCAGCGAGGAGGGGGGCCCTCCCTGTAACAGCACCCTAAATTTATCCGGTCTGTTTCTGGAGCAGGAAGAGGTGATGCCAAAGAAGCGCGAAAGATGAAACAGTATGCAAGGAGAGGTCGCAGGGCGCAGGCAAGCACATTCAATATATAAATGTGAGACATGAAACATCTCCCCAAAAGCCACCAATCCAAAGCAGTGAAATCTTATATCTACGATACCGCTCTCCAAGTTCCAAATGTCCCAAAGATCAGCAAGTTCATCTGGCCTTCCCTTCATAAGATGGGGTACATACCCAGCACACATCACCAGTCATTTCCACACTAACAGAAACAGACGCTAAAAAAGCAGAGAATTGGTTCATCTCCAAAACAGACCTAGGTTGGAACGAGAAGTGCAAATTGGTTCATGATATTGAAAATGCGTCTCTAGAATGCGCCGACGGGTTTCGCGGAGACGAGCGGATGTGTTTTATGCGAGCCTTTGGAAAGCTCTTACCGGATAACTTGGAGAAAACAAACTACGTGACTAAACGCAAGGAGTCCGAGTGTCCGGGCTACTAGGACTACTTTTACAACTATGTCCGTTGTGCTGATTGCATGAATGCAATCGAGTATTGTACAGTAGTTTTCGAATTCAAGTTGACCACTCACTCTTTAGACTTAATTCCCGGAAAATAAATCCGAAATACACTAATCCTGTTTGGGGTCACCGCTTTAATTGTTGGGCAGAAGTATGGTGGTAATGACCATGCCTCGTCCAAGGACGTATTGTAACTATACCGTAATTATACATCGAATCCCCTACTGTAGAGACGCTTTGTAGATCTGCGCAGTAAATTACCCCACAGATGGAAGTTATATTCATTAACCCTTTTCTGGTGTTCTTGGCATTAATATTGTCGTCACAACCCTCTTGCATCGAAGATTGGCTCCACTTGAGCCTACCCACTATCTCATTCGCCTACAAGGATTACAAAACTATCTGTTCCAGCTTGTTCCGACAGGTAACTATAGAATTTGAATAATTATCTAAAAACAGTTTACATGGCCATGCCTATTCTCTTAACTTCTTTAACATTAGCTCCTGGAAGCCCCGCATCGCCTGCTCTTCTTTCGTCTCGATCAGACTCCCTCCAATCTGAGTGATAAATCTATCTAACTTTTAAGGCTGGCCGGCCCTTTTCATAATCTATGCTCCGTAATTAATATTATTTATGAGCTTGATCGGGATGAAGAACAGCGCCACGGAAATGATGACGTAATGTGGCGTAGCCCAAAGTTCGGCTATATAGTTGATGCTCCACCGCAAGAGTGGAGCCAAATGATCTCTCGATTCTGGTCACATCGCGGTCCAAAATGCGATTGCCTCCAACATTTCTACAACGCGAGGACTGGGATACACCTATTAATCGGAGCGTGCAGACCTGGAATTATGTGTGCCAGTCATTATGCATCTTTTGGATGTCCGCCTTCTTTGGTATCCGCCTATATACCCGGCTTTTCATTGTCCGTGGTTTTGGGAAGGAGGATTGGACATGCTCTATAGCATGGTTCCTTGGTGTCTGCTACTCTGTTATTGCTATCATCATGGGACGTTACGGAGGAGGTTTGCATTACTTCGACGTCCCCGTTGAATACCACGTTCCGTTTGGAAAGACTGTCTACGTGACAATGGTCATGTATGGACCGACCGCATATGTGACTAAGGTGTGTCTATTATGGGTTATGACTCGCGTCTTCAGTCCGGTCCGTAATGTTGTCATCTTTATCTATATCTTTATAGGCATTATGCTTGCCTATTACATCCCAGTTCTCGTCGTGAAGATCAGGATCTGCAGTCCGATTGCTAGATTCTGGGACACAAATATTGATGGCACATGTCTTGATCAGAAATCGATTATTCTAGCCGACGCCGTCATCAGTGTGGCAAGCGACTTTGCCATTCTTATTCTACCGGTACTATTAACTATAAACTTACAAATGTCAACCAAGAAAAAGATCAGGGTCGCGGTTGTCCTTGGTGCAGGTGGATTTGCTGTTTTGGCTAGCATCATCCGCCTCGTGCTTATTGTCGTTACCGGACAGTCAAAGGATATTACTATTGCTTTCATGAGGATCAATATGCTCGGAAATGCCGAAGTCTCCATCGGAGTTATCTGCACATGTTTACCTGCCCTTTTGACCTTCGTCAGACACATCGACCACGAATACCGGAGCAGCAGAACAACCCGCACTTCTGAACATAGGATGGTCGAAACACGGAATGCAGAGCCAGCCGAAGACACCTGGATGTATATCGCACAGGAGAACTCAACGATCCGAACAACTATCCAGGGGGACATCAATGCTCCGGAAGTCTCGGGCGATTTGCCAGCCGACAGCACAAGTATTACAAGAACAGTTGATATTTTAACGCATGTGCAGTCGGAATAATATGACGAACTGACGAAGTGGTCAAATACCACTAGCACACTTCGGGATCGGCTTATTCATCGTTCACGCAATTTCCACCTAGAGACCCCTGCGGTCGCTCAACCGATCTTAACAACCTTCAATCTATCATCTGATTCTATTTGAATATCTTCAGTACTAGCCAGTACATCAACTCCTCATCCTGACATAATATTAGATGAGAATACGAGTGCCGAAATGAGCAGTTGATAAGTTTGTGAAGTGTTGTTTTTGTTCGTGGCATAGCGTCATGTATGAAAGGCTGTAACACGGCCTGAGGTCATTTCAAGGATCTAATCCTATGCTATTTTGTCTCTGGAGGCATCTCCGTGCCGTTCTTTAGACCAACCTTTTACGACAAAGGCTCTTCTAATGCTGGAGATAGTAACCATAGCCTGAAATTCATCCCATGCCATAGGAATACAATTATCTCCTCGAGATAGAGGCCGGTTTTCTCAGATAGATGATCACTGAGGATTTCTATTATTAGGGGCGTCTCAGTTCGCTTCCGTCCTACTCGGGTTTCTGGTTCGTATATGCCCCCAAATTGTCTCAAGTTTTTACGGGAACTGATAATGGTCTGCCTGCTGCGTTCAGCCCATTCAGCCATGCCAGATATGGTGAAAGATTCACTCTCAGAAATAGATCCTCGTCAATTCAATACAGAATTAGAAAGACTTCCTCTAGATTTATACTAGGTCTAGTATAAGGAGTCTGTGACAATCTATAAGTAAGATGGATCGCTAGTAGCGAAGAAAACGGCGGCATCAACGAATAACAAAAATAATTATGAATCTGTTCGAATCTTCGGGCATAAGATCCAGCGGCACCTGAGCTAGGATCCAAGTTTCAACAGCTTATTATATATTTCTACCTTCTCTGACAAGAGGAGCGCAGAGAACTAGATGCTTAAAAGAAAGAACCGGTTTGGGTGCCGAGACTGCCAAATAATCGAGATTAATGTTCCGGGTGTATTGCAAGATCAGGGGTCGATTTTTCATGCCCAGGATATATTGGATGCCCTGTCGTTGCCGATTCCGTGACCATCATCGGCTCGTGTCGCTGATGAATACCTTACTCACTTCGGTGTCCTCCCTGAACACATTGGCGAACGGCAAAGTGTGGACGAGGTTGAAATGGGTAATTTTTTTTCACTTCCAGCTATGCAGTATATACTGCAAGCATAACGATTCTGTCGTACTGACATTGCTACTGTATAGCTCGAAGGTTGTCACCCCCCATGTTACAGGCCGTGGCTTCTCCAGAACTCATTGCGTGGCTGGGAGGGATGGGACTATGATCAAGTGCTCGGAATCGGTGGATCCGTCCCACGACAGGTCCTGGAGATCGACTGCTCTAGGCGATATGTATTAGCGGCACTCACTGAACAGAGTTCGAGAAGCAATGAAATAATACAGGCGGTCGCGTCAATTTGGAGCCGTAATGTATTGGTGACGGATAAATTTGTGTCCTGCCAAGTACAACCTCCACCATGATTGGCCCACCATCTCCACCTTGACATCAATGCGAATCCACCGCGGGGTCTCCAAGCAGTTTTGCCTCTCACCCAACCTGTCAGGACTTCAATCGCAACATGTCACCCCAAAATGCCCACGCGAAAGGCATGCTCGGCGCAAACTACAACGAAAAACTCACCTGGATCAACCACGACGAGCTCCGCGCCGTCAACGCAAAATGGATCCGCGGCTTCGTCGACATGCACCTAATCAACAGCGAACAGCTAGACCAAGATCCAAATTTGAAAGCCCTGTTCGGTGCAATTGACGCCGGATTCAACACGATCCTGAGCTTGAAATGGGATTTTACGAACCTCGACTTCCCGAGATCAGGATCCCCGGAAGTCGACACAGAATTGCGGACCCTGAACCGCGTGCTACCTCTCGTTTTGGGAAAGGTTGATATCCTCGTCATTGGGAATGAACCTTTCATTGAAGCGAAAGAGGGGCAAAGGGGTGAGCGGTTGAATGTCTTCTATGAGACCATGGCGAGCGCCGTTATCGAGCGACAGCGCGGTTCGTCAACAAGATTGTACATGGGCGCGCTGAATCGGCTTGACCTTCCGGAAAAACGGACACCAGCTATACAGCGCTTTTTGAACTTCATTGCCTCAACGCCGGAACTCGATGGTGTCGATCTGCATCCCCATATGATGACGTTTGAAGGGCATCGCAGTATGCTGGAGTACTCTCTTGCCCGCATTCGGCCTGATCAGACCTTCCTCGCGACGGAGTTCACGATGGTTTGGCATTTCAAGAAGCATATGGGTCATGCAGCGCCGCCTAAGTTTTGTGCGAAGTACGGGTTGGCACCTGGGATGAAGAATTTCCAGGTTATTGATGCCGCCATCAAAAATCCGATGACGTTTGAGCAGTGGCAGGAGTATCTCACTCTAAGTCCGTGGTATATGCAATTTCGGGTCTTCATTACAGATGCAATGAGGCTTTATCGCTCCACTGGAAGACTGGCTGTCGCAACATACGCATTGTGTCCGATGCGCATGCGGAAACACCCGTTTAAGGAGGCTGATACGCCGTGGATGTTGAATGGTGTTTATGCGCCGTCGACGGTCAAAGTAAAACCCGATGGATCGCGGTATGAGAATTTTCCGTGGGCGGAGGAATTCCGACGTGCTCAGCAGGCAAATTGATTTGTTGTATTGAAATGTAATTATCCTCGTATATAAATTACTCCGACTTGGGCGGCCACTTCACCCGTCTCTCGGCCCGCACATACAAATTATTCGGCCTGATCAACTGGAACATCGGGTCATACTCGACGGTCCCACTCTCCTCCTGCGTAAACTTATACCTATACAGCAACTTTGGCAGGAAAACCTTCACCTCCTGCAGGGCAAAGTTGAACCCGATGCACATGCGTGGTCCTGCGGCGAAGGGAATATAAGCTGCCTTGTGACGATTCTTCACCTCGTCTGTCTCCCAGCGGTCTGGGTCGAAGCGGGCAGGGTTGTCCCAGACGTTCGGGTTGTTGTGGATGTGGTGAAGGGCGGGGATCACGACGGAGTCGGCCGGTAGCTTGTACCCACCCGGCAGGATCATGGAGACCTTTGCGGTGCGTGCGGGTTGGTAGGAGGGGTTGTGGCGGCGTTGGGTCTCTTTGATGAAGCGGTCCATGAAGGTGAGTTTGTCGGTGATGTCGGCTGTGATGAGGGTGTCCGCGGTGATGTCGTTGTCGATTAGTTCTTGAAGGAGACGTTCTTGCATTCCCGGGTAGGTGACCAGGGAGTAGATGAGCCAGGAGAGGAGGGAGGAGGTTGTTGTGAAGCCGGCGCCGGTGGCGACGACGAGGGCTTGCATTAGGCTTGTTTTGGGGAGTTTTTCGCCTTTGTTGTCTGTGGCGCGGATGGCGTAATCTGGGCAGTCAAGTTAGCTCTCTGTCTTAGGGTTAAAAGTGAGTAGATGGGATGGATGTTTGAAAGTAGTACATACCGACCATGTTCGTTGCCTTCAGGGCAGCGTCTTGCAAAGGAAGATCCTCTACACCACCACTTGATGCGTTGGCGATTGACTCATTGACCATCTCGATAATGCGCCATCGAGCATTACGCAGCTTCGCCGGATCACCAAACGGCATCTTCGCATACCAGTCACCCCACGCCGCAACCTTCTTATTCAATGTCAAGGATTCAGCAATGCGATAGACCAGTTCGTGGGGCGGGGCATTCGGGGAAGTGAAGTGCTTAAAGTCAATTCCAAGAACCAACTTTCCAACAGCCTGCGAACCCAGCTTCAACATATACTGATAGACGTTCCAGGCCTCGTCCTGCTCGTCCAACTCGTCGAAAACATTAAATGCGTCCTCGACAGTCTCCTGCATCGTCGGCGCGTAGTGTCGCACCGCCTTGGGACCTAGTGCAGGGGGAAGGAACTTGTGTGCAGCGCGCCATTCCGGTGTATCGGTGTCACCGAGGAACACACCGGCTTCCTGGTTCTTGATCGGGTGCAGAGGGTGCGCCTCGTTGATCTTCTTCGTGAAAAAGTCTGATTCGGAGAAGACGATGGCGGAGAGGGTGGGGTCGTTGGTATGGTAGATTGTGCGGCCCATGTTGGTTGTTTGGAAGATGGGGCCGTACTGGTCGAAGAGGCGCTGGTGGTTGCCCAGGTGGTCGGGGTAGATCTCGAAGAAGTTGCCGACGAAAGGGAGGCCCTTGGGTCCGGGGATCTCGCGGACGGCTTTTCCATCGATGCTGATTGCGATAGGGTCCTCATTGGCCAGGATCTCGGTGACGCTGGTCAGTGTTGAGTCCGAGGATTGAAAGCCGATTCCTTTATACGGGTTAGTATATACTGCATCTGGTTGAGTGCGCAGGTCACATACCATTCGGCTCAACAATGGCGAATTGACCCGCAACGAGATGCTGCAGGCTCTCAAAATCTAAGCTCGAGTCCACCTCGACATACTGAGCGGACGAGTTAGGCTCGCCCAGCAAATGAAATAACTTGCCCGACATGATGATATCGCGATGAAGCGGAAACCGAAGGAATGCGAGAATTGACGGAGCCCAGTATATTTATAGCAGCATTGCGCACACCCAGCATCTTCGGGATGTCCATGTTGGCCTCCGACGACTCCACTGGGTTATCGCCAAATTTATTCGCGCATAACTTGCGACATTTTCATAGTGCAGGTCGCACTTACAAAGTCTGGGTTGGATATGCGCGTCTGTTGTGCCTCGGCATTTTCACCTCGATCACGACTCCACTTGTCGAATTGAGCGATGATCGGCGGAGCTAACGTGATGAGACGGCGGTTGAGACTGTCAACGATATTTTTACCGCTTGAAAGGAGAAATAGGGGAGGTTGAGATTAGACAAGTCAATATGGTTGCAGAAAATCAATATTGCCGTGCTGAACTTAATTGAACCCCGTAACAACGTCGCCATCGCGCCCGCGACACCTTCAACGTCTTCAACGCCTTCAACGCCTGCAACGATCGGACATTCACTCGCCCCACCGCGTCCAAGGTTAACTCGGTGTCAACCTACAAAGAGACGTAAACTTGTTCCTAACCGGGAATGGTCTCTCGGGACCGCAATTAACTCGGCATCGGGAAGCCGTGCCGTTTGCGGGCCCCGACCGAGTCTAGAAGAATTGTTGGCCGAGGTTCAATAGCTTTTTGAAATGCAACAAAAGAGAGTATTTTATGCATCGTCCATGGATACCGTGTCGAGTCTGCCTTTGGAGTATTTGATTTGCATCCACCCGGACCAGCGATATTTTCGAAGGTTTCAGGTTTTCTTCATCTACCGCATCCCACCAAGGACAAAATGGTCGAGGCGAAGGAGCTCAAGGCTCAATGGCAGACTCAAACCGAGCTGCCCGAGTATACATTGAAAGATGTCACGGCACATAACAGCAAGAGTGATTGCTGGATTGTCATCCACGGACAAGGTTGGTCCAGTTGCCTTTGAAGTGCACATTTTCTGACTTTGACACAGTCTTCGATATCACCGAGTACCTGCAAGACCACCCGGGCGGCGCAGAGGCCCTCGTCGAAGTCGCAGGCAAAGATGCCACTGCCGAATATGAAGACGTCGGCCACTCAGAGGATGCGCACGAGATCATGCAGCCCTATCTGGTCGGCACGCTGAAAGATGCCCAGCAATATGTGCGCCCCAAGTCCGTCCGCGTCGTGTCTCAAAAGACCGAGGAGAAGAAGCTTTCATCGTCTTCCTCGCTACGCACCCTCGCCGTCGCAGCTAGCGCCCTCACCCTCATCCCAGCCTACTTCGTCTGCAGCAAGGGAATCAACTTCCCTCGTCACCCCCACCAAATCCACACCCTCCATCTCCCGCGCGGTGGCTTCGTGAATGGCTTCCTGGCAGCCAGCATCATTTGCGGCTCCATCGGCGCAGTCGTCGCCAAACAGGCCAGCCGCTTCACCAAGATCGAATCCGGCTTCATGCGCTACCCGCCACGTATCAAGGCGAAGAAAGTCATCCGCGACGACCCGCACTTGACTCGCGGCTTCCTGCAGCCACAGACCTACCAGCGTCTTCCACTCGTGGAGAAGACCGCCCTCTCACCAAACGTCTATCGCTTCATTTTCGCTTTGCCCGACTCAACCAGCGTCCTGGGTCTCCCCATCGGCCAACACGTCGCCATCAAGGCTGGAATCAACGGTACAACCGTCACAAGATCCTACACGCCCACCTCCAACAACCTCGACAAAGGCCGTCTTGAGCTCGTCGTGAAATGCTATCCGGACGGTCTACTTAGCGGCTACCTCGCCAACCTCTCTATCGGCGACGAAGTCGACTTCCGCGGCCCTAAGGGCGCAATGAAATACACTGAGGGTCTTTGCCGCAGAATCGGCATGGTAGCCGGTGGAACGGGCATTACGCCCATGTACCAACTCATCCGTGCAATCTGCGAAAACGAGTCCGATACCACGGAGATTAGTTTGGTTTACGCCAACCGCTCCGAGAGCGATATCCTCCTTCGCGACGAGCTTGAGAACTTTGCGAGACGGTATCCGAAGAACTTCAAGCTGTGGTATATGCTGGATACGCCGCCCGAGAATTGGAAGTATGGCAGTGGGTATGTGGATCAGAATGTCCTGCGCGAGCAGTTGCCGGGCCCGGCGTCTGAGACGAAGATTTTGCTTTGTGGGCCGCCTGGCATGGTCAGTGCCACTAAGAGAAATTTGGAGGCGTTGGGTTTTACTAAGCCTGGTTCGGTGTCGAAGATGAGCGATGAGGTTTTTTGTTTCTAGTTTGACCTGGCAATACCGAGCCGAGGCTGTTTCTGCTTTGTTTCTGCATAAAGGTGCTGATGGGGTTCTTTTCTTTTCCTTTTGTGGGGCACGTGGACCAATTATCGGTCTAGCATTCGTCAGGCTCGGAGCTGTCCTAATGCGTTATGCTCGGGTCCAACAGAACTTGGATAACAAGATAGGCAATAAAATGTTGCATAAGGCTTAACCGTGAAGGATATGATCAAAATTCGAAGCCTAGTGATCGAAAACTCCGAGACGAGGCCACTCGTCTGATGATATATGCTTTCGTGAGCCCTACATTTCGATATGAGCGGGCTTAACGGAGCGCTATATTCCCACAGTTCATGGGAGTGTTGTGTTGCAGGCTATTGATGGTGGACCAGGCCAGCACGTCTGCGAAATCGAAGTCGAAATGATATTTGGTACAGGGGCCCACTACACAATTATCGCCGAAGACCTACTTCTCCTGATTTTCGACAATATCTTCAGGAACCCATCCATGACCCTTATCGCTCACCCGATTTTGCGATTGTACAAGTGGAAGCAAGAATTGCGCTTTCAAACCATCTTATTGTCAGCCAGGCTATCGCGAGAATTGTCCCAGCATCCCGAATGCCCAATGGCAATGCTTGCATCGTATTTGGACAATCATCATGCATAGACCAACTCAACCTCCAGCTGATTCCTCGCTCCATTTTGGTGGCAAAGGGCGAGCATATCTCAGAAGACATATCTCAGAAGACATTTGGGACGACATTCAAGTGACTGAATATGTCACCATTGATGGTGAAGTCATTTCTGTTTAACTTCATCTTTATCCCGCGCCCCTTGAGGGGATGTACACGGAATCTATTAGCACAGAAGTTTTGCCCCTCTCTGTCGTCGAAACTTCTATTATCTGAAGCAGCCACAAATTGCTCGTATCCCAACTGTTGAGTCATGGTATGAGTTACAGTTCCCCTGACCTCCCATTGGTGGATATCTAGCTCTCCTGCTCCTCACCGCCCACTGCCCATTTCCTTTCCTCGTGCGACATTCTTCTCTTCCTTCCTCTCTAGTTAGGTAGTTAGCTCCATTGATCGCCTCTCTCGTGCATGTCCTGCCCAGCTTGTAGCCTCTCTACCAAGGACGACTCCTACCGATCAGCGAAATACTCAAATAGCGATTTTCTCCAATCTGCGAAAGTATAGACTAAACGGGAATGCAAAATTACCCAAGCCTATCTGCTGCAACTTTGATGCCATACCGGTAGTTAATGATGATTTATGATATGAAAATGCTGACTAAGAGATCTTGAGGAATCGGCCAATCAGAATGCATATTTCGACAAGCACCCAAGTTGCAATAGACTTGAGGTCTTGATTGCTTGGGTGATTCATCTTGACGAAAAGGACTTCTTTAAGTAGCTAATCTAGCAAAAGCGGTTGGCGTATTCGAGATAAATCAGAATGGAATAACTCACAGTAAATCAGAGAAGACAACAGGCCACGGCCATATAGCCGTATAGAGGTACATGTCTACTGCCTACTGGCACCAACTCATCTACCACAATGAGCAATCATATAAAGCCTTCGCTTTATATTATTCAAATTGTTGATATTACGATAGTGGAGCAAGACAGCTGGCTATGTCTACAGCTCAGCCCGATGTCCTCTACTTAGAGGGTACTGCCGGGTCTTACCTTCTAGTTCGCGGTGTCAAGCCTGCCCACCCTACTCACTAACCGCTTCCCACCTACACTACTCGATATCCCACGTCTGATCCCCCTCCAGTATCGCAGTTGCTTCCTCCCCCTCACACAGGATCTCCGCATTACGAATCTCCCACGGCAGCAAAAACCCACCCTTGAAACTCGACCAGGCGATATCTCCCAGCGCCGCCGTGTCTGTAGGCTCGAAATGCTGCGGACAGATGGGCGTCTCGAAATGCTTGAATAGCACCGCCCGGCAATTGAGGTCTGTTGGCTGGCCTAGGCACAGCACTGAACCCGAGAGACCCTCCATCTCTGTTCCATCGTGCATGGCTCGCCAGAGCAGAGCCACCGACTGCGTGCGCGACTTGCGGTCCCAGAGGTATTCCGTTCCCTCCACCACGGCTTTTTGCATTGTCCCGAATAGATCATGTCTGAATCCGTCTCGACTGGATCCTGTGGCTCGTCGGTGAGTGCGCTGAGGGCCATTGCGAAGGCTGAGTGTCCGTCTAGGGCATCGCGGTACTCGCCCCAGCCGATGATTTTTGGTGCGCGAGGTGGATTTGAGACACGGGGGAGGCGGTCGCCGGTTACGATGGAGGTGTCGTGGTGGATTGTTTGAGGGAACGTCGAGGCGCGAGCGATATGGTGGTCGAATGTCGTCGTTGACATGGCCGATTTTCTGCGGGCATCAACTCGAGTCGTCACCAGAGGGAGAAGAAAACGCACACCTTTTTTGGGTCCTGCACAAACCAGACGCTTTTTCCGAGCGGCGATGCCACCGCCGTCGTCCCCACCCTGATGAACTCTTTCAGCTTCAGCGCGGTCGCTTTCGAGAACGTCGCCTTCGTCTTCGACAAGAGACTCGCCTCCTTCCGTGCCATGTTCTCCTGCGGCGTCTTCACATCCACGAACGCGTGCGTCGGCACTGTGATACCTTCAGAATCATCGGCGAATTTCAGCTTCAGACCCAACGGCGTCGCAGTATCACTGCCCTCTGCGGAATCTGAGACCGCATTTCCGCTGTCGACGACCGTCTGTGTGGGATAGTGCACCGCGACATCATATCCCAACCTGAGCAGGCCAAACGAGGGCACACATCCCTCCAACCACGACGCCTCGATATCCTTGTAATCCCGAAACAGCACGATGATAAACCCCGAGATGAGCACGCGCGCTCCAATCGCCGCAGGGAAGAACCGACGGAGTATCTCGAGTTCTGACGCTGGCAGAAACCGTCTCGGATTGATGCGCCGAGGCAGAGGGTCTCTCTGACTCCCGCTATATGCCTGCGACAGCTGCGGCAGCAGGAATTCAGGGTGGATGTGAATCTCGCGGCCGGCGGCGTGGGTGTCGTACACAGGCACATTTGGCCCAATACTCACGCCCCAGATCTTGTTCCCGTCGGCCTCGGTGGTCTCGTATACGAATGGACATGGCGCAAGGGAGCGGTGGTGTGTGCGAAGGAGGCATTCGTTGCCGAGGTGGACTCGCGTTTCCTGTAGAGCTTTGGCGACTGCGATTTCGCGTGGGCCCCACTTGTCCGAGTGCGTTCCTAGAGGAAACTGTCAACACTACGATCGCAATCGCGATTGCTTGCAAAGCAGTGCTGCGAAATGGGAATCCGACTCGTCACTAGGTCCATCTCCCAGGGCGAGTGGTGGCCCGGCTTGATGCTATCCACGCAGTCGGCGGGGATCGGCGGGTATGGGTAGGAGCGGGCCATCATGAGATCTACTCTCGATTCGGATCCCTGCAGGAATGCGCGACGAGCTGGAGGAGGCTGGGAGGGCCCGGTGGGCCATCGACATTATGTCAAGCTGAGAACTCGGACCCGCTCTGACAGCCACGGGCTGGGTCGATTCCGTGCCAATCAGTGAAGACGGATATCAACAAATGTCAACAAACATGACTGTCATAGGGGATGAAGCTAAAGGGGTGCGTCTAGCGATGACGAATGCTGTGCTGCATCTGCCACGCCCTTTTTGCCTCTTGGATACACACGCATCGCAAGAACAGGGAATGAGTGACGCAACAAGCGGTCAAGCGTCGCGCGTGGGTTTTGATCAGATTCTGCGCTGACCATTGTGAAGAACCCCATTTCCTCCCAGTGGTTGCACTACAGGCCGTAGTGCGCTGGGTCTGCGCCAACTTGCCAATCCCAGCCCGATCGGCGCCCGCCAATCTGCGCTATTACATCGCGATCGTGCCGATCTCGCCAGCTAGACTGAACTCGTCGTGAACGATGGAGTCGACAGGCGCCATTATCCCCACGTCTGTCCAATGATGACCCGCGATGAGATCTGTCGATCGGACGCCCAGCTGAAGATTGGTCTGCAGGAGGACCATGCTAGCCCTTGTAAATTGGTTCCCCCGCCCCTCCCGTGAAGCTCTTTTTCTTCTGTTTACCCTGAGACACATACTGTATACCTCTGGCAATCGATTCTCATCATGTCAAACGAGATCCCCGGTCCGCCCGGCGTGCCGCTTCTGGGTAATATTTTTGATGTCAATCCGAATGAGACCTGGAATTCGCTGAACAAGCTGGCCAAGGAATATGGTGAGTCGAGCTGGGCGAGCTGAGCTGAGCGAGCTATTCTAAAGAGCTCTGTACCAGCTGGGTGAGTGCGAGTGCGAAGCTAACCACACAACTGTATAGGCCCCATCTTCAAGATCAATGCCCTCGGCCACCAGATCGTCTTCATTGGCAGCGTCGCTCTCCTCGAGGAAATCTGCGACCAGAAGCGCTTCCGCAAGTGTGTGACCGGCCCCGTTGTTGAAATCCGCTACGCCGTCCACGACAGTCTGTTCACGGCTTACGATGATGAGAAGAGCTGGGGCATCGCCCACCGCATCATGGCGCCCTACGTCACCCCCGAGGCGACCGACGCCGTCTACAAGGACATGATGGAGGTTGTCCCCGACCTGACCAACAAATGGACCGCCAGCTCCAAGCAGCGCGTGCTGGCCACCCGCGACCTGGACGCTATCCTTGTCGCCTCCTGCAACAAATGCTTCTTCAACCAGCGCTACTACAGTCTGGACAAGGACAAGGACCAGAAGAAGACCCTCAACATGGTCGACGCCTTCGAGGGTGCCACCATGGAAGCCATGAAGCGGCCCACCCGCCCCAAGCTGCTCAACTGGCTCTACCATAGCAAATTCTCGAACCAGACCAAGTTCATGCGCAACTACTGCGCGGAAATCGTCAAGAGCCGCAAGGAAACCCCCTCGCAGGTCCGCAAGGACTTGCTCGACGCCATGCTCAACGGCGTCGACCCCGAGTCCGGCGAAAAGCTCAAGGACTCCCAGATCATCGACGAGATTATCTCCATGTACATCGGTGCCGCGACGGCCGCTAATCTCCTCTCTTACGCCCTGTACTACCTGATGAAGAACCCTGAAGCCAACAAAAAAGCCTGCGAGGAAATCGACCGCATCGTCGGCGACGGGCCCCTCGAGCTCGAGAAGCTGAAGCAACTCCACTACGTCGAGGCCTGCCTGCGCGAATCCATCCGTCTCTCCGCCACCGCCCCCGGCTTCAACATCGAGCCCATCCCGTCGGAAAACAAGGCCCCCGTCATGCTGGCCGGCGGCGAGTACCAGATCCCCCACAACCAGCCCATGATCGCCATCCTGAACGCCGTCAACCGTGACCCCGCCGTCTTTGGCGAGGACTCTGAGGAGTTCCGCCCCGAGCGCGTGCTGGGTGAGAAGTGGGATAAACTCCCTGCGGCTGCGAAGAAGGGCTTCGGTAATGGCAAGCGTGAGTGCTTTGGTAAGGTCTGGGCTTGGCAGTGGTCTTTCTTCACTCTGGCCAGCATTATCAAGGAGTGCGAGTTTGAGCTTGCGGATAAGAATTATAAGTTGACTTCCAATGGCGCGTTTAGCATTAAGCCTCTTGAGTTTAATGTTCTTATGAGTCCCCGGAAGAAGTGAGTGAGCTCCTGCTGAGGTAATGTGATTGGGGAGTGATTCATGCTTGGATCAAATTGTATTGGATATGGATTTTGGTTAGCGTTACGACTGTCAGTAATGAATTTGTCTATATGAATCGGATATCTCGGATTGAATGAGTCCCATGTTTACTTCACCTCTCTCTTGCGCCGAGTTCACAGCAGACCACTGTGCTCAAGTTTAGAAGATGATTGTTGCTGGTGGATCACGTGATGCAACCGGACGACATTGTTTGAATTTCCTCCTTCTCCCTTTCTCTTTTCTTCTCTCCTTCTCCTCTGTCATTCCTCGTATGGCCTCTCAGTGGACCCATTCGAGACTGACCATTCCCTCACTTCCTGCTTCCTCGAGGATCTGAGTTCGCACCGAACACAGTCTCGCTTCAACCAACCGAGATGTGATATATCTAGATCCCCGCAATCCTACGACTGACTTGCAAAACACTTTATCGGAACTTCGTCAATGGCATCGCAGAAGCGGTACAGCTAAGCTTTCAAAATTTTTCTTGGTTTCCTTGCCACCCATCCACCTACAAACTGGGAGCGTGATGAGCTTTAGTCGAAATCTACGAATATCTGTGATCGACACAAGATCTATTCTGGATTCACTCACCTCCCTGAAAACAGCTCTGCGCACAAAGCATGCGATGAAGGGATAGCACTACAGTGGATTCGACATGGCTTCTTTGCTACACGAAAAATAAAAAGGGCAGTGAGGTACATCCTGTTGCAGTCAGACAGTTGCGCGATCAATGCTTTGTCGAGATAAGGGCAGCATACTTGACTCATCGGACGATCACCGTGAAAGTGACGGAAAGCGATCGGCAAAATTGCTTCTTCAGCTACCATGTGAAGAAGATAGTGACGATAAACGTTTCGACATACAAAACGTGGCTTGTCTGCGTGGTGTTCCAAGAGGATCAAACAACCGGGTGATGGCGACGAAACCTCATGATGCTGGAATCATCATTTCAATTGAAAATGCAATCAGTCGGTGAGTGGGCCAAGAATTGGGCGGCACAGACTATACATCCCCTGTGTACACTGCTTCGAGGCAATGGACACCTCGGTGGCAATGACAGGACATTCTAACGGAAGAAATTCCATGTGGGGCAAGTCGTGGCACCTTTCGCTGCGAGTGCGGACAGGGGGATAGTTTTTTAAATTGACCGAAAAACACTGACAACGGCCGGCGTACCACATCCGATGCTCAGCGAAAGATGCTAGCAGACTTGCTGAAGACAGACCTCAAGCAAGAACGAGCAAGCCACAGCGAGGACTGACATTCCACTCATGTATGCCTTGGAGACTCTACAGGAAACATGGGACACGCTTTGCATGTTACGAGAGGACTGGGCAGAATTTTGGTATTTAATCGGCACCATAAGGTGCCACATCGAACGTCCTGACAAAAGCCCATCGAGGGCATCACGGTTAGGACAGGTTCGGGTGCTCAACAATGAAGATCTATGCCGACTACGGAGAAATGCATTGTTAAGTCCTGGTACCCATTTTTACCAATTCGTTATCTCGGTCTGGACAGAACGCGCAACAGCCATATGGTTGTTATTCTCCCTGGCAAGGTTGAGAAGTACAGAGGAGGACAGAAAAGGCTACTTAAAAGAAGGGAACTCTACGTGAAATGGTTGGGTGGTTTCCCACTTGAGGCAGAAAGCCTTCGTCTTCAAGTGTGGAACCCGGCCTTTCCTGCAAGAGTCCAGATGTCTTGAATTGTTGTCCTCTCGGTCGCGTTGAACTTTACATCGTCGGCCTGGTTGGATCTGGCTCGTTACCATCCTCGTTTGGAAAACGCAAACGTCTGTGTGACCGACGCACCACTGCCCGGTGGTAGGCATTCTAGCCGTCTCTTTGTGGCGTCATTTCCTGAGATCGTCATGGATACTTTCATCACCGAACGCCAAACGTGAAAGTTGGAAGTCACGGCATAGTATGCCATCCAGCTGGGAAGCTTTCTTGTTTGAATACGACAGTGGCTATACTTTCTACCGGGGTGTCCGTTGAACGGCTTCGAAGGAGTTCTTTTCCAGATCAGCGATATGGGCATCGAACCTGTCCTAGTTCCGAATACCGAATATCTTCACCAAAGCATGCCTATATCCATCACAGTTCTCGCAGAGACATGCAGACGAACAGACAAAGATGGTGTTCGAGCTAGGGGCATCAAATGAGGGATCGGCTTGATACAAAGGACACTTGAACAACCATGATCTCAATGTTGAGGTGCAAATTGTGGGTGCTCCAATCTGAGAGCTTTTGTGCATTTACTTTCATCGGCCCGCGTACCGAAGCGAGGAAACCGGAAATCCTTGTCTGTCCCGCTATCTTTCCAGTCGGGAACATTCTAATTCCCTCATCTACCCCATATTTGGTTGACTTGGGTGGCTTCTCATTGTTCCTGCAACCGACCGAGAATTGCGCAGTGGACATGATTTAGCGATCATGTGTCGTGTGACTAGAGGTGCAATTGGGCCCCTGCACTTTGTGATATTTCCTTATTCTCAAGTGCCTGCGTTGATGACAGTGCAATTTTCATTTCGATCTTTTTTCGCAAGGAGAGTAAAGCATCGGCATGGCGCATATCTGTCCCAAGATCTTCTCACAATACCGGACGATCAGATGTTGTATCTTTGTACTGACTAGTTCAGGCTTGGATATTTGCACTTGCTCCTGCTTTCTTCGAGGGTTTCTGCCATATGCAGTACCACTTCACGGAGTGGCGTCCTTATCACATGGTTCGCAAGTACGCGATGGCCTCCCAAGCCGAGAACCACTGGTCAGTCAATCATGATGCCCTTTACACCTGCTACGGTTCCCTCTCTCGTTTTGCGTGTCGCCTGCATTTCCGGGATTATAATTTGCGCGAAGGAGGCTATGCGAACAAGAGAAAGCAGCACTCGATGTGTAAAGGCTTTTCTTTCTCTTGCCATGGGGCAGGGCGATTCCCTTGACATATTGTCGGGAGGTTTTGTCACAAGTCGCACATATTCTCTGGGTTCGATGTTCGTGCCAGATTTATGCGAGTATGGTCGAGATGACTTTATCACCCTGCCGCATCGAGTGGAACCAGAGGAGGATGTTGTTCTGGCTTTTCATATTTACTAAGCTCAATCTTGCGACCGACCGGCCCCGTCCAAGGTGTGCCGGCTTCTATATTGCCGAAGATGTCAATAACGCGGCCCTTTTGGGGGGTATAGGGAGCGCGGCTTCGTACTGGATATTCAGCCCTATATTCGGAGTTGCCTTGGAATGACATCAACAAGATGCTGTCCCTAGGGGCTATGACCTCTCAAACAAGATATGGGATTGTTCCCGGAGGCAAGCAGCCTGCGGCTAAAACATGATGGATGCCGTTAGGAGAATTTCTGGGTGCTACAATGCTTTATTGCACAAGCTCACCCAGAAGCAGGAAGTGCTAAATAAAGTGGCGATATCCCCGCGGTCTGGCAGAAGCGTGCAAGAATTTTTACCCGAGTTGTCCTGTGTCCAGTCTATCACAAGAGTATGACCGCCTTGGCAGGAACGAAACATCAATATGTAGGCTTTGCCAAGTAATTCTGGCCAATGAGAAAATGTCCAGAACAATCCGGCTCTGGACACGGCGAACACCCTTGCAACAAAGCCATCAACCCGAGTTCCATTAGCGACAGGTGGGTAGCTAAGCAGGGAATTGGGCACGAGTACCAGATCACGCTCAATTGAAGGTTAGAAATACTGCTGCTATCCCCGCACGGGTCAGGGTATTGACAATCCAAAAATGACAACGGGAAGTAAGCCAAGCTCAGAAATGATGCCTCTACGCAGCCGTCGCGAGAAGGTACATATTGCAGACATCAAAAGAATAGCCGACCCCAACCGAGCTCACTGTTCTCTCTTTGGTCAAACATAGCGAAGCCTTGCATCAACACGTCCCCTGCTCACCGGACAAAGAAGACAATTCTATACCCGGCACTCTCATCGATGTCTGCAAAATGTCAGGTGAGATCAATGCGTACCTGGGAGATGGCACTTCTGTCACGCATACCGTACGTTCTCATAATCTTGTGGATCTCTTCATTTGTTCGCGAACGGATATGTTGATATTATCAGTGGGTGAACAGACAAGCACTGGGGACAACTGTCGTCGTCAAGGTGTGTAAAGAGATCAGTACATATTACCCATTATCGGGAAAACAAACACCAGGTATTTGTGCAAGAGGGAATGATTGCATTGCACGGCTAAGCGGATAAGTCTATTGCCGCTCCTTTCATCCGGCCAATGGCGATTTTGAAGAGATAATGCAGCACAGGTCTGCTATTGGCTACGAGATAATCAGGACAATCACGGGGGCCCTTGTCTAAGAGGCTTCCGAGCTTCGGCGAGACCCTGTACTTCAAAACCTCTAGATCAGAAATCACAAATCAACTGACGATCGATCGTGACCAAGCAATAGTGAAGTGAGTCGGCCTGTTGCTAGTTTCATATCGGGTGCCATCCATGTGCTGATCTCTGCGCTCGGGTGTCTCGATGTCTGGTTCGTCGGGAATAGCCTTATGAGGTGCTTCATGTGTTATAGTTTGCTCAGCTTTGTGAATTACTTCCACATGGGCGACGAAGTGTTGCAGGTTCAACAACTTAGGCGATTCTCCAGGGGGTTGAAGCCAGGGTGGGGACTCGAAAATGACGAGACCAGTTCCTGCTTGTTCCTTTCTGGAGTACGGACTGGGATATGCCATGCATCATACTGAGAAGAGCAAATCCCTATGTCAATCGAGTCTATATTCCCTATTAGATTCACTGCCACCCTGAATGCTATCCCCGACACTCCAGTCTCGTGTCGAAAGAGCAGCCGTGGCGAATTTCATTGCCCAGAGTGGACGCTAAGCTGGGACAGATATATGCGAAATACAGCATCGCGGGCAAAGGAATTCGCGCAAGAGAAGATTCGAGCTGCTTGTGCTCAGGAATATTACCTAAAGGTCAGTCACCGGAGTTTAGAACCTGAGGAAGACGAGCGATATTGTCGGTGGTTGGCAAAGAGCTACTGAGCCTGGAAGGTATCTGCGATCATTGGATACGAGGTTACTGCCTCCAACCGGCGTTTCCAATGTTTTTAACCAAGCCTCCATTTTCAGTCTCAACTCACTTGATGGTCCTCAGCTAGAGAGTAACATGGGGAGCACTCTGTTTTCGAGGAATGTTACGCCTAACCGTTTCGTATCCTTTTTCTCTCTGCCCTGCACGATTCCTGTCTGGCCAACACAATTTGGGAAATTATTTTGGAACTATTATACATCATCAACAAGCGGATATCATTACACATATTTTTGTGTTGAAAGACATCCAAGCTGGGGACTCTGTGTACTACGCTGAAGAGCCGACGCCGATATCCCACGTCCTCGTGTCCAACTCGGCTGAAGAAATGTTTAAAAATTGGCCACCTACCGGCATGCACATCTCTGATGAATGGGTGATGATAGCCTGACAGTCTAGGCTCGCGAAGAACCGCTCCAAATTCCCAGATTCTGCTGCCGATGGACACATCAAGCCAACACGACCGAATTTTGGCCGTATCGGGGATGTTTCGAGGAGCCGCAAGAATAATTCAACTCTTCTGATTAAAAGTTCTCTGTGTGGGATCTGTCCGGTTTCCTTGCAGCCTGCTAAACAACTCACGATGCGTTCACTCTTCCAGCAAAACCGATAGTAAGTTTCAATGGCAAATCGGCCTCAACGAGCCCTGCAGGGCTCAGAGACCACTTTTTGGTCGAAATTTTCTCGCACGACAATTTTTATATTAGTTATGTGTTAACTAGTTATCAGGGAAGTCAGGTGATCTCGCGTTGCGTCCCTTGGGAACCCTGCCCCGAAAGACGACCAGTTACCCAGGGATGTAAAAGGCAAAGGCAGGACAGTCGAGGAGCCAGTAGACGAGATAAAGGTTAAAGGTGGTCCGTAAGGTCGCAAGAGATCACGAGGCTAGCGTCGAACCGACACAGGACGATGATGAAGTCGTCTACCTCTGCTCAGGATGACAAGTTCCAGAACCAGCTTGACCATCGCTTACAGTCCAATTAATAGAGGGTTTATTTCCACTCCTTAATTGCTTTTACTTCTTTCTCTTGTTTGGAAGGTCTCACGGACCCCATTTCAAATTCTACCTGCAAAAGTGGTGACGAATTACTCCCGACGTATGAACACATTCAATTTTCAGGAGTCATCTGCTAGAGCCCAATCTTCAAAGACACGACAGAAAGGATCCACACGCGTATCGTAGCAATCAAAGTCCAAATTCAAGGTCGTTGACCAAAAGTCATCTGTCACAAGTTCTTCGGAAGGTGGAGGTTGAGATACATCGAGGCAATAGGTGGTCTCCACAGTTGTACCAGCCCCTGGAAGATGGGTGTCAGCCGCGATATTGACCGTGTCCGTATCCTCTGTGTGGGATTCTTCCGATTTATTCTGATTGTGCAGAGACTCAAGCAGCGAAAATCGAGACGTGGTTTGTCCTTCTTGTGTCCCATGCTGCCGTAGGCTGGCTCTCCAAGTTGCAGTCAGAGACTGCTGGTAGAGAGTATGGCTGTGGCTGGTGTAGAATGTTGTCACGATGTCGAGGTTATCAATGAGTGATTTTATTTCGGATTTCTGTGAAAGAGCATCGTCGGTCAGGTCCTGCAAATAAGGCAAGGGAAGAGGGTCCTCACAATCTCCGCAACAATAGGATAAATCCCCGCCAACCTCTCCAAAAGCCCCACGATACCAGCCAATGACCTCCGTAGCTCGCAATCGCTCGGTTTACAACCTTGAGAGTCCAAATCCCACAAGTTAATCAGGATATTCGCGCACTGGTATGCATAAATCCCCATCGCCTGATCCGTGATACGGCTCATATCAGCCTCCCGCATCGTCTCTGTCCACAATTTGCACATCTCATTCGCATAATGTAGACAAAGTCGTCGACACTCGTCTGCGTATGATGTCGGCACCGTGCGCAGTATGTATTCCGGGATGGATTCCCTGATCCCTGGGATCATGAACCTGTATAAGTCGCAGTGGCATTGGTGCCAGAGAGTGTGCAGGCCAACGTAGCCGCATATGTCAGATGTATAGGCACGGCTGAGGAGGTTTGGAAGGGTATTTTGGAGGTGTGCTGGGAGGCTTGCGATGAACATTTGGAGCTTTGTCGATAGAGCTTGGATTTCAGATCTGGAATCGTATGGGTTGGCCTTGTTGGTGATGATTTGTTTTGTAACTCTGTTTGATGTTAGATGGTACTTTGAGTGCATCTCAGGAACGTACGCTAGCACTTCGTGCCGGATCTGGACGAGTCGAGACATGTGGCCCATTATTCCTATATCACTAACAGACTTGCAGGTTTGTGATGGTGATGTGTTCAGCGGAAATGTTGTAACCGGTATATCCAATTCGAAATTCCTCTCCTCGCAGGGCAAATTGACATGCATGGTCTCGGCATTGCAAAGCGTTAACTCTCCAAACCCACCGGCATAGTATTTATCGAGCATAAAAATCGACCACATAAGGCGTCGGCGGACCTCTTTCGACAGAAAGGGCACATTCCCAGGCGCTTCGTAGTTTAATCGAATGCCGTACGCAATCCGTGCGGCCATCGCTGATGCGGTCCACATATTCGAGATCTTACGTTCCAGCGAGTACCAGCAAATCAGTAGCAGGAGAAGTTGCAAATTTTGTACCTTCATGTCGCCCAATCGTGGAAAGATCTGTGCCTCCACATCCTGAAGCCACGAGGAAACGTAGGTATTATCGGACTGGGGCTGGAGGAAGCGGGAGGAAATACCGCAGACGCAGCGGAGGAAGAGAGGGTCGACAGTGTCGTGATGGAAAGCTCGGAGAAAGGTGGCTTTGTGGAGGAAAGCGTACTGTGGAATCGTGCTGAAGGACCCGAAGTACGCGTTGACGTGGGATTCGAGGAATACTTTGTCACCCGGTAAGTCCATGTTGATGTTTAGATTTGTGCCATGTCTCTTTGGCTCGTAGACTGGCTGGGTCACATCGCGAGTCTTCGGGAAATGAGCCAGAGTGCTAGAAGTTGCGTGTGCATTCGGAACAGCAGTTGGAAGCACTGGGACTGTGATCTGCGACAAGTCCATCGCGTTCTTTTTTCGTCGACTCGGCAGATACTGACAATCTAACCCTCGCTGCTCGCAATGTCGGCATTTCGGCCAGCCGCCGCTGCAGCGCGATTTCGAAGTCCGACAAGGGCGACATGCTTTAAGGCTGCGGCGTCGCTCGATTCCACCGATTGTGTACCTGGTTCGAGAGCCGAAGTGTTCGCGCGCGATTGTTGCAGGAGCATTGTTGGTGTGAGCGGGCATGCCCTGCGGTGGAAGGAACAGGCAGGAAAACTGAAGTCGGCTGCAGTTCGAGCAGCCCGTGAGCTCGCCGTCGCATCGCACCTGAAGAAAGTCCTTAACACCTATTCTTGCCTAGACTCGCTCATAATTGAACCTTTCGCTTTCTACACTGCAGACACGTCTGCTTCTTCGGCTCTTCGGCCATTTTGTCACCCTCAACGCCCATGATGTTGAACAAAAGAACTGCGCCCTCAGTAAATGTCTCAGAGCACAGAAAAACATTTCAAACCAACCAGAACGATGAGCACATGGCTGCTATTTATGGCGAATTGGCCGCGTCCACGATTGGCCCCACGCGAATCGATTCTCCACAAAGGCGCGAATTTACGGCGACTCTTGACACGTTCCCCGCATTTTCCCACGCTTTTTCGAATCTAATACCGCCATGCTTAACTTAATCGGCTTTCGGTCACCGATAGCCGGATTTGGCAGCGGTTGTCGGTCTCTCGTCAGATTGTCTCCGCTTGAGGTCATGGCGTTAGCCTGAGCAGCTTCTTGGATGGGGGTCATCAAAAGTCAGGAAATTCCTGGCGTTCGCGCGATGGTTTGAGCGTGCACCTGCGCTGTCTGCCGTACATTTTTCTGGGTTACTCGCAGTATGTCGGTATCGGTTATCGCAAAGCATTTTAATCGAACGCTAGCGTTGTCGTGTACCCTGATCGCGATCTCGCAGATCAACTATGGGTTTGATAATCAGGCGTTCTCGACGACGCAGTCGATGACTGCATTTACGAAGCAGTTTGGGGACTATGATGCGGAAACGGACGAGTATGCTATTCCGGCGTCTTTCCTGTCACTGTTAAATAGTCTGAACTATATTGGGTTTGCTGTGGGTATGTTTACTGAAGCAGCGGGATGCTGAGATTGACATTGACACTTTTCAGGGTTAATGATCGGGAGTCTAATCAGTCAGAAATATGGGCGTCGTCGATGCATGTTTGCTATGAGCTGCTATGCTCTTGTGACTGCAACTATCACTGTGACCTCCCAGACCAAAGCGCAGATTCTTGCTGCACGGATATTGAACTGTGAGCACCCTTCAACTTCTCCGACAGTACTGAGCTGATCCGTCCAGATATTTATGTCGGAATGGAATTATCTGTGGTACCCGTTTACCAGTCTGAGATCGTGCCTGCTCCAGTTCGTGGCTTCGTGGTCGGCACCTACCAGCTCAGCATCAATGTAAGACGTACACTCCCAATTCAAGATCAACACTGACCGATCTCTAGATGGGAGGCGTGATTATCAATGGGATATGCCGAGGAACTAGTACTATCGAAGGCAACAACTCCTGGAGAATTCCCTTCGGGCTATTCTACGCCATCCCTTCGATCATCCTATGTCTAATCTGGTTCATTCCAGAGGTACACTACTTCGCCAAATCCTGAGTAGAGACCCAGCTGACGCTCTCCCTGCATCTAGTCACCCCGATGGCTCCTCCTCCAAGGACGCACCGACGAAGCCGAAAAATCTCTCAAACGCCTCCGCCACGGGATACTGACCGACGACGCGATCGCAGCCGAGCTAGCCTCCCTAAAGCTCGGCCTGGCCATCGAGCCCGAGAAAGGTGCCTTCACTGAGCTCTTCCAAGGCGTCAATCTCAAGCGGACCTCCATCGTCATTGCAATTAGCTTCTTCCAACAGGCAACCGGCCAAGCATTCGCTAGCCAGTACGGCGCTATCTTCGTCAAGTCCCTGCACACTATTAATACCTACAACTTTACAATCATAACCAGCTGCATCGGGGTAGCAGTTTGCCTCTGGTCGAACTTCTTTAACGACAAGATTGGTCGGCGGAAGCTCTTCATTGCTGGTGCATCGGTTCAAGCTGCGGCTTTATTCACGATGGCGGGTCTGGGAACCGCGAATCCAGTCATACATGGGGAAAGTACAGGTATCGCAGCCATGATGGCTATTTTCGCGGCGGGCTTCGGACTAGGTTGGGGACCGCTCACTTATGTGGTTGTTACTGAGCTACCTGCTTTATCGCTTCGAGATCACTCGCAGCGCGTTGCGTCACTGGTAAATATTGCTGTTAATTTTGCAGTGACTTTTTCCATTCCTTACCTTCTCTATGATGGATATGCAGGTCTGCATTCGCGGGTCGGATTCATTTTTGGCAGTATTGCTGTTGCCGCGTGTATTTTTACATTCTTCTGTGTGCCCGATTGTCAAGGGAAGTCGCTTGAGGAGGTTGATCGGCTTTTCCATGAGGGCATTTCTGTTAGGAAGTTTAAGGGATTTGAAATACCGCCTCTAGATGAAGCGGAGTTGGGCGAGAAGGAGACGAGGAGTGAAACGAGGGCAGTCTAGGTTATCGATCTGCCTAGTCGTCAGGGAATATCTTGTTTCCGGCTTTAACTCTTAAGGAATACATGGTCACAACTCGCGCCATTCTTTTTCTATCCCTATGCCTATACGGAATGGCCTGCTAAGATACTCCGGTGGTTGCAACAAAAGCTCAATCTCGTAGGAAGCGCGAGTGCTTTGTCTATTCCAGCCTATAACTCCGTGTGTCGTAAACATCTGATATAGTACAGCCCACGCAATTACAATATCTATTTGAGAAAAGCCATAGGTGAGTGGTTAATACTCCCCTTTCCTCGCTACTCGATAAATTCAACCTTAATTCTTCCGCACGCCTTCAAATCATTCTGTGTCAGAATCTCAGAGCACTGCCCACACCCACAGTCACCAAAGAAAAGAGCCGCCTGGCAGCAACATAATACTGCTGCGGTGGCGACACAACCATCTGCTTCTCACCAAGCGAGTACTCCAAACTGGAAAATGACTTCAAAGCCTCAGCCTGCGACTCCTGAGCCAGCGCGACCTGCAAATCAACACTCGGCCAAATCTGCAACCTTCCAATTTCGGTCTGCATCATCTGGATCATTATCTGGTCGTCCAATGAAACCGGATAATGTGCTTCCATTTTACAATGAAGACTATTTGCTTCGTACCTGAGGTTTGTCAGTCTTTCCATGGAGCATGCTGAGAATCGGCTCGGACTAAATGCTTTGGTCTGTTCTTCAAGGTAGCCCAGGTTGTTGATTAAAACTGCTAGCAAGCGTTTGGAGTCATTTTCCCAATCCTGTTTTGAGGGTCTGTCTGAGACTTGGTAGAAGTTTATGTTGTTCTGCTCCATTACCAGGTTTAGGAGGAAGCGTGTGTATTTTTGTAGGGACCAGAATGTAGACGTCCACGTAGGACTGGTTCATTTGGGTTAGGGAGGATATTGGGGAGGGCGGGAGAATGGGTAGATCGAATGTCATGGTTGATGATGTGAAAGGGTTATGTGCGAGTGGCTGTGACTTCTGATGAAATTTGTGGTGTGATGTATTCAACGTTTTCATATCCAGGACTCGGCGCATGGCTTGTTTATGTACTGGCCATTTCCACGACCTGGGATGAATACAGCTGGAATAGAATTACTTGATCTTCTCAATGCTCGAAAATAAAGCTTCTTTGTATATTTGAGCTGTTGTGGTTAGCACATTCATGGGCTTTCTATTCCCGTTGCTTTTCCCCATTGTTCCATCCATTTTCTCCGTTCCGAAGCCAGAATTAGACATTCGTCGCAAATATAGCATTACCCCGATCGCAAACAAAAGCTTTGATGGATAAGGTACTGGATTGAGTTGAAGGACTTTTGACTGCTTTCTTAGCTTTGTGTGAGGCCGAAACTCCCCGATAGGCGGCAGGTTGTCTAAGCTGCCGTCGGCGTTCGGGAACCCTCGAGATTGAACATATTCAAAAATAGCAAAAATTTAATTCAAAATCCCTTTGTGGTCGCTCCCATTACTAATTATTCTGATCGCCGCTGATTCAAAGTGACATGTTCGCCGCACATCCCAAATAGGAAAGTGGGTACCCTCAGCGGCCGCGTATGCAATGATGCGGTCATGCGCCACAACACACCAGCCAGTCCTATCTCAGCTGAAAGATATTTCATGATAGTACTGGCGTCTACTATTTGAAGATCTACAATTATTGGAAAAGAATTGTGAAACCAGTCCGGTATTGGTCATGATAAGAAACAAAGTCAAACAAAAAAGGACCAGCCTTGTCTCTATATCCACAAAGAATGGGAGAAAAATACCAACCGGGCTAGGTATACACATTCGACCCCTGCTCGTGTGCACGCGCCTGAAACAGCGCGCTCTAAGTCTATTGAATTGCAAAGCAAAAGAAACTCAAAACCGACACATCACCCACTTAGGAGCTGTAGTCGATGGTGCAAGCCAGACGAACAGCGTCACCAGACAGGTTGCCCCCGATACCACCGATATCAGTCTCGGCAGTGGTGTAGGCGTTGTCGACAGAGGCCGCATCAGCAGTGATCGAAGAGCAGGTGGAACTAAGAGCATCGCACAGGCTCATTCCCTGGACGGGGAGACCCGCGTTCTGGGCAGCGATGGCACTAACGTCGAAGCCAGACCAGCCCGAGTTGCCGGACGAGCCGAAGTCGAACTCACCCCAGGTGGAGGCATAGCCTCCGTTGGAGTCGGTGGGGATGGTAGAGCCCTCGGCAGCGGCCCAGCCACCCTGCGAGTCCTGGTCGAAGGCGATGTACTTAGTGGCGCCGGCGGCGAGGGTAAAGGTCTTGACAGCGTTGCCGTACCAGCCGTCCATGGAACCGTCCTCGCCGTACTTGTTCCAGATCGCAACGGTCCAGTCAGCGGTGCTGGAGCCGGTGAACTGCACGACATATTGGTAGTTGCTGGCCTGGTCGCCGGAGACTTCGATGATGTTGCTGCCGTAGGGGTTGCCGACGTTGCCGGAGTAGGTCACGCCGCTACCGGAAGATGTGGTGACAGCGCCAAAGCCACTGGTCGAGTAGGAGCCGCTTGACGGAATGTTGGTCCAGCCGGAGGAGGCTCCGGACGAGGAGCTGGAGCTGGCCGCGGAGGTGGTGGGAGTCTGGCGGCGGGCGTGGCCCTCGAAGGGACGGGCGAGGGTGCCGGTGGTGAGAGCTGCCAGCAGCAGAATGGACTTGGTGAACTGCATTTTTGTAGAGATTGATAACAATCTAAGGTCAAATGTTGTAGAAGAGAGAGTGGTGGAAGAGTTTCGATAGACAACTGTATAAAGGAATGACAGAAGTATGAAACCTCCTTTTTGGTACTAAAAGAGCGTAGTTTTTTTGCAAAAAGAGAGTGTGGTGTGACAGATGAAAATCTAGGGATGAAATGAGGATATAAATACCTTTCAGACAGACTGGGGGTACGTCTTTGTGGCCCGTTACGTTCGCCTCCGACCAAAAAGATTTACCCCTCGACCCATAAATCCTGTCGCAAGCCACGGTGCCTGGTACCTGAAGCACATCCATGGGCAAATGCACCGGGGTTGCATGTACGTCAGGGAAGAAGGCGGGCTTGTCGAGAGGCGTTCCAGAAGGGCCGACGCCGTGGGATTGACGAGTGTTCCAGGCCATGTCGAAAATGTGGGAGTGGATCGTGGCTTGCAAGACCGTTTGACGATTGGCGCTAAGACTTGGGTCCGCGGTTCGGTGGGGATTGTGGTTGATTGTGGGATCTGCGATTGGCGTACGTGTGGCTGGCGACGTGCAAAAGAGGCGTGTTCGAACGCCTACTGAAGTCGTAATTCGTGGAGCCCCCAGTTTTGCGCTCAATTGTGTTCGTTGGATCGGGTGGGATGGGCCTGGGAATTTTCCATGGTGGAGCGAGAGGGACTACCGGTGTGGTCTCTGGATTAAGTCTGGACATAGCCATCGACTCTTGGGAATCTTGTGATATTCTGGTTATCCTCCGCATTGTCCGTCTGGGACGCCAGGGGCAACTTTCTACGGAGCGCGTGGCGTTTGCCAGTGATGGTATGTATTGGGACAGATAGACAAATTTGTATGTAAGTCTGTATGTGGTTTCGTCAGCCCAGACAAGTGCTGTGTGGAAGCCATCAAACTTTTCAGCTGGAGAGGCGCGAATTCTGGCTAAATGGGCGAGAGCGAAGACACGTAGCACAGCTCAGAATTTAGTACAGTGGGCCTCTTGGCCGGCAAAGGAGTTCGGTGGACGATCCGGCTGTCCGCTGGGTACACTAGGCTCTACGGCTTGGAATCAGCTAGACTTGGCACGAGTTTGCGCGAGTTTCATTGACTTGAAGTTGTTCAGTGCCTAGGCATGTGCACTTCCCTGCCCCTACCCCGACGACGACAACTGCATGTGCAATGCCAATACTTGGACTGCGGGCTGGAATTCAAGACATTGCGCTCTTCCCCCGATGTCGCCAAGGGAGTTACGTGGTGGCTGCTAATTTTGTGCTGATTTTGCAGCGTGCCATGGGCAGTCACCGCATGGTCCAGGGCATGTGAGAAAGTATCGCGATTGGCTGTACAGTCAGCAGAAGCGGGTCTTTTGTGGGGTGGTCTTGGAGTCTCGTGGAGTCATGTGGTGGGTCTCAACGAATGGTGAAGCTTTGCGGATTCTTGGCAGGGCAGGATGTAAAATGCACCAATCAGTCCCTTCTTCTCTGTAACTCAATTTTTAATGGGCGAGCGGACAATTGGCTAAAGTCGGATTGTTCCTGAGCTCGCTTCGCTTCCATGGGAACTTCCTACTTGAATAAGGGTGAGGTGGGGGAGTACGGAAACGAGGTCATCCGAGCAATATTCGTGCGAATGGAAGTAAGAAGGCGATATCTCGACAGAGCACATTTTCGATGAAAGCATGAAAGAAGGCCAAGAATACGGATTGTTCTCATGTGTGGAACTGCAACCCTACATACGCAATCACAAAGAGACCCTCGGCATTCTTTCGGCGATGTTTTGTACAACAGCTTCGTAAGGGCTTGGGAGGGTTGTGGGTTCCCGATCGGGTATCCACAGCCCTCCCAGGTCCGATTAAATACGGATATTCACGACCTGCCATTCTATTCGGCCTTCAGTCCTTATCAGCCCACTTCCTTCAGAATTTTCCCACTTTTTCCAATCGCTATGATACCCTTCGGCGGGGCCGCACACAATAGACCGAGTCTTTTTCTCGTCCCACTGTTCCACTGGGGGTGCGAATGGTGTCTGGTCTCTGTGCGGAAATCTAAGCCGGTTAAATTCGAGGATTGGAATAGTCTAAACTAGATTTTGGAGGGTGGCATGCGATCGGTCTCTTTGTTCAGGCTTGGCTAGGGGATTGATACTTGGAGTTTACATGTGTGCACGTGACCCGAGGTTATAGTAAGGTAGATTATCATAGTAGGGAATGCAGGCATATCCGGGTATATGGTTTAGTGATTAGGGTCTAGATCAGTTACACCCTTGCGTGTCTGGTCTTCTGTAGTCGAAATTCGCGGGGGAGGGCGACCTGATCGGGCAGGTGATCAGCTAAGTGACCGGGCAGATTATCGCGCACGTGAGCGATAATATAAGACGTGATAGTCTTAGGCTGTACTTACCTTATTCATACAATCTGCAGTAGGCAGAACGGGTTAAGAATAGATATGCCTGAATTTCCGGTTAACAATACTGATCACCACACATACCGTGGTGATATCACTAATCATGAAAAACGGCCTCACTTACCTCCTTTACTGGCACCTGCTTTACGCAGTAAGGCCGGACACACGAACCTCCTCCTTCTCCTGGTCCCCGTCCTGGGCCACCGCCTTGGTGTATCGGCGGCGCATCCCGACGACGAAGACGGCCAGGCCAACCACCCACCAAGACCAGAGGATCGGCAGGTCCCGGTGCAGGGAAGGGAAGCAGTCCTCGGTCCAGATGTCCAGCAAGATCTCATAGAGTTCGTGTGCTGGGAATGCATACCCGATGCGGTAAAAACCAGGGGACAGGTTGAATGGAGCAACCGTGCTCGAGACGTTTAAGATGATCCAGGTCAGAATCACAAAGGGCATGAACTTGATTGATACGATAACGGTCACTGCATCGATGAGGAGGAAGTTAATGTGCGCGACCAGCCAGATAGCCATCCAAGTGAGGGCAAACTGATGGCCATTTACATGCCAATCCTCTCGGAACCCCCAGATATAGCCTGCCATACACAGGGACCCGATGAAGGTGTAGGCCAGGGACAGTGCGAATCGCAGGATGACGGCTGCCTTAATTGACAGCTCGCGGTACGCCTTGAATTCCCCAAAGATCCCGTTTAGCGCCATGATGAAGAAGAATTGTTGCAGGATCGGGATGACCATCGTGAGGCTGTTGTAGTAAAAGCGCACACCCTGGTTGGTGGGCTTGATGTCGATGGACGAAGATGAGATCGGGTTAAGGAGTGCCTGGGTAATGAACTTATCGCTGGTGTTGGCGCTCATGAGAGCCGCCGTTCCGTTGCTCTCAGACCATTGAATTCTGGTCGCCTCCACAAGGATCTCTAGGTCGGAGTAAATTGTCTGGGCCTGGGCGGCGTACTTGGCACTGTTCCAGACGTAGGTAAGCGCGTCGGAGCCGTTGTAGTGCTCAGCATACGTGGGCGAGGTAAGAGCCGACGAGAGTCGAGAAGAGGCGTCATGGTTCGCGTAGATGGCTCCCCAGTACTTTCCTTTGCATACCACTTGTCTGATGTCGCTGGGGGTGGGATAGTCAGATGGGCTTTGCTGAGCGATGGTTAGGAAGCCGGGGCTGGCCAATCCGTGGTAAGCTGGCATCACCGAATTGCCGATGACTCCATCGTCGTAATCAACGTAGAGGATCTTGAAGGTGTCCACGCGGGATGAACCGTGGTATGCTGTGCCAAACAGGTATGCCATGTTGGCAAGAAAGAGGATCTGTAGCATTACAAACGATGCCACGAGGGCACCGATGAAGGGCTTCGGAAGCGGCATCCTGAAAAGATTGCAGACAATTCCGAATGATCGAAGTAAGGTGGCTTTTGTCTTTTCAGTCAGATGTGATGTGACTGAGAAAGAGATGAGGATTCGGTGAGAAGGTGTGGATGAGGGAGATGTTGAAGAGAAAATCTGTGCGGGAATGCGTGTGAGCGGACAGTGGGATGAGTGTGACGGAGGGGCGGTGGCCTAGGTCAAGCGAGGCGGCGAGCTCGATACGACAAGCAGTATAGTTGACTGTGTTTTGAGTGCTTGCGGGAAGGTGCTCGGGGTACAAGCTTAGGTGTTACATTCGGGGCAGGAAAGAGACCTATTCATGGAGACTAAATCTCCAAGCTCACACTATGCAAGTATTTTAACATGTATGCATGTTTCTCTACCTTTCTCACTCTATCAAAGCCTCATTCTCAACGACTGCAGATGCCCCTGGTTTTATACAAGAAGCTGCGCAATTATCCGTATGGGTAGGTATCTGCTTTCTTTGAATGATGTTGATGGCCGTCCTAGTGGTAAGTTACATAGTAGTACTTGCACGCAAATACGACATTCCCGTTACGAATGTCCAATGGACTTAATAATTGGGTTAAACAATAGCGGGGCTAAAAATGGAAGGCAGAGCCGTGTATAGAAGAAAAAAGACAAATATTGAGCAACTATAACTAACTAGAGGGATAATATGCGTACTTAGTAAAAGTCTTGGCGGAGTTTTCTTCTTTGTGTGTTTGGCGAAGACACGCCAAATTGAAGCAAAATCTGAACTCAATGTTTTTCTGTTCCACAGTATACTTCAATTATCATCATTCACCGGTCTTCCTTGCCTCTCTAGTTTGTTTCGAGCAGGCTGTGCCGCGATACCAATCACGAGATCTAGTCACGTGACCTCGATGATTGTCTGCGCGATCAAACAACGTCCAGATTATCGAAGCCTGCAAGGACACAGAGAGGCCTGGGACTCCGATCTCGCTCAAACTTTGGCGGTCTGATTTCAGATATTTTCTCGAAAATATTTACCCCCGAAAACGGTGATCGCTTTCTACACTGGACATGTTTAGCGGAATCTACTTCTTGGTCGATGACGTCATCTATCACCCAATGAAGCACCCCTGTCAAGTGTGTACGCCCCGAAGAGGTGTGATCATTGCAGTGTGTGATCATCGCAGTGGGCATTCAAGGTAAGAAAGACTAAGACTCAAATCAGCATCCGCTTAGTATTCTGGATGGTGTTATGTTCGAGTGTGTTTTTTCCGGTTCTTGGGGCTCTGTGAGCCGATGCTATTTCGGAAGCTACCTGCGCGAAATATATAAAGCTCACCCAAAACGTTGCAAGGTACATTCAGTCGGACAACAACAACAACAACAACAACAACAACAACAAAAAATAAAAAATAAAAAAGTATTATTACTAACTCCGCAGTGAGGATTGGAAGCAGTAAGGATTGGAAATTAAGAGATTTGTCTAATGAGGACGTTGAGAGGTTGACAAATCATTGAATATTCTGAATACGTTGAGACATGGGAGTTCACAGTTCCATGTCTCACCTCAATGTCGAGTCTTGGAACAAATATTGTGGACAACACCTGTGAAGTGCACATTCAAATTCGGTCGCATAGCAGAGATCGAGTATATTGGCGATGTATCTGGATGTAGACCTCTATTCCAATCTACTGTATCTGCTTGTCGCAAGGAGCCGCAAGAAATTGGAGCGAAAAGTCAACTGACCACAAAGTCCATGTCAATTTGGGTCGTGGTTCAACCAATTGGAGGTGGTGCCGTTGAGAAGGGAGAAGCAAGTGGGGAAAATATGCTGGGGATATCCCTGACAGTCGAGCATGTGAATACGACCTTGGACGGTGTTCGAATTATTAAGCTCCCGCTGATTAATGCTGTGTTGACTATTTAGGGTCCGCATCAGTATCAATGATACTAAAAACGCTGCATGATGAGGATACGGGTAAACCAAATCAGTCAAGCACTTTGATACTCACTCGGTACGTGACTGGCTACAGCCTGAGATCTTTTTTAGACATATGCTATACGAACGCCGCCTCATTCCTCCTGAGTCCCCTGCAGGGGCATTGTAGTGAGAATATCACAAGATTGACAGCAGCCACTCGGAAACTTGGTCCGATTGGGCCTTTTCAATATCTTCAAAATCCAGATTTTCTGATTGTCAAGGAGTTGACGGGGTTTAATAAGGTGTCATCGGCAGGGCTGGTGGAATGTGATCTGCATTCCTATGAGCTTGGCACACGCAAACCCCGGACGAAACTACCCAAATTTGGATTGCGGTGCTGCGAATAGCTTCGGAAATTCTACCCCTTAGTCAAAGAAGGATTATGCCCTAATCCTTCAGTCGGCAAATCCAAGTAACACAATTCCGATCTGCGTTGGCACTGCGTCGTAGCGGAGAATCGAGTAGAATGCAAATCCCAGGGACTCATGGTTACATCTGGTCAGAATAAGGAATTGTGGCTTTCATGCCACTCGAACTCTAACTGGGACGAAAAGGCAGGTAGGCAAGAGCCCCCCAGGTGAAGTCATCTGAGTAACAGAAATTCCCCAGGTTTAGGATAAAATCAAAATCCATGAGAGTAATCATGATGCTTTTTACTCCATGTTCATGCAGATCATGCAACGAATGATGAAACACCTGTGTATGTAGGGTACCGAGGCTGGAAACCCTTTATTGCCCTCAGTATTTAACTCTCGTTGTAATCCCGAAAGCACGTTTATCAATATTGACTAAATGATTCAACGAAAGCTCTCTCCAAATACCTCAAAATGAAGTTACCGGCCTCCTTCCTCTTATGCCTCCTATTCATCATGGGCGCCACTGCCGCAGCAATCTCGAAGCACACTCTTCTTATGCATTGCGTGAACAAACAAATGGACAAAGCGAATGTCGAGCACAAGCTCAGCCCGAGTGATCTTGCCAAGATGAAGCGCGTTTTGGACAAAAAAATCTTGCAAATGTCCTTTGAAAAACCCACGAATAGCGAGACGAGAAAGCGACCGAGCGCAGCGTCAATGTCCCGTATGGCCATTCCAGGGGTGCCACACGAGACGATCGATAAGATGTTGGAGTCAGTCGGCAAGTCGAGTGCGCATTGTGCGAATGAGATGCTGGAGGAGTCTTGATTTGAGTCCCTGGTACACTATGCTCCGAAGTGCAATCATTTTATGGATGGAGTGGAAGTCCTCCAAAGAAACGAGAAACGATGAAGAACGATGAAAATTGTCAATGATTTGTTTGTGTTTTTCGAGAGCTGGATCTCTTCACTTGATGTCTCGTGATTTTGCGACTTGCGAGTATATGCAGTTACGTCAAATTTGTATGAAATCGTATGAGCTATCTGTTTATGTCAAAATGAATTGTGGTACCTATCAAAATCCTCTACCTGTGCTATGAAATGTCGACCCCATGTTCTTGACAACTGTAGGATTAAAAAGATCGCCCTTTGGATCTTTGAACATTGAGAGCAAGATTCGTCTCGCACCTATACTCTCGATGAGATGAAGAGCCGAAACGGCTTGAATATTGACACTCAGAAGCAAAGATCTCGATACAGTCAATCTTGAAGATTGTGAGCTAAGCTGTGCGCAGGCAGCACTCCGTCGGACTGTTCGGAAATATACCTGACTAGTATAGCTTTCCGGTCGGAGTCAACAACAACGACTCGCCAAAACGAAAATATAAGCTCGGGTTTAGATTTTAAAATATTGTCAATGATTCAGGCCTGCTGCTGTCAACAATAAAACTTTACATCTAGAGTCCATATCATGTTTTATGTTGACAACTGATGTCATGCCGCGCTCGAGAGAGGTGCTGGGAGCTATGGGTGCTTGAAGGGATGGCATTCGTGTGGGGGGAAGGTCATAATGAGATAATCACAGCTCAATTGATAAAATTATGACAATCGATCGTCTGATTTCAGATATTGAGATGAACTATACACACCTGATAAATAATATGTATCCGTTTTATTCTGTTTCCAGTACATACGACCATAGGGTGTGGAGAACAGGGCTTCCCGTCCGCTCAGCCGTACTTAAGCCACACGCCGGCAGGTTAGTAGTATGGTGGGTGACCACATGCGAATCCCTGCTGTTGTATGTTTTTGTGTCTTCTTTTTATTTATTATCATTTCTTTTTGCTGCCCCTCGTTTCTGTCTGAAAACTGGATCCATCTTGCCTACCCCGAATTTTGCCTCAACATTTTCCCTGACTCATGCTCATCCCCACGTGAAAGCTTCCAAGCTCGAGCTGCTGACCACCGCGGGGAATTTGTCACATCTTCCGAGCCCAAGCTCGAGCTCAAGGGCTAAGAAAATGCCGAGATCTGCGGCTGCCTACGCCCTGCAAGAAAAGTATACTGGTACACGGGTGGAGCACCGAGGGCCGCGTGGTTAATTCCTACGGCCGAGCTATTGCAAATTCCCTGTATCTAGCTCGGAAGTCCTTGCATATCGTCATCCCGAAGCTGTTAGCTTTTTGACATTTTGGTACAAGCTCTTAGAATGATGTCTTGTGATTCGCCCAGGGAAATTTACCCCTACATTCCAGCTACGAAAGTACACCAGCATGACCATGAGCGGCAAGATCAGCAAGAGCAATGGCGAAGAATGTAGAACTTCTAATTATCCGATTAATTGTCCGCTAGCTTATAAAATAAAATAGCTAGAGCCAGCTATTAAGGGTATTTGTGAAAGGTGAAGATTTTGCCTGTCGACAACTAGGAGAAGATGGCGCCAACTACTGACCGTGGGCTGCGAAAGCTGAACACCGGCATTGCTTTGATGCTGTCTGCGTCTGCTACTTCGGGGTACAACGCTAGCCAAATCAACAGCTTGCTCGTCCTCCCTGAATGTGAGCTATCTCCGCACAACCTGGAGTTTTCTGATGCTAATACGCAAAAGTCGCTTTGTTCATAAGCGGTCTCAACTCCAGCGCCAAAGGCCTCATCATCGCCGCCGTTTCTTTGGGATCATTCCTCACTTTCATCCCTGCCTCATACATCGCGGATCGTCTGGGCCGCCGAACATGCGTCAGTATCGGAGCAATGCTAGTAATCCTAGCAGCAATCATCCAAACCGCCATCGCACACCCATGGGCCTTCTTCGGGGCCCGCGTCGTCACGGGAATGGGAGTAGGCGTTTCGCAAACCGCCGCACCCCTCTTGATCACAGAATCGGCACACCCCCGTCAGCGAAGGACACTGACTGGACTATACAACGCCGTCTGGTTCATCGGATCGATTACAGCGGCTGGAATCGCCTTCTCCACTTTATCGTTACAGAATAGCTGGTCCTGGCGAGTTCCTTGCCTAATGCAGATCATTTATCCAACTCTACAACTTGTCGCGCTATGTGTCATCCCTGAAAGTCCGAGATGGCTAGTTTCGAAGGGGCGGAAGGGTGAGGCGTTGGCTATGCTTACGCGGTATCATGGGAATGGAGATCGACAGGCGAAGGTAGTGCAAGAGCAGTTTTATCAGATTTGCAGCAGTATTGATGCTGAGGCGGGTTTGGAGGCTGCTTCACAGTGGAGTTCGTTTTTGAAGACTAAGGGCGACGCGCATCGATTGGCTATTTGCATTTTGCTGGGCTTTATGCAGGAATGGACGGGAAATGGTACGGACTATTCTTCTCTTGCAGTTGACTCGTTTCTGACTATTTGCAGGCGTCATCTCTTACTATCTCGCTCCGATTCTCTCATCGGTCGGAATCAACGATGCAGCACATCAGGCGGCTGTCAACATCAGTCTGCAGGTGTGGAACCTGATATTCGCTGTCGGCGGCGCGAGTACTTCCGATCGCTACGGCCGACGTGTTCTATGGCTGAGTGCGACGACCCTCATGTTGATATTCCTGTCAACATGCACAGTCATGTCCGGGCTATTCACAGAACTCCATATCCTTGAGGCAGGAATCGCAGTCGTGCCAATGCTATTCCTGTTCTGTGGATCCTACGACTTCGCCTACATGCCCTTGTTCATCGCCTACCCAGCCGAGATCCTCCCATTCCAGCTCCGAGCTAAGGGTCTCGCTATCACGCTTACCACGGATTCACTGGCCTGCTTCTTTAACCAATATGTGAATCCGGTTGCATTTTCCGTTCTCCACTGGAGATATTTTTCCCTCTACTTGGGCTGCCTTGTCTTTTTCATTGGTGTTGTATACTTCCTGTTCCCGGAGACACAGGGCAGATCGCTTGAAGAGGTTGCACAGATCTTTGATCGGAAGGAGGTTGAATCTGTGGAGTCGTCTGACGAGAAGGTTGTGCAGACTATGCCTACTGCTCCGAAATACGAGTGTTAGCTGAGATTCTGTTGACGATATACGGACTATATACGGGAACTGGACTGTTACATAGCTATTGTTGGTTTTTGTGTTTGCTATGTGTTTGCTTTGATCTTTATGTATTAGACAGTATCAATCCAACTGAACAGAGCCACTTGTTAAGTTAAATATCGCAAGTGACTTCGATTTGCCAGCGCAAACTTTGACATGGATTAATTGCATCTCATAGATACAACACTAGTATTTCCGATGCTTGACAGATGCCCTATAGCGGTGCCAACAACCAGATGGATGCTGAAGTCTACAGCGAGCTGACCGACACAAATGGTCTTGATCTGGAGGTTAGTACTAACAAGCTCTGCCAGTCTTTATCCTCTATGTCGCTGACACTGACCAGTCTTATTATGCATCCCTCGTCGACTGCTACATTAACGGTAGCGGCGAGGTCGACGTGACGGCTACAACGAGCAACGGCAGATCCCGCGCTACTTCTATAACGGATATGCACGAAGCGGGTAATGGCACAACGACGGGACTTTGATGTCGAACCTCTCTGGTTTACGGATTTTCAACTGCACAACTGTAGCACAGGCTGAGGGCCACTAACGGGGAGCACTGGAGACGAGATAACTAGTTTGCAAGAGGCGATTGCTTGAGCCGGAGGATGTAGGATATTAACTCTGTAATAATTCTTTGACATTTCTTATTTGATAGTGGGAATCAATAATCGGAGTGGACATTGCTGATAGCCTCGGCTTCCCAGCCCGAGGCTATTGACGGAGGGCCAGATGGTCCAGTTAGCGAAAATCCGTAATTCCATGCCAAAAGGTGCTCAGAATTCCGGAATTATTTTCAATTATTTCTCAGGCAAGGTGATTGCGGCCAGACATTTAGCACCTCTAGGATGTTGTCAAATTGGAATACTGTCCTTGTTCATCTAAGTTAATGTTAAGTTAACTACAACTGCATGACTAAGCAACTCGTGACTCGCGGCAGCTGCACCTGAGTTTATTTGGCACTTCGCATCCATCGAATCTTCGTCGCTTCGATGCGCTTTCCGGCAATTCCGGCAGCAAAAACAGCGTAGCCCCATCGGGCTTACCAGGCCCGGAAACCGGAGGTCGGGCTACGTATGGCAGCTCGCTTGGGGGCGAGGCTCCACAACGCATCCGTGGGTCGCAACAAGGGGGGAATGTCGGAGTCTGGAGTTTGGCCTGGATCAATGCTGCTCGACGGTGTCTGGTGGACGCGGATTGCACGTTCAGAAGCATACTGACAGTGTGTATACACGACGGCAATTGAGTAGGGCTAAGCTCAGCAACAACCTGAACTCGCCCCAGCCCCCAGCTCTAGCTACAAATGGATGCCGGGGATCGGAAATTGGACTTGGCAGGGTTGCAGCCGCTTCGAGGCGCTAGACCGTGCGAGTCGAGGCTCAAGCGCTGTATGGTCGAGTACTGTGCACATGTAACATATTCACTGCGCATGCCCCCGTCTCAATGTGCTGGTGTTCGAGAACAATGGTCGACCGTCATTGTCCAGCCCAACTGGAGCAGCCTGAGACATTCGCTTGCTTCTGTGGTGGCAGCGCGGTCAGGTTCACATCGTAGGGCCCCACAACGGTGGTTGGTGGCAATGCATGTGCTTCTCGTTCTCACCACGGTTCCTGCAATCTTCAGCTGGCCTGAGATATACCCGATGTTCACGAAGGTCCTCCGATCTGATATCGGTTCATCGAATGAAATAAGTATTGAATTCTTGCTAGGGATCTTGGTTAAAGTCACGGTCGCAACCTTAACCAGCATGGTCCCAGCTGGCGCTGTGACCGCTAGCTTCTCGGCATTGGATTCAAGCGGCAGCAGCGCACCATTGCCCTAGCAGACTCATAGTCGGTGGTGATCGTGGTGATCGCTGGTGATGGTCGACTAGGAGGAATATTGGATACCCTAGGCAGTACTCGTGACTCTTAGAGCCATCACATTTGCTCCTCAATTGCTGCTCAACGGCCAACGCCTGCGACCGCCGCAGGTCTCCGGCAGTTGTGATACTTTCCGCTAGCACGTGGATGGCGGCAGGGATTTGCCCGTTCCAAGAACTATACACAAACCTAGTTCGACAACTGTCGGCGACGCGATGTTTGTCGTTAGGTAATTGTCTGCAGCCAGCGTGGAGTGTGGACGGGACATGCACTCCATTTGTCACACGAGAGCCAGCGCAGCAGTCGCGGCCAGTGCAACTGCGACCGGCTACAGACCGAAGGCATGTCGTCAAGCATCGACCGCGTGGAGCTAATTGCGTGCTTTCCACGATCAGCGTGTCCACCAATCCAAATACTTTCTTGCAGACTACATAGAATGCATCTCCCGACCCCGGATTTCCTCCTGCCCTTGCGCTCTTACTCCATCGAAATGCATTCTCGGCAGACCCATGGGGCCCAAACCAAGCCCCCTAATGCACCCTCCCTAGACCATTTGCGGAGATGACATTGCAACACGAGCACCAAGAAAAATCCAAGAAGCCACTACCCCGGACTCTACCCCGTATCCTAGCCCCTTGAGGCCGGGATGGGGCGACCCGGGGCCTGGTGAAGGCATCCCAGGGCTAATTTGACCGAGGTCGGTCGCCTCCCGCCGCCTCCACAGTTGGAATTGTGGGGAAAATTGCACGAAGTCGGCAGTCTCGTCGATCACCGGGGACCGGCGAGCACCGAAAGTGCAACCCCATACTTAGGCTTGCGTTCGCGCAGCGAGATAGCGGGCATCACGAGCTAACCAGCCTATCCACCGCCCACTCGTTCATCAGAATCCACCAGAGTATATGAGTTGAAGAGGTCGCACTGCGCTTCCATCTACTCTACACCGCACATAAGGGCTCGTTGCGCGTCTTCGATCCGTCGCCATGGGCAAACCGTTCATGGGCTTCCGGGGCAATTCCCTCCTCCGCGCAGCCGTCTGGCTCGTCGTATGCCCGACGTTTACCTGTTATGGATATAATATGAGTGTGGCCGGTGGCCTCTTGACGCTCGATGCGTTCAACCGCCAGTTCCCACAAATGGACACGATTAACACGCACGGCGCGGAAAAGAGTTATAATTCAACAATTCAAGGTCAGCTTTGGTCTGCCGTGGTCTGCCATGGCGTAACTCTATTTTTGAGTCTGCCGCTAACTGATGGGGCTCAACAGGCACGGTCATCGCTCTCTATACTGTCGGCGGTATCTTCGGCGCCCTCTCCTGTGTATATTTGGGCGACTTGCTCGGTCGTCGCAAGGTCATCGCTATCACTAATTTCATTACCATTATCGGCGCTGTGCTGATGGCCTCGGCGTTCCAATTCGCTCATTTTATCGTTGCTCGACTTGTGCTGGGATTGGGAATCGGTGGCTACGTGGCCACGGTTCCGGTCTGGCAGTCTGAAATCTCGCCTGCGCACAAGCGAGGCTCAAATGTTGTGACGGATGGTATCTTCGTCGGCGCCGGCGTCACGCTGGCCCTTTGGATTGATTTTGGATTCTTCTTTGTTGAGGATAGCTCGGTTTCATGGCGGTTCCCTCTCGCTTTCCAGATCGTCCTGTCTCTCATCGCGATGTTCTCAATCATGTTCCTCCCCGAATCGCCTCGCTGGCTCATCAAGGTCGGCAAACGTGCCGAGGCTGCCCACGCTCTATCCGCGCTGATGGACGTCGACATCGACGCCCCCGTTATTGAAGAGAGCATCGTCGCCATCGAGACGGCCCTCCAGGTCTGCGGAAATGTCAGATGGACTGCCATGTTCACCAACGACAAGCAGCGTCTCTTCCACCGCACCTACCTCGCCGCGACCGGTCAGATGTTCCAGCAGATGTGCGGTGTCAACCTCATCACCTACTACGCTACCACTATCTTCCAGCAATACCTCGACATGGGCCCCGTCAACTCGCGCATCCTGGCCGCCGCTATGGGTCTGATGCAGCCCTTCGGTGGCTACCTCGCCTACTTCACCATCGACCGCCTCGGCCGTCGTCCCCTTATGCTGTGGAGTGCTTTTGCGATGGCCATCTGCATGGCTCTGCTTGCCGGCTGCACCTCCGACCCTGCAAAAAGCCATACCGGTGCCCTCGTCGTCGCCGTTATTGCGCTCTACTGCTTCCAGTTTATTTTCACTGTTGGCTACTCCGGCCTGACCTTCCTGTACGCCGCGGAGATGGCGCCTCTCCAAATCCGCGCGACCGTCAGCGCCGTGGCCACGGCCACAGTCTGGGCCTTCAACTTCCTGCTGGCAGAAGTGACGCCCGTAGGCTTCGACTCGATCGGGAGCCGCTACTACATTGTCTTTGCCGTTGTCAACGCCGCCATCGTGCCTTCCGTCTACTTCTTCTTCCCGGAGACCAAGGGCCGCTCGCTGGAGGAGATTGATGAGATCTTCGCGCAGTCCAAGACCATCTTTGACCCGCCGCGTGTGGCGCGTCGCATGCTGAAGCTGCAAACAACTGAAGCCATTGGCTCTGAGAGCGGGGATAATGCCGGATCGAATGATGATGAGATCATCAAACAGGAGATTAAGGCTTAAATGAGATATGACTGTCAATATGATCGAACTGGTTCGACTTTCACTCTGAGTGATATATTTTTCTCTTTTGTTATGGAAGGTTCGTCGGACATGCTCCCTGGATATGCCGGGAATGCCGACTGCCGAGATTGAGGAGGATTACTGTATATAGGATGCATTGCGAATGATCTAGGAGCATACAATACCCACCACAGATCTATTCACCACACTATTCTTCGATGAGACTCTACTACTGTAGTTCACTACCTAACGGCTTTACGTTTCCTGCTTCAACCACGTAGTGCCCGTTGCTTCCTATCTGGCAAGACGCCACGGTGGGTCTCTTATCATCGATGTTAGATAATTAGATAATGTTCTGACACAGCCGGGCTCCACTCGGTCGTTGCGAGTGTACGTCAGTCTCGGCCGCGGGTTTAACAAAACAGTGCTGCCCGCCAGCTGCTGCCAACCACTGCGTTGCACTGGCCCGCGGCCGAGTTACTCTAGGGAGGGGTTGAAGCCAACACTTATATAACCGCTATAATGATTGCAAGTCTGTTGATAGTAGATTTATCCAAACAATCAAATCAATAAATCCTACAAATTGAGGAGCGTTTAAAACAATGCGACCCGACGAACCGCCTGTCATTGATTTTAGTCGTATGGTTCTTTACAAATTGCTAAAAATAGCTTTCTAACAATTTACAGCATTCTATGGCACTAATGAATCGCAAAAATCGACTCTCATCGAGCTATTACGACATGCCTGTGAACAATTCGGATTCTTCCAGCTCTTCAACCATGGTATCACGGAGAGCCTCCAACAAGATGTCCTCCAGCAAAGCAAGGAGTTCTTCGAGCTCCCCTTGGAAGTAAAGGAGAAATACAACAAAGGTATACTTCTATTGTTAGAATACATCACTATCAAACCCGCTAACTCTGCTCATAATTGCATCCAGATATCGACGGCTTCAACCGTGGCTACGAACCCCTCCGTTCGCAAAACTTCGAAAAACTAGGAAAAGGCGACCTCAAAGAAGGCTTCTACATGGGCAAACACCTCCCCTTCGAAGACCCCTACGTCCTCGCCAAACGATTCGGCCAAGGCCCAAACAAGTACCCCGCGGAGCTCCGCGACCCGAAAAAATTCCAGAGTGTCATGGAAGAATATCATGAGAAGATGACCAAGCTAGCGGAGAACCTTCTCCAGGTTTTGGCAGCGACGCTGGACCTGCCGAGCACCTTTTTTGATGATTTTTGCGAGCATCCGGTTGCTGCGTTACGGCTTTTGCATTATCCGCCGCAGGATGTTGCAGGGGAGGTTGAGAAGGGTATGTCAATGCACCTGGCACTACTTGAAAGTTGAGTTGAACTAATTGATGAAATGGTAGGAATCGGCGCCCACACAGACTTCGGCGCAATCACAATCCTCCTGCAGGACAGCACCGGCGGTCTACAAGTATGGAATAACCTTGCCACGGAATGGGTCGACATAACCCCTCTCCCGGGGGCGTACGTCGTGAACTTGGGTAACATGATGATGCGCTGGACGAATGATCGCTATTTGTCCAATTTGCATCGGGTGAGTAACAAAGATGGTCATGAGCGTTTTAGCGTGCCATTTTTCTTCTCCGGGAACCCGGATTATATCGTGCGGTGTTTGCCTAGTTGTGTTGATCACACCGCGGCTGCAACGGGGTCCAGCGGAGCTGATACCGGGGCTAAGTATCCCCCTGTCTCTGTGCATGATTGGATGACGGGCAGGTTTGCGGATACGTATAACTCCGGCGAGAAGGGGTTCGGGGATCTCCGTGGGAGTGTTGTTGCTGAGATGAAGTAGGGTTTATGCTTTTGGGCGACTAGCGCATCTAGATGCAGGCTTAAGGGTGGGGAGGGCGATCATGGGAAATGAATTTGAGACATGTTGATCCTTTCTATTCTTTTGAGTTGATGAAGTAAAACGTACTCAGATCTCACCGAATGAATTTATGATATCTTCCCATTGCATATAATCACCCAGAAACAGGTCTGCTATTTGCGAGAAATTCGGCTCTGGGGAAGATTCTCCATGCGACACTGGGTGACTGTCTTTCACCTCGACGCGAGATATTATCTCTTTTAAAGAGAATTGTTCGCGTGTGCCTGTTTTGATCGCCATGTCCATGTCCAGCAGACTCTCGATGAGACCCACGCCTCGTTTGGCGATGGTGCTTCTTTCTTGGTTCCTTTGTAGGAATTGGAGACTTCTCACTGCAAGGTCGCGGATCTCTTGCGCTTCGAAGATCTGACTGTTCTCTTTTGTGAATATGAGCTCGAATAGCAGCCATACGGCCGCTGTTAGGACTTGCGTGTTGACTGTCCATAGGTTGTTGACGATGTGGGTGAACGGATTATCTGGAAGAAAGAGGAAGTTCAGGAGGTAGCGGCGCATTAGAGGGAGGCAGGAGACCTGGATGATATCAGTTGTCGGGAAAGGTGTTGTTGAATGAATGCTGAAATACCTTGGTGTAGGCGAACCTTGGGTCCTTTAGGCTGGGGATTTGGAAGTGGCGATGAACGGAGTAGAACTGTTGATCTAGTCAATGACTTGCTTATGAGCCCATAGATGATGCCGTATACCTTATGTGCATATGATAGAGACAGCACCGAGCTTATTTGAGTGATATAAGTAGGTAACTCAGATACAACCTCATTGCCTGGCTTGAAGAAGCGAGGCATTTTGTCGATGAGTTGTTTCAACTCGCGGTCAGCTTGGAGAACTTCCGAGTAGAGATTTCCCATTTTATCGCTGTTTTCGGGGTGCAATTTCTGACACGTTCGATCCTGCATCTTCCAGATAATGACAGATACTGATGTCGTCAGCCGTTGCCAGCCGAGATTTGGAGACTTGGTAGTACCTTTGTTCAAGACGGACGTGTAGCTTCCCTGGGTGTAAGTTTCCTGGCTCTTTTCCATGATGTGATCCTCCGTTGCCATCTCAAGAACTTCTTCTTCGCAGTGCGTAGGCATCGGGGTATTAAATTGCGAGGGGTGGATGTTGTACGTGTTATTATACGGGATCTGTAGCCAATCCTGCCGGACCAAGAACCACCACACTCGTTTAGAGACTTCGCGATCAACCAGCTGCTGTGTTCTGTCACTTGACTCGGTAGATTTCTGTGTGGCAGCTGGTGTATCGGGACCGAGGCGATGGAGACCCAGGCATTGTGCAATTCGGCTAGCGCTCGCAAGGAGAACGGAAATTCGATCGGATTGTCCAGCATTGTGGCCGATGTAAATGAGGAGGCAAATGGCTTGGACGCTGAAGATGCTGTGGTTTTTCATGAAGTCTGCGGTGTTGAGGCTGTCGATGCTTTTCTGGTAGCATAGCAGGGATAACTCGGCTGCAGCACAAAGGTCAGTTTGGCTCGGTGGTTCATGAGAAATGGTCTTAGCGTACTCCCTGAATAAATCTCAAACTCCTCAAGTTTTTCTGGATGTGTGTGGTATAGTGTTACCTGTTTTCATTAGCGAGTTCTTCTCTAGAAAGCTGGTAAGGCATGCCTACCGCAAGCATCGCGTAATACAGGGAGAGCCACGCTCCTTCAATTGCATCCACGCTGTTGAGGCTCAGCGAGCATTGTTCGCGAAAGGTTGGCATGTGAACAATATTGTGAATCCAGGCAATGCATTCTTGATGATAGGTCATCATATTGTCCACCTGCGTCGCCGTGAATACCATATCGGTCGCATCGGGTAAACACCGGTCGCCATTTTGACTAGGCTGGTCAATCTGCGCGAGATGAAGGACTTGTTGACGACTCAGAGCCAGAAATTCCAGCATGACCGCCGCATCTTGAGAGACGCTGTCCAATATCTTAGGCGACTGTCGAAGCCCCGGTGCTTCGGTCGGCTTCCCTGATGATACTTCCACCTTTGCCGACATACCCGGGGAACAGTTCGCGGTGGCGTCGATGTTGTAAGAGAGTGGAGTATTTGCGGGCTCAGCGGAATCTGCCAGCGATTCATAGCCTGTGAGAGTTGCTGGAGGATCTAAACCCTCAACACCCCGCGAGCGGGTTCTCCTCGACCCCCTGCGCGATTCGAGGTCATCGCGACGCCGACAATCCTGCGCAGTCCCCCGCTCGATACACGCGAGGCATGGAATTTGTTTCGAGCATCGCAGTTTTCGCCTAGTGCATTCCGTGCACGAGTAAGATGGGCGTTGCCGCTTGATCGGGGTTCTGAACGGTCGAGATCGAGCTCCACGGGTGGGATTCATCTGGTTTCCCATGCGGGAAGAGGACATGATGGAGAGGCAAAGACGGGGTTTGTGTGTTCTAGAAAGTAACAAGTCTGGAGGATAGATTGGGGAACACTCGAACGGCCACCTCCGAGGATGCGGGATGCGGGGAGGCGATCTCCTACAAATTGATAGGGAATGGCTTATCACTCTATCACTGCGTTGCACTAGTAATGCAATCAACGCCGAACGGGCGGGCTGCCAATATGAGTCTAAAATTTCGATAACTTGCTGAGTGAGCTTTTAACTTCTTCAAGCTACGGTTGGAGTTTTCTCTTTACAGAGCGAGAAGGCGGATCCCGGCCTTCCACCGATGCAGACAGAGTGCGGGGGCGGTTTTATGGTGCATATTGTGTAGGTGGCCCCGTGTCATGCTACTGAGACACAAAAACAATATATAATACAATAGATAAAACGAATGGAGAGTTAGTAAAAACTAAATAGATAAATAAATCAATGCAGCAAAAGGTTAACTTTCATTTGGCTAATGCTCTAAGCATCGCTCACACGTGGACAGACGGCTTTGCATGTGCATACCCGGAGCCTTGACAATACGGACATATGCTTTTTTTACCAAAGCACAACTCCAATAACCCTGGCAGTAAGTTGCAGGGCCCTGTTCTTTATGCGATCCGGGGTTTTGCAGGCTGGACTCGACTAAGTCCAGCCGCTCTAAATATTTCTACATGGGGATCGTCCCCGATCGTTTTGTGTCCGGGTACGCAAAAGGGATGAATTGAGGATCGTGACAGTCGAATATGAAAGGATATACCATTCGACCACAGACCCTATCTTCGTGATGATATCCTCCTTCTCCATCTAATAACCTACCTCGAGATGGCAGGCGTTGTCCCCATTAGATCAGCCAAATGATTTAGGCCACCACTAATTAAAATTTTTGAAAATACAAATATTCCCCTCGTGATTCCGTGCAGGATATGGGATTATTAATTATTTCCGAACAATGTTGAAGTTGGAAATGTGCGTCGGGATTGCGTTGCAAATGCAGGTGACGGGATGTGGCAGGCTCTTCCACTTTTGGGCTAGACATAAAGAGGCATTTCACGACGGATATGAACTACCGGATGTCCCGAGTTTGATTCACGGTGCGCGCATTGAATTTTTTTTTTTTTGGCAATAATTTTGGGTTGGATCAATTTTGTGGTTCGAAACTGGCGCTGCTGCCGCAGTCCTCATCGAATACTAAGCACGTGACATTGCAGTCGGGAGTGACGCGCCTATTCGTCATACCGACACTAGAGAAGGAGCTTCAGGTGGGTTCGCAAATGTAATTTCTGAAACAACTAAGCCAGATTCCATTACCTCACAATGAAGTATAACCGTTTTTTCCTGCCGAATGGACAACGCATTGACGTGTGTCCCTCATTCGATGGTTTCAGATTCACGGTTGCCGACCATAAGCTGTATGGCAGCTTCCCCCTGAGTGGCGTATAACCCTCTACACCGAAAACGCAGATAAGAAAGAAGGATTAGGGGAGGTATCGGAACGTGAATTACAACTATCTGCTTCTTGTTCTAGGTTTCAGTTTACCACGCCTACCTTGCTTGGAGATGTGATGCATCTTTCTTCAATGTCGCTACCAGCCAGAGACGACATGAAACCTGAGAGCGCCATTACCAGGCAAATTGCAATGATTTTATGGGTTACTTTTCTTTGGTATTTCCAGGAAGAGACGCCAAGTCCGCATATCCCAGTACATGACGAAAGTGAACTACCGGAAATTGCTCGAGCTACCGGCCTGTGGATGCTCAAAGTAAAAGATGATGGCCTTTTGCGTGGAAAAGACAGAATGCTAAAACTCGAAAGAATGGGCTTGTTGGCCACTACTGACCCTTCGGTCGGGTCCCAGGAAAACGGTCAGCTCCTGGGGGACATGTTCATCAGCCAACGAGCTTTTTGGCAATTAGATCCGAGGATCTATCTTTTTACACTTGGCCCCGCTCGATTCCCCGAGAGAGATTATTCTGATCCACTGGCATCGTTGGACTCCTTCGGAGTAGGATTTCCATTCGGAGCTGGTCCTCATACTTCTGGAACTTTCATGCCTTCATACTATCCACCAGCTCCTACACAATATACTTTCACAGGAGATTTTAGGCATCCAGTCCGCCCAAGGGCTCCGCGACAAGGGGAGGTCTTCTATACGCGGTTTATCCCCAGTGGTGGCCAGCATTTGACATTTCGTATACCAGTCGTCCCAGTCAAAGGCTCAAGTGCGTTGTCTTCTAGCACCGACCAACAAAGCAACCGGATTGGACCGAACCTCTGTCTTGACTCCGAGCTCCTAAGTGATGTGAGGCTCTTTCATCGATGGGTAAATCAGTTCCCTACCCACTCTAGTCTATTACAGAAAGGTCCTCTGGAAGTCCAGCTGGAAAATTTGAAAAAAGGCATGTCGAGTCAATCGTCATTTCCCGCACTTGCATGCTGGAACTCGACTGCAGTCGGCTATTTCGAGATATTTTGGACCCTTGAAGATTCTCTTGGGCGATCAGTAAGTGATGTTGGGGATTGGGATCGGGGCATACGGTTTTTTATTGGTGACAATAGATTCGATGATTCTAAGAGTTTGGCGTTATTTTTAAGCTCTGTCGTTCATTATTGTTGGTTGGCAGATCAGAGAACTTGCGCAGTCTTTGTAGAAGCCCGTGCAGACAATGAAAGGTGAGCTTTTCTCTACCTCAAGATTCACAATTCTCTATGCTCTACATCGATACTCACCCTTTTATAAGACTTTTGTCCTGTCTCCAAACGATTGGCTTCTACAAAGAAAGCGAAATCAATGTTTTACACGAGCATGCCGTGATAATGAAGGTAAAGCGCATTACATGGCTTGCGCCTTCCGTCTAAGAAATATGTTTGATGTTTTGTTCACAGCTTGTTGGCTGGATATGCGTCGTGCAAAGTCTCACATATCTCAATCGCATAATTAACATGTGACGGAAAAATGAAGCTTCGAAGCGAAGAGTATCGAGCCATCTTGTCATGTCCTCATGGCAGCAATGGCCTTGGCTTGGCTAAAAATATTACCGGAGCTTGTGGTAGGGGAAGTCTGACTGCGAAAGAACGGGAAGGAGAGGAGGCAGTGACGTCGCCTTTGTATACTGTATATCCAGTTCATAGTGCTGGGAGACGCAATGGGGAAGAATTCTACTTAGCCGAAACTGATAAAAGGCTGAGTGATGAATTGAAACAAAGCAAAGTGGACGAATAATCTGACCGAGAATCCGAACATTGCGGTTGCCGATTCGACTCAAAATTGAGAATGTTAACGTGGACCGCTCGTGAAATTGGATGCGACTTCTTTTATGCATAATTCGAGAAACCTGAGAGAATGATGTGCTGTGCAAAAAGAGTTCTGCATTTGCTCCCTGACGGATAGGCTGCCATCCGGTCACTGGTCGGTTTTTAATATTCTCTTCCGCCCATTGCCACTAACTCTGCTCGGGAACTATACCTCAAGTCGTGTTTGCAACAACCTGACCCGACCGGAGTATAAGGAGAAAACAACTGAATCGCCCTTCATTGGTAGGGCCTGGATGTACTAAATCAGCCTTCTAACGTCCCTGAAGGTTGGACCTCGGTACCTTTCAGGCCCGATTACTTCGTACGAATGATTGACGACGCGTAAATTTCGTAACTTTCGGCATTATTCTCTAAAACTTGTTCGCCACAGAAGACGTGGATAGGCCGGCTGAAAGGGGGCTGAAGCATAATAATATATTCCGTATCGAGACATGCATTTGTTTTTTATGTCATTTCACACAGCCACAGACACGATGCACAGCCACCCACATACTATTTTGTAATCGTCGCGTGGTATTATTAAAACTAGTATATTTCTAGCGAATAAAGCTCTATCATATCGTGAGTTAAGCACGTCTGAATTTTGATTGTCGTCACTTAATTGACTGTTTTCGAATTTGGGACCGAGGCAATTCAAGTGGCGCCCTTTTAACTTGTACCTGGTCGTTCAATTACGTCACAGCTCTGTGTCGTCTTATCATAAATAAATGGCAATTCCGAAAACTACTCCACTGCTATCGTGGTTGTAGTTCGCCTATTTCATTATTAACGGCGGATCATCAAATCACAATTTCAGAACTTCGGATTCGGTAATAATCAACTACAACTCAGGCAGAGTGTCTTTTAAATGGATGATACAACCGGACAACAAAAGCTAATCTGGTAAAATGCTAACTTGTGATATTATTTATAAAATTGGCTGAAAATGGACGAGAATGCTCGATATCCATCAACTGCCTTGGGCGAGGCCGAGAGCTCTCAGAAACATATTCTTACCACATATAAGCATGCTCCCTTAAGATATCAGTGAGACAAAAATGGCGAGCCCCTATACGTAAGTGCGCTGAGCTTGGCTACATTCCGATCGTTTACATTATCACGGATAGTGTGTTGAGGTTCCAGGATAAGGCACCGAATTGATGCCTCATTCCCAACCTCTGTCGGCATGCCTGTTCAGGGAAACCCGGGGCACTGAGCTTGATGTGCGAGCAAACGCTCTCGTGCGAGCAAACGCTCTCGTGCGAGCAAACGCTCTTGTGCGACATTATATTCTAAATTCAGGGGATCTTCATGGAAGAATTCCGATTGAGACCGATAATAGGGGTTTACTACTGTCAGGGGCTTGCCGCCCGTTCAGGGATAAATACCCCCAGAATGTATGCAGACAGTTTAACATGATACAATCAAGTTCAAGTTCTGTCAATTCCATCAAGTTCGATTTGTCTGCCCTTATTCAATATTCAGTGCTTCGTCGTATCCAAATCTCAACATAGTGAGCCAATGAGACTAACATCCCGGATAAGGTTGACTTTACCAGGTAAGGAACAATATAAAATCAATATATATATATACATATATAAATGCATTTTTATAATCCTTTCCTACAAATCTCAGAACTGCCCAGAGTGCCTTGATGGACTATTCGCCTGCGGCGCCAGCACAGCATATTTCTTAAAATGGAACAAGCAAGAAGATTTTATCAAAAGTTTTGTATCGGAGGAAAGAATATCTTTTTTAAAAGCCAAAGAATACTCCAGGGAATGCGAGATTGCTCCGGGAGCTGCTCAGGGCGGCAGTGTTACCGTCACCTTTTTTACTCAAGTATGTTATACTCGTCATTCCGCATTCGGCGTGGCGCCGGACTAACAAAAACGCGGACCGAAAACCGGGTTGTGGAAACGACTCTTTTGACGGAACTCGCGTCTGTCTACCACCGAATACGCTCTTTGATGCCTCTCCACACGCCCAGCAGATCAGCCTCCTTGGTGGAAAGCAGGCTGACTGGAAAATGACCGCCGATAACCTTCTGGTGCAGCTCCGGAAGGCGATCAAGTAAGAGCGCGACCCACGCATCGCAATGCATTTTCTAAACTCACATTTTACTAGAGAACCCCATGCAGCCATACACCGATTGAATTTGTCGCGAATTGCGCTCTGCTTGCCTCCTCAAGTCCACGAGCCTTATTTATATAAGCTCGGGATATCGCGCTATGCGGAGCTTTACTACGGACTGGAAGAAGCATGGGTGTCATGCATGGACGATCCGGCTGATTGGATTTGCGATTGGTCTGATGAGATTGCGCTAGACGAGGTGTTTGCTGTTGCTGACGATAAGCATCGCGTGCAACGATTGCTACGTCTACTTTATATTCCTGAACTTCCGCGGACAAGAGTGCTCGATGCTGATCTTTGCCTTTTACGATCTTTGAGCCCCTGCGATCAAGTCTCGGTTTCTGAGAATGTTTGGGGCGAAATTAGAAAGGACATATTCCAGCGCATCATGCAGAAACCGCATCTTCTGGTCGCTTATACCTGGATTTTGTACTCGGCTATTCTTTTTGGTGGACGCGAAATCCGCTCGCAGCTGCTCAAAGCCGGCCCGGAGTTTTGGGGCTTGTCGGTGACAGACTTTGCCTCTAGTCGGACACCTGCTCCGTTATCATTTTGGAATATAGATGATGATATAGCTGTCCGAGCCAGGTTTCGCCACCGCATTGCCAGGGCTGATCGTTTGTTGACGAATCAAGAGCGACAGGATGTTTTGGATGAGTCGGCTGAGATATTCCGCATTTTCGAGCTATTGACTCGGGCTTTGGATGAAGATACGAATTATACGGATGAGTGATCGAATGTTACGATGAGGATCTTTAAGGCTGTGATACCCGTGAAATAATGCAAAAATTTACTGAAACAGATGAATCGCCAAGATTCGTTGATATTTATGAGTCTCGGTCAAATCAATAACATCACAATGTTGCAGATCTACTGCGATCATAAAAGAGCGTGTTCACATGACAATACTTCTTCCCCCAATCTTCTTCGACATTTTCACCCATCATTTAGGTCCAGCCGAAATTACCTCTCGTGTTCTCTACACCTCTTCAACACCTTGACGTTTCGTCGATTAGCAACCGAGCTCGCCGTGGTTGTTGCTGATGCACTTGTCTATCAAAGCGTTAGCCTTCATTCCAGCAGTATCTCGTTAATAGGCGAGACCTACTCAGATCGATGTGAGCACGGACATAGCGGTGTCCCTCATCAACATTGCGGCACATGCATTCAAAGTCGGTGTGTCCTCGCAGAGTGCAGTTGATGCAAGAAGCGGTATAGTCGCCGCTAGACAAATGTTAGACATGAAGGATTCCACGAGAATGACTGAGTGTACTCACTTCTTTCCGCACTTGAGTCCGCCTTTCTTGTTCTTGATGCAGCGGTTCAGGTCGAGTGTGCTGGTGCGGTACTGACCATTCTCGTTCTCGCGGCAGTCGGCACGAATGGCGTTGCCGTTGCTCTCGATGTTTTGGCAGGTGTTGGCGAACTTGGAGGCGCCCGATACGGCCATGGTGAAGAGGGGAAGGAGGGCGATACAGGTCATGAAGAAATGCATGATGGCGGTGGTTTATGAAGGTAGAGAGTTGGGTTTGTGAAGATGTGGTACTTGAACCCGTGATTCTTGATGCTTATGATGATTCTGTACCGGGCAGGAGTCCCATATTTATATCTCTTCTGATGGCTGGGACTAAAGCTGTTGGTCTCCTACTGTGCACCGGTGACATAAACTTAATGCGAGAGAGAGCAAGGCACCATCAAGCTCTCATTGCTCCTTGCTTGAGCTAGCTGCCCCGCCCGCCCTAAGAATGCATCTCAACCATTATAAATGCTCTGAAATCATCTTACATTTGCTTCTGGGGTAATGGCGGTGGTCCATCAATCATGCAGCGAATGAAAAAGCCGCACGATGGGAGAGATATCATGAAGAAACATAAACGCTATCTAGAAAGTAAAGGAAAAGGCCAGGCGCCAAAAAAAAGAAATGAAAGCCGAGTAAAGCTACCGTGTATATCGTGTCCTCGGGACCCAGTCAAGCGCGCCAAAACCTCGAGGCCCAAAACAAGAATATTTCATCGTCTAGTTTGCCCAGAAAAAGGCCCGTAATAGTTGCAGAACTATTCTGTGAGAAACTATTACCAAGACAAACGTGAGCGTAGCGGTGTATTATCCGAGATAGGTCTTGCTTCAGCTGTAGTTTGGAGCGTCGATCTTCTATTCTGCAAGGGACGGTTTTGTCTCACACGGACATAACACAACCCTATGTTTTCGCGATACCTATTACCTCACCTTCAAGACCGTGCCAATCAGAGTTGTTGAGTAATGCATCAAAGACACCCATATGTGAATATTTCATTGGCCTATCTCCAGTGCTGTTCTCTCCCAGGCCTCTTCACATACTAATGACATCGATCGAAGCCCGGCTGCATTGCTACATACTACATTTTATTTCTATCCCTATGATCATCCCTTGATTTATCGTGGCAGCTCTGGGTCATCTGATCCTTCAGAGAGCTTTGGCGTAGCTTCTCTAGTTGATTGAAGTCGGCGAGCCACTGAATCTTGGATACTGCTTGCAAAGACATGATTTACATACACGCTCCACACAGACTGACGTATATAACGACCCATATGCTATACAAGTCCCTCGACATGCTTTCTTCGCAGCGTGGCCACTGATAAATGTTTTGCTGGGCTCGGCAAGGGGTAAGACCAAATTGGTGGTCCATGGGCGAAGTCACGGCTCGCTGGGGATCAAGCCGAGCAGGAACCATTTCTGTTAAGCACTACTATCATCAATAGATTTCCCTAAGCCTGATTGCAAGCCACTCTTGAGCATGTCGGGTATGCTGCATAGATTGATGTCGATCAGACAATGTCTCGACTACAGGCCCGACCCGGAATGAATTCTCGGCTGGTTAGGGGTGACCGACACAAGTAGACCTCTTTCACAGATCGAAAACCTCACTGTCTGAGCAGCCAGGGCTTGTAGAAAAATGTCTCCGGATTGTACAAAGTTGCTGGGATGCTCTGTAATTGGTGCCTGAGGCAGCAAAGCGGCTCTTGAGGCCACACTTTTCTTCCCTTCTGCATATATCCACCATCACGCGCCCAGAAGCACCACGGAAATCCTCGTCGCTCCTTGAAACCAATATTCTCAAACCTCAGAGAGAATTTCGCGACTCAATTCCGTCTCTAGCAACTAAATCGGCCGCCGGGCCGTCTCAGTCCTGGAGAATCCGGGGAAGCGATCCCAATTGCGGGGCGACCAAGCACTAGCGCCCGGCCTAGGGCAGTCGCTTCTGCAAGTTTTTTGCGCTGAGTCAGTCAGCGAACTATCCACTTGCCTGAAAATGAGTTAGGCTCAGCCTTTCCCAACCTGACAAGGGCCGTTCTCCGGTTCTCGGCCAATCGCTTCAAATGCCCTTCAATCTTAAACCCTGGTTGTTTCTAAATAGACCCTTTCCCCCTTTGGCTTCCCGAGGCTGACCGCGCGACCAGGGACACCATTCAAAAGCCATGTTTCTTTCAGGATAGACAGGTTGGCGCTCAGTTTAGCCTAAATGGAGCTGTGAGAGGAACCTCGTGCTCGTTCTTTGATGTTTCGTGCTGCCTAGGATGAGGCAAAGCTTGGTGAAGCCACCGCTAGGTTTATTGCCGCCCCTTGCCAAGATGTGACCGGAATATTGCGATTTCGAGGGCTTGTTATTTATCCTTATTTGCCGTTGAGTCACAGGCTAAGTTGGCTGATGCTTGTCGGGATGTCGGTTGACTCTTAAATACCTCCTTTGGCCGCGGGGCAAACTGTGACTTGATTCGACTGGAGATCCTCAGGTATTTTGCCCTTATTCAGAGCCTACTACTGTTCTTGGGGCCTGTACTGGCTTTGAATATTTTCCGCGATGGGAAAGGACACCTTCGAGCTTGGTGGCCAGCAATGGCCCAAGGTCACTTGGTGGAAGATGAAGGGGATGCGTTTTGTCTACCTCACACTGTGGGCAGCAATGATCACCTCTGCGACTAATGGTGAGTTACCAGGGTGCACGAACGCTTGAATTCTGACTAACCCGTCATGCCCAGGTTATGATGGCTCCTTAATGAACGGCTTGGAAGCCATAGAGTCCTGGAATGAGTGTACGTTCTGAAGTCCCCACGCAGACATGCTCCTGTTATTGGCTGACTACTATGAAGCTTACAACTACCCATCTGGTTCCACACTGGGTCTTCTCGCCGCCGCAATGTCCATCGGGTCGATGTTGTCGATTCCCGTTGTCCCGTACGTTGCAGATATTATGGGCCGACGTGCCGGCGTTGTCATCGGTTGCTGCATCATGCTCGTCGGTGTGGTCATGGTTTCCATCGGCTACAAGATTGCCTTGTTTGTCGTTGGTCGGATCATTCTGGGATTCGGGCTCGGGATCGCACAGGTGAGATCATAATGAGCGAGTTTCATAATGGTTGGAGCTGATCAGTGCGAATAGGAATGCTCCCCGTTGCTGGTCACTGAGCTGGTCCATCCTCAGCACCGCGCTATCTACAGTACCATTTACAATTCACTTTGGTATGTGGGTAGCTTGATTGGTGCCTGTGTTGCACTAGGTTTGTTCCGCAAATTAGACCTTGGCTACAGAAGATGCCTAACAGTTCTCAGGAACAAATCATATCGTGGGGAGTGCCTGGTCCTGGCGGGTTCCGTGCATGTTGCAAGGAATTCCATCCATCTGCCAACTGGTGTTCATTTGGTAAGCGATAATGTCGCCCAGGGGACCAATACAGATACTCATCTCAACAGGACTGTTCCGGAGTCTCCTCGGTGGCTCATCTCGAAAGGCAAATTGGAGCAAGCTAAGAAGGTCCTCGCATACGTGCATGCTCAAGGTGATGAGGACGATGCCCTTGTGAATGTCGAATTTGATGAAATTCAACAAACACTCGCCCTCGAAAAGGTATTCGAGGGGAACAACTGGTCCGAATTCTGGTCTACTGCGGGTAATCGCCATCGCTTGATCATTCTCGTATCGATTGGCTTCTTCTCCCAGTGGTCTGGCAATGGAATCGTGTCTTATTTCCTGCCTCAGGTAAGCTTTCCAAACACGCTCGCAAGATGAAGATGACAAGCTGACGTAGCCAGGTCCTGAAACTTATCGGAATTACAAACAGCAATACGGTCCTGACAATCAACCTCATCCTCAGCGCCGTGAACGTTGTCTCCGCGACCGGCATCTGCTTCTTCGTCGAATACTTCGGTCGCCGCAAACTGTTCCTCACCTCCAGCATTAGCATGCTCATATGCTACGTCTCCACAACGATTGCGCTCGCCCGCTTCTCCATAGCGTCCAATGATGCCGCTGCGCGTGCCGTACTCGCTTTCATTTTCCTCTTCTACATCGCCTACAATATCGGGTTCAGCGGCATGCTCGTCTCATACTCGTCCGAGATTCTTCCATACCGTCTTCGTGCCAAGGGATTGACTATCATGTTCTTCTGCGTTGATCTGAGTCTCTGGTTCAACCAGTACGTGAATCCGATTGCGCTGCTGAAAATTGAGTGGAAGTATTACATTGTCTACTGTGTCTTCCTACTCTTTGAAATTTTCATTGTCTGGAAATACTACATTGAGACAAAGGAAATTCCGCTCGAGGAAATTGTGAAGAAGTTTGATGGCGATCGCGCAATTCTGGGTGGCGCTGCTGCTTCGGAGAAGATCAATCAGCTTTCTGAACAGACCGAGACCCGTGTTGCGATGGATAGCGAGAAGGCGATGACTACACAGGTCGATATCAAGTCCCAGTACGAATGAGAGGTAGATTAAATACTAGCACGCTTTTGAGCCTGGACTTGTCTTCCTCGCATCCCAGATCCATGTACACATCTGGGAGCTCCCAATAGCAAGCGCCAGTGGCGCAGGGCCCTGCGAGCTACATTCCTCCTACCGATCTATAAAATTGAGCTCATTCCAATAGATCGCATCAATGATTCGAACCATCTGGACTAGATATAGCCGTCTTCCATTCAATACCTCCAAGTGACCTGATTTGTGCGAATGTAAATGGACTCTTTAAGAGCGCGGGTCTCCATTCCCGTGTTTCTCGATACTCACGATGTCGAAAGAACCGTAGTCAATCAGGCATCTAAAATTTGCAAATCAGCACCTTTAAAGCGAAGTATCATGAACGTACCCGCGTGGCTGCCAAAGATTCAAGCGTCTGCAAACAGATCGAAAGTCTATTATTACTATGTGGGAGTGAGCTACTGGTTTGACGCTTGCAGCGATTCCCGGTTTAGCATCTCAACCTACCAAAGGATCTCTGCAATCCCACAGAACAAGGTCAGGGGAGAGCTCCTAGCTACCTTGCGGGAAAATGGGAGTGGTGCTTTGAGCCGCATGAGTCGAGCCGAATTTTAAAGATAAAAGCTTAAAGAGCTTCCTGTTCCATAACTGCGGCGCACATCCGAATCGACATGAAACACTCATCTCGCGAAATCTTGGCACAAAATGAAATAAAAAATAAGGACGATATAATAAGCCACAAAAATTATGTCGGAGCCTGAGATAACTCACTTTATTCATTTGTCGCATCATAAATGACGGTGGTAAAAGATGAGCTCAACACTTCACCCACGAGACGAAAACGGTGGAAATACCCCGATAATGAGGCCCCCCTGCACCAAAACATGCGAGGGACACGACCTTGGACGATCCACCCGTGGAATAAAACAATATTTTGTGCAGTATGCCAAACAAACCCCATATCAGCAGAACAGCACGCAAATCGAGCCTATAAATTCGAGATCACTCTCGACGATCAAATTCTTCTGTTCATCCTCGTTCCATCAGGCCACCGGGATCTACCTCTTCCAAGCAACCTCCGCAATTTTCCATTTATTCCGAGGAAAGACGCAGAGTGCGCGACGAACTTTCCTATTCAGATAACTTTGAACCTTGCTAACAATGGACTAGACCTTCTTGACAAAATGCGTCTGTCGCTTGTCGCCCTCACCATCTCCTTGGTCATCGCTGCCATTGCAGCCCCGACCAATTTCGAACGGGACGAGAACGCGGAAGACCCCGGCGTGGGCGTCGGTGCTATCCTGGGCGTTGGAAAGCGTGATGTGAACGAAAATGATCTGTCGATCAGTGGTGGTGCCCGCGGTGGCATCAACAAGCGTAAGGAGAACGCCGAAGATCGGAAGTTGGCCTTGGTGCTGCCGTCGGCATCAACAAGCGTGATGATGATCTGAACATAAAGCTGAAGATCAACACTGATGGCAGCATCTCTATTCTTAAGCGCAATGTTAATGAGGAATATCTCTCTATCACTGGCGGCGTCGGTCTCGGCGTTTCAAAGCGCGAGGCTGCCCCCAATGAGAACCTGGATATAATATGCATTAAGGTAAATGCCGACGGTAGTCTGACTATTGGATAGGGAATGCCCAAGCCGCCGAGCCTACCCCGGTGTTGACCACGACTTAGTTAATGACTGGTGACTATGCTTGAAGTGGTCAGGCTTTACTATAAGACACGGCCTGGTGGTGGACATTCTGGATAATTATACAAACTAATTAATTAATGGAGAATATCGGAACACTTTATTAATACATTTCCTCATCACTACACACAGCCTTCTAATAACGTAGCCCCTACTTCATAAAGTACAATAAACAGTCAAACCCTCTGCAAGACATTCTTTCCGGCATTGCGGATCCGACACTTTGAGTCAGTCACATAATGTGATAAAAATGCCTCAGATACAGAAATCTTTCAAAAGGTTATCGTGCTACCGTTTGAACTTATACAAAAGGAGAATATTGCGAAGCTCAGCTTGTCTGCGACTCACAATTCGACGGGTTATGGTATGCCAACGGCACAGGAGTTGAAGCGGAGTTGAAGTCCACGCCAATGGACACAAATCCCATTTCTTTGCGCTAATTGCATATCATTCCTTTAACTCAGCTACCAAGTATTAGCACTTACTTCAAAATCGTTACAGACACTAAATACACCTTGGTTACAGGCTGCGGCGATGGCGGCATCAGTTCTGCGCTCGTCCGAACATTCCATGATAAGAGCATTCACGTATTTGCGGCTCAAAGGGCGCTGTGCACTTGAAGAACGAGACACTGGCGATGGAAATGAAGCCTTTTGAGGCGAAAGTGGTGACCGTCGTGGATGGGAGAGTTAGGGAGAATATCTTTTCGAATGTTCCGGGAGTCTTTCGGCTGATTTCCAATACATGCCCATTGAGAAGAATCTTGGAATCTAGTCGAATGGTGAAGAAGGACATAAACGACAGGAAGCAAAATTCTACGCCGACAGAGTCGTCAGTGATGTTGGGGTGCCCAGGGGAAGATCTATCGCGGCGGGTTATCCTCGTTGGTCCGCGTGATTATTCCGTGGATACCTAAGTCCCTCAAGGTTAGTCGAACACCTCTCAACTCAATCGGAAGTATTGCTGACTTATCGCTCCAGATTGTACCTGCTGCAAAGGGGAGTGGGCTTGATAATTTCGAAGGGTAGAATCATCGCAAGTGCGAAGTGGGACGAGAAAAGAATTGGACGGAATTTTTGAGCGCGTGAAAGAGTTGAAATGAGAACTAAACAATCGCCGACCGAGCGAATTTCTCGGAATCGTCAGTGACAATGAACAATTTTAAGATGCGATGATTTTGAAAACAATTGTTACAATTTCATTATTCTGTTAGGTGCCATTCTGGGTATTTATTTACGGATTTATCCTCACTACGGGTGTTTGTTTACGTTGGATGTCTCTATGGTAATTCATTCGTCTGGGTATTCCTATAAAGTTATGAACCGCCTCACGTAGCCGAGCCGAGGGTCGTCAATTTATCGCGTTGGGTGGTCAATAAGCTGGGTGTGGTTGTTGAAACCTGTCGCTTTGGGGCGGGTCCAAAATCGGGTTTGTTGAAGAGACTTGATTCCGGACCATCGGGTATCATGTTTTGGGTCGTCTCGGGTGAGTTTGGGGTTGTTCGGTTGTTCAGGCGCGCTGGGATTTCTTGAGGATAAGGAGAACCGCTTTGTCGCCGTGTCCTTTTACATAGTCTATCAAATCCGTGGAGACAACTTCCACCAGACCTTCCGCTTCCAACTTCTCAACCTCTGCCTTGAATCCGAAGGGGACCCAGATCTCTTGGAGAATTGTCGCCACGACAATACCCTTGGTCTTGGTGACTCGGACGAGTTCCCTAAGAGCTGGGTCGGGGCCGACGTGGCCGAGAGTGAATGTTCCGACACATGAGACGATGTCGTATGTATCGTCCTTCTGGGCGATTGGTTTGTTCATATCGGCCTGGGCCAGGTCACGGTAGGCACCGGTATCGCGTGCAATATCGAGCATGGGCTGGGACAGGTCAATGCCGTCGATGGCTCTGGCGCCGGAAATCGCAAGGGCTTGGCCCACAAGACCGGTTCCACAACCGGCATCGAGGATCACACTGTCGGCTGGTGACTTCGAGGACTTGAACTTGATGGCAGCCTGGGCAACGAGAACGGGAGCGACGTAGGACTGGGCCGAGTCACCGACCTCGTCATTGTATGTGGCGGCCCATTTGTCGTAGATTTCCATGCAGTCTTTCGAGTTAGGGCTGTTGCGGGCCTGCTTGAGGTAGAGCTGTGCTGTGGCAGCGGGGGCCGACATCTTGAATGGAGGGGATGGGGAGGCTTTTTGAAAATATTCAAAATGTTAAAATGATCTTGAAGTCGGAGGTGGGCGATGGGAGGATTTGTTGTTCTGGATGAGAAGTACAGTTGCGGACTGACTTCGGACGCCGGGCGAGGATACCCGTTCTTATAGCACTGAGCCCCGTATTCTGACCCATCGTCTCAGACTGTGATTCCGAATATGGCGTGATTCCATTAGCTGCGGGGTCAAGAGTGAATTGTTCGCAAAGGGGTGAGGATTCGACGATCGATGATGTCGGTGGATTACCATCCCGAGATGTTCCACGACTCGCCGGCATCATATATAAAAAATGAAGACATGTGAACACCGCAAATATGAATCCAATCTTCGAAAATTTTCAATATTCCATGCTTTATTCCACCCATTCGCAGGCCTCATGCACTTAATTGATTTTCTACCTGTTCTGGTTGTCGAGTTATTCGCAAACTGGACGAAATCAACATCCAGCCTGGCTTAAAGATGTAACTGGTATTGTAAACCTGTGGTAATATGGTTAACCTAGGGTAACCACAACCTGAGACTCGCCTGAAAGAGCTAGTTTCAGGATACAGCCAGCCAGATGCTCTTGGCCAGTATGCGTAGGTTCACTTGCATGCATGGAGATGTCGTTGGTCCCACTGGTCTCCGCGTCCTAGCGCGTCCTAGCGCGATTCCACGCGCCCCTCGCGTAGAACCCCGCTTTTGTCATTCACCTACCGTAGGATCGTAAAGGTTCCACACGCCCCTCTAGCTTTGATATCGATCAATAGCATCAGGTATAGCGAAATCGAGCTATTCCCGTTTGATCGTGGTATTTTCGGTGGCCTTTTGTTGGTCGGTACATCTTTAGCGGTATTATAACAGCACTACGAAAGCTAATGGTGGCCTCGCTTTGACGGGCCAAATTGCCCGTCGCAAAAGCCTTTGGCGACAGAATGAAAGTTGACCCTGGGAGGAACGACTAGTCCTTAAGATCTACTTAGTCATGGTGGAACGCTTGTCGATTAGATAGATTCGGTCCGATACTGCCGGCAGCATCGTGACAAAGATAGTAAAGAATTCACGCAGGAACTAGATTGAAAGGGAATCGGTCTAGAACAAGATTCCGCCTTCTGACCTGCACTTGCCGGGGCTGGTGACCCCGTACGTCAGCGGTGGCGAAGCACATGAAAGACGGATGACTCTCATCCGCTAGGACAAGGGCCCGCAGCGATGTGTCCTGCTGTTATTTTGTGCAGTAGCTCTGTGCCACGTAGGACCGAGAGCGGGCGATCCATAATTTCTGCGAGCTAATTCTCATTACATGATTGTCTTTACTCACTTACCCCCCATTCAATTGATATCGTCTCATGTCTCTCCAGATGGTGACTCTCATCGTACTTTCCTCTCGCATGCAGAGGCCAAGAGCGGGAAGAGGAAAGATGCAGACTACAGCAGAGAGATTTGGGGTCTCTTTTCTGATTCGTTTCGCAGATTTTGTGTTGCCTAATCCTCATCAGCCTGTACCCTTAGCTTTGCTGGCCCTCATCAGCCTGTACCCTTAGCTTTGCTGGCTGCTGAGGTGGCTTACTACCGATTTACGGCAAATTGGCTTTTTTCTATTAATTTCCGGGGGTAGATCATTATTGACCGGATCAATATCATGATCCCTGCCCCGTTGAACCTCGCTGATTTCTTCACAAACCCCTTCTATCAGATAGAAAGGGTTGCACAGTAGGAATGGGACGATTGAGTTTACAAAGTGGGAAGCGGGGGTGGGACGGAGCCCCGTCAATCTCCCAACAAACCCGAATGAGGGTTCAGAAGCGGGGTGCCTGACGTCGGCAACAACAGGAGAGCCTGGGAGCACTAATTGAGGGAACGCGGGGGAGGGCTGAGGGATGGGGCATGTGGGGAACCTCTAGAGCTCTGACCTCAGGGCAAATCTGGACGAATAGTTCAGGCTGAAGGGCGGGCCGATTTTTGTCCAAGCGCCTTAGCCTTGCGAGGGATCAGACGTTCCAATTTAGCCTGCCACAAAGTGTAGGCCGCGCTTGAGCCGCTCCATTGTGAAGAGGGCGGGCCCCACCGGCAGGGGAAATCAGGTTTACGGATGTATGGAGACTTGAAGGGGCCAACTGTGGAATGCAGCCAGGAGGCGAGGGCCAGGCCTGGCAAATGACTGGCCGTCATACTTTCCTTTCCAAGCGACTGGAAGGGAAACACGTTTTGGTTTGGCGTTGAGGACTGGATTTGGGATCGGAGTTTGTCGGACTAACTTGAGGCGTCTGGTTTGTCGAAAGAGGTGGAAGTTTACGGTGGGCTGTGATACGTCATATGAGTGACTCGAATTCTGGATTGGGAGGATTCTGGGTGCTTTGGTGAACCTGTTACAAAGGCACTTTACTCGATCATTTTTAGTAATCGAGTTCTGCTCTCGGGCCTCTCGCGTTGATCAAGGGTTGATGAACGGGTTGAGATAATGATGGCTGGGGGATAGCAATAGATGGAGAGAAAGAGTTTCAAATTATTTGGTTCTGGATCTAAAATATGATCTACAAAGGGGGACTTTTCTATGCGACGTGGGTCCTAGAACACCCGACCGTAGAGGCCACTCAAGGAACACGCGAGATAGAAAAGAAAAGGGAAATCAGTCCTTTTGGAAGTGTAGTGTATGTATTGTTTTTTCTGTCGGATTGGACTGGCAACGCAAAAAGAAAAGAAAGAGCGAAGGGCTAAAGAGAGCTGTCTACAAAGCACGTCAGCCCATCGGATAAGGAAGGGGTACCATCTGCCGGTTGTCACTCCTTGCGGCCTAAGGCAAGAACTGCACCTGAATGGACCAGTCTAACCGTGCTTTATACATCCACCTCTTCATAGTTTCAGTCAGAAAATGATAATTCGTATGCAAAATTTGCGACCCTTGGCTCAGTTTTGTGCCTTGAATCATGATTCGTCAAAAGTGTATATCCCATGTCGAGGGGTGCAACGAGGCTGCTAATCGCGTAGGTGACTGGACAAATATTCTGGATGAGAAACGATGACTCACCTAAAGAGAAGTCGACTCTGGCAAACAAGATGTCAAAGGAGGCGAAGAGGTTGGATATGACTTTGAAGAACTTCGACTTGAGCAAGGAACTTGACACATATTTCCAATTATCCTACCTGACATGGCGCGAGCTCTTCATTTTTGTACCAGGATGTGGATGCCCGGAGTGTTCTGATCCTGGAATGACTGTTCAAGTTAGGCTATCCTGTTGATCTCGTATTGTTTTCTTTTGGATTTCAATTAACTATCGATTTCTAATTTTGGTGATGGATATATAGCGAATAGAATGGTTCCGTTGCCCATGAATTTGAAAAGCTTATAACGGAGATAAATGTATAAGGCCCAGGACTTGTAGCATTGGCCTGGTTAGTCAGTAGCATCATGAAGGCAAACAAAGAGGGCAATACTTGTTGCTCCCCCAAGATTCAAGCTGGGAACAGTCAACGAAGCCATCCAGCAAAGCGGTCCGGGTGGGGTGACCGCGGCCCCGCCGCTTCTTTGTCACGCGTTTTGGGCAGTAGGGTTTAATTAGTAGTATTGTGGTAGCCCCTCTCGCCCTCTTTCCCTCTCCCCTCCCCGAGGAGCCGAGAGCCACAACGCAGAAATCCACTATTTCATCGACCTTTCAAGCCCCTATCCTGAAGAACTCACTTGACCCCCGGAGGTTATCCGCAATCATGCCATCCACGGCGGCGCAGCTAGCCGTCGGCGAGCAGTGTGCCGACCTGGTAGAGGATCTACATCAACGGCTCCGACGCCTACTCCACCAACTCGACCCCGCCGCCATCCCCAACTATGTCCACACAGAGAGCTTGGACCCCGTGTCGACTATCGAGGTGTTGCTGGATGCAATCTCCAAATTCCGCGGATGGGCAGAAAATGGTGAGGTGATTGTTCAAAAATGCTTTGATCAAAAGCTAAATGCCTTCGAAGAGGTGGCGTGGGAGATGCTACACATCTTCTACAGCGAAACACTGACTCCAGTGAATCTTACTACGGTGCGGATGCTGGCCATGGAAGTTGGCCGATTGCGGGCGAGGCCAAATGGTGAGAAATACATAACCACGTTAAACAATATTAACCGCGAGGCCAGAGGTTTCGAGCGTTCTCTGCAGAGAGACGCCACAAGGAGCCCGAATCCCAACTCGGAGGCCTGGCAACGTCTTGAAATGTGGCGCCGGGTACGTGTCGCAGTGCCGGACTGCAACTGCCGCCAATGCGGCTGGCGCGAGGACAATGGCTGAGTCTATCACCAGCGTGAATCGTTAGCCCTATTTGGGCACTGCCAAATGCACCCGCTGGCTGATATACTCGGGCCATGTTCCCAGAAACATTGCTAGGAAAATATCCGTGATGGTTTGATTAATACCAAGTTTCTAATTTTTCAGCCTAGATATGCTTCTGTACATTGCACTTCGCCTGGCTAACAAGCTTCTCTCAACGCTCGGTCTCTTTACTGTCGACGAACTCAATGATCAGAACGATCTTCTTTCTGCTCTCCTCTAAGAAAAAATGAACAAATACTCCCAATTATGCGCCTATTACTCGTCTGTGAGGCCATTATTCTTCGCTTCCTTCTTGAATCTAGCCCTACTGGGAGCCCAGGACCTGTTCTTTTCCTCGTTTTCGAACATTTCTTTGGTGAATATGGGATACCCGGTAAGTATGTCTTGGAGACCTTGGATATGCTGAACCATTGTCTCCGCGCTCATCGGCGTATGGGGGGACTCAGCGAATGTGGAGGCTGGGGCAAAATTGTCAATTGGATTCGGTGCTAGAACTTTGACAAAGGCATCGCCTGAGAGGGATGCGAAGCCTTCTAGGAAAAATCCCCACGAAAAATTTCTTCCAGCTTTATTACGACAATTTTATTCAAGGGGTGCCTGGATTAGAATGCCTCCTTACGCTAATTTCAGGCTCGATTTCCTTAAGATGTCCTTTGTTTACGGTCCTATGGTATAGCTAACCCGGCGCACCACTCAATCTCCGAAATCCCCGTCGGAGAGTCGACCAAGCGAGTCGACATATACGGTTAGAATTGGGTATGTATTAGTCAATCACGTAAACTATGTGAGGGCACCAATGCAATATCTGCTGGTCTTTCTGGGGCTAAATGGCTAGAGTACTAGCTGACGATGCATAAACAAATTTATTGAAATTGAAATCAATCGAATAGTAAAGTGAAATGAATTTGAAATGAATTTGAAATGATTGTTCCACCCCTCCACCAATCTCCCCCCCCCCACCCATTGTGTAAGGTAAGGACAGTGTTCAAACCCAATACTTCTTGATACCCCCATCACTACCAACAACGGGATCCAATTCCGCATTCGAAACCTTCCAAACATCCTCAAAATTCGGAGAATCTCCGCCCTCACCCCAATTCCAACTGAATCCTTTCGGATACGCCCCCATCATCGTAAACCCCTCTAACTGCAAGCTCACCACCAACCCACGCGGATCATCCGACTCAATACCTCTCGCGACTCCAGTCAAACACCCAGACTTTTCATCCTCCGCATCCTGATCAAAGCTCTTATGTGCAACACCGGCTGGGATGACAAAAACATCGCCTACCTCGGCCGTCATCTGCAGTCCGCCTTCCTCGAACGCGTCGCCGTAGATATTTTTCTCTGTGTCATCGTCTAGGTCTGCGACTCCCCATCGAATGATTCCCGGCCCCGTGGTAACAACCATCGTTTCGTGCGTTTCTGGGTGGTAGTGGGATCGTTGGTGTCGCCCGTATCGTGTAACCCATTGTACGTCCCACCCGTTCTTGATAAATGTGTCATAGGCAAGTCCCAGATCGACCTTCCCATCTTGCATGCAAAAGTTTTTGTATAGAAGGAGCGGTTTCGGGCTGTTGGGGATGAGCTTCGTGGGTTTAATTTCGTAGGTCATTGGTTCTTGCATGGTGTCGGACCGTAGAGAGGTGATAAATGAAATCTCGGTGAGAGAAATAAAGTAGGGATACGTCTGCTCTGCAGGGGCCTAGGGTGAAGTACCTGCTTATGTAGAATGGCGTGGTTAGAATAACCTGAAATGGATGCGGGGCTACTATCTTTGCTACAAACACTCGCTGTGAATGCCGGGCTCTATGACGCCCTCGGGACCACTCCAACCAGTCGGTTTTCGCGGGGAGTTTACCCCGCCTGTCAACAAGGGTATAAGGCCGGTAGCCCTGCACGGGCGATCGCTAGGATCGGCCAGCAAACGGCTTCTATTCGAATCTTTCCTGAGCTACGGCGCTCCAGCCCGAGATTACCGGGATCTCGATCCGAGATCGACATGCATATAACAGTGGCTGGGGTGCTGATAACGGTGGACCCGATAGACAGGCACAGATCACCACTCTAGCCAAATCTGGGAGCTTCGAGAACAGCGGGTTCTGTGTCTCGATTGGGAATGATATCGCGCCGAAGTTTGTTGACGCGCGTTAACACAGCGGAGAAGTTGCAGTTGGTTTAAGCTTAATATCACGCCGGCGTTTCTTTAGCTAAGCTTAATGCAACGTGGTAGGGCTAGTCGAAAGTTTCAGAAACGTGTTTCAATTGGTATCATTGGTACTGCAACTAGTCTATAAGATGCAAATGTTCTTTGTCGTAATGGTCTATCATCGTTAAAGGAAAACCGTTCAAGGCAGGGTGTAGCCACCGTCAATGACCACGTTGGCACCGGTCATGTAGCAGCAAGCATCACTGGCGAGGAAGACGTAGGCCTGAAAGAGATGTTAGTATTGTTTGGGGTAAGAAATTTGTTGGATAATGGAGAGTAAACGTACCGACTTCAGCTCAGCGGGATCGCAGATGCGGCCACCAGGCACCATGGAGAGCCACTTCTCGAACAGCTCCTTGGGCTGCTGGGTAAGCACTGCAGATAGAATGTATTAGCAATCGGTTTGTATCAACGCGTAAATGTATCGGTCGGTGAATAGGTAGACTGACTCTTAGTCATGATGAAGCCGGGCGAGATGCAGTTGACGCGCGCAAAGTCGGTCCACTCCACAGCCAAGCTTTTTGCCAGATGCACTGCCGCGGCCTTGGAGGCGTTGTAGGCACACTGTGTCTGGGGGGTGTTGACCAGAATGGCGCTGACCGACGCAGTAATGATCAGGTTACCCTTGCCCTGGCGCTTGAAGATCTTTCCAGCAGCCTGCGCGGTCCACATCACGCCGTCGTAGTTGACAAGGTTGTCACGAGCCCAGCTCTCCTCATCGTATTCCAGGTTGGGGCGGTTGGTGCAGGTACCAGCGTTGGCGACCACAACATCCAGACGGCCGTTGCCGAACTCATTGGCAACCTTATTGAGTGTGGCATCGATCTCGCTGCGGCTGGTCACGTCGGACTGGAAGGCCTGGATGCGCTGGCCAGTCTCTAAAGCGATCTTCGCGGCGGATTCGGGGGCATCGGCGGTGGTGGTGTACAGGAGGGCAACGTCGGCGCCCGCCTCGGCCATTCCGCGCACGACCTCAAAGCCAATACCGCGGGCACCACCGGTCACGGCGACGATCTTGCCGGCCAGCGAGAACTGGGACAGCACGGGGGTGTTCACGTTGGGAGGCTGGTAGAGAGGCATCTCGGAGTCTGTATTTGTGTGATTTGGTGACTGAGCTGGTCAACCCGCGGGGTTAAATAGGCTTCGCGTTTACCATTGAGGGGTTCTCGGGGTCCTGAGCGCTCCTCCCCCCCTTCCCTCCCCCCCGGTTCCCTCGTCCGCGCATTCTGCCTGTGACGATGCTGGGTGGAGATGGGGCGACAGTCGAGCAGTGCGGAGGGCAAGTCGCGAGACTCGGCAAATCTTCCGCTTTGGCCAACTCTGCCGAGCTCCACCCAACTCCACTTCCGCAACCTCCCCGCAATGCCTGGGGCGACAGGCCTCCTACGCCCACTGTATGCCTCAAGCGCAACCTGCTGTCCGATCAGGTATGCCTGCCCGCGAGTCTGTGAAGAGGGGCCACCGCTCGCGCAAGGGATGGTAAGCTGCACTTTCCCAGCCCTACTACAGAGCACGCGCTGATTGTCGCCAGCCCCGAATGCCGCGCGCGCAAGATCAAGTGCGACGAGAAACGGCCCGAATGCACCCAATGCGTCAAAAGCCGGCGATCCTGTCGGATCATCGACGGCCTCTTTCGGCCACATGAATTGTCTATCCCGACCCAGTCGGTTTCCCGAACCCTAAGGTCCCCAAAGCCGTCGCCCAGTCAGGCTCGTTCGGACCAGGATAATGCTGCGACGATGCCGGCGCCGCCACCGAGTATGTCTTCCTTTATCCTCTATCTATACATGGTATCTATCGAACGTCTCAACTCGTGAGACTTTGCTGATTATTCCCGGCCTCTAGCCAACCCGACCGGTGACGTCAATTGTGCTACCAATGGCCCAAGATCGCCCGTATCGCCTGAAAATGAGATACCCGTGGCCTTGCCGGCGCAATCGAGAGGGGCCATACCTATTGGTGGCTTGCTAGCGCAGTCGTCCCCATCGGGTACATTTCGCAAAGCAGTTGAGATGCCGTCGGTGCGGTCATTGCCAACTGCAAATCTATACCTCTCCACCAGTCCAATCGCCACACATGGCCATCCGACTGTAGCCAGCCATGCGTCTTCACAAAGCTCCGCAATCCCTGCAAGTTTACCAGAGGAAAATAATCAAGATAGCGCCGAGGTCGGATTCTTCCTCCGTCATTTCGCAGAGCACGGCGGGCAGTGGATGGACATCTGCACCGGTCAGCGATCGTATTTCAGTCAATATGTTGTCCAGCTCGCAAGCCAAAGCCCTATCCTTCGGTATTCTGCATGCGCATTTGCCGCAAAGCAAATGGGGCAGATGAAAGACTCCACCCGGGCCACTAATATAACGACTCGGTCGAGTATGACAGCTTCGATGCTTCTTCGGGCAAGTCTGGACTTTTTGTGGTATGGGGCCAAATATTATGAGAAGGCGATTCTACTTATGGCTCGCCAAATCTCACACGACCGCTCCACTGTTCAAAATCACCTCTCTCCTGGTGAAATATACCGATCCCCTGGGAGTGATTATCACCACCTCGACTATCACGAAAGCACGTCGTCGGCATTTCGCATATTGGCGGCCTGCATCTTGTGTTCCTATGAGGACCTCAGCGGGACGATGCGAGCATGGACCGGCCATTTGGACGGGATCAATAAACTATTTCGTCCACACCTTGATCTTCCCATCTCCCCCGACAACTTCTACCGCATCCCACAATCCATGAGGGCATTGAATGTGTCATTTTGGTATTTTGCCCTGAATGACATGCTCAACGGCTGTAAGTTTCCTGAAATCTAGCGATCGGAATCCAATACCTTTGACTGACGTGTTGTTTAGTTACCCTGAGTCAACCATGCCGCATCAACCCAGACGACCACCCCCTCTGGCGGAAAATGGGCCTCCCTCTCAGCGATTCCGGGCAATTGATGTCCGAATACATTGAAGAAGAACAACAAGAATCAATTTTTTTCAAAGCCCTCATCCGCCTCCTCTGCAAACTTGTCAATCTAGACAAGTTCAACAATCCCCGCCAATGGACCCTCGTGGACACAGAATTCACACAATGGCGCAACGCCCTCCCACCCGAATTCTTCGCCCCAATAACCCACAACCTCCCACCAACCCAACCTCCCACACAAGAACCACCCGCCGAGACATGGCTCAGTTCCGAAACCTGCGCTGTAGCCATGGCATTCTACCACATGGCCCGGATCGTCCTGATAATCAACCAACCGCAAGAAATATTTATCACTGCCCAAAAGAAACCCGGCGATCTACTAAGTACATACAAAGTCCTGCATGAGAACCTAACGCACCACGCAAATGAGATCCTTCCAATCGCGCACGGGATGCCGAATATCACGGTCCAGAAGTACTTGGTGCAGCCACTCTATGTTTCGGCGCGATGCTTCTTGGGCTGGAACGAGAGGATTACTGTTATTGAATTGCTTCGCAATATCCAAGCGTCTCTTGGCCTGGCTACTGAATACCGGGTCAAGGATTTGGCGGAGGAGTGGAAGATTGACTATGAGTCGATCTCCTTGCCTGAACACGGTGTGAATGTTGTACCATAGCATCTGCTAGAGATATACGTCGGCTACGAAGGTCGTTACGTATGTTCAAGGGATATGCCTACGAATACTCCAGTCTACTCAATCATAGTCGCGACTATCTCCGGGTTTCTTTACCTCGCTATGTCGCCTCGTTCGCCTCTCAAGTATTCCGCACGCTGATTCGCTGACGTGGGGAATCCTAAATAGGAAATTCAGGCGACACCACATCGACGAAAGGGGGCCTGTTCTCCGAGGATTTAGTTTGGCTCGGTATACGGTTCCTGAGGTCACCTGGTACTCTGGAAATAGGCTTGGGGGGCTTTTAGTGTTTCCCCGGCGATCAGCGTGAGTTGAGCAAACAAGATTTCGTCTTGCTTCATCTGCGAGATTAGCATTTCCAATGCTAGTCTAACTGCTTAGCTGAAATGAAAGAGGTCAACTACAGCAAATCGAGGAACTTCTCAATCTGGTAATTTCTGAATCTCAATCTCGCCTAAAACATCACAATCACATTCATTCGTAACTGTAGACAAATTCCAGGAAACATAGCGCACTCAGTGCGGATACTATATACGCCTAGTTACCAGAGACAGCTTTTGCAGATTATTCACAAGTAAAAACTGACAAGGCACTTATTCCTTCCCATCATCATGCACAACCTCCGTGTCAATCGTACTCTCAGTATCCGGCCCAATCTGCCCTTTCTCCCGAATCTGCTTTTGAAATATCTCCGCCACATGGAGCGCAGAAGTTCCATGCTCACTATACGGCAGATAAATCTCTTCAAGCGTCAAATTCGCCGTTTCAGGGTAGCAGAAGTAAACGAAGCGGGATGAGTGCGGCGTTTGTGTACACGAAGGCGAGGTAAGATTCCATTCGATATTCCGGAATATCGTCGGTGTGATCATGACAATGACGAAGCTCTGCACTCGCTAGAATTTTCCCTCGGATGGGGTTGGTGGACATACCCAGAGCCAGTTCGATGAGAAGCCGATGGCGGTTCCCTTTGCGCGCGCGTGTAAGAGTAGGATTTCGGGAAGTGGCACCATGGGGTTGAGGAGGCGGAGGCGCCGTATATTAACGTGAACTAGGGCTTTTTATTAACTTTATCACTTGAGGTACTAGATGGGGAGACGCACGGTGAAGAATAAGGCGATACTATCGGATGCTGTTGGTTCTTAGCTAGCTGTTCCTTTGAAGCTTAGTATGATGGCGATCATCATCATTGAAATGCTGAGACCGGCGCAACCCCAGATCAAGGGTTTCTGCGGCTGATGTGGCCGGCAGATAATGCTGGGAGGAGGGCACCGAAGAAGAACATGCATTGGAATACTTGCTTTGATGTTAGCATGTGTGTATGCTTTGTCGGATGGGGGGACTTACGCTCCACTGAGAAGGAGGTTGAGGTTGCGGCTTGGTCCGATGTTGTTTTCCGAAATGGTTGGAATGCAGTAACTGGATCATGTCAATACGGTTTTCTATGGACGTGCACAATGAAATTGATTCCACTTGCCTGGTTCATGGACTGCATTTCATATGCAAGAAGAACATAATTTCCAGTTTACACTTCGTTCGTGGCGGGTGAAGATGGAAGAGTCTTGTATACATACCACAATTAAGTTCATGGCAATCCACATTGCCCGTCATAAAGTTCAGCAGACACCCTGCAAGATAGTCCAAGTTGTAAATTGTCAGCACGAATCTGAGCAGAGCATCGTTGGGATTGTTGATCGTATTGAGGAAATCCGTGTTAGTCTCAATACCTCCGAACAAGCCTCTGTCATAACCTGTCAAGGCACCCTGAGCCATTTTCCTTCCTCGTCATCGTGAGAAATATATTGAAGAAAATAAAACACAGTTCGCAGTAAATGTGATAGTAGTCCGTAGAGGCAATCCTCTACCAAAGATATTGACGTTCATCTTGATCACTTGGGAAAACAATTCAAAGCTCGACCTAAAGTGATAACATCCAAGAAGTCCGAGACATTTCAGTCGTACCACTCCCAGGCTGGGACTTTGACACACTTTGTACAAGATGGGAAAGGCAAAAGCCCAACCTGACTCCAAACGCGGAGGCCAATGAGATCGGCTACGTCCCAGATTATTCCCCAAACATTCAACCCGCAAAGTGACGCTGCAGCGGCATAGGTATTGCGTGGTCCGGAATCACTAAGGCCCAAACAGCCCCGGAAAAAAGGCAGGAACGCTGTCACATTGGTGCACGAGTGTGAGGGGTGACAGACGTCCGACGAAGCGGATCGGCGCAAAGAAACCGAGTCGTGCGGGATTTTGGAAAGTTGGCGACGAAGCCTTTTTTTTATTTCCGTTTTAGATAAGATCCAATGCGTTCGGAAGTCTCCACTTTGGCGTTCTCGGCCCTGGAATCACCACCCCGCGACCGGCTTTCCGTCATTTTAGGGGTACTTGGTTTCTGATGGCTTTCTTATTCGCTTTTCCCGGGCCGTTGCACTTGGCTATGTGGTCATGTTCCCTATGGTCGGGGGAGAAATGTGACCGGTGGGGATATCACCGGCATCGAATGTGGTTAGGCGGTGCAACACAGTGTCATGGAAAAAGGGAGGTACACTATGGAGGCGATACTAATTTTCCTACGTCACTCCAGCAGATCGGTTAGTTGGTATTTAGTCTTCGTTGGCCCCACTGGTATACTGTCTCTGACATTGGCACAGTGAACGTCATGGAAAAATTAGGAGTACGTGGCATCCACATCACAAAGTACTCTTAAGGTCAACTCCAGCCAACGAGTACACTACATCCATGGCACCGGATTGTACAGTGACAATACCACGGTATAGAAAATGAAGTAAGCTTAACAAGGCTATGACATGGAGTCCATTCTTCAACCATATGTTCATTATGATATATCAACAAGACAGGCAACAATCACTCACACCTCCGTGACAGTCTCTACCCTCTTCGAATCAATATCCACAATCCTCGTCTCCTGCACCTCCCCATTCCTCTCATCGCGCACAGTCAACAACACAATGCCCGTCGTCCAAATGGCCAAAGCAACAGAACATCCAATCATTGCCCACATTCCCTTAGTAAATCTGGGCGCAAAATCCGCCGAGTAGAAAAGCAAAATCCACCACGCATTAACAGCATTACTTCCCATATTCATACTAGCAATAACAACCGACCGGAACCGATCATTCTGGTAGCGCATCGCATCATTGCACCAGGCGAAAAATGTCGCCTGGCACGCATACACGGCTCCGGCCCAATAATACATACCGAAAACTACGGCCGTATCTTCAAAGCGGGTGAGAATTAGTGCTGAGGTCACGATGCCTGTTATCGCGATGAAGTAGCCGACTAGGTACCGCTTGCCGCCCATGAAGTCGGTCAAGGTTGCCCAGAAGAGGGTGGAGATTATGCCCACGGCGGGCACGCCAGTTGGGTAGTTGTTTAGTTGGGAAACGGTGTAGGAGTTGGTTGGGTGGGATTTCATGTAGAGTGCTAGGAGGGCGTTGGAGGAGAAGGATTCTGTTTCGCCAGCGATGATCCAGAGCATGACGAAGGCGTACCAGTACCAGGAGGTGAAGACGCGCTTGACGAAGGTGAGATTTAGGCGTACTTTTTCAGTGCCCGATTCAGGGATGCGAGCGATAGCCATGGCGCGCTCTTCGGAGGTGAGGTATGGTGCTTTGGTTGTTGAGGGTGTGTCTGGGAAGAGCAGGAAGCCGAAAATCGCAATCGGGATTGTTATGATTCCGTCGATCTGGCTTGTTAGGTACTGCGACTCTGGGATCTTGCAAGGGGCGACATACGATAAAAAGCCATCGCCAACCGGAGATTCCGTGAGCACCATCCATGGAAGATTGGATACCAGTCTGGATAAAGCCACCAAACATAGTCCCGGCCAATCCAGACGCAGTGAAAATGCCACTGCGCTTCCCGAGCTCTTTCTCTGTGTACCATGAGCCGAGAATATAATGGGTCCCGACAAAGGTACTGGACTCGGCCAGGCCGAGAAAGAATCGAATAGCCATAATGCCCTGCGGATTCTGCACTGCAGCCGTGATCATAGTCAACCCGCCCCAGAGAAGCATCATCGCTGGGAAAAACAAATGCGGTCGCAAGTACGTAAGTGCCAGATTAGAGGGCAGCTGGCCGACGATATAGCCGACCGTGAAAATAGTATTGATCAGATTGAGTTCATTGCCCTTAAAGTTGAGCTCTTCTTTCCTGTGTAGATCGTCAGCGATGGATCCTGCACTGCAGATCCGGGGTTGACGTACATCCCTGAGACGTATGCATTGTTGATATTGCTCCGGTCCAGGTAGTTGGCGAAGTAGCAGAGACAGCAGAACGACAGAATGAAGGTGTCGATCTTGCGGAGCAGCTTCGCTTCACCGGGCACACGTTCGTGGCCTTTAAGGTAGGAGGTGAACTGGGCGAGGACGCTCATTCTGGCCAGCGGGCATATTTTCTGTTCGGTGGGGAAAATACAACGGAAGGATTCGCAGCGGCGGCGGCAGTTTATATCGCCCGCCTTATCTCCGCCTCCAAATTGCCGCCCCCGCAAGCCCTCAACGAGGTACAAGTGCAGTGTTGCACCTGCGCCGGTTTGGTATACTCGATTTGCACCTTATCTCCTCTTCTCTGATAGAGTCTAGCTTTATCAGAGTGTCGGTTCAGCTGACCCGAGGCTTGCTAGAAAGTGCGGGGGGACTCCACTATCGCTGTTAGCGCTGCGTGGCGAGCTTGGCGATCTTACATTGCTTGCCGGATGGGGAAACCTATCTAGCTGCCTTATCGGAGTACACAGACCTTGCCGACTTGAAGGGAGTTGGAGTATCGTATCTGGCATGTGTTTAGGTTTGCATGTCGATAAGTGATTCCTTGCTTAGCTAGCTTCTTACTCTGGAATATCTGTCACAAAAAATTCTGGCCTAGCCCAGATGATAGACCCATCATTTCCCACCATCCAGGTCTCGCCATACCCAATTACAGACGAAAGAAGCCGCTAACAGCTTTTCAAAATAGCTTATAATTGAAAGCATGACTGATTACTTTTCTAGCAGCCCTACCTATCCAAGTGGAACATCTTCACCACCCCCATACCAAAGCCGTCCCCTCCTCACGACCAAGCCCATTTCCTGCCCAACAATCCACTCGCCTCCATCAGGTATACCACCCTCACTAGGCCAGTATTTCCTCTTCAAATTATCATTGACCTCGCCAATCTTGTCAACAAACCGCTTAACAGCAGCGGAATCAACCTGTCGCCCGTCATCCCCCTTAACAAACCCATCATCAGTGATGAACCGTCCGATCGTGATATGCGCCGATGGCACGATATAGCGCGAGGCCACCGGAAGATTGGCTTGCCGGGTTATGTCGAAGATATCACGGCGCAGATGGTGATAGCTGTAGCTGTCGCTATCTCCACTTGGCGATGCCTCCACTCCTTCCCCGGCGGCTGGGACGAGGGTTAGAGCCAGGGCCGCGGAGTCGAAGCTGATCAAGGGCTTCAGGAGACGAGTCTGGTGAGCGACTGCGTATTCAGAGATTTGTCTCGTAGAGACTTCTGATGATTGCAGGGTTTGAACAAGGTTTTCGATTTCACCTTCTGTCAGTGAGTGCGCGACTTCTAGGACTGTTGTGTGGAGACAGTCGTCTGGCATGGTCCAGAGTGCTGTTTGAAATAATTAATACAGGTTCTTCTTCGGCGTTATTCTCTGGAATGATTTTCGGGGTGGATGATGACTCACAAGGAGCAACACTCTTCAACTCCCCCTGCACAAACGCGATCAAATCGCGGATAGCTGGAGATGGTCTCGCCCATATGACAAGACAGTTCCGAGGATCAAGATACCCCTCTTCTTTCCTCGGACCATCAAGGCGCATAAGGATCTCATCGAGCTTCCATCCCGCAAATTCCGGTCTCAAAATCGCTGTGCGCTGTTGCTCATTGCGAGTTTCCCGGTGGCTTTCATAGCGGGATTGTAATTGCGCCTGTACAAAATCGACTCAGATAGGAAGGCGCTCGTCAGCTTGTTCACGTACCGGATCGTGATTAGCTTCCGCAATCAGCTTCTGGAAGGGATTGTCCTCCGAGATTTTGATTGCTGACATCGTGAAGATCGAATGAACCCTCTGTCCACCATTCAGCTGCGAAAATTCCGAGTGATCCCGAGGACCGTTTTGGATATACCTGTATCCAAGACCAACGGAAATATTCAGATTGCCTAGATTGCTTGCTAAGCACAACGGCGAGGTGTGGATCGCGGAGATGAAACGGTTGAAAGTAAGCGAGCGGCGGGATTCCCCCAGTTTACCCCACACCGCGGCAGAAGGGTAAGCGCAGCATTTTGACATCTGAGCATCTACAGAGATGAGCGACTAGCGAGATGAATTCCTTGGTGAATGTTTAGTACTGTCCAAATATTACAACAGGCCTGAAAGTTACGTTCGACATGATTGACTCTTACGTCAAATGCTGACGTTCTGAGCAGGAACCTGCAGGAACCGCGCCTCGGTTCTGAAATGAGGATCACCATAACAATCACGAAAGCGAACTCAGCCACCCACGCCCTTCACAGATCCACTCCGGTGCCTGGTTCGCCCCAGCTGTGGGCCAATTACCAATCACCCCGGTCGCAGATCCGAGGTCTTACCACGTGTGTTGGTCGCATGTCAACGTCCTCGGCACTCTGGTGCAATAGCGACCCCCTTATTTGGAATATGAATACTTGAAATCGTGAGAAACATGGATTGTTTCCTTTGGTAGAGGAAGCTGACACTTGCAGGCTAAGTTGTGGCGTTGATGCGGTATACACACTGCAGTAGTGCGAAGGAAACTGCCACTGAGAGATGTGGAGAACAGTATGTACGGGACCACGGCAGATGGCTAATAATAAACATCCCGTTTAGGTTCGGCAGACCAGAAATAGATATATCACACTGACAATGCAAGGGGCTTGCTACGTCAGGTCCAGACTGATCTATTGGCAAATACTAATGTACATCACACAGAGCAGATTACAAGATAGAAAAAATCTAGGAATCACTGCGCGACTAAATACCTCATATGCACATGAATATAAACCGCAGCACCAAATCGAGACGTAGATCATGGAATTATGATTGCTGAAAAAGGCCGATTGAGCCCATTTAGAACAGAAGTAAAAGAAGATGGACTTCAATATATCCAACATGAAAGGAAACATAAAATGTCAACAAAAACTGAAGACAAGGGAGTGGCGCCAACTGTCACCGACAGCGTCTGCCATCATCACCTCTACCCGCAGACCACTTAGAACTGCATGGCGACGGCGCAGAGAGCACCGAAGGCAACAGCGATACCGGAGAAGGTAGCGCGGCCAGCGGCGTTGAAGGGAACGGCGCTGGGGGAGGGGGAGCCAGAGGCAGAGCCGCTGGGGACACCGCTGGAGGCGGAGACGATGGGGGCAGGGGCAGTGGGAGTCACGCGGCGGAGGGAGGAAGTCTTGGAGACGGAGGGGACCGCGCCGGAGGAGATGGGGCAGATTGTGGTGTAGCTGGTCGCGGTGACGGTCACAACAGGCTTGGAGCTAGCAGAGGTGGGGTGGACAGGAGAGACACCGCCAGGGCCGGAGGGGACGCCAGAGCTGGCCGGGGCAGAGGGGGCCCAGCCGGAGGAGGCAGGACCGGTGGCGGCAGGGCTACCGGGGATGACAGTCGAGCTGACGATGGCGGAGGTCTCGGTGTCGCAGGGGGTGCTGGAGGCACCGGCGGGACCGGTGGGAGTAGCAATGGCACCGGGGCCAGAGGGGCCGGAGGTCTCGCCGGGAATGACGGTGGAGCTCACGATCTCGCTGGTCAGGGTGTCGCAGGGAGTGCTAGAGGCGCCAGCAGGGCCGGTGGGAGTGGCAGTGGCAGCGGGACCAGAGGGACCGGAGGTCTGGCCGGGGATGACGGTCGAGCTGACGATCTCGCTGATCTCGGTGTCACAGGGGGTGGTGGTAGCAGCGGCAGGAGCAGTGGTGGTGCCGGGGATGACAGTCGAGCTGACGACCTCGCTGGTCTCAGTTTCACAGGGAGTGGTCGAGGCAGCGGTGGTCTGGCTGCCACCGTCCTGGCAGTCAACCTCACCCAGAACTGCAAGGCACAGGTTGACGGGGATGTTGATCAGGCCGCCGGAAGAGGAGGAGCTCTGCTGGCAGTGGGCCTCGCCGAGGACAGCCAGGCAGACGTTGATGGGGACGTTGATCAGGGAGCCACTGTCGCTGCTGGAGGAGACCTGGTCACACTTGGCCTTGCCGAGGGCAGCAACGCAACCGTTAACGGGAACGTTGATCAGGCCGTTGGTCGAGCTCTGCTGCTTGCACTCGGTCTCGCCGAGGATGGCGGCGCAGAGGCCGACGGGGACGCTGATGAGGTCCTCACTGGCCATGACGCCCTATTTAAGTGCGTTAGATATGCAATTGCAGCGTAGATCATTGAGGAGGGTCTCACAGTGCACGAGGCGGCAAGGGCCACGAGGGAAGGGATAATGGTTTGCTTCATCTTGTCAAAAAGAATGTAGATTTGCGTAAATAAAAAATCGAGGACGTGAGGTACTGAAAGTACTCCGTGAGGTATTCAGAAAAGAATGGACGCTGAGAACAGCAAAAAAGAGTGACGGGGAACAAGGCCTAGCAAAGGGAACGAAGCAGTTGCAAGAAGGTGGAAAGGAACAGCGAAGGATAATGTACTAGTAGTCAGGGAGCCGGTGGCCATGCCCTGTTTCCTCGACCGTACCTGCCTTAGGGCACCGCCCAGGCCGGAAAAGGAGAGCAAATGGCGATCTGCAGGTGCCAAGCACATCCGAAGGGGAGACTCGAGGACGACCAGGCCGGGCCATTTGCATTTCGGCTGCATGCTGATTGGCGTGCCCCTGGTTGATGTTGCGAGGTTGCTCAGTTCGTCGAACTAGTGTGGATAATCAAACTCAGTGTGTAATGCCATCCCCACCCCCGAGCCGCTAGCTGCAGTAGTGCTGGCTGTGATTGCTCACACGCACGATCTACAATAGCCGGCGTGGCTAGCGCAGAACTGCTGCCCCATCTCTTATTTTTGCGCTCGTGACAGCACTCAGGGGCACCACAACAAACCATTGGAACGGCTACCACTGCACTTCCTGTCCCAGAGAAAAGCAGTAGTTGAGTGGAATATAGACAAATCACGCTCGTGCCAGCGACTGGTGCCTAAGCAATAGATCAATTAAGTCTCAAAGAATCAATTGCACGATCCAGTCCATGGCCCCGCGGTGGGTGGGCTCGAACTCGGAAAGACGGGGTAGACCGCTAATCATCATTGGCAGTGTGCTGACCAAGGTGGTGCATTCGTTTGGTTGCCCTTGGCATGTCGACCTGAGCACTTGCATAAAAGAAAGAGCTGTCGCCCGAGTCGACGTGGAGACAAACGAGAGATACCTCCGATCCGCCACGCCGTCAGCACGCACATGAGGTGCCAACCACGCCCACCCCCTTTTTTCTGGATGCGTCCAAAAAAGAAAACCCCAATTATGCGGCCGAACTATACATCGCGAACCAGGGTACCTCTGTCAAAGTCGATACATCGCACACGACGATGAACTATAGACTGGGCCGGATCATGGCTTGCACGCCACCAAAATAGACCCTACGAACAGGTGGACCTCGGTTTTAAAGGGGTCTCCGTGCTGAAGATGCCATCTCCACATTTCATTTGGATCGCGTCGTGGCCCACCGCCTCAGCTTCCACCTTTCTGCAGGAACAGTCGGCGAGAGAGATCCTTTCGGCCAGCGCGACCGCGACAAGTAGGATGCGCTGTGGTCCGCTGTGCCCATTCTCCTCAGGATCCCGTGTCGGTGGGCCGGTCTCGACACAGCAGACAAATAAGTGAGGGAGACCCTGGATTTAGGGCGGGAACTGCCCCATACGCCTCATGCTGGGCTCCAGATCGGCCCACATTCTTGTTGCCATCAGAATTTTATCAGCGGATGGAGATGCCGCTCGTTTTCCGTCGGCGATCATCGCGTTCTTATCTCGTGCTAGTCGGGATGGTCGATCGAATGTCTTGCGCGTATTTGCTGGAGGCCACGACGTAGAAGCAGGATGGGTTTGGTGGACGCTGAGCTTCCAAGGTTGGAAGGAGTTGAAGCTCAAGTCCAGGCCGCCGTTTGTGCCTGAGGCATTAATCTCTGACAGGTTCGCTGCGCACCACCATGTGGCTTCCGCAAGGGATCCCCGGTCCTGTCGATTTCATTAAAAATAGAAATGGCACTGTAAGTAACGTAATCAACGGGCGAGTGACGCACCCCAAAACACCATAGGAAATGCGATAAATGATATTTTCATGTCTCAACAACCACATCCTGTGGAATCTACTTTGGAAGCTAGCTAGCATAATTGAAGATTCTGAGTACTGTAGAGGACCCTAAATTTAAAATTTCATGGGGGGATATATATTTACATGCTCAAGGTCGAGATTACCTTGCAATTTTTTGTAATCATACCAAAATGATAATTAAAATAATTGATATGAACCTACGTTGCCTTTGATGATTAGAAAAGTCTTGAGACAAATTCTGAAGTCATGTAAGTCTATGGTTGCTGAGATATGATGTTGTAATTTATCGCATTTATTATGGTGTTTTGGGGTGCGTCACTCGCCCGTTGATTACGTTATGTGTTTGACAGGGTTAACATGGTCGACAATCCAAAATAACAAATCTTACCTGTGCTCGGACCAAGGCCGAACTTGCCGTGTTAGCTGAAAGGAACAACGGAATCCAAACAACTCGAAATGAAACTAAGAGCTGGAAACAAGCGGAAATAATCCGGTCGCCTGATACCAATGAGATTCAGCCCACGCCCTTAGCCTGACAGTCAATCTAGCCGCGTGAAACACCAGTATGCCATTTGAGTAGTGACAAAAGTATGAATTTGGAAGGCTATTGTTGACAGAGGCCTACGGGATACCTGGAAGTTCACTCATTACATGGCAAGCTTCTGTATAAAGGCGAGTGGAAGAACATATACTGGCAGCTTCACGAGAACATTTCAAAGCTAATTTGTGAATACTTATGTATGATTGCAAAGTTTGTAACTCCATGTTCTCGTGGGTTCACAATATATATCGCACCCTCTTCGCGGTGTTGGAAAACCGCTAGAGCAAGCTCTTGGCGCTCTCGGCAATAGTGTATCAACGATCGTTCTGAAGTCAAATCAGACAATAGACCAAATATCCTCATTATCGATCCGGATTACCATACTGCCAAATGGAATCTAAAATGCGATTCTCCCTCATCAACGTCCACAGCTTTGATCGCCGGTCGAGCCACTCAAACAGCTGGCCCAAAGCCAACGAGTGCAGGTCCGTGGACAGGTAGTCAACTGTATCCAGAAAAAAAAAGATGTGATGCTGTGACAATTGAAAATACTGATTTTTTAATTCAAGTTCGGGTCCTGCCAACTTTGAGCACCATTCACCTTTCCTCACAGATATCACGATGGACGACACTAGCCACTCCACTTATCTTGCCGGCATGAACTAGGTCGGATACTCGAATAAGACTAGCAATGGCGGAAGCTGCACGGGATCAGCTTTGAGTTGTAGATAGATATGGTGGAGTGATGATCTATACGTGGTTTATTACACGTGTACAAGATAGGTCGCAGTGTGACGTGTTGCCCCCTCTAAGTGCGATTCTCTCCGTATTCAACTCTGCTCTATGCTGTCACAGTTGACACTATAGCTCACTGTTCGAACAGGGGCTCAAGCAGGCACGCAAGTCGTTCTGATTGGGGACACAGATGAAGCTCACGCAGCTTAGGTGACCACCCTCGACGGCCATGTCTAGCCGATTGCTGCGAAAGATATGAAGCGGCCGCACAAACATCGAAACAAAGTACATCGCGTCGAACTCGATCTAACCTTCGCTCCACACGGCTTTCCGAAAACAGTCATCGTCAAAGAAAAAAATAGAGGACTAGGATTGGGAGTTCTTGAGCGAACTAGAACATTCAAGAGGCTCTAAAAATTTCAAGGGAAGGTGATCCCTAGGTTTTTAGGCCAAGGCGCCCTCAAAGGCCGTCCATCCTTTGTTGTGTCGGAAATCCTCGGGGTAAATTTGATCCAGCTTGGGGTGCTTATCCGCGATGGCGAGCTGGAGGTCAGCGAAGAAACAGTGCGAATTGCTCATTCCAGTGCGCTTCGCGTAGTATTCGCTGCGGGTGTGATGAAAGCCCGAATTACTACATATTTTATCACAAGGATGGGCCTGACAAGGGAAAAGTTAATGATCATTGATCTCGAATAGGTTGCGTTTGCCGAAGATGTTTGCACCCCCTCGGTTGGGACCAGACCACCGCGAGGTGCCTCGCTACCCAATTTGGAAAGAGAGTATGGCCCATGTCGGTGCAGGGAGCAAGATGCAGGATTTCGCCAGAATCATACGTGGTCCACCCGACGGCGGTTTCACGTTGACCATAGGATCCGAGGAGGATCCTCATTACTCTATTCCTGCGTGTGGCTGGGATGAAGACCACTTCTTTTCACATTGGAGGCAAGACCATGAGGAGGCTCTGTCACAATTGGAGGGACGATGGGAAAAGGAGGAAAAGGGGAAGATAAAGACCCTAGGGTGTTAGCAAGTCACCTCCTGACAATTTTCAATTCTGATGTGGTCAGGGCCAATGTATCCAAAATGAGACGTCCTGTGATTTCCTTTCGGCATAAGATCTGGCGATTTCCTTGCACCAAACCCTCCATCACGGAATGTGATGTACTTGCTCCGTCCCGTATGGTTCGCCATGGAAGGTACTGGAAGCACCCATGCAGCAAACAAATTACCTGACAGCTTAGGTCTATATCTGCTCATCATGATTTCATCAAACTCTTTGACCTTGCGGAATTGTCTATACAACCTGGTCAGATCACACTGTTATATAATAGACCACTACGCGGAACGCTTTTCTCGCTTCTATTTCTCCCCGGTTTCTCAAGCGACCTCTCTGTGTCTCCGAGGAACCTCGTCATGGCGCTGTCCAATATGCGCATGAGAGTAGTATCCTTTGTAAAGAGCTTTTTCATGCCCTCGCAAAGTATTGCCAGGATCCCAGAGGTTTGAATTACACTGAAAGAGCAGCGCTGATATTAATTTGACAGCTTGTTCTCCAATCCTCAATACAGTGATTTCACCATTGAATGCAAGATCCCTAGTACAGAATACCGCGTACACAAGTGTATAATCTACTTCCGGTCGGAGTTTTTCGCCCAAGGCCTGCAAGTGTGGATTCCAGGTGAGACATCAAGTTGGCTGAGAAATATTGGAATCTAGAACTGATGCAGTACAGGAGTCAGTCACGGACAGGGTTGCTTGAATGAACAGCAAGGTCTGATTGAGCGCATGATCGAGTATTTCTACAATCTGGACTATTCAGGAGCAGACCATCAGCCAGAGCCTAACAATGAGAGGCCTGATACTCCAGCGGACGCTCCAGCATCATCACCGGATAGCTTGGTTAGAGAAGTCCCGCAATTTATATGTGATTTACTTGTCGCGATAATGGACCAAAATATATCTTATCAGAGGAACCGTGGTGGATATAACACCTATTGGACAGGCTATTGAGTACAATGTCAATGTTTGTCCAAATAGTGGTGGGTCTCAGAGAAAGCACTGAAATTGGATGCTGAGGGTTGGAGGATCTTTCTGATCAACGAAGATTTCAATATGAGATACAATGTTTCACCGTACACCAAGTTAAATTCACGTTGATCAAACCCAGCTATCTAGATATCAAACCCGCACGGGGAAAAGAACTACAAGATCTTCAAACACGAGTAAACGTTTCACCCTCAAGATCCATCGCGCTAGAGAAGGAGAATAGAGACCCAAAAATCATTATTTAGTATAATGTAGTAGCAGAGTCCTTTTCTGGATGGGATGACAGTCAAACAAAACACTGTACCAGAGAAGCCTGTGCCGCGCAATTTCTTCCACAAATTATGTCGACGATACTTGCTATCCTTACGGTTCTATAAAGCATCGTTTCACTAGTCTTAACGATCTTGGTCCTCAAACACACCATTTAGGCATGATTTCATGGTTCCAGTCTCAGCTTCGACAAAAATTAAACAAAATAATGTCCAAAAGTGGGGGGAAAAAAGGCTCTGATGGTCCTTCCAATCTGCCGGGGAAGCGAAAGAGCTTCCAAAACTCTACACAGATACACGACCTGCTCTGAGGCTAGCAAGGTATCTCGATAAACAATTTTTACCACTTTAGAGTTGATTTTGGCAGGAATACCTGCTAATCATATTTTAGCTTACAATTCGAACCAAAATATAGCGACTTTGACATTGTCTGTGCAAAAAACGTTTACGTGGTACACAAGTGTATAGTCTGTACGCAGTCAAAGTTCTTTGGCAGGGCTTGTAATGTAGTGGCCAGCTCCGTATTCACAAATAGAATCGAATTGAAAGAGGATCCTGCTTCGGTCGATTGAAAGATTGCGTATCTATAAACTCTCAAGTACCGGGCAGCAGAACACCAACAAAAGCATGACGTGGGCAATAATGAGATCCCGGCAATCCCAGGAGCCCCCGAACGACCGAGGACTGCGAGACGTTGCCATAAACTTCTTTCTGACTCGCATCGGCTCATTGATGTCTGAACCATTTATGTCGCTGATCAAAGATGGTTCTATGGCCGTCTCGGATGACTTCGTGAAAAGCGTTCCTCAGTTCTCAACGAATCTGCTTTCCAGGCTGATAACAGAAAGAACTGACTGGATGTGTGCAGATACAATGTGACACGCAAAAGCCTCGGTGTAACTGGTGTTCTCACCAGAACATTGCCTGCATGTTATACCGCAATGGGGAACTTGCGAAAAAGGGAGATTATTGGAACAAAGACCACCCATCCCAGGCCAGCTCACATGAAAAGATGGTCTGGATGTTGAATCCAAAGAATGAATCAGTTTCATCGAAGGGTTCCTCTCCTTCAAAAACGGGTTTGATATGCATTTGAAACAATGAAATCAAAACTAACGCTGCCAGCACAATCCCCGTTCCTTTCAGAGAACTTCCAATTCACCGGAATCAACATTGAAAATATCTGCGCTTTCAACGGTCTACCCTTATTCTCGCAAGGAAGTAGAGAGTGGATCAAAACTCCACATGGACCCTTCCATACAATCCTTTATCGAATCCGCTCAATGCAGATGCGGAGGGAGATGTGTATCTCATTTCTACCGTACCCGGGATCAGTGACCAGATTCACCGTGACTCGGGTCTGCATTCGCCAAAGGTCATTTTGTTGAGGGGCTGGCGCGGGAATTCGAGAGGTTGGCTCGTTGAGCTATTCGAAAGGCGCACCGGAAGCGATCGCAATTGCCATCATAAGATGACCCTGCAATTTTGAGAATGAGCATCATCCATTTTCTAGTCTGGCATTTACCCCTGTTTCCACTGCATTACTTCGTGGTCTGTACACTGCGGGGTGCCTGAGACCTATTTCTTGATATCGACCATGCATCCCCAATGCCAGAGCTACAATGCTACATACCCCTGGTGGGTAATTCCGATGTACCAATCAGCGACTGCGCAGAATCGGCCCCCGGAAGCAGGACCTTGGGGCTAAGCAAGTATAATTTCCTTGCCCTTTTCTAAGACGATCCCTACTGCATTAGGAAACTGGTACACCATCATTTTCCTTACAGGTGAACGAATATTGAGATCGGCTTGCCTTTTCGAGGAACTCGTCTTTGAAACATATTAAAAGGTGACAGTGCTTATTCGACGTGCCGGGCTGGTTCTATCTTGAATATAGTAAACGATTGCGAGATTACCATTCAGACATGGCGGGTGCGAATATATAAACCAAAATCCATCAACAAAGTTCTTCGAGACACCAACGAGAGAGAAACACTTCTACAAAAAACCATGGCCATACTTAAACTCGCCGTCCTCATCGCCCTGGCCGCGGCCCTCGCCAATGCCCAATCCGCCAACCCAGGCATCGGCTCGAACCCCACGGCCGACGGTGCGACCGACGACGTTACCTCCAACACTGGACCTAATGGGTGAGGCCACGGACACCGAAGTATACCTACAAGTAAACATCCACTAACACTGAATCACAGCTCTGAAGACTGGCTCAATACCGGCATCACCGGCGATGGCTGGTCACCTCCTTACCTCGCACTCGAAGACATCTACCACATCTCGCTCGACGAATTCTACGCTGGCATCGGCTCCCCCTGCAAACAATACGACCAGTACTTTCAAAGCGCGAGCTCAAAATACGGCGTGGACGCCGTGATCCTCGCCGTGCTAGCAATGCAAGAATCCTCCTGCAACGCCGACGCCGGGGGCCCAACACCAGGCCTAATGCAGGTATCCTGCGACAACTACCCGGACGGCCAATGCACGGATTCGATCCAGGATAATGTTGATGCCGGAACGAAGTACCTCACGGACCAGATTGATTCATCGGGTGGTAATGCGCTGCAGGCGTTTGGATCGTATAATGGCTGGTTTGTTAAGGACAGTGGGTTGAATGGGAACAAGGGGTTGACGGAGGATTATCCTTGTTCGGATGAGGGGCAGTCGAATGGTGTACCGCAGAATTTGGATTATTTGCATCAGGTGCTTAATGGGTGGTTGATGGGGTTGGATGTTTATGGGGATGATAACTGGATTGGGACGTATGGGTGTGATCAGTCTTGTGGGGATGGGAGTAAGTGTTAGATTTACACTGTAGTGAAAGGTGTGGATGGGTGTTTGAAGGATGAGGTTTATTTCTGTACAATGCTGTTGCTATACAAATTCGTGATGCGTCAATTGTCGGAATATTCTGTCTCGAATTGTTGGCACCTCGAGGCACTCGTCGCCAGGGGCATCTCGGCCCTCTTCCCGTAGTTCGTTACCGGCGGAGCCTGCTCGTCATCGGATATTTCCCATCGCGCAGATAAACTCAGCATGGAATTCATGTGGGGGTCTGCTGAGAGCGACCAGTATTTCCGGGCGGTCTGGCGGAGTGGAACTGCCATGTGAAAACCAATTTCGACTAGCACCGACGAGACGCTTTCGCACCAGAGGAATTTGTCTTGGTCGCGGAGGTGCGTGTAGGGTCTGCAGATGTGTGGTATCGCCGGGATGACGATTCGCGCTCCGGCTAACTTTGTCTTTGGTTGGAGACAGAATGGTATTGCGCGACAGATCTCGTCTGTGTAGTGCGCGGATAATATGTACTCTTCGTGGGTGGCTGGATCTACGGGGAAAAGTCCCGAGGCATAATAATGTGCCAGCACCAGAATCTTGGATTGATAGATCAGGCATTGGATCATGGCCAGTGATGTCCAGTAGAAAATGTGTAGTCGGGCATGGTCGAGGGAGGTGAATCGATACGATACGCCGAAGAGGTCGTCTGTGGGAGGGAGTCGGGGGCAGAGGTTCTCGCTCGGGTCGCAGAACATTGGTGGTCCACAGATGAAGCCTTGATTCTGCGAGTACCATCGCAGGATGCTCTGCCGATGTGAGTAGCAATTTTGCAGCAAGGCTTGGCAGGCTTCGAGGTCTGCGTGGTTGATTTGTTCGGTGGCTGCTAGGAGAGAGGCGAGGACGGCGAAGATATCAAATAAACCATCGAGTGGAGTTCCGATAGTATTTTGTCTCAGATATGTATATTCTGATTCGGGCCATTTTATGACGATTGTCGAGTGTATCTAAAAGTGACCGATCAGCACAAGTCAACGGAAAGAGAACAGTGAATACATACCACCATCAGCTTCTGCAGTTTATGATAGATGACGTCAACCAGGGTATCCGTCGAAGCATATTGGTAGCAGTGCCGCAGCAGCGCATTTGTGCCTGCCGTGTGGGCCAGCCAGGCACGAAGACCATAGGGACAATAGAGACTCTAATCACGTGATGTTAGACACTTGCATACAATTGTACGCCAGCACTGATTCGATGCACGTACCTGCAATAGTTGAAAGATGACCGTAGTATAGATCATATCATCGGTATGCGCTTTGCGATACAGCATCCCCGACATATGCCGGATTGCAATATCATAGTGCTGCACCCCCGTGCAAACCAGCGCATCATCCTGCTTGATCCGCCCCAGATACATACATGAGGCCGCGACCAAAGCCCGCTCCAGCATTTCACTCTTACTCGGCCGCATCGTGATATTGACGACCAAATTCGGCAACGCATCCACCGCGTCCGAGAACCCGATGTCTGCCGGGAAAGAAGCATCAAGGAATGTGGAGACCACCTGCGAGCGCACCACCGGACCACTACTCACCGCCAGCGGCAAAATCAACTGTCGTGCACGACCAAGATATCGAACATGGCTGCCATTTCCTTCGCCCTGTGAGGTTGTCTGATTGTGTACGAAGATGCGGTCCTTGTCGTAGCCCGGACAGGGCGTTTTGCGCTTTAGGCATCGCATGCATTCTGGCTTGCCGAGATCACACTGTTAACAAAGAGTTAGCATTGTCCATTGTCTCACAAAGAATAGGGCCGCGGAAATACTCACCCTAACCTTGCGCTTTCTACAGGCCTTGCAGCCTGGCGACTGGTACGGAATGCCCCCCATACTGCCAGTAGATTCGAGAGAAGCTGGAGCTCTGCGCGGTACCCGAACTTGGCCGGACCATGACCAGCGCTCTATAGATGCGATGCGAGGACGCGATCACCCTATGCCTCGCAGGAACGAGGCAGCAGACTCGGCCCCTCTGCTCTGCAGGTCCAAAGAGGCTAGGAGTGAAGTTTGGCGAGGAGCGATGGATGCTTCTGCCCCTCCAATGGCCTTAGCCAAGGCGGTGGGCGGGCGGTGGATGCCAGACCGAAACAACAGTCACGGCGTGAACCTGTACACTTCTCCTCCACCGTCTCCACATGCTTGGCCGCGCCAATGTTCCTTTCAGCTGTACACCGTGGGGGTAGGTGAAGAATATTCTTGCGGCATGGCGCTCTGACTGGCGCTGGCTTCAAGCTTGAAATGTGGCAGGGCGAGGCTGAGGAGTAGCTGACGAGGATCAGGCCTCCCGGAGTCCCGGTTGGGGGCCGTTTCGGCCCTACAAGCGTTGCATTAATGCAAGCGACGGTGCTTGTCTCGACTGCGCCACACCGAGGCTGGCTGCACGCGCGCTAACCTTATCGATGGACGGACTTCGCCGCACCGGGGGCCAACCGAGAACATGATATGGCTACTGCATACGTATGGTTGACGTGATTGTCAGCGGAATCTCGACAAATTCAAATTCCGCCAGCAAGTGTCCTTTCGGACGAAATGTGATCTGTTTGCGTCCGGACTGAGCTGCCATGGGTCACAACTGGCGAGTGATTGCCCCCGGTCGCGACGAGGCAACTGGCTGTCTGGGCCAGTTGATCGACGCATTGCTTTCGGGCAGTGCGGGCGGGCTGGTGTCTCTACTGGCAGTGCCCTTGAACGCACATAGGTCAGCACGACTCCGTACCTGGCAAGTGCTTGGCCATCCCTACTGACTACTAAGGCATATAGATACGAGAATGTCGAGGTCCTGCCCGGAGAGAACGTAGAAGACGAGGATGGTGATTTGAAATGCACCAAGCGATCGCGCAAACGCGGTCCGCCGCAAAATCATTTCCGCAAGGCCGCTAGAATCGACTCGCACAATGTGAATGAGGTAGTCTATCTCGGCGACCCCAGTCCAAAATCCATGTCCACTCTGCCATCCGAGATCCACCAGAAGATCTTTGCGCGTTTAGATGACGTGATCGACGTCCTACGATTCAGCCTCACAAATCGCTATTTCTGGGCGGTTGGTCTATTGCGTATTGAAGAGCACATCGTCCGTTCGCTTGCACCTTGGGCTGGGGAGCGGATAATCTGTATCAATGACCGCTGTGATCCTAGCAAATACCCACCTGGTCTTCTATCGTCAGAAGAAGAGAGGAAGATCAGAGAACTGAACCAGGTCAACAATTTGGGCTCGTCCTCAATTAAGCACTCGTACAAGAAAGTCGGCGGCCCATCACTTTCTCAAAAACTGCAAGATTGGTTCTGCGACCATCGACGCGCAAATCCAATGTCCAAAGCCGACGCTATGGAAATCATGATGGGTCTGAAGCCCGAAAAGCTGGAGCTTTACCCGCGCGACCAAGTCTGGATTCTGCGGAATCTCACCACGAAAGAGTACGTCCGTGGAGAGGTAATTGCCCTGAAACAGGACTTTATCCACGGTCCTCAAATCGATGTCTTTGGCTTTGCAGAAGTCCTCATTTCCCGCATTGCCTGGTCGGACGAACCAGAGCGAATCGGTCGGTGCAAGAACGTTGCGCGCGGAAAGTGGGCTGGCCATCGATTCGACGTCACGCCGTTGTCTCTTTTAGAGCAGCTGGATGACGGAGCCTCGTGGGTTGATGTGAGTAATGAAGTACTGAGAGAGATCGACTTGATGGTCAGCGGCGAGAACGGAGATAACTGGCGTGACAAGCTGGCGGGACAATTTGATCGGATGGAGAGAGCTACGGAATTACAACTGGGGTCATTATGAAATCATATTGTCATTCAACATGTTGTCCTCGACAAGGGAACACGTCGAAACACTGTCCCATCCTATTGCTGCGAAAAAACCGAGAGCTCATCAGATATACTAAAGTACTCCTCTCAATTTATTCCTTATTCCGATCAGCCTTCCCCTTAGGCGACCACGGGAAATGCCAAACAAGAATAATAAAGAAGCTATTACTCGTATCCGCGATACCAGCCAGCGCAGCCCACCACGCGAGGAACGCCGCTAGTGGAGCGAATAATCCGCCGGCCTTGAGGACGTTCTCGTTCGGCTCCTGCATCTCGTTCCGGTGCATTTATCCGACTGCGAGGAGGACGAATGCGACGTCGACGGATGCAAAAAGTGAGCAGAAAATTACGGTTGACTTAAGCGTGCAGAGGAACGTGAGGAAGGTGAAGGTGAACCAGCCCTGAGGGTGTCAGTACAAATTTATGAGGGTTGTGATTGGTGCTATGAAGAGCTTACCATCAGAAATAGACCAAGAGAATCATAAAACGTCCCCGCATAGCCTCCATCCGCCTTCTCCAGCTGACCTTGAATGTCAAAACCACCAGGCGTAAAGGTGATACCCATCGCGATCCAAAAACCATCGTATGAGGACAGCGCCGTCGCACCGAAAGTATTTCCAACCGCCATTTCCCTATCGTTGAATCAGCATGTGCAATATAGCAGCAACTACTGCACTGAGCGCCATACATATACCACATCCCCGATAGAAGCTGCACAAGACCACCATACGCATAAGCAGCAGAAACAAATATATTCGGCTCCGTAATGCCCCGAACCTGCATATTGATACAGCCCAGCACGAACGTGGTCAGAGCGAACCCGCATAGACCCAGTGGTGCGGGATTTCCGATCTTGCGCTGCTCGACCGGACCAGGTCGGTACAGACCTGGCTGCAATTGGCCCGCGAACGACCCGTAGCGCGTCGAGGCAGGGTCAACGTGTGCGGGCGGGCCATAGTCGAGATTCTGATGTGAGTCAGTGCTGGAGGTGGCGTTTGTGTCGTCTGTTTCGAATTGATTGATTTCGTCTGTAGGGCCGGACATGGTCGGAGAAATGTGAGAGCAAACTTGGAAAGTCCAGTGCGAAGCTGCTTCTTAAATTGTCACACATGCGACGGGCAGAAGGAACTGTGAAACAATCTAGTAAAGGGGAAAGGAGGGGGATCGTCAATCGACTCGAACATTTGCTCTACCTCCAGCATTAGAGAGGTGATCGGTAGGATGACGATGTGCGCTGTAGTACCCTACAGTGTAAATAGGGGCAGAACTAACCAAGTTGCGATGCTGCATGCGGAGATACATTTTCTGGGGCGATCCCTGCTTATGCGTCGTTTCCCCGTGGGTTGGTTGGTGGATCATTGCGCAGTTATTTGGAGAGCTCAAGATTGGAGTTTCGGGATCGGCGTGCTATCGGCTACGGGGAAAGAAGCTTTGCCTCATTTCCCCACGCCGACGTGGGGTACTGCTGATCGGTTGGGGTTTCCCCGGTTGGTGGCGATTGGGTCCAGGGGGTGAGCAACACAGGCGCTGGGAGGGACGATGTTGGGTCAGTCTTGATTCAATGGAGTTATGGGAATTTTGCGATCGAGGTTATTTCGTAGCATTTGTGGAGTGTAGCTTGAATCCATTAAATTGTGTACATTTGCCAATTTGGCGTCCATCGATCTCTGCGACGGGCATATCTTCATCCTATTTTCGTTTCCACCAGTTCAATGACAGCGGGTACATTGTCGATATCTGAGTTGTCGATATCTGAGCATTTGAGTTTTCCTGCTCAGGTCTAAGCCTCAATCAGACAGCGATGGCCCAAAGGCGCCATCAAGAAAAAGCACTGCATTACCATCTCCGCATCATTCATCCCTTCCTTGGTGGAGATATGCGCCTCGGGGAATTTCCGGAAAAAAAAGAGCGGTCGCCAGTCGAAGTTCGACGCGAGCAAGGTGCATTCCAATGCAAACTAATTACTGTTAATTCTTGAGACTTTGGAAATTGTGTTTCAGGATAGGAACGTACTTCGTGATCCTCCTCCAAATGGCAAGGAGACATCTTTCATCTCTTTGGTGGTATTCTCCCATCGTTCGGGTTTGAAACTATTACCCTGTTAACAATATGCAGCGTTAAGATCTGAAGAGTAATACTTACCTCTCCGGCTCAGGGAAAATTCCAGGGTCCCGATGAAGACTATAAGACTGCGTCGAAACAGTCGACCCACCAGGAAGGAAATACCCATTAAACTGCGCCCCCTCAGCCGGAACGGCACGCGGCATGCCAAAAGGCACAGCACTATACAAACGCAATGTCTCCGTAATGACATTATTCAAATATGGCGCATTTCGTAGATCCCGATCCGAGACAGGCTCAGGGAGAGCAGACAACTCCTGGACGAGTCTTGTTCGGATCCGCGGGTCGCGACAGACAGAGTAGACCAGGTATGTGAGAGTCACGGCGGTCGTATCACTTCCAGCGACTATGTATCCTTGTGCTTCGCTTCGAATATCCGCATCACTGAGCCCGCTCTTCTCGACGTCGAAGATCTTGGTGAAGAGGGTTGATGTTGGGTTTGCTGGGTTTGCTGCGAGATGGTTCTTGTAGCGCTGGATGGACTGGTATGCGTACATGCCGATTCGCTTTCCGGCTGCGGCAGAGGTGCTGAAGGGTGGAATTGGAATGTAGGCACCTAGTTTGACGAGGCCTGGGAACGTGGTGCGGATTGGTTGCATGCTGGAGATTTTTTCTAGGTCTTTAGAGTATTGGGTTGGCTGTGATATTCACATTAGTTTGTAATCTCTTACATTTTGGAGCGGAAGAACTAACAGTCCCGGCCTCGAGCATGCGGAAGGACTCGCCGAAGCTCAGCTCGCCGATGATATCCGTCGCCATGAACAGCCACCACTTGAAAACGTCCGCCGCTCCACGACTTTCCATCTCCTCCGTGATACGCTCGATAGCATACAGCACCCGACTAGTGATCTGGGGCTCAAGATGGCTAAGAGAGGAGTCGGAGATGGGAGACGCCAGAAGTCGGCGTCGGGACGCGTGGAAGCCGGGGTCGGTCGTCGTGAACATGGTATGAATGTTTCCCGGGACCAGGTCGCGGTAGAACTTTGGCTTGAGGAATTTGGTGTGAATCTTGTGGATTTCCTTCACAGCGGCTGCATCGCAGATGTCGACTCGGCCTGGGCTGGTACGGACGATGGGGCCTTATAAGCATCACGGATGTCAGCACTTTATTTGACCAAGCCAAAGCATGGCACGCGTGGGTTTATGCTTATTTCTCACCATATTTCTCATGCAGACTGTGCACGTAGTATGGAATCTGACCGGTCAACCAGTAGTAGTCGTACAGCAAGTTTGTCCATCTCGAGATCTCGGGTCCGGGGAGATGCCGGAGGGGGTTTGTGAGGCGCTGGAGGAGAAATATCTGTAGTCGAGATAAAGTTAGCCATGCGGACGATATCCGTGGATCGCAAAACCATACCACAAGTGCTGCGCCCACGGCTGAAGTGAGCAGCGCTGGGATATTGAGTGTAGAGAACCGGGCTATAATTGTTTGCAACATGATGGAATGTGACTGATTGCTGGCTGGCTGGCTGTTTGATCGTTCGACTGTTGCTCTTTTAAGAACTTGGTCAGGCGGGGAAATTTTCTTGTGACATCCTCATCGGCAAGGTAAGCTCCGACGCCGACGTGATTTGTCGCGGATGGACTCTGCAAGGCTGGAATCATCTTGCCGCTTACTGGTGGAATGCTCGCTGCAGGTTGTCTATGCGGGGGCCCGATCGGTCGTTCGTGAACGGCCGAGGATGATCGTCGCGAGGCTGCAAGTTTTCGGGCTTAGGAAAAGTGCTTGCCCCGACCGGTGCACATAAGTTGGACGTAATATCAGCGCGGATGAACTTTAACGGGCCGAAATGTTTTCTTAAAAGGAGTTCGGAAGGGAGCTCATTGAGTAAGTGATGTTTTCTCCGGAGATCATCCCACCACCCCCCTCCCCCCAATACCTGCCTGAAACTGCCACTGAGCGCCCCAACGCGGTCAGGTTGTCAAGCTTCTTCCACCCTCCATGGTTATCTGCCCTCTTCATCTCTGTGTCTACAATAACCCTTCGCGACACCATTGTGGGTACATGGTCAGGGACTCTGGTTCTGTGCGATGTTTCACCTTAAAGATGCGGGCGATGAGAAGCCCCGAACATTTCCCGATTTTCGTCATAACATAGTACCAATGGAAGCTCTTCGCGTCAAATGCGACACTCTATGGAATACTTGCAAACTTCGCAAACTGGATGGCGATTCAATCGTGTCTTCCACTGCCTGAGCCCCTGATCGCCTTAGCCTGTCACTCTGCTGTCAGTCTCGCTTCACCAAATCGCCCAGAATAATGTGTTTGTTTCCATTATATGACCAAGAGTGCTTGACCAGCATCTGCTGACAGACATGACATCTCTAACTTCAGTAAAGAAAAGATGCTTTTACAGGGTTATTAAAAAGCATATCCATTTTGGTCGCATTTGGGGTCCCTCTTGGATTCCGTATCATCCTAAGTCGGGCATGAGGATCGGTACGAAGCCCGAGAACCTTGCGATGGGAACTATTAACAGCACAGCCACAAGAACTTATCAGCTCTCGCCCATTCCTCTAAAAGTCAAGAACCCAATCTTGGCAAGGCACAATCTACTAATGTCCGACAAACACCGAATCGTCCGAAGCGGGTTAAACTAGATTTGGTCAAAGAATAACTACAGACGAAAAGCCACTCGTGGAGTTTTAAACGACAAGCCTCTCGCTCTTAGACACTGATGACGTGATACCCTGAATTGGGCATGTGTACTAAGATCGCCAAGCCCGTCTTAGCTTTCGATTTTAGCCTCAACTCTCGACGATCGGACCAGTCATAATGCGCCATTGTCCCCATGGCTAATCCTCGGGTATCCTCCGCGTGAGATTGAGATCCGAAAACAGATTTACTACTAGTGATGTATTTGGAAGATGCCTGTTTTGTTAGCAGGAAGCAGGCACCAGGGTTCTAATTCTCTGATCATTCGGAATGAGTAAGTGTGTCTGCTTACTTGCCGGCAGTGTTTTACTGTGGCTTAGATCCTAATCCTGCTCTGTGATGTGTGTCATCCCTGATGTTCTTGCAGGTATAAAGATCGCACAACCACATGAATACCTGCCAAAAAACCAACGCAATTTCTTACGCAGCTGTCGTCAATAATTCACTATGATGCTTGGGATGATAACTATAGCTGCGACATTGTCCAGTCTCTTCACAAGCGCCCTCGCCCACAAAACACAATGCACAAAGAAGACCTTCGCTTCGTTAAAAGTGAAAAATATCGAAATCATCTCCTTCAACGTGACAGCCGCCCGCGGCTTTTCCACCAGCGGTCGAAACGCAACAGGAGGCGTGGGCATCATCCCTGACATCCCGGGAACCCCTGCACCCACCTTGGACATCTGTCTCATCGTATTGGCATATACACACCCTGGAAAGAACGATGTGGTCAATACATACATCGGACTTCCCCTCGATGCCAAGGACTGGAACTCCCGTTTCTTGATGGATGGTGGTGGGGGCTGGTATTCCGGTGGCGAGAGCGAGGTTCTATCTCCCGTCTTGTCGGGGTATGCGTCTTCTTCAACGGACGGGGGACATGATAATACTGCGTCAACGGTTGATTGGGGTCTCACGAAAGATGGGAAGACCAACTGGCCTGCTCTCTGGGACTTTTCGAGTGTTGCTATCGCCGAGGCGGCTGTTCTTGGGAAGCTAGCGACGAAGATATATTATGGTGAGTCTCCGAAGTACTCATATTGGCATGGTTGCTCGACTGGTGGACGACAGGGACATGCCATGGCACAACTCCATCCGGAACTCTTCGATGGAATTGTGGGTGGTGCGCCGGCGGTTAGTTGGGATAAGTTTGCTGCTGCTGGGTTGTGGGCGCCGTTTTTGTCTCAGCTTCTTGGTATGAGGCTCTTCTGCATTTCTTTCTTTACTCTGACATTTGCTAATTAGTGAACTATTAAGACACACGGCCTCCCAAATGCGTTCTCGACACATTCACCAGCGCGGCCACCGCAGCCTGTGACGAACTCGACGGCGTAAAAGACGGCATCATCGCCTACCCCGGCCAATGCCACTTCAAAGCATCCTCACTCGTTGGCCAAACAGTCTACTGCACAGAGCCAGACGGCAAAATCACGATAACCAAGAAAATGGCCCAGCTGGTAGCCGCAATCTGGGAAGGCCCCCGGTCCTCAGACGGACATTTCAAATGGTATGGCTTCCACTATGACTCCAGCCTCGCCTCCATGCTCGGAACAACCTGTAAATCCGTCGACGACTGCACTGTCGTCCCCTTCCCCATTGCCGAAGACTGGGTCAAGGTCTTCCTAGCCCGTGATCCATCTTTTACCCTCGAAGGTCTTACACGCGCCGACTACGACAAGCTCTTCCGGCAGTCTGTTCGTGAATATGCTCCTGTCATCGGAACTGGGAGCGTGGACCTTTCGAAGATGAAAAAAGCTGGAACGAAGATGCTTGCTTGGCATGGGATGGCTGATCAGCTTGTTCCAACAAATGGAACGGTTGATTACTATGATCGTGCCAGGAACTTTGATCGTCATGTTGCGGATTATTATCGCTTTTTCCTTGCCCCGGGTGTGACTCATTGCGGGTTTGGAAATGGTTTTGATCCTAGTAATACTGTGTTTGATACGCTTAAGGCTTGGGTTGAGGAGGCTGCAGTTCCTGATCGCTTGGAAGCTGTTGCGGCTGCTGTTAGCCCTTCGAATACTTCGGAGACTCGGACAGGATATCTCTGTCCTTATCCGCAGGTTTTTACCTTCATTGGTGGGGATCCAAATAGTCCTTCGTCATTCACTTGTGTTTGATGATTGAGTTGAGGAAACATTTGTCGTTGGTGGTGAGATGGCTATTGTATCAGATATACACAGCTCTTAATGGCTAAGAACTCAAAATTGCATACGACAGAAACGATTCAGTCATTATTCCTATTTCGTAACTTCGTTTGTCAGGCTCACTCATCTGAGGGCTTTACGTCGTACTCTACGTCGGTTCTGATAATGTATTTTGCGCCCTTCCGTACTCCAGTACCCTCATGCAACAGCGCTCCATTTGCTTCACCATGCGGGAAAATAGCGACAGAACCCATCACAGGTCGGACGGGGTATGCATTAAGGGTCCCTTCACGGGCAGCCGGCAAGAAGAAAGTCGTCTCCCCACCCTCGAACTCATCGTTGAGATACAACAAGAAAGTATACATCGAGCTTTGCTTCTTGTCTTCGGGCGAAGCATCGTATACGTATGTGTCGTCGGGGAGAATACCGGAAGGAGGCCAGGCTCCATCGATGTGGCAGCGATACTCAGCGCCGGGCACGTATCTGTACACACGGAATCGACGGTTGATGCCCCGGACCAGCCGGCCGTTGATGGAGGGTGGCACGTAGGACGAGATGCGAGACCAGAGCATATCGTGGAAGGTCGTGTCAATGACCCAGTAGAAATTGTGGGCGAGAATGCTCATGTCGCCGTCCTCGCGCAGGGGCGCGTCGGGGAGGAAGTTGACGGATTCACCGGCTGCGATGATCGCCTTGCATTCGTCTGGGGAGAGAACGTTCATGGCAATACCAAGGCCTGGCACGGCCGGGTGAGGGTGGTATGTAATTTTTGGTGTAATGGGCGATAGGGGGACGGCATTTGGGGCGGTTGTGTAGAGGATGGCGGGGTGGTGGTTTGGGGGCTTGCGTTGAGGGCCGGGGGTCTCTTCGATGACCCGTAGGGCGGAGTGGGATTTGGGGGCATCGTTAAGAATCGACTTGTCGAGGACGGATTCGTAGATGGGGAGGGAGGGCGTTGAGGGGCGGAGATCCCAGATGGACTGGAAGGCGATGGGGGAGGTGGAAGGAACGGCGTGCGGACTGTTGTCGATGGGCGTGCTGACCCTCAGGATGGCATCTAGAACGCCGAGCAGCTCCAGATCCCTCGGGGTGCGCTCTGCCTGGGGATGATTGAGCGTATCTGGGTGAGTTGACAGGCCACTGACGACGTCGAGGTCTCGCACCCAGCGACACAATGATCCGATCTTGGGCTGCTCACCCCGGATCCGCATCTCAGCGAGCAAGACTCGAGCGTCGACATATTTCTGGTCCGCCAGGGCGCCGGTGATTCGAGCTGTGAGGTTTGCACCCTCTGATGAGAATATTAGTGGCAACTCCATAGGATCCGGTAATGCCGTGACGTACCCGCAGCGTTGGCTCCTGTCGTGCACGACTGACGGAAGTCATAGACGGCAACCCGGAGATCCTTGCATGCCTTCGACTTGGTCAAATTGGGGTATTGAGCGAGAGTAGTAAGCGTTTCGATGGTCACGTCGAGTTCTTCGTCCGAGATGACCGTGTTGAGGTGTTTCGGCTCGACAGTGCCATCCGGGGGTGGTGTCAAAACGGTTGAGGCTTTGGAGACTTTCTGGGGAAGATCGACTTGCGTATTGCGCTTGCGCTTCGCAGCTTTGGACTTGCCCATGGTGGTTGGGCTGATCGCAATGCAGCTGATGGTTGACAATCGATAAAGGTTGATAGTGGTGGGGATGCGATTTTTTGTGGATGCGGAAAATCGAATTCCCGGCTGTCTCCACATGTGGCGGAGGTATACATTCCGAAATAGTCCATCATGTTCGAGTTTGAATCAGTGATATTCTACTTCTATTTTATCTCAGTTTCCTCTCTCTTATTTGTATTTTCAAAATTGAGTGTGGGGGTGTATTGAATACATTTGGGTAGTGAAATTCGTGCTCAGGGCTATGAAACGAAATGAGACCCAAATGAACACTAAACTGGAGAAGGAAAGGAATATCTTGGTACACCGTAGGAAATAATTTAATATCTCTACATGATCTCTTTTCCGGTGATCTATTCTGGTCTCATTTTGTTATGACCTCAATTTCGCCTCTCCAGGTCAAAAAACTCGCCCACGTCTGTTCCTTTCTTTGATCGCTGCAACTCCCCAACTCTACATCTAACGTTCCAATTGGATGTTTCAGTAGTAAAGTTACGTTGCGAACATTTCTTTAATTTAAAAGGCTACTTCTAGTCTTTTCATCTATTCATCGTCGTATGTGGAAGATGAGACTAATATATACATCACTCGGCGGTGTCGAAAGGAATTCTTTTGAGCATTTACAAACCATGTGACCCAGCAATATATCGCGGTCTGCTATGAATCATTAATGCTGCGTATGATATTACCATCACTACCCGACCGCAGCTATGTGACCGTTACACTACTGCTTACTAACTGAGTACAGTAGTGGTGGTCGTACATATCATTTTTTGTATCGAACATCCGTAGCAGGCTACACCTGGACAGCGGCAATTTCCATTATGATCACCCAAAATTCACCGGTTAGCCCAAGTACGCTGGGGAGCAGATCGTGACAGCATCCTGGAAGCCATGCAACATCTTGTTCACACCTGTGAAATTGATCATGCCGGTCTACCAAGAATACACCATCCAAGAAGTGACCAGTCAGCCGAGATCCATATCAATCTCATCGCTGCAAGATTGCTGTCATCAGTTCACTGGCCTTCAACCAGCCCGCTCAATCTGTAATATCGATAGACGCGAAGGAGAGGTAACAACGAAGTTGCGGTTAACAGCCCACAGGTGCTGTTCCCAGGTCCCGCGCAGATTCATCCCATGCAACGATTAGACGAAGCCTGCCCTTGAGGACGGATAGCGTCCCCAATAACCCCAGTTTCGATATTCTGCCATCCACTGGACCAATTGCATTGATTTCATCAGTACACCCCACTTATAGTGACACATGTATGTTGTTTTGAACGCACATCTGTTTAAACTTTCCGTATCCACTCCACCAGCCCGGATTTCAATATTTTCTGCATGCTGTCAGCTGCATGTGCGGGTAGCTGTGGCTTCATCGCCCCATCCCAATACTAGCTTAGAACATGCGAGAATGCTGGACCTCGGCCTACACCAAGCACTGAGTTCATATTACCAGGGGAGCAAAGTGGGTTATGGGGTCAAAGCCGGCCCGTGCCGGTATTATTGTATGTGAACTCGACGTGGTATAAGGTTGTTGCCTGGCGTGATCGTCCATTATTTTGACGAAAAATGTTCGGTATGGGTTCATTCTGCTCTACCAATTGGGATTGGGGGATGAGGAATTATTTGAAGAAAGTCTGCTGGCTCGAAATTGGCTTCACACTTTGGGCGCGGAAAGGTGATCTGTGTGGTTGCAAGAAACCGGGCTTCGGCGCCTTCCCCTCGCTTCCAGGCCGGTGGGAATTAATATCGGATCGATTCGGCACCAATATGAGGTACATCATTTACACAGGCTCGTACACTTCTGATCTTTGTTTATTATCAAACATTAACGATGACACATCGAGATATATCGCAAAAACCAAATTTTAGCACGCCAAGATTGAAAAAAGAGACTAGATACACATTATATTAAAATCATAATTGTGGGTCATGAGAGTCATGTCGAATCATGAATCGAAGATGGGCCCATAGGCTGGAATCCCTTGGGACTCGAACTCATAGATAACCTTCTTGGTCATCGCAGGGTTACTAATGACGAACACGGCCTCGGCGCCAAACTCCGTCACTTGCTGGCGCACAGTGGGAAGCATATCGACACGACCATCGCGACTGGTGTCGAAGATGATCGGGTCCGGGCCCATCTGGTGGACCAGATCCATGACACCTTGGCCATAGGTCTTGACCGGGGTGCGAGTCTGCCAGATCACCTTGATCACGGGGCGGTTTTTGTCGCCGAGGAATCCGAGACAGGGGCCAATTCCAGACCCCGTTGTCACGATGATGATCCGATTGAAGACACGCATGCCATAGCCGACACCGCGCATCAGCACAGCTCGCTTCCAGAGGTAGTCGGGGGGATTTTGGATAGTGTCAGCTGTCCAGTCTCCTGCCTTGGATACCACGATCGACCAACTCCTTCGGTGGCCGTGGCCGTGCGGCTTCATAGCCTTCTGAGGCTGTACAGGCTCTTGAGGCTTCTCGGATTCAGATACCTGCGGTGCCTCGGACCGGGGCTCCTGGGGCTTTTCAGACGCCACATTTTCAGTGGACTCGGGGTCTGGGAAGCCGGCGAAACTGTGCCAGTCGCGGAGAGGGTGCTTCGTCACCTGGATACCCTTGGCAAAGGCAATCGGGGTGTGATCGAAGTGGACTCTCGTCGCATGTGTTGACAGAGGTTCCGTCTGGACCTTGATCTTCCGCAGCAAAATCCAAGGATGAGCCACGGCGAGAATCGCCGCGATCAAAAGCCAGAAAGCAGGGAGGGTGACCAGGAAGTAACCAAAGGTCTCCTTCTGGGCCCTGCTGACCTCGTGGACGAAGATCATTAACAGTACAACAAATAGGGCCAGAATAAGCCACGAAGTAAACCGATGAGTGAGCTCGAAATAGTCGTGCATCTTTCGTCGAAATGTGGGGTATGCAACAACAACCATCACCAGTAAGAGAGCCAGAATGATGTAGGAGACGACAATCGGCGCGGCCGAAAATCCAGCATCCGATGCCGTGCTGATGGGCGAGTTGGTAAAGTAGATATTTGACACCATTGCCACGAATCCAATATACCAAACCAAAGACGCAGTGCCGCAACCACTGTGAACACCGCCATAGTGAGCTGCGTTGGCGGCTCTCCGACGAATCCAAAGTGGCCAGGATCTAGGCACTGAACAGACGACTCTGTAGATGGCATTGACGACCATCGGGTGTCGTGCAAGACCGCATGCGACGAGATTTACAGCCGTGGCATCTACCAGGGCCAACAATTGGCGATTCGAGATCATCACCCAGAGAAAGACAGCCAAATTGGCCAAAAAAACCAGCCCAAAGAGGCGGCGATACACGGTGAGCACCTCATAGCGCAAACGTGAGAAACGTTTGCGCTTTGGTTGGTCGGCTTGCGCCTCGAGGTCATCTGGATCGGCGAGCTTCTCGTTCTCCGGCGCAGGCTTCTTGGAGAAGTAGAGCTCGAAGATGGTATTATCAGAGTTCAATCGGTTGTGGACCACCTTTGCCGGGCGATTTGGCAGGCCCAACTCTTTCCGTGAGTCGTCCGCCATGGCAAAGGATAGGGGTATATCTCAGGGATATTACCACAGGAAAGAATTGAAGAAGAGTTGAGGAGCGGATCTGTCCCAAAGGCAGAAACAAATAGTTTATCGTGTGGGGGGGGGGGGCTTCGAGGAGTTCAGCTTCGCTCGCTGGCGAGTTTTCATGGAAAGTCTCTCGCGAAAGCCCCATCGTTCCCGGTTTACGCATCGTGGGTGGAGACCTGACAGCCCCAAAAAGATTGCTGGGGCACGCTTAGGGCAGTGATTAACATCAGCTGGCGTCAGAAGATTTCCCTCGCATCCACGGTTTTTTTAAGTGACACCCACGAACTATCTTGCTGATCGCAGCGCCGGCCGCCCTGCCACCGTGGACTCCGGTCCAGCGCAAGATCAACAGTGGACCCCTCATGGGCAAGTCAGAAAGAGTCCACATCGCCGGTTTGGGCTTCGTGCGATTCCATTTACGGTTGTGTGGGATCGCGTCCACGTTCGGGGAGTCTCGGCCGTCCCCACGGTGGAACTTAATCACACAAGCTGTATGCACCTAGCTATGCAGACCTGGTTTTTAGTCAAGTGTGTCAGTATGCCAGTACCTCAAATGATTCTCTCTCGACGGAGGGATTGAAATGATCGGGTGCAGCGGTGAGAAAAGAGAACAGAGTCTCCACGGGAAGAACCGGGACCTTCCACACGGAGGAACAGCAAGCACCGAGACGCTAATTGGGTTAAGCGGATATTAAATCCCATGCCTTGCGTCCTCACGTTTTCGCCATCCCCTGAGTGCAGCGGGCAGGGTCCGATCTGTCCCTTTTGCTCACGGGGGTGATGGAAGATGCAGCGGACCCCTCGATCGAACAAAGTACTGGATGTGGGTTCCTGGCGAACTTCGCGCCGAGGCCATTGCGATTGTGACATAGTCTCTAGTAATTTTTTGACTGTCAATAATGACATTAAGGGGCTTCCGTGCCGGGGCCCGGGGAAGGGGCCAGTGCCAATCTAAGCTCCGCTTGGACTGTCACCTCGGTACGAAAAGTTCTGTCAGTGTTCATCGGATCGTCTAGATCGCGGTATTGTCGATCCGGATCCCATGTACGAATGGCGCAGAGACCTGTGGGCTGCGGGGACCCGCCTGCGAAGACGGTGGAGCACGAGTAAACACAGGGTTCCTCCCCCAGTTGCAGATGTCCTGTGCATTCTGTAAGTGCTCACCCCCAATGGCATGCACGAAGGATTCTGCGTCTCCTTCTGTAATCGGAGGAGCATCGTGATATCAAGAATGTCGTCGTTATCTGCGCGTGTGACGGAAGAAGGAAGAGGCCGACGGCCACTGTCCGAGACCCACAAGTGCGCGCCACCATGGCAGGCAATAGGGGCCCGACACAGTGGATCTTGGTACGCCTGAAGGAACTAGCGTGTATCTTACTTCGCTAGGGTACTTTGAAGGAGAGTATTGAAAACGGTTTATGACGAGGTATTGTAAACTTAAAACCATTGCTATACATAGGGGGCCAAGTTCGTGGGGAGAAATGTGAGTTCATATGGCCCATAGAAATTAAAAAAAAAAAAAAAACCCCCCAAAACAAAAACAAGATGCCGGAAGTGGGTCACGGAGATCGATCACAAAAAAAAGTCACACAAACACCGCTGGAAAAGGATGCCGCCCACTAGGGAGGCCTCCGATCCAGTCTCTCCAACTTGTCCCAAAACAACGCCATCGCCGAAACCTGAAAGTACTATGTAGGTATAATGCGTATCTAGTTTGATGCAGAGACGAACGAGCTAGCAGAAGCGATCTTCTTAGCTAGCGCCTTGGTTGGTTGCGAGCCCAAGAATTCGAAGGAGGTCAGCTCTGCCCCCAACTCGCGGGAGACCCAATGTTGAACTGCCGTGGCTTTGAGTGAGTCAACTAAAGGGTTGTTAGCATTGCAGTTCTGGGAAATGTAGTGGGGTAATGAGGGGTACATACCACCCAGGGCAGATAGAGGCAGGTCTGTGTCGATGGCATCGGCGGTAGTAGCCATTTCCTTAGCCAAGTACCCGCTCAGTGCCTCGATAACGATCTGTGTAGCTGTTTCCGTAGAATCAGTCGCCTTGAGAAGACTAGCTGTAGTAACGTCTGCCTCTCCATCTTCCTCCACAGCAAGAGAAAGGCGATGATCGAATTTGCGGTCAAATAGCCAGTCTGCCGGAGGGTCGTTGCGAGACAGCGAATCTGTCATGCCGGCAACGATCTGCGGTGGAAGAGAAAGTTTGCTATTGATGATCACCTGGAGGAGAGTTTGGAGCTCTTGGGTCATGATTTCCGTGCCTTCAAGGTGCTTATAGCGACGGCGACGCTGCTCCGAGTCTTCTGCCACATCACTCAATCCGCTGGCATCGGGAACGAGACCAATATTGATAGATACACCCGGAAGACCGTTGGCCCGACGCCATTCCATCAGACCGTCGATGAAACCGTTACCGGCGGAGTAGTTGGCTTGACCCATGTTGCCGATCACACTGGCGACGGAGGAAAGGGAGACGAAGAAGTCCAAGCCATCCTCGGAGAAGAGGTTGTGCAGGTTCAGTGTGCCGCGGATCTTGGGGTCCGTGGAGCGAGTCCAATCCTCGAAAGTCATGTTTTCGAACATGGCGTCCTGGTAGAAAATGAGTTAGTTAGTAGTAAGGACAGTGGGATGGCAGGGAATATCTCACCCTGAGAACTGTTGTGCATTGAATCACCCCTGCAACATTCCACTTCATGCTCCGAATCTTGAATGCGAGATGTTCAATATCCTCAGGTCGAGAGATATCGCAGCGAACGATATCAACGCGACATCCACACTCGCGGAGCGTGTCAAGAGTCAATTGCTGCTCTCGTTGTGCCACTCCAGATCGACCGAGGAAGACGAGATGGCGAGCGCCGGACTGCACCAGAGTATCGGCAAAGGCAAGACCCAGATTACCCAGACCACCGGCCAGGATGTAGGTGTTCTGCGCAGGCAGTCCATCAAGCTCCGGCATAGGCAAAACAATCGGCACCTTGCCTGGTGCCCGCAGATCCAGGATTGCACGGGTATTTGTCTCCTTGCAATACTTGACTGCGCTCTGGAGGTCAGCGACAGGGAAGGTGGAGTAAGCTTCCACGCGATTCAGAATCTGCTGCTTTTTCATGAAGTCGATGACTTGACGGAGAGATCCGTGGAGATTGCCAGGCTTCTCAGAGAAGATTCTCTGCAGTTGAGGCGAAGAGAAAGTGCAACCGCTCTCTACAAAACTTTCAGGGAGTGCACTCAGCTTCATCTCGCTGGACAAGTTGATGTATTGCCCACCGGGAACCAGGCATCTGGCTGCAACGCGACCGGGATATCCGGCCATGAGAGAAATGCTGGCGTCGACGCCGCATCCGTTGGACAGTCGGGACACGCTTGTTTCCAGACTGCTGTGGACGCTCAGAATGCGATCCTTCAAGGACGGATAACGGGAGGAAAGATTATCGATGGACTCTTGAGAGTCTGTAGCCACGATGACCTGGATATCGCTACCAAGGGCGTAGTCAATCATCGCACGCAAGGTCTGGCTAGTCGGACCAGCCAAGAGAACGGAATCGTTCGAAGTCAAACGACCAACCTTGTGGATAATCTGATGGGCGTTGAGGTACGCCAGCGGAGTCGAGACAACTTTAGCCGGGTCCATGTTGGCATGGATTCTGACAGTGTCACTTTCTGGAACGCGAACTGTGGTTGCAAGTGGTGAGGATTGCGAAACCAGCGTCAGGACCTTGTCACCGACATCCAAATCACGAACACTGGAGCCGATGCGAGTGACCTTTCCGACAATCTCGAACATCGGCAGAACTGTCTCTGGAGCCTTGCCGAGCTCGCCGTTGATATCGAACATGGTGGCAAGCTCAACCTTGAGTTCAGTGTGATCGGAAGGGAGCTCCTTGTCAACGTTCTTCTGTTCCTCCCAGCAGACATTCTCCGCATCCTGGTAATTCAACTGCAGAGGCCGGGAATCAAGGGGAAGCTCCGCCGGCACCGGTCTGGGTCCATGCATGAGAGTATGCATAGCTTCATTGATATCCGGGGTTTGGATAACACGCGGGACAAGTAGTCGTCCGTTCGCAAGACGGTATTCCAGATCTGCGCGGCGAGAATTCTTCTGTGTAGTCAATTGCAGAACCTTGAGGATGGCAGAAGCAATGCTGGGGGCATCCTGCAGGTCTTGCGTATCAACAAGCAACTGAGGGATAGTGGTGCTCCAGTGCTCGTTGCGAAGGGTTCGCAGGAGACCGCTCATAGCTCCATGTCCGGCATTGTCGAGGGGACCTTGGGCCCAGAAGGGAGATACCCAGACGAGGTTCTTTGCCTTGATGAGGGCCTTCAGATGCTTGAGGTCTTCTTCGCTCCATTCAGAGACCCAGGAACCATCCAGGTCCAGCAACGAGATGACAGTCTTTCCAGCCAGAGAAGCAGCTTGGTCCACTCCGGTAGGGACCAGACGAGCGCCGTGGACAGTAAAGATCTTTTCGAGGTATTCAAAGAATGGGTGAGAGCTGATCTTGTCGTTGCCGCCAAGCACATAGATCTCGGGGTCGGTAGTCCATGCATCGGAAGACTTGCGCGCGATAATGAAGCTGCGGTCTTTGGTCAGGCCGTGAATGTCTAGACCGTCGAACTGTTGAAGAGTCTGCAGCGCAAGATCGAAGTTCTTCTCGGACACACTGACGGCGACAAATCCTCCCTTGTCGAGGATTGTTGGCAGAGTAGACACAACGGCATTGGTGGTCTTTCCACCCCAGAGGCTCGATTCATCGATGATGACGAAGTCATAAGCTGCCTCTGAAAAGGAGGACGGAAGACTGTCGAGCGAAGGAAGAGACATGACGTGAGTTCCGACATTCTCTGTAGAGACCTTGTCCCTCACTTCATCGCTAACATTGCAGAGTGCAATAGTGGTCTTGCTCAGGCAAGGTCGAGATCCTGTGCTAGGAGCGAAAGACTGCAGGGTCTCGGTCCACGGACCCGAGGCGTTGGAAGTAGTGATCATCACCCTAGCATCGCCATTAGTATGGCACAGTCGCTCAATCCAATCATGCGCACTAAGCGAACTGGCCTCCACGGGAGGGTTCTTCTTCCCACCCTCACGGAAAACCGGGTTAAAGGTGAGCGGCGACTCAAGATGCTCCCGCCATTCAATTGACGAGTATCGGCTCTCAGAGCTAACATCCTGTTGCTTCTGCGAGTTCGGGTTGAAGGGTAGTTTGCCGAGGTGGACACCCTCAAAGGTAATCCATGGCTGCGACAGCTCGGGATCCGATGCGATACATTGCGAGCGCGATTTTCCGTCTCGGTACTGAGTCTCGGTATGCACTACGAATTTCTCGCCTGGCTTTGGCTTGAAGCCCTGAGAAATGTAGGCGTGGTCGACTCCAACAGGAATATTGGCGTTGTTGTTGGAAAGAGCTTCAGAGCAGGAGAGGAGAGCTGTCTGGAAGAGGCAGTCGAGGGTGGTGGGGTGAATGAAGCTTGTGGATTCTTTCTCGTAGGGCATTCCAGCCTTGGTATCGGTAACGAGACCGGAAATCCAGATGCGAGGCTCGGACTCACAGAAAGACACGCCAGTCATTGTCTTGAAGGCTGGGCCGACTGTCAGCCCTCCTGTCTGGGAGAGCCACTGGTATGCCTGTCCCATGTCGCCCGCCTGAGCAACATTCTGTGTATCCTTGATGCGCTTAACGGCCGCATCCCAATTTGCTGCGCATTGAACGCTATCGCGGTTCTCGTACCGAGTGGTGAAGGATCCCTTCGAGTGCTGAATCCAGCCACCACCAGATGGCAGAGAAAAAATGCCGAATTCGTACCATCCTGGCATTCCTTCGTGCGGTGAGACTTGGAGAACGGTCTCGAGGCCACGATCGTCCTCTGGAATTACCACGCCGCGCATGAAGTGCACATCCTGGAATTCAATGCCCTTGATACTGGTTGGCTCTTCGGCGAGTTGACGCGCCGCCTCGGTGACCATCACCAGCATACCGGCCGCGGGGAACATGATCGAGCCAGCAACGACGTGGTCTGCCATCCATGGGTTCTCAGAGAGGCGGAGGAAGTTTCTCCATCGCGGTTCTAGCGCATTCTGGTAATCCAAAGGAACTCCCAGAATATCATGGCGCGGGTGCTTGCGCTGTCGCAGCTGAGCTGTCTCGAGGGGCTCGTGCCAGAAGGCTGTCTGGTGATTCCAAGGGTAGGAAGGAAGGTCAGAGACCATAGAAGGCGCAGTGGTGTCAACACAGCTGTTGGCAGCAGCGAGATCCACATTGTGTCCGGTGCTCCAAAGAGATGCGGCAACTTCAAGTGACGTCCGGAGGGCATGTTGGTTACGGGAAACCAGGGAATAGTAAGGAAGCGTCGCCATACTTGGGCTAACAGCTTGCAAGATTTGCATTACAGGTCCCTTCAGAACGGAGTGAGGACCAATCTCGAGCAAAGTAGTCCATTTGATTGGCACCGGCCGGCGGCGACCCTTAATAGATTCGCTGAGTTTGGCGAGCTGGGAAACAGCAGCAGTGAACTCGACGGTGCTGATCATGTTGCGGACCCAGTACGATCCGCCCAGTTCAGCAGGATACACGCGTTCCTTGGTGACAGATGACAGCATGGGAATTGTGCCGTTAAAACGATCTTCAGGCTTGATACACTGGATGGCATTGCCAACAACCTCGACCAGGTCCTCCATGTGGGGAGAGTGGTAGGCTGTGTCCACGCGCAGCTTGCGAGCAAAGATGCCATCAGCTTGCAGCTTGGCCTCAAGTTCATCGATCTTGTCGACATCGCCAGATAAAGTGGTGCTTGCGGGACTGTTAACGCAGGCAACCACAACTGAACGGTGTGGCAAATCGGCAAGGTATTTCTGCGCGTTTTCTGCAGAAAGTCCGGTAGCCATCATACCTCCTCGCCTGTCGCTCTCGGCAGCCTGCTGCGAGAAGAAACCGCGGAACCAAGCCACTCGCATGGCGTCGGCGTGAGAGAGATACCCAGCAGCATAGGCACCCGCTGTGTCTATTGTTAATCTTGCACCACTCAGGGTGTGTTTTGGGATACATACCAATTTCACCACTAGAATGACCAACAACGGCATGGGGCTGAACAGACCAGCTGAACAGAAGGTCGACCAATGCGATCTGCAGGGCACAGGTGATGGGCTGACTGCGATCCGGTCGGTTGATCCGACTCTCCTTTGCATCCAGCTTAATCTCCTGTACAATATCAAATGGACATCCCATGGAAGCGAGAATATCCTGCGACTTGGCAATGCTCTCCTTGAATGTAGAAATCCGCAACAACTCCTTACCCATGCCAGCCCACTGGCCACCCTGACCAGTGAAGACCCATGCAAGTCTTGTCTGGGCTTTGCGGCTTGCACGGGCGAACTTCGGAAGCCCCTTTGCACACGTCGTCTGCAGCTGCTCGAGCGAACTGGCGACTGCATAGCTGCGGAAACCGAGTTGAGAGCGACGGGTCAACATTGTGTGGGCCAAGTCCTTGACGGGAATATCTTGGTCGGCCTTTTGTTGACGAAGCAAATACTTGCTCCAACTGTCACCCAAACGCTCAATACCTGATTGATCGAAGGTAGAGAATACCACGATGTGAGGGGCCGCCTCTTCGTTCTCGCCGTCGCCACGGAAGAATTCCTTAGTGCTCTCCAAAATGATATGCGCGTTCGATCCACCGAATCCGAAAGAGTTGATGCTGGCTCGTTGCGGCAGATGTTCTGGCCAAGGCATTGTCTTGTCGCTCAGGCGCATGCGCCAGTCGTCGAGGCGAATCTTCGGGTTGAGGTTCTTGAATCCAGCATTCGGCACCAGAGTGGCCTTCTCCAAGCAGAGAACCACTTTGATCAAACTAGCCACGCCGGCCGCGCCTTCCGTATGACCAAGATTCGTCTTGACAGAGCCTACATAAATGGGCTCGTCTGTTGGCGTGCGTGCTTCACCCAGTGTCAAACCAACAGCGGATAATTCTGTGGGATCTCCAACAGGAGTTCCAGTTCCATGGGCTTCGAAATATGCCGTATCCCGCATGGACAGGCCATGCCGTTCATAGGTCGACCGAATCAAGTTTGCTTGCGATGTCGGACTGGGCAAAGTGATTCCAGGTGTACGACCATCCTGGTTGATACCAGTACCACGGATGATGGCGCGGATGTTATCTCCATCAGCCATTGCGGCTGACAGAGGCTTCAATAGCACAGCTCCAATCCCCTCTCCTCGACCATATCCATTTGCGGATTCGTCGAAAGAGTGGCTGAGACCGTCGGGGCTCATCATATGCATATAGGAGAGTCTCTGGGTGAAATTAGGGTGAAGAATTAGACTCGCTCCTGTCACCAGGGCCATTCCGCATTCACCAGACCTCAAGGCCTGGGCTGCGAGATGCACAGCTGTTAAACTCGAGGAACACGCAGTGTCCATCATGATACTGGGACCTTGCAAGTCGAAGAACCACGACAAACGGTTGGCCAGCATTGTCCGGCCATTGCCTGTCGCGGAGTTATGAGGCATATCATAAATATCTCGTGTTGATAGCAGCTCATAATCGTTGGTCATTGACCCCGAGTACACGGCAGTATTACTCCCGGGCAGAGTGTCAATAGGGATGCCTCCTGCCGAAAATGTTAGTAGGGCTTCCGCGTGACTCTGCCGGGGGACTTGCCATTTTCAAAGGTTTCATATGCAACTTCCAGCAACAGTCGCTGCGCCGGGTCCATTCCCGCGGCCTCCTTCGCCGTGATGGAAAAGAAAGGGGCGTCAAAACGGGCTGGGTCTTCTTGCAAAAAGAAGCCGCTGTCATGGTTGATCTAACAAAATCAGCATCGTCCACCCTCACGCTGCCACCACGCGGATCGGTACATACCGCGCCTTTGCGATCATGACTGGGGTGATGCCAGGCCGACGCCTCATATCGACTCGGAGGGATTTTTCCATGGCCAGTGCGTCCGTCACAGAGCATCTGCCAGAAATCCTCCACCGACGTCGCGCCGCCGGAGAAGCGACAGCCGATTCCAATGACCGCGATGGACTCCATCTCTGGACTCGCGTTGGTCGGCAGCCGGGGCATCGTGCGATTATTATTAGTATTAAGGGGGTGAAGACTTTCTATCGGAGGCGGGTTGCTGTGGGGTATTCTTATACTCGGCGGGTGACTTCCGGGATCAGGAAGTCTCCATCGTTCTGGCAGACATGGAGACACTTTGAAGGCGGCAGCTTCCAGGCGGGCGTCATGAAGTGGGCAGACCTGTCTGACACTCGCGTCTTGACTGGCTGCCATCGGCCCAGAGACGTGGAGTGGAGCGGGAAGGGGCTCCTTAGGGCATCTGGTAGGTTCGCGCTATACTGGCGGAAGGCCGGCCTCGGTACGACCAGAGGTTTATTGCTGATCCCCGAGTCCTTGGCCCTGGCGTGCCCTGATTTGGCAGAAGTTCTAGCCCTTTGCGGTTTATCGTGCATGGCGACGGAGTCCATGATCAGCTACACATTGCAGCAGAGCCTTGGTGCGGCTGAGCAGATCATTTCTAGGACTGCCAGTATCCGGTGGATCGTGAGATCCACGAACCAAATCCTCCATCCGACGAACACCTAGACGTGAGGGGCGATGGGGGAATGCGATATCATGATTATGCATGCGATGTTCTTCGCGTGCGACCCCAACACATCTGCATCGTGCTCCACACCCTTATCCCACGCAGCACGTCGCCTTTAGGCCCCCAAACACACCTACCGTGCCTAAGAGTGTCTCCTGAAAGGGGCAGAGTATGATGAAACCTGAATACGCACGGCCGTCACGGTATTTCACGATCCCCCTTTACCACACTAACATGTATGCGACCTGCAGGAAACGATCTTCAGTGCAGACTCCACTGGTCCACATTGGCTTCCAGCAATCATAACCTAAAGTCCACTCGCCCGTCTTGGCAGTCTTCATGCGCCAGAGAATCTGATCGTGGGCGAGGCGATCCCCAACTTGCGCTCCGCAGTGGGGATGCAGCCTCGCTCTCACCACTTTCTTGTTCACGATCAAGCAAAGGATTCAGCACAATTGGCTGTCGCCAAAGATACGTGTCTCTCTCCACACACACAAATTCGAAGAGCAGATGGCGTGGGGATTACCACGCGGCCCTTCTATTAATGTACAATACAGTGTTACTGCAACTGCGCAGGTGTTACCCAAAAAAGATCCCAATCGCCAACTTTCTCCTCGTCCATCCCAATTTCAGAACCGGTGTACACCGGGCAACCGGATCTCAAATCGTTACGATGGCGGCCATGTACCGTAACTTCCTCACGCGCGAACTCAGGGGCTATTTTACGCATATCCCTCGCCCCCACATCGTCGAAATCCACAGAACCGCTCCACTTCATCAGTCTCACTGGAGTTGACGGGCCACGCTAATACCATAGCGCCCTATAGTTCGTCCCGATCAGACGTATAGGCTGCTCCATGGGTTCCTTGACCCCACCAGACACCTTCCATGATTTCGCGCGAGTTCTCACCCCACGCCTCTTCCCGAAACAAATAGCTTTCCAGAGCTTGGAGATTCCTATCAACAAGATTGACCTCGGATCGTGCGGAGTTCTGTTTTCTGTCCTCCCTCGCCGTCTTTCACCCCACACCTCGAAGAGTAAAGATGCCGACCCAGAGAGCCATTGTCGTCCAAGAACCGGGCCACGCAGAGTTGCGGGATGTCCCAATCCCTGAGCTGCCGGAGGATTACATTCTGGTCAAGACCAAAGCCGGTGCGTCCCTCCATTACTCCTGAGCTACCCCTTACGTCATGCACGGACTATTAACTAACATGGCTCAGTGGCCTTAAACCCCACTGATTGGCGGCACATTGACTATGTTGCCTGTACCGGGGCCACGGTGGGCTGCGATTACGCCGGCATCGTAGAGGCGGTCGGTCCGCGAGTCACGAAGCCCTTCAAGCAGGGTGACCGCGTGGCTGGCTTCGTGCACGGTAGCAATGCGGTCCGTCCTAATGGTGGTGCCTTTGCCGAGTATGTGATTGCCAAGGGAGACCTGCAAATCCGCATTCCTGATTCAATGAGCTTCGAGGCGGCTGCGACCTTCGGCGTTGGGTTGACGACGGTCGGGCAGAATCTGTACCAGAGTTTGGAGCTGCCCTTCCCTGGTGAAGGAGAGAGTGAGTCCGAGGAGACGAATATTCTCATCTATGGAGGTGCTACGGCGACTGGGACACTTGCAATCCAACTGGCGCGTCTTTCAGGGCTGCGCGTGGTGACTACATGCTCCGAGGCGAACCGCAGTTTGATGTTTGAGCTGGGCGCACACTCTGTCTTCGACTATCATGACGCCGAGGTGGGCGAGCAGATCAAGGAAGACACCGACGATGCGCTGGAGTTCGTTCTGGACACTGTTTCTACTCCTCAGTCAGCGGCTATTTGCAGCGCGGCCATATCTTCTGCCGGTGGATCCTACAATGCGCTGCTGGACGTCAAGTCTGCCCGCGATGATGTGGATTCCCATGTCTCGATGGCGTACGATGTTTTGGGAGAAACCTATCGCATGGGTGCACAGGAGATTACTCCTGATGGCAGCAATCTCGAATTTGGAATTAAGTGGTGGGCGCTTGCACAGAAGCTCTTGCAAGCGCGCAGGATTCAGCCTCACCCATACCAGGTCAAGTCGGGTGGCCTGGAGGGGATTTTGTCTGGGCTGCAATTGCTGCGGGAGGGGAGGGTCCGAGCTAGCAAGCTCGTCTATAAAATTGAGGGGTAAATCTCTCGACTTGATTAGATAGAATGTTCTCAAGGCAGGTCCTTGACTGATATTTCGCTCATCCTGGAGGTCTCATTACCTCGGTTTGTGTGTTAGTGCTTTGTGCATAATTGCGGCTTCTCAGGAACGTAACGTGGCCTAAACTTAGCGCCTGAGTTTATCTAGACTATGCATATCACATTCGATTCTAGATCTTCGAAATTGTTACTCGCAATTTTATATCTTCTTCTCGAGCTGTCCTCACATTCGAGGCTTGTGTTGGGGGAGCGACTTGAATTCGGGTGGATTATGTATTTTCACCTCGATCAGCGTGACGAGTTTACCCAACTTGACAGTGCGTGATGCCATTGTAGTACTCTCATCCCATACATAAAACGTCATCAGACTTGCAACGTCTTCTCACCGGGCAAGAAACTACCTGATACACTCCTCTTTAGCAAGACCAGTAAACTCCCATGGACTACGAAACCGTGGTAATTATTAGCTAGCTCCATACAACATCGGATACGCCGATCATCGATGCTCTAATCAAAGCTTCGCTTTCATATCTTCTCGGAAGTCTCTAACACGAACATCACAGGTTATCTCCTCACAAAGCTTCTTACGATTCTCGAAGCTCTTGGCAAATTTAAGTCCACTCGCTTTCTCGATATTTGAAATATCCACCTCAAAGCTCGACAGCAACGTATCCTTGTGAATGGCAGCATTCGGCAGCACATACGCACCAACAGCAACCGGACCCAAACTATCCTCAATCTCATCTTCGGCATAGATAATCTTGAAAAAAAGAGTGGGAACAGCAACATTCGGAGCTCCCTTACCAATAACCTCATAATGTACTCTGTAGTTTCCGTGGTCGTCTTAAAGAGGACAAGTCACGATGCGAACAGAGGGATACCGGGTCGTAAGGTTACGGCAAAAGTCCTCGAATTTCGCCCAGTAGTGCCGGTTGTATCCCTCGCCAATTTGAGGGCACATGTTGGTCATCTTGAATGTCTCGTCCATTGCCTTCGGCGACCATGAACAGTTCGCCGCTGGTTGCCTGGTGACCCTTGTCATAGCCGGTGTGCTTGTAGTCATCCACCTTGGCGCGAGAGTCTTCCGGGATGTCTCGATCTTTGGAGAAATTGTTTCTTTCCGCTTTGCGACGGACTGCGCCATCGATTCGGCTGTAATGTGCTCGGCTATCCACAAAGGGCTGCGCATTCGGCGATCATAAGTCCCGACTAGGGCGTCGGTCCTGAGATCGTCGATGACTGGACCTGTGGACGCATATTTGAAAATGCCGGCGTGGTCAACTGGGCCTAGATCGGTGGCTTGCGTGAGGATTTGGAGGGTTGAGGCTGGCCTGGGCATGGGGCGCTTTGGTCTCTATCACTGGACTTTGTGTTGGAGGCGGTGGTGCTGGAGCTGACACCGACTTCGTTTGGGGCAGGTTTGATTGTTGGGAGATATACAGAAGAGCACTACCGGTGCTCGCACCGGCTGCAGCGGCTCCTAGAGCTAGGAGCTTGATCTTTGACATCTTGGAGAACTGAAGAGAGGACCACCGGGTGGAGTCTAAAGTATATGCTTGCAAAGATAAAGCCGAGTCAGTGCTTTGTATCCTCAGCAGTATATTCCCATTCTTTGCCTTTTGTAGCTTGCATCATCGTGCGTCGAGCTGAAAAGAGTAGTCTCGTTTGCAATGTGCAATGCGAGAATTTAATCAAATAGCCGTCAGACTGCTTCTTGACAATAGTTCCAACGTCAATATAAAATATGCGTTTGACTCAGCCGCTATACGAAGCCGCAAGAAGGGTAGCGAAACTACTGTTAAGCTGCTACTTGAAAATGGCGCCGATACGGAGTCACAAGCTGAGTATGGCAGATCAGCGCTGTCATATGCGCCGCTCAATGGACATGAACCCGTCGCGAGACTTCTTCTACTTGAGAACGGCGCAAATGTTGAATCAAAAGACGAGTTTGGCTATCCTATGCTGCTTTTCGCCGTATTGGGCGGAAACGACACTATATTCGAGCTTCTTGAGGAATACTCTGGCATAGAACAAGGCGAAGACACCAGAACGCTCTACGGTCACCATCTCGGTACCGCTGCAATGCACGGATGTGAGGCTATTGCCAGAATGCTGCATAAAACGGGTGCTAGAATTGATGTAAGAGATGCATCTGACGGAACACTGTTATCGTTGGCTTCAGGTTTCGGGAAGACGTCTATTATCGAGCTACTACTACTCGACAATAATGCCGATATTGGGTCAGGGGATGACATGAACCGGTCGCCGCTAGCTTGGACTGCCCATGAAGGAGAAGTAAACATTGTTGATTTCTTGTTGGAAAAAGGAGCTGATGTCGAAGCAAGGGACACGGATGGTATAACACTAGCGCAGTTGGCCGTGGAGAACGGGCATGAGAACGTAGCAATGCTGCTGAAGAAAGAACCCCGCCCTCTGCGAAAAGGATGTATCCTCCGGTTACGACCACCAAAAGCCCTAAAGTCGCTTCATTACACAAGCGGCTCATTTTTTACTTAATGGAAAACTCTTTACAAACCGAGATAGCGATGAATGCTTCTTCTCCACGCCGGTCCAGCTCTCCGCATGTGGGGTTCTCTCGCCCCATGAATCCCACATGGGGCGATCTTACAACTTGCAAACTAGGCTGAGATAAGTGTGGGGTCTTATCCCAGTGAGCGATGAGCTCCTTGGCAGACAAACCGCTCTTTTCGAATTACTCAGGCATTTTTACCTTTCAAAATGAGCCGCTGCGACCCCCCAACAACGACCATTCCGCCGATGAAAGACCTCACCACCGAAAGCATTACGGAAAATGTACACATCGTCAACTCACAATGTCAAGATCGACGAACACGATATCTATTCGAACGAATCGTCACCCACCTTCACGAATTCTGCCGTGAAACACGTCTATCCACAGACGAATGGCAGGCGGGAATTCAATTCCTCACGGAAATCGGACAGATTAGCGATGATTTCCGCCACGAGATGATTCTACTTTCTGATACCTTGGGATTAAGCCTGTTAGTTGATTCAATTAATCATCCTCGCCACCCGCCTGCGACCGAAGGGACAGTTTTGGGCCCATTCCATACACATGATGCACCGGAAAAAGATAACGGCGCAGTTTTACACAATGATCCCGACGCAACGCCACTGTTGGTTGTGTGTTCGATCAAGGATACGGCGGGGAATCCTATTTCCGACGTGAGGATCGATGTCTGGGAAGGGGATTCAAAGGGCTTTTATGATGTTCAGGATCCCAATCGAACCGGTCCTGATGGACGTGGTGTTTTGCATTCCGACTCGGAAGGACATTTCTTCTTTAATGCTATTGTACCTGTTCCCTATCCTATCCCGATGGACGGGCCTGTCGGAAAGATGCTTCAGCTACTGGGTCGGCATCCTAATCGGCCGGGGCATGTTCATTTCATGCTGAACAAGCCCGGATACGACCTTCTAATAACGTGAGCCTCTTTGATCAATCTCCAAGAAGAAAGGTTAATTTTGTTTGCTCTTCTTAGTGCCCTTTACCCCCGTGGCGACCCGTACGAAACCTCCGATCCTGTCTTCGGTGTCAAAGATTCTTTGATAGTGGACCTTTCGGAGGTCACAGATCCTGACATGGCATCTCGATACAAAGTTGATCTTGGGACATCACTTCTCACTTACGACTTTGTATTGTTGACAGACCAACAAGCAAGAGACTTGAGAAAAAGAAATGCAGTGAAGGCGATGGAGAAACAGAAGAGACATGTGGTATTTCACAATAATTTACCCGTCCCTGCGAGTGGAAGCTATCTTAATGACAATCGGGTATCTGAGTCAAGATTCGCAATATGATTCTTGACACTGGATATGTGCATGCAACGAAACTATGTCGAGTTGTCGGCTGCCAAAGCTCTTTCTAAATCGATGACGTCATTGCTATTCCGCATATATATTGCAACATTCTGCACTGCCAACAATTCTCTCAGACAGATTGAGTAAAATCTCCAGCGTATTTTATCACCTGCGATTTCCTGCTGTCTTGGTTTCCTGCTTGAGTAGAACACGGCGATGATCTGCGATCTCGGGGAATTGGTGGAGATTTACTGGAAGATCCTCGGGGCGGTTCGCCACGCTCTCATTCGACCCCGAACAACATCTTGGCAGGAACCCCTACCATCGAATTGAAAGTGGCGGCCAACCTCCGCATGCGTCGGGGAACCTTGCAACTTTAGTATAATGTCTGCTGAAGAGACTCCTCCCTCCACTCCACCCCGAGTGCTAGGAATTAAGCGCCCGAAGCTATCGCGAGAAAATACCGCGACGGGAAGAGGATATGTGACAGCATTTTATAAGAGACCATGCTCGCAAGATTGAGCAACTGGATCACTGAAATCAGTCAAGATTTTCATCATGAGGTCGACCACTTTTGTTCTGGGCGCGGCACTTGGTGCTGTTGCTCCGGCGTGGGGGCAATCGCTCACAGCGGAGATGATTGAGAAGATGGGGAATAACAGCCTTTTTACGCGCTGGAGGTCTAGTTCGCATTTTCTTGCTCCGTCGGGATGGATGAACGTATGTATTTGATGTTTTGTGGTTGATATCGAGCTATGCTAAAACTGTATAGGATCCGAGTGCTCCGATGTATGACCCAGTCCGAGGTCTTTACCATTTGCACTATCAGTTCCACCCGAACCACGTCAGCTGGGGTAAGGATCGTCACTAAACACACCCTTCTCTACCTACAAAATCCGTGTCTAACTCTCTCACAGGCAACGTCTCCTGGGGACACGCTACATCCCACGATCTCATCACCTGGACCGACGTCGACCACCACCCCGACAACGACCTCCCAGCATGGAAGGACGCGGAAGCTCAGTCATTTGGAACAACCAACCTGAGTAGCGACCACAACCCGCCCCTCTACAACCACCTCGCCATCTTCTCCGGCAGTGCTCAGCCCGTCAATCTCTCCGGCGAAGAGGATGGCACGATCCTCGCCTTCTACACCGGTGCATCCCAGCTGCCGACATCATGGAGCACGACTTACTTCCCCGGCACGGAAAGCCAGGCCCTTGCCTACTCCACCGACGGCGGTGTTACCTGGGAAAACTACGAGAAGAACCCCGTCATCAGCGAGCCTCCTAGCGGCTGGAATATCACCGGCTGGCGTGATCCGTACTTCGTCTCGTGGCCACAGCTTGATACCGTTCTCAACGCCAGCGAGCCTCACTACTATGCCGTGTTTGGCTCTGGCATTCGCGAGGTCGGCCCTCGCATGCCTTTGTACAGTGCCCCTGCCTCGGATTTGACCGACTGGACTTTCTTGGGAGCTCTCTGGGAACCGGAGAAGAACACTTCTCTTGGATCTGTGGAAGAGACCGGCTCGTACGGTTTCAACTTTGAACTGTCGAACTTCTTCTCGATTGGTGACCGTTACTTCGTGAGCATGGGCGCCGAGGGTGGTAATGTGAGCTTCCACCAGAACAAATGGTCCCTGTGGAACGAGGGAACGATCTCCGTTCGCTCAAATGGAAGCGTTGCCTTCGAGCCTATTTCTGGCGGTGCCAGTGATTACGGTCTGTTGTATGCGGTAAGGAACAAATCATCAAAGACTTTTTCAATGCAAGTCTAACATACTGGAAACAGATCACATCCTTCAACGACACCAAGAACAACCGCCGAATCCAATGGGGGTGGGCCCAGGAAGACCTAAACGAGTTCGGCACCGTTCAACAAGGCTACCAGGGCGCACTCGCCCTCCCCCGAGAAATCTTCATCCATGACACCTACAGTGTCATCCGAGAATCTACCAAGAACACCCTCGGAAGCGCACGCTACTTCAAGAATGACAATGGCACCTGGACCGCAAGCACATTGGGTGTCCGACCAGCAGCCGACGTCGTCGAGGGTCTCCAGCACGGCTCCAACCACACCAAGTTTGCCTGCGACGAGAACAACTGCACCACCAGTCAGCTCAGCCTGCCTAGCAGCATGTCAGGATCATACCAGCTTAGCCTGAGCATCAAGAGGACAAACGGCGTGGCGGGTATCACGGTGGGAGCTTCTCCTGGTCGCGAGGAATACACGAACATCTACTTCGACCCGTCCAACAACACCATCGGGGTTGACCGTGCCCATTCTTCTCTGATTAAGAACTTCACCAACTACGCACATGCTGGCTACTTCAAGCCGTACCAAATCAAGCTGGAGGATGGCGAGAAGACGGAGTCTATTGATCTGACTGTCTTTGTTGATGGTTCGTTGGTCGAAGTGTATGCCAACGACCGCTTCGCTTTGACAAGTCGGATTTATCCTAGCCGCGAGGATAGTACCGGTATTGCCTTTTTCAAGGAGGAAGGTGTTGATGTTGAGTACTCGCGCTTTGAGGTTTGGGATGGTCTGCTGAATGCTTGGCCTGAGAGACCTCTGAACAGCAGTTCGCTGCTTGTTTGGGATACTCCTGCTGAGACTGGGAACTATACCTGGTGGACCAATTAAGCAGAGATCTTTGGAAAATGGTGTTATAGATTGGAGATACCGGATAGCCTTGAACTTGACACCTTTCGCATTATCAAGACCCCCGCTACGGTGAACTGATTTTGAATGTAGGATGTAGAGGTGTAGCCTTCAGGTGAACGCACTTCTAGACGCATGGAATACGATCATATATCATCGGATAAAAGACTTGAAATGTTTACTTCGCGAAAAGCGAGTCGCACTATGCTAAGTTATACATGAAACCAACCATGGGTATAAACGCACCATTTAAGAACAACAAACCGAGCCGTCAGCCACTATCACTCGGATATCGAGAGACTAGCAACAGATCAAGAAAGCGAAATCTTCGGACGCTTATTATTGAACCCAGAATCCGGCTTCGATCGCTTCCTCTGCTGAGCCTCCATCTCCGCCTTCATAATTCTCTCCGCCTCACTCATCTTCTTAGGCTGCACCATAACAGGGCCTTTCTTCGCAGCAAGAGGATTCTTCTTCGAGGCAGCAGCAAATACATTCTGCGGTTTCTTCGCGCCGAATGACATCGAGATCTTCGGCGCCGGCGTGGAGGTCTCTGTCGTTTCAGCTGCAGTTGTAGAAGCATCTGCTGTCTTCTCCTCCAATGAAACCGTTTCCTGCATCGGTGGCGCGCTCTTTGTCTCGGGCTTGGGCTTCGCCGCGAATCCAAGGTTCAGCTTCACTTTCTCCCCATCCGCGCGGTCCAACATCTTATCTTCGGGTTTCCCGTTGCCATTGTCCTTCTCCTGTGCCTTCTTCTCCGCAGCCTGACGCTGTGCCCGTTCCACCTGCTGCTGAATAGCTTTCTGTTCGCGTTCTTCGTCGCCCTTGTCCATACGCTCCTTCTTCATGAGTGCCTCGCGCTTGCGCAATGTCTCGGGCGAGTTATCGATCCAGGCGATGAAAAGTCCCTTTTCGGTATCCTCAACACGACAGATACCTTCTTTGCCCAAGTACGAGACGAAGTGAGTCAGTGACTTCCATTTGGTAGAGTTCAAGTGGATATGCGTCTTGTCCTTGATAATGTTCTGGTAGAAGTGATTGAACTGAACGGGTTTTTCGCGGTGCATTGTTCGGAGTGTATCGATGAAGTTCTTCAGGAACTCGTTGCTGTAGTTTTCGATGTGCGATTTCGAGTCTTCGCCAATAAGCATCATTTGTCGGACGTGCGATTCGCTCTGGGTGTGACATTTGAATCCGTTCTCATCGGGGCATTGCTTCTCGCAGGCTTGGCAGTACCAGCTAGCTAATTGTCAGTCTGAGATTCTTTCAGAGGCGAAGGCGAAGGCGAACTTACCGCAATCTTCCAAGGCCCTTCCTTCTCGCGGCGTTCGCGATGGCCTTTGTGGACCCTGCCTCAGCTTTAGGCATTTTGAGTTGTTCTCAGTGAGCGCAAGAGAGTATTCGCCGTAACTGAGGTGACTGCGCAAAACGGAGGTTGAAGGGCTAGCTCGCTGAGAAATATCGAAAGTGATCGAAATCGAAGTCGGAGTCGGACATTTGATCGATGCGCCGGTGGCGTTGATAAGGCACGTGATAAAGCAATCGTCCGATCCACATTTAATGGCTGGGCTGTGGCGCACCGAGAATACTGGCCGGCTGGGGAATACGATTCTTGCCTTTCGGAGCGAGCTACTGACTCGATCGAATATCAATCCATGCGAACTGATGTAAGCGGCTCAAAATTACGTTCGAACAGAAAAAATGGAATGAGATATCATGCATTGAACCCAGCTAGCAAAACCAAACACCTCACCCGAGAACCGGTTTTCTAGGCGTAGAGTACAAAACAGGAACCAGAAACGGAACAATCTCTAGATTGCACCCTGGAAACAAAACCAAACCCCCAATTCGCCAAAAATATTTTTCAAATCCAGTAGATACTCAAAATCTGAAATTGCGCTGAGTCGTAGAATCCATCATGCCAGCCTGGCAAACACCAAGTACATCCGCAATCACCACTCTAGAGAGTGGTCTCGTGGATAGCCGATGGTCCACTCTCATTGTAGTCCATGCGGCTCAGGTAGCCCTTTGACAGACCTTGGTCGATCACGAAGAAGACCTTGGCCGCCATCTGCGCACCGAGGAAGACGGCTTCTTCGGTGCCGTGGCCGCCCTGCGAAGTGCTGCCGGGGCCGGAACTGGCGCCTGGGGCATTGGTGTTGGGTTGATCCTTGAACTCGGGGAAGTACTCAGGAAGCTTCAGAGACTTGACGGAGTGAGGGGGTTTGAGAATGGCCGGTTGAGCGGTGGTGCATACTGGGGTCCATGCCCGGTTGGCTGGGGGCCAAGGGCATGCCGGGGTTGTTGTGTGTAGCCGCAACAAGAAGGGGGTTCACGCCGTGAGCAGCTGGGTGATACATGGGACCGGGGGCGGATTGGCCTTGCGGCACGGGGGCCGGGGTGTTTGCTCCAGTGCCAAGAGGAGTTGAGATGGTGGAGGGGATTTCAGAGGTGAAGATCGAGGAGGTGGGAGAGAGGATGAATTTTTGGGTAATGACACCAAGAAGGGCCGGAACAAAACCTGTAACAGTGTTAGCACCGTCGTTGGGAGTTATTATGCAAAATGTAATATGTCGGCTTACCTCGAACTTTGCTGCCACAGCCAACGATGATGAGGGAGTCCCACAGCTCGCTTCGCTTGGAGACATAAGGAACGGAAGAGATAGTGTGGTAAATTTGAGTGGCAATGTCGTCGAGAATGCCGCTGGTCAAGCGAGGACCAGCTTGCTGTCGAGCAGTTGTTGAAAGGAAGCGTTCAACACCAACAGCGATTTCCCGGCTGTTGCGCTTGTATCGCTTGGCACCGCCAGTAGTGTTCTCTTCCTCCATTTCAATGAACTCTTCGAACTGGAATGTTCCCTTGTCCTTTTGAGCGTTGGGAAGCTTGGGCTGCTTGGGGTCAGCAGCACCCTTCTTGGTGTTGGCCTTCTCCTTCTCCATGTTCGCAAGGTACTCCGATGTATTACCGCTGACAATAGCAGCGACATCCAGAACACCCTCCTCTTCTCCGTTGTTCTCGCCGTTACCCTCGGTGCCAGGAGCAGAACCGGAGCCGTTCGCATCCCCTGGCGCCGCAGGATTGGTGCCCTGATGGGCAGTAGCTGACGAACCGGGAAGTGGAGTTCCCGGGGGCAGGATCTCGGTGATGTTGCTCCGCTTGAGCTGCTCACACATCTCCCGACTAAATCCCTTGGAGCCAAGGAGCTCCACCAAACGATCAGTCATAGCATCACCGCCGCAACCTTCCAGCGCGATTCCTCGGCCGTGTTCCTGAATCTGGAAGTCGACCACGGCAGTCACGTCCACTTTGTTCTTGCCCACATCAACGACAGTGGCGGTCTGGACACCGTACCCATAGCACGCGGCCAGCGCCGAGTCCATCAGGGTGAATCCCGGGACCTTGAACTTCTCAAAGACGAACTGGGCAATGGTTTCGCGATCGCGCGCGGACCAGACCGGCTGGGCGATCATCAAGACGGGCGTATGGAATGGCGGACTAAGGGCGTTGAAGATATGAGTCAACAGAGCAAAGAAGCACTCCCAGTCGACAATGCGGCCGTTCTGAATAGGGTAGACGGCGCCTTCTTCGGATGTCACGTCCTCGTCGTAGAAGACCTCTTGGACCGTCTGAGTAGACTCCTCCGTCTTCTCGCCACCTTCCGCGCCGGCTTCAGCGCCAGCAGCGGTCTCAGTTGCAGTGCCGTCTGCGGCTGCAGATGTGGAATCCTTCATTTCGGTGTCCTCCTTTGGAGGCTCCTCTTCGGGGGCGCCCGAGCCATTGGGGACCTTGGCTTCATGGCGTATCTCGCGAATTCGGTATGGCTCAAACTCTCCCTTTCTTTCGGCAGGGAACATGCGCGTTGGGAAGCGGAATCGCGCGGGGGGTGAATGTTTCGGGCAGGCCGAGCTGCGCCAGGGTCATTTGCGAGCCTGGCGCAATGAGCTGGTGGGGGCAATGTTAGCTTCGGAGCTGCAGAATCAGGTGCATCAAATCTAGGACTCACAAGAATGTGCTCATCCTTGAAGGGTGGCATCGTGTCGGGTTCGCGATCGGGAGACACGGGAGGTGTTCGATTTCACTGCAGGCTGTCGGGGAGGCCTTCGTTGGCCTATTCAGGTTTAGCGTGGTCATGGTCACGTGAGGTTTATGTATGAGAGGTTTGCACGTAAGACGGAGCAAGGCAGCGGCAAGAATCCTTGATAAGCGAAATGAGTGGCAGGTTTTGGTGAACATATCAGACTGCGTCCGTCAATGCGAGCTGTACCTGGGTGAAAGGTGTTCTCATGACCTGACAACTTCTCGGAGCTGGCAGATTGGGTTACAGAACTACGAGGACCCACCAGGAATATACACCTATGGTGACTCAAAGGGATAGCAACCTACGAAATGGACGGTAACAGAGAGGTACCCCATCTGTGCTAAATCACACTTAGACTTAGGTGCAGTGATAAAGCCTTTTGGAGATCAAGATAGCCGTGCTTATGCACCAGACTTGCCATTGAATATAGGATATCGTAGCAAGCAAATGAACATGCTTGACATGAAGGCAGATTGGAAAAACAAAAAAGAAACCATGAATAAACGCCAGCCACCCGTGGAACACATCAAAACGCCCGCGTCCGATTTTCTCTATGACCAGCATGAGTGTCGTCGTGAAAGGTCATCTACTCCGGTCCCTGATTGTACTTCTCAGTGGCGGAACGGAACAGCTCCTGCTGCTGGCGCAGCAGTTCCTCCTCGGACAGGCCACTCTGCTCCATCTTGCTCTGTTTCTTCTCGCGAGACTGAAACAAGAAGCTTGGGTCAGCACCCTCCTCTTCGAGCAATTCTTCCAGCCCGGCTTGGTCGGAAGCAGAGATAAATTCACTTACCTTGAGTTGCTCGCGGTGCTCCTCGGCGACAGCCTGGATTTCGGGAACGTACTCGGCAAATCCCAACTCCGTGAGCGCCTTCTCAACGTGCTCGCACGCGATCGTCTTCTTAGCTTCCTTCTCGCTGATCTCGTTGGCCTCGGAAGAGATCAAGGTGATGAACTCGACGCAACATTCCATCAGCAGATCGCGGGCATCCTTGGAGAAGGTCTGGCCGGAGGAAGGAGGGAGGATTTCGGTAATGATCTTCTGGACCGTCGCTGGCAGAAATCAAGTTAGCTTAGCTCACGTGGATTCAACGGTGAGATTCAAGTAAACGCGAGGGTCGCGACGGGTCGATTGGAGTCGAGGAATCGCGAAGTCACCGCCGTCATCGACACCATTGGTCCCAACAAGCACATGCGTATGCTCGATCAGCAGCTCGCGAAACTCAACAGATTAAACAAGAGGGGCGATCGTACCTTTGGGGAGCGACAAGTCGTCGTTGGCTAAACGGTGAATATAAGTCAGCAGGCGCGCGCCAAGAAACTCGAATGGAAACAAACACGGGGGAACACGTACAGTTGAACTCGCGGTCAGACATCTTCGCGGTCCAGCAGGAGGGAACGAGTTAGAAAAGAAAGAGTGAAGCGCGTTGCGCAGGAGGATTTTCTTGGGATGCGTGGGGCCCGCGCCGGCGTAGAGCGGCATTAAGTAGGAAGACGCAGCGGCCATCCGCTACGATCCGGCAGAATCCCACCGCCCGCAGATACTTTTTCAACGCATTTTTTTCCGCGTCCAACTCTTCTTCCTCATTCACTCTTCATCCTCGATTTTATTCGACTAGTCTCGAGTGATCCTTCTCTATGATGTCGGAGAAGGTCCCTCGAGGCTGAACTCACTAATGGTAAGCTTCTTGTCCTGCATTTCTTGCAATTCTCTTGCTTTCTACATGATGAACCTTGTTGTCGCCCCTATCATACAAAACCGTGGTGATTTACCTGTCCTAGCCAAACGGACGAACTGAAAAACATTTCACTTGCTTAATTTCTTGCACACTGTTGAGTTGGACACTCGCTAACTTGCTTGAAGATTTTAGGATTTCCCAAGATAGCTCTTGTTCCAGTTTCTTGTCGCCCAATCAACCTTGTTCATACACTCTATCCTTTCCCTACTGTAGGTCCAAAGCTCTCCCGCCAAATACACAATATATACCCTTTGTATGATGATCACCCTACATTCCATGCTAAGTATGAAGGTGTGTTGCACCTAATGCTTCTAAAATGTACCTGCTTTTCATCTTTCGGCTGATTACAATAACGCCACTACAAAATATTTCACCCATTGCTTTTGCGGCATCATACTGATTGCTGTACAGATATCGCCCCTTCTATAACTCATCATCTCAATGCTTAGAAAAAAATCCTGAAAATCTAAATTCATGTCTGGAAACCCTCGATCTCCTTGTCGTCCCATCTGTAGTCGATTAGCATTAGCATCATTTCTTGGGCTGAGATTTTCTTTTTCGGTGAATAAGAGTGTAGCACGTACGATAGGAACTTTCCGCTGAGCTCCTTCGGCGCGTCGAGCACCAGCTTGGCCATAACATGCGAGGGTTGCTCGACGCGAAGCAATTTGCCGTCCCTGTGGACCCCGGTGAAAATGGCGTGGAACTCAGCATCCATGGTCGTCGTGTGGTCTTCGCGGATCTCTCGCTGCATGTTGGTATCGACCATTCCCGGTCGAATAGAGATGGAAGTCACGTCGGGTTCTTCGGCGCCCAGAGTCAGGGCAAAGTGGTTCATGGCGGCCTTGCTGGCTCCGTACAGACCCCAACCGCGGTATCCCTTGACGGAGGCGCCGGAGGAAGTAAAGATAATTTTTCCCTTGGATTGACGGAGCGCGGGGAGAGCTGCTTGGGCCTATAGGAATGAAGTTAGTACTGCATCTCTTCAGGTTGTAGGCAGTTTGACTGTTTTGCGCTGGGCTGGACACGTACAAAAGCAACCAAGCTGAAGAAATTCACGTCGAATCCCTGTCGCCATTCATCGGTATTGGCAATCGCAATCTTGCCTACTTGGCCCAGCACGCCATGGTTCAGGACCATGCCGTCCAGCTGGCCGAAGCTCTTGATGGCGGTGTCGACGGCCTTTTGGGCCAGGGAGAAGTCTGCCAGGTCGCCGTTCACCACCTCAACTTGCTTGTTGTACTTCTCCTTCAACTTTTGCAGTGGCTCGAGGCTGCGAGCTACTACCACAACATTGTGGGATTGCGGTGCGGTGAGCAGGTATTCCGCAATGCAGAGGCCGATGCCTGGGCAATTGTGAGCTTTGACTTGCGACAGGTGCGGATGGTGTCGTACCTCGAGAGGCGCCGGTTACAATGATGGTCTTGGGTGCCATTTCAAATTGCGAGAATCTAAATTACAGTCAGTATGTCAGTTTTGCGTCGTAGGGAGTATTATGTCCGGATACACCGGCGTGTTTTTTCGTCATAGCCGAGGCGCTCAGTATCAAAACATGTCTTAGACGCCAGCAGCGTTGCTCTCGGTGCGAAATGCTGCGTTTTCCAGCATAAAAATAACTCACGTACCTCTTCGATATATAAACAGTGAAATTGACCTCTTCAGCCGAGCAGTTGCAAGCATGAATGTCGCTGCTGTCGATCTGTTGCGGGGCGTTATGGTGTAAGTGGGCACGTGCGCGGGCTGAACCTCTGACCGCCTGGCATCTCCAACTCAACAGCCAAGCTTGCCAGTGGCTATCAGAAGAGCATGCAGGGGCTTGCCAGGGAGTACCTGAGAATACCCTCGGGTAATCCATAGGCACCACATGCACCACTTGACCTACCTCAAGCTTACGTATCAGACAAATGTTCGAAAGTAGTGCTCCAAGCTCTACAGCCTACCCTATATGGAGTATTCGATGGCAGTCTCGCCCTGTTAAATGTCACTGAGAGAACTGAAATAGCATGTTTTCTGGGCTCTTAAATTTTTCGACACAGATATCTATACCCATGTACCATGTACATATAGGGTCGTCAACTGGGATGTCATCACATCGGCTGTGCCTGTAGATTGGGCGGACAAATGATGATCCGCAAAGCTCCGCTGACTCATCGCCACTCCAGAGCTTCCAGAAACTTCAGGCATCCGACTTGGAGAACCATCACCAAGCCGACCGCGTTTTCCTTCTCCCCGCGTCCTCAACCTCATCCTCGCCGCGCCATCCTTCCTCCTTCCCCTTCCTTCGCGCGGATCACCGAATCTCGTCCCGTGCACCTCACATTTACTCCCAACCACCACCGTGCCGTCGGCCAACCACCACCATGGCCAACTACCTCGCCTCAATCTTCGGCACCGAACAGGACAAAGTTAATTGCTCCTTCTACTACAAAATCGGCGCCTGTCGCCACGGCGATCGCTGCTCGCGCAAACACGTCAAGCCCTCCTACTCGCAGACCATCCTCATGCCGAACATGTACCAGAACCCGGCCTACGATCCCAAGAGCACGATGAACCCCATGCAAATGCAGAACCACTTCGACGCCTTCTACGAGGATATTTGGTGCGAGATGTGCAAGTACGGCGAGCTCGAGGAGCTGGTCGTCTGCGACAACAACAACGACCGTAAGTATCACGTCTTCCCCGGGTTTTGTAGTTGATCAGTAACCAACCTTTGTCTAATGTCAGATCTCATCGGAAACGTCTACGCCCGATTCAAGTACGAAGAAGACGCCCAGATCGCATGCGACGCTCTGAACTCCCGCTGGTACGCCGCGCGCCCGATTTACTGCGAGCTGTCACCCGTTACGGATTTTCGCGAGGCTTGTTGTCGACTGAATAGTGGCGAAGGATGTGTGCGTGGTGGATTCTGCAACTTCATTCATCGGAAGGATCCCAGCGAGGATCTGGACCGCGAGCTGCGACTGAGCACCAAGAAGTGGCTGAAGGAGCGCGGCCGCGATCCCCGCAGCGTGTCTCGCAGCCCTAGCCCTGAGCCTACCCGCCGCTTTTAGGTCTTGCTTTACTTCTTTTTGTTAAAAAATTTAATCGGGGTCTTCCTTCCTCGGTTCATTTCTGGCGTTGGGTGGTATGAGGATCAATTCAATTCCAGGCCTTTGACGCGGTGCGTATAGGCCTGTGCTTCGGGTTCAATTTTGCCCTGTATTCTACTTTTGTGATATCAATCCCCGATTTACGATCGATCTCTTGTGCTTTCGTAAATTTCGTGGTGGACAAGGACGTTGTTTCTCAACTGTACCTGGTAGTGAGTGGTATGCTCATTTGTCTAATTTAAATATCTCACGTCTAAAGATTTTGAAAACGCATTGATCATAGAAGTCATCACACAAGTCGATACAGTGTAACACTAGCATCAGTGGCGCCTCACACTACGTAAATGTGGCAGAAGAACATCCGGACATCCCTTTAGTGTGCTGGACACGGGCCTGCGAGTCGAGGAAACCCCGGACGGAGCTTAAAGTTCTGGACAAGGTCATCTGAGTGTTCTGATGCGAGAAACAGTTCCCTTCAAAGCTCTTTCCAGGCTGTGCTAATCATCAGCATTTAACTATAGGTCTCAGTATAGTATCAAAACAAACAAAACAAAGGACGTGGTATTGTTTCTTTCGAGGTCACATCACATGTACTAATATATGGGTGTGAGGCAAAGAGCCGGGATGTAATCCACTTGAGGCATACTGCAATATATATTCGCCAGTAGAAAACAACCAAAACAAGAACCACCTATTGAAATGGATGCTGCTCATTACCACTACAAGCGAGCCAATATAGTCGTTCTGTAGTACATATTACATTGTGAGTAGATGGTGTAAAAATTATCTTCCTTAACATACATTAGTGTGGTGCTGACTGCGTGGATTTGGAGCTCTTTCACGACGGGGCTTGGCGCTCCCCGCGGCGCGTCACCCGCGTTCCACTTTGTCCCTCTTGAGATCTCAACCACCACTCTGTGTTCACTCAGTGTCGCGCTTCGAGCCAGCTTGTGAAGACCCCGCTGTTTCTGGCTCAGATCTCTGAGAATAAAGACCATATTTCATCATGGGCGACTACGATGATTCAAATCGCGCGTTCCTGCAGGCGTTCATGGCGCGCTCAACCATGACGCTGGAGGAAGCTCAGCCAATCCTCGCGGAGATTATTTCTGCTCACGGTACGAGTAAACTCCCTCTTCTCTGCAAGACCTGTTGCTAACTATAATTGCGCATAGAGGGGCGCTCTGTCAGCCCAGACGACATTACCCAAGAGCACTTCTCGTCCTACATTTCTGCCGCGAACACAGCCATTTCACCCTTCGATTTTGAAATCCGTTCCTCACTCCACCAGACACCTAAAGATCCCAACGAAGACAGCTTAGACAGCTCTCCGACCCGCATTTACGCTCTCGTCAACACGACAAGCGACCCGTTGACCCAGCTGGCAACGACCTACTCCGCCGACGAAATCGCGTTCGTGAAGCGCGTGCTGGACTACATGTTCGACACAAATAACACCCGATACTGCGAGGGCATGGTGATCTCTGCCATGCAAGCTATCCAGCTGGCCAAGGTGTCTACTGCCAACGACGATAACCGAAGACGATCACAGAACCCTGCAACTCAGGCGACGCAAGGCGGTGCTGCGCAGAACCTGGGAATGACGCAGGCAGAGACGATGATGAGGAATCTCGTTGATCAGGGGTGGATGGAGAAAAGCCGCGCGGGGAATTTCAGTCTTACTCCGCGGGCACTGTTGGAGTTACGTGGTTGGCTGATCGCCACATACAACGACGATTCGGCTGGTCCCAATTCGCACAGGGCGGACCGAATCAAGTTCTGCGCGGCTTGCAAGGATATTCTTACAGTGGTATGTTCATTGTGTATTTGCCCCCTTGAGTTTATTTATTGCTGACATGCACTAGGGCCAGCGATGTGGTGATCGAGACTGCAAGGGTCGACTTCATGACCACTGCGTACGCAATTTCTTCCGCGCGCAACAGGCAGAGAAGTGTCCCATCTGCAAACAAGATTGGCCGGGTGACAAGTTTGTGGGCGAACGAGCCGTTGCTGCCTCGAACAGTAGACAGAGCAGGAATGTTCCACAAGAGAGCGTGCCTCCATCGATTCCTCCAGTTGTGGCCAATGGCTACGCTGAAGAAGAGGACAGTGAAGAAGACGAATGATTGACGATTCGAGACCGTTTGTGACGATTACGACGACCTTGGACCGGGATTGTGCTACAAGACATTTTCTCACACGCCATACACGAGTATTTATTTTGTCATGGTCGTGGCTTGACCGAAATCCCTCGCCGAGAGACTCGGCTTGCGTTTGGAAATGGCTCGAACAATGCTTTGCGCCTGGGATTGGAAATACTCGAATTAGACATTGAGATACACGGCCGCATCAGCGGACCCTGACACTCAAAATCAACCGCCGTCTGTTCGCCATCCCAGAGGAGAAGCATGATTAAAAAAACCCGACGACAATTATTTCTGGCGAAAAGTCCTCATAGAAGATCGAACGACTGTTTTGGCTTGGTTTCTTTTCCAGGACACCGTGGGCTACCTATCCTCTTGTGATAAACGCATTTGGCGAGAACTAACTTGACCAGTTGACCACAAATACCCGAATATTCACAGAATGATAAATGAGCGAGAATTCCGTAGCAAGAATCTGAGATACCCATCATATCCAAAACGCATATTGAACCTCGTACCCGCGATGATTTTAGCCGTTACTCCACTTTCGGATGTCGCTTCGGCGAGCCGCGCTTCCCCAATGTCGCCATCCAACCTCACCAACCCAAATAACATGACCACAACAAGAGGAAGGCCCAGCATGTCTGACCTTAGCCTTGCACGATACGCCTGGGTATGTCTAATGCAGTTGCAGGCTGCCTAATATGCAAAGCTCAAAAAGTACATACCCGACCCCAGCCCAGAGTCCAGAGCCCATTCATAGTCTCGTTAACGCTGCACCAGGTGAGACGCGAAAAGCCGATAGGACCATACAGCCAATGTCTCCTGATGGGCCTAGAATGCGGCGGAAAATCGAATGAGAAAATCTCGTCTTCAGATCTGCACTGTCGTGAACGATGCGTTCTTTTTTTTTGACGTGGGATACTTGGAATTTTGGCTATTCGTAATCTGTTAATACCTGATATCAGACAAGCAAAATAAACAAAGCGTCAAATGACCAAGAAGTACTTCCGAGCTGCATGGCTCAGATATGCTTAGGGCCGGTACATGAGTAGCGCAACTGTTCGATGAACGAAGGGGATGATCCCAAAGAATAATTGAGGCCATTTTCCGCGCGGAGGACGACGAGTCACCGGCTATTAGAATCGCGGCTTTTACATTCTTGTCCGTCGTCGATAATCAACCAGTGGGCTCTATATCTACAAGATGTCGGTCATGGACACATTTGGCTAATCTTAACCCGGGCGCTCAGCTTCAATCAATGCACCGTAGGGTTGGCAGCCCTGGACCCAGGATAAAGAACCACTTAGTATTGAAAAGCTAGTGCCAAAAAGGACATTCCAGTCTCACTCTGGGACATGTGCAGCAGCCCTAGTTGAACAAGCTATATGCCTGAGCACTGAATTGACAAATTCGGACACAAAAGTTGCTCTAGTATAGGGAGTTCATCATAAGCTTGAAATTTTTGTATGCTATTTATGTATGAAATATTTTTAAACAAGTGCAAGCCAAAGTAGTGAGTTAATGTCTATACATGAAGTACAGCTTGTTCACAAATACCAAGCAAACTCTATCTAGCGAGGAATCTTATCAGCAACTTCAGGTGGAATATTATCCTTGCCAATAAACCTGATCCACCTTCCCGTATCCTCAAACTCATCTTTAACACCCTCAATCTGATGTTCATTCTTCCACTCACCCGCTAAACCCACAACACCAACCTCTTCAGCATAAACACTCCACAGCCTGACCATCTCGCTGAAGATCTCAGGCAGCTTCACACTCAGATCATCCGTCTCACCCGGGTCATTAGCGATATCAAACAGTTCCCAGCGCTGAGGACCTCGAGGTAGCGGCACATAAGTAATCTTATACCGACCCTTGCGCAACGCACCACTGCCAGCAATCTCCCATCCGAATACCTTATCGTCACCATGAATAGTGGAAGCCTCATGATGAGAAGCAGCCATGGAATCCAGGAACGGCTTCCAGCTCACACCTCGCACAGGAGCAATTACCCTCCCCTTGTAGACCTTGCCTGGATGCGCGAGCCCTGCATAATCCAAAATAGTCGGAACGAGATCCATAACTGTACAGAAAGAGTCAACAATGCGGCCACCAGCATTGCACTTTTCATGCACAACAGGCTTGAGAATCAGCGGAACTCGACACCCGCCCTCCGTCGAGAACATCTTATACAATCTCGCCGGCGCAGTCGCAGCCTGCGCCCAGCGGCTCCCATACCAAACGAACGAATTCCCTCGTCCGATATTCTCAAGAGAATTGTCGTAGTACTTCTGGATATGCTGGACAACGGTCTCTCCCACCAGAGGCGTAGCTTCATAACTTGCACCCTCCGCACCATTATCAGACATAAAGCAGATAACGGTATTATCGTACTCGCCTGTCTCTTTCAGATACGAAATAACGCGTCCGATATTCTCATCCATCCGATCCACCATCCCCGCAAATGCCTCCATCGATCGAGCGGATTTCGCACGCTCATCGGCAGACATGTTCTCCCATTCTAGAGGTTCGCCGGGGGCAGTCACGACCTCGTGTGCGACTACATCTGGAGAAACTATGCCGAGATCTTTGAGTCGCTGGAGTCTTCGCTGACGAAGTGCTTCTGGGCCGTCGTCGTATTGACCCCGGTATTTGTCCATTGAGGCTTTGGGCGCTTGAAGGGGCCAGTGCGGCGCGGAGAAGGGGAGGTACGCGAAGAATGGCTTCTCGCGATCTGAGTCGGAGCGTTCGCTGAGGAAGTCGATCATTTTTGTGGCGTAGTGGTCGGATGAGTAGAAGTTCCCTGGTAATTTGGGTTGATATTCGCCATCTTGCATGTGCAGTGCCGTCACGGCTGTCTCGAAGAAGCGCGGTGGTTCATCGAGGATATTTTCGTATTGCGGTTCGTAGCCTGCGTTTTTGTCAGCCTTGTCTGCTATCCTTGCGTAATGTCGGGATAGTACCGTAGTGATTCGCACACCCAGGCAGCAAAGCGAAGGACCGCTGAAATCCGCGCATATGCGGACCATACTCCTTCTTCAATCCCAGATGCCACTTTCCCGACATAACAGTGAAATATCCGCCCTCCGAGAGAAGTTCCGGAATCGCAACCACTTTATCAGTGAGGTATCCCTCGTGGCCGGGAGCACCCTGGTGCGCGGGCGAATTGCGAATGATCTCAGATAATTGGCCCAGCCCTGTGAGGTGGTGGTCTGTGCCTGTCATCAGCATTGCGCGCGTGGGCGAACATGCTGCCGCGACGTGGAATGAGGTGTAGCGGAGGCCGCTGGTCGCATGGGCGAGGGAATCGATGTTAGGTGTTTGGATCTCCGACCCGAAGCTGCTGCAGTCGCTGAAGCCGAGGTCGTCGGCGACGATTATGAGGAAGTTGGGGCGTTTTGCCATTCTGTTGGTGTTGGAGGGCAGAGGTATGGTGGTACTGATGTACTTATTTGCCCCGCATAGTTGATAGCGGGTGTCGGGTCGGGTCTCGGGAGAGTCAAGACGTTGAAAAGATCGGCACAGAAAAGGAGTGATATATTTGGATCATTTAGTGGGGACGGATGGACACAAAATAAATAATGAATTTCCTTTTATTCCCTCTATCTTCCTGGTTTCATTGAGGTCAATTGTTACTCTCGTTGCAATGTCCAGATTGTTTACGTTGTTACCCTAAGGTAGGGAGGGATTATGTAGAGCTATGTTATTATGATCCATTGCAATTTCAATAGATGAAACGGTCTTGGCCGTTGGAGGCAACGTTCTAGATGCATCTTAATTTTATTTTTTATTTTTTGAGGGTGCCCTTGGATCACCTAGAGCTTGAATAGGTTGGTCGGTATCCTTCCCCGCATTGTCCATTGTCGGAGGGGGAAGTAAAATCTGCCTGAGGCATCATTTGTTTGTCAGTGGCAGAATCCTGTCTGTAGTAAAAGCTGTTGTGTCCCTAGCAATTCCCTGTCCCGAACAAAAGCTGTGCTGTCCCTATCAATTCCCGTCGATCTTCTGGCTGCTAATATAAGCAGCCTCCCTTAAAATCCGCATAAGTCCGTCGCTCCCCTCATTTACTTCACAAGTCTTTTTCAACTCTCTTTACTCTTCGAATACTCCAGACACCCAAGTCGCCATGCCCGAGAGTTGTTGGCAGCAAGTGCGCACCTACGCTGACCATCTGGGTCACCGCGTGGTGCTCGAGCAGTACGTGGCGCCAGACTATGAGCCAGACCCCGAACATGTAATTCCCATCCAGGTCTACAGCCTTGTCCCCCTGGATGACGACCACAAAAACCTCCGGAAGTACCTAATGCAAAGTTTTTGGGATGACGAGGTCAAGCCTTTGTTCGAGATTTATTCATACTGCCCGCCCGACGCCTTTGCCTGTATTGAGCATAACCGCATTGAAATCGCCCGTCGCAAGCAGCAACACCGGTCAGGGGTCGAGAATCCACTCCCGCTGATTCCACGATTCACCCGTCCAACTGACTACTCAACTGTTGGATTTTGTGTCTTGCTGCGATCGCACAGCTATCGACTGGGCGATGTTGAGGACTCAAATGAGCTTGCTGAGCTAGGCGAAGGCCCAGATTTGCTCTACTTCAACCGCTCGTTTTCTAGCACACGCAGTGATGCCGATAAGGAGCAGTTTCCATCTGAAGACGATGAGATTCTCTCAACTGAGGCATTCGAGTTGGCCACCGAGCGCATTACTGACCAGATTTACGTTGGCCAGACTCTCATTGTCGATATCTTCAACAACGTCCCTTTCCCTCCAGAGCGATATGCCTTGGATATAGATGAAGGTGAGCCTCCTAGCTCGGAACTGCTGTCAGAAGAGCAGATTCGCAACCAGCTAGCCCAGGAAACTTCAGTTGGCGGCTTCTCTCTTGATCCGGGTCCAGGTTTCTCAGGATGCCGACATTATAACAGTCACCAATACTCCTGAGGGCAAAACCCCTGATATTCAATATATTGTCCATGCACTTTTTCTCAGCTCTGTCCACGACACAGCAGGGCCCTCTCTCTTGGAAAGCACAGCACGCCTCTTCACAGCATCAATGTTCTCCCACCTCCCAGCCAATAAAACCCTCACTCTCAAATTCTTCATCCCAAAGTCCCCTTCTTGGTCGGCCATTCGCCCCGGCCAAAATGAAGTTCTCGAAATTCTATCCCAGCAAACTCAAGAAGACCGTGAAAATCCCTTCCCCGTCGGCGCCTTCCATAACATCGCCACAGGCGACGATCAACCCCCAACAGCAAAATGCATTACTCCTCAACAACCCGAAAAATATATCAGCACAGCACAGGGGAGGTTCTGCGAGCTCTTTCGCCTGTTCACAGTTGTGCTCGATCGCGCCAAATTTGTCTCCGAGGCCGGAGTTTACTTCTACATGGCGCACCTGGATGCGCCCGAGGACCCTTCCTTGGAGGAGACTCCAGCTGATACGCAGGTTGTGCGGAGCTCGGACATGAGTACAGTTGCTGGGCGGTTGGGGGTGGTTGTTCTTGACGGGTAATTTGGTTTGGTTGGGTGGTCTACAGTATTTTGTGGAGATATAAAACCCCGAGGCAGCTAAGTTCTACTTAAGTAGGGTGATGATGCTAGGAGATAAACCAGTAAGCTACAAATTCGGAATACGATGAACAAACAATACAAATAAAGTATGCAAAGATACAAAAGTAATAAAACCCAGAAACGATATGTAGGGAATGGCCACAGGGAGCCATACAGGTGTATAGCGGTTGATCCGTTTCCGTTATGCGCAAGGTGCCAATAAACGATAGGATCTTGATAATGTTGCATACAATTACGACAATCAGGAATATTGAAATCCATACATTCACTTTGCAATGCTCAGTTGCTGACTGCCAATAGCAGTAAAGAATAGGTGCGTAAGTGTTCCCCGGGCCTCCAAATTTGCCAGCCTTGGCACCGTCAATTCCGGGGATCCAGTACTCTTCATCCTCTGAGTACCTATACTGGTAACGGTGCCTTCTCGTCTCGCGGCTGATCGTACAAAACGGCTCGCATTGCATTATGCATCAGATCTCACTTTTTGTTACATCCTCAATACAATTGCTTTTGTAGTTGAATGACTGTTTTTGGTGTTTCTGGGCTGAATTGACTTAATCGGCTGGTAGGTCGGCTAGATGGGGGTGCAGGTGTTCATAGAGAAATATTGAGTTTTGAAAGTACCCGTCCAGGATCTAGAGGAACTAGACCTGCTGCTGTAAAAATAGACTGGATAATATCTGATTTGAATGTCTCTTAACGTGCTTGATGATGTTCTGCTAGGAAATCTAGCTTATTAATATGATTGAATCCTAGCAGTACTTGATAAGAAATTAAGCGATTATAGGCACACTTAAAGAACAGCAGAACATCCAATATCCAAAGTTTGAAGAAGATAGAATAAATGTGCTGGTATGCAGAGTGGAATGATTGAGATTTCAGCACAAATTCGGTCGAACTGAGGCGTGAGATAGTTACTATGGCCATCAAGAATCAGAAGGCGATATTTTCCTTTTATCCGATTTAGTGTGAATGGGATGAAAAGATTTTCAAGCCATCTGATGCTAATTTCGTCTGAAGCCTAGCTATTTGGAGAGACTTCAATTCGCTAGTCTTTTAGAAGCCCATCAAGTCAACTTATGTTGTGGTTTTGGCTTTGAAGATGATGTAGGGTGGAAGAGCAAAACCAGCCGCACTGAGTAAATAACAGTCGCCCATTCACAGTTTCTAGGCTGTAGAATTGCCCGACGACCATGATACTCGGCTCGAGTAACCACTTTTTGTGCTGATAAGGCCCATCGTAAAACCAGTCTGATCAAAGTTGTATATATTATATATTCTCTGATTAGATGCCGTGCTTATTGATAGCAGATTGAACAGTTTCAAACTATTGACGTAAGGTCTTTGGGTCCTCATTTTTAGCACGTTGATAATCATACCGCTTTGAAAAACTGGTTTGAAGCTCTCCTCAGCGTTTCACAAAGTTGATGCCTAAATAATCCCAACAGTTGATTGTTGGGGGGGGGGTTTCCACGGTCGGCGAGAAGAATATTCGCCATTTCTCTCACAGTAGAGGGTCTAGGCGCTGCGCCACGTGAATTCATAGAGAGTATCCACTGAAAAAGCGAATGCTCTTCAAATTTAAGTTAAATTATGACTATTAGCGGGTGTCTCAGGCCGAAATTGGTGATTGTTGATACGGTCCTGTGGCGTAGTGCGGGGTATCTGGTAACGCGCTGCGGCCGCGCGTATAGACTTGACAGCTCCAGGGTCGTTACACTTCGGCCACGGCAGGGAAACAAGAAGTGATGTGTATAACGAGTAGGAATATCAAGGATACAACCAGATGGATAAGTTCCGAACTACGAAGAATTTCCGTTGCTCATGGTTGTGTTGCCCGTCCAAATGCGGTAGTCTTCATGCCTGAGGCAGCAATAGCTGTTAGTCCCATGTGGTTGACAGCTTAACTCCAACCTCTCCAACAGCCACTTTCCATCCCACTTCTGCCTGCAGACAATTGACCACCACGTCCGACCCACTCCATCCTTCGTCCTCCCTTTCAAATTTAGCTGCCGCACCTTCCTGATCTGGGAAACGGGCGATTGTCGGGCAATTTGCGGGCCCAGCTTCCCCACACCACACGGGCCAAACCTTGCGGACTCGATGACGACGATGCCGGGGCCCCGGGCATCTCCATTTGTCGGCATCTCGGAATGCCGGCAAAAATTTGGCCGTGGTCAAGCGCTGCCCATGAATCTCTTTCAAAGGAGCCACAGTTCGTCATGATGGCTCCCCCTCTGCCGGACGTTCCGGCGCAACCACAAACCATCACCAGGGAGCAGCCACCGATGATTTCTTCACCTGTGTCTTGGCCCTGGCACTTTGTTCCCCACCGTTGACAGGCTGCAGCTCGTACTGTACTTGCCCCCCGACCCACGTTCGCCATTCCCGTTGCAACGCCGGTAAGTTTGGACTTCCCCACACTGAACTCACGCAAGAGGCGCCCGAGCGAGAGTTCTGGCAATAATCTGGAGGTGGAGGAGGTTGTGCCTGGATCGGCACTTCATTTCCTTGCCGACGATGGAGGCTGTGCCGATTTAAATAGTTCCATCCGTGCACTTCCATCGCTCCCCTCTTCTCTCCCCACGATCGAACTGTCTCTGATCGGCTTCTCCGCAGTTCCGATTCTACCGGCGCGACTCTCAACCTGAGAAGAGACAAGAGACCCAATCCCAGCACCCTAACGGGTGAAAACCGACGCAATGAAATTCAAAGTGAGTTCGCATTCGGTTCATTTTGAATTTGTATTTATAAGAGATTACTGATCGCCTTCCAGTCTCTCGCATGGGCGACTGTGCCCTTGATCTTGAATTTTGGTAGTTTGGTGGTGGGGGCTTCCCCGAAAAGCCGTATTGCGACATGCCTGAAGAGGAACACCGGGTCTGGATCCGCAGGCAACTTCAGCCGGAATGTCTATCAGACCGATTTCGACGGCGTCACCTGGGACGAAGACAACTGGCTGTTGACCACTACCAACTTGGAGCAGGGTCAGTTCCAGACACGCGGATCAGTGGCCAATGGATACCTCGGGATCAATGTCGCGAGCGTCGGCCCGTTCTTCGAAATGGACTCGGAGGATGATGGCGGCGGCGGAGGAATTAACGGGTGGCCGCTATACTCCCGGCGTCAGTCGTTCGCGACGATTAGTGGATTCTTCGATTCACAGGCAAACACCAACTCATCTAACTTTGGCTGGCTTTCGCAGTACGGAAGCGACAGTGTGATCAGTGGTGTGCCACACTGGAGTGGATTGATCCTGGACCTTGGCGAAGATACCTTCCTGGATGCATCGGTTGACAACAGCAGCATCTCTGATTTCCGAACTACTTATGACTTTAAGGCAGGTGTCCTGCTCTGGTCATATAAGTGGACGCCAAGCGACAAGGGCTCTTACCAGATCACCTATCGCCTCTTCGTCAACAAGCTCTATGTTAACCAGGCTGTGGTGGATATGGAAGTGGTGGCCTCGGAGGATGCCGAAGGGTCCATCGTCAACGTACTAGACGGTGCATCTGCTGTGCGCTCGGACTTTGTCAAGGCGGACCAGGATGATGGTGCTATTTTCTCGGCCGTGCGACCGAATGGAATCAGCAATGTCACTGCCTATATTTATGCAAACATCACTGGCAGCCCCGGCGTGGACCTCTCCTCGCGCAAGCTGGTGACTGACAAGCTGTATGTCAGCGACAAGGACTCGTCCATTGCGCAGTCTGTGGATGTGAAATTCAAGGCTGGCAAAGCAGTCCGCGTGACCAAGTTCGTTGGTGCTGCATCGACTGATGCTTTCAAAAATCCCCAGGAGGTGGCCAAGAATGCTTCTGCGGCCGCCATGAAGAACGGATATGCGAAATCCCTTCGTTCGCATGTTACCGAGTGGGCGAGCGTTATGCCAGAAGACTCAGTCGATCATTATACTTTCCCTGGTAACGGATCTTTACCCGCAGACAGTATCATTATCGACTCTGCTGTAATCGCCGTGGCCAACACCTACTATCTCCTGCAGAACACCGTCGGCAAAAATGCCATCAAGGCCGCATCCAACGATAAGCTGAACCGGGACAGCATTTCTGTCGGCGGTTTGACATCCGATTCCTACGGAGGTCAGGTTTTCTGGGATGCCGATGTCTGGATGCAGCCTGGTCTGACCACATCCCACCCCGAGGCCGCTCAGCGTATCACCAACTATCGCTTGGATAGATATGGACAAGCACAGGAGAATATCAAGACCGCCTATGCTGGCTCCCAGAACCAGACCATTTTCTCTCCGTCCTCTGCTGTCTATCCCTGGACGAGTGGACGCTTCGGTAACTGCACGGCCACCGGTCCTTGCTGGGACTACCAGTATCACCTCAATGGCGATATTGGAATTTCGATGGTGAATGAGTGGGTTACGAGCGGAGACACGCAGTTCTTCAAGGAGAACCACTTTCCGATTTTCGACTCTGTGGCTACTCTATACTCGGATCTCCTGGTTCGAAATGGGTCTTATTGGACGCTCGCCAACATGACGGATCCGGTATGTATTCACTTTTCTTCAAGAGAGAAAAGCGCAGACATTGACAATATATAGGATGAGTACGCTAACCATATTGATGCGGGTGGCTTCACTATGCCCCTCATCGCGGAGACTCTGCGCGATGCGAATGCTTTCCGCCAGCAGTTTGGCCTCGAGGAAAATTCTACCTGGGATCAGATGGCCAATGAAGTTCTCGTTCTGCGCGAGAATGGTGTTACTCTCGAGTTCACGTCTATGAATGGCAGTGCTGCGGTCAAACAAGCTGATGTGGTCTTGAACACCTTCCCGCTCGACTACTCGGCCAACTACAGTGCCCAAGATTCGCTGAACGATCTGGACTACGTGAGTAGCTTCAAGAAAATTCGGTTAAGTTTATACTAACTGTCCCATAGTATGCCAACAAGCAATCGCCCGACGGACCCGCCATGACCTGGGCTATCTTCTCGGCTGTTGCTAACGAGATGTCGCCCTCGGGATGCTCCGGCTACACCTACGCACTGTACTCTTTCCTCCCCTACACTCGTGCGCCTTTCTATCAATTGTCGGAGCAGCTGGTGGATGACGCCACTATCAACGGTGGCACTCATCCGGCTTTCCCCTTCCTCACGGGACATGGCGGTGCTAACCAGGTGGCCATCTTTGGATACCTGGGCTTGCGTCTCACTCCGGAGGACTACCTTCGCGTTGACCCGAACCTGCCTCCTCAGATCCCTTATCTGAAGTATCGCACCTTCTACTGGCGTGGATGGCCGATCTCTGCCTGGTCGAACTACACCCACACCACGATCAGCCGGGCTATCAACACGCCGCCATTGGACGTCGCAGACCAGCGTTTTGCCAACAAGTCAATTGAAATCCACACGGGTCCCGATCACGACATCCAGGTCCACCTGCTTCCTCTCAAGGGTTCTGTTGTCCTGACCAACCGCCAGATCGGCACCCAGAACACAGTCGCTGGAAACCTCGTCCAGTGCAGCCCTGCCCAGTCTGAGAATCCCTACGAGCCGGGTCAATTCCCTATCTCGGTAGTCGACGGTGCGTCATCGACAAAGTGGCAGCCTACCTGGGCAAACAACATCAGTGCAGTGACAGTTTCTTTGGGAAAGGAGGCCGGCTCCATGGTCTCGGGCTTTTACTTCGACTGGGCCCAAGCACCACCCGTCAACGCAACCGTGGTCTTCCACAACAAGACCCTGGGCAGCGCGGACCTGACAATGTCCAGCCAAGATTCGGACTACCAGGTCGTCTCCACATTGAACAACATCAAGCTTTCGGACCCATATGACGTGAACTCGACCAACCTGGATGCCATTGCCATTCCGACCGGTAATACCACCAACGTCACGCTCCCGTCGGCAGTGCCCGCAGCTCAGTATGCGACCCTTCTAATCCTTGGTAACCAGGGTCTGGACCCTGTGGATGTCGAGGCTAAGAATGGCACTGGAGCTACTGTCGCTGAGTGGGCGATTCTTGGGCAGACACAAAGCAGCAGCAACTCTTCCAGCTCTGAGACTACCCAAAGAATGAAGGTCCGCGCGGCGGCTGCGCTGGCGGATTCGGGATCTTTCATGCAGCGCCGTCAACAGTTCTTTCCCCGCAATTAGATACAATTAGATGATTGATTCCTCAATGTGCCTGGTTTTCTGACGGAATGAATTATACATGTATGGTATCTCCACTTTAAAATTTCGAACGAAAGATTTGAATTGCGTTTACAGCCACCTGAAGCTATCAACAAAACTATACAAAATTACATTAGTGTACTTCCACCTACTCATCCAAGGCAAAGCGATCCAGGAATTTGAAAGTTCTCAGGCCTTCCTTGATACCCTTGACGAACTTCTCACCAACAGACTTGGAAACATAAACTCCGTCCCGGTCGGATGCAATCTGCGCCGACCGAAGCGCACTAGACCCCTTACCGAGCGCACCAACAGTCTTTCCAAACCGGAACGCATCAACAAGGATATCTAGCGGCCGGCCAGCAGGGAAAAGCGTCGAAGCTTTGGTCTGCTTCTCCGTCGCGGAGCGAGCAGAGAACAACCCCTCGGCCCCATCCGCCACAACGACAGCATCAAACTGCACAGCATCAGAAGCAGAGTAAGTCTGATTGACACCATCAACCATCCGCTCGCCCACAACCACAACATCAACGCCAACATCCTTCAGCTGCGCCTGCAAAGCCGAACCCTGTGCAATGCTAGAAGCGTTCTGTACAGACGCAAGCAGACCAACCTTCAACCCCTCCAGCTTAAGCAACTTCTGTCCAAAAGCACCAATATGCGCAGTGGTGTTGTCGTGGTAGAATCGCGGGTCCGGACTCGGTGCTTCAATACCGATGGCTTCGGCAACGCGCTTCGCCAGGTCGTTGCTAATCCGGTTCAGCTGGATAATGACGTTCTGACGGACGACGGAGGAGACCACGTTCGCGTTCTCGAACCGCATTGCGTCGACGACGAATTGCTTCTCCGCTTCCACGAGCGAGTTCCAGAATAGACGGGGCTGCGACCAGACGTCTTCGAAAGTTGAGCTGACGGTTCGTTGGAGCTTGCCGCTTGTCTTTCGGGAGGGAGTCGTGAAGAAACCCTTGCCGGTTGTTTGGTTGGCTTGTTTCGGAGAGCCGTTGTTGGGCGTGTTCGGGGTGTAGGCGTCTTTGTTCAACGGGATGAACATTTGCCCTGCGCCGTCGCGGTTGTTGTTGTGGATGGGTACTCGGGGTCGGTTGATGGGGATTTGCTCGAAGTTGGGACCGCCGTGCCGGTTTAGTTGTGTGTCCAGGTAGGAGAAGAGGCGGCCTTGCAGGAGGGGGTCTTCGGTGAAGTCGACACCGCGGACGATGTGGCCCGGTTGGAACTGGGAGAGCTCGTTAGCTTTTTGCTTGAGTGGTAAGTGTTTTGTCGAATTACCATGACTTGCTCGGTTTCGGCAAAGTAGTTCTTCGGGTTCCGGTTGAGAGTCATCTTGCCGAGTTTCGTGACGGGGACGATTTCCTCAGGGACGATCTTTGTGGGATCGAAGAGGTCGAATCCGAAACGGAGCTGGTCATCTTCGTCCATGATTTGCACGCCGAGCTGGATATGTCAGAATCACAGTCCTATCTTGTCTGGAACCGGCGTAAAACTAACCTCCCACTCAGGATACCGTCCAGCTTCAATCGCATCCCAGAGATCCTGACGCATGAAATCGGCATTTTTGCCCGAAACCTGCTGCGCCTCCTCCCAGACAAAACTAGCTTTACCCTGCAATCCCTTCCAGTGGAACTTGACGAGCTTGGACTTTCCACTTTCAGTCACGAGACGGAAAGTGTGCACGCCAAATCCATCAACGTGTCGGAACGAACGCGGGATTCCGTGGCCGGCCATAGCCCACATCAGCGTGTGCAGGGCGCTGGGTTGCTGGCTGAAAAAGTCCCAGGCTGCGTCGTGCGCACTTGCGGCTTGGGGGATCTCGTTGTCGCCGCGGGGCTTGACGGCGTGGATGAGGTCTGGGAAGAGAATTGCATCTTGGATGAAGAAGACGGGGATGTTGTTTCCGACGATATCTACGGGATGTTAGCTATGTCCACCAAGGAATGGGTAGGGTTCTCATTCTTACCGAAGTTGCCCTCATCTGTATAGAAGCGTGTCGCGAATCCGTGCACATCTCGCGCGGTGTCGGCACTGCCGCGGCTGCCGGCGACAGTGGAGAAACGGACGAAGACCGGTGTTTCTTTGTTTTCCTTGGAGAGGAATGATGCGGCACTGATGTTCGACCAGTCGCCGTAGGAGGTGAATACACCATGGGCACCGACGCCGCGAGCGTGGACGGCGCGTTCGGGGACCTATACAACAATTGGGTTAGCATGGCTCGTGGTCTTCTCCGAGTGGGTGTATACTTACGCGTTCGTGATCGAATCGCTGGATCTTCTGACGGAAAATAAAATCCTCCAGTAATGTCGGTCCACGCTCTCCAGCGCTGAGACTGTTCTGGTCCTCAATGGGTCCGCCAACGTCCGAGGTCATAAACGCATCCTTGTCATTGAGGTAGAACTGTGACAGGAATTCCTCAGTGTCGCCAGCAGCACCATCATCAGCGCGACGGCTCAACTCATGTGGGTTATAATCGCCTGTTTCACCGGTCATATAAGGGCAAGCAGCATTGGCAATGCCAACGAGGCCCGTGGCCAGAGCAAGCAAATGCATTGCGACGAGCTTTGCTCTCCTGCTAATAGCAACGAAAATATCTAAGGAAAAAACCTCGAAGGCAAAAAACTCCGCAACCCAGCAGCAGGCCTTATTTATCTATATGCAGGGGAGGGGCGGACGAAGGTCGGCAAAGTACCAGTTCGCGGGTCCAACGCTGCACAGCACCAATCGTGTCTCCAGTCCAAAGGGAAATCTCACCGAGCAACCCGAAGTATATGGCCATGCCGTCGTCCAAACACATCGAGGATGATTATGCTAGCACGCCGGGCCAGAATCAAATACAGGCTGAGCAATACGGAATCCGACTGGGCTGCATTTTCCCCCGAGTGGAGCCCGCAAATCTGGTACATTCCCAGCACATGGTGAGAGCGGCCACTGAGGTCGTACAATGCTCCTCCCCAGTGGACCGTTGATCCTGTACCTCTGTCCCTAGCGTCACTTCGGTGCTCACTTTTGGGGCCATGATTGGCTGGGCGTGATAGAAACGAGCCGTGGGCCAAGACGGGGTAAGGAGGAAGCACGGCAGAAATAACAAAGGCACCCCGGCTCGCAGACGATTTCGGTCACAGGCTAGGTCTTGGCCTGGTGGAGATGTGATCGTGGACTGGGTGATGCAGTACTCTTTCCTTGGCGGGATAACTTTTTATTGGGAGAAAACACCCAGATGGGCGAGTTCTCGACAGTGGAGAGATTATTCAGGCGAGAGTGTCTGCGTGCGATCTTCCTTGGCACGATTGTCGGATTGGGGGAGGTTGAGTAATTATGAAGGTCGAGTCCTCGATGCTTGGTAATGTCGCCGGTCTGGAGCGGGTGATTTGCTCCCGCTAGCCTTAATCGGCCCTGGCGTCAGCTACCCACCCAGCGTCCGGGCTTTGTAAACCTCAGATGATGGTGGGTCTTGGCATAACAGCTGCCTTGGACGAAGAAAAGCCGATGCACTGCATGACGTACGAATTCGGCGTCTTGGTTTCTTGTCGGTAGAGAGCTGGGGGCTTGGGCTTGGGGTTGGTGGAGCCAGGGGCTGTTGCAGATGTCTACCGTGAAGATCGGCCTTGATGCAATCGACATTGAAACAGCTGGACCTGTCGCTGTCTCAGCTTGATACTTTCATCTACCCATGACAGCTGGAGGCAGATTGACAGAGGGTTGATGTTGGCACCGGATCGGCGTTTTCGATGTGGAATTGCAGGACGCGATGAACGCGACTATCGCAGCGTTGCCTACAAGCTACTGCACTGATCCCTGCAAGCTCCGCTCATCTTCGCCTTTTTTGGCTTGCACCTGCTCCTCACGACACTACCGTGCGGACCCGACGGTCGCGAACAGTTGCGCGCAGTGAGAGGCCGGCCGAGTGTGATTGCCAAGATTTCTGACCCTGCACTAGCACACACAAAAAGGTGACGAGATAAAATTAGACCAACAGGTCTTGTCCTGCATGGGTTCTGGGCTGTCCCTGGCTACGCCGTGCGGGGGTTGGGCGGAGCTGACAAGCTTGCTGAGCGGAGATGCTTGGCGATGGAAGAGATTTTATCCACTTGCGGAGGTGAGTACTTGTGAATATCAAAGTTCGCATATACATGGTCGTGACGAGATATTTTGTGGGAAGATGTGTCGCCAGGTCTCAAGAACAAGATCCGAGAATGGCAGGCCGATGCGAAAGAACGGTTAGAAGTCCCAATTTTTGAGACAGCGCGGGCAAGCGAAAAGCAATATACAGCTTTTAGTGATCATTGATGAGGTGGTATAGAACGTGACCCATACATTATGAACTACTCTATTTGCGCTTACCGCTCTATTTGCGCAAATTTCGATCTTCGCTGAATCGCACGTGTCGCAGCAATTAAATCCCTCAACGGTCAACCAAAACCGATCCTATGCGGCCCCACAAAGATATGCATTGCAACAATCCTTCAAGCAGTTGTCTTGGGTCGGGTCATCGACGCGATCTCGCCTTGATCAGGCAGACTGCGATCCACAAATCCGAATTTCTCATATAATGGTGCGCCGAACTTGCTGGCATCGACGTATGCGGGAAGCCCGTGTTTATCGGCGAAATCGCAGCCCCATTTCACCAGCATCGAGCCAGCGCCGCGTCTTTCCGTACTCGGGGAGTGTGCAGAGGGTATCAAGGTCTAGTCAAGACAGCAATTAGTATTTACTCAGCAAGCGAAGGTGCGCCGGCCATGGCAAAAAATATCGCACGGGATCATACAGCAATGTTCCACATCACCCATCACACGCCTCCGGTTCGCCTCCAGCATATTAAACACCTTTGTACACTCATCGGCCGGAGTCTCCTCAGCCCAAGGAAGAAAGCGAGGCCCTCGAAATTCCGCCGTCTTCGAATCCCACTTCCCATACGCGACCACACTCGGCCGACCCTGCGCATCTTTCGTATCGGGATCAACGACTTTAAGATAGAATTGGTATGGGCGGTTCTTGAAATCGTGAGCGTGGCAATCCGCCATCCAGCCGCGCAGAACCGGCGTGTCGGGGAACAGGCGCATCATTCCTGCGTCTTTCGCGAAAGCTGTGAACCATATCTCGTTTAAGGCCTCGATGTCGTCTGCTGTCGCTGGTTCTATGACCAGAGGTGTTCGTACTGATCCCATCTTGAGTGCAATTGGTGTCGATGCGCGGTGTAATTGTTGAGTGTGAAAGCGTGGGATTCGTGTGGTTAATGTAGCTTGAGTCACCTTGAGTGGGGGCTGCGAAGACGGGGTCTAATCGGGAGGGGAAGTTCCATTGAGGGTCTCCATTGGCTGGTCACGATCGATGCGGCTGTAGAAGATGCGATATAGTTGTTCGCAACGGGATTGCTTCAAGCAAGGAGTGCGATCGGGAGGGTGAGTTTGATCATCAATTGGATGGGAGTTCAGCTTCTACCCCCAATGAGATAGTGATTAAAAATAGCTGCCTCAGTCTGGAACGTATATTCCCACCAAAGGAATTGGGGGGGATACGAAGAGCAGTGTAAGCACGGAATACGTTTTCCTATACAGGGAAGTGCACTTATGGGCTGACAATGGGTCGATTAAACTTTCCCGGTTCTGGAAATCTCGACGATCATAACAGCCGTCTTGACGATTGGCCTGGAAATACGGGAGACCCCCAGTTGACATCGGGGAGGAATAATCGCGAAGCTTACTACATCTGGTACGCTTTGAGATTAGGGAGTCACATGGCAAGTACCCCGCAGTCAGTCCGAACTTTAAAGGTTGTGACAGGAGATTCTATCTGCAACTAAGGTTGAAAGAATATGTCGGACTTTCGGATATCGGTATCGACTAGTACTCATGAGGGCCAATTGAACCATCTCAGCGATCGATTGATTGACTGAAGAACTACCTGTCGGCTCCCGTTCAGGATGCCATCCATCTATTCAGGGGTTTTTAGTGTGTTACAGCGCTGCTTTTTCCGAGAATACCCCGATTACCATACAAAACACGTAGGAGATTGGGTATCTGCTGAATCATCCTGCTCCTGATTGTACTGCGTAATATCAGTCTCTCCGATCGACAGTATACATGTAAACTCCCGTTTTCGGCATGACCAGGTTACGCACACATTTCCATTAGGCACCAAAATTTCGTGGATGGACCCACTTCTTAGAGTTTTATCATATATAAGGAAGACCAACTGGCACATTTTTGTCTGGCACATAACATTCTCTTTTATTATGCTTAGTCATATCAGCACAACCAATCAGAATGCAGGATTCTATCCCTTCCACCCCATCTTGGGTCGCCCTGTCAGCCAAGCTACCAATACCAAAACAGCCTAACAAAGGCATATCCGACGCTCAGAAAAAAGCACTCCGTGTCTATGCATCTGAGACACTCCCTAAACCTACTCAGAGAGCATGTGCTGAGTGGTTTGCATCTAAATTCAGGCGTCATATCAACCGTGCAACCGTCTCAAAGATCCTTTCATCTAAATACGAGTACCTTGATACTGGTTTTGCTGGCCAGAACAAACGCCCGTTAGCATCTCGATGGCCTCTGTTAGACGAGGCCCTACATATCTGGCAACAATGTCACGAGGATGCCGGCTTTCCTATAACAGGGCCATTGATTCAGAGCAAGGCCGTCGAATTTTGGAGGAAAATACCTCAGTATAAAGACCTCGACCCGCCGCTCTTCTCTGAAGGGTGGCTTTCCCGGTTCAAACAACGCCATTCGATCCGATATCATACCTCCTACGGCGAATCTGCATCAGTCCCGACCTCAATATATACCGAGATAGAAGCTATTCAGGCTATCTGCGACCAATATCAGCCAAGTGATATCTATAATATAGATGAAACTGGTCTATTCTGGCGTCGAATGCCAAATGGAGGTCTATCGAGTAAGGGTAGTCCTGGATACAAAAAAGATAAGACCAGGATTACTCTCGCAGTGACGACCAATGCCAGTGGTTCAGACCGAATGCCTCTATGGTTAATAGGCACTGCAAAAATGCCTCATGCTCTACGAAAACTTAATATCCCAGCACTTGGATGTGTCTGGCGGTGGAACAAGAACGCATCGATGCGCGGTGATGTTATGGAAGAATGGTTCCGCTCGTTTTATAGGCATATTGGCTCACAAAGACGAGTCGTTCTATTACTCGATAACTTCAGCGCGCATCTCTCTGCGCTTGATAATACGCCGCCGCCGTCGAATATCAAAGTCCTTTTTTTGCCACCAAACGCCACCTCAGTTTACCAGCCATTGGACCTGGGTATCATCAGAAACCTTAAGCACCATTATCGGAAGAAATGGTTGACATGGATGGTTAATATGATAGACCGCGGCGTCGATCCTACGCAGAGAATGAGCCTCTATTACACACTACATTGGATCACCCAGGCCTGGAGACGTGATGTTCTAGATGAGACTATTCAGAAGTGCTTTATCAAGAGTACACTTATTGGTCCTAGTACTAATGACATGAATACGTCTCAATCTGAGGACCTTCAACTAGGTGATTTATATTCGCAGGTGACCGACCGGCTTCCTGGTACAGAGGTTATGGCATTAGATGAATTCCTAGACCCTCCAGGAGAAAATCTCGATGTTGACGAGCCTGATTTATCTGATAAAATCGTTCGTTTTTCAGAAGAAAACACAGGTGATTGTGATGGGGTCCACGATAGCGAGGACGAACAGGACGAATATATATTCGGACCACCGCTGAATATCCTATCACGTGTCGAAGCTATTGAATATATGCACAAAGCTCTTCAATTTGCTCAGCACCAAGAGGGTATTACCGAGAGAGATCTCTATGATATAGAGAGGATAGGACAGCTTTTTTCTCGACTACAGAATGACGGAAAGAAACAAAGGAAGGTGGATGACTACTTTAGACCAAAAATAGACTAGTGGCTACTAGATTAGGATTAGCTCAATGCCAGTGGCACACTTTCATTAGGCACCCCAAATTTCTGTTGCCCGGAGAGCCGTGCCGAAAACGGGAGTTTACTGTATACATTTTGATCTGGGCAATTCAGTCCGATCAGTTCAGTTCTTCGGCCAGGTAATCCAGTTCCAGCTCTTTCCACTCTTGATGAGCTGCTGATCAACACCGTTGTTACCACTGCTGACATACAGCACCTTGGTGAAGGAGACCTCATTATAGTAAGTGAACGGAACGTGGGCGGGGATAAAAGTCACATCTCCCATGTTCAGGGTCGCGACGGGGTAGTCGCCAATCTTGATGGAAAGGACACCCTCCAGAACCTCGAATGCAGCGGCACCGGACAGAGTGTAAGAGGGCGGGCTGTTCTTAGTCTGGCGACTGATCGAGATGGTGGAGATGGTGTGGTTGGTGTCCTGGGACTGCTTAGGCGAGACAAGAGGCTGGATGACCTGATAACCGTGCTCGGAATTCAGGTACTTCTCACCGTAGCCGTTGGCGATAAAGTAAGGCTCGCCGGGGGCGCCGAGCTCGTTGGAGCCTGTGTGCCATTCACTGTTGTCGACGGGGGCGGTTCCGTTCACCAGATCGCGACGGGGCTCAAAGTCGTTCTGAGCATAGACGTCGAACTTCTGTAGCTTGGACATGATGGAGCCGCTCGGGGAGGAGGAGCCAGTCGAGGCTTTGGGGACGTAGATAGTGCCGGTGTCGGAGGAATAGTTGGTGCCAAAGGCATAGAAGAGGTCCCTGTTGCGGTGTTAATTCTATCTTCATGGCCAAGCCCAGACAAAAACCTACTCGAATCCACCAGGGGAAATAACACCGATCATCTCAGTGTCCGGGTCCAGGATTTGAAAGGTGTGGGTGGTGTTGCGAGGAACAGAGCCATAGTCACCCTGAGTGAGCAGGCGAGCCTGCTGCTCGCTTTCACCCTTCTGAGCCCACAGCTGGAAGCGGCCCTTGAACGCGAAGAAGTTCTCGTAGTGCTTGCGGTGGATGTGGGGCAAAACACCCAGGGAGCCGCTGCCAGGGGCATTGGTGCTCATGAGAGTGAAGGTATAGCCAGACGAGGGCCCAGTAACGGTGAATCGGTAGAGCTGGGACTCCACGGTGACGGCGTGCGAATTGGCGTAGTGAGGAATGACGTAGGGACGTGGGGAGGAGGGCGCATTGTCAACGTAGAGATCCTCAAGGGTCGGCTGAGCCTGGACGAGTCCAGCACACAGAGAGGCGAGCAGAACGAGCGGCGAGGTCAACATTTCGGCGGCGCAAACGTGCTTGATCAAGACCGATCAAGCAAGCTGTAGCAGGATATATTCATCTTTAAGATCTCTCGGGTTTTCCGGGCCATGGTCCCGCAGAAATCATACATCGGGGAGGAGCTCGCCGACTTGGAGCCCTGGGATGGCTGGTTTCCCCACCATGATGCACTCTCCGTTGTAAGAACCCTTCATGTTGATGAAGAATTGTAGCAGATGCCTCGGCAATCCCGGATCGACAGAACCGCCAGGCACGGATTTCGAGAAACCCGGTTGGCAGGGCGTGCCAGGCCGGCGAAAGGGGTTGCGCGGACGCGTCTCCACCGTCGACGATCGTCATTAGGATTTGCCGAATTATGTTCCGGGTCGATTTGGTGACATCTAGCGTAGATGAGGCTTTGGGGCTGTGGTTGTCATTGGCGACAGGAAGGCTTTGGCGGCCATAAAATTGAGAGAAGACAGGGTTGCAGCGCGGATGAAGAGGTTAATCTCTGCCAGGTTGAGAGGGTCCGTTTCATACAGAAAGCGCCTGCCAGTCCGTGACGGATCATCCCAAACAATGTGATTCGAACAAAAGTGAATTTGAATAGTTCTCGAATGCGCTTTGATTGGGAGCGTAAGAACGCTCGAATGTAGCCATCACTACACTATTGTATGTTCAATCGTTGGTTTCATCCGGGTGATGCAGAAACCGATCCACTTGTCGGCAAGCCGCGTGGCGTCGAATGGCTGGTTTAAACGCGGGGCCGGTTACTCAGTGGCTTCATCTGAAGAATCTGATTTCATCTGACGGCTTTTCCGACGATTACAGTTCTGTAGTGTAGCAGTGTGTGACATTAGTTTATCGGTACTCGGAAAGTCCCAACACTAGACAAATGTTAATAGCGGGTCGTGACTCAAACAAAAGGCTCAGGATAAAACTCACGATATAGCCGTGAAGCACGCGAAAAGAATACCACCCTCCAAGTAATTGATTTTCCCTTCAGTATGATGAACCTAACGAGCAGGATTAAGGCAACATGGGTGACCATCCCAAATCGGCCAAAATGCGGCGTCATCGGCTTGTCCTGAACCTACCCCACAAGCACGATCATCGGAGTCACCAACAACCCAATTTGAATCCTGCAAAATGAAATTAGGTCTGATTACCTCTGTCTTCATGAATTGGCCCCCACAAATCAAACGTCGGAATAGGTATGGCACTGGGCTGATTGCCTACGACACTGAGCACAAAAACAGACCTTCGAAACGTGGAGAAATGGTATGGTTGCAGTCGGTAGGGAACACGCCAGGCTTTTTGAGGAGTATTTACCTCAGGATGGCTTCGATACTGTGGTTCACTGGTTCAGGGCCGCTTCCAGGTTCGACTTTCATGGCTAAATTCACGGCCCGGGAGTTCAGAGGAATATGTCAGAAATTCGACAACAAGTCTTGATCGATCGGCTTCAACCCCCGCAATGTTGGAAATCGCAAGGGCCAGACTTATGGTAGGACCACGCGTCGATGTGGGCGTCTGCCGTGTAACCTATGAGACCAGCCGATGCAAAGCTGTCACCGAATGGCGAACGCATGCAGATGCTAAGAAGAGTTTTTGAGGATTTGAGGAAGAAGGTGGGAGGCGATGATATGTCTGGGAAGAGAATGCTGAGAGTGAAAGGAAGAAGACGCGGCAACTTCATCAATGTTGCGGGTGGCGAGCCTAAATTGGCTGGTAACAAACTCAGGGCACCTGACACTAGCCAGGTGTGTTTTCGACTCTCATGGATACTAAGATACATTATCTTCCTTATTCAAGTGTGGGATGCATCACAGATAGAGTGGTATTCATTCTAATGCCCAAATTTTATCAATTCTCCTCCCCGTGGCACAGAAAACAATGAGACGAGCATATGGACAACGCAGTCAACAAAGGAATCCATTTAGCACTTCAGGATAGTACCAGCAAATTTCACCTATTCATGGCAAGCCGACACGCCAGTCCGCACCGTCACCACCAGCCCGAACCTTGTACTGCTCATATACTTCACAGTCGTGCGTCTCATATCTCATATCACGCCTATATTTGCCTTCATATGCTCTACCGGTAGCACGGTGCATCACCGAGCTATTGTCCAAGATAGTCATGTCTGTTTCGTCTTTCCGGTCAACTGTCACTCGATGTTGTGGCTTTTCAATGACGTTGAAGAGCTCACGAATGAGCTTGTCGCTTTCTTCTTTGCCCATGCCTTCTATGCTGTAGACATAGAAGTCGATATAGAGATTCTAAATTTCAACTTAGAAGTCAGCCACAGCAAATTAATTTGTTGCACTTGAGGGGCGCATACCTTCCGGCCACTAGTTTCGTGAAGCTGAGCTAGTTTGCGTTTGCTCAGGGGCAACTTGCTGGGATCGGTATCCTTGAAGTATTCTGGAACTGCCTTCTTTCGAGAGTGAAACAATGAATGGTTTGCTGCCAGGTGTTCGATCTTTTTTTTCTTTGCATTTGCCGAGCGAGATTGAAACTCTTTCTGTCTATTTTTAAGGGTTTCCTCGATGAAACATCTAATGTTGCGAGCTAGGTACGATTTATCTGTACTGAATTGCTTGCAGGCAATACCACAATAGACAGTCTACTTCAATAAACCAACTGACAATAACCTCGGGCTTATTTCAGCTAGTCTATTTCTGCGTGAGATCCCTTCATGAGCGATAGATTGTTACACATTGATCAAGAATCCTTGAAATTCCACCTTCAAGATGTGCACTGCTGTTGGCAGCTTCGCGCGTCCCCTAAGAAAAGGAGATTCCAAGATGTTTCTTGAGCCTCTAGGAGCATGTACACAGTCTATTATGAAACGTTACTTTGCTTTTATCCCATGAAGTTCCGCAATGCGCCAATAAAAATGGGATTCTGTCCTTATCTACAGAAGCGCCCGGCATCGGCTTCCATGCCGCGAACCTAGAGACTAGACCTGGGCAGAACCCATGGGCCGGCCCATTCGGCCCATTCGACCCATTTTAGGGCGAAAACTAGTGTACATGTAACTTTCATAATTTATGTACTTTTACTGTAGAAATCAACTATATCTCATAGCCATCTAATAACCTTGAACGCTTTCGAACTCTTCCTGAAACACGCTGTGTGTTTTGCTCAGGCAAATCAGGCTCCTCAGGCTCAGACTCCCCCTCAGGCTCTTCGGCAAGCTCATTAACACTCCTTCGCCTCTTCGAATCATATTGCGCAGGGCCTTCTTCATTATCACTAATCTCCAGAATGCCCTCCTGCGTACGCTCATCCATCTCTTCTTGTTGGAATTCTATCTCAGTCTCAGTTGCGCACGCCCGAACGAAAGCAAGCTGCTCCTCTTCTAGATCAAATCGAATCCCACACATAAGAAGCATTAGATCCTGAATAGTACTCGATTGTAGTGAGCCACGGCGATAGTGGCAGATATCACGCGCGGAGTTAAAGAGACGCTCTACGCCTGCGCCTGTGGCTGGGACGGAAAGGAAATCTCGAGCGAGAGCTGCGAGTACTGGAAATCTGTGTTCATGATCTCTCCAGAATTCGCGCGGAGGAATTGATACCGTGCCTGTTTCAAGGTATTTAAATTAGAAAGAGTGTTTGGTTTAAGAATAGAAGACCACGTACTACTCTCGAGATACTGAGTGAGCTCAGGGACTGGGGCAGTAGGCCGACTACCACAAGCGAGTAGTAGATCAATCTCACTCGTAGGCTTCACAGTCTGTAAACCTCCAGTCTGTGAGAGAGAGCTATATACACTATCCTCGTAGTGCTTAACTCGGGCTTCGAGAGCTTGTCTATATTGGGCAGCAATGTCTTTCTCGTCATCCTGCCAATCTGAGGTCTGGAAGAATTCAAGCTTATACTGCGGCGCCAAAATAGTCCCAGTTGAGTATATATCACTAAGACCTTCAAGGTCAGTCATCATATAATAGTCCCTGAGCTTACTTGCGGCTGTTCTTAGAGCGTCAAGCATTTGTCGTTTCCATCCGATCTTCTTCCGTTGTAGCTGGCGAATCCGGATCTCAAGATGATTAAAGAGACGATTGTAAATACTGAAAACAGTATGAATCGTTATGTCTATTGTTTGAGAGAGCAGTGGTGAATCTGTAGAAAGGCTGGGTGATACATATCAGGTAATCAACCTGCCGCCACTCATCTGATGTGACCTGAATATGAGAATGATGAAATTCGGAGCAGAACGTATAAAACACAGGCTGTAGCTTCTTAGCCTGGCGGGGCATTAAGAATGTCGAATTCCAGCGCGTCCTGACGTTCTGAATTGAGAATAATCGAGGTGTATTTGACTGGGAGGTGTATTGACTGGGGGTTTTGGAAAGATTCACGGCGCTGAGGGCTTGCATTGATGAAGATAGCGAGGTTTCGGATCTAAGTGATTGTATAATTAGTATATGTTTGATAGGTAGAAAGAATAGTTTAAGATCGAACCTTCTTAAGTGTATTCGCCATACTATAGTCTCTTGCTCTTTGGCGAGCTATTTTCGTATGCTCTTCAGACCAGACCGTATCGACATTCTCAGTCACTGTGTCGGCCTTTATTTGACCAAGGAGCTGCTTTAGGCTCAACTGAATCACATGGGCGAGGCATGGCACTGGGATAATAAGAGTATCAGAACGAAGGCCCTGAGACTGAAGAGAGTCTTGCAGAGATGGGATAAGAGTCGAATTGTTAGACGCATTATCAGTTGTGACAGCTAACGCTCGCTCTTTGATTCTATGCTTTTCAAGCAGGTCTAGAACTACTGTGCTTAGGTAAGCCCCAGTATGAACACCAGACAGAGGCCCAAATCCTAGTAAAACCTCCCAATATTCCCAATCAGCGTCAATAAAGTAACCAGACACCGCCATAAAGGCCTGTTGGAAAGGGGAAGTCCAACAATTTAAGCTTATTGAAAGCTTTGCCTTTAGTGGAAGCTTCTGAATTATTTCTTTCTGCTGATCTTGTGCTTTTGTTTGAATTCGACGCTGTAAGATTCTTCGAGAGGGAAGGCTTATAGCTGTTGCCGATTTCTGAGCTAGTTGTAGAAGCTTAAGGAACTCGGGATGTTCAACAGTCGTAAAGGGAAGCCGTAGGGTAGTAATTGCAGAGATTAATTGGTGTTCCCAACGGGAATCGCTGAACGGCTCTGGTGCGATTTTTGCCTATTGAGTAGTAAAATTAACTTTGATCTAGGAATAAATAAATGAGAGACTTGCCTGTTTCTGTAGTAGCCGGCGGATGCTTGATTGGCCCTTTGTTTTACATATTGTTCCTTCTAGCTGTCTTCGTAGAGCAGTTGTTGCTTGCTTCCCTGCCATCCCTGCGTTGGTATGAAATAGAGAGTTCGGATGGTTCAAAATTGTTCCACAATTCTTGCACATCACCTTAGGTTGTCCAGTAATAAAATGGGCAACCTGTTCGAAGTCGGCCCATATATCTGCTCGCTGGCCCCTTCGATCCCAGAAAGTAGATTGGTGCCCAGAGTGCCCACTCTGGGTCTGGATCCACCAATCCACGAAATTCTCTTTATTCATATCTTCGCATAAAGCGTAGGTTTGTGCTGGATCTGTAGAGCGTCTGAGAGAGGTGGGAACAGAGAGAGGGGGAGGAAGCTGCGTTGTTTGGCTTGCGGAGTCTTGTTTTCGGGCGACGACATTCTCAAAGATCCAGCTTTCTGAGAAGCGGCCGATCGCACCTATCACGAGTCAAAAACGGATCCATGGACCATCCTTCCATGCTCTGTGGCATAAGTGCCGGGGTCGAAGGTCATGGCCAACGAGGTAATCTCTCCACCATCCCCAGAAATGCTCAAACTTGATCGAAATAAGTACTTCGCCGGCTTGGCCTGGTACCAACTGACTCGAGAGCAAAAGAATTGCCCCGGAGGGACATATGGAGTTTATCTTCAATACGGGGAACTGGAGCACCTTCTACCAGGGCCAACTTGGCAAAAAGTACGGCACGATGCTGCAGATACTACAGTACCCGGGTCTAGGAGCTCTCTTCACATTCGAGCTCGATTCCCCGAACAGAAGGAAGAAGGAATTGATCACGGGCCCGAAATTAGTCTGGGCTTCTACTGACCGGAGAGAGGGTTTTGTGATCAGACCAACATGATGCACGCCTGAGAATGGCAGAGAATATCCGCAAAACAAAGCCTCTTGCCAACATCGTGAAGGGCGGAGTTTTCCCTCCCCTCCCTGGAAATCTGAAGTCAGATGACGAGGTCGTCATTGAGAATGCTAGTTTACAGCACAATTTCCAATGCGGTATATCTCCTAAGAACAATGACGAGACTTCCCGCAAACATCCAAATCCGTTTCGCCCTGATGGACCCGTTCAGCCTTCCCATTACATTGAGAGTGGCCTTTCGCGCGAAGATTCCACAGTCTATATGGATGCTGTTTCGAAGTAAACTGTGAATGACTGGCATCGTATATCCCGCTGCTCCAACTGTCTTCGTTCTAGCAAGCTAATCATATCCTAGCGATCGGGACCTGTACGATGAGCCAATCGGGCCTAGAGGGTGTTGTTGATGACCACCTGCGAGTCCACTATGTGGATAGGCTACGGGTAATCGGTGCAAGCATCATGCCCAAGCAGATCGGCGCGCACCTCCAGGCGACAGTGTATGCGATCGCAGAGAAAGGCGCACCCTCGGCGGACTCCGCCAGGAGTTGGATATTTGACGAATAGGCAAAGTGAAACGAAATAATCCAATGTCATTTTAAGTTTTTACCGGCCAATTGAATTTCCAATCTGATTACTCTTCACTCGTTCCCTGATAGTTAACTAACTAACCCGTTTTGCCCGACTAACGTAATGTAGCGCACGCTGTCCCAAACAGGCCTAGCGCCATCCAGACAATAGAGTTTCTACCCCACACCCGCCGATAAGAACGACCCCCTTCCGGTTTGCCTCGTGGACTTCCCGATAGCGCTTTCCCACTCTGCAAAATGCCGCCAGATCGACAACCGCGGGCCACGCGCATAGTCCGCGTTCGCACGGGCTGCTGGACATGCAGGCGCCGCAAGAAGAAGTGCGACGAGGTCCGTCCTATCTGCGGGGGCTGCTCGCGAAACGAGCTGGGCTGTTCGTGGCCCACCACGGTGCCTGGGAGGCGGAATTCAGGCCCAGAGAGCTATTCGCCACAATTGAGTGACGATGGGAGGCGGTTCAGTCTGCCGGAGACGATTGAGGGGCATGAGGTGCTGAACTTCCCGGTGACGCCGGGGTCTCGGCGGCACTCTTCGGTCTCTTCGATCGGGGGACAGTCGGTCCTTTCGGAGCGCGAGACTGATGAGCCTGCTGTACCAGGAGAAGCGGTTGCGAGTAGCGAGGCGAGTGTTGGGAGTGGGAATTCTGCTCTCATGGCCATGTCGGGCTTCGGACATGTTGTACCTAGGACGATGTCGATGTTGCCTGGCTACGATCCAGAGTCGTATCAGCTTCTCAGCCACTACTTGAGTACGACTGCAGACTGTATGGCGAATGGATCCACCCCGATCAACCCCTTTTTGGTCCAGATTGTTCCCCTTGCTTTCAGCAGCGACCTCCTGTTGCAGCTGGTCATCACGCAGAGTGCGGCACATCGCGCGTTTCGACGACGGGACGAGACGGACGCTGTCGCTCATACACACTACTCGAAGGCGATTAAGCTGTTCCGAAATGGAGTTACCGAGTTCATTGAAGGGAAGGAGTCAAACCCGCTGATGCTCCTCGTTGGAGCACTGCTTATGTGCTTTACCGAGGTAAGAGCCCTTGTATGACAGGTCTATCTGAACAGTGCTAATGCGTCTCTTTTAGACGGCAAAAGGTGACATGACAGGAACAGTATTTGATCATCTGTCCGCGGCAAACTCACTACTTGTGAAACTGCTCATGCAGAGCGATGCAGCCGTCCCCAGGGAGTTGAAAGACTTCGTCATAGAGTACTACTCGTACACTGCGACCGTCAGCATGATCTCGATAGACGCCCGACTAAGCGGTCAGCTATTTCTCAACTTTGACCTGGAACAACGAGCCCGCGAACTGCTGCAAACACAGTATGTCGGTAACCTCTGCGGATGCTGGCTCGAGCTGCTCCTTTTGATACCCTGCATATTTGATCTTGGCCGCCAATGGATGATGGAAGATACGCCTGTTCCCGTCCCGACCGCAGACGATATCGCAATGTTTGCCTCGATCCAGGGCCAAATCCTCCGCTGGTCGCCGTATCCGTTTGTCGTCGCAGAGGTGTACTTAGCTGGTCTGATCTTCCAGCAAGCAATGCTCATTTATCTTTACACGTCGCTCGGCAGCTACGAGCACAAGGCAGACGGAATGTACAACAGCCTGATCCAAACCGCCCTTACAGAAGCTATGGCCTACCTCGCCGAGCTGTCGCCCGAAGCCCGGATCAACTCAGGCCTCTGCTGGCCCATTGCCGTCGTGGGCTCCTGCCTCATGAATGCTGAGCAGCAGGACTGTCTCAGGTCACGACTGGTAGCAATGGCAAACCACTTTGGTCTGGGAAATATGCAACGAACCCTCCTACTACTCGAGGTTATGTGGCAAGCACCGCCCTCCGAGGCTGGCCCTTGGAATATCTGTCGGACGATGCAGCAGAACCAAATCTGGATTTCATTCGCATGAGCTCAATTAATTTAACCATTTCGTACATACTACAATCACACGAATACCCTATCTATGGTCCAGCCAGATTCTTCGGCGCCTCAGTCGCCGGTCCCTCGGGTGTCACGTATGCCTTGGTGAGACCACCGTCCACGACAAAATCGGTCGCGTTGACAAAACTGCTCTCGTCGCTCGCGAGGAAGATGACCGCGTGTGCTTGCTCGATCGCTTCGCCGAACCGGCCGGTAGGGAAGTGTACTTCGCGTCGGAATCGCTTCTCCTTGTCATCTCCGAGCCAATCCTGAAGCAGGGGCGTGTTGAGGGGTGCAGGGCAGAGAGAGTTGAATCGGAATCCTGTGGTAAAAGTCAGCACTAAAGCTCGACATGCCAGGATGGGGAACCCCACCTTCTCGTGCATGAACAATCGCCAACTCCCTGGTCATCGCCAACACCGCACCCTTGCTAGCAGTGTACGCCAGCTGCGGCGTCGCTGCACCAACCAGAGCAACCATACTCGCCGTGTTGATAACACTACCGCGCTTCTTTCCGTGCTTCCGGAATCCGAGGACAGCATGCTTGGACCCGAACCACACGCCCTTCACGTTGATATTTTGAGTGAGGTCCCAGATAGCCTCCGGGGTCGCGACGGCGTCGTCATCCTTCGCGTGCATGATTCCGGCATTGTTGAATATCACGTCGATTCCGCCCCAGGCGTCGAGGTGTGCGACTGCAGCTTCGATGTCTGATTCTTTTGATACGTCCACGACTCTGGTCTCGACCTTTCCCACGCGCGATTCGGGTGGAACGACGGCGTTGACCTTACCCAGTGCTTTGCTGAGACCGGCGTTGCTGATATCTGCCATCAGCACGGACGCGCCTTCGCAGAGCATGAGGATTGTGGTTTCGAGGCCGATGCCGCTGCAAATGTCTTAGTATATATTGGAATATTTGAGCTGCTGTGGTGAAAAAGAACATACCCAGCGGCACCGGTCACGATGGCGTTCTTCCCTTGCAGACGTCCGACCATTATGATATGTGGTTATATATATGAGAAACGTTTGAATTTGTTACTCCTAGCGGAAGAAAGCCGGAATTATACTCAAGAAACCACAATCGCCTGCAGGAATTGAATTTATATCTATAAGTTGCACCACATTCCCCACCTATATTATCGCAATTCATCTCCAACAGTGCCACATTACACAACAGAAAGCCCCGGAAGCGCGCAGGATCCACGATCTACCCGTGACATGATCGCCTACTCCGCGTTCACTGCAGTAATTGACTTGTAGTATCGCGGTCCCTTCCCCCGTAGTATACTCATCCGACGGCGCGGTCGCAGCGCGGGAAAACACGAGGGGCATTTCCCAGAATAGAGTTGGAAACCATGATTCGCGATAAGGACTGACTTTGGTCCACGTGGATGTTATCGCACTTTGGAAAGTCAGCGCGGTCCCGGACCGCGGTGTGGGGCGCCGGTCCACCACCCACGTCTCTTTCTTGCAAGATTCTTTTTCTACCTCAACCAACGGCGCGTCAAGGCTCCCCTCACAATTGATGATCAATCGCAAGGTCTGCGTTCTCTGTGTTTTACGACCATGAGCGAGGGGGTAGACGAAGCGTCAAAAATTAGGTTGGGCCGTGAATAGAGCCCCTTGATTTTTTCGTGGCCTGGGGTTCAGTACGTGCGAGACATTCAGCTTGAATCTAGTGATCATGTGTATTCGTAATATACTAGACGGAGGCCCCAAAGTACGGAAATAATTATATACAATATGCCGCCATTGATTCGTCAGCGTAAATGTCATGGCATTAGGCGTTCTTGATGTGGTAGCTCTTGAGCTTCACGAAGCCGTCGTATCCCCGTGGTCCGAGGGTACATCCAAGACCGGAGGTCTTCCATCCTGTCCAGGCCAGGTCCTATGTGCGAGTGAGCATTGATTCCTATGAAAATTCTCGAATTGAATACGTACCGGAGCTGGGTAATCGCAGCGGTTGATGAATACCGTGCCAGCCTCAATCTGGTCAATGAGCTCCTCGCCCCTGGCCATATCCTTTGTCCAGACGCTGGCAGTCAAGCCGTAGTCGCTGTCGTTCATCAGGGCGACTGCCTCTTCGTCGCTGGATACCTTCATGATAGGCAGGACGGGGCCGAAAGTTTCTTCCTTCATTGTGATCATGCCGTGGTTGACGTTCGTCAGAACGGTGGGCGCGATGAAGTTGCCCTTTGGGGCGGTCTTCGCCAGGGCAAAGCTGGCGTTCTCTGGGGTCGCGTCGATGGCGCCCCTGCTGAGAGCGTCGTCGATGTGAGATTGGATCTTCACCTTCGCCGGGGCGGAAATGACGGGGCCGGTTGTTGTGGTTTCGTCTTGAGGATCGCCGAGCTTGTAGCTGTGATATTGTCAGCACATATCAGTATGGAGGTAAAAGAAAGGGCTTACTTCTTCAGCTCCTCCTGTACAAGACGAATGAATTCATCGTAGACCTTCTCGTGCACATAAACGCGTTCGACGGAGCAGCAGCTCTGTCCAGAGTTGAATACCGCGCCATCAACCAGGTTCTCTGCAACATTCTTCACATCGACATCCGGGCGCACGTAGGCAGGGTCATTGCCGCCCAGCTCAAGATTGACAGGTTTAACCTGGCGCGCGGTTGCTTCGCGCAAACGAAGTCCACCGACCGTCGAGCCCGTGAAGGAGACTGACTGGATCGCAGGGAGCTGGGCGACTTGATCGAGGACATCGAGGCTGCCTATGTGGACGACCTGCAGGACATTCTTGGGAAGGCCTGCTTCGGTGAAGATCTCGAACAGTTGGTTTCCGAAAAGAGGGGTCTGAGGCGAGGCGCGAAGAATGACGCTGTTACCAGCCAGCAGGGCGGGAACCAAGGCGTTGACAGTGGTGAGGTAAGGGTACTAGTGATTGTCAGATAATTGCTATTGCAGCAGGGCGGCCGAGCATCTCACATTCCAAGCCGAGGCAATCAGGACCGGTCCGACAGGAACCCGCTTGACCATCCGTCGGAAGCCATCCTGCGGCTGCCCAGGAAGATCCGCAAGGCTTTCCTCTGCAATCTGCATCATGTGCTCTGCGCGCAGGCGCATGGTCTTGATCTCGCCGGCGCAGTACCGAATCGGACGACCCATCTGGGTGGTGAGCTCCATGGCCAGTGCATCGATGCGGGTATCGACGATATCGAGCGCGCGCTTGACGATTTCCTTTCTCTCGGCGAGGGTCGAGTGGCGGTAGGATTCGAATGCCTTTTGCGACGCCGCGGCGATCTTGGAGGCATCCTCGAGGGAGGTGCCGGGCTGGTCGAAGATGACCTCGTGGGTCGCGGGGTTGATGGTACGGATGTGGTTGGACATATTGTGCGGGGATAGGATGGAAAGCTCAAAATGTTTTGTGAGGGGGGCGTCGCCTTATGAATGTTTGCTCGGCGGAGGGGCTGCCTGGAATTGAAAGCGCGGTCCAGCTTGTCGGCTCCGCTTATCGCGGTCTCGTCCCCACGCTGCCCCTCCAGCTATTTGATACATTTCCATCTTTTCAATTGCAACATTATTTTTGATTTTTTATTCTTCTGGTTTGCGACAGATGTAATTATGCTACGGACTCGCAAATGAATTTCACAATTTCCCCGCCCAGCTTTTCACCATCCGTCGTTTTGCTCGCTCTCGACTTCCCATCGTCGTACAGCGCATCGTCAAATACCCCTGCGTCGTGTCGCGCCTTCAAAATACAAGACATGATGAACTCGGTGAACTCGGGGTGTGCCTGCACACTCCATACTCGACCAGGCATATAGAGGCCCTGCACAGCGCAACGCGGGCTGTATCCAAGATTGATGCATCCCTCGGGGACTTCGTGCACGATGTCGCGGTGCATTTGTTGCAGATGCTGGAAAGCGTTAGTAAATCATCCTTGAAACAACAATTTGGAAACCTACTAATTTTTCTTGGCCGAACAGTTCCTGACCGGCCTCAGTCAACGTGATCTCCTCCACCGAAATCTCCCACCCGCCATCGCCTCTCCCAACAGGAGCACCCAGCGCCCGCGCGAGAATCTGGTGCCCAAAGCAAATTCCAACGACCGGCTTCTTATGCTGCTGCACGACCCCACGGACATATTCGGTGAGGCTCACAATCCACGTGTCATCCGCAAAAGCGTCGTGTTCTGTCGCGATTTAACTTTCAATATACATCTAGCAAGGAAGAAAACACACTTACTGCTTCCCGTGAGCAGAAACGCATCGCATTCATTCGGATTTGGATACACCGGATTCCCGACGACATTCCACTTGCTCACTTGAATGTCCACCGGCGACCTAGACGCCTGTGAGCCCCTCTTCAATAGTCCCTCGAAGATGTCTCCATAATTGCCGACTTGCTCAACAACGGGCGGGATCGGTGTATCGCACTCGAGCACTGCAACGCGTATTGTGCGTGTCATTTTCGTGAAATCTTTGCTGGTGTTGCCAGCCTCATGACCCGACGGTGAATGTACATTTATGGAGATGCGATAGCTGGTATCGCTGAGCGCGATGGGACCCACCGCGCGGTCCGAGGAACTTTCTCCGTCGCAGACTTCCCGCTGCCGCGCCTGAGCTTGAGCCAATCATGACTTCAACCGCCGCCTGGTACATCTGATGTTTTTGATGCGTGGGGCTCCATGATCCTCATGGGTCTGGTAGATTTTGTTGGTTGCTTCATCTTGTGTCGGTGCAGATGAGGTGGTGTATGGCTTCCATCTTCTAGAGTGCGAAACGCGCACTGAGTAATTAGTATGCTCAAAAGATGACACATCTCCATCCCGCATTCAAGGTTCGTCGTACCAGGAAAAAAGAAAACACATTCGACTCGAAGCTTGAGCTGCGAGGGAGCAAAAGCATAAAGGGCTTGCTAAATCTGACTTGTGATCCTACCATCCTTGGCGCGCCACAGGCCGGGAGATTTATCGACCAGCTCGTCAAGTCTCTACATAGATGGCTTATCCAGCCGACATCATGTTGGTGTGGCTGCTTTCTGGAGTCTTGAATCCATTGAAGGACAATAGTCAGACTTGGCAGCCTAAAAGTTTTCTTCAGCTTCTGAGGTTCGAGATGAGGGGTAACGCCACATATCGTTATGTATGCTGATTTCGCCCGATTGTTAGGTTTAACACGAAACGAATACGAGGAGGCTTCCACGGCCTGTGTTAGGGCTTCTGGGTGGGAGGTGGATCTAGGCGCTACTGGGATTATGACTTTCTTACCTCCCATCCGCCCCAAGACGATGATGTGCGGGGCATATGACCCTGGTCTCACGGGCACGCTTTGAGATCGGCACTAGTTTAGTGCGCATTCATATAGCTAGTCACTATTCCACTTTAAAGGGACTACCCCTTTTAAAATAGACGACCGGTTACCCAGCAAGTTCAGTCCCAAAGTCATAAGTCCTGTCAGCCACCAGCTTTAGGTTGGGTAGAGGCTAGTAATCAGACAGCAAGCTCAACACTGCACCTAATGGCGAGTACTTATGGAGTGGGGTATCGTCGGGGAGATGGATGATCCATTGCTGTTGAGGCCTGTAAGAAGCTGGATCGGTGCTATATGCATTGAAATCTACATGGGCCTCTGCAGAAAGTCGCCCGTCAACATAACTCTGCATCCCATGATCAATTCTACTGGCACTATATCTTCGGTTGTATTTGCTGTTTAGTTCGTATACCTAGGTACTGTCAAACTATGCAGAGTTTGAATGAGGTATAGCGCCACCGAGAGCATATTTATTGCGACATGGCAGCTCGCTCCAGTGCTTTCTTGGCACCTATCGGCCAGGTAATTAGCGGGTGTGATGGCTTCGACGGAAGGAATAGAGTTTTATCGAGTTTCCAATTATCTAGAAACTATAGATAATGGTGGACTGCTGCATATAACTTTGAAAACAGCTCAAAAGTCTAGAGAAGCCTAGAACATGATCCAACTGGATCCAGCCTTGAATAAAAACAACTGTCAGCGAGTAAACGTTGCTTACCTATGGTTGCCTATCAACCACGCCCATCTACATGGCATATAAGCCGAGCCACGATTCTGGTCCTTGCGGCTCACTCCAAGCCACCGCCTGCTTACCTCGAAGTTAGTCGCATTTGTTTCCCTATCAATTTGACTATGACAATATCCAAAGCCTCAAACTTGGTGATGAGGAGCGAACGTATTATATGACAGTGACACTGATTGCCTGAGATGTTGTGTGAGTTGAGGCTGCTCTTAGTAAGTATCTCCAATATCGGCTCTCACACTATCAGCCTGGGGAGCGCCATTGTTGGAGATTCGCGCTCATTCGCCTCGAAGCAGCCTCGGAAGAATACATAGCCTCCATGGGAGTGTGGAATTGTGTAACGAGAATGCAGTCAGAAGAAGGACTAGCCAGCTGACCCACCGAGACCAGTACGAAGTGGCTTGTTCAGTTGGAGATTATGTTTTCGACACACTCATATTGATCATGGGATGAATGGAGGCTGAGACATGCAAAAAGAGGCGACAGTCAATCTAGGCGGCCAGTAGGCATGTGAAAATAGACGTATGAGGAGCTCAGACAGCCTTGGAGCCTAGTAGTATGACCATGGAATTATATAAAGGAAGGAGGACTCGTGTCGATCCAGATACTCACCTAACACACTTCAACTGAAAATTCAAAAAGAGCACAGTTAAATTCACCCTTATTTCCTCATTGAATCATCACAATGAAGTTCAGTCCCCAGGACACATTCATTGATAAAGATGAGAATGGTGTCGTCCGTAGCCTGGAGCACCTGGAAGCGCCATATATGGCGGACGTATCCTCGATCGAGGGTGATGCTGTGAGCGTCAGCCAGCAATACCTGAGGGATGCTGCGGCAATCTACGGAATACCGGAGGTCTTCCTCAACGACCTCGACACAAACGCTCTGTCGCAGCCAGAACTGACGGATCGTTCGACACCCGCACTCAACCTGGCCGGAGACCCAAGACCACGGCACAAATGCACGATGGTGTCCTACCAGCAGACTGTTCTCGGCTTACCCATTTGGGAAGCTGGTTTCAGCATCACCCTGGACGAGGACATGAATGTTGTCAGTTCCCTTAGCACCATTGAACAGAGCGTCAAGACCAGAAGCCCTAAGCGAGATGCTGTGGCCCGCGATGCGCTGGATGAAAAGCGTCTTCGCCAAATCCTAGGGATCGAAGAAACACAGCCGAAGGTCACTATCAACGCACAGCGTCTCTTGGTATACAAGTACGATTCCAGCAGCCGACTGGATACTGAGGAAGATGAGACCCGAGAGTCTGGCGTGGATGTGGCAGTCCCAACCCTCGAGCTCCCACCTGTCCGAAGCAGCATTGAGGCCGGTGCCTTCTATGTTTGCAGAGAAGTCTTATTCACGTGGCCGCTGCCTAACTTCGGAGACATTAACTGGAGAGCCTTTGTGGAAGTTGATACTGGGAGTGTCGTTTACCTGCGTGCATTGATGGCTTCCATCCATGCGTATGTATACACCATGGACCCTTTCACCCGCCTCGGTGCTACTGGACCCCCCGCTTCTGCGCCACTGGCCCAGCTTGATAATGCTAGAGAATGGAAGGAGCTTCCCGCAGTGACTGCATCTTCCCCACAGCAACTGACCGGCCGGTATGTGCGAGTCCGAGATTTCGACCCCCGGCGATCCCCCCTCCCACCAGTGCGACAGGAAACTTTCGCTATAGCGTGCCCACTGATGGTTTTGCTGCGAGCAATGCTTACTACCAAATGGCACGCCTGTTCAAACTCGTGGAAGAGCTGGGGTTTGATGTGAGGAAGCTATTTGATAGCACCGCTCCCGACTCCCAATTCCCTCTCCCAGTGGACCATCGTGGGTTCAGCAATGCTGTGAACGCGAAGGCGCCGGGAAACACCAAGGGAGATGGCTCTGGGGGATTCATCTTCGGGCTGGCCGCTGCTGGCACGTCCGTAGGCATGGCCTCGGATTTCCGTGTGGCCGCACATGAATTCTGTCATGCTCTCCTCTGGGAAGCTGTCCATAGCCCGAACTTCGGGTTCGCCCACAGTGCCGGTGATGCGCTCGGCTCCATTTTCTGCGATCCGGTGAACAAGCACCCCGATCGATTCAATTCTTTCCCGTGGATCACGATCGGTCGCCGACATGATCGTTCGATCGCCAATGGCTGGGCCTGGGGAGGCACTCAGGACCGCGGAGGGTATCTGAGCGAGCAGATTCTCAATACTAGCCTGTTCCGAGCCTACCGATGCCTTGGTGGTGACTCAGCCGATGTTATCCGTCGCAAGTGGGCCTCTCGATACATGCTTTACCTGATCATTGCGGGAATCGCATCGTTGGCCACCAGCCCCATCACCCCCACTCAAACTCCGGTGCCGTACGTGACTGCCATGATGCTGGCAGATCGGGGTGAAGTCCTAGGATTCCCAGGAGGCGCGGTTAGAAAGGTCATCCGCTGGAGTTTCGAAGAACAGGGGCTCTATCAACGCCCGGGTGCCCCGACTCCGGTCACCACGAGAGGTGCTCCTCCTGCTGTGGATGTGTATATCGAAGATGGACGGAACGGTGGTTATAACCACGCCGTTACCTGGGACCAGGCACCTGGCGTCTGGAACCGGCGGGCGGCGGATTCCGGGACGGTGCATCAGAATCCGCTCAAGGGTGTTGCCAACTTCTGTTATGTTCGGGTGCGAAATCGTGGGACGTCGACGGTGCCTTCCGTTCGGGTTAACGCGTATCACCTGACCGACGTGGCGGCAACCAGCTGGCCAGACGGATTTGAATCCACTACTACTGGCCCCATTACCGTGACGAATATTGCACCTGGTGGCAGCAGGTTGGTCGGTCCATTTGAATGGATTCCTCTGCATAACGCTCCTCGAGACCGCCTCATGGTCTCGGCCACTGCAGTGGGCGACCGGTCCAACATCGATCTAGCCAGCGGGTTAGCTTGTGCCCGTGGTCCCATTGAAATCGACAGAATCGTCCCGTTTGACAATAATATTGCCCTTCGTACAATGACTATTGCTTAAGAGGATGGGCATGGAGGTCATTGAGTTCGTTGGTGGAACAGACTGCCATCTGAATTTTAATTGTACTGAAACTTGATAGTTATTTCGAATGCCACTTTTTTACCACTACTCACAGAACAGAAGTAATACAAAACACACTCTCGCCATACAGTTCATTAATCGCCGTTGATTATATTATGTTGTAGGGATCAGCATATCAGCGGTAGTGATGGCCGACCGGAAGTATGCTCTTGGGCTGGTATTCAACCTCACAGACTAGGAGCAGAGGCAGGGGTATCAATGCAGGCATTCTCACCCTTTTCTCACTTCTCTTATCCCTAGTCTCTAGAATTCGCACCCATTTGGCGTGAGTGAGCCCATTGGCGCTCACTCACCCAAACACACAAACGAAAATTGTTGATTTATAAGTGATGCTTTAGTGTTCATGTTGTTGAGGGGAGTTGATTGTGTTAGATACAAGTAGACTGGTGAACAGGTATATAGGCATGCACATGATCCCAGCCCCCATGATTATCCCAGTAACCGTGATATTTCAACACTCCCACTCGCTAATATCCTTCGTCAGAAGGATATTCGGCGGTTTTTCGCCGGTCGACATACCGATCTCTCATCATCGGCGCTTCAACCATTGGTCCTCGGACAAATTTCGAAGCCTTGCTCAAGGCGATGGCGATGCATGGAATGCGGCCAGTTATTGATCGGGTCTATTCCTTTACGGAATATCGTGAGGCGTATCGGCGGATCGAGAGTGGAAAACACATCGGCAAGGTTGTTATCGACTGCACGAAATAGGCCGATGTATCGAATACCAATTCCACCTTTACCGATTTGGTCTGCACAAATACAACGGCCGAACTTTGATGCCTGAGGTACACTTTCCCGATTCATTTTGTATTTAGTGATCTGACCACATTGTGCACTACTATGAAGATCAGCCAGAATGGTGTCTAATACCTTCATCCTAAGCTATGTTGCAAATCAGTCTAGATAAATTTTCGAAACGTCTAGCTATAGTTTTCGAGAAAAAAGGAAATAAGGAAAGAAGCAATGCTCTTTCTTCTAAGAATGTCCACTACAGGCAGCTAACTCCGCACAGATGAACAGGATACCTGCTATCTACAGATGCGCTCTGAGTACCCGTCAAGGAACTGTGCCATTCTTAAAACCACTATGGAGAGGCCACACGTGGCTCGCAACCACTTTGTCGCTCAAGTTGTAGATATTATGCACCCAACAGGGAGATGGTTTCCAAATGTCCGCGTAGATTAAGTTGCATCAAGCAGGAACTGTTGTCCGCAAAGTGTCCAGCTCCAACTTTTTTATTCGAATTTCTGCTGCAGGGATAATGAGGTACATAAAGAAACATCAGCGACTATATCGCTCAAGGGGCCATAGGCTGATGGGTATTGACCTTGGGCTCTTCCTATCCACCTAAGCATGGGCCGTGGCGAGGTCTACACGTGAGAACCTTCATCCGAATCCGCGACCACAAGTGTAACAGACAAAATCCCGCTGCTGGAAGTATTTTGATGTTTCATGGCGTTGAAGGTGCTCCTTGCGCCGATAACTAGCATCGCAGCCAGGTAAATGACACCTGAACGCCTCGTGTTAGTGCTATCCGGAGGGACCCGGAGGATTCTGGCCGAACACAATTTCGCTGCCGAACCCTTCCAAATTAATTGAAGATCACCACTTAACGCAGATAGCCTGGAAACGGAATGAAGATGAGTGAGCCTTGCCGACGCATTCGGGGCTATTCGGGTTGCCGAGTGACCCCTTGGCCTCCCACCGGCCTCCCACCGCTTCTAAGCTCTAGGGGAAATGTGGAACAAAATTGACCCTTAACATTCGAGAATTTTAAGGTAAACGTAGAAAATGTACAAATAAATATGACGAGTGCGACGATTAACGCAATAAATTGTAGCAAGGAACATTGGAATAATACATGTTGAAGAGGGGAACGCTCGATGGCTGCACGCGCTGAGACGTGCGGGTCGATTCAGCAGAAAAACCACCACAAAACACACGCGTAGCAATCAGGAAACAGCGAGAAGCTCAAATGTAGGGGTCAGGCCGGGGAGGTGTAAGAAGGTGTATTCTAGAACTAGCTATCCGGCCACTGTATACTGCCGGCTATGTCACATAGTCTGGATGGCACCCATGTAGTAGGGGAGGGGTCCCCCCACTACAATGTATAGTTATGACAAGATCGTTATACTTCGGGTAGAGGATGCTGGCGGGCGGCCAGCGAGAGGCCGGTAGTCTTGGCAACAATCAGAAATCTACGAATCATGACTTTCGAACTGATGTCAGCCCTTTTTACGTTGCTAGTTTTTTGAGTTCTTATTGATAAATTACCAACACAAGAAAAATTCCTGGCTATAAATATCCCGCAAGCTCCCCGATATCTGGCCAAAGGACTATATCTCTCTCTACACCTCACAATCATGTCTCATTCCATCTTGTTTGTCGGCGCTACTGGCAACACCGGCCGAGCTGTCGCTGAAACATTGCCGAAATTGCTCCAATCAAACGACACTTTGTCCGGTCACCGCATTATTTCTCTGACTCGCTCCTCGGCCAGTCCAGTGGCACAAGAGCTTGCTAAAATTCCTGGAGTTGAAGTGATCGAGCAGAACTGGGTGGAAATCACCGTCGAGTGGCTCCGCAAACACCAAGTCACCAGAGCTTTTATTGCATCCCACAATGAGCCCAACCAATTCGCCGAAGAGTCGACATTTCACCTGAACACCCTCAACGCCGGCGTTAAGTATGTTGTGCGGATCTCGACCACTGCTGCAAACGTCCGCCCTGATTGCCCTGCCTACTATCCACGCCAGCACTGGGCTATCGAGGCTCTCCTCAGCTCACCCGAGCTCAACAACCTACAGTGGACGTCTCTGCAGTCTAACGTCTTTTCGCCACTTATCATGTCCCCTGCTGCGGAGTTAATCAGAAAATACCGCAAGACTGGAGAGCAGGATACTCTTCGGCTGATGCTGTCAGAGGATGCACCTGTCGGCATTATCGACCCTGACGAGATTGGAGTTATTGCAGCTCATCTCTTGTCCCAGGATGACACTTCCGTGCACAACAAGGCTAAATACGTCTTGAATGGACCAGAGGACATTACTGGAAAGAAGATTGTCGACATGATTGAGCAGCACATTGGTACGCCCGTCAAGGATGTTAGCTATAAAGACGTCTCGTTCATCGACATGCTTTATGAGTACCAGTACGCGGCAACCAAGCAATCAAAGAACGTCATCTATTCCATTCAACAGGCTCCTGAGACAGCGTGGGAAGGGAAATGCTCGACTTCTACATCCAGCAAGGAGGTCCTGGAGCTTGCTGCTCCAAAGCGCACACCTGCTGATATCCTGAAGTCTCTACTGGAGGGATAGGAAATGGTACTGTTAAGATGCATGTTAATCCTGATGATGCCTGGTGCCTGAAGCTGTCGGGATGCTTCATCATTTCCGATTGCTGCTTCGTGCCACGCCAGGCCGTGACGAGGCTCTAAGTTCGTTTTCAGGAAGTGGATCACTCTACATTTACCCACAGAGATGTATATAGTTGAGGTAGCCTTCATATCGCCTTTAAAATATTGCGAGGGGTCAGGGTAAATGAAACCATCATCATCATCATCGTTTGTATCAGGATTATGGTAAATAGAGGCTGCATGTATCTAGAGCAATAACCGCTTAGACATGTAAGTGTTTTGACATTTTTAGAGACTTCAATTGGGTATATTTACCACGGCCCTTCCGATAATAGCATCATCCTTGATCTTGTTAATCAGATTCGGCGCCTCTTTAACAACAAACACTTCAATCTCCGGCTGATCACTCCATCTAAAGCAAGCTGCAACAGCTCATGGATTTGTTCCTCTGTGCCGACTTTAATAGAGAGTCCTATTCTCCGTCAGCATCTCCACGAATTCCAGCAAGTAGAGACCTTATCCACAAGCTTACCTTGGGCAGCACACAATGTCGCAGAATCGGAACTTCTATATCCTTTCTTAGGAGACCGTCGTTAATATATGCCCCATATTCCTAACTAAAGCCGGCGCAGTCTTGAATGCCTCCTTCTCACCCGGCACAACAATAGTCGCATGCGCACCTCCGCCAGTCAACTCAAGCACTCGCGCTGCAACATCTTCCGCCTTGAAGTCAATGAACGCCTCAGCGCCAGACTTGAAACTGAGCTCCCTCTTTGCCTCTCTATCTATAGCAATGACACGGAGCTTCCTCGCTCTGGCTGCAAGCTGCACACCGGTATGCCCGAGTCCACCGCCAGACCCGGAGATCGCGATCCAGTTACCGGGTCGTGGTTCATTCTCCAGGGGAGCAAGAGCGTTGGCCATGGTCAATCCTGCGCAGAGGAGTGGTGCCGCAACCTCATCGGGTAGTCTGTCCGGGATCCTTGTGACGAACCTGGCATCGGCGACAACGTAGTACTGCTGCAGCGTTCCAGGGACATCGCGGCCTGTGCTGAGCTGCTTTGCGCAGGCTTGCGTGTAGCCCTATTGGCAGATGGAGCACTCGGTGCAGGCTTTGTAAAGCCATTTTACTCCCACGCTGATTGAGGGGTATTGGGAAGGCATTGGAGCCGGCCTGGACGACTGTCCCGATACCTTCGTGGCCGATGATGGAGTTGTAGGTGCCCCAGCCCAGCCCAGCGCGGACTTCTGAGTGGCTGGCGTGAATTATTGTTAGAACACATTTATCGTGAGAGAATGCGATATCTCACCAGATTCCGGTGCAGTTTAGCTTAACGAGGATCTCACCAGGTCCTGGTTCGCCGATGGCTATACCATCCCGTAACGTGATCTTGAAGTTGTCGCCTGGGTTTTGTACACAGAGCAGCTTTTTGAGAGGAGGAATTTGCAGTGTCATTATGAATGTTGGTATGTTGTCAGAAGAACAAAATTGGCGACGGAGATGCGCTTATAGCTCCGCTTGCCAATGCCGAAGCAGCTAGCTGCCGACCGAGGGAACTCTAAATATCCCCAGACTCCCCACAATTTTTGTCATTATTTGATGCTAGACAACTACGGCTCTTACTGATGCTTCTTCCTACTACTGACCGAATTGCTATTAAGATTATTAAGATTATGAGTAGTGTCACTTCGAGAAAAGATGCCCGTCCGCCTTTCCCGCTTGGATCACTCTCCTTTTACGGATTCTACGGCAAATCGCAGCTGGTTCTCGTCTTCGACTAGCTGGTTCTATAAATAGATCATGGTGACCTAGTATCCATGAGAATAATTTATTGTTTGTTCTGATTAGTATATCCACTTGGTCCACAACGACCATGGCAACGTAAACTCGTTCAAGAGAGAAATAGGTTCTGGAGGCGGAGGAGAATGGGTTCTGGGGAAGAATAGGTGCAGGGGAATGATGAGTCTAGGTATTCTTCATTGTTAACTTGCTACGTCTGTTCTACCTAAGTACTGCGTACTGCGAACAATAGCGATCATCACAAAAGGACGTTGACCAAAAGTAACTTTCATCAGCCATATAATTTCCAATCGTGGCGAAAAGTGAAAATCGCTGTTTTGCCCCGATGCTCATTGATAGCTGCCATAGGACAACGTGCCACTCCTCAATTGTCTACATAGAAGGTTCAAGAAACGGGATTCTAACGGTCCAAAAAGAAGCAAAGCCTAGATAGGGCTGGCTCTGGCAGGATTGAGCGGCGCATAAATGCGCCTTGCCTTACTGTTGTGATATGTCGTATCGTAACGGAATCAATTCCTAACCTCACGGAATTACCAGCTTTGATTGGAAATCAATCTGGAGATCGCATGTGTATATAAACCCTCAAGTTTTCTGTCCAGAAGGAATACAAGCAATTAGACCTGGGCAGAACCCATGGGCCGGCCCAAATGGGTTGACCCATTTGGGCCCATGGGCCGAAAAATCGATTTTCTGCCCATTCATGGGCCGGCCCATTTGGCCCATTCGACCCATTTTAGGGCGAAAACTAGTGTACAGGTGACTTTCATAATTCATGTACTTTACGCGTGCTCTTGGCTGTAATGCCTTGGTAACAAGAATGATTGATTGCTCTTAGTTATATACGATATTCAGTTAAAAGAGGGCATTTTGATATTACTGTAGAAATCAACTATATCTCATAGCCATCTAATAACCTTGAACGCTTTCGAACTCTTCCTGAAACACGCTGTGTGTTTTGCTCAGGCAGATCAGGCTCCTCAGGCTCAGACTCCCCCTCAGCTCTTCGGCAGGCTCATTAACACTCCTTCGCCTCTTCGAATCATATTGCGCAGGGCCTTCTTCATTATCACTAATCTCCAGAATACCCTCCTGCGTACGCTCATCCATCTCTTCTTGTTGGAATTCTATCTCAGTCTCAGTTGCGCACGCCCGAACGAAAGCAAGCTGCTCCTCTTCTAGATCAAATCGAATCCCACACATAAGAAGCATTAGATCCTGAATAGTACTCGATTGTAGTGAGCCACGGCGACAGTGGCAGATATCACGCGCGGAGTTAAAGAGACGCTCCACGCCTGCGCCTGTGGCTGGGACGGAAAGGAAATCTCGAGCGAGAGCTGCGAGTACTGGAAATCTGTGTTCATGATCTCTCCAGAATTCGCGCGGAGGAATTGATACCGTGCCTGTTTAAGGCATTTAAATTAGAAAGAGTGTTTGGTTTAAGAACAGAAGACCACGTACTACTCTCGAGATACTGAGTGAGCTCAGGGACTGGGGCAGTAGACCGACTACCACAAGCGAGTAGTAGGTAAATCTCACCCGTAGGCTTCACAGTCTGTAAACCTCCAGTCTGTGAGAGAGAGCTATATACACTATCCTCGTAGTGCTTAACTCGGGCTTCGAGAGCTTGTCTGTATTGGGCAGCAAAGTCTTTCTCGTCATCCCGCCAATCTGAGGTCTGGAAGAATTCAAGCTTATACTGCGGCGCCAAAATAGTCCCAGTTGAGTATATATCACTAAGACCTTCAAGGTCAGTCATCATATAATAATCCCTGAGCTTACTTTCGGCTCTTCTCAGAGCATCAAGCATTTGTCTTTTCCATCCGATCTTCTTCCGTTGTAGCTGGCGGATCCGGCTCTCAAGATGATTAAAGAGACGATTGTAAATACTGAAAACAGTATGAATCGTTATGTCTTTTGTTTTTGAGAGAGCAGTTGTGAATCTGTAGAAAGGCTGGGTGATACAGATCAGGTAATCAACCCGCCGCCACTCATTTGATGTGACCTGAAGATGAGAATGATGAAATTCGGAGCAGAACGTATAAAACACAGGCTGTAGCTTCTTAGCCCGGCGGAGCATTAAGAAGGTCGAATTCCAGCGCGTCCTGACATCCTGGATTGGGAATAATCGAGGTGTATTAGACTGGAGGTTTTGGAAGGATTCACGGCGCTGAGGGCTTGCATTGATGAAGATAGCGAGGTTTCGGATCTAAACAATTGTATAATTAGTATATGTTTGATAGGTAGAAAGAATAGTTTAAGATCAAACCTTCTTAAGTGTATTCGCCATACTATACTCTCTTGCTGTTTGACGAGCTATTTTAGTATACTCTTCAGTCCAGACCGTATCGACATTCTCATTCACTGGGTTGGCCTTTATTTGACCAAGGAGCTGCTTTAGGCTCAACTGAATCACATGGGCGAGGCATGGTACTCGGATAATAAGAGTATCAGAACGAAGGCCCTGAGACTGAAGAGAGTCTTGCAGAGATGAAATAAGAGTTGAATTGTTAGACGCATTATCAGTTGTGACAGCTAACACTCGCTCTTTGATCCTATGCTTTTCAAGCAGGTCTAGAACAACTGTGCTTAGATAAGCCCCAGTATGAACACCAGACAGAGGCTCAAATCCTAGTAAAACCTCCCGATATTCCCAATCAGCGTCAATAAAGTAACCAGACACTGCCATAAAGGCCTGTTGGAAAGGGGAAGTCCAACAATCTAAGCTTAGTTGAGAGCTTTGCCTTTGGTGGAAGCTTCTGAAGTATTTCTTTCTGCTGATCTTGTGCTTTTGTTTGAATTCGACGCTGTAAGGTTCTTCGAGAGGGAAGGCTTATAGCTGTTGGCGATTTCTGAGCTAGTTGTAGAAGCTTAAGGAACTCGGGATGTTCAACAGTCGTAAAGGGAAGCCGTAGGGTAGTAATTGCAGAGATTAACTGGTGTTCCCAACGGGACTCGCTGAACGGCTCTGGTGCGATTTTTGCCTATTAAGTAGCAAAATTAGCTTTGATCTAGGAATAAATAAATGAGAGACTTGCCTGCTTCTGTAGTAGCCGGTGGATGCTTGATTGACCCTTTGTTTTACATATTGCCCGTTCTAGGTGTCTTCGTAGAGCAGTTGTTCCTTGCTTCCCTGCCGTCCCTGCTTTGGTATGAACTAGAGAGTTCGGATGGTTCAAAATTGCTCCACAGTTCTTGCACATCACCTTAGGTTGTCCAGTAATAAAATGGGCAACCTGTTCGAAGTCGGCCCATATATCTGCTCGCTGGCCTCTTCGATCCCAGAAAGTAGATTGGTGCTCAGAGTGCCCACTCTGGGTCTGGATCCACCAATCCACGAAATCCTCTTTATTCATATCTTCGCATAGAACGTAGGTTTGTGCTGGATCTGTGGAGCGTCTGAGAGAGGTGGGAACAGAGAGAGGGGGAGGAAGCTGCGTTTGGCTTGCGGAGTGCTCGGGCGCGACGCTAACGTAACCCGTAAGCGAGTGGATCATGTAAGCCAGCGGATCACTTACCCAACTACCCAGCCACGAAAATATATATAAAATAACCACCAACCAATATATTCAATTAACACTGTTCACACACTAATTAGGGCACCTAGTTCTCTTATGCCCTATATTCCAACAATTTGAACACCTCGGCGGCGCTCTCTGATTGGCCGAATTCGCTACCGCAGCCGCCGCCGTATTGTCTATGATCTCTGCTTCAACACCATTTGCCTCCTTCTCAATACGCTCCTGAGCCTCACCAACAGTCATCCCACCATTATTAGCTATTCGCCGATTTGGTAATGCCCTTTTTCGCTTTTGGTGGGCATTTTCAGCGCGTAACCGCTCATTCTCATTGCTTACTAGAGCAACCTGATGAATTGCTTGTTCAGCGCCCTTGATTAGCTGCTGTAACGCAATCTTAGCAGGACTTGGGGGCGTATATGAGCGTTGCCGTAGTAGTGTTTTGATTGAAGAAGCCTGCCGTCGGATATCAACTGGATGAATTGGCGTGTGAGGTATGAAATCGCGGCTACTATCACTACCACGGCTGGTTGGAGGGGTTGGTGTTCGAAGCTGAATATCAAGAATATTAAGCACTCGCTGTGGCTGATATGGTATAAGTCCTGCAGCGGCGAAGCTATTTGATATCGTAGCTGGTTTATATACCTCTGTACGCGTCTGAGGATATGAGGCCAGAAAATCAAGCTTATCAATATGATTAACGCCATTTCGCATCTTAGCCTGAACGTGTTGTCCGTATAGCCGTTTCAAAACAGCAAAACAGCCAATATCGAGAGGTTGAAGTAAATGAGAAGAGTGCGGAGGCATACAGATTGGAATAATCTGGTTTTGCTGGCAAATATCGTCGAATTGAGGTGTAACATGGCTTCCGTGGCCATCCATCACTAATAGCCGCCATACCCCATGTCGACAGTTGGTAGTATGCGGAATAAAGTGTTTTTCAAGCCAAGCAAGACCAATTTGATCCGTAGTCCAGCCATTTGCACTAACTTCAAAGCGCCAGTCTCTTGGCGGAGTAGTAAACCACGCTGAGTTGAAGTTTTTGCCTTTAAAGATAATAGTCGGCGGGAGAACATTAGATCGGTTAATACACTCGATCGCTGTAACCCACTCTCGATTACCTGGCTGCATAAGCTTCCTTTTGCCGTAGTATTCAGCACGTGTGACTACACGTGAAGTGCTTGCTAGGCCCATTGCGAAGCCAGTTTCGTCAAAATTCCAGATATCATTCTCATGAATACCATATTGAATAATGACCTGTCGGAATCGATCAAACCACTCTTGTATAATCTTCGGATCCTCACATAACGCGCGTTTGTAGTCATATCGACGTGAAAAGCGTGTTTTGAGCTCAGGGCAGCGTTGGATATAGTTATATACCCATTTACTACCAACCGACTGAGGCGTGCGTTCTCCACGTTTTAAGAGCAGTATATTGGCCATTTCTCGCACCATATCTTGCCTAGGCGCAACACCACGTGAATCCAGCGAAATTATCCATTTTTGAAGCGATTCCTCTTCCAATTGGGTTAATTTGTGGTTGTTGGCGCGTGTGGTAGAGCGAAACGCGCCTCCTTTCATACGGCGTTGTAGTGTGGTATATGGAACGTCGAATTGCTTCGCTGCTTCGCGAATAGAAGTAATTTCGTCATTTTTGAGAGCTTGTATAGCAAGTAGGATTCGGCCTTCCTGCTCAGTCGAATTTTGTTGAGATTGAGTGCGAATTGGTGGCATGGTATGTGGTTGAATAGGACGCGTTGCAGAACGCGGTCGGAAATTGGGCGGGTGATCCGCTCGCTTACATGATCCACTCGCTTACGGGTTACGTTATCCGTTAAAAGATAGGATGAATCATCAAATTCCCCACTCTCTGAAAAGGGTACTGAGTAGATATCCGATAGTTGAGACATGATAGTTTGGTAAGAAAGCTCAATAATCCCAACGTTAAAGAGAAATCATCGTTGACTATAAAGAGGAGATAGGTTGGCCTATATTTAAGCTAGAATACAGAGTTCGTAGATAGCCTGGACTATCATGCCAGGCGCAGAAAGCCCGGGAAACGCGTCTCCTATGTTCGCGATAATTGGCTATTTAGTCACCAAGTCCCACATCTGAATATCTTTTATTAGTTAGTCCCATGGGCCGGCCCATGGGGCGGCCCATTTGCCTTCGAAATTCGTGCTACGGCATCCCCCGCAGTTTCTATCTCATCGACAACTTTTTTTTTACCCTTCAACGTTCACTATATAAAAGATTTAATCCATCCCTACATCTAATTCGTAAACAAGAAAGCTTTTAAACGTACATAAAGTTATATTTTATTATACGATACTTTAAAAAATCAAGCAAAAATGACCTGCGTCGAGATTTCGGAAAATTAACATCAAGAGCAGAAGGACAATTTGAATTAATTGATTGTGAACACTTCGATATATGTATTCAAGTTAGAAGAGATTACGCTGTGCGTAATCTATTCTGTACTTCTGTATAAGATCTAAGACAGCTATAAATTACGCTAGTAATTCTGGATATTTTATATATTTATTATGCAGATTTGGGGGCTAAATGGGCCAAATCGTGGGCCGACTGACCCATTTGTGGGCCAGCCCAAATGGGCCGACCCACGAGGTTTTTGTCCATGGGCCGGCCCATGCCCAGGTCTACAAGCAATCTTCCTCTGAATTACAACACTTACTGTTACGGACCCTGCCACAGGAGGGGCCGCAGCCTACAGATGGGCCACTGAGAGCCAATCATTCCCAGACAGCTCGTGCACAGTGCCAGCGTGCTGCATCCGAGGATCTTCCTCCGGCGTGGATCAACTACAGTCCGGGAGCCACGTGACCACCATCAGGGGGTCATATACTCCATTCTAGCTTAGATGACCAATAACAACACACATCTCCCTAACAGGTTATGAGACCCTTTTTCTCTTCAATTTGAGCTATACGGAGCTGTTCTATGATAGCTGTGCCTTCAAGAATGTCAGCTGCCTCTCCCTCATCCGGTGAAAAGCTCCCAATCCTTGACTATTCGAATTGGGTTGACTGGAGCGAATTCTGGAGAGACCATCTGATCCTCTTTGACCTCTGGCAATACATCGATCCATCCTCTACAGCAACCGTGCCACCTCCTACCTCCAATGTCAATCGAGATATCGCTAAAACGTTGACTGAGAACCTTGCAAAGCTACGCCAGCATGTTGCTCCTGAATGTCGAAAGCTCCTTGTTGGCCATACAAATCCTAGAGACCTCTGGTCTTCGCTCAAGGCTGGCTGTGATCGAGGAACAACTCTACCATTGCTCGCCCAATACGAATCGTTCCAGAGCATCAAATGGGAACCAAAAGACACCATTTCTACCTATACAAGCCGATTCCGCAATGTCTTTCTATCTCTCGAAAACACCCCCTACAAGATACATCGAGATATAGCAGTCCATATCCTTGTGAATCGACTTCCCGATTGCTACAAGACAGAAGGCCAAGCAGCCAAGCAACTGAACCTACCCTTTATCGAAACTGTTACCTACCTGCTTGCCAATATCAAAGACACCTCCTCTGCAGGTGACAACACCTCTGGCCAAGCTCTAGTAGCTCGAGGTCGTCGACCAAACCGCAGATCAAGCGCTCAGCATCTCCGTGACCAAGGCCGCTCAGGAGTATCAAACCGCCGTGGTCGATCAAACCGAACCTCTCGAAACAAGCGTATCATCTGCAACTGGTGCAAACGAGAAGGCCATTTTGAACGTGACTGTCGAATTCGTCAACAACAACTAGATACTGGAGCTGCAAGATTAGATGGCAGCCGTGCCTATCTAGTCCAGCAGCCGAATATCCCACAGTATCCACCTCAATCTTCGCCTGCACCTCCGCAACCTCCACAGGCGAATATTGCCTATTCACAGCCTCAAGGCTCCGAATCAAATCCCTACAACTATCCGACACACCTCCTCCTCGCGAGAGCTTCCTATGTCAACAGTGAAACCCAGCAGAAGGATTATCTCAGCTGGATCCTTGACTCTGGAGCCACTCAGCACTTTTCGAACAGCAAATCAGACCTCAAGGACTACAAACACTTTCTTGACCCTAAGGAGATCTACCTTGGAGATAATACAAAGATCCACGCAGAAGGATCTGGGACCCAACTTCTACAGATTGGTCCTCATCTCCTTGTCCTGAATGTCTGGTTCGTACCAAAGCTGGCTGAGAATCTGCTATCCCTGCAGCTTCTTGACCGAGCTGGCTATTCAACTCTCATTGAAAATGGCAAAGTCTATATTCGACAGAGTCATGACTCTGCATGGTTCCAGCTCGCCGACTCCAAACGTGGAGATCTTTATCGAACGCATGTGAATCCTGCATCTCTATTGAACAGCCCACGAGCCCTCCGTGCAAGAGAATACAGCACACTTCGATCCTGGCACAATCGACTAGGCCACCGAAATTTCCGCTCAGTGGGAGTTATGATGAAGCTATCTGTACCACGCAAGCTTCCCACCTGTACTGCATGCCTCCAGGGTAAAATGAAGGCAAATCCTCACCCTCCTGTGCTTGAACGTTGCAGCAAGCCATTTGACCGAGTCCATTCTGACCTTGTTCCTCTGGATGGCATCTCCTTTGGTGGATCCAAATATATGTTGCTTCTTGTTGATGACTTCACGCGTTTTGCATGGTGCTTCTTTGCCTCAAGCAAGAATGTTTCAGCCATTGCACCTCTTCTTCAAGGCTTCATAAACATGATCCTGACCCAATTTGATACTATCATCAGGTCATGGCGGACTGATGGTGGTACTGGTGAATTCTCAAACAGCATGGTCAGCGAGATAAACCGCAGATTTGGAATTCTTCATCAGCTTTCTACCTCTGGTGTCAAGCAACAGAATGGTGTACTCGAACGAAGAGTCCAGACAATCAAGAACATGGAACGCTCCATGAGAGCTGGAGCTGGTGTTCTAGATGACTATCGACTACAAGCTGAGTCCCTTGCAACTTCGGTATTCCTATCTAATCTCCTTCCATCTTCTACTCTAGGTAATATCTCCCCACACCTTCTACTGTACAGCAAGCAGCCATCGCTCGCTTCCATGAAGCCCTGGGGATGTCTAGTCTGGATACACCTTCGAAAGGAGCATCGCAGCTCGAGTTCTGATCCTCGCTGCAGGCCAGCCATGATGGTAGGCTATGTACAAGACTCAAGTTCTATTTACAAATGTCTTGATCTCTACACGTTGCAAACAAGCAACCATTCCGAACTCAAGTTCGATGAGGACCTCTTTCCAGGTCCATGGCTTAAACGCCCAGCTGGTTTCAAACCATCGATTGCACATAAACGAAATCCGCCTGGTTCCGCGGTCGATACTGTACTTGGTCAGTCAGTATCGGGAGTGCTTCCCGCAGTATCAGGCATACCACCTTCCTCGATGAACCCCTTCTGGCTGCACCCACCCGCAGCTCCTGTGAACCCAAACGATCCTGCGAAGCCTGCGGATCCTATGGAACTAGCAGATGAATCGGACGTTCCCCCGTCCCTGGCACTCCTCACGGACAGCCAGACCGTCTACAACCAGCGAGGAGTTGTATTCGGCACCTGCGCCAAAATCCACGAGTACGATACTACTAGGGAGCTTGTGGAAGCCGCTTTGATCGTGCAAGGTATGGAGTCGCTCTCCTACCCACCCAGGCAAGCAGCAGAGAGGACAGTCCAAACAGACCACAATGGAGATCCTCTCTCCTATTCGAATGCCTTGCTCCAGGATCCGATTAGGTGGCCACCAGCAGTACAAGAAGAACTGAAATCTCATGAAGAAAATGGAACTTGGATAGTTCAAGAGATCAGTCAAATGCCTAATGGGTGCAAGCCGATCCCTGGCAAGTGGGTATTCAAGCGTAAATTGAGTCCTGATGGAAGTACGCGCTATAAGGCACGTTTGGTGATCAAGGGCTTTCTCCAACGCTTTGGAATTGATTTCATGGAGACCTATGCCCCAACTGCCTCTTTAGCTGCATTCCGACTCCTGGTGGCGATCGCTGTGTTCAATGGCTGGTCCTTACGCAATCTCGATATTATCACTGCCTTTCTTAATGGCAGCATAGACTCTGAAGTCTACATGGGGATACCAGAAGGCATGGATTTAGATCCAACCAGATATATTCTGAAGCTCCGCCGGTCACTGTATGGACTCAAACAGGCACCGCGCATTTGGTGGGATAGGATGACCGCATTCCTATCAAAAGCAGGCTTCTATCAGTGTGATGCTGAGCCAACAATATTCATTCGCAGCCACGAAAACAAATTCATGATACTTCTCCTCTTTGTTGACGACCTTTTGCTAACTGGTGATCAGGAAGCTATTGAGGAATTCGTCCAGGAATGCTGCAATGAATTCAACACTCGGGATATGGGAACACCCAGGCTGTTTCTAGGCATCCATATTAACTATCGAGATGGCAAAGCCATTTTGCATCAGAAAGCATACATCAAGCGAATCCTTGAACGCTTTAATGCACCCAGCAACCCTGTTGCAACTCCCCTAGACCCCAAGCATCCACTTGTTGAAGCAACTGATGCAGACCGTTTAAGTGAAGCAGATTCATCAGAATATCGCGCTGCAGTGGGAGCGCTGATATATTTAATGATCTGTACAAGACCTGATCTTGCATTCGCACTTTCACGCCTATCAAAATTCGTGCAGAAACCGGGTGTAAAGCATGCAGCAGCACTTAAACGATTGCTTCGGTACCTGGCTGGCACCCAGGACCTAGGCATCGTCTTCAGCAAACCATCTTCCACCGAACCAATCCTATATGGCTATAGCGATTCCGATTTCGCTGCAGATCTCAACAATCGACGCTCGACTTCTGGCTTTATATTCCTTCTGAACGGTGGCCCGATAGCCTGGAAATCGAAACAGCAATCCCTAGTCACAAGCTCGACTCATGATGCTGAATATGTTGGATTAGCAACTGCATCATTTGAAGTCATTTGGCTTCGTAAACTCATCCTTTTGATTCTGCCTCAGTATGCAGAACATTCAATGCACTCCAACATCATTTATTGCGACAATCAAGGTGCTATTGCAACTGCAAATCGACCTAACAATTCACCCTCCCCACGATCGAAACATATCGACATCCGTTTCCATGTTATTCGCGAGGCTATTGCTAATGGCCTTATTCGACTCGAATACGTTCGTACGGCAGATATGACTGCAGATATCTTGACAAAGGCCCTGCCTAAGGAATTGCATCAGCGTCATGTCAAGGGAATGGGAATGGAAGCGATATGATGGAATTGGGATCTATGTATCCGAACTGGCCTGGTTTCCTCCATGGTTTTGTCCCACAGGGTTTTGCATGGAGGTTTTCCCCCAGGACTGCCTGTATATAGCTATTTTGTCTTTCTTTTGACTCACCCGTGATCTAGTGGGAGGACCCTAGTCGTTTCTGACGCCTTCGGTAGAGATCTCGGATGAGTGGGAGTGCCAGCGTGCTGCATCCGAGGATCTTCCTCCGGCGTGGATCAACTATAGTCCGGGAGCCACGTGACCACCATCAGGGGGTCATATACTCCATTCTAGCTTAGATGACCAATAACAACACACATCTCCCTAACACACAGTTACGAGTCACGTGAAGCACGCGAGAGTCGGCGTCACTTTTACCCGCACCGATATTACGCCGTATATAGAGAGCCACGGTAAACAAGCATCACGTGACTATCTGTGGTAGGTATATCGATCGACGGGTAGATGATGCCTAGCCTCATCTACCACTACACCATCTACCACTGCTACCAGGATAGGAGGACTAGATATATAAGGACATTCCTTCACGCACATGTATTTAGTTCTTAGCGATCAATTGCACATTGTTACTTGCATCTACTGTTGATTCTACCTCCACTGTTCGATATGAAGCCAAATACCCTACAAGTAGGGGAGCTCTTCGGACTGACCTACTTAGCGCACTCGATTAGCACACCTTTGCAAGCATCCTATACGACCCGAGTCCGTATAAGGCGTCGTACGCAACGGTACGGTTGCGGACAAGCTTGAAGGCACGCATACTTGAGGCAAGTATCACCCAGGAACCCACCAGTTCACCGCGCCCAGTCAGTAGCGCGTAACACTTACCTTACCAGGTCATGCTAGAGTAAGGTGTATTATATCATTGATGGGAATTGGGTGAAAGTGTAAGTTCACCCAACTCGAACCTGCCTTCTAAGCCACTCTCCACTCGCTTTCCATCTGGTCAACTCGCTTTCCACCTGGTCAACTCGCTTTCCACCTGGTCAACTCGCTTTCCACCTGGTCACCTCGCTTTCCACCTGGTCAACTCGCTTTCCACCTGGTCAACTCGCTTTCCACCTGGTCAACTCGCTTTCCACCTGGTCTACTCGCTTTCCACCTGGTCGACTCGCCTTCCCCACTCTCCCCACTCTTCCCATTTTTTCCCATTTTTTCCCATTTTTTTTCCCATTCTTCCCATTATTCCTTTGAAGGGCTACGACCGAATTGATTCAATGAAGGTTAGAGAAGTTTAGAATAGGGGGTGGCCAGCGGTGACTAAATATCCTGGGGAGTTGATAGATCACATCGCACAGGCCAAGCCTGGGCTATCAGCAGGCGGTGATGATATAAGCCAATAAGGATGTGTATATAATTTACCGCTAAAAAAGGCACGTATTGACAGCGGGGGGATAGATCGGGACCTGACCCGTTACACTTCCCATTTCTAGTGCACGCCACTCTGCCCCGTCTGTCCCTGTCTGTCCCTGTCTGTGCGCTGCACTTCTGTCACCTGTCCACCTGACCTGACCTGACCTGACCTGACCTGACCTGACCTGACCTGACCTGACCTGACCTGACCTGACCTGACCTGACCTGACCTGACCTGACCTGACCTGACCTGACCTGACCTGACCTGACCTGACCTGACCTGACCTGACCTGACCTGACCTGACCTGACCTGACCTGACCTGACCTGACCTGACCTGACCTGACCTGACCTGACCTGACCTGACCTGACCTGACCTGACCTGACCTGACCTGACCTGACCTGACCTGTCCTGTCCTGGCTCCACCGAGCCTTGGCAAAGCGTTCAAAGGCCCCTGGGACAGGTTCGCTAACGCAGAGCCTCACGAATATAATACTTAGCAGGTCCCTTTTACTGGAATCTGATTGGAGAAATCTGGGCTGGATACATAGAAAACTTGACGTCTCAGCCCTTCACCGCCTTAGTTTCTATCTCCACTGACCCGTCACCTTATACAAACATCTATGAATCTCCACCCACCTGAGCACACGTGCACAATACTGGTATCACTGGATAGTTCGATCCTAGTTCTATTGATGGCGCTACCCAATAAGGTGTCAAGGAAGTGTCTTGGAAGTGTCACGGAAGCGCTGGGAATTTCGGAATGCCAAAAAAGCCAAACTAAATCAGGAATTACTGCCTGGAAAACCTGGATTGGATTTCCTCTCGCACTCCTGCTCCGTACTCGCCTGGAACCCAATTAGGAACTCCCCGGGCTCTATCCAGTCCGGCTACCGCCGCCGCGGCATGACGATCATAATGGCCAGAGTAAGACAGTTCGCAGAATTCACCCACTAACATCTATCACTTCTAGTAATTTACCAGCGAACCTGTTACATCTCGGGATGGTGGGGCCAAATGATCACTGCGCAGAATTTTCGGCTCGTGGTATTGGTATTGGTATCAAATGGGTATCCAGGCACGACCTGTCGGTAGGGTCATATTGTACTCTCAGGCCGAGGTGAGGCCTATCAAGGTAAATTGATGCTTGCCTCGCAATGGAATCGAATATAAATATTTTGCTCTTCCCCCAGAAGGATTTGTTTCCAGCCGCCAACTTCGTTGCTTTTCTTGCATGAGCATCATCTCAGTCCTGCAACAAAGTTCATACTTTGGCAGCGGCAGGCCTCGAGATGGCCCGTCACTCTCGTGAACTCGGGTTTGACACCTCTACTCCCTTCGCAGAGGAAAAGTTAGAAATTTGGCACCCTAGCAGCTATCTAGGTCCATTTGGAAATCCAACGCCAGTCCCTCAAACCGCGGACAGACAGTGCCTACATGATACTTTGTTGGGAGGCCTCTCGACGATGGTTAGCTCCGGCTGCGTTGCAGCTCCAACTGTCGGGAACAACCCTTTCATTATCGATCACGATGCAACTGAGCCTTGGCTGCGTATGCCTATTGGCGCTTTTCATGACGTACCAGGCCCTGAGCCTCGACACGGCGATTCGACAGAGCCAAAGGAACCTACACGACCAGCGAAAGAAACACCCAGATCCAGCGGGTCCAACGAGCGTCGTCTTAAGAAGAAGGCATGTCATAGTCATCAACGTCCGAGCCGACCAGAGTAAGTCACTTGTCAAGCATTTCTATCTCCTACCAAGTGGATTGTTCTCATAATGATCTGCACTAGTGAGATCCATCGCGATCTTAGATGCACATACAGTGGCTGTGAATATAATCGCCCATTCTCCACCAAGGGATCATTGATGCGACACATCGACACCCAGCATGTGAATCCTTGGGCTTTCAAATGCCCTGAACCGACGTGTGGCAGGTATTTTAAGCGCAGGGACAATCTTGACGATCACTTGCGAAGGCTGCATTGGAAGAAACGACTTCACCTACAAAGCCATGACAGCTGACGTTCTTGTCGTTATTTTTCATTCTGCTTGTGACTATTTCTATGTGTAATTCGACATGTTCATTTTTCATAATATCTAGCCCACTTTGGGATTGCTATCCGGGATTCGTTTTCTCGTCGGAAGGAAAAAAATGGTAATAATTCTGTTCTATATGACCTACGACAGATGAGAGTCGAATAGACATAGATATGATAATGATGAGGGAGCCTAGGTCAAGGACGAAATTGCAGAAACATATCAGAATTCAAAACGGCATCAGAGACTGGAAATTTCCAATATGCGAATTTGACAAATAATGGAGGGAATGGAGGGAACCAGGTCCTTCACTGCCTGGCGATCTATCGTTGAACTACTTAGGTACCCACTACTATGTACTGTCCCCACTACGCTAATGGATAGTGGTGTGATCTTTCTACCCTTATCCTATATCTTAAAAAGGACAGAACAGTAAATGAAACTGCACAAAAAAAAGGAAGGAAAAGGCAAAAACATACAACAGCAGGGATTCGCATGTGGTCACCCACCATACTACTAACCTGCCGGCGTGTGGCTTAAGTACGGCTGAGCGGACGGGAAGCCCTGTTCTCCACACCCTATGGTCGTATGTACTTGAACCAAAAGTACAAGAAATAATATCCTGTTTTCGCACGATCAACATACTACTGCGTAAAATTCGGCTGTGGGGGGCTTCTGCTCAATCAATACTCTAGTGGCTATCGCCTGGATGAGTAGGGTGAGTTCCGCTTTAGCGTCGTGTTGAAATATCCCGGTTACTGGGATAATCATAAGGGCTGGGATCACGTGCATGCCTATATACCTGTTCACCAGTCTACTTGTATCTTACACAATAAACTCCCCTCAACAACATGAACACTGAAGCATCACTTATAAATCAACAGACAGGGTGAGAATCCGGGTGAGAACCAGGTGAGAATCCTTCGGGCCGGCGCGACCGCCGCAATGACCCTCCCGGCTGATCGAGAGTAGAACATCGTTGGGCCACGAGCCCCCATTCTATCTCCTGGCACCTTTACACAGCCCCTAAGTGGGATGACTTTCGACTAAGCCAACGGAGCGATTCTCGAAAGCCAATTCTGGCAGATGTCTCTCTCCTCCCCCATAGAGCAGACTACGATAATGGAAACGCCTAGAACGAGACAATACAAGAGCTCCTTTCGACCCTTTCCTCTCGATATGTGAGCATGTCAGACCCTGCGAAATACGTCGTGGGCTGGATTTGCGCCATAAGCACCGAATATGTTGCTGCGCAAGAGTTTCTTGATGAAGAGCACGAAGGACCGAGCTTCGTGTCGCCAAACGATACCAACGATTATACATTGGGCAAAATTGGAGTACACAACGTCGTCATTGCTGTCTTGCCAGATGGTGAATATGGAACAGCTTTCCCAACGTCAGAATAGGCCTGATGGTCGGCATTAGCGGCGGTGTACCAAGCGAGAAGCATGACGTTCGCCTAGGCGATGTTGTGGTCAGTGCACCTCGTGATAGTGAGAGTGGTGTGTTCCAGTATGACTTTGGCAAGGCGATGCAGGGCCAGGGTTTCCAGCATACACGATTCTTGAATCAGCCTCCAACATCATTACGCGCCGCAATAATGGGGATTCAACACAGTACGAGAGGAAGGGGCATCGGCTCAAGAAGGCCGTCAACAGCATTCTCGACAAGAATGCGAGGCTGCGGCGGAGGTACGAAAGGCCGGAACCAATCACAGACAGGCTATTTCAGCCCGAAGTCGTCCATGACTCAACATGCGGAGCTGCGTTTTGTGCGCATGATTCTTCTAATTTGCTACTGCGACGCGAGCGGACCGAGCATGAGGATAACCTTGCTATCCACTACGGCCTGATTGCTTATGGTAATCAGTTGATGAAAGATGCTACAATTCGGGATAGCCCTGCGGCAGAAAAAGATATTCTCTGCTTTGAAATGGAGGCCGCAGGGCTGATGAACCACTTTCCCTGTCTAGTCATCCGGGGTATATGTGACTACTCGGACTCGCATAAGAACAAAGAGTGGCAGGGTTATACATCGATGGTGGCCGCTGCATATGCAAAAGACGTCTTAAGTAGGATCTCTCCGAATAGGGTTAACAGCGAGAAAAGAATTAGCGATATTCTATCTGGTTAGTCTAGCGCAGACTGGGAATGATCATTTGGATGGTATTAATATAAGGAACTAGCTGCACAGAGATCACTCGGGCCAGAGCAAATTGAAGTACCTTTTAACAAGTCGCCCGTATGAACAGGTTGTGGGCAAGTTCGTGCGGCTGCTGGAATCGTTCCCCTATGTCCGTATACCGGGAGAGGAAGAGTCGCATAGTATTGGTCGAGAGGTCAATCATGTCATCCTATACCAGGTCGAGCAGCTAGCGAAAGAGAAAAGGTTTTCAGACCTTGTCAAAATTCACCTAACAACATGGTTGCTCGAGATTCCGCACTGTACCTACCTCTGGGTATATCTTGTGTTCAACTTTTTGATGAGAGAAGGCTTCCATAAACAGACACCTAAAGGAGTCGATTCCGCAATAGCCACCCTGCCAAGAAATGTCTACGAGGCATATGAGCGAATTCTCAACAAGTCAAAGAAGGACCCAATGGTTCGAAGGACCTTTAGCATCATCTTGGCAGCGAGTCGTCCACTGACACTCTCTGAAATGAACATTGCACTGAACGTTAATAGCGTATCGAAGTCTATTCATGACCTCGACCTAGAGGAAGACGAGGACTCCAGGTCACGCTTACGAACTTGGTGTGGATTATTTATTTCAATCCATCACGGTAGGGTTTATTTCCTTCATCAAACTGCTCGAGAATTTTTGCTTGCTCAGGCTGTATCACCTGCAGCTGCTACCTCGGTCTCGTTGGCGTCACTCCATAACTAGTCAGAGCACACACAATATTCTTGCAGAGGTCTGTGTGAACTATCTTGACTTTCTTGATAACGGAACTATTCCCGCGGATGGCCGAACAGAAAGTCGCCAGAACATCGACAAACACGTTTTCTTAGGCTATTCAGCTAGAAATTGGGTTGCCCATTACCAGAAGGCTAACGTTAGTGCCGATTCCAGTATAATACCTACCATTTTGAGGCTATGTAGCCCAGATTCAAAGAGCCGCTCGGCATGGCTTCCAGATAACTTCACAGGCTATATCTGGAGTAAAAGCTTTACCAGTCTAATGATATCGTCTCTTTTGGGGCTGGAGGCAGTCGTCATGTTTCTCCTCACGAATGGAGATGAGCTCGATTCGAGAGATCATGAGGGCGAGACGCCGCTATCAGCTGCTGCAGCGAACGGGCACGAGGCCATCGTCAAGCAACTGCTCGAGAAGGGCGCTGATTTCGAGTCGAAAGACAATGAGGCCCGAACGCCACTGTTTTTGGCGGCGGAAAATGGGCACGAAGCAATTGTCAACATACTCCTGGAAGCAGATACCGACCCTGAGTCGAAGGATAAAGCTTTTGGGGCAATGTGGGAGTTGTGGCGATGGAAGAAAGGATGATGCTGGTACAAATCTTATGGCCCAGGTACTCAAACCCCGCTAGAAGCGTGGCTAGTCATTCCAGTCTACTAGTATGACGTTCAAGACTGCGATAATTTTCCACTAGAGATCTCCGTACCAGACCTGATGTCCAGTGATTTTAGAATAGCATTTTTCCTATGTCATTCTTCACGCAATACTTTTATAATAGTCAACATATATATCTTACACAATACCGTACATACTATCAGTGATTCTAAAGTCATTTCCATCCCTAATTTCGCCTCTGAAATCATCCTATGAATACCTCTCTTATCCCTACCACATCATCTCCAGCTTCGCCGGAATTCCAAAACTCCCAACACCTCTTCCCAGCTTTATCATTACTCGCCTTGGTCATGGTTAAATAGAAGCCAGCTGCCGTGAAGTCTTACCCAAAAATTTCATGGAGTCCAGAACCGAAAAGCCCACCCAAAGAGGATAGTATTCCAAACCATATCCCTGGTCGGGAGCTTCTTCACGCTCTAGCAAGGTATAAGTATTCTTCCTACAGCCTGGACAGCTCTAACAACACTTTATCCTGCGACTTGACTCAATATTTAGCGATCTGACTATCATTTGTGGTTCGGTAGTGCCCCACTCTGTTCCTCCACATTCCGTGGAAAGGCAGGCTGTCCATCGGGCAGGGAAAGACTCACCTATTCCAACTGGGGCGCTTCCTGGGAAGAAGCCTGTGCGCTAGGATTCAAGTCATTTTGCTGTGATAAACCTCCCCCGTATGAAAATTGCGATTGGTACTACCATGGTGGGAATATTTTGGCCTCTATTCCTCTCATCTGTACGGGAGAAATGTCCCGCTGGGAAGGCCTCCATTGCCACAGATCCCTCGGGCTGTATGACAGGTGAGACCATAAGATCACTTGTCAACCCGTCTGGACGGAACACTTCATGCTAACCCTCTGGCCCATAGGATATGGGTCGTATCGTTGCGACTCGCCCGCCACTACAGTATGTCGATACACAACAAACCATCGTGTCAATTGGCCCCTTTACTGACTTAGTGACGTTACTACTAGAATTACCCCTTTCGTGTCCGCCTTCAAGACCCAGCTGGTCAAGTACAGCCAGAATGCTGTCTGTACCAATGATCAAAAATAGTACTCTAAACGGGAACTTGAACATATTGAACATGGGTTGTCAAAGCGCCACGATCTGAGCAAAGAGGACTGGAAATGCCTGCTCTTCCAGATCACCGCTCTGGCCATCGGCACCAGTCAGACATCAGATGTCGCTGATGGAAACTGAGTACAACTCCAGTTATGCTGATGAACTCCGGCTAAGCCTTGGGGATATTGCCCAGTTTCAAAGTGATTGGTACGTCAGACCTCCAAGATGGTATGTACATGAAAACTCACCCGGCCAGGTCCAATGCGGAACCGATCGCCCGAACGGAAAGCTTGATGTGTATGGGACACAATGCCTTTGATGTCGTCTCGGATGCTGAGACGCCACGGGGCGAGCTTTGCGTCTTACGCTGCCCGACTGCTGGAACCAAAAAGTGGTGTGGCATTCTCCAAGGCTCCCAGTTCCTCGATGATGAAGCCAAATTGCTAGTCTCGAGGAACCTGGAAGAGGAAGCAGAGGCGTATCCTTCGTCGGGCACTGGTAGCGAGCCCAGCTGGGGTACAAGCCTATTCCGACTATGGGAGATCATAGCTAAACCTTGTCTCAGGCTATATGGTTCAAGTAATTATCAACGGCGATCTCACCCTTAGAGTACGAGCAGCTCGTCCTAACCAATCGTGGGGAACAGATTCTGGAAAGTACGCATTACCCTTTTGATACCTAACACATACCAAAATATTCCTTCGCTAATTCCGCAGTTGTGGGGCAACTTCCGGCCAAGAACACCAGCTACCAGAGATCCCCCAAGATAATTATGGGATGTTCCACCTGCATTTCGAGCATCTCATCAACAACAATGGGGTGTGGCGACCGGAGATCTATGCGATCGTTGCCTTCCACGGCCAACAATACAATTATCGAACACGGGCACGCGTTGACGGGAATAACAACGAGGGAGAGAACTGACGGGTGCATATCTTGACTTGTGACACCGGCGATGAAGAAATCCCCGATACTTATTGCTGGTACCCAGGAGCGGCGGAAGCGGTTGAATCAGGGACGGGAAGGACAGTGCAGCGATTAGGCAACTATCTGTTCCAGCACGACCTGATCACCTCGACACTTTCACTAGCGCCGAGAGAGGCTAACTGGGTACCGTTTCATGAGATGACCCCGACTGTCCTGGTCGATGGTACTTTGACTGGCATTGTTATACTCTCAGTCGCCAATTCCTGCCCAGCGGGGCTATTCAGAACACGCGGTGACAGAATGATCAAAAGGACCAGGACGATGTGTCGGGGCCATCGAGGAATTATGGCTTGAGGAGGACACCTGATATCCAGTAGTATGTACTATACTAACATCTGTATGGAGACCACATAGTAGTAAAGGAGGTACATAAATGATGTCATCAAATCAGCCCCGCACGAAGTAGGATGAATAATAAAAACGGAGTCTAATTTATTGATTTAGTTCAGTACTAGTAGTATTAGTAGATATAAATAGTAGATACATCCCTCCCGGTGGACCATCGCGCGATCATCCTTCCCGCACCCATCTCACCTCAGCCATGTCCTTCTCCTACGAACTCACCCCCGACGACCTCGACACAGCCACCGAGATCCCCCCAGCCATTCGAGCAGCTCAAAATCCCAATCCGGCTGTTTTACTGGCGTTATTAGACTTCTACGGCTACGAGCTGTCTCAAGTCGCGCATCTCGCGCCTCGAGACCGCGGCGGCCTCGAGCGATGCTCCCCCAACGCCAACATCACCGGCGCTATTGACTGCGTCTACGAATCCCCATTAACCGCAGCTATTCGCGCAAACCTTCCCGATAATGTGCGTGCGCTTCTGGCGGCGGGTGCGGACCCCGCGGGCATCAAACTAAGCTATCTGTCCGACTACTCTGTGCGCTTCATCCGCGGCCGAGATGCGAAGACCGACACGTCGAGCTTTGCCATGTGCCCGCCGCGAGAGTCCATTCTCGCCGTGGCCGCGGCGAAAGGCATCCGGCATCAGACGCAGCCCTTGACCACCTCTGAGCTGAACGAGCGTCACTCCGGCTTTCCTCGCTTCTGGACCGAGCCCAATCTGCCAGGCCAACGATTCCGCTCCACCAAGGCCTTAACGGCTCTAGAAGTAGCCGCAGCTTGTGGCCAAGAGCAAATGTTTGACATGATTCGCGACGCCGGAGCAGATGAATCAGCCTGGACGGAGATTCAACCATCCAATGAAATTGTTGAGGACGAACCGTCTATCCAGGAGGCAAACTCATCATCACTGTCGACCTCATCGCCCGTCCACGAAGCCATCACCGCAGGTAACCGCGCCATGCTTCACAAATTGCTCCATCAATGCCACTATTCCCCAAACTATCGACCTCTAGCTGCAGCGCCGACTCTGTCCCTTCCGCCACTCTCCCACGCCTTGGCCTGCTGTGATCCAGACGACCCCAAGATCAGGGAGTGTATCATAGAGCTGCGAGACCACCCAGACCTCGATCATCACCTCCGCTCTGCCATCTTCGAAGTCCATCCCCTTCATTTTGCCGTCGCTCGTCACAGCCCAGCCCTTCTGTCCTGGCTCGCCCTGCCCCTCTCGTCTGCGGGATCCACTGCTCTCGGACAGACGCTGCTTCACATCGCCTCGCTGCCCCTGACATCCGAATCTATCGATCAAAACAACCCTGACGTCGTCCGGAGCATTCATTGCGCCAGAACTCTGGATCGCGCCTGGTTACCGCATGCTAGACCCAGTCCCTTACACTTGCAGCCAACGCCGCCGTCCTGGCTCAACCCAGTGCGTCCCCGTGCGAGAACCCCATTGACGCCCACCGAGCAGGAAGCCCAGTTAGATACCCTGCGCGCTCTGGTCGATGCAGGCATTGATGTCCGCGCACAGGATGTTGATGGTAACACTGCCCTGCACTATCTGGCGGTAACCTTGAATATCGACCCCCGCGCAATGCAATTGTTAAGAGAAATGGACGCCGGCGAGGAGGTTTATCATCACGTCTTAAATCGGGAAGGCTTGTCGTCGCGGGCCTTGTGGGAGAGTAGATCGCTCTAGTAGTAACTTTATTCTTTTATATATAGGCTATTCATCTGCATAAGGCTCTCTTTATATTTATATGCAATCTTTCTCAGCTCGTATAATCAGAGATGAAATGTTAATCATTAGATCAAATAAACAAACAATCAGACAGGTGCACCAGTCGAGTGCGCCAAGTACTTAGATTAGTCCGAAGAGCTCGGTCCCTCGAAGTGTAGGATGTTTGGATTGGCCGAACAGCTGCCGGGTGTGTTTTCCTGGGAGCGCTGTATCCACTTGTTTGGCATGTCTCCCTACTTTCTCTGGCAAGCCCTTCCTCTTGGCTGCTTGGGATCGTGCGAAATTTAAGGTTTTTGACTTCATTCTGGAGACCTGTGCTTGTGGGGTAGCGTCCTCTTGCGTCGCGACCCTGGCCTGCTCTTTAGCCATGCCCAGCAGATTATTGTCCTCGCTGGCAGGGACCCAAAGGCGCCAGAGACAACATCGGTTAGGCGCCTCGTGGTCGCCTCTGGCTAAGCCTTAAGAAGTCCGGTCGAATCCAGTACTATCTCATGTCTAGCATTTCTGCTCAGACAGTGATTTTACCCGTCCCTATTGGCAGAACCCCGGTTAAGACGGCATAGGTGAGCGGAGGACTTGTCTTTATGCCAAACCTCGATGCACTTGCACTAGTTTGTGATCGTTCAATCATACTATCGGTTAGCTCACCCAGGGGTGACTACTGGCGGGTGATCGGCGCTCGCGATCGTGCATCTGGGGGGCCGGAACGGTATCGTTGCTGTGCCCCTCGTTCGGTCACGGCACACATCTGACACAATGTGTATATAATCATGTAGATAAGTTCCTTTGTTGATGTCTATATAGAAGTGGGCCACAACCAGGAGAGGCCTGTAGCCAGAATAAACGGTGTCGCAGGTATTAAGAGGGTTGACACAGGCGTGATGAAGATATGTGAGCGTCAGTATCTTGGCAGAAAAGTCACATGTCTGTGGCTGTCTTGAGACAGTCGTCACAAGACGAAATTGGGCTTGTGAAGAGCGTTTTATGCCCCTGTTTCTAAGTATTAGGTCACAGATGCTCACGCTCATGTAACCAAACATATTCCCCACCACTTATATCTTACTCTGCCTTGTACCTTGCTTATTGTGGAGATATCGGTCTTATTGTGGCAATACTATAGTTAGGATGCTGCATCATTGCCAAGAATTGGTTCTCATGCTAAGCCCGCACAGGTTCCTTACGAAAGTGCCCTCACAAAACGGATCGATAAATCAGCAACAATTGTTTCTCGTTAAGAGAGTCATATGTCTGGACCCATATTAAAAGAGTTGTTAGTAGTGCTGGAGAGTTGAAACCGACTAGAGGTTTGAAAATTGACTGGGAAATAGGATCGATAGACGACTTGCGAGTGGGGAGATAGCACTGGCTTTACTTCGTCGTCTAAACAGACGCCGCATGAAGTGACTTTGCTTTATCGCAGGCATGTGTGAGCGGATGTGGGGCACTTTGGGGCACTTTGAATCTAGCACTGGAACTGAATACACAATGAGATGATTTAGAGTGATCTTTGGTCAAGAGAGGTTTTCTGCGTCTGATCCTGCCACCGCAACGGCCCTGCGCTTGTGCTGGTTGTACGACCGGGGTCCTCGGACCTACAGGTCGGAAGAACATGAGTTGAGGCCTGGGGCTGTGTGCCCACGTTCTGATGAACTGTGTACCGGGCCATGTGATGTCAGACCAGGTACGCTAGACCTTGTCCCTCGGACCTGCAAGGTCCGAGGACCCTGGGTCGTACAACCAGCACAAGCGCAGGGCCGCTAACTGGCGACCGCGCTGGACACAAGTCCCCTGCAGTCGCCTATCTACGTTCTTGCGACCACACTGGCTACTGATCCCAATAATATTCACGCTACAATAAGTCGTCTTCCATGGAGCCGCGCTAGGCTTGTTAAAAAACTCATGACTGGCATCATTTTGTCTTTGCAACTTTTCTTGTTCATAAGTGGTTTAAAATGTAGGAAATGGGCGAGGTGGAAAATATACGTTCCCCTTGCTTTTCTTTGGTCGTGTGAGGGGGAAAGCCTCAAGTGAGTGTTTCGGTCTCCACCACCTTCCTGTCTGTAGAATAGACATGCCGGGCCGAGCCGAGTCCTGCAAGCAATCCTCGGGGTCGATGCCGTCGGGAGTTCTGGAGTTTAAAGGTCAAATGAATACAGACACGATTAAGAAACCTAAGCGTACGTCAGACCAGGGAATGGAGGATCTATAACAGGGATGGGAGCCGGAAGTGGTGGCGCCGAGCAACCCTACCAGTCTCGCCCTCAATACACCCTGTCCTGGACCTCATTCGAGGCATCTCCCATGTACATCCCATCGCCCAAAGACGTCTACAGCCGTATTAGATTAAAGACCGAACAATTCATCCATCCTTCAAAATCGGCCTCTCCCTCTTCGAGTTCCGGAAACGCCTCCACAGCTGGAAGAAACCATTGCCACAGCTCTGTATAACAGCGCTCCCCATGCTTCTCCCGGTGCTCCTCTGGCGTCATTGTCTCGCCCAGCGGTTGGACAGCCGCCTCATCCATCACCAAGCACGCGCCGTAATTGTTCCATGCACCTTGCTTATCTTGGGCTTCTACCCAGCCTTCAAAATGCCCCCCGCACTTCGTCCAACGAAGTCCCGTCCAGCGTGGCTGGCTCCTCGATCACGGTTAGCTGGTGGCGCGCCCAGAGCTGATCGTTGGGCGTGGGATCCGGGTTGTCCAAGCCGTACTCGTGGAAATCTTCGTAGACTCCCGCCTTGATCCAGGAAGTGAGAATTTCGATTGCTTCGTGGAATGCTTGGTCGGAGCGGTAGGTTGTGCGGTAGACGACCCAGCCCTAGGTCTCTTCGCGCATGTCCTGGAGCATGCGACGGGAGGTGCGGTTGAAGTCGATGGGCCTTATGGTCGCTTCGTCGAGTTGAGGCGGTCCAAACATGATGGCTAATTGTTCAAGAGATGTGTATTGGGCAGAGAGAGAGAGATCGAGGGTGTATGTGTTTGAGAAAGATCTGGGAGAATGAGTTAACAAAGCAGAAAACAGGAATAGTTATCGGCACGGCGATGGTCCGCATCCTCTTCTACATGCTACCCTCGCTGGTCTTCTCCCTGTTTAATATCCTGACCCCCTCCGCGGCGGTCGTAGTCAAAGTACAGGGTGAAGCGGGCTTGCCCTCCGGAAGTAAACGGGGCAAGATCCAGCTGAAGGAGGTCAAGGTCGCTGCCTGGGCGCTCGCGAACCTGGTCCTGAGCATCGCGACGCAAGCCGCGATCGAGGAAGCACGAACAAGCCTCTTCGGGATGCGCAGCGCGCTGAAGGTTTCCATGAAACTGCCAATGCCATGGGAGATCGTGAAAGATCTTTCAATTCCTGTAAAGTAAGCTGACAACTGCCCTTCTACAGATCCTCGCATATAGCATCCGTCACTACGTACTGCATTCACTAATAATTCGGTCTGCTTTGATAGTGTTCGGGGCGCCCATCGCCCTGTAAAGCCTGCCACAGCACTAACGCGGAATGCATCTTCGATGAAACCTTGGATCTTCGACGTAAGGCTGCCGCGAGACGCACTATTGGGGAAATGAAGCATTACCGTGGGCTGCTCTATTCCTTAGTTGAATTACTCCGCTCGGCAGATGAAGACAGGATCCAGCATTTCCTAGAGACCGTCCGCAACAGTTCTTCGTTGGATCCTATCCCGGCATCAATAGACGCATCTGCGACGATACGGGCGCAGAATCTCCCAGCGACAAACTGGGCGGGCCTGAAACTGTCGTGCAACAGGAACGGCTATCTGCTGATCCCCTAGCAAGGATCACTTTAGAAAAGTTTTCGACATACCACTATTCCAGGTACCTGCCCAGCCTTGGACGACAGTCACGCAAGATGATTATCTTGTCTCTCACCTTATTTCACTGTACTTGACCTGGGATCATCCTTTGTCGCAGATGTTCGATCAGGGCTTGATTCTGGCCCATATGATCACGGGTGATGTGAACTCTGAATTCTGTAGCCCGTTACTTCTCAACAGCATTCTTGCGATAGGAAGTGTATGTCATGCCATCCATAAACTTTACCGACGAGCCCCCTCTGACTCTACTAGACTTACTCTAATTTTCCAGAAGTTTTCGCTGTTCCTGGAGATAAAACATCGAAGTTTTAAATTTCTATGTAGAGGCAGAAAGGCTGTGGAAGGCGGAGGAGGGTCAGATTTCGTTGACAAACATACAGGCCGTTTGCCTTATGAGCTATGTGTATGTGATCTTCAAGAACAATCCCCAAGTATGCTGTTAAAACGCCTTTATTAACCAGTCACAGTCTCGAGAAGCGCCCGGCTAGCTAGATCATGTTCAGACAGGCCGTACAGCTTGTACAAGTCTTCGAAATGTTCCAGGCACCAAGAACAAGAAAGTACGGTGGGAAAGAATGTCCGCCGCAATGAAATACGTGAGGTCAATCACTGCATGTGGTTTTTCATGCTAAAATCGTATGGGTGTTGTTTCGCGTATATTGTGCTTTGATTTCAGGCTGATTGTGCGATGTAGGCAAATGTCGATGGAGCGCCATAGAGTCACAAATCTCCAGCCCCCCTCAGTCCGCGTCATTTTCGGGCAATGATTTCGAGGATAAGGTTCCATGGATCCCGTATCCACACTCGAATCAGAATGGGCCCGGCAAGAGACCAGCTCTCCTCTGGTATGGGATGGTTGCCATGGCATCGTTGACTGAGATAAGTGCAGAAATCCAGGATCTCTTGTCACTCGACATGGATTTCGACCAAATGTGGGTAGCGGCCGGAGGGCTCTATTTACGCCTGCAGTGATGGCATGAAAATCTGCCCGACGCTCTCGGAATAGGCGAAGAGCCGATTCCACAAACATTGTTTGTGCAGTAAGGGCCCCGACTGATGAATTCCATTGACCCAGTGTTGTAACTCGGCTTGCAGTATCAGGTATCATCACATAATAATCAATCTGTTCGGAGTACTCCTGAGCTGTGCGGACGTCGTCTCCGAGTCCAAACAGCCCTCATTCGAAGAGGCGAAGATAGCCCGGCTCCGTTCAGCGAAAATAATTGCTCACTGTCTTTGCCGGCACCGGGACCTATATGGACCTAGGCATATTTCGGGGCGAATACTACAGTCTATCAACTGCAGCGCACGCATTTTAGTCGACATGTTAAGCCACGATGGGATCGAAGACGCATTCGTCGAGGTATGCCGGTCTCTAACTGCGTTTAGCAGAAGGCTCCCAGATACCAAACGCATGATCCATAACATTGAATCGGTGGCTAGACGATCGGGGATAAGCCTGCCGTCGGAGGCTATTGCAGTGCTAGATCACAACAGCCTGGTCTCATCACAGTGGCTTTGAGCCCGTGGCTACACACACAAGGGACCGCTTCTTATTATTTGCTGATTGGACTCCAGATGGATCCTAAATCACCCAATCGGCCTTACAGCTCCGTCAGGGGTGGTCCGGGCCACAATGTGATTTGCAGAGATGACTTTCCGCCAACAACCAATTCCGCTGTCCACCGGTATGACCAAGTACGTGCCATCTTCTGAAACGCTGTGTGGCCTTGGTCTATACCTACAAGTAGCCCAGCCAATGCCTTGGATGCGACACTCACCACACATCAGTGAAGCAGTGTGCGGCAAAACGGAGACCGCTTTTAAACTCTCCGACCCTACAACATGGCTAAGCCGTTCCACCCGGAGAATTTTCAGCCTGCCAGGGAGCTGCCAGCTAGCTACTGAATATTCCATAGAAGGCTATGATTGGTTGGACTTGCCACTGTCTTATGAAAGGCGAAAAGGCTTATGGTTAATGCAGTCTACTCAATATGATGACGTTAGATACGCCATAAAGAACATAAGGCAAGGCAGGGTGACTCTCGTGTTTGGTTTGTCGTCATGGTCTGCATCGGTGTGGTCCCTGCGCCCCAACCCGGAAGCGTCCACATCCTCTAGGAGAACCATATATTGTGAAGAAGCTCAGCGAGTAGCTTGATCAACTTGTTATCGGAAATTCCTGATAGCTGAAGTATACGTATATCTAGTTCGACCTCTCCTACTAGCTATCATAACATTCATGAGCCCGTACACTCCCTAAAACCCGCAAAGCGCCAACATAAGCTGATTGGATCCATCCTCCCCGTTAACATCCCCACAGTAAATAAGATGACCCCGCCCGAGCTTTGCCCCTACAACACCAGCTTGGGCCTGGTTCACGTACATTGGAGGGAAAACAAGACTTTGAGTTACCGCGCCATCAATCGGAACAAATATTTTTTCCTCAGGTTTAGCGTTCTTGACATGAAGTACCTTCATGCTATATGATTCAGGCAAGGAAGATGGTTCAATGCTTTCGGGCAAGAGACCTGATGGATTAAGTTGGAAGGTTGTGCGATGATAGTCGCCATTGTCCCAGGGAAGGCCAAAGGTCTCGAAAAACTCCCTGAACTTGTCCATGTGCGTGAAGTTCGGGAAGTGTAGACCGACTATGGTAAGACCGCCATTTTCAATGTAAGTTTTGATTCTAGCGAGTACTTTTTGGGTCTCTTGGTCGGATTCGGTAAGGCCCTCGTCTGTTATGATGATTGCTTTGAAGGTGGTCTCGGCGATGGCTTTGAGCGCGGCGGTTGCGGTCTTTGCGCGCTTGATGACCGCCACTTTTAAGAGCCTGTTGAAGAGCGTGGAGTAACTTTCATCGATGAAGTCGCTGTACGCGAGAGAAAGAAGAAGAATTTGCGGTCTCTCGGTTGAGGCCATTGCCGTGACTTCGGTGGGTGGGGGGGGGGGGGGGGGGAGGCAGATGAATGAGATATATCAGAATTACCCCGCTTTACACCGCCTGCTTACACCTCTGTTGGCTGCGTTTTACGTAATCCATAAGCGAGTCGGCACCACAACCGAGTCGGCAGTTTTCCCTAGCACCACCATCAAGCACTATTCAACGCGACTTTATTCCACCACCACTATTCAGAATGCCTCTATCTCAAGAAAACCGAATGCAAATGGCCATACACGCGTACAAAAGCAAGCAAATCCAATATCAATCAAAAGCTGCTGGAGTATTTGGCGTACCAAAGTCAACCCTTCAAGATCGGCTCAAGGGAATGAAATCACGGTCGGAAACGCGTGCCAATTGCCATAAATTAACAGCTCATGAAGAAGAAGTCTTGGTCAAGCACCTGCTAGACGCAGATAAACGAGGCTTATCGATTCGACCTGAGTTTCTCCGTGGAATGGCGCAGATCTTACTTCGTGAGCGTACCCAGGATCCTCCCACAACCATTGACGTTAACCGGGCATACAACTTTGTTAAACGCCATCCAGCGCTACGTACACGATATAATCGGAGGATTACATACCAGCGTGCAAAGCAGGAGAATCCGATGGTTATAAAACAGTGGTTTGAGACTGTGCATGAGGCTATTCAGGAACATGGTATCCATGAGGATGACATCTGGAATTTTGACGAAACTAGCTTTGCAATGGGACTCTGTTCAACCTCCAAGGTCATCACTGCGGTGGAGCGTAGTGAAAGACCTCGAAGAGTTATCCAGGGGAATCGAGAATGGGTCACAATTATTGAATGCGTGAGCTCGAAAGGGATCCATATACCCCCGTGGATCATCTTGAAAGCAAAAGAACACCAGGCTGCTTGGTATCAAGAATCTGCTCTCTTTAATAAGGGCTACGCTATCGCAAGAAGCCAGAATGGATGGACGACAGATGAGATTGGCCTTCGCTGGCTAAAAGAGATGTTTGAACCACAATCAAAACATCATTTAACTGGTGCGAAGAGATTGCTTATTCTTGATGGCCATTCTAGTCATCTGACTGCAGAATTTGATGATTTTTGCAAAGAGAATGCAATAATCTGCCTCTGCATGCCTCCCCATACTTCTCATCTTCTTCAACCACTGGATGTTGGTGTTTTTGGGCCGCTTAAACGCGCGTACGGGAAATTGACTGAGGAGATGATGGCTGCCGGCAATAACGATATTGAAAAGGAAGACTTCCTCCACCTATATCCATCCGCGCGCGAGAGGGTCTTTACTCGAGGGAATATATGCAATGGCTTTGCAGGTGCTGGTCTTAAGCCACTTGATAAAGACCGAGTTCTTGAAAAGATTACTTTCCAGCTTCGTACGCCAACACCACCTCTTGTTGAAGTTGAAAGTTCAATCTCCTCTGCTTTTCAAACACCTCAGAATCCTCGCCAGCTTGATCATAAGATCCGCAGAATGCAGAGAAGCATTCAAAAAAGGAAACTTTCTAGCAGTCCGATGTCTCATATTCAACATGTTGAGAGGGCCGCGCAGATGGCAATGAATACGAACCTACTTCTTCAACAAGAAATCAAGGTTCTACGGGCTGAGAATGAGCGGAAAATGAAAAAGAAGGTAAGGAGGCGTGCTACTCTAGGTAATGACCTTATTTTATTTGTACAGGAAGGTCAAAATCGTCTCCAGCAGCTTGATACGCATGTTGAGGAGCAGGCATCCAGGCCTCGCCAGCGAGCTCCAGCACGCTGCAGTAGTTGCGGGACTGTTGGACATACCATAAGAAGTTGTCCTAATAAGTAGCTATTTATTTTATCTTTTATATAGTCTAATTTGATGGCGTTGGTGGTTGAAATGCTTTAATATTCTAGTGATGACGGAGAAAGTGCCGACTCGGTTGTGGATTACGTTACATCTTTATCAGTGTACTTAAGACTGTTCCTGATCATAGCAAGAGGATCAGGCGAATTCTAGGTGAATCTTACCCGCAGGCTCGACCCCTCGAGGCAAAGCCCGTCCTCGGGCGAATGGTCTGTGATTCGTCTCAACCCACAGTATCCTCGGTCTAGCACATGACTCAGCACTGTAAATGTCGGGACATATCCTTTTGTCAGACCAAGCAAGCGACAACTTACCGCTGGCGACTGGTAGATCACATTCCTTTGCTGGGTGACCTTGCGCCAAGCCGCGGCACCGGTATTGGGACCACCGAGGATCGGCGTATTGGATTCAGGGGTATTTTGGACCGGACCTGGTACACATCTCCATCTATCAACAGAATCAATTGACTTTTTGCTTTGGAGCATACAAACTGTCCACTTAACTGTGTACACAGTACCTAGCTGGTGATACCAACAGTAAAAGACCCGGGATGCCGACATGAAATAGGGATTGACATATCCGTTAAAGAAAATGCCTTACAGAATCTCCGGTTTGGACCTCTGTTATGTCCTTTTGAAAGCTCTATCAGGTCGGAATATTCAATCATAAAATTGATTAGATATGTGCCTCTGCTGTCAAACCAGGGATCGATAACATTGCCTACGAAATCACCCCTAATTTAAAGGGCGATGATTCGGGGTCCACAGCAAAGATACAGACCCCCAATACAGGACTACAGTGATCGGAAGGTACCTTACTGGAAATTCTCCTTGAGGCTGACGGTTGCTGTTTACATAGTTAGTTCAGCTCTTCAGCTCTTCAGCTCTCGATACTATGCTCTGATCCAGTGGGTCTCGTCAATTGTCCGCCTAGGCGCATCATATTTATCTGAAGTCACAATGACTGGAAATAAACTAGATGATAAAGTTCGGATTGGAAAAACATGAGACGAATGAATGTTGAAGATATATTATATATAAAAAAACGAAAACAAACATACAACAGCAGGGATTCGCATGTGGTCACCCACCATACTACTAACCTGCCGGCGTGTGGCTTAAGTACGGCTGAGCGGACGGGAAGCCCTGTTCTCCACACCCTATGGTCGTATGTACTTAAATGACAAGTACAAGAAATAATATCCTGTCTTCGCACGATCAAGCATACTACTGCGTAAAATTCGGCTGTGGGGGGCTTCTGCTCAATCAATACTCTAGTGGTTATCGCCTGGATGAGTAGGGTGAGTGCCGCTTTAGCGTCGCGCGACTCGGGTGATTAGGGTGAGTGTGCAATAGACAGGGTGAGAACGGGGTAAGCCCGGGTGAGAATCACTCTCTGTCATAGAGTCGCTCTCTGGCCATCTCAGCTGAAGTAAAGTGCACATCATTGGATGATCTACCAGCACCTGAAACACTCGTCTTCTTGGCACCTGCACATAGCCACCGTATGTGTGAATGAAGGAATAGTGTGCTGTAAGAGTAACTAACTGTCGTGGTTGTTGGGTGAGATGCTGACTAATCTGAACAGGAATCTTTTGCTACCTCCTGCAGATCCAGCACAAACAGCAAACTCACTGATCCTCCCACTCTAAGGATTTCCCTTGGCCCAATAGCAGTGGTATTGCACAGTTGGCGGCCTGCTGGTTAGGCATCAGCGAACCAGATACAGGACGCTTTGTTATAGATGGCAGCTACCGCGCAGCTCGCTTATTATTTATATTACCTCATTTTATTGGTGACCTCTCCCAGTCAAGAAGGGAACAGAAGACGTGTGCAGTTTGGCCGTAACAGGTCACCTGTGCTGCGGTCTTATGCGTAAACGCATTAAACTGTAGCGTCAGAGAAGGCCCGTCCGCGCTCCCTCGTAGGGAGGCAATGTGTCTGTATATTGCAATGCTAGTTTCTGTATACAGAGGGGAGGTGGGAGGGACAAAATCGAGTCTTGACTGCGTGAGAGATGACAAGCTACCACCAGAGGCAAGCAACTGACTCTTCAGAGGCAGTTGTAGGAGGAAGGAGCCCTCCGAAATGTCGGTGTAGATGTCACGTGAGACAGCGTGGCCAACGTGAGGCAACCCCAATAAAACTTCTCCTTTTAAGTTCGAAGTCATTCACGTATCTATCTATCCTCATATTGGATTCTCTCATGCAAAGTAATAATTCGAAGCGACTGCGGTCGGAAAAATGCTGGGAGCACTCGGCCAGGTGCTGAATAGCCTTCACTTCGGCCCCCACGAACGAAAGGTGAAGAGGTATCTCAATGAAGCCACTCAAGGTCAGTCGAAATAGATATATGTTGATGTGACTCGCCATCTTTAACTTCACCAGATTCTGTCCTCGAAGATCTGAAGATAGCCCTCGCCCCTAGAATAAAGGAGGTCCAGCATCTCTGGATCACATTCGACGCCTATTGTGTCGAAGACTATTCCCACCAGCGGTGTACGTGGACCACTAAAAGGATGCTCTCGAAACTAACGATACGTTTAGACTGGAACGTGATAAGTTTCCGGGAATACATTGAGAAAAAGCACCCTGATGTGGCAAATTCCGAGGCCGTGGTCCAACTGCTGTGGAGATGTTTCCTCTACTTTGCCTATCACCCTTTCCCCTGCGATGCCACTGACAGTAGCAAAGTCGACTCGAGCGGCTTCCAACGTGCTGTATCACTTCTAGCCGTTCAAGGCACTGATATCCTGGGTACACAGGACGAAGGGGAGTATTTCTGGCGCCATGACTGCGCTTTCTTCCGCAGAGCCGATTTCCAAAGACTCTTTAGAAGCATTAGCCTTCCGGAGGGTCCAAACAACCAGCCCACAGATCCATCTCTGGAGGAGGACGTCATGGATATTTTGGCCATGACGCAGCCGCAATCGGTGAGCTTGGCTCCTTCTCAGGATCAGCTAGGACCTGCATCCCGAAAGCTGCTTAGTGAAAGTCCAGTCCGGACAGGGTGTCGGGTGACTCGAAAGGATTTGTCGACATTGCTAAGCTTGCTTCTACGGCTGAGACTGCACAAAGCTAAATGGGGATCATACTTCCATTTTGGTACTTTTGATAAATCTGAGCCTGTTGTCGAAAGATTGGCCGATATTCTGGTTAAAGGACTAGGCGGGGACTATAATGGAGAGAAACTTGGATCTGAGCATCTTCTTAGGGCAATGGGTTTGTTGGTATGCGCGCATACACTGAAGTGTCTGGGCATATCTAATCTTTGACAGCCGAACTTGAACCAACGATTCCACCAGCTTTGGACTGTTCTATTTCAACCACCGATGGCTGCAGATAATCAAATATTGTCACAAGTACCGGAGCCAGTAGGAGCTGTATCTGGCGGGATTATTGGGGCTATTACACTGTTTATCCCTCACCCTAAATTCCCGACGAGCACTCGGGCGACGATGCAGGACGCGCGGATTACTTTGGAAAAACAAACACAGAGGCCAGATGACTTGACAGTGACCCGTCTTGTGAAGACCCTGGAAAATAATGCATATCCACACCTGATGCTACTAACCAGCGATGCAACTACAACACCAGCCACGGTGGTAGGAGCATACTTCCCTGGTCCGCTCTGGCTCAAGGCAAATGGAAAAGATATGCGCGAATTCAAGACTGGCACTTCCCATCTCCTCTTTCAGCTTGAGCCTCAATTCCGCCTTCTCCGATGGACCTGCCCTAATATACCGCTCACAGACATCATCAATACACATGAAGAGGAATTGTCGCTCGAAGCTATCGCAGCAAGTGACAAAACACCTCCGACTTCAAACAAGGTCTATTGGATCGGAGACCCGGAACGAACAGGTCCTGGCCTACAAATTGACCCAGTGGCGAGGTCGGCTCTGCTCACGAGCAATTTTACCGACGCCAACGTTGGAGTAGCCTGGTATAACGATGTGGGCAGACATAGCGACCGTGGTGACAAAATACCCAAAAAGCACTGGGAGGTGACTGTCAAGCTTGGTCAGCTCAACTTTTTCCGTCTTTCGTGCGGGTTGGACGCAGACCTCGCTACTGGGAGGATCATCCGTGCCAAGGATCAGGCTCGATACATGCGGGAGGCAATGAAAACAAGGATCGCGGGTGAGGACCTGAAGAAGAGGATTTCAGGCTTCGGATCTACTACATGACAGAAAGAGATCGAAGAAGATTTTCGTCTGCCCGTTCGGTTTCCTACGTATCTATACCAGCGGATTGCCAAAAACACCTAGGTAATTCTGACTTGTGTATGTAGGGCATTTATCTCCTGGGAAAATTTACACTGATCTCCATGGTTCCGCTCACCCCATTGCTCACTGGGCCTGGGTATGGTTGAAATGTTTTGTATATTTACTAAGAATAGGCACCTCAATAATATTCATGCTCATTTATTTGGTTGTTTAATTCTGTTCTTCGAGATGGTGATGAATGCAAAGTCAGGCCCCAAACTCAAATTAGTCATGTGCCGATCAAGGCTATGCGGGGTATTCTCTTCACTTAACAGTGGCTTTCCTGGACAGATACCAAAGCAGCCAAACATCCTGACCATGGCGACACAAACAATCAGCTCCATCCTGGCTACAGAGCCATGGTACTACGACGGCGACAGGCAATGCATCAAGTTTAGTATTGACGGCACCGGTGAGGTACGTCCATTTCCATTTGTCGCAAATGGCGTGCGCTCAACACCAGCAGATCTGGGACGGACACGAAACGGCCTTTACATTGGCCGCGAGCTTTGACTGGAGAGCCCTAAACCCTACAGCCCTGGACGAGCAGCTGGCGATCACCGGAAGCAGGACGGCGAAGACACTGACCCACCTGAGCCTAGAGATAACCTCCACGGAACGCCGCTGTCCCTGTCCCCCCGGTTGGAATTTTGACGAGAATACCCTCGAACGGATTCGGATGACCACGTCAAGGTTCAAGGAGGGCGCGTTCCAGCCAAGGACGTTTTCTGTCCGCCTCGAGAGCGGGAAATTCGCCAAACCTTTTATGGAGGACCATGGCGGCGTAGAGAAATTCGGAGACCAGGCCCGCAGCTATGCGTTGCGGCTGGTGTTCGACAGATGTCCGTGGCCCTCTCTGGAGCAGTACATTAATGGTTCCATTTGGGGGGATAAAATGAAGGTGACCCGGTTTGTGTGTCGAGAAACGGGGCTGTATAATTCATGGATGGGCAGTTGTATCGCAATATAATCGCAGAGCAGGTCTGGAGATTGACCTACAAGTAATAATCGTGCTTCCAGAAAATTTTCTGTTTAAGTGGCACATCACATAGCCCCGGCAAAACGGCCACCACGGTTTACGCACGCCGTGCCAATGAGGCTGTAGCTAAAGGCTACAAAGCTTACAATGTCGCAGGACCCGATGGGCTTCCTCCTACCATGCTTCTTAGTCCATATTCACGGGAACTTCATAGGACACCGATTGGGACTCATTATGAGGTGTTATATTTTGTCGGACTTTCGGATATCGGTATCGACTAGTACTCGTGAGGGGCCAATTGAACCATCCCAGCGATCGATTGATTGACTGAAGAACTATCTGTCGGCTCCCGTTCAGGATACCATCTATTCAGGGGTTTTTAGTGTGTTACAGCGCTGCTTTTCCGAGAATACCCGATTACCATACAAAACAGGTAGGAGATTGGGTATCTGCTGAATCATCTTGCTCCTGATTGTAATATCAGTCTCTCCGATCGACATATTCCAATAATATTCTGCACTTTCTTTCACTTAATGTATGTGAGAGTGTGAGATGTAAAGGATGATCGTGAACGGGTGAGAAGCAGGTGGTATTGGCTATCTGCTGCTATCTTCTGCTATCTGAGAGAGAGAGAAGAGGAAGGAAGAGAGAGCGTGGGAAGTGAGAGAAGAGGTACAGAGTCAGGTGACTGTGGTGACTAAGTGAGTACCTGATGTATGTACGCTCAGTATGAAACAATAAGAGATCTTCATGTAATCATAAATGAATAGTACAATAATGGCCTTATGTGTGGGATTCGTAAAGGTACTAGGTTGTGGCTTTCAGTAATTTCAAGTTTGCTGGGTGATTGTTGGGTGTTATCTGAAATATATATTCTATTCCAACCATTGCTACACTGGCACTGATAGAGACGGATGAGATATTTTGGCCCGCACGGGGCACCTGCGGTCTGAACACTGGCGATGTAGACCTCGTTGACGGAGGGCTACGGCGCCGTGAGGGCTGCAGGCGGGCCCGTGGCACTCCGTATATTCTAGGAGGAAAATAGCTATGCGGGAGCATACGTGGTATATACATGAGGGGGTTTCCGCGGTGGGCGGGAAGAAGCCGTCGCGGAGAGAGCCCGGCTCTCCCTCGAAACGGCGATGTTCTTTTCGAGGGAGGGGCAGGCCAGGCGATATTTGTGTGCGTTGTCCAGCACGGAATATCGTGGGCCCGACGCACCGGGCTCTCACGCAACAGTCCCGAATAGAACATATCATTTTCACGAGCGGAAGTCTATACATTTTCTCTGTAAGCCTTGCAGTACCACACAATTGTTGAGATTGTTGAGATTGGGTACGACGAAGCACTGAATATAGAATGAGGGCCTGCTAGACAATGTTGAGGTTCCAGGATAAGGCACCGAATTGATGCCTCATTCCCAACCTCTGTCGGCATGCCTGTTCAGGGAAACCCGGGGCACTGAGCTTGATATGCGCTTCAAACGCTCTTGTGCGAGCAAACGCTCTTGTGCGAGCAAACGCTCTTGTGCGAGCAAACGCTCTTGTGCCGCATTATATTCTAAATTCAGGGGATCTTCATGGAAGAATTCCGATTGAGACCGATAATAGGGGTTTACTACTGTCAGGGGCTTGCCGCCCGTTCAGGGATAAATACCCCCAGAATGTATGTAGACAGTTCAACACGATACAGTCAAGTTCAAGTTCTGTCAATTTCATTAAGGTCGATTTGTCTGTTGAGATTGGATACTATGAAGCACTGAATATTGAATAAGGGCAGACAAATCGAACTTGATGGAATTGACAGAACTTGAACTTGACTGTATCGTGTTGAACTGTCTACATACATTCTGGGGGTATTTATCCCTGAACGGGCGGCAAGCCCCTCACAGTAGTAAATCCCTCATAATCGATCTCGATCGGTGTTCTTCCATGAAGATCCCCTGGATGTAGAATATAATGTCGGTGAAGCGCATATCACGCTCAGTGCCTCGAGTTTCCCTGGACAGGCATGCCGACAGAGGTTGGGAATGAGGCATCAATTCGGTGCCTTATCGTGAAACCTCAACAACCATTATACCAAATAATAAGGTTTCTATAAAAAAAAACCTACTGAGTGATGCAGAAGTTGTTCGATTACTGTTAGATTATAGAGCAGATTTCAATATCGAGGGTGGATTCTGTGTTAATACGCTAAATACAGCCTATTCACGGTATAACCATGATATACCGGAGGTTCTCAAAGCTCAAATAGCAGCCGGATCTGGAAAGGAATATCCATTGTGAATGGTTAACTTTTCATAATTACGAAATAGCAATTTAATTGAAAGAATGAAGTATGCATTGTGACTAAATCCCGGTAACTTGTCCACCTCTAGTGTGATCTTCATCCCCTTATCCCTTCATCACACGTCAACCCTCAAAGCCTCCAGACCCCCTTTGACCAGCCGAGGCAGAACAAGGGAATGCGCCGTTCCGTCTGCAAACATCTTCATGAAAGCTACGACTAACTGCTCCATTCCCTCAGCAGAGGCTGCAGCAATCCAGTCTGCCGTTGACCGTGCGGTAACAGTCTCCCCAAGCTCCTCTTCCAGGTAGGTACGAGCGTCCTGGACAGGAATAACAGTCTCTCCGCAGTGGTGGACATAAACAGGCTCATTGGTGTTGACAGCTGTTCCAGCCAGTATAGCATCGAGTACTGTTCGAGCGACGGAGTCAACGTGTACAAAATCAAAGTATCCACACCAACCTGGGAGCTCTGGTACGCTCTTCAGGATGCGGGAGAAGCGCAGCACGGTGTGCACAATGTCCATGGACGGAGTATTGGCACCTGTCACGCTCGTCGGTCGGTGAATCCACACAGGCATTCCGGTCTGGAAAGCAACGCGCTCCAGGAATCGCTCACTAGCCCACTTGGAAGCCACATAGCCATCTGTTCCATCGGGTGGGGGCTGATAAGCTGCGACGGAGATTTCGGGATACGAGTCCTTGCCACTTAGATGGGCAACGCCAGATGTGGAGATGAAATGGAAGGGGGTTCGATGCTTGGCTGCAAGGCGGACGAGTTCCTTGGTGGATTCGACGTTTGGCTGGCGAAGCGAGTGGTAAGACTTCATGAAGGATACATCGGCACCATTGTGGATGATGACATCAGCCGATGCGAAGATATCGTTTGCTTCAGTCTCGGAGAGTCCCAGGAAAGGCAGAGTGAGATCGCCTTTATGGAAGAAGATCTTCTTCGACTGCGCGCGGGCTGCTGTGGGGTTTCTCACTGCCAGACATTCAATCCTTTGAATTTCCGGGCAATCGACCAGCTGATGGCACAAGGCACGGCCCAGGAACCCAGTGGCTCCAGTCAGAAGAACGGTTTTTGACTTAGCGAGGGGCTTTGCTGGGCGCGATACGGGCTTGACGGATGTGATCTCGGAAGAAACAGCTGTTTCAGCCTCCCAGTCAATTTGATAGGAATTGCCAGTACTGGTTGCATTGATACGGGCAGCAAGACCCTCGAGTGTGTTGTTCTGGAAGAGCTCAGGCAGGGAAAGTTCAATAGAGAAACGATCGCGGATCTCGGCTTGCATCTTGAGCAAGAGGAGAGAATTTCCGCCGACAGAGAAGAAGTCAGATGATTTTTCAATACTTAACGATTCACCGACGTCTGCCAGCAGAATCTGCCAAATGTCGCTCAGTTGGCGTTCGGTAGCGCTCAATAATGCAGTAGACTCTGGGTCAGGGATGTCACCCAAAGGAACAGTGCTTAACGCGCGACGATCAAGCTTTCCTGAAGCCGTGATTGGAAGCTTAACCAGGTTCTTTATAATGGCGGGCTTCATGAACAAGGGAAGAGGGAGCGTCGAGCGCAATGATCGAAGATATTCTGTTGAGTTGTCCTTGGGTTCACAGCCATCTGCGAAAACAACGAATGCGGCCAAAAAATTCTCCGTTTCTCCTCTGAGGACGACTGCAGCATCAGAGAGCATGCCGTGCGCACTGTTGAGAATTGCGTTTTCGATCTCTTCCAATTCGACGCGCACTCCTCGGATCTTGACCTGCAGGTCTCCTTCCATTCTCCCCAGGTAGACCAATGATCCGTCTCCGAGCATGCGGGCTTTGTCTCCCGTACGATAAAGGGTCTTCCAGCCATCGACGGCCTTTTCAGACCCTGAGATTGTGTCCCGTATGAACTTCTGCTTTGTAAAATCTGGGTTGCGCCAGTATCCAGGACTGATGCCAGGCCCACCAAGAACAAGTTCACCAGGAAAACCGACTGGTACTGGCTTTGCAGCATCATCCACTATATAAACGGCATAGTTGTTGAGTGTGCGACCGATTGGAACTCTCTCATCATTGATAGCCTTGTAGTCAACCTCACACATGGTTGCAACGATAGACCCTTCAGTTGGCCCGTAAGCATTCAAGACTTTTAGTGTGTTGAGTCGGAGGTCACGGAACTTCTCCTTGAGACTGACTGGGAACCCCTCGCCGCTTGAGAGAGCAATACGCCAAGACTTGCAAGATGTCAGAGTCTCTCGGCCATATCGGAGTAAAATCGAATATTCAGAAGGTACACAGAAGGTGAAGGTCACTCCCTCGCGCTGGATCAACGCTGCCAAGGCCTCCGGATCTCTTTGGCTGTCAGTCACAACAAGAGTCCCACCGTTGGCAAGACAGTAGAATATTTGAGCAAGCGACAGATCAAAGCTGACTGAGCTTTGCTGGAGGACAGTCTCTTTTTGCAGACCCATTTGCTGGGACGCTGCAACAACATGGGACGTATAGTTAGCATGTGTCAACTGAACACCTTTGGGTTTGCCAGTTGAGCCGCTTGTGAACATGATAAATGCGTTTGATGCGGCTTCACTGCGATCAGGAATCTTCTTTTCGGTGTGACTCGGTAGGAATGTAAGGTCGACGATATGGCCAGCCTGGGGGCTGAGGATTTTCGCCGTACTGGCTGTTTCCTTGTCGTGGACAAGAGCCTGCAGGCTCGCCTCATCACAAATCAATGCCAAACGCTCTACGGGCATACTGGAATCAAGAGGCACGTAGACAGCGCCGAGCCGCATGATTGCCAGAAGCGCGCAAATCAAATCCGCTGATGGCTGGCAGCACACGCCAATATGGGACCCAACCCTCAGGGAGGGAAGGGTACTGAGTGCAGCGGCGATAGCATTGACTCGGTCACCCATGGCACGGTAGGTCAGGACTCGTTCAGAAGAGTCTTTTAGTGCAAGCTCATCGGGCTGAGTTTCGACCAGATGATTGATCCTTTTGGACAGCGTGTCCGGCCAGGCCGTTTCAATCTTGTTGCCAATCCCCAGCGACGCGGACTGATGAGATTCAGCTTCAGGGAACAGAGAAAAGTCAGTGAGTCGCATGCTCGGATCCAAAGCAGCTTGCTCAAGAATATTGACGTATGCCTTGGTGAGCAAGTTTCCACCCTCGACGTCAAATAAGTAATCTAGTAAGCTCAATGACAAGAAACCACCAGTGCCATCGGCCTTTTCATCGACGGAGACTGTGATATCGTAAGGATTCCGTGCATCTTTATAATCGTGCCATTCGAGGCCGACTTCACCAATAGTGCTTTGCTTCAGGGCACCCATTCGATAATTGAAGATTGTCTGGAATAGCGGGGGCAAGGTGTTTGATCTGGGAATATCGAGTTCGTCCAGAACGAGATCAATCGGGATATCTGAGTTGCCAAGTGCGGCATAGACTGTAGTGCGAGTTTGCTGAACTATGTCCTCGAAGCTGGGGTCATTCTGAAGCTTGACGCGCAATGGCAGAGTATTCAAGAAAAACCCGATTGTCTGCATGAATTCTGAGTCGTTACGGTTTGCATCCACGATACCGATGCACTGATCATCAACGCCAAGGAAATGATGGAGCATAACTTGGAAGGCAGTGAGATAGAAATGCAACGTTGTAACCTTTGCTTTCTTGCTGGCCACTCTCACCCTATTCGTAAGTGCGGGCTCGAGCGGCTGCACAAGCTCGAGGGTCTCGTATTTCGTCATCGCCTTGCGAGAAGTGGTCTTCGCAAAGCCGAACAAGGGCAGGATGCTTGGTAGATCCTGGAATTGTGATTTCCAATACTGAAGTTGCTTGGCATATGCACCGTTCTGAACAGCACGTCGCTGCTTGTCCGCGAATGTCGAATATTGTAGAGGACTTGGATGTTTCACCGTCGGTGACGCATAGCATCGTTCGATATCTTGGAGAGTGAGTTGCCAACTGACGCCGTCCATGATTATATGGTGATATCCAAATACAATCGTGTGGTAGTCAGGCGCATGAGCCAGGAGAACGACGCGGAAAGTATCGCCATTCTCGAGGTCGTAGATGTGGGCGTGCATTTTCTGAAATTCTCTTTCAACGTCACTCTCATCATTTGTAGAGTTCAGGATATGAAGCCTGAATTTGCTCTTTCTCAAAATTACTTGATTGGCATCACCGGTGAAGCTGTCTGTGTGGAATGAGGTGCGGAAGGATTCATGCCTTTGGGTGACTTGTCGAAGTGCCATCTCGAGTCTGCTAATATCTAACAGCCCATTCAGGCGATAGGAGGTAGTGCAGTTATATGTGGTCTTGTCCTCGAGGTAGATAGAAGGGAACCAGATTCGAGATTGCCCGTAAGACATTGGATCGATACGCAACCACGGTGGCAAAACTGGTTTGTTTGATGTGGTAGACTCATTGTCGGATGTCGCAGGGGTTGTTTGTATTTGAGTATCTCCGGGCGTAGAACCCTCGTCAGATGAGGTATTCGATTCCAAGTGTGTTTTGTGCTCGGCAAGAACGGCAGCTTCATTTAGGTTGTCCGGTGGATTCTGTCCAATAGCCAAACTGTTTTCCTGGTTTTCGGCAACCAGCTCATCGTCGCCAGTGGCATTGTCTGCAAGAACGTCGACTGCGAGCTCATCACATACTGTAATCACCGATGTCAATATCAAGTATGTCACTACCAAGAGCCTCATTTTGAGACACGAATACTTACGGTCTGTGACACTTGCGCCTCCCAACAGTTTCAAGACAGGCACATCCTGTCCAATTTCTCGTAGGACCCAGGATCGAATCTCAACCGCCACAAGTGAGTCTGCTCCCATTTCCAGCAGCGACATAGACTTATTGACATTATCGGGCGGCAACTGTAGAACTACAGCCAATTCAGCAACAAACATTTTCTGTAGTAATAGCGAAGCATCTTGGACATTGCCAGCTTCACGGAGTCTGGACTTAGGGGATGCTTCTGAGCCGCTGTCCTGCGCTTTTTGTGGCTCCGATTGGAAGTTATGGTGAGAGAAACGTGGGTTAGCGATCCAGCTGGGCCGCTTGCTGCTATCTGAAAGATCAATTTTAGCCAAACCAGTCATGATCTGAGAGCGGTCGCCAGTAATCGGGTGGCCGCCAAGGATGGCTTCGCTGAATATGTCGCGGATGTCGTGTTCGGAAATTGGCATTAAGTTTTGCTTGCCGAGGAAATGTTCATAGGTTGCCTTTCCCTCGCTGCGACGAATGTATCCTATGCCCATGATCATTCCGATGTCGACAACGGAACCAGCCACACCACGCGCTTTGCGCTGAGCGGCAAGACCGACCATGTACTAAAGGAGAACTCTTCTTAGTGCCTATTAATGACTGAGGTTTGGGTCACATACTTGGTTTGCAGCTGCATAATTTGCTTGTCCCGGATTTCCTATCAAATATCGTTATCCATTGGCTCATCATTGTTTCTAGAGACGGTGAACCTACCAACAACAGCGGCAGTGGACGAGGTCATGATGAAGAAATCCAACTGAGTATCCCAAAATTCCTCATCAAGGTTTTTGGAGCCATCGACTTTCGGGCGCAGTACCTTGCGGAAGGTTTCCTCGTCCATGTCTATGAAGGGCTGATCATGCATAATCATGGCTCCATTGACCACTCCAGCAACCGGAGGCAGCGTGCTTCGCAGTTGCTGAACGAGACGAGCAACATCCTGTTTCATCGTCACATCGCAGGGCTCGATGTGCAGGTCAGCCCCCCATAGATCGGAGCTCGGCCTCCCACCGTGTGCCCCTTTGAGGATTTCTGTGATTTTGCGTGTCAGATTATTTCTCCCTCCACATGCCATTAACTATTTCCTAAATGAAGGAATTTCGTGCGAAACTCACCTGCTGGAGACAACGATGTGATGAGCACCATTGTTCACCATCCATCTGCAGAGAAATTGTCCCAATTCACCTGTCAGTCCAACAAGAAGGTATGTTTTGTTGTTGGAAAATAACTTGGTGGAATCTAGTGGTTGAACGATCGTGGATAGCTTCTCGACACTGGTCCAATCGATGATTGTCAGCCGAGATGTATCAGGGGCCGCGTGTAGTAGCTCGCTCGGTCGCACTCTTAAAAGAGTTTGATCTGCGTTGGCGGATCCCTCGACAAGGAAATCCTTCCACAATTCCCCTGGTTGATTGAGACCATGTGAGGAGGCATGGTCGCTGAAAACGACATCGGATGTGAGAACCAGACTATCATGCGACAGGACATTTCTAAGCCTTTTAAGGAGCTTCTGACCAACAGAAATATCTATCAGCATTTTAGTGTCCCCAGGCAGACTTGATCGAAGCATCAACTTCGACGCATGGGGGTGAAGGTACACCCGAGGAATGTGTTTCGGCAGGGAGTTGTCATCGGGTCTTTCGGTGGCAATGACGACGCGCTTCCCGTTCACCTGTGATCTATCCCAAACTGTAGAAGCGAGTAGATTGTCCAGACCATGTAAAACAGTTGAGCCTGATGACGAGGCCAAGTCTACCACTCGTCGAGCCACTAGGTATCGGAAGAGGCCCGCGGTTGAAAGATTTGGAGAAAGCCCCTCGCGAAGGGGCTGCGTCCACGAAGTGGGAATAGTGACGAGAGAGGCATTTTGAGGAAGGAAGGTCAAATACTCAGAGTGAGTCGTCAAATCGCGTCCGAGTCCGACGAAAACAGAAACTCCTTCCGAAACTTGAACTGCGACATGTGAACTTTCACTCAAGTGCAACGATCTGTCCGTGGGCGGAGGGGATAGGAAAGCGTTTCTTTTGAGACCCTGGACAGCAGTAAACCTGGCTGTTTCGCTGCCATGAGTTGCCCTATAAAGGATCACCTGAGTGGAAGACGAGTCAACGTCTCTCTCCAGGAGTCGTTTGGTAGAGTTCAGACGATCATTGAGCTCCCTCACAGGCACAATTCGAGGGAGCCAGAAAAGACCCCGCTGCAAGACTAATTCTTGTTCGGTGTTCCAGAGAAGTGTTTTGTCGTTTCGAATCTTCTTTGTTTGAATGATCACCAAGCGAAGTATGCTTTCTGCGAGATGCAGTTCAAGGTTGTCGGTCTGCTCAACATCGAGGCACTGAAGATGTAGCTGTGGGACCTCCGCCGCAATGGTTCGGAGGAGGCCAAGTGACGCAGCATGGTAGGGATTGTGTTGACGATGTCCCTGCAAGATCCATAGAGCACTAGGTATACGCTCGAACAGTATTTTAAGGTTAGAATAAGACTTCTTGTTGAAGTCCTTAATGAAAGGAAAGTCGAGGTCTTTTAAAGACAATACGGCGGTAGCGTCTGCCAAGGTTTCCTCTTTCAAGTCTTCAAGGGAATCAATGACCAGAACGCCTTGGAACCAAGACTCCAAAATCATCTCCAGTTGACTGATCAGTTGGGACGTCACCAAGGTTTTCCCACCAAGGATCAAAAGCCTTCCAGGGAAAGGTCCGAATACTTTCCGTGACTGAAGCGGCTTGCGTAAAGATTTGACAACCTCATCTGTAGCCTGAGACACAATAAGAGATATCCGGGGATCTGGGCCGTCATTGAGAGCCGCATCAACACCGGAATAGCCCGTTTGGCGAAGTAATCGGTCCCAGGCGACCAGTGACCCCGTTCTCGCTTCAGACCGGTCTGCATCTTCAAGTGACCACCATTGTGGAAGAGCAGACATTATGAACGGGTAGTGGATGCCATTTCCAGTCGGTTCATAGAACAGTGAAAAACCACCAGGTTTCAGCAATCCCCGAAGTTTCAAGAGGGATTCGCGAAGGGGAAGAGACAGAGGTGTTAGGCTGACCGCAATGATAAGGTCGAATGAGCTGCCCTTGAAATCCTGGGATTCAAGGTCATCGTTCAAATTTACATCCTTTTGCGAAATACCAGTAGGTAGATCGCCCTGTGCATGCGCCAAGTAGTGCGGCGATACGGTAGATGTATGGGCGACAGTGTAATTCGAAAACGCATCGCCTAGTTCTTGAAGGATGTAGCTTGTCACCCGTCCTGCATGCGCCCCAATCTCCAGGATTGACATCCGCGGATGCTTATGAGCGATCTGCTTAGCTATTGACCCGAGTTGGCGAAAGGCCAGTGCGAGTGTGGATCCTGTCCGGAGGGACTGGTCAAAGAGGTCTGCGATATGGTCGTCCGCCAGAGCCGCATCGCCGCTCACAATAGCCGGGAGTCTCTCTCCGATCACTTTGCACAATCTCAGATCATCACTATCGGGATGTTGCGTGATAAGATCAGCAATATCATCTTCGGTATCGCTGGTCCATACGACGCTGCCAACAGAATCGTTACCCGAGGCCTGAGAAGAGAGTTTCTGCGCGAATCGCACGAGGTTTTCATATCCGGGCACAACACGTGGCACGGTGCCTTCCCTGGTCAACTCTCGAAGGTAGAAATGAGCAACACGGTCACACGCATCCAAAGATGCTTGGACCCCGGAGATTCCAAGATCGCTGCGACCGGCACTGAGACCGCTCAAAATATCCAGTTCCCAACGGTCTTCGAGGAATAGCTGGCGATCGTCACTCTCGGAGCCAGGCGCAAAGGAGCTAACTGACAAATCTTCAATCAAGACTTGCATCTGTCCAGTCTTCTCATTAAATATATGTAGGTCGCCATGGATTGCAGGCATTTGGAAAGTATTGGCAGTCACAATGTTAGTGACCACGGCGTCGACATTGACACCCGACTGAGAGGAAATATTGGCCTGACACTCAGAGACAGACAGCACAATCCGGCCAATTTTCCGAGGAAGGAACGATGTTCGAAGAGACCCATCGTCTGGTGAAGCATATGCAGCAAATATTGCCTGGAAACACACATCCAGGGTGATAGGGTGTATGAGAAAGTCACCACTGCCCTCTTCCGGGGCGCCGATCCGGATGGTAGAATTGTGAAGTCGACGCTGTGCAGCTTGAATACCGCGGAATGATCCAGTATAGTTAAGACCAATGCTTGTCATTTGGTCGTAGAAGTCGTCAACGTCCATGGGGTAAAGAATCGGACGAATGTTGCCCCTCGCTGGAAGACCAACGTCCTGTGACTGGCCCAGGAAGACAGACAGCTTCCCAGTGAAAATCTTCTTGATCGGCCCAGAACCATCAGCAGGTCCTGAAAAGCAGGCATACTCTGCATGAATGACACTCTTGTCGGTGCTCTCCTTGGGCTCAACTTGGTGCAGATCGAAGACCACCTCGGCTCCAGGCGGACCGTCTGAAAGGGTGATGGCATTCTCGATATCCAGATCAGTGATCTCAATTGCCTGAATCGGTATATCCTTGCTCAGGGATTGTGCCGCACTAACTGCCATCACACAGTAGGCAGCTGCTGGAACAATAATCTGGCCTTGGAAGCGGTGATTGCGAAGCCACGGTACCTCATCCGCTCGAAGAATATTGCGCCAGCGAGGTTCAAATTCGACATCGCCAGGGAGTCTGGTACCAAGAAGTTCATGGAACGGAGGACGACTGCGGTATTGCCTCGACAGGCGCCCCTCTCTCCAATGAATCTGATTGTGCTCCCACTGATAGGAAGGAAGATCCCCCGGCATGGGACAGGACTGTGAGACGTTTCCCCTCATGGCCGTTGCGAAGCCCTTGAAGTCAATAGTACCAGCAGGAAGGTGCGTCCACAAGAATCCCAAGAGACTTCCAAAAGAAACGACATCGTCTTTGCCCCGCTGCAGCGCTCCTTGGTAAGGCCGTGCGCTGCCAAACGCCTCCTTGATAGTTTGCGTCGCAGGTCCTTTGAGCGTGGCGTGGGGTCCAACCTCGATGCAAATATCAAAGGGACCGCGCCTTTCATAAGCAGCCTTTACAACCTCGGAGAACAGAACTGGTTTGATCATGTTGTCTCTCCAGTAGGTACCCGTGAGCTCCTCCTTTCTGGGCCGCCCATTGGCGCTGTATACGCTGGAAAGCCACACGCAACCGGCCTTGGATGACTGTGGATGGACCGGGGTGGTGGTCAAGGCTTCAAGATAGGGTTCGGAGCAAGGCTGCATGTGCGGGCTGTGGTACGCGGTGTCTACCTTCAGTGCCCGAGCAAACTTGCCCTCAGCATCAATCGCATTCTTAGCTGTCAGGAGAACATCAAGGTCTCCAGATAGTGTGACGCTAGATGGCGAGTTACTCGCGGCTACCACAATGTGACCGTTGAATTCCGGACGATTGCAGAAGTTCCGAGCTTCTTCCAAGCTCAAACCAGCAGCCAGCATTCCGCCTTTTTGCCCATCAGGTCCTGTTGCAAGACCGGCGAAATAACCACGGTAATAAGCGATTCGAATAGCCTCATTGGCTGTGATGCACCCGCTTGTATAAGCCGCTGCAATCTCACCGGAAGAGTGGCCTACAACGGTATGAAAAGAAACCCCTGCGGCACGCAAAAGATTCACCGTTGCAACCTGCACCGCTGTGCATAATGGCTGGGATAATGCCGCTTCTTCCAGGCGCGAGGTTTTCGAAGAGGCCATCAGCTCTTTCTTCAAAGACCAAGAAGGTGGGTGCGGTATTTCAGACAGATGTTGTTCTAAGTCTTCAATTGTCTTTCGGAAGACTACCGATTGCAGAATCAAAACGCGGCCCATGGCGGCCCATTGCGCACCCTGGCCGGTGAAAACGCCCAGAATACGAGGTCCAGTCTCGGGGTCCAGGATTTTCAGGCGTGTGCCAGAGTCACGTCCACGTTCAATGGCAGCATCCATCTGTGCGAGTATATCCTTCTGGGAACCCGGCGAGAAGGCAACCCGGACAGGAAAAACGGTACGACGTTCAAGCAATACCCGAGAAAGACCGTCCAAATCCACTAAGTCGTTTGTCTTCAGGTACTCTGAATATGCATGAATCGTACTCAGGAGAGATTGTTCGGTCTGAGCAGACAGGACTAGTGGTAAGATCGGATATGGATTCTCGCTGCTAACCGTATTCGTGATCACTTCTTTCTCAAGCATTTTGTCAGGTACGGCTTGGGCATGAATAGTCGGGTCATAATGCTCAAGGATAACATGGCTGTTGGTGCCGCCAAAGCCGAAGGAATTGATGCTTGCTCGTCGGGGTATACCAGACGCTGTCACAGGCCATTTACGCGGCGCTGTTGGTATTTCCAAGTGTGAATACCAAGGTTTTATGTCTGGATTCAGTGACTTGAAATGCTGGTTGGGAGGAACAATGCCATTTTGCATGGCCAGCATAGCTTTCAGCACTCCCGCCACTCCAGCGGCCCCCTCCGTGTGGCCTATCACGGTCTTGATAGACCCAACCAATAGCTTGCCTTGGTCCACACTCTGCTCGTTGAAAAATGCTCGGCTGATGGCTGATGCTTCCAGGGGGTCCCCTGCAGGGGTGCCTGTGCCGTGGGCTTCGAAGTACTGGCATCTCTGCTCTGGTTGGAGGGGATCCAGCCCAGCTTTTGCGTACGTGGCGCGAATCAAGCTCAGCTGAGCCTCATTACTCGGCATAGTGATGCCTCGAGTACGGCCATCCGAATTCACGCCGGTTTCCCGGATGATCCCTTCGATAGGATCCCCATCGGCCAACGCACTGGATAAGGTCTTTAGAAACACAGCCGCAATACCTTCTCCCCGAGCGTATCCATCGGCGTTGGCATCCCACATCTGGGACCATCCAGACGGAGAAAGCATGTGCAGATTTGACTCTGCCTGGTAGTTCTCAGGGCTGAGAAGCAGGTTGGCACCAGCGGCACAGGCCGTTTTACTCTCGCCAGACCGGAGGCTTTGAACAGCCTGATGAATCGCCACCAAGCTAGACGAGCATGCCGTGTCGATCGTCATGGATGGCCCGTTCCAGTCAAAGAAGTAAGAGACGCGGTTCGAGATGATTGCCCGAGAGGCACCGGTGGCAATATATTGTGGGAGATAATCAGGATCGCGGACTTGAATATCATGGAAGTCATTGCACATCAGCCCCACGTAGACAGACGTCTGGCTCCCTTCCATTCCTTTCAGAGTCAAACCAGCAGACTCCATGGCCTCAAATACAGTTTCTAGTAGAAGCCTTTGCTGGGGGTCGATTGCCTCCGCTTCTTTTGGAGTGGTGTTGAAGAAGGTTGCATCGAACAGTCGGTGGTCTTCTTCCAGGAAGTAAGACTTAGTGACATTGGTTGTCGTATGGTGCTCCGGATTGGGATGATAGAAGCCATCCCCATTGAAGCGAGTTGTAGGGGGCTTTCGAGAGAGATCACGAGGGTGGTGCAACAGATCCCATAGCTTGGATGGAGAGTTGGCACCGCCGGGAAATCGACAGGCGGCGCCAATGATGGCGATGGGCTCATTCCCTCCACTCATATCGGTCTATGTTTTGGTCTATAACTCTGAAATTGCCAGCGAGAAAGTTTTGAATAGAGAGCACAATGAGTGTTCTGATCATATTCTGATATCTGACAGCTACCTTAGCTTGTATATCGTCAAATAGGTCAATCTCATGCAGTAACTCGGTCAAATTGATACCGGCCCCCACGGCACATCGCCGAAGCAGAGGCTGCCAACGAGCTAAGGTTAGTAGTCAGAATCCGGAGACCTTCTGGTGGCAAAAAGCATAGTCCCCTTTGCTGAAAGAGCAGCAAGAGGGGAAGCCGATACCCTACCCGGGATTAAATCCTGAGACCGCCGATTCCGGCGAATCCCTTCACACGAGCTTCCACTGTTGGCCGGCTGTCAGCGAAGCTAAAAAACCACCGAAGCACTGATCATCAAAATGAGAAAGGTGGCCGACTCGGGGTCATTACTCCGGTTATCACCACGGCATATTGATTGAGTGTCGGACATGAGAAAGTCAGGTCTGAGAGCAGCAGGTAAGGCAATTGCCATTATATAGAAAGAAGGACTCATGGGCATCCCTTTGGCAACGCACCTATGAGAAAGAAAAATGCCATCTCAGCACGCCATTGTCGCAGAAGCCCCTAGCCGGGTCCGACTTGTGTCAAATGTCGAAATACCTCAGCCAGGAGAAGACGAAGTTCTAGTCAAAATTCATTCTATTGCTTTGAACCCCGTAGACTGGAAGACTTTGGCCTACTCCAGTACCCCGGGGGCTATCAGCGGATGCGACTTTTCAGGAGTCGTGGCAGGTCCTGTTGGTGCCAAATGCAAACGGGCGCTGAGAGAAGGAGAGCGAGTCTGTGGATGGGTGATGGGTGCGAATCCTCTCCGTCCATCCAATGGATCCTTTGCGGAATATGTCGCCGCAAAGGCTGATTTACTCTATCGAATTCCGGAAAATGTCACCTTCGAGAACGCGGCTACTATTGGGATCGGGGCGACAACTGGCGGACTGGCCTTGTTCAAAACCCTCGGTCTTTCCTTTGCCGAACGCAAGGTGACCCCGTCCTCACCATCGGTGCTTGTGTATGGCGGAGCAACTTCGTCGGGTATCATCGCCATCCAACTTCTGCGGGTAGCTGGATATCGGGTCATCGCCGTGTGTTCGTCCAGGAACTTCGGCTTTGTCAAAGATCTTGGCGCAGAAGTGGCATTCGATTACCACTCGGACACATGCGGCAAGGACATCCGTGCCTATACACAAGACGATCTTGGTTATGCGCTAGACTGCATTTCCAGTACGAGCAGCATGGGGATCTGCTACGACGCCTTGCGCAGTCAGCCGGGTGCGCAGTACGTGTCGCTCGACCCGTTCCCGGACCGTGTGCAGCGCTTGCGACCGGAGGTCGCCGCCGAATGGATTCTCGCCTTCACGGTGACCGGGGAAGAGGTGGGGCTTGGCGGGGCCTTTCATCGGGACCCAACGCCTGAGGACTATGAATTCGGTGTTTCCTGGTGTCCGAAGATTGATCGGATGCTAGAAGAGGGGAAACTTCATCCGCAGCAGCCCACGGTTGTGGAAGGGGGTTTGGCTGGAGTGGCCGATGGCCTCGAGAGGCTGAAGAAGGGCGAAGTGCATGCATCAAAATTAGTGTATGTGCTCTAGAATAGTTGGAGGCGAAGGATTGTTGCAGTAGTAACAAAGTGGAGTTAAGTCTCGGAGATATAAATTGACTTCAAGCTGGGATTAGGTATACGCATTTTGGAACTAGTAGAATCAAGTTGTGTTTAAATGCATCTTATTTGATTTCATGGCTAGATCTACCCAATCAAATCACTTGAACCCCAAATGCATCGATGTCAGTCCTTCGAAGTGATTTCCTTCCATTGCATCAATTGAATCCGAATCCCCTCTCCTCTCACGCTATTCCATTGCGCATCCTTATTCATCCTTGTTTCGTACGGCAACTATTACGGCTTAGGGTTGCCGCGATTGAGTTATTCACCTAGTTGACTAGACTCGGGGGCCTCGGTGCGGATTCAGGTGGTCGCAACGGGCCTGAGCCATTGGCCCGTTAATCCTGGGTCGCCGAAGGATCCTCTTCGACCGAAAAAGGTATGCACTTCTTTTGAAAAAACGGAATCGTTTAACCGATGATGATGACGCGATCAGTACATTTTTTTTTTTTTCCGAGCTCGATTTAATGGATTGAGCCGTGATATGCACATCCCTCGGTTTCGCATACGCAATGCAGTTTCCAATTGGTAGATTCTGAGCATTTGTGCCTCATTGGACAAGGACATGAATGCCCTTGACTGGCGAGTACTTATGAAACTATTCACAAAACTTAATCCACTTCACTTCTGATGATAATGCTTGAATTCAATTCATCCCCATTAGGGCAAATCTCCGCCCACAGTGTGTCAGATTGCAACTTCACCGTGCTAGCGCGCCATCTTACGGGAAACGCACGGCCGAAAGGACAGCGCAAAAGTACATGATCCAACCGGGCCCGTCAACAGTCATCATGCGGATGAAATTCATAGCAAGCCATTCATGTGTTGCCTGGGTGTTTTTCGCCCCCGGATCCTCCTTCTCGCAGATTCGTGCAATGATCTTCATGGCCCCGGGTCCGTAGAGAAAATGCCCCGCGGAAAAGACCATTCCAGCCCAGTAAAAGTACTTGGTGGTGGGCTCTAGGGTGGCTCCGTATTTCCACGTATTCAGTAGCGCAGTTCCAAATGCCAACGGATACGAGCTGCCCACGACGGTGATGGTGCGGTTGAAGAAGCCCGGGAACCAATGGGGAAGAACAGGTCCGCCGGCTTTGGCGAGAGCAGGCTGAGCGAAGGGTCGAATGGCGGTTGTTTGGTCAATCCCACACATCACGGACGCAGTTGAAATGACCAGAGGGGCCAATCTTAGAAGATTGAGGCCCAGATTTGGATCTGTAGTTGCCATGGCACTGGTGATTTTCGGTGGTTTAGAGTCAGTTGGCTGTCACTGTTTTGCGTCCAGACTGCAGAGGCCGGTCGATGTAGTTATACAGTCTCGATATCCTCTGTCTCTCCTTCAATCATATGATGATATAGGATAACATACGATCATCGATCTCGGCGACTGTATGATTCCCGACCCGAATACTTCGGCGAGGTTGGATGCCGAACCGCCCGTAAGTGGAAGACCCCGAGTCTGACTATATCGAACAGTCAGCACAAAAAAACATCAACAAAAACCTCAACTCAGTCCGCTCCACTAAAGATCGATATGTAATACACACCATCACGGCAGAGTATTAGAATCACGCTTGATTTGAATCCCAAAATGTACCAGTTCTTCAAAGACGGCTTCTTCAACTTCGAACTTGTCCGACTACTGGGATCTGCAACTTTTGGCGGATGCGAGATCGGCGAGGCCCTCGACATTATCCCTCTCATCAAAGAAAAAGATCCTAACAGCTGGTACAATGCATGGGCGAAAGCCGGAACCCGAGCGGAGACACTTGCCAAAGAGGCCGAGCTACAAGGAAATAAAGCTGCCCGCTGTAATGCGCTGCTTCGATCTGCGAATTACTTTCGCGCGGCCCAGTTCATGTTGAATACTCGACCAGACGACCGCATTCTCGAGTCGGCGGAGCGCTCGGTCCATAACTTCAAACAAGCGATTCGTCTCCTGGACGGGCCTGCCTATGAAGTCAACATCCCATACGAGGGCATTCGCCTGCCAGGCTATCTCTACTTGCCCTCGGTTGCCAAGCGCTTACCAGGCGGCAAGACCCCGATCTTGATCAGCACGGGAGGCCTGGACTCCACCGTCGAGGAGCTGTATTTCATTGGAGGTGCCTCGGGCCCCAGTTTGGGATACGCCGTGCTGACCTTCGAAGGTCCCGGCCAAGGCATTGTGCTCCGCCGCGAGGCCGCCTCATACATGCGGCCGGACTGGGAGGTTGTCACCGGAGCTGCGATAGACTTTCTCTACGAATTTGCAACGCAACATCCCGATCTCGAGCTGGATTTGACTCGTATTGCGCTTCATGGTGCCACATTGGGTGGCTATTACGCTCTGCGAGGCGCGGCCGATTCCCGTATCTCTGCTTGCGTCGCCGTCGACCCCTTCTACTCCATGTGGGAGGTTGCCATCACTCGCATGCCCGCGCCTTTTATCAAGGCTTGGACATCAGGGTGGTTGGGCGATGGCATCTTCAACCTGACGTTGCACATTCTGTCCCGGGTCAATTTTCAGATCAAATGGGAAATGGACCAGGTACAGTGGGCCATGGGCATGAAGAGTCCGGCGGAAGCCATGCGACGCATGCAGGACTTTACACTCCAAACTGCAAATGGTGGCGAGTACCTTGATCAGGTCAAATGCCCCGTCATGGTTACGGGTGCTGCGGCATCGATCTACGCCACGGAGGACCCCAGTGCGAACAAGGTATTTAGCCGGTTACAACATCTTCCAGTGGATCGTAAGCGTCTGTGGGTTGGCAAGGAAGTGTCTGATGGAGGGCTTCAGGCAAAGGTTGGCGTGTTCGGCTTGGCGCAGTATCGGACTTTTGCATTTCTGGATGAGCAGTTTGGAATCCATCGAAGTATATAGCGGTCCGGGGATATGACGGAGATACAAAGGTGGCTCGGACAACTTGCCACAGAGCAGGGCCATGCAATGCCAAGATTCACAGTAGTTAGATTATGATTATCGGGGAATGGATTCGATTATGAACACAGGCCAGATCGTCCAAACAATCCACAAATGCACCCACAAGCACCACACAAGCATCAAATTTATCTTCTCTTTCCTCTATTAGATCCAATTAACTCTCTCGCCTTCGGTATCCTAGGTAGAATGTTCCCATGTGTCAATTTTTATGGTTCGGCAACCCCTCCATCCCCCTTCTCCTTCTCCTTTTCCTTTTTCGGATCTTTGAGTCCATATTCGGTCTCCAACTCAGTACGCAGTTTGATCTGCTTTTCAAACCAGGTCATAATGAATCCCAAAGCAGCAAAGGCCAGTGACACTTGCCAAACCAGCTTCAGCGTGTCAGAATACACGCCGATAACTTCCTCTCGTACCTGGGGAGTCAGGGACTTAATGAAAGTTGCTGACACGTGAGAGTAAGCCTCCCCGCCGGAAAGCTTCGCCGCCACGGCAGGATCGGAGATGCGGCCGGACAAGTGTCCAAATTGCGTGTTGAATACAGCAGCGGGGATAGAAATCCCCCAAATCGCGCCGTAACTACGAATGAATGCCCAGGTAGCGGTGGCCAAACCCACATCCTTCTCTTCTAAGTCCACCTGCACCGCGGCCAAGGTCGTCGTGAGCAGCAGGCCCAGACCGATGGCCGTGATGATCTGGTAAATGATCCATTCTGCCGCACTCGAGTTGGCATCGAAGAGTGTGAAGAGGCCCAGTCCGAGCAAAGCGAGTCCCATGCCAATGGCATGGATAGGTTGGTAGCGGCCCCATTTGGTGAGGACGATGCCTGCGACCATCGCAGTTGGCACCGCGAGGATGACACTAGGCAGGAACTGCACGCCAGCGCGAGCCGAGCTGGACAGCTTGACCGACTGGAAATACACTGGGATGAAGTAGACTACCCAGAAGGTGAGCATGTTGTGGAGGAAGGATACTATCAGAGCGGCGAAGGAGGTCCGGTTGCCGAAGATATGCGGCGGCATCATGGGCTCTGCACACCACGGACTGGCCTCGTAGAGGTGGAACACGATCATGCCAACGAACCCGAGCACGAGACAGATGATGATCCGCCAGTTGGACCAGGCATATGTGGTCCCACCCCAGGTGAGAGCCAGCAGGATGGAGACGATGGAGGTCATGAGCAACGCGTTGCCGACATAGTCGATCCGTTTCAGCTTTTGCTGCCAGGGCTCCCTCTGGTAGTTGACATGCAGGAAGAAGAACAGACAGACGAGAGCGGTTCCGCCAATGGGCAGATTGAGGTAGAACTATGAGGCGACGTACGATGAGCCGGTTGCTCCCCCCAAAGCGGGGCCCAAAATGGGAGAAGGGAGGACTCGAAACTTACCACCCATCGCCAGGAGCTCTGTTGTACCAGCGCACCACCAATGAACGGCCCGAGGGAGGTGCCAATGGAGAAGATGGCGAAGATCATCCCCATGAAGTTCCCTCGCTCCCGCAACGGCAGCAAGTCGCTGACAATCATATCGATCATCACGTTGATCCCACCGCCCCCAATCCCTTGGATGGTGCGCCCGGCAATCATCATGGCGGCGTTGATGGCACCGCCGCTGATGCCGCTGCCGAGAACGAAGAACGCGACGGCGCCGATCATCAGCCATCGGCGTCCGAAGAGATTCGCCGTCTGTCCAAAAAGGGGCTGGAAGCAAGCGCTTGGAAACCCGTGAGCCCGAGTCACTCAAAACCCACTGAGGCGAGGGCTGTGGTTGGGGGGGAGGAAGGGAGAGTTGACTTACCTGGTGAGGAAGAAGGAGTTGACAAACCACACATAGTTCTCGCCCGCGTGCAGTTCATCAGTGATAGCCGGCAACGCGGTTGACGTGACGGTCGACTCGACCGCCGCGAGAAGAATTGATACACACAGCGAGACATAGATGGCCCAGAAGCGCCATCCCTTCCCCTGCTTCTTCTTGTCGACGGGCGGTGCCGCGTTGTCCGAGGTGTCCGACATGATCCCCGGTCAGTGCAAAATCCAGCAGCGAAATCGAGCAAGCAGGAGCGGCCGCTTCGCGCACATAAAAGAAGCCATGGCCGAAAAGACCGAGACGTGATTGCTAAGAAGCCCCAGGCGCGTTTGTCAACCTCGCCGACGCCGACTTCGATGTTCGGCGATGTTGCCTATAGATGTCTTCGGACGGGCGACGCGAGCCCCGATTGGCGCAAGGTGGCCGAATGTCCCCTGGCGGCCCCGAACTCGTGCTATGGCCACGGCGAGGAGTTGGATGTGCACGCACTCGCCCCGGCTTTGTCAGGCGCTGTTCTCCGAGCCTCCCGCGCCTCCCTGAGTATGTTAGTAGTCAAGCTCTACGCTAGGTCGAGTTCGTCGAGTTTGCATCTGCACTCAACCTTTGCCCTAATTCCCCCACCGCAATGCCGATCTGCGGGCCGAAGCCCGTAGTGGGTCGTCAGCACTAATGTACGTCGAAACCCATCGATGTCGTGGATCGCGTTGGAGGATTCTCCCGCTTCGCCAGAATGCGTCTCTGATCTCTGGCCCCCCTCTGCATGCTTGACTCGATCAGGTCGTCCGATGCCGCGTCTCACACTTATCTCTCAATCGTGTCTGCAGAGACCCTGGCTAGTCCGCCCCTACCGCACCGCTCAACACGAGCAGCATCGCGCTATTCGTGGACAGCCCCAGCCTTAGCTCATCCGGATCCGCTTGCTCGTATGGAGGAGATGGCGAATGTAGCGAATATGGCGAATCCGGAGAAAGTGGGAGAATATTGAGAATATTTGTCTTCATCTTGATCGGATTCAGAAAACGAACGTCGCCAAATCCATTATTTTTGGCCCCAATATGGTACCTTGCGAGGGACTCCGTATGATTGGACACGCCGGACGGGCGGCGCATACAAAGGCGCAGCGACTTCTGCCGTTCCTCGTCGGCCACAACCTCGACGTACAAATAACAGAGCGCTCGGCGCAGGCCAGAAATGCACCTTCCCAGGGCCATTCTCGGCGCATTCTCCTAGTGGTATTCGCAAATCGTCCCAGGCACGCCGTCGGAACCTCGCTGAACCGGCGGACCGGCCTGTGGATGTCACCTGTCACGCCCCCGAGAGCCTTCACCGATCCCCCCGTTTCCTCCCCGAAGACCATCGCCCTCAAATCGAACCCCCTCCATGTACGAACCGCCCTCCCGGCAAGCGTGCGATCGCTGCCACGATCTCAAATTACGATGCCACCGGACCGATGCAGGGAACTGCAGCCGTTGTCTGCGAGCAGGCGCAAGCTGTGTGTTTAGTCCCTCGAATCGCGGTCGACGACCCGCCCCTCCACATCGCCGATCCAGCTCCCAAGCATCAAAATGGACGAGCGACGGGTCGTCGAATGTAAAATTGGCATCGCACGTGCAACCGCACCTGAGACCCCAGTTGGGTAGAGTTGAACCGCAGCACCAGCTGAGTCCTCCAGATGCCCCTCGGACATCGGGCACCTCAGGCACATCTAGGACGTGCGGACTGGAGAGCACTCACCACTCCTACCGGGATCAACTGGAAACGGTCTCCCCAGACGACGCGGCAGACGACCGCCATGCGCAGCCTCGCCTCCGAAAAGCGAAGCATCCACCGGCCGGGAGTGCCCCGGCAGCGGCGCCGTCGCTACCGGACCTCTGTATAGGCGTAGATCCGACCGTCACGATACCGGACAGCTTTCCCCGGTCGCTGAGTTTTTCCAATCGACCCATGGAATCGAACGTCTTCACGTGCTTCACCCGTTCTGGGGAGGCAACTCTCAGTCCTATCTCCGATCCGTACCTTCCTTTCCTAGAGCCCTTCGCGGGCCTGGGGGTGCCGGAGACCCTCCCCCCAGAAAACGGGACGGGGCCAACTCCAACGGTGGACCTGCGACAGCCTGAAGTTCCGAATCGTGGTCGCAAGGTCAGTCCACAGACGCATTTTCTACAACAGTTTATGGAGGACCTCTTGGAGCTTGATACAGATTTGATCCGGCACACCTTGGAGGATCCGGTGGTCTTCGATACAACCGCGATGCACACAACCTCCTTCGCAAATCGTAGCCATACTCCCCCCGCAGACTGCGCGATTGACACGACGTTCGTGCTCACCCAACGACTGATTCACCTGTTTCGTCGCGGGGGCAACTGGATGGCCCAAACCAGTGCGGCCCAAAGCTCGCAATGGCAATCGCCGCGTGCCGCATCATCATCAGCATCCTCATTCTCCTCACGGTTCCAGCACTTCATGAACAGGGCAACGCCTCAGAGCACCCCCGCTGTTTCAGAGACCGGCTGTCAGCAGCCGGAGACAGGCCTTGACCAAGCGTCACTCCTACACGCTCTGTCGACTTACCTGCGCCTCATCGAAACGTACCATACCACAATCTCACAGACAGCCGAAAAATTCGGCACGGCTCTGGCCGAGGGATCCCCGATCCCGCTGCCCTCGTTGCAGATCGGCGCCTTCGCCATGGACGATCCAGCAGGCCACATTGTGTTGGTGATCCAGTCGGCGTTACAACTGCTCGATCGCCTGGGGGACCTCGTCAACAAACTCACGGCCCCCTTTCTTACCGAGGACATAGGTGAGATCGACGTCAGTCGGCCCACGAGTCCTCCCGGCAGCCATAATGCAGTCAAGATGGTCATGGTGGCCGTTCGCGAACGCGAAAGTCAATTCATGCAGGTGGCAGCACGGCTACAGAGTATCTGTCGCGACGCACAATGATCGCGAGGCTAGCCTCTGCGACGGTGAATGCTAAAAGGAATGTAACCCAAGAAAGCTGAGAATGGCCGGTGCAGTCATCATAATTCCTTCTCGTGTTCCAGTCCGCTAGAGTAAACGCGGTGCATGAGTGGGGCATGTCATGTCTATATGAAGAAAAAAACATGACGAGCAAAAGCAATTGTAGGCCTTTGTATTCTGCCGGCGCTACTTTCCATCTTGTGAATCGGCCATCAATCAGGCCACCGAATCGGCGAACTGCGCGCCGTAACTTGGGTATTAGCCGAACACGATACACGGTCCTCTGCCAAGACTGAGAATCGGCGTTTCTGGGTCGATGCACATTGATCATCGTAATTACCCTGTAGCCATGCCACATGCGAGAAGTGATAAATAGGACCAAGGGTATACAGCTGGCTCTGAATGACGCCCAAAGCCTTGCCAATCATTTCCAATCATCATACTTCATTTGATCCCCTATCAACCATTCCAACCATCATGGCCCCGCAACGCTTGCTCAAGCTAACACTCGCCCACTACCGAAACCCCGACTGCTCCGAGGAAGAATGTCACCGCTTCCTCACAGAGGAGTACATTCCCAAAGCAGTGGAGATACACCAACGCCATAGCCTAGAAATATACAGCTATGTAAGCTTTTCCCTGTCTCTCCTAGCAAGCTCCCGCATCCTAGGCACGCTCTTTTCAGCACCAAAAAGCAAACAGTAGTGGAAAACTCACACAATACACCGGCACTAGCACTTCACCCCGAGTCCGCTACAGAACATACTCCGCAGCGCTTGCGACCGTCTCCAGAACGGCTGGACGGTTGACGACCACGACCTTACGGTAGATTTCTACTTCCGAGATATCGCGGGCTTGGTGACGGTATCGACGGACCCAGAGTTCATTGCTCTCCAGTCCATTGAAGGGCCCTTTATCAGTAAGAAGGGCATTGTGGCCCGTTTGGGATGGGTGGAAACATATATTGCCGATGAGAAGCCTGTAAATTTGATCGAGGGGAAATCGCAGTATGAGAGCTACGAAGAGGCATCTGCTATTCAACTTGGGCTTTGAGCATTGATGAACTTTGATTGGTATTGTTTATTCTATCATTTCAGATATTTGATCGATAATGAAGAGGGGAACGCTCGATGGCAGCACACTCTGAGGCATGCGGGTCGATTCAGCAGAAAAAACCACCATAAACACACGTGTAGCGGTCAGGAAATAGCAAGAATCCCAAGTGTAGGGGTCAGATCGGGGAGGTGTAAGAAGGTTTATTTCAGAACTATCTATCCGGCCGCCGTATACTGCCGGCTTTGTCGATAATCTGCATGACAGCCACGTAGTTGGGGAGGAGGTCTCCCCACTACAGTAGTTACTTCACCTACCGGATGGAGACACGCACGGGCGAAATTGAGCGATAGGATGGCTTACCCCAGCACATTAAAACAACAGCAGATTCATTTTCTGGAAAAGTGTATTTCAGCTTTTCTTTCAAATCTTTTATTCGGCACTTGTGTTCATTCGTTCGGATGTCAAAAGAGGAGGTTGTTGTTGTATCAGGGCTTTCTTTGTCGTTCTTGTCATTTTCCTGATTCAATTCACCGCGTTTGTGTTACGGGCCGTTCGAAAGAAACAGATTCATTCGGTGCCTACACGACGAGAATCTCGAAGATGAAGAAGGAAGGAGAAAGAAAGAAAGTCGGCCAGAAAAAGAGGGGTTAAGTCCCCAGCAAACGCGTTGTGCAAACGACCCAATATTATGCCTCAGGCATCCTTCCACGAGACGAGGCTATTCCCAGGTTCATCCGTCACATATAGCCCACCGCTCACAAGCAAATCGTTATCTCCCTCCCACGCACCTCCCCCACCACAACAGATCGCCTGCCCACCACACAGATGGTCACCACCACTCTCAGATCGCCACAATGAGCACTCCGATACCCCCCACCCCGTGATTTCGAAATCCTGCCCGCCCAACCCACCGATCTCTCCGCTCTCGCCCGCGTCGAAGCCATCGCCTTCGAGAACCCCAACAGCGGTCCGAAACTCGTTCGGATTTTGTTCGGGACCGACGGCGAAGAAGCCTTCCAACAACGGTCCCGGGACTTTGTGGACATGCACAAAAGTCCCATCAACAAGTTCTACAAGGTCGTGACCAAGGCCGAGGACGGCACCGACAAGGTAATCGGCATGGCCGTCTGGAGATTCACCCCCAGCCTGTCAACGAGCGGGCCCTGTGTGCCCAAGCGGGCTTAGCCCCCCAGGTGAGTGATGACCCGGCCGACAGGCTCGCCGACATGGTTGATGAGTGCGAATCGCGGTACATGAGTGGGAAGGTGCATGCCTGTAAGTTGATATGATATCCCTTTTCCCCCTCTGAGGATGATGCTAATCGATAATAGGTTTGAAGGGAATCGCCACCTTGCCCGAATACCGTGGCCGCGGTGTTGCATCGGCGTTGCTCCTGCGGGGCATCCTGGATGCCAGAGCCAGGGGCTTCAAGACCTTCTGGCTGGAGAGCACCCCAGACGCCGTCAGTCTCTACCGGCGGTTCGGATTCTGTGATGTCGAAGTCCTGAAGATGGACGTTACAGTGGACGGTAAGGAGCAAACCATCGAGTTCATCGCCATGAAGCGAACAAACTGACTGAAAAGCAGGGACGATGAGCTACCCGAGAAAGGTAGGGTTGGAAGGTAAGTGATCACGGAATGAAATATTTTCCTTTTACATTTAACCGTCTCACAGAGTCTTTGCAGAGATCAAAAGGAAGTAAGGCCGATGCCTCTCCTGAGCCCATTCAGGGTGCTCGGAAACAGACTCCGTCGATGGAACCCAGTCCTTCAGGCCCGTCAGAACGAACCCATTCTCCAACAGCAAGGAAACGTAAGTTTCAACGGTCCGATGATACTTCTTCACACCTTTCACCCCAAGCCAGCTGGTATACCTCCATCCCTCTTCACTATACGAATTCAACGGCCACACCTTGTGCTCAGCGTCTCCTTCTTGCAATGTCTTCCAGTCTGGCCCGGGAATTATAGGCGCAGAGCAAATCGGATGCTCGACCGAGAACACCAGATTCCCTCCTTGTTTCAGAGCAGCTCTGATTTCGCCAAGGAGCCTCGAGAGATCCTCGATGTAGTGGAATGTCAGGGAGCTGTAGACGAGATCATAGGTACCGCGGTCGTCGCCGTGACCGAAGGTAAGTTCCTCCAGATTTGCCCTTTCGAACATGATATCGCATTGGTTGTTGTCACGGATGCGCTCGAATTCCTTAGCGCGCTCGATCATTTTCGTGGAGATGTCGGTCGCTCGGATTTTGGAGGCTCCTCTCGACCGCGCCCACCGGGAGAACCAACCATACCCGCAACCGAGATCGAGGACAGATTGACCAGTAAGTCTTTTGTCGTCCTTGGCTTCATGCCCTGGTTGTTGGGTAAGTACCTTGGTGATCATTGCTTCGAGAACTGGCCATTCTGGAGCTGACTCTAGGCCGCCTTGTGAGCGCGGGAGGGTGCTGTAGGCGCTGAAAAAGCCGGGGTCGTCGTAGATGTTCTGTGCTTGGGAGGCCATTTTAACTTATATTAGGCGTAGTTGTTGGAATTGATGTGTAGATCGAAACGGCGAGGAGAGGATGGAGTTGAAGAGAATTGCAAGCCGTAGAGGAAGCAGTGCGGATGTTGCCGACGGGTGATTTCCGCATCCGGTGCCCGCCGTAAAAATATAGTAATAGTGTAGGATCAAAACAAGATGAAGCCTCGGTAACAATCAATTGAAACATACTCAGCCATTCCAAATTAATTCTGATAGATAGTTATATGAAATATTGACCACCTGGCAAACTACTAACAGGAAAAAATTCATGCTTGCTCATGACCATTCTCGCCCTCCCCATCTTCAACATATGCTTTCCGATCACCATTTTCCGGTTTGGGGTTAGCCGTAGACCCCGTCTCAGTCGCAACACCATCATGCTCATCATCCGCTTGCTCAGTGATATCCGTCGCCGTGCGGTTCGATTCAGGATTATCCTCTTTCTGGATCGACTTGCCCTTATGTCGAACCGGCAAAGAGGTCTCCACTTCGCTCTTCATTTCGGCCCCCGATTCCTCCGGCGCCTGTGAAGTTCTCGAGCCCCGAGCCATTCGCGCACGTGCATTCGCCCGACGAATCAGTCTGTTATGATAATCTTCCTGCTCGAGATCGGTGTCTTCATGGAGAATGCGACGGGCAGCTTCACGGCCGATCACGGGGAGACGATCGATTCCATGGGGATTGTCGGGTGCAAGTCTTGGGTCAAGAAGGCCGACTTGAACGAGTACGCTGGCCTGGTCCCAGTAGACGTGCTCTGAGTATAGACGACCGCCTCTGAGACTGACGATGCTGACTAGGACTATCTCGACACGTTTGTTGGTGGCTGGTACGCCCGGGAGCATCCATGGGATTTCGTCTGTGTGTTGGAAGCTGACGTAGAGCTCGTCGACGATGCGGTCGGATCCAGATGTTCGCGACAGTAGGCGGATTCGCATGGATTGGGGGAGACGGCCGAGGAAGTAGTGTTCGTAGAATCGACGGAGAGCCTGATTTCCGATCCCGCCGGTAAGGGTCGGGGTGTACGTGACTCCGGGCGTCTTTTGCTGGACATAACCATCCAGCGTCTTGTTGAGATTTGATCTGAAGAATTTCGCTGGTTTCGGTTAGCTTGGGTTCTTTATTTCAAGGGTTCAATTGCCTACCCTCTTGGTGATCCTCCCATAGTCTCTCGAGGTCTGGGTCACGACAGAAGCCCTTTCGCAAGGTCTGTACAGTCCGCGTCCAGGCGAGATCTGCCGCTAGATTGTTGTACTCCTCCATATCATGCTCTGCGAAACCGGGTTGGGCATAATCGTAGGTAAATGCCGGATAGGCTAGTTGTATGCGTTCGCCAGTTCCTAGCCCGGGCTGAAGCTCTCTAGTCTTGCGACGTCTCTTCCCTTGCAGCCCAAGTGCTTGAGGCTGCGTCATCACATCAATCGTGTTGCCTGGTAAATGCGCAAGCACTGGGAGGGAGAGAGGGAAGCTTTGTCTGGTGTCAGGAATCACAGTAGGGTAGTATGCGACCAGAGCGCAGAGTCTGTTGGCGTTCATTGGCTTCATGTAATAGTCGAGGCAGTAGCTTGCTGCTTCGCCGAAGGCTATTTAACAGTGATCAGCAAAGCCCTGTCCGTGGTAGCGAGTAAGCCATACCAATGACTGCGTAATTCTCTCCGACACCGAGTCCTTCTTTTACGCTTTTCAAGCGACTCTCGTAGTCCTTGCCCCCGTTGTTCAGAGGGTGGTACACAACATCGAAGCCCTCATCCTGCCATTCTTGGATGGTTTGCTGATCAAATTCGTTTGTTTCGGAGGTAATGCACACGCGCGCATTGTTATTTCCGTTATTATAGAGAAGGCCCTGGCTGAGCCCTGGTGCACTAATCGAGATGGTTGCCATGCTGTGCTAACTGCGATTTTCCGAACCTGGTGTTTGTTTCTGTCCGATGCGGCGATGTCACGATGGCCCCGCAGCTTCGGAATATCCCGACCGACGAATATTCAAACAACCTTGGGAAAAATATGAAGGCTGAGAATAGAATCGAGAGAAATGAAGTCGAGCGACAAGCATCGCCTCTCAAGGTCGCTGCTGAGCTCGTCGCATGACAGCTAATGGGCATACGTCATCGGCGCACCGCGGGCTGGTTCGACGTCATTGGTGTCGCCTTCCAGGGTAAATGACCGGCCAAAATAGATTAATTCGGCCATTCTCAGCACTCATTCGACGGGAAAAGGGCCATCCCCCACAAACACGCCCATGGGAGCACGGTCGGAAGTACATAGTCGGGGAATAACAAGTATAGACACCTGGACCGGTCGGTTCAAGTATGTAGCGACGTAGATCGGCCGTTAGTCTTCGAATCGGTAGCCTTGACACTTGCTAGTGCATTTCTGGGGATGGTCGGCAGTCATCCGCATGGCAGGTATCCAAATTTAGCGACTGTGGATCTGGGTAGAAAGCACGTTAAGACCGTTGTCATCGCAAACGTGGATAGTCGTACATCGAGTGTTTCCCGGCGGTGCGTGCATAGCATTTTTCGAGGAGAGGAATCATAGACCACAAAAGACGTCAGATATGGCCGTCCCACTTTTCATGTCTTCCGGAGACAGCGGGGGGCTGAATGGCCGTATGAGAGACAAATTGCGAGGAGACGGCGGATGCGGCTTCAAGGAGTGGAAGCCGGAATCTTCAGGCCGAAATCTGTGCCTGCCTCAGGCATAAAGGTGTCAATCGGTCAGCGCTCGTAGTTAGTTACGAACTAACTAGTGAAGAGGGGAACGCTCAATGGCAGCACGCTCTGAGGGTCGATTCAGCAGAAAAACCACCACGAAACACACACGTATCTATCAGGACATAGCGAGAGGCCCGAATGTACGGGTCAGGTCGGGGAGGTGTAAGGTGTACACATTCTAGAATTATCTATCCGGCTACCATATACTGCCGGCTATGTCACATAGCTTGGATGGCACCCATGTAGTAGGGGAGTTATCCGGCAACACCCCTTTTGCGTTTCCTCCTTTTGAATCCCATGGCACTGGAGGACCAGTCCCGATTGGTCTGCTGCAGGACTCCCATTGCTATACTCAGATCACGCCGCAACGTGAATGTCATTCGTTCTGATCGCAGATCCCAGGGGGGGGCAATCCCGGGCGCTTACGATGCCCGCCTCACAGATGTACCTTTAATGGCCGATCCCCAACTTCCCCAGTCGAACGAAGAGCCCTAAATAGCTTTTGCAAACTCCCCATCGCCACCGCGCCGCCATGGCGGAAGTCATCGGGGTCGTCTCTGGCGCCATCACCGGCGGCACAGTCATCGTACAAGCCACACAGTCGAAAGCTGAAGGAATTACGCGATTAGCTCCAGGATGCGCCCGAGGACCTGAGATCTCTGATACGCGAGGTCGAGCTATTCAGCGTGAGTCTGTCGAACGTCAAGGACGATTTATCCGACCCATCTGTGGCCTCTGTCTTGAAGAATAGCAACAATGCTCTGATTCTTGATGGCCATAGTAGTCAGCTAGCGCCTCATTTCGACGAATTTGTGCTGAAATCTCAATTATCCCACTCTGCATGCCAGCACATCCGTCCCATCTCCTTCAGCCTCTTGATATTGGATGTTTTGCTGTTCTTAAGCGTGCCTATAGTCGTCTGATTATCAATCGAGCACGGCTAGGATTCAACCATATCAACAAGCTAGATTTCCTGGCAGAATATCCTCAAGCACATCAAGAGACATTCAAATCAGAGACTATCTAGTCTAGTTTACTGCAGCAGGTATAGTTCCACTAGATCCTAACGGGTGCTTCCAAACTCAATATTTCTCTCCGAACACTAACACCCCAACCTAGCCGAACGTCCAGCCGATCAAGTCAATTCAGCCCAAAAACACCAAAAATAGACTTCTAACTACAGTACGTCCCAAATCTGGTACAAGCACCTACACTCTTCAATTGATTCTCTGTCAAACTGAGAAGAGACTAAATACTGCTAGCCACTTCCGGGGCGTGATTATTCAGCGTGTACTCTATCCACCAGCTCTTCGTGTGAAGATAGGATTTTAGTTCTTCGTACTAGTATGTACGGAAATCCTGCGATCCGATATCAAATACTCTCTCTGCTAATCCCGTATTCCAGTGACAGTATGGGGACTACAGTACTCAGTACAGCACCGAATACGCAACATTGAGTTACAATGCATTAGTATCAATGTGAAAGATAATATTTCGCAAGCTATGCTTTATTTAAAAGATATTCGATGCCTCACAATCATACGTAACAGTCTCTGGGAATCTAGGGTATAGAACAACACTCGTCCCAAAAGACAGCCAAGGCATATTGTTGAAAGTGACACGGCAAAAAGTACATGGGTGGTACTCCGGTGGTAGCCATAGCAAATTCTCTGAGTTCCAGGTGATCCATGTACCATCAGAACTTACACCATATGCATCAAATCGAGACTCTTCAGAGTCGGGTTTTATAGAGGCTTTTTCTGAAACTAAGGACAAACAAACGGTACCGTTGTCAGTTTCAAGATATGAGTTGGTACTGTCGAATAATTTCACAGCGACAACTCCTTCAACATGAACCGTCTGTAGGTATTGGCCGCTTCTGGCATTCCACAATTTTGATAGTTCATCGGCTGGGATGACATCGCCTGAAGCCGACGCGAGGAGCTTGAAATTATGGGAGAAGGTGACTTGTATCTCTGTGGCATAACTTTACAAGCCTGGCTCAGCGAGAATACTTCAAAGATCAATTGCGCGTATATGGAATCTGTGTGAATGTTGCAATTGCATTGATCATAAGTAATTCATATCTTACTTCCATGATCCTTACTTATGCCTTTTAGCCAAGGCATCAGAAGCAACCCGTGGTCAGGCTCTTAACCAACAAAATCATAACACCTACATAAAATACCAATCTGTGCTTAAATCTTTGGATGTTCAGGCTCTTGTCTTTGACTTGGAGCCAGACTATGAATGTCACAACATAGAGCAAAGCATGGCTTACTATTGAGACCCTAATACCCCTCTGAATCTGGATGCAGCTTCTATCACTGCATTTGAGAACACAGAAGAGATAAAGATGATGAACCAGAGGATTTCTTACCTGACCTCTGTGATCTCTGGGGAGCCTCAGCTCTATAGTGACCTTGTCACTGAGCGCACATGACTCTATAGCAGAAAAGCCAAACGCTGACTAGCCTGGAAAAAGGGTTTCATACAAGATTGGTGGGATTCAGCGTATGCCAAATATATCTCTGGAAATGAATTCACTGAGTGTGACAGAACATCTCTATTCAATATCTTCAAGAAATATCTCCCAGAGCGCGCCTGGCTTAGAGAATCACTGTTCACAGAGGCAATGTTGGATAGCGATGTTGGCCAACCGTGCCTAGATGATATGGCTGCGCTCTGTACATCCATGGAAAGCGTGGTTTACTACCCAGGACTGTTGCCCATGAACAACTGCAGCCCAATATGCTCCAAGCCTATGTCTGAGTAAGTGCGTGCTATATTTATCAGTGCCCTGGTGCTAACCATAACAGTATTGAAATGCAGGGTTGAGCAAAACATATATTGCAGTGTCAAAGATGATCCTTGGGTGACCCGCAGTACCAACAACGCTATAGAAATCAAAACCAGGCACATCAGCGTGTTCAACGTAAATTCATTCAATTTTGCTATCTGTGCGCGGAGATATTCACTGATGAAAAGGAATATGGATTTTTCCCATTCTGGAGCGAACGACAAAAAACCCAATGAGAGATTCCAGCAATGACTAGCCAAGGCAATTCTACTGAATCACATCGACAATCATATAGACCGTCTGAGAGTTTCAGCGGTCTTCTTCTGTCCGCATCCTTGCTGCCAAATAAAGGACATCAAGAATGTTTCAAGTCTCCGTCGCCACTTATTCAACGCACATTCCATAGAGGAACCGCGTTCTAATTGTGTGAATCGCGAAAGGAAATGGCAGATGGAGCCAGAGTCTCGGCCTGAACAACAGGCCCCCTTTGATTGCTCTTACCCGGCAGAGTCCAGGTGGTTTCTACATGCGAAAACCACAGAATGAACAATTTCGAAGAAACAGGCATATTTGACATGGAAGAACTCATGGAGGAGTTTACGCATTTCGACAAGAACCAGGTACAGTATGAAGAGAACGAAGGCGGCGCAGGAACATTACGAAAAGAATATAGAATCAGTATTTGAATCAAATGCTGCTCTCATTTTCCAAACCTACAACGGCAATGACAATAGAACATGTGGAGGCGTCTAACACTAACAGCTATATTATTAACGCCCAAAGATCCGTTTGGCGCAAGGTTTCCACTGTACTGGGTCGAGATGGAACTTATGGGGAACAAGGCTACAAGACTTGAGTGCAGGAGGAACAGGGGATGGAGAAACTAGAGCGGTGGTTACAGAGACTGCTGAGGTGGTCAGCGGTCCGCTGGAAAGAACCTGACAACCCTAAAATATTGTACGATCTGTTAGTCATGATGGCGAGACAATCAGAGTTTGAATATCAGATCTTCAAAGATGATGACTGGATTGATATTTTCTAGATGCGGGTAGAAAATGTATTGTAGAGTTTTCCAAGCGAGGACATCTTCTTTTAGCCAAACTCTGTAAATCAGATTTCACCAGCAGCAGATAAAAGTATATCTGATAAGATGATAAATTGACTGATTTATGTACCTGGGCTATGGAAAGCATCTTCGCGCGGTAGATCAAGCATCCAAGCCAAGATACTCCTTTCGAATCTCCTGCACCCACTCATCCAAAGTGATATTCTGGTTCCCCCAAGGCACCTTCCCCTTGGGCAGCGATGCCATTCGGTCTTCATCCCACTTGGGAACTTCAAGAAAGTCGTGATCTTGATGGCAAACGTTCTGCTCGAGCCTGCCCTCTCGCAACTTTCTAAGACAATTTTCTTCCAAGTAGACCATTATGCAGTTCATACATATCCACATCTCGCTAGGTACTCTCCATTTATGTTCGCAAAGACCTGAGCATTGAAGGTCTATGTCATATTCGCGTCCCTCACCGTTGCCAGATTCATCGGATTCATTCCAGAGGGTTCCGAGCGCGAATAATGCGGATACTGCGGCGACGTTTTTCTCATCGCCCAATGGGATGAAGACATAAAGCAATTTCGCGAAAGCCTCGGAATCATTCTTTTCATCATCATCGGAAAGAAGCTCTAGAGCTACCTGAACCATAGTCCGCACTAGCTCGCGAGCCTTTGCATATTCGCGGCTGACATGATGGAATCGGGCAAGATATAGTTGTGGTGGCAGAACAAGCTGAGATTGGTTGACTTCTTCCGGCAAAATATCCGAAATCCGGCGGAGGTATTCTGCTACTGAGTCGAGATCTCCCTTTTTCTTTGCAACAAGAGCTCTCTGTAAATATATCCCGCCTAGCTTGGCTGCCGTTTCGGCCAACAACTCCGAACCTCCTAGCCCAGACGATGGAAAATCATTCTTCAGGGAGGTCTCCCACAGTTCGATAACCTTGTCCTCCCGCCGATTGGGTTGTGTATGGAGAACAAGCCCGTAAAAAGCGCGGATCAGGAACAACAATTTATGGTCGGTTCTTCTCTCGGCCCTTTTGATCGCCACGTGGTATGTCTTGTCCATGATACCAAATTGTTGTGTCGCCATTGCGGTGTCTCGAATGATTTCATGGAGGCGTGACGCCGACCCATGCCTCAAAACCATATCTGCTATGTGCTTCCCATCATTGATCGTTGCCAAACTCTCTAAGAATGAAGAAATGGTGGTCCACTTTTCAGCCTTAGCGTACCGTTCCAGAACTTCCATCGATCGGTCTATGCGTCGTGGTGCTTGTTGGAAGGATGCGGAAAATGTCGAGATGGCTAGGTCATGATCGCCAGTTTCCCAATACAACTCGGCCAGCTTAAAATTGAGGTCAGCAAGATATTCGACGTGTCTCGGATCCTGCATCCATAGCAAGTTTTCTTCTTGGCGTCTTATCAACGCCGTCAGTATCGCAACGGCCTGATCGGGCGGGACGGCTCTCGCTCGGCAAAATGAAGCCCTCCAGTTTTTGGAATCCATCTGCAACGCGAGATCGCATCGCTCGATAGCCCTTTCTGGGAGGGACTGTGTCTCATAGGTCATGGCCATCTGCGTGTGCCAAAGCGTATCTATGTTGGTGAGTTGGAGGACCTCTTGGGCCCACTTCTCAAACCTGGCGACGCGGTCATCTTCCATTTCCGGTTCATAGCAGATCTAATATCATTAGCCAAGTGTTGAGGGACAGATAGTTGAATACTGACTTTGGAGAGGAATTGACCGACAAAGAGGTAGATCTGTCGGACTTCTGTGGCTGACAACGGTTCTCTCATGCAATGTTGGGCCAATCTAACCGCCGAGGGCTTGAGGAGCACCTCAACTGCGTTATCAGAAACGACTCCCTTGATCCAAGCTCGGTCGGACTCATCCGTGACTCTCGAAACCGCTGCAGTGTCTTTAAACCATCTGGCCACCTGCTCGACATACTGGCTATTTTCTAGCAATTCGAAAACTGGTGTGTGATAACTTTGAATGTCGTCAATCTCAGGCCACATGAAAGCGTCGACATATTCATGCTTGGTAAATACTCTGACCAACAACTCTCCAATTTGACTCTTTTGGTCTCGGTCTACCATAGACAAGTCAACTGAGGCTAGGTGTTTGACAAGCTGTTCTCGAGCATAGTCCTGGAGCTCCGCAATGCTCGCATCGCGGCTTTTGGACAGAGCGAGCAAGCAATCCCGCGCCAGTAACAGGTGACCTGTATCCTTGTCCTCCTGTTGGACCTGGTATTGCTTGTGAGTTAGCTTCCGCTGCAGGTGCTTGTCAAGCTCAAGCTTTTCGTACACCTCAGGCGGGCACACTTTGTCAAGAAAGTGCTTTATCATGTTGATTTCTGCAGCCTGGATCTCTTGAGCATTCTGTGTATCCGGCTTTTTTAAATGACGGCGTTGTGGAATGTCTTCCAGTGTTTTTGATAGTCTGAAGCCAACCTTGCCATTGCTGTCAACCTCGAACAACAGATACTTAGTCCGAAATCGCTCAGGCAGTGACTGCATCGGAGCTTCGCCGACGTTCATGAAGAGAGTCGCGGAGATATGTTCCACTGAAATGGGTTCAATAGCAAAAGTGATCCAAAGTATGATGTGGTTGATCTCCTGAATTTGTCGTACGGTTCGCTCGCGGTTCAATTTCTCAATCTGATCTTTAATCTGCCTCGAGCGGTCGTTGTGTGCCCCTTTGATGACCTCTTTGATCTCTTCCATGTAGTCGAGCGTGCTGATTGCATTCAAAGCCGAGTTGATTTTGTAGTAATCCCCTCCAGCCGCCTTGGAAAGATCTTCGCGGATTGTCATTCTTCGCTCTGCTACCCCGATGCGCTCGGTATCAGAGAGGGCGTCAAACCTATCCATTCTTGCGTCAATGAACTTTTTTATGTCATCGTGATTATTTCCGCTGATTGGAATGCTTTGATAGGCCACGCCACATTTTTTGATTTGTGCAAACGCTGCTGGTGTTCCAGTGAGGAAGACCCGGATCCTTTTCGAGGTTTCAGATACCTGTCGCAGAAATTTGACCAAGGTATCATCCAGAATGTCACCCAACCCATCGATGACAAGATAAAAGACGGCGTCCATGTGTTCGGCCCCTGTGTTTTCCAACAGTAGCTTTGGTATAACCTCATGAGGATCAAGCGTCATGGGTGTTTGACTGATGCGAGAAACCGACTTCCTGTATGGGACATCGGCTTTTGCAAGCTGCCAGATGAGGGACTTGGCTGCGGCATCGAAAGTCCCATTTTTTTCATCTCTCTCAAGGAAGTAGAACGATACCAAATGTCGAAGACCTTTGGTGGTCATCTCCGTTTGCAGGAATTTGATTACAGATGAGGTGAGATAGCTTTTACCTGTAAGATCTGTACCCTCCACAGCCAAGATTGGAGATGATGCAAAGTCGGTTCTCCACGAATGAAACACAGCGTGCTCCATGAGCCATTTTCCAGTGCCCGGTACGACATATTTGCGGATTTCATTATATGATCTTTGCCAGTAGTCCACAGGCTCTTGCTTAGCGCTGTCCCACCGATCAGGGCCTTTATCAAAGGCCAAAATATTTACCAGGGCTCGTTCCTGGTCCTCTTTTTCAGCTTTTTCCTTCTGGTTTGCATCATTCTGGGTTATCTTGTCGAGGATTCGCTTGCTAAAAGCGGCTCCCTCTTCCGCGCTGGTAGCTGCTGCGCAGGCGCGTTCGAAAGTCTGAGCAGAAACTAATCCTCGCTCTTTCTCGGCCAATTTTTCCATTTGCCCCAACAGTCCCTGGATGTCGTTCTCTTGGAGGAATGCGATTTTCATGCCAGTTTTGAATTTTTCGGCTGCGGAATACCGCAACTTCAATGCAGCGTCACATATATTGACAAATAGCAACAACTGCTGCGCAGCAACTCCACTCAGCTTCGCATCCATATGTGCTTTGACGTAGTAGTCGAGACGGCCCAGATGTGCCGAGCACTTATCAAGCAGATCCGCAAGACCTTCAAAGGCACCTTGATAGCCGTCGTAGGCATTGATAAGGAAGCTAATAACGTTGTAGCATTGTCCAGCTGGCGCAAAGACCTTTGAAATATTCGCATTAGTCGATATCTACAGACACAGGGAATGTCTACTCACCGTTGATGCCCCATCAGCGACAATACCTCCGACTGTCTTGATCAGGCCCATTGTGCGTCCAAACGTGGTTTTCACGGCCTGGCGGGCAGGAGATTTCTCTTCCTTTTCTTGGGACGCATCGAGGTTTGCAAGAACATTGTCTATTTCCAGGCCTTTATCGACCTTTTTCCCCTCGCTCTCTGCCAGCTGGCTCACCTTCTCTTGGACTTGCAGCCAGATCTTCGTGAGTTCTTTGTTCGCGGTCGCATCTGATCCCAGGGGAGCACCTCCTGAAACAATAGATGCTAATCCACCAGGAGGCGCAATCTGTGCGGGTTGGGATTGTATTGGCTGCGTCGTAGGAGGCTGAACAGATTGAGGCGGGCCGTGCTTCGAACGTGGTGGTGGTGCTGGTGGTGGTGATAGTGACTGTGCTGCAGCAGTTTGGACAGGCTTAGAATAATCACCTTGCGAAGGACTTGATGGTGTTGATTGCACCATAGGAGGCTGGGCAGGTGGAGGCTTGTTTCCTTGCAATGTTGAAGGTAGAGGTTCTTGGGTTGGCGTATTCGGCACCTTTGACTTTCTTCTTGGCCATCGCATGGTGAAAAAGGTAACAATGGTGTCAAGTGGATAGTAGAAAGTTCCCTCCCCCTTTACATTTTCATTCTACATTTTATTCACCAAGAATTGCTTTCCCGCCTTTTCAGCTGACCCGGCCATATGGTTCGCTCAGTGTAGTTCATGCGTAATGATGTAAACAGGACAATCGCAATCTCCTTTCCCTCAGCCGATTTGCTTCTCGGATCTGAACAGCCGTCAATCGGCAATGATCCCCACTTGGACTCGAACATCAGCCACTGAAATGGAATAGACATCTCGTATGAGGCTATAATCAGGATCAAAACTCACTCACGTATCCAACGAGTGGATATCTCCACGGAAGTGGCGCAGGAGCTGTGCCTTTCAGCGCCCCCACAGGCGCTTAGCGTTTAGGGTGGACCACTGTGGAGGCGCTGAAAGGCATTGCAATGATGTTCTCCGTGTGCAGGGCTCATTGTGATTGTCGGGATATATTCTCCTGTCAGAACAAACTGGCTGTGACCCACTGCTAGCGACCGATGGATAACATCCCTTGCTTGGTGTACGCATTCTTGCGCTGGGCTGTGGCCTCGGTGTTGTGACCGCCGAAGGCCGGCGTGTGGGATCTAGGGGTGTTTTTCCAACTAGACTGAACATGAACATCTATCAACAAGAATCAATTGACTTTGCTTTGGAGCATACACACTATCCACTTAACTGTGTACACAGTACCTAGCTGGTGATACCAACAGTGATGGTCTTTTCTTTTTAAGCACGAATATTGTAGATTGATTGAGCTCCCTGACCCTTGGTTTATTGAGCAATAAAATACGTCTAGTTCACGTGCCGATCAATTTAAAAAATGACACGTATTAGAGTAAACATATCTAACATTTCACTGGCGAGTCCACCACGAGGCGAGCTTTGGTAGGCACAAACGACAAACGCCTTTGTCAGAGTTTATTTGTGCGATCGAATTTGGAGAGGCGACATGACTCGCTTTCCGTGAGGCGTCTTGTCCACTCTATTAACCTGAAATATTCAGGCCCAATTCGCTGCTTTTGCTATATATTGAGGAACGGCTTCGTGGTTTTGTAGAACTTTCATTGAAATCTTGTACCACTTGCGATCAAGTCTGATAGGCATTTCGTGTCATCAGATGTCTCACTGAGGTCTTTTTCTCCCCAGGACGCCATCTGAGGTAATGGCCCCTGTTTTTCCTTGGGATTTTGTTGAGACAGGGTCTTTTACCAGAGGAGCTTGTTACAATATTGAGTGCGGACTCACTGAATCCCCGCGAACACATTACTAACTCCCAGTAAAATCTGGTCCGATTGGGGGGGGGAGTGTTTCAAGCTCTTGTGATAAACTCATGCCAGTTACTTTTGCATTCTACTCCGTGGCACTGACTTCATTGAGCCAATCACGGATATCCTGCCCTAGAGCCAGCATGATTGATCCAACACTCTCCGTCACTTTAGTGGTTAGCCAAAGAAATTGTTGGCGGGGGAGCCCCAAAAAATCCTCTCTGACAGTCCCCATATAATAAATCCATGTCTTCGATCAGAAGCTTTCTGAGTGATCTTTCTATTTCCACGTCGATTGGGTCCAGGGGTGAATGAAGAAGCTTTGAAATGAAGCCAGAATAAACCAAGGCACGATCAGTTTCGGACATCTGCACCACAAAGTCGCCAAAGCGCGAGATTTAGTCACCAACTGGCGTCTGATGAAATTCTGCCGCTGAGATCCCTTTCTGCACCAGATCTTGCCAGGTTATCTCGGCAACAGACTGTCTTTCATGTCCAGTTAACTCCATGATGCGGGGCCAAGGGGTGCTGAATAAGTCGCAGACCCTAGCCTCGATCTGGCTGCTGAAGAGAGTGATCCCAAAGTGTTTTGCGATGCTTGCGTTAGCTTCAAGGACGTTGTGGCAAGGATGCAACCAGAGATTTGGAGGCTGTATCTCGAGAAATCTCGATAGGCCTGCAATCTTCGGGGCGTCTGAGAAAATCGTTGACCTCTGTAAAACTGGTTCTGAATCGAGGGAAACTTGAGAGATATACTGTTCGGTTACGAAATGCGAGGATCTGTTGTCGTTGTCTCAACAATGCTATGCGAGGTTCGTTTTGCGGCCTAGGCTGCGGCAGCATCCGCAAAAATCCAAATCCGCTCCGCAGATTGCTGATATGGATACGATTCTGACATCCAACTATCCGCGCGAATTGGATGCGGATTTAAGCCTCAAAAAGTTGGATATCCGCGGATATCTAGCGGATTCGAAAACAGTACAAACATGCCAAGTCTGGTGATCTGGTTTGGCATGCACATCTTATGCGGATTTCAAGGTAATATTATGTACTACTAGTGTTACATTTTGTCGAATTAATTACATGGTCACGATACAGAAATTATTTCTAATAACATATCAAACCAGTTCACTGTTCAACTGCTTCATTCAGCGCATTATATAGTTATACTATGGTTTGCCGATTTCGAATCCGTCTGGTAGCCGTGGCTTCTTCCGAATCCTTCCTGTCCGGGTCTGTGTACCATCGAATACTGTTTCCTCCTGCAGGGTGCTATCATCTAGACCTAAACTATCCACAGGCCGCTTTGAGGAGTGAGGGATCGCCAGTTCATCTATATCATTTTCGGAATCCTCCTCTTGCAATTCCTCTTGGCATCCTTCCTCTTCATTGTCACTAATCGGTTCCATGAACTCAAGTGATAGTGGAGATAGACGGCTCTGATTAAGCATAGCAGCTTCGCCAGATGAGAGATACTCCTTAATCATCTCGATCTCCGCCTCTTTCAGCTCAAATTTAGAGGAAAAGTGATGGAGCATTAGACCCTTTATTGTGTCTGGCTTCAGCTGCCCACGGCGATAATGACAGATATCGCGAGCACAATTGAATAAACGCTCTACTCCTGCTCCACTAGCAGGAATCGAGAGAATATCTCGTGCTATTCTGGCAAACACTGGGAATTCCTGCTCATTTATTTCCAGTAAACACGTGGATTTCCATTACTGAGCGCTAATGTTTTTATTAGATACAGTAGACGGATTAAATAAATAAGATGCTCACCTTTCGATAGATAACCCGTAACCTCATCTTGCCGGCCATCAAATTCATCAGTAGGGAGTGTGGTTTGTTGCGAGTCACAAAGCATTGCAAGCTCTTCATCCTCTATATCATCAATCTTCTCTGAGGTATCTGGTTGGTGAGCTTCCCTCTGAGCTTGTTTCTGATAACTTATAAACTCGTTTCGAAACGAATCTTGATACTGCTTCATAAAATCAACATCACCATCTCTCCAATCCTTAGTATCAAAGTATCGTAGCTTCTTTGATGGTACAGGATTGTTGCTAATGCACAGGTTGTACCATATGCACTACCATCGGTTCCACTGTAATATTTAGAGAGCTTTTTCTGTGCCAGCTGAAGTGCTCGAAGCATGGTTTTTCTTCCAGCGTACACGCTTATATCTTAAGTTCTTCTCAGCCTCTTCAAGGTGGGTAAAGAGTCTGTTATAGATGCTAAAGATATGGTGTACTGTGCAATCCCTAGTCTTTGATAAGACATTGGTGAAGTCAAAGAAAGGCTTGGTAACCAACAGAAGATACTCAACCTGGCGCCATTCCTCATTATTAAGCTTAAACTGAGCATATTGATTTGTAGTGCAATACTCATCAAAGCAAGATTGAAGCTTTCGCGCACGGTTAAGCATCAAGAAAGTTGAATTCAAGCGTGTGCGCACATCTTGAATTGGAACTATGTTTAGCTCCTTTTTTTGTAGCCCTAGGAATGCCTCACGGCGCTGTGGGCTTGCATTGATAAATACTGCAAATCCTCGGACCTGTAGTAGCGATTAGTTGAATTTTTTATCAAAAGGGTATAGAATCAAAGAAACCTTTTTAAGTGTATTCACGATTGAGCGGGTGGAACACTTCGTCTGGAGATCCAAATTTTGCTTACTTCACCATTCCGATTCGGCTTCATCATTCTCGGGTACGGCCTTCAGCTTTCCAAGGAGCTCTTGTAAACAGAGCTGAATCACATGAGCAATACAGGGTATTCGAAATATCGAGGTCCCAGATCGAAGAAGCGACTGGACTGTCTCCTGGATACCAATCATCATGGTATTGTTGTTTGTAGCATTATCAGTTGTGATTGACAATACTCGATCGGAAATCTTGTGGTGTTGTAGAATCTGAATAACAGTATTACTCAGATTACTACCAGTGTGAGATCCATGGAGATTCTCAAACCCAAGTAGCACTTCATGATAGTTCCAATCTTGATCAATGAAATAACCAGTGATTGCCATGAATGCTTGGTTAAATGGAGATGTCCAGCAATCAAGGGCAATTGGGATTCGGCATCCATCTGGGAGTTTATTATCTCTCGCTGCTGGGCTTCTACCGATGTATCAAGAAGTCGCCGTATTGTCCGAGCAGAGGGAATATTGAGCTTTGAGTCTGCAAGCCGAGCGTAGTCAAGAAGATTTCTGAAACTAGCATGCTCGATGATCCGAAATGAAAGGCGGGCAGTAGTTATAATCCAAGAATCTTTTGTTGAAAAGTAGACTGATCGAACGAAGATATCTGTGTATGCGGCTAAAAATATATAAAATGTAAGTAAGGCTTCCTAGCTCAGAGGGCCTAGCTCAGAGGGAACGACAGACCATATTCTGTAGAAGCTGATCAATGCCCTGTTTCTTCGAGCCCGAAGGCTTCGCACATGTAATACTTTTCATATGTATCTTCTTCGGAGACGTCCCTGCCCGACGATGACTAGGATGAACAAGAACAGCCTGGCAGCGCCTACACATCACCTTAGGCTCACCAGTCTTCTCATGTGCAACTTGATCAAAGCAGCCCCAAACATTAGATGTCTTTTGCTTGCTTTGCCATTGGACTGACTTCTGTAAGTCTTCCTTCTCACCAAATTCTGTCTTTAGCCACCACTCAACGAATCGTTTCCGGGAACTCTCCATATCAGGGTCGGTTAGGTTGTCGTTAAAAAGGATCCAATGCTTTTGGAGATGCTTGCCGACACGTTGAAGTGATTCCGGTGCGCAAACAGTATAACGGTGTCGTATAGGAGGGAGAGAGTAATCAGAAAAGGGGGTTGTACGACCTGCTTGGCTTGGGAAGTCAAGGAAATCGTCCGATTGCAGGATATATCTGGATCAATAAAAGTCTCAGCATATTGAGATGCTGGATATTGACTATCTGAATGCTGAGATCGAGACATAGTGGTACGGGAAGAGCAGAGGTCAAGTGTATAGTAAAGAGAAATAAGAAAGACAGAATTCGAATACTTACTGAAGTAACTGTGCTAGAAAGATTGGGGGGTGCTCAACTATTAGGTGTAGCTTGCGCGACCGCAACTTAGGCGTGACTAGAATATGAAACGTCGATATATCATATTCCCCACTTAAGTATAGGGAAGAGCCAATAATATAGTCTAGTAGAGGATTATAACTAGATCTCTGATTGGATAAGAAGATTCGAGTGGATACTAAATTGGATACTTGTTGGATATCTGTGGATATTCGCTGGACATCCAATAATTATCCAACTGATATCCGCATAAGAGCGAATTCAAAATCACAAAGTTTAACAATTCCCATAAACATGCTATGTTTTCGCTCTATCTTTATATTATAATGTACTGATTAAATAGTATTTACTAATTCCTTAAGCTTTGAAGATTTTATATTCAGGAAGATTTAGTTAGATTACAGCAGTTCAAACGTTTTCATCTTTTAATATTATTATTCATAGAATCCACTCTTAACTTTCATACACCAAAATATATATTTTCAACCGCAGCCAAAATAACGAGAACCACCACTTTAATAAATCAAAATTACCACTACCCACTACATCCCATAGGTATTAAATTATCACACATGGCCAAGAGAATAGTATCTCTTCTCAAATTCAATCCTATTTCATATTATTTCAAATAGTAGATCACATATAAGATATTAATTCTACCACAAATAACCATAACATACTGATACATCTGTAATGTGATGGGAAAAGAGTGCTTGGTCAGCTGTATAAGGGTCACATAAGGTGCCAAAATAAGGTAAATTAGCGAATTTTATGCTAGTGCGGATAATTGTTGGATTTTGCGGACATCCAACGGATGTCCGCGGATATCCAACATTTGGATGCGGATGCGGATATGACTTTGACATCCAACGGAGCGGATTTGTCGCAGTCTAGTTTTGCCCCTCCCCAGCTCATTTCTGTTCCACATTATTAATCGAGTCAGGGCTTTATTACACGTTCAACCTGAATTGATAGCGCAAAGGATTTCCCAAAGCGATGCAGGGTCGCGGGCCGGTAAGCGGCCGGATAATTCTACCGGAGCTTTGACAAGCTATCACTCAAAGAAGGATGTGTGGCAGCTCACTCTCCCGCATTTATATCAAAGAACGCCTGGAAATTTCCAGTTATAGAGATTACTCTGGTAGGAACTAGGTCTTCCGAGTCTATAATTACGTTCCTGCTTTGCTTGGCCGTCTTCAAACACATTGACAACGGCGATGTAACGGCCTTGTAAAGACTATTCAATTCCGGGCAAACCTCGCCGTTCGATCAAGAATATGAAAACGGATGGGAAGTTACACTAGTTTCGGTGAGTCTCCTTCGTCCCATAGAGTCCATTCGACGATCGTGCATGTTAAACAGTCCTAGTATGCTTGGCGATTCCCCGCATCGATCAGGTTTTGAAGTTTCTCTTGGACATCGGGGCTGATATTCCAATGTGGGGACCAAAATGGCTCTTAGGGTTATTGAGCAACACAGCAACTGCGTGCAAGAAGGAGTCAATTCATGAAAGAAATGAATTCTCGCCAAATCCTTCTCGTGTGGCAATGATCCGCACCTTTCGTCTCCTGATGGAAGCTTTGGATGAGTTCGCTTTTGAATCCAAGGAGGAAGAGTCTTATATGATGTTCAGCCAATTTTTGTGTAGCACGGCCTGCTTCCAGTCCCTTCGAAGGGAGTTCGTCCCTGAGTTTTTCGAAATGGATACCCCAGTTCGACTCTTCATTCCCTTCGAGGTGATATGTACAGACGGGTGAGGTTTTTCTCATATTCCAGTCTTGGTTCAAACCACTCTCCGGGGCATCAATCTTCAGCCATCGGATCTGGAGATTGGCTTCGTGCTTGGTCCATCATATACCCAAATTTCATTGCTACTAATGACCGTTTTCAAAATCGGCCGGTCACAGGGGTGGTTGGAAAATTGCCACCGGCGGAAAACCGGGTCATCCCACTTGGAACAGGTATATAATGCCGATGTCCTTCGCGAACGACAGGTGCTGTACTTATCATGGAAGAAACTTTTCATGAATTTCTTGAAAGTTGGGCCCGGTGTGCATCAGATTGTCTGCGGGAAAACGGTGTTTTCGGCATATTTATACGGATATCTTGAATTTTGGATGAAGCGTCAGAGACAAATGCTGACCTGGAATATATCTCTACGGGGCTGGATTCAGAACCTCCAAGAAGCTGGCATGGATTTGGCAAAGCTTGGTCTGAAGGAAACGCAAGTGTGGAAGAGATGCCAATGGGACATCAAGAAATCATTTTCATGGGCAAGGCCGTTCAGTTTAGACCCCTTTCACGAAAAGGATTGTCCACTACCGCCATTAGTTGGGTTTACCTATGGCTTTTTCTGGTTCACTGAGCCATCAGATGCCTTCGTTGGCGAATTTTGGGAGACGATAGAACGACCAGTAGAAGCCATGCCCGGCTCATGGCCAGAAAAAGGGATAAGTGCTATATTCGGAACGCAAAACAGTGACTATTTTGCTTTTCGCCATCTGACTATGAGTTACAAGCCATATAATACCTGCCCCTCTCGCCACTACCCCGGAATTCACGTTCCGCACGTGGGGCCAACGTCTAGCCAAGTCTAGCTTTGACCAGCTCACCTAGCTCAGACAGATGCCTGTCCACAGACCCCTGTCAAAGCTTTGGAGTTTGTGCTATTGGCTGACTTTAAATCGGCTATATGCTTATAATAACCCTGCATGAATTAATCCGCCCTGCTGGCGAGTGGTGAGGTCATCCTGCATACATTTGCGGAGATAACAAGCGAGTCATATTATCTGCGCTCGTAAGTTGCCAAGTGGAGGGGTCAAGTCGCTCACGGCAGTTGAGTATTACCTCGGAATGTCCTGGTATGAAGCCTAGAATGGATGAAGAGCCGGTGGTCGAGACGAACATTGTGTTCGTATAGAATGTGTGGCTAAAGTTTAAGTCGCACAAAAGTTTAAGTCGCACATGACTTTCCGCCGAGACGGCCACATTGCTCCTTGATCTGCCGAGGCACCACTCTGGGGGACACCGGGAAAATCTACCTGGACCTATCGGCCTAGCTCTGAATTCGGAATGCTTCCAGACAATTGATCTGATGAAACGGGGCCGAGTCATTCGATGCTGTCTGCCCCAACAGCTTATCTCGAGTCCGTGTAACCCAACCACCACCAACACCAAACAATGCCTTCACCCCACCACGAATACCCTCCGGTTTCAACAAACAGGCGAAGTCCGCCTCAGTCGAACCCACTCTATCCACATCGCCAGTCCAGCCAAAAAGAAGACACAGCTTGCACGGTGTCGCACTCTCTCAACCGCCAAGCACATCGCCATCCCGCCAAGCTCGCTCCCCCGCATCCCAAGGCCAACTTTCCCCAGATCATCGCCCTCCAGCCGCCACACAGGTTCAAAACACGCCATGCCACGCGTTGACTCGTTCGCAGCCCGCGTTGTGTGGGGTTACTTCCCCTCAGCCTGAACCCGGTGGCCAATTTGGCTCTCTCTCTGTATGCTGTTCATCAAAGAGACCGAGGCATGTTTCGCTTTCGTCGGCTATTGTGCTGTAGTTGAGACAATGAGCCGGCAGTGGAAGGCTGGGCTAGGCGTCTGGGCGATAATGTTTCGCGTGTTTTGCCTCACAGCGTGGCTGGCCATGTCTATCGCTGACCTATCGCGCTAGAGCTAGCGCTCCGGTGCTGGTTAGGGGGTCAAACTCAATGAGGTATCTGGCCCGACTGGATGCGAGTGCGATTTGACCCCATGGGGGAATCTGCAGGACCCGCACGTCCCGCATATGGGACGCAGGTGAGCAAGGACTGATAAAGCGTGCTTGCTCCAACCTGGTTTCGCCTCGATTTGTGCGACCTCAGCGTTCTTCTTCCTGACATATCTTGTCTCACTCAGATCTTTACCGGGTTATCACACTCCAACTTACACGATGGGCTCCTTGCCCGACGAGAAAAACATTGGGGATGATCGCATTGAGAATGTTGCGCAGAAGATGCCCAGCAATGAGGAGGAAGAGGAGTTTACGCCTGAGGAGCAGCGCAAGATCATTCGACGCATTGATCTGAGATTGGTCACTATGACTGGACTGGCTTATTGTATTTCGCTCATGGATCGGACGAACTTGAGTGCTGCTGCGATTGCGGGGTGAGTCCTGCGACATTCTTTTTCGATGACTTGAGCTGATTATCTCTAGACTAAAGTCCGAGTTGCGTCTTGATATCGGCAATCGATATGTATGCAGACGTCATGTTCCCTGATAGCAACACTGCTAATGTACATTGCCTTCTCAGTCCATCGTCGTCCTTATGTTCTTCGTCCCCTACGTCCTCTTCCAACCGCCGATGACCATTCTCATCCGCAAGATCGGCCCAACTATTTTCTTGGGAACGATTGTTATGACATGGGCTGTTATCATGATTGTATGAGCAGCATGCTTCAAACACTCTGGTTCAAGGCTAACTCTCACAGGGAACTGGCTTCGTCAAAAACTGGGGCCAACTAGTTGGCCTGCGTGTTCTACTCGGCGTTCTCGAAGCCGGTTACTTCCCAGGCTGCGTCTACCTCCTGAGCTGCTGGTACACCCGATATGACGTGCAAAAGCGGTTCTCCGTCTTCTACCTGATCGGCTGCGTTGCCTCAGCTCTGTCGGGTATCCTAGCCTTTGGTTTGATGCAGTTAGCCGGTACGCATGGACTGGGTGGATGGCGCTGGATCTTCATCCTGGAGGGCGTGGTATGCTCACTCCCCTCAGATAACTTCAGATTTTTTTGATTGGATTGAATACTAACCCAGTTAGATCACCGGTTTCATCGGCATACTTTGTTTCTTGTTCCTGGTCGACTTCCCCGATCGCGCAGCCAAGTCCTGGAGATTCCTTAGCCAGAAGGAGTCGGATTGGATCGTTCGCCGCATCAACAATGATCGCAAGGATGGAAATCTCGAGGCTTTTTCGCTCAAGAAATTCCTCAAGCCCGGTCTGGATATCAAGATCTGGGGATTTGCTTTGATTTTCTTGTACGTGCCCCTTCCTGAATCTGCTGGTCCCTGCTAACCCTTTTCAGCTGTCTGACAACGGTCACCTACGCCATCGCCTACTTCCTACCGATCATCCTGATGGAGAACATGGGCTTCGGCGTTGGCGCGGCTCAGTGTCTCGTTGCGCCTCCCTACGTCTTTGCTGGTTTCGGTATGATTCTCTCGCCCCCTTGAGACACAATCCCTAACATCTTTTTTTCAGTCATGTACAGCACCGCCTGGGTTGGCGATCGATACCGCGTCCGCGGTGTAATCCTGATCACCAACGCCCTCCTCTGCATCATCGGTCTACCCATGATGGGCTTTGCAGAGGGCAATGCAACCCGCTATGCCGGTGTCTTCCTCACCGTAGCAGGTGCGAACGCGAACATCCCGGCCTGCATGGCCTACCAGGCGAACAATGTTCGTGGACAATGGACTCGTGCCTTTAGCTCGGCCACGCTCGTTGGTTTTGGAGGCATTGGTGGAATTGCCTCTTCCCTCGTCTTCCGTGAACAGGATGCGCCGGGTTATCGGCCGGGCATGTACACCGCTCTTGCGTGAGTTTCCATTTCTTGAGGTCAATGAGATGGATTGCTAATTTTTGACAGATGCAACATTATGATCATTATTGTTGTTCTTTGCTTGAGTGTTTGGTTCTGGTTCTGCAATCGGCAAGCGGAGCGTGGTAAGCGGGAGATTGAGGGGGAACCTAGTTTCCGATATACCATTTAATTTACTCTATCTAGCCGGGATCGGTATCCCTGAGTATGAATTAATGACTTTTTCATGGACTTCATATATTGTATATTGTACGTTGTGGTGTTGTGGGGTAGAGTGGGTAGTTATATATTCTGGTATCCCGGAGCTCCCCGCCCGTTTCCCGGTCGGACGAACAATATCTCGGATGATAGGATGATTCATCGGACGAATGACTGAGGGTCCGATTGAGACGAAAGGGGGTCCTTTATCGCATAATTGGCTTCATGGTCTATATTCATTTCACACTGACAGTATGATTGTATACTTCTGAGTAAGCGCACCTGACTAGCATGTGACCGCTGCAATCTGCTTATCGCGGGCTGCCTTCCGATTGACCTCAACATTTCCCGAGGAAAACTGCGGCCGCGCCTGCATTTCAATGGAAACGGCCCCACCCTGACCCGGCAGAGCATCGCCATTGGCGCGATAACACCTTCGTTGGAGCCCCGTCGCGGTTATCACAGTTTTCCGCCGCGTTGCCCGTCGGTCGGACAGCGTTTGGTTCACGCTTCCTACGGCGCTGAAGCTCCGGAAAAACGCCAATGCGGATCATAAATATTGTTTCTCGCGGATCTGATTCTCTTGCTTCTTCTCCATTCTCTCCCCTCCTCGCCCCGACTTCCTGCTGTGTGTTTTGAGGTGTGCCCACCCATTCCTACGTCACTCCTCGGTAGCTCTCCATGGCGGCATCCTGGTTTGCCCTCCGCGGCGGCCGCCAGCTCGCCCTGCGGTCGCGTGTGCGAGCTGGTCCTTCACCCGCGGCGCTGCGATCGGCTGCGCTCTCGCCCTTCAATGCCTCGCGCCGGGCCGTACACACCCAGCAGGGAGCGTCGCCCGCTCGGCGTGGCGTGTATACCAGCTCCGTCAACGCCCACGGTGACCCTCACCCGCCGGATGTCTTCCAGCCCCTCGATACCTTCCCCCGCCGCCACATTGGCCCGTCTCCGGACGCGGCGACGGAGATGTTGGCGGTCCTCGACCCGCCGGCATCCTCGTTGGATGAGTTCGTCAAGCAGGTCGTCCCCGCGGACATCCTCTCTAAGAACGACCTCACTGTCACCGAGCCCCACGCTGATATCAACCTGTACCGCTCCGCCGTGCAGGGTGGCCTCGGTGAGACTGATATGCTGAAGCTCCTCGATACTTACCGGAAGAATATTGATGTGTCTGGAAACACCTATATTGGTACCGGCTACTACCCGACCATTGTGCCCCCGGTTATCCTCCGTAACGTCTTGGAGAACCCCGCCTGGTACACCAGCTATACACCCTATCAGCCCGAGATCAGCCAGGGCCGCCTGGAGTCTTTGCTCAACTTCCAGACCCTTTCTGCCGATCTGACTGGCTTGCCTTTTGCCAATGCCTCTGTTCTGGACGAGGCCACCGCCGCCGCCGAGGCCATGACCATGTCCTTCGCTACTATGCCCACCTCCAAGCAAAAGAAGGCCGACAAGTCCTTCGTTATTTCTCATCTCTGCCACCCCCAGACCATTGAGGTGATGCGCTCCCGCGCCGAGGGATTCGGAATCAACCTGGTGATTGGTGATGTGATGGCGGATAACTTCAAGCTAGTTAAGGAGCAGGGCGATCACCTGATTGGTGTTCTGGCGCAGTACCCCGACACTGAGGGTGGTGTCTACGACTTCCAGGCTCTCAGCGACTCGATCCACGGCCAGGGTGGTACCTTCAGCGTTGCGACTGACCTGCTGGCTCTGACCGTTCTTAAGGCTCCTGGTGAGTTCGGTGCCGACATTGCTTTCGGTAACGCCCAGCGATTGGGTGTTCCCATGGGCTTCGGTGGTCCTCACGCGGCTTTCTTCGCTTGCGCCGACAAGTACAAGCGCAAGGTGCCCGGTCGTGTTGTTGGTGTTTCCAAGGACCGCACCGGCAACCGTGCCCTGCGTCTGGCCCTGCAGACTCGTGAGCAGCACATTCGTCGTGAGAAGGCTACCAGCAACATTTGCACTGCTCAGGCTCTTCTCGCCAACATGACCGCCATGTACGCTGTCTACCACGGCCCCGTCGGTCTGAAGTCCATTGCTCAACGCATCGTCTCCATGACCACTATGCTGCGTCAGAAGCTGGTTGGTCTCGGCTATAATGTTCCTGTCCGATCCAACGTCGAGGGCGAGGCCGTCTTCGACACTCTGGCCGTTGAGCTGGAGAACCCCTTCGAGGCGGACGATGTCATTGCTGCCGCTCGTGAGAAGTCCATCTACCTCCGCCGTTTCGGTGACAGCAAGGTCGGTATCTCTCTGGACGAGACTGTCGGCCGTGACGAGGTCAAGGGGATCTTGGATGTCTTTGCCGCTCACAAGAAGGCTTCTCCTGTTACGGTCGATGGCACTCTGTCCGTCACCCCTCTGCCCACCAGCCTGGAGCGTACTTCGGCGTATATGACCCACCCCGTCTTCAACACCCATCACTCCGAGACTGAGATGCTCCGCTACATCAAGCACCTCGAGTCCAAGGATCTGTCTCTGGCCCACTCCATGATTCCCCTGGGATCATGCACCATGAAGCTCAACGCCACCACCGAAATGATCCCCGTTTCCTGGCCCGAATTCTCCCAGATCCATCCGTTCATGCCTGCCGACAAGGCCCAGGGCTACATCCAGATGATTGATGATCTGGAACAGCAACTGGCCGACATCACCGGCATGGCCGAGGTCACTGTCCAGCCCAACTCTGGTGCCCAGGGTGAATTCGCTGGTCTTCGTGTCATCAAGAAGTTCCAGGAGGCCCAGGGTGATGGAAAGCGCAACGTTTGCCTGATCCCCGTCTCTGCCCACGGAACCAACCCCGCCTCCGCTGCCATGGCCGGTATGCGCGTCGTTACCATCAAGTGCGACACCAAGACCGGCAACCTCGACCTTGCAGACCTGAAAGCCAAGTGTGAGAAGCACCAGGATGAACTCGCTGCCTTCATGATCACCTACCCTAGTACCTTCGGTGTCTACGAGCCTGGTGCCAAAGAGGCCATCAACCTGGTCCACCAGCACGGCGGCCAAGTCTACATGGACGGCGCCAACATGAACGCGCAGATCGGTCTCTGCTCCCCCGGCGAGATCGGCGCCGACGTGTGCCACCTGAACCTGCACAAGACATTCTGTATCCCGCACGGCGGCGGCGGTCCCGGCGTCGGCCCCATCGGTGTCGCCGAGCACCTGCGTCCCTTCCTGCCCTCCCACCCCGCCAATGAATACCTCATGTCCAAGCGTGGCGAGACCTCCTCCCCACCCATCTCCGCCGCCCCCTGGGGTAGCGCCAGCATCCTCCCCATCACCTTCAACTACATCAACATGATGGGCGACCGGGGTCTAACGCACGCAACCAAGATCACCCTCCTGAACGCCAACTACATCCTCGCCCGACTGAAGGCACACTACCCGATTCTGTACACGAACGAGAACGGCCGGTGCGCCCACGAATTCATCCTCGACCTCCGCGGCTTTAAGGAAACGGCCGGCATCGAGGCCATCGACGTCGCCAAGCGTCTGCAGGACTACGGCTTCCACGCGCCGACCATGTCCTGGCCCGTCTCGAACACGCTCATGATCGAACCCACGGAATCTGAGAACAAGGCCGAGCTGGACCGCTTCTGCGACGCCCTCATCTCCATCCGGAAGGAGATTGCGGACGTCGAGGCTGGCAAGCAGCCACGCGAGGGCAATGTCCTCAAGAACTCGCCTCACACCCAGCGCGATCTGCTTACCACTGAGTGGGATCGTCCGTATACCCGTGAGACGGCCGCGTATCCGCAGCCTTGGCTGTTGGAGAAGAAGTTCTGGCCTAGTGTCACCCGTGTTGATGATGGTAAGTTTATCCCGCCCTTTGCTTTGTTGTTGGGGTACTGATTATTGTGCAGCTTTCGGTGACCAGAACCTCTTCTGCACTTGCGGTCCGGTTGAGGACTCTGAATAGATTATGATACCCATGTTGCGTGATGGTTTTTGGTTTGGCTTTCAATGATGGTTTGTGGTCTGTCGCCTGGCACTTAGAGTTGCGTGCCGGCTAGATGGGTCTTCGTTTCTCTGTCTACATTCAACATTTCTCTGTATTCACGATGATGACTCAGTTCTAAAATAGAGCTAATTTCAACATTCAAATATTTTTTCCATGTAGTTAGTTAGTAGCGTGTTTACTCAAGTGCTGCTGCTACTAGACCTAGACCCGACTAGAACGTAACTTTGTCCAGTCGCGTCATCACGTCACTTATCAATTGAGGCCCCATGCTCCTACCCCAGTTACAATCACACTTGGAGCTAGCCAGGCAAACCTTATTTCCGATTTTCACGGTCTCCTGAATGTAGCTTATTGGATGACACAATGAAATCAGACCAAAACACGTATGAATCTTCCAACAACCCAAGTTTATCAGACTTGAAACAAATACCATCTTAGTCAATGCACATGGAACCCCTTCTGATATATAATTCCCTTCATCTATCACAAGACCACGCCGAGCAAAATCAATACCACCTCGTAAACAGGAATGCGGACGAAACCCCCAACTCACCCGCCTTAAACCCGTATCCGCCCGCAATCTCTTATCACCACCCCTCGTACAATACAATACGTTGTACACACCCCACCACCTGCTTTTTACAGCTAATTCAGTCGTGAAATACGTAAAATACCGTCCCCATCTCGGCGACAGGCGATCCCCGCCACGAACTCTGCCCTGTTGATCTCTCCTCCCACCAGACCAATCCATCCAATCCATCCAGTCCGGATGTGGGCTAGTACACTGCGGAGGAGACGTCGGATTCAGAAGGGATAACCTTGACAGCCCTACGAGCGTGTGGGATTTCCTGTTTCGTGCGCTTGGCTCGGCCGTACCCACAGCAGTACGTAGCAAGCCACCACTGGTATCGTTGCAGTCGGAACTTGGGCCTTGGAAGGGTATATATTTCGTCTCAGATTGCCACCCGTGGGATGGAGGTTTGAGATTTTTTGCTGCTTTCGTGCTGCTACGCTTATAGACACCTGGCCTCTCACAACACACCTTGAACTCTCTATTCTCTATACCGTATAGAGGTTAATTAGATCAGACTCCCAACATCCAGCCTTAGTGCTGGCTCGACAAAATGTCAATGCAGGGCGACTACCACTTCGTCGTCTACAGAGGAACCTTCATCCAGCTCCCCCGTCGCCCAACAGACTCAACACCGCTAGCACTGCAGCGGAACATCGGCGCGCTTTGGGTATCCGCGCATGACGGCGATATCAAGGGGTTCGACTGGGGCATCACAGACGACGCATCCTTCCAGAATTTCATGCAATTACATGGCTGGGTGGATGTTGATTCCCAGACGAATGGAGTGGCTGCCACCGCAACAAAGGTCAAGGTTGTTATTGCGAGTGAGGAGCAGAATGAGTTCTTCTTCCCGGGATTCATTGGTTAGTATATAAAACCGTCATAAAACGTGCGAAATGTCTGACATTGATATAGATACACACATCCACGCCCCCCAATACCCAAACTCGGGCCTCTTCGGCTCCTCAACATTGCTGGACTGGCTAGAAACCTACACCTTCCCCGTAGAATCCGGCTTCGGCACACAACCAACACCAGGCTCAAAGCAAGAGCAAAAACCAGAAGAAGCGCCAATATCAGCTCTGCACATCTACGACCAGGTCGTCTCACGCACCCTCTCCCACGGCACAACATGCGCCTCCTACTTCGCAACCATCCACGTCCCAGCAACAAATGCCCTAGCGGTCCTCTGCCACAAGCGTGGCCAACGCGCCTTCATCGGGAGAGTCTGCATGGATAATCCCGACTTTTGTCCGGAATATTACAAGGACCTTTCGGCCGAGGATTCGCTTGCCGCGACGAGGGATACGATTGAGTTTATTCACGGTCTTGATCCGAAGGGGCGTTTGGTTAAGCCGATCGTCACGCCGCGGTTCGCGCCGACGTGTTCGCGACATGCGTTGACGTGGTTGGGGGAGTTGGCGTCTAGTTTCACGCCGCCATTGCATATTCAGACGCATATTGCGGAGAATAAGAATGAGGTTGCGCTTGTAAGGGAGCTGTTTCCCGAGGCGGAGAGCTATGCGGCTGTCTATGATCGGCATAACCTGCTTACGCCGCGGACGATCCTCGCACACGCTGTGCATCTATCCGAGGCTGAGCGGGACCTTGTTAAGAGCCGCGAGGCGAAAATCTCGCACTGTCCTACCTCGAATGCGGCGCTTGGTTCTGGAATCGCGCCTGTTAGGGCGTACCTTGATAAGGGTATTACTGTTGGCCTTGGTACGGATGTTAGTGGTGGGTATAGTCCCTCCATCCTGGAAGCTGCGCGGCAGGCGTGTCTTTCGTCGAGGTTATTGGGGCATGTGAAGGATTTTGTTGATGGCAGTCCGGCAGCGGGGGGGAAGGATGAAGGGCGAGAGAAGCTTTCTGTCGCGGAAAGCTTGTACCTCGCTACGCGGGGTGGTGCAGCTGTTGTTGGGATGGAGGAGAAGCTGGGTGGATTCGAGGTTGGGATGGCGTTCGATGCGCAGCTTGTTCAGCTTGGAAATGCGAGGATGGGTGGGTTATCGCCTCTGATGGTGAATGGGGATGTGCCTGCTGGTGTATTAAAGGGCCAGGATGGTCCAGTTGGCAATGTTGATATCTTTGGGACGGAGACGTGGGAGGAGAAGGTTCAGAAGTGGCATTGGAGCGGGGATGATCGGAATGTTAGGGCTGTTTGGGTGAGGGGGAGGTTGGTGCATCAGCGGGAGTAGGGCTTGCCTCGAGGGGTTTGGAGGGTTTCGGTTTCGTATATCTGGTTGCGCATGTTTGTCAATATCAATTTTTGCATTAAGGTCTTTCAAGAAGTGTTTGAAGGTGTAGCGAAGGGAGAGAGGGCACTGGTGACAATCCGCGGGGTTTGGCGCCTGTCTGGAGCACATATGTGTTGAAAAGTCCATCTACCCTAGGGCAAAAGCCATCCATTGACGGTCGATCCGAGGCCTTGGATGAAGGTAATGGCAGGAAGGGCAGGAGGGCCGAGGCAGAAACCCACCAGCCGCGTCAAATCTGATACTGCCTGATGTGCTGGAGGTCGCTCTTTCGTGAATTGTTATCGTGTTGACAGACAGCACGAGAGAGCAGCATTTACCATGGCAAATTTACGACGCGAAAACTATCAGGAAGTTACAGATGGTTTCTTCTCCATTCGACAAAAAACATACTCTGACCAGAGCCATCAATAAATCAAACACATCACGAAACATCCACCGCAGGATTCTCGATCAACCCACCACACTTTCTTCTCCAAGCCCGAGTCATGACCCAAGGCATGATGAAAAAAGTAATAGCCCCACGAAGGGGATGCCAAAGAATATGTCCCCCAGCCAAGTGAACCAAAGGATCTCCGCGCTGTGCAATGCAGTTCCTCAATGGTGGTACCCGGCCTAATGAACGCCAAAGTACCCGGACCAGCCACGGTTTTCCCGGAGCGTATGAAGACTGGAAAGAAAAAGAGAGGCAAAATCGTTCCGGGAGGAGATATTTATACCTGCCTGTCGGTGTGGCGCTAGGCCGTTTTGGGATGGAGGCCTGGCTGCGATGGCGGTCAGATCTCGCCGACTTGCTGGGGAGTCCTTTTTGTGTTTTTCCTTTAGTACCTGCTTCTTTCTTTTGCTATTGCACATTTTCACTGCGAGGGAAGCGCACAGCACGTCTAGACCAAGTGATTCATTGTTCACGCAGCTGGATCTGCGCCTGGTTTCCCTTGCTTGAAAGCCGTTGACAGGAAACCAATGAACACCAGCCACTTTGTGTGATGCTGATCTTTGTCTGATGGAAGGAGATGGCTCTTAACCACGTTACAAATCATTCTGCTGTATCTGTGCTAGGTATTCCGAAAAGATGTTGGTAAGATCAATACTCAAGTGCTAACAATCCTCGTCTTTACACCGTCCCAGTCTGGCCAGTAAGTACACATGCCTCCCAAAGACAATTCCCGATACGCCTGCAATCACCATCGAAAGAATACCAGCGAAGACATAACAATCCGTGTGCTTCATTACACTTCTCGGGGACTCATTGGACATCTTAACTCCGTTTTGGCCGACCAAAGGCAGAGGCAGGACACCCTCTGGGCTCTCGAAACATATCCTCACACTTCCCGATAAATCAAGGTAAATAAAGCTTCACGTACTGGGCTGCCAGAGATCAAGGTGTCAATATACGGATGAGCTAGCCGCCCGAGGAGACAAGAAGTTCGATGCCAGTGCTTGCGAGCTGTAAGGGCGAGAAGTGACTCTTGGGAGTCAATTTGACTGAGGACACTTCGAGACGCCAAGGAAATCAACACCCGGATAGCAGAATATTGGTTTGCCCTTTCCAGAGAGATTGCAGTTGTCTGATTTACCGCGTATCTCGAGACATGAGTGCCAATATGACTAGAGATCCGAATGCTCTCGGTAGAGGTATCCAGCGCGGAGTCGTGCTTACACCCGATCGAAACAGCGGCAGTGCGAGGGTCGAGAGCTGGAGGACATAGTAGGGACATGCGATGGGCGCTTTCGAGAGGGGCTATATGCAGATGATAACCCTGAGGAATCGTATCTGTTAATCCTACTTTGTCAGATGATGGAAGTCGCCTAGGAAGGTTTAACGTGTCGTGTTGATTTTGACGCTAGTGCTGTTACATCATTGAGCGATTTTAGTTGGTACCAGAGGATGAGAGACTTATTACCTGGCAGAAAGAAAGCGTCAAACCTATTAAAAGAGGGATTATGGAAACACAAAGACATTTCACCAGATCTCTTAGATAACACAGCAGCCGCACCTCTCTTCTCCATGCCCAGGTCCTTGACCCACACATGATGAAAAAAGAATTCCCCAGAGGGCAAGCGCCAAAGATTGTGCCTCCCAGCCCCCCGAAGGTGACTGAACAGGCGTGTACCGCGCTGTGCAATGCGGCAGACGTTCTGTGGTGAACCGCTCTCTTGACCGCGGCCCACCCAAGCGTAAGTGTGGTACTCGAAGAGGAGAGAAAAAGGAAAGGAGAATTGTTTGACGGGTGATATTTATACATGAATAGGTCGCGCTAGTCCGTTTCGGGTTGGTAAGTCATTGGGCTAGGTTGACTCTCGAGCTGCCAGTTGAGGAAGGTACGCGCGGGTTGGACCGTCCTGGTAGACAGGGATGGTTTGCGGCGTCTACTCCGATTGTGTGTTTATAGTGGTTTACTGCGATATTTTGAAAGGCAGAGTACTTGTTTAAGTACAAAGATAGATACAGGTGTTCAAAGGAAATTTAGTGAACGAGACCTGCATGTGTCAATAGAAAACTGTCAAATATTTGGGAATACTGTAAGGAACATGTTGTGGATTCCAGATGTCTATCATCGAGGAAGACGAGGCCCCTACAGATGACCGACATTGGAGTCCACACCAATAAAGCCAATACCAAGGGGTATGCATAGCTCATTGGAAAAGCTCAACGCAGTCGAAGATCTATGACGGCTCATTAGTTCGGTACCTCGCAACAGCAAATAAAAGACACTCACGAAGTTGGGGCTCAGATAAGTATCCCCAGAGCTACCAGAAACTACCGAGATCGTAATCTAAAGAGGAAAAATGAGCATCTTGAATCGATCCACATCCAAGTCGGTCAACTCACCGTGTTCGTCCCGGCAACAATAGTTCCACTAGGGATAGAAACGTCATAAACCTCCCCAAGGCCACGATACGCACCGCGGGTGACGCCACGAGAATTCAGGTTCGTAGGCGCGGACGGGGTACTTCCGGTATAACTATTGATCTGCATATCATCAGTACACTGTTTAAGCCAAACGAGGCAGAGTTTCCTACCTTTGCCTGCGGTCGACCACCCGCAAACGAAAGCGTCGTTCCAATTCTTAAAGTTGCGGCGCCAGTCTGCGAAGAGGTCGCGGTGAACTTAATCGTAATGGGAGAGTTGACGGACTTGAAAATTGCCATGGGGAACTGCGAGGTGCTCGAGCTACCGACTGTGAATGTACCGGGACTCCAGGAGGACATGCGGCTGTCGGAGGGATGCATGCGGAGTTGGTTTGCGGCGTTGAGGAAGCCGGTTGGTCTAAGTAATCAGCAAAGAACTTCAGATTATGGGGGATTGAGAAACATACTGCCCATCCCACTCCCCAATCCTGAAGATCGTCGTCCCCGTCTTCACGCTACCAGAGATACTCTTCGACGTCGTCGAACCCGCGGTAACAGTAACCGTGGACGTGGCAACCGCGTACTCGCCCTGGTAGTAGACCATCGTATAAGTACCTGGCTTCATAGCGGGGGAGGTAAAGCTCCCGCTGGACGAGGTGTAGGTCCAGTACTGCGCCGCGTCATTGTACCAGTGCACCACCCATTCGAAGGATGAGTCTGCGCCCGATGCGGTGCCTGAAACGTAGCCTCGTCCCGAGGTCGCGACGTAGCCTTTGATGTCGAGGTCAGCGAAGAAAGAGGTGTCGATGTTGGTTCCTGGTGTGCCGCTGCGGCTGAAGTACATCATGTATGGGCCGTGAAGGCCTTGGCGGTAGGATTCGGTTTGGACATGGCCCGAGTTCTATGCTGTTAGATGGGTTCAAATGAGGGAATAGTGGGTGCGTACCATGTACCAGTAGAGACCGGTGTAGGAGCCGACGTTATTGGTGTTAATGTCGCTGGATTTGTTGGTGAGTGTAGTTGTTGCAGGAGCATAGAGAACTTACCGGTGGAAGGGGCCGCCGGCTGAGGTTTCGTATTGAGGAATTATCATGCAGACGCGGTGGGCGCTGCCGGATACACCTGGTTCCTGTTAGAGCTGGATAGGTTGTGGTGTTGGAAATTCGTACAGTGCCTCTGGTCGTCGATGAATCGCTCGCTGGAGTAGAACTTGCTGCGCGTCTCGCCGTCGACAAGATACTGTAATTCATTAGCTTCGTAGTTTATACAAAGGCATATCACTCACCACATCGGATCCTTCGATAGCAGTTCCCCCATCAATGTTCGAGACATCTCCGAATGGCTCTTCATTCGGCAGCAGGTCGGCATTCAGTCGTGCGATATATCGCAGCTCGCCGATCGAGGGTTCTAGCCCAGTTAGCAATGCTCACACCATCCTCCCTGGAAACGTACCAGCAGTGGTATAAGTAGCCATATAGATAATCGGGTCCCCACTATGAACAACATAGTAGTGAGTAAGCGTATCCGTCTCGCAGGTAACCTTGATATAATCCCCTGCAACAATTAACATCGTTCCCAGCATACTCGAGAGGTTATTACGCACCACTCTGTGTCGCTGTCACAGTCGCAGACCCAAGTCCAGAACCAATATGCGACCCAGTGGACTGATACTGCAGCTCAGACCCATAGTAGTTGATGGAGGTAATGTCGCAACTGGTACGGGAAACGGTGAAGTAGAGCGGGTTCGACGATCCGGCGTTCACAACATACGAGCCGCTGTTGGTGGTTAGTCCGAAGGCGGCGTTGGCAACCTTGGCCCAGAGGGCTAGACACACGACGCCCAGGGCTCGGGAGAACATTTTGAGAATAGAAACAGCAGCTCCGTTCGCTCGATCTCTCTTCCTTTTTCTGTGTTATATATATTCGTCTAATGCTGGTGTGCTAGTGTTAGTGCAAGCTGGTCTTTCACTTGAAACCCTCTACGCTTAGCGGTGGAGATTTGTACAGCGATTCTTCATCCCTGCAACGACATTCTCGTACACTAGTGCAGTGTGCAGCTCGGAGATCATCCTAGTTTGGAGCTGGTTCCACCAATCCGACAAACTACCTTCTGTACATCAGTTCGCTTGCACGAGGCCTTATGCACCCCTTTTCGTCATGGCAATTAGATAAAGCTAGCTCAAGCCTTGTTTGATAATTTGCCGGTCGAATATACTCCGATGGATTTATTCATGAGTCCAACCAGGCGTCCCTGCATTCGCTGAGGCTTGCCAAGACCCCTGCAATTCCATGTGGGGAGATGGCTGTTTCAACCGAACGGTAGTTGACCGGAGTAAGACACCGAATAAAATCAGCCGAATAGCAAGTGCTTGGCTGTATATTGGAAATAACTGAAATTTATCGAATCTGTCGCGATGATTCAAATATTGCGCTGAAAACACCTTCGGTCCGCTTTATCGCGAATCCCGACCGCCACACCCATCATCCTCCGCCAAGCATAACTTGCGGGGTACATACTAGCTTAACTAGTTTAACTGGTGGATGATTCTCCAAGACCAGGCACAGCCCAGCCTTGCTAGGTACACCTCCGGCGGAGCTACATCATATCGCTTCGACTAGCACAACAACCCACATTCGTCACAAGACCCATCCTCATATATAATCGTTGTCTATATGCAGTACTAACATTCGCTGTGCAATCGTAGCATCCAAGGTCGAATCTAGCGAGCAGTATACCCCCCATCAACAGGCAAACACACCCCCGTGACCCAACTCGCATCCTCACCCGCTAACACAACAGCCATCTTGGCAATGTCATCCGGAAAGCCGGGCCCCTTGAGCGGGTGTCGGCGGTTCAGATCATCCCAGGGCGTACAATGCGAGGTAGTTTCTTTGAAAATCGCAGTTTGCGTATCTATTCGCGTAGTTAGCCCAGATTCTTGTTGTCGAGGGTGATCGGAACATACACCCCGGACAAATCGCATTCGAATGAATCCGATGCATCGCATAGTCCAGTGCCATCTGTCGGGTTAATTGGCTAACGGCGCCCTTGGATGCGCAGTAGGATGCTAGCAGTATGCGTCAGTATAACACTCGCAAAAGATAACTGATTTTGCGGTATACGAACGATTCTCAGGCCCCGCAATCATTCCCATAATCGACGAAATGTTCACAATCCACCCCCGATCACCCGAGGAATGCGGCTCCTGCGCCAACATCTGCGTGAGAGCATACTTGCAGCCCAGGAAAACGGATTTAGCGTTCACGCGCATCGTCGTGTCCCACGTGTCTTCGGAGGTGAGGTGGAGCACGGCTGGGGAGCAAGCTTCGATGCTTATTCCGGCATTGTTGACGATGCTGTTATGACATGGTTAGTGTTGGTGCTTTGTTTCTCGATGTGGTGGAATATACATGTCAAGTCGGCCGTATTTGGTGACTGTTGTTTTGACGAGGTTCTCCATTTGACTTGCGTCGCCAACGTCTGTTTGGATAAAGATTGCATCACCGCCGTTTTCTGTGATTAAGTCGTGGGTTGTGATGATGGCTTCTTCTGTTAATCGCGCTGTGGGGGAGAGATCGGCACAGGCTACCTTTGCGCCTTCTTGGGCGTAGCGGAGGGCAATTGCGCGGCCCAGGCCTGAGGAGGAGCCGGTCACGATGGCGATTTTGTTTTCAAGGCGGGGGGACATCTTGCAAAGTATTCAGGGTTTTGGATGGATTGGCGGCTGCGATCATTGTAAATATATATATTCGACTGTTGCAACAGATCTGTGGGTGGACTGCGTGGCCCAATTTCCTTTTGTCTGCAACATGATGGAGCCGTGGATGTCGATGTATGTCTGGCAATGGCGATTGGTACAAGTTTCTTCACAGACCACTCGGGTGAGTTGACCTGTTGGGAGAAATCGCGGGGTGGAGGGGCTGTAAACAGGTGGGAAATCTTCCCGAGGAGTTGGGTGGAGCACGTGAGCTCGGCTCGATTGCCGGAATCCATGTTGTCTATACATAGCATATATCTCGCATTTTCAATCAGGAGCTACGCTCGTATCGAGAACAGAACGATTATGGTCCACTTGACGGTCCGGATAGACCTCAAGCCTCCGACCTCGGAAGAGTGGACCTTTTTGGTGCGGTCGCAAACCACAACGACTGACAGACAGATATACATGGCGACGAGTGACCCTAGCACAACAGAATAATCAGAGGCGTTCAATGAATGTATTTGATTACTATTTCTTCTAACGGAACAAATTAGCGCAGAAATAATATGCTGGGAACCCCGTTCACAGGCATGCAAATTTAAGCGCTGAGCAAACTATGTACTTTCTTCGTATCCTCTTCAAAAGTCAGCTCATCATACACAGCTCTATTTTCGACAACTTAACTGGTCCCAGTTAAACGTAGAAGCACAAATTCTAATTCCGACATTTTTATTGGCCTGTAGCTTCACTTGAGTACTGGCTACCTGACAGCCGATCTGCAGTCCAACATTCCCCACGATCGCAACATTCCACCACCCGCCGTTCCCAGCCCCAACATTCCAGCCATGACAGGGATAAAACCGGCTCAATTCGATCAGACTCTCAGAATACACCAAGACGGAAATCGCGAGACATCTTCATTTCTGTCAGTAGTGTTTAATTGCTGTCGCGGACATCCCGAAATAAACACGAGAACAATATTAAGGGTAGGATTGTAGTTTGATTAGAGTAAACATCCCTCACTAATGTAGGAGTGACTGCAACCCTACTATACCCGCTAATCGCCGTCGGGAGTCCGATCGCCGACACATGGAAGCGGGGGTCTGGTTTCGGCACGGCAATCGGTGTTCGCGTGGTGGCTTTTTTTGGGATGGCCGAATTGGGCTCGCCACAACAAATACCCCGACCCAGCAGAAGCAGAGGAGTTACTAGTAGAATTGTTTGTCTTGATTCGGTCGAATTAGTCTTGGCGAGTCCGAGACCGATTCAGGGTCTGGTCTACATGTTGGCAGTGCAGCATAGCCACTAACAGTAGCAGCAGCAGGATCTGGAGTTACATCCAACAACGCCCAAGATGCACTAATGTACGTTGACCAGGGTCTCTCACAAATCTGGAAGGAGACTAGGTAAAGTTTCAAGCCTACCTTCCAGTAACATCACCTTCAAGATCATTCTTAACGTGTCGGCATCGAATCAGACAGGCACACAAAGCGCGGGATCGGCACGCGAACGGATTGTCTTAGCTGTTCCTGACATTCACCCATTCACACTCTCCTCCCCGGAGCTCCACCGGGATGCCTGCAGATGCCCGCGGCCGCAAACACTGTCCTCTTAGTATTGTTCTCGGATGGACCCACCAGCACACTACAGAGCGTAGTGACGGCCTCGTGGAAATGCCTATATACTCGCCATGCCGATCGGCAGTTCCTCTTACTTTTTTCTTTTCAGCAAGAAGAAACAAGAGGAGGTTGAATGTGATATCACTGGCAGGAAAGAGCACGATGCGGTTTTCGATACTTTCTTCATTGGCGACGCTGGCCGCGTTGTCGAGCTCAACTTTGGCAGTGGGATTGAGACAGGGGAATTTCAGGCGTGATTTTCAACTCTCTGCTGAGAAGGGCATTGAGCCTGATTTGGTGCTGCACAAGGGGAGGCATATTCCTCTTTCGCATGTTTCGGAGGCGACGAATGTTATCGCGCAGTATGCTGAAGTATATGATCCCATTCCGAAAGATTGTGAGCACGACTGACATTGAGATGAATAGCTGCCCATTGACCATGGTGATGACTCAGTTGGAACATACAAGAATCGGTACTGGCTGTCGGACAAGTACTATCGCGATGAAGGACCGGTCTTTGTGTACGACGTGGGCGAATCTGCGGCGGAAAATGCGGCGAAGGAGCACCTGGGCAACTCCAGCTCGTTCTTCGCGGAGATGCTGAGCGAGTTTGGCGGGATTGGCATTGTGTGGGAGCATCGGTGAGTGTTGTTGAAGAAAGAAGAAGGCGGCAGCTGACATTGGCAGGTACTACGGCGACTCCCTCCCGTTCCCCGTTTCCGCCGACTCTCCTCCCGAACACTTCGCCTACCTCACCACCAAACAAGCATTGGCCGACATCCCCTATTTTGCGCAGAATTTCTCGCTTGGTGCGCATGCCCATGTCGATCTCTCGCCCGCCGGGACCCCCTGGGTCATGGTCGGCGGCTCTTATGCAGGCATCCGGTCAGCCTTCAGTCGCGATGCCTACCCCGACACCATCTATGCGGCCTTTGCATCCTCTGCGCCCGTCGAAGCCCGCGTCGACATGAACTTTTACTTTAACCAGGTGTATGACGGCATGGTCGCGAACGGGTATAGTAACTGCACGAAAGACCTTAAGGCTGCGCTGGAGTATATCGACGACGAGCTGGCGAAGAACAGCACGGCGGCAGCAGCCATCAAACAAGCCTTTTTTGGTCACGGAGCCGAGAAAAACAACAACGGCGACTTCACCGCGGCCCTTGCAGGCATCTATGGCTTCTTCCAGGCGTACGGCATGGGCGGCGGCGATGGCAGTCTGGGCAGTCTCTGCGAGTATCTGGAAACCGATCCGACGACAGGAACCCCGGCAGGCCCACGAGGCTTCGCGCCCTATCGAGGCCGGAAGTACGTGGCGCAGCGGTTCATGTCATGGCCCACCTTCACGGAGCTGGTCAATTTCAACTATGACACGAACTGCGGCGGCCTGAATGAATCCCTGCCCCTGAGTTGCACTCTCAATCCGAAGGCCAGCGACCCGGACACCATCGCGTGGAACTGGCAGTTCTGCACGGAATGGGGGTTTTATCAGAGTAACAATTTCGGTCCCCATTCCTTGCTGTCACGATACCAGACTCTCGAGTACATCCAGTATACTTGCAATCGCCAGTTCCCCGAAGCGTTGAAAAGAGGACTGATGCCGAAAAGCCCGCAGACCGACGCCCTGAACAACCAGACCGGCGGATGGGATATCCGGCCATCCAACGTGTACTGGAGCGGTGGTGAATTCGACCCCTGGCGGACTCTGTCTCCTCTAGCGACGCAGGACAACGCCCCAAAGGTGACCTTCACCACCGAGATCCCCAAGTGCGGCGTGAAGACAGCTCACGACACATTGTTCGGGTACATCATGCCCAACGCCGAGCACTGTTTCGATTTCCGCACAGAGTTCGGCCCTGGTCGCGTGTCAAGGGCGTACTTTCACAAGGCGCTGAAGGAATGGCTGCCCTGTTTCCAGCCCAGAGCCGCGGTCGGGGATGTGATTCCGGGGGCCCCGGAGAAGAGCCTGGAGGAATGATCTCACAGCTCCACTGTTTTTCCGAGGACTCCTCTGCACGGTGGAGATCGGCGCGCCGATCGGGGGGATCCGACGTGCCTGAAAGGTTCTAGCGAGGCGTCTAGCGAGAGCTAATTCGCGTTCTTCATGTGTAATTAAGCCCTAAACCATTTCGAGGTTTGCTTGCGATTCCTCTCCACGTGCGGCTGGGCCGAGGTGTGTGTCATTCAATGATATCGTCTCCATTTCAGCTTTTGCATTTCATGTCTCGTTTCATTCATTTATTGTAGTCGCCTCCCCCTGATTCACAGAGCGTATCTACGGCTTAAGATAGTTGGATAGTTGGGGTTGCACAAATATTCCCCGACACCATGCTCCTCAGCCCCGCCACCCTCGCCCTGGCGCTGGGCGCACTGTACCTGGCGTTCACAATCCTGAGCTCCATAACAAGCAAAATCCATCACTACCGACAATCCAAGGCCCTGGGATGCGAAGAACCGGTCAAGGGATCAACAGCCTTCTTCGGGATCCCGGGCTTTCTGCGCCTGAGCAAAGCCGTTCGCGAAAAGAGATGGATCGACTACCTGGCCGATCAGTTCGATCTGCACGGAACAACCTTCCTGCAGCGTTTCCTGTCGCGGCGGATCATCGTCACCATCGAGCCGGAGAATATCAAGGCCCTCCTCGCGACGCAGTTTAAGGATTTTTGCCTCGGCACGCGACATGAGCAGTTTGATCCGTTGCTTGGGGATGGCATTTTCACGCTTGATGGGGCGGGTTGGTCGCATGCAAGGGGCTTGTTGAGGCCTCAGTTTGCGAGGGATCAGGTTCGTCAATACCATCAAGCAACGCTGTATATTATTCAGTTGCTAATGGTGTCCAGGTCGCCGACCTAACAATGCTGGACGACCACATAACCCACCTAATCGCCCTAATCCCAAAAGACCGCAGTGCATTCGACATTCAACGCCTCTTCTTCCTCCTGACCCTTGACAGCGCAACACACTTTCTCTTCGGCGAATCCGTCGGCTGCATGTCCCCCGGAACAACAGGGGTGCTAGAGAAATCCGCCGTGCGCAACGCGCAGGGTTTTGCGGAAGCATTCACGACAGCACAGGATTACCTCGCTGCGCGCTCGCGCGCACAGAGCCTGTATTGGCTCGTTAATCCCAAGGAATTCCGCGAGGCGAATGCGCGCGTCCATGAGGTCGTTGATCACTATGTTAATGTTGCGCTGGCACGGAAGCGAAATCCTGAATCTAAGTCTGATGGACGGTATATCTTTCTTGAGGCGCTGGCGGCTGAGACGGATAACCCCAAGATGCTGCGGGATAATATGTTGAATATCCTCCTCGCGGGCCGGGATACGACGGCTTCTCTGTTGAGTTCGACGTTCTTTTATCTGGCGCAGTACCCTGCTGTCTGGGAGCGCCTGCGTCGGGAAATCGTGGATGAGTTTGGCGATGTGCGCAATCCGAAATGCGAAATTACGCAAGCAAAGTTGAAGGATGTTAAGTATCTCCGCTACGTCCTCAACGAGGTTCTTCGATTGCAACCGCCTGTGCCCGTTAACTTCCGCGTCGCAACGAAGGATACCTCCCTCCCTGTAGGCGGGGGTCCGGATAAGCGGTCTCCGGTATATATCCAGAAAGGCCAGCTCGTCGCGTATAATGTCTTTGCTATGCACCGCCGGACGGATTACTGGGGGAAGGATGCGAGGATTTTTAGGCCGGAGCGCTGGGAGGAGAATGCGAAGCATGGGTGGGAATATTTGCCCTTTAATGGGGGTCCGAGAATTTGTCTTGGTCGTGAGTTGCTCCGCATATTGTGAGATGGCGAAATTGTGTGGGTGAAGCTAACTGTTGCAGAACAATATGCCCTGACGGAGGCGAGTTATACGGTTGTCAGGCTCATGCAGCATTTTGATACGGTTGAGAACGCGGATCCGCATCCCCTTCAGGAGCCGATTAAGAATTCGAATTTGACAATGATGCATGATCGGGGGGTGCCGGTTAAGTTGTATTCCTCGGATCAGGTTTGATTTTACTGGGGGTACATGAGTGATGATGGATATGGCTTATGCAGTATATATGAATGTTAGTTTTTTCCTACGCTTATGGGATTGTTGCTCAGAGGTGGGCTGTAGTGGAAAGTGGTTTTTCGCCAGAGATCACAAATCTACATGGGTCTATTTGAATTTGTTACAAATGCTTGGAGCTGTGTACTGCACACTCAAGCAATCTCGTTCCACATCAGGCTTCTTCTTGTGCTCGCTGCCATCCCCGGTGGCCGCCACTTTGCCCCCCTTATCCACCCTCTTCTTACTCTTAATTTCCCTCCACTCCATACAGACCGCAGGAACAACACCAAAGCAGATCGTCCCAAGAGCAATATACCACGTCATCGTAATCGCCCGACTATACACATCCAGCACCTCCGGCATCAACCCCGGCGGCACAAGATGTCGAAATTCAGTCGCACCAGCAGAAGCAATACTCGCCGCCGTCCCAGCACCCAGACCACGAATGCCATTCAACCCACTAAGGAGACTCTCACTAAAAACCGTCTCCGCAACAGATAGAAAGATAGTCCCACCAAGCTGCTGCCCAAAGAAAACAAGGGCCATCCCAATCGGGATATCCGCTGGTGGCAGAACAGCCTGCACGGCAATGATCGACTGTTGCTGTCCCAGCCCAATCCCCAAGCCACAGAGAACCTGCAGACCGATCCACGTCGGATGCGTAGTATTGGGACTGAACTTAGCTGTCAGCAGGCCAACCCCGATGGGAGCGATTATACAGCTGAGGAGCATGGTCGGATTGTAGTAGCCGAGTTTACTGGTGACGAGGCCGCCGAGCGTTGATGCGATGACGAGAGAGAAGAGGAACGGGATGAATGATAGCCCTGCATTTACGGGGCTGTCGCCCTTCACGGCTTGGAACCAGGTTGGGATGTAGTACACCAGAAGCGTCATGGCGGACATTGTTGCGGTTGCGAAGCCGATGCCGGACAGGATGTTTCGCTGGAAGAAGATCCTTCCCGGGACGGTGGCGTATTCTTTTTTGATGTACTGGATGGTCAGCCAGGTTAGTAGTGTCACTCCGAAAACCACCAACAACGCGATGATCCGTCCGTCGTCCCACGTGTAGGTCGATCCACCCCACTGAAGTGCAAACACGAGACAGACAATACAAGGAACAAAAACAACAAGCCCCAGTAGGTCCAGCTGTCCAACCTTCTCCTTGAAAGACAGTCCAGACCCGGCAGGCGAAGGAATCCTTACAAGAACCCAAACAGCCACAACCGCAACCCCGGCAATAGGTAGGTTAATATAAAAGCACCAGCGCCACGAAACATTCTCCGTAAACGCGCCTGCAAGAAGCGGACTCACAACCGACGCAATGGCAGATACACTCGCAATCAGGCCAGCGTAGACAGGTCTCTTCTCGAGCGGCGCAACGAAGACAAGGATCTGCATAACACCGCTCATCACTCCCGCGGAGCCAGCGCCTGCGATTGCCCGTCCAATTGTGAGAGCCGTTGACGAGGGCGCGGCGCCGCAGACGGCGGACCCAATTTCGAAGAGCAGGATTGAGGAGAGGAAGATGGACCGTGTGTTGTGGAATTTGTAGATTTTACCGAAGAGGAGTTGTAGGCTGCTGTTTGGGAGGAGGTAGGCGCTGCCGTACCAGGCTATGTCTTTTATAGAGTCTGTGTTGATTAGTTCTTGCTGAGCAGAGGCTGAGGGTGTTTCGGGGTCTGTTGAGGTGTAGTGTGAAGGCGTGGGAGAGTGTAGGGGAGAGTGTAGAGCAGTGTTATGGTCTTACCGAATTCGTCAGTGATGTAGGGGATCGCTGTTGCGATGATTGTTCGGTCCTGGCCGGGTTAGTAGCTATCGGAGGCGGACACTGTGTGTTGGACGATAGACTCACCAAAGACACCAGGAACATGGATGTCATGATTGCGATGATGATCGTGAGCCCCTTGGCTGTTGATGGGTATTCGTGGGCGTTGGCCTCGGGTCCAGGTTGCTTGGTGCCTTGGTGGCTCTTGTTTTGCTTGTCGTTTTCCATCGCGATTTTCATCCCTGAGATAGCTAAACAAGGTGAAGAGTCTCGGATAGAACGACATGATTTATCGTGAGAAATTCTGACTTTATATATTGAGAGGAAAGCACCTCCTGGTGAGTTCTGGCCCAACCCTCCGTTCCTCCGTTGTGATGCTCCGTCCATTCTCCGACGCGAACGGTCCAGCCAGAAGTCGTCTTTTCGGGGCTTGGAGATTTGCCGGACTTAAAATGACCTGCAAGCTCCATTAATGGTCCGTTCTCGATGAGAATGAGATAGGAATGCCCCAAAATGCGATGGATGCAGGTCGCATATATCTCAGAAGTTTGCAACGGGATCGCCGCACAATGTCGGATTCGATTTCGTGTTTGAGAGCGGAAACGACAAGATAAATTAGCTCTCATCAGGTAAGGGAACATGCAGTAGATCTGAGGATTATTAGGTACTTTAAGACTGGCAATTCCTCCACCATCGCGACGCACATCGCACTTAAGGCCCTAGTCGTATCCTCAAACAGTCTCATTTGTATGTGGTATAGGCTTCCTGAGTGCACTGAAATTGGTCTGCCTGAACGCCACATCGGCCTTTGCTCCTGAACCCATCAGGCACAAGTTCCGTCACTGACACAGGCGACTCGGTATTTCTGCTCATCAACACAGCACTGGACGCTCTGTCGATAAGCCCCACACAAACGAGGCTTAAAGGACGAACTAATGCAGCTTCAACCTCTTTATTAGTCAATCTCAAAGCTTCATCCCGTGTGAGGCTCTGCAGGAAGTAAATAATGGCTCATCACATGATGTTTTGTGGCTGCCGCTAACAGCCCCGCCATCGAAGCTCTTCCCAATTCCAATTCTCTTTTACGCTTGACCCGCATGCAGATTCCTCAATTCAACAAGCTGTCTAAAATGACGGAAATCGAAGCCACCGAATCCATTCCTAGCACCTCTACACAGGGCGATATCGAATCGATTGCCGACAACATCAAAAATGGCCATATTAGCCGCATCGTCGTTCTCACGGGCGCCGGCATCAGCACGTCGGCCGGTATCCCAGACTTCAGATCTCCAACGACAGGACTGTACGATAAGCTCGCTCCTCTAAAGCTACCGTATCCCGAGGCGATCTTTCACATTAGCTACTTCTCCCATTCGCCCGAACCCTTCTATGCAATCGCGCGAGCGCGTCATCCGGGAAACCTCAAGCCGACAATTTCGCACGCATTCCTAGCCTTGCTGGCGAAGAAAGGGCTCCTCCACTATCTCTTCACGCAGAATATTGATGGTCTCGAGGAGGATGCTGGTATTCCGACTGACAAGGTACTCTGGGCACATGGGAACTGGAAGAGTCAGCATTGCTGGAAATGCAAGACTGAGTACCCGGATGACCTCATGAAGAGAGCGATCCATAATGGTGAGGTCCCGTATTGTCTGAAAGCCGAGTGTGGGGGTGCGATCAAGCCGAATGTGGTGTTCTTTGGGCAGTCGCTACCAAAGGAGTTCGACGAGAAGGAGAAGGTAGTGGGACAGGGGGATCTCATGCTCGTTATGGGGACGAGCTTGAAGGTCGCACCATGCTCGACCTTGCCACGCCTTGCCAATAAAGGTGTACCCCGGCTTCTCATCAACATGGAGAAAGCGGGCGATTTCGGAAATCGGAAAGAAGATGTTTGTATGCTGGGCCCATGTGACGATGGCGTCCGTCGACTTGCCGATCTTCTGGGCTGGAGAGATGAGCTCGAGACATTGTGGAAAGACGCGGTCGATGCCAAGGAGGATGTTCTCAAATTTCAGGATGGACCGAGCTTAGACGAATGCATTGCAAAGATGGCGGCCCAGATGGATGCTCGGCTAGGCATTTCGAAAGGCCATAAGAACATGCTGGAGAATCATCTCAGCGACAAGTTTGCACAGATGATGTCAAAAGGACCTTCTTGTCAATAGCTGCATCCAAAACAAAATTTGACTTCCTCCGCGTGTGGCTTTGCCTTTCCCTTGATCTGTTCTCTGAAACTCTATCGGCTTCGCCACATGGCACAAACCACTGGTATTGACATTGCTTATATCTATGCAGTGATGACATGATGATGGGACATGTCGTGCCCCTGCCACCGATCCCAATGGATTCCGGAGCTACGTACCGCATACACGACTCCGATCCACAATCTACGATCGCAAATGCAACCACACATCCCAGAAGATGGCCCGCCACAGGCACAAGGAGAACGACCTCCCTCACATCCACCGCTACATAACAACGCACAGCACCGACGGCGAAGCAGTATTCGTTTCCCATGCCCAGATCCCGGACTACATGCCCTCGAAGCCAGCAGGCGAAGACGGGGAGATCGCCCTACTCTACGCGACAACAAGCGTCCCAGTCTCTATCGACGACGAAGCCGATATCGCCATGTACGACGAATTCCTGCACCAATCGCCCGGCCTTACGACCGAACAAGGGACTGTGTTTCGAATGATCGATCTGCGCCCGGGAAAGATGACCCCGATGCATCGGACGGTCAGTCTCGACTATGGAATTGTTCTCGACGGAGAAGTGGATTTAATTCTTGATTCTGGGGCGAGTCGACTGCTTAGACGTGGCGACGTTTCTGTGCAGCGTGGGACGGCGCATTCGTTTCGGAATCGTAGCTCTACAGAGTGGGCGAGGCTGCTATTTGTGTTTTTGCCCATGCAGCAAATTACGATTAAAGGGAAGGAGCTCGGAGCTGAGGTTTATGATGATTGGTATGACAAGGCAAATGACTAGCCTCGGTTAAGAATCGGACTTTGAGCTGCGCGTGCCAGATCTGCTTAGCCAGCAAGGGATGGCTTCACTGGAATATGACGTCGACCTTGGACTTATCTGTACTCGATACCGTCAGTCTAATCTAAAATCGACGCTGTTATGCTGCTGAACTCACAGAAAGCAATGTGGTCCTTGATATTTTTCGCCTTCTCATACGGCTCTGCATAGTACCAAGCGGCGTCTTCAACAGTCGTTTCTTCGATCTTGATTAGAACCCATCGTCTAGCGTTGTTAGGAATGCATACCACCAGTATTAATCGTGTAGTAGTTCGCGGTCCCTTTCCAAGGGCAAAATGTTGTTGTGTCTGTTTTCACGAAGGATGCTTTGTCCTGGACTGCTGAGCGGGGGAACTGTAGCCGTCAGCTTGGGGCCATATTGGATCAGATCAATCAACACACGTAGACATTTCCTTCGACTTCCTCCCAGGACTCGGCCTCCGCGATGACAAGGTCCCCGAGTTTTGCTTGCGCGGTCGGCATGTTGGTCGGTGATGTTTTGCGATCGTTGCGTCTCGCATTCCCCCGAGATCGCGTCACGTCACTGCCGGGGTCGTGCGGGGAAACAATCTCAGTCAGCATTTATGAATCTACCGTTCGGCCTTTCCGAGCTTCTATTGGAATGGTTGCGGCATAAAATTTTCAAAGAAAATCCATACGATCCTCCATCGTACTGCACCTTTCCATGAACTATACTGTTGTACTTGGAGTACACAGGACTACATTGTAAGGGTTCAGTGTATATTGGTAAGACGGAGGTATGTGCGATATGTTGAGATGGGCTATGACGAAGCACTGAATATAGAATGAGGGCCTGCTAGACAAATCGACCTTAATGGAATTGACAGAACTTTTGCTTGACTGTATTGTGTTGTCTACGTGCGATTCTGGGGGTATTTATCCCTGAACGGACGGCAAGCCCCTGACAGTAGTAAATCCCTCATAATCGGTCTCGATCGGGGTTCTTCCATGAAGATCTCCCGAATGTAGAATATAATGGTGGCAAGAGAGCTTGAAGCGTATATCAAGCTCAGTGCCTCCGGTTTCCCAGGACAGGCATGCCGACAGAGGTTGGGAATGAGGCATCAATTCGGTGCCTTATCCTGGAACCTCAACGCGATATATATTTCCAGGCATGTGGTATGGAAGAAGGACCAACATTATTTGTTCCTGAAACCTCGAAGAATTTGCAATCCCAAAATAGGCCTTGCTTCTTTTTGTGGCTTCTGAATTTGACATCGTTTCAGAAAACAACAGAAGGTGGATTGTGATGTCGCTGTTTCGGCATTTCGCGCTAACTCCGAGCCCAAGGCGCTGGCAAGCATGAGATTTGTCATCAGGAACAGCCTTGCCAAAGAGTAGCTTGGACAAAACAACCTTAGCTGAATTCATTGAAAGGCTATCGCGCTTCGAGATATAGCGTCTACCAAGCCGCCAATAAAATTGACAAGAATCAAGCTCCTCTTCAGCCTCATGGATCATATTATAAATGCTCGATTATCAATCTTGTCAGATCAATGTCAAAGGAACGTCCCGAGGCCGAAGACCCACCGCACTTGTTCAAATCAACACTGAAGAAAGGGAAGACGCGAGAATTGTTTTGATGATGTCCGAAAAACTATAAAGTCTACTGCGTGATACGCCGGATAGGCTCAGTCGGCATTGCTGCAATCACACCTCAAAGAACTCCCACTCCAACCAAAACCTTCAAATGGACACCCCAATCCGCCGCATCATCACAGGACACGATCCCAAGGGCAAGGCCTATTTTGCGTCCGATGAGGTCTTGACTCCCTACGACCCGACCACCACACCTGAATTTTCCACCCCGGGTCCAAACTCAGGCTTCGGCGTCGTTCAAATCCACCGTTCCCGCGGCTTCCCCGTCGACAACATGCGTGAGCTTCCCGATCCGCATAAGAGCCTCGTTCCTCTCGCCGACACTAAGGGTCCCTCCTGTCGCATTCTTGATCTGCCGCCCGCCGAACACGGATGGATGCATCGTACTCTGAGCCTCGACTACTTTGTCGTTCTGTCTGGTAAAGTCGGGCTCATTACGGATGGGGGAGTGGAGAAGATCTTACAGCCGCATGATGTAGTAGTCTGCCGTGGAACGAATCATGAATGGGTCAATCGGGGGACAGATGTCGCGAGACTGTTTGCTGTTGTTGTTCCTAGCAAGGAGATTGTTACTGAGAATGGTGTTCGATTGGAGAAGACGCCTGCTGGTCCTATTTATGACCCTGAAGAGGAAGAGGATTGAGTAAAACTAGCGATGGAAATACTAGCGATGGAAATTGGAAACATCTAGCCGAAAGCTCAAAGATAAATGAAGGCCTTCCTGCCTAATGGACTAACGCCTTGCAAATGTATTACTGTTCGCCGTATCATCAAAATTAAGAAGTTAGAATTCTAATTTTATTTTGAAATTTATTCTGAAGCAAAGAACGGAATGGAAATAATTGGCTAGGTCTCTGGGTCACTCCGATTGTTGCAGATGTTCAAGTTGCTCTGGAGATTGAAGTGCCACCGCGCTAGCGGCTGACTTCTCACTTCCTGACAGCCGCCGGCTACACCCTCTGTCCCTCTGTTTTCCAGACACACTCTTCCCATTTCTGGCCTTTACTCTTGAGGCAGCTACATTCCTTCGGGTAATGCACTTTGTATGTGCGTGACAGAATATATTTTTTTCGACCGACTACTCCTGTTCACCGAAAACTCATCTAGAGCATTCGTGACCATCCTTTGATTACCAGCTCAATCACCAACCTCATCAGGCTTCCTGCTTCCCGTCAGAATGGTTCACAATCCGAATGAACAGGTCCATGTGCCCTTCACAGGTACCCCGGCCCCGATCCCACCCACCAGACTCCGCATCTTCCGAGCGCGCCGCAACCCCGTTGGCAATGGCCGGCTCGTTTCAGTCCTGTTCGCCAACTCGACTCTAGACGTTCGTTCCCGGTACTATCCAACGGCCACCTGTGAACTTGTACCCCACGAGCGTAGATCGATTGGACGGACCCTTGGTGTGCAGTACTTCGCCATCCTCCGTGGTAACATCAGGATCATCGTCGCCGGTCGAGAGCGTTCCGCTGTCACAAATGATGTCGTTGTTTGTGGTGGGTTGGATTTCGAGTTGGTCAATCGCGGAGTGATTGTTGTGGAGCTCATCATTGTTTTTGATGATACCATGTTCCAGTTTCACCAGCACCCGTGAGGCCGAGATTGACTGCCTACGCGTCAAAGGAGCTGGTGACTGAGGAGGCCTACTGTGGAGGCTTGTCTTGCCCTTTCCGACGAGGCACAGAGGACCGGATTTTCGGTAAGTTAAATTTCTTCAAATAACACTCACATTGAAACCGCGCAGATCATTTACTCTATGATATTCGAACACGAAATTCAATCACATCTGAGAGCATCATGCCAGTGTATCCTTCACCTGGCCGACAAAGTCCACGACAGTTTCCTTGAAACTGCGATACTTGACACCCAGCTCATTAGCAACCGTTTGTCCATCAACCCCGTATGGAGCATGGGGCTTTTGCCCAGACTGATAGTTCGAAGTAACAGTATCCTTAGCCCACTCGAAAGTATCCTTCATAATATCCGCAGCGTACCCATAAGAGAACGGCTCCAGGGCAGCAGGCAAGAACCGCTTCCCACCAGTCTCTGGTCTAAGTAGAGCCTGAACATGAACCTCCGCCAGATCCCGCGCATCAATCCACGCAGGGACCCGCGAACCAGGAAGAGGATCCACACCAGCCGCCACGCTCCAGAGGACAGAGTTCGACTCATTGAGCTGCTTGATGTTGTGGACTGGATGTACGACTGGACCAAAGACCATTGGCGGGCAGAGGGTAACTAGATCAAAGCACGGCTTCTCGGTCTTGACAAAGTCCCACGCTGCGAGCTCGGCGAATTTCTTCGATCCTCTGTATGCGACCACGGAAGTGGACTTTGGGTCGACGGCGGTGTCGTAGCTAAGCGGGTTCCAGTGTTGGGCAGTGTATGTGAAATCGGGGGAGGGAGTGCTATCGACGTCGACAATCGAGGCGAATGAGGAGGTTAGCACGATGCGTTTCACGGTACCGGCCTTTGCGGAGGCTGTGAGGATCGACTTGACGCCATTGATGGCAGGGATGATGAGTTCTTGCTCGTTGTTGGTTGTGTCGTAGAAGAATGGCTGTACATCATTAATCAAGTCGTCCTACCCCAGGCTAAAATATAATCTCACACTGGCAACGTGGATGACCGCATCTATGCCTTCCATGACAGAGTCAAACACGCCAATCTGAGTAAAATCCTCAACAACGACAAAGTCGAGTCTGGACGCGTATTGCGGTCGCGCAGCTTTCATCTCTTCGCCCTTCGCTGCTGACCGCGTGGAACCTCGGACCTTGAGGCCCTTGGCGAGAAGGTTGTCGACAACATGGGCGCCGATGAAGCCAGTTGCGCCGGTGACGAGGACGTAACTGAGAGTTTTAGTAGAGTGAACAAGACGTTGGGTTGTGGGGGAGTCGTACGATGCGGCCTGAGCTGTCATTTTGGAATTGGTCATATATTCTGCTCGAATCGAAAGAGGATCAGAACGACACCAGGTACTGAAGCAAGAAGAGTTACCCCGTGTGGGGAAATGCGGACACTCGAAACTGATGCTCGGAGTGCCTCCGATCTAATCCCACACTACCCCACCTTTCCCATTTAGTGTGGGGGCTATCTTCGGACTATGCAACGAGCCGCATTGACAATTCCACGAAGGACATTTCTACGTTCATTGCAAAGAACCCATACTAATTTTGACGAATACAATCAATGATTGTGACAAAAAAAACATTCTGCATTGGACTCTTATGCAACTAGGAGGGCCCGTCCGTCAACAGTGTCTTAAGGCATCTCAGGAGCCTGCTTCGAGCCAGCAACGGCAGTTACAAAGTCACGACGCCGAGTAACAAATATCTCAGCCATGATCGGAATATTCGAGTTTTTCATGTTTCCACTCTTGATCTGTGTAACACCAGGCATGCCCTCAGGCTGGGAGAAGATGCTGGTTCCGCAGTCTTGAACCGTCAGCTCGCTCGTCACAGTGAACGAAAGTGGTGTTCTACTTACCTCCACAAAAGAAAAGATGGTGCTTTTTTCCAGACAGATCTCCGGTACGTGCCCATGTCTTGGGGGTTCCCTTCGTGATGGCGAAGTTTGTCGTCAGAACGGCCACGTTCGAGGAGAATGCGCTGCCGCCCCATTGTTGGCAAGCGGTGCAGTGGCACAGTGCGGTCAAGGCAGGTTCGCCTGTAGTTCTTACGTTAGTAGCTAAATAAGGGGAGTTGTTGTTTGAGGTATTCACCGGTGTATTCGAAAGCAATGCTGCCGCAGAGACAGTTTCCAGAGCCAGGCATGTTTTTGGGGGTTTTGGTAGAGATGAAACGAATTGGGGATTTCTGTGATTTGCTGTCCAGGCGATGCTTGGTGCAGGGAATAGTCAGGATAGGACAATGCATTTATACATCATTTCTTAATGTGATTCCACATCATCTCGGACACACCGGATCATGATTCCAAAGATTGTAGGGTGGTGCTTACCCAGATTTAGGATAAGAGCACGGAGCGGAAGATCTTTGGAATCATTCCCAGCATAGGATCCACTTTCAAAACCGGGTGGAATTTGAATCATCATTACTTTTCCATGAGGTATAGCGTGCATTCAAGTGACCGATTAGGGTGTTCTATTGAGGATTTCATGCCGTTTACTTTCCTGGGAGAAAAGTCACAGACTGTGGTCTGGCTATTCTTCTATTCAATGGATAAAGAGGTTGAGCGCCAGAAAAATCGGCCTCTCGGGCCGTAGTATATCAGAATAATTCGCTATACAGGTCTTCAAATATACCATCCTCTATCAAAGCACCAAACCTGAAACATCATCAGCGTATATTTTTTTTCAAAAAGGAACAAGGACATACCCATAACACTTAATATGCGGAATCATAGCAGACCTTAACCTTTCCAGATTCCGTAGATCCAAGTTGGTCAGTTGGATGCGACTTGTTATCCTGTTCCAAGCCTGGACTGGCGTAATATATCCATCCAGATCCAGACATCCAGACAGCTCGAATAACCGATCGAGTTGTTCGGTGGGCACCTCCCATGAAGTTTGATCCTGCAGTTCAAGTGGCGCCCCTGCCAGTAGGATTCCCTGCATTGACATGGCGTGTCCGGATGGTAGTTCGGGGTCTGATGGTCTGGTGTGGAATAAGCAAGGACGTTCCAGACTACTGGGGTTAGTTTGGAATCATTGACCGGGGTGGTTTGGTGTGGGGCTCACGAAAGGACGAAGTCTACGCCTAGTTGGGCGAAGCTGGTGTAGGTTTGAGAAGGGGCCAGCGAGACGCTGCCGTCGGGTCTTGATTTTTGTTGAATTGATTCCAAAGCTGTTGATGGGGGCTGAGTTTGGCGTGGGTGGGGCACGTCGTTCTTCGGTAATTTGACAGATATATCTTGGTGGGAACGGTGATCGCCGAAAATAGTCACTTCCGCCAGACGGGGAGGTTGCGTTGCGTATTCCAGTGGTACTTGAATTGAATGTCGCGCAATAATGTCGCGCAGGACGTCATTTTCAAATCGTAAATCCGAGAGCTCGTCTGCTAGCGTGGTCAGACTGTAAAGACGGTGTAGCTCGTCTTCGAGTTTCCGCAGACGAAGGTCTTTCTGTTCACGGTGTTTCCTATCGTATATAATTAGCAATCTAAACTCAATAGGGTCATGTTATTGCTGCGAATATCTCACTTCTGTGCTTTTCGCACTTGCTCTCGTCGACGATCGTAATTTGTGGACCTGGTTGTCGATGATGGGTCTTCCGGACTTGATGCCCCACCATCATTTCGCCTCGTAGCATCTTTCGACGGTGCCATATTTTCTGCAAAGATGAATTCTCACCGCTGGTCGCACACCAAGGTCCTCAGTTTCAGGCTGGAATCCGTGGCAGACAGAAGGACGAGCAAGCGAGCAGTTAGCGTTCGATCCCACTTACATAATCACCGCCATTTCACCGATTGGTTGACAAAAAGCAGCCATGTTTAGAGCAGAAAGAGCAGCCATTCACAGCCCGCCATGACAGCCAAGTGGAGTCCTGTCAAAATGATTCCAAAGCACGGAAAAGTCTAATGATTCCACATGGCCTCGCATACTCCTCAGCCCACTCGTGTCGCTGACAGGATCGGATGTGCCTTCATCCAGGAGGGGACGACGTGGCCTTGGGCCTTGTAGTGTACGGACGAAGGTACATTCTGTCATTTTAATGACATTAGGGGCTCTAGTCAGTAGGTGGTAGGCATGCAGATAAACACACATTACAGCTGGGTGTTGTAGAACCGACTAGGAGAAGTCATTATCTTGTGCCTTGTCCGGAATACAGACGACGAAATTTAGTTTGTTCTTTTCATGTGATAGCATGATTGGCTCGATTGCAATAGCAATAGCGAGAATGCTTAAGATCATACCTGTTATGTTGTACGACACCCCCAGATGCTTGAACAGTATCCTGTAGCTCTGCAGCCCCAGAGTGAAGAAGGATTAATGCCACGACAACATAGTTACCAGTTCTTTGGCTTTGTGTCTTTGCTTACGAGCAGCCTTGCTCTCGCGAGGCTCCTGGAGAACGGTCTGTGAGACGGTTCCAGCATGCAGGACGAGGTATTTCTGGTCTCTTTATCATCTGATGTCGAGCGGCAGAAACGATATCTCGGGGGTATTACGACCTGTTTCTGGAACTATGTGAAAGCTTTGCCGTCTTAAATGTCCATTACGGCGGGCCAACAGCTCCCCAAAGGGGGTATCATTTCCATGTCTCGGTTGTGCCCTTCCTTGTCACCGGGCGGTCTTCGGAACAGATAGCCTCTTCAAGGTGAGGGCTTCGACAATCTCATACCGACCTTTTCATCGTGTTTAGGGGTATATTATAGAGTTGCCTCCTAGGTGGTTGCTTCAGGAGGGAATTAAGCATCGAAACGTCACCACTTGAGGTGGTTCTCCAGGGAAACCTGACGTATTTGGCCACAACTCAATCAGCTCGGAGCTGGACTTGACTGTGAAACGACCGAAGTTGAAACAGCAACTGAAGAGGTTTTCGAGCTTCGAACCTCGAACAGACGTGTATTCGCGAAGGACGTATGTATTCACGTGGAAACATATACGTGAAGCATCTCTCTGATAAGTTCCATTAAGAGATATGTCTTTCACTGTTTCGGGAAAGCACAGCGTGTCTTGTGAGAATGGAATGATACACTATAAATAAGTGCTGGCGTTGCGATCAAGTGAGTGCAAGCGTTGATGTCTTCAGCTTTCACCCTCATCAGGTGACATCGAGGCCCCGGATGCGTGGGACTGTAAATTTCTCGAGATTTCCTGTCCTCCTGGTTGGGAGAGTATCGCCCCGCAGGAATTTCCATCAAACTAATAGATTCTCGATTCTCCTTCATATAACTACGTAAATTCCCTTGAGCGTCTCATACATACCAAGACAAGTTCACAGTCTGAAGCCTAGCCCAAGGGCCCAGCGACACCGGAACATGCGGATTTTCCGTCGATTCGGTACTTTGCTTGTTTAGAATCATGTAATGCTGCAGTGTGAAGATACGGCCCCTTAAGGTAGAAGGTTTTCGATCTCATCCAGAAGGCCATTGCAACCTTGGCTATCATAATCGTTTAATGCTGAGCGATCCTCTATGGCAATGCGGTCGAATCGTCGCTATTTCTGGCGAAGGACACAGCAATATTCGAACCCGGGAATTAACTCTAGATCGATGAAAACAGAGCCCAACACTCAGCAGGGTAAACTCCCATTACACCGCCGTCCCTGTAGCTTGATAGTATCGATTCGGGGAGTTCATTTTCTCATTGTGGGAGTCTGCCCTGAGAACTTACTCCCAATCCTTTCTCAGACACCTCAAGACTGCCTTGGAATGAAAGTGCCGCGACTGATTAGATTTCATTTGTCTGGATTGTTACCCACCCCAACGAGGCGGCTCGTGCCTCGGCACGTCGGGTATGGAGGTCGGGATCTCAGCTGTAGATGCTGATAACAAGTTGGCAGACATATGAAGGAAAAATCAAATCTGGGTGAAAACTTTGTTTATAGCCGCACCGCTGACCTTGATGAAGGCTTTCTGAGGCGCTCCCCGCATTTTTGTCACATGTTTGTCCCTATCATCACTCCCTTTCCCCCTTCCCCCCTCGCCCCCCGGCACATATATGAGGAAGGAACAATCGAATTTGGATCAAACCTAGTTTTAAATCCTTTTCAAGGACCACGATGATGGCTTTTGAGGTACTCACTGCCCTGTCGACACGACTTTGCTTCCCCTCGGCGTTGCTGGTAGCCGCGGGGTTAGCAGATAAATGAAGAAGATCCAACTTTAGTGAAACCTCATTTTGAATTCATATCACTGGCCAAGACGAGAGCACTTTCGTGCACTTCCCCTGTTGTTGTCACATAGTTGTCTCCCCCAGCCAAAGAAGTGATGTGGGTGGTAACTGCCGGTGAGCAGATACATGAAGAAGCAATTAACCAGTTTGAGTTAAATATGGTTTAAATCCTCATCACTGGCCAGGATCAGGACTTTACGGGGCGCTCCCGTATTGTTTCCACGCGCTTGTCCAATCATGGCCACATCAGGGGCGTCCGATGTACCTGCAGGTCGTCTGTGCCACACTGTCGACGGTCAGACTGCGGCTGGTAAAGTATATAGCGCAGCCTATATCTGTGCACGGTCGAATTTTCTATCGTCTGCCGTGAAAAGAGTTGGAAAAAAGTGGATTCTTTCTTGGCGAAAACGGGTTGTTGAGTCGAAGGAAGCAAAAATGATAGAGAGCGTCCCCCTTCAGACAAGACAGTTACGGGATATTGATGATACCCGTGCGGCCCCGTAGACAAAGCCGAGTAGGATTTCAGCACATTGACTGGGGTCGCCATGCCAGTGGCGAGTGATGTTCCTGCAGAACGGTCGAGTCGCGTGCGGGTGGAGAAGGAACGGGTGGAGCGAGGGAGTGGCGACGGCCGGCTTCTCTTCGTCGGCTTTTTCCCAAGACTTCCTCCTCCCCAACCTCCGCGTCGTGCACAGCTCGCGGGCCAAGATCCTGCATATTCGCGCATTCTCGAGTCTCAAATTAATTCTCTCATTTTTGTACATCCATCCCTGTGCGCCAATCCGTCTGATTTCACGCTCCACCGGTGTTGATTGGGGAACCCACCGGCTCCTCCTGCGCCCCTCTTCCCCAGTTCCTCCACAATTGCGGTTCGCAATTTCCTGTCACCTCATTTCTCCCCTCTTTTCCCCGGCAATTCTCCTCCAAGAGCGAGCAACTCTCTCCAACCCGGTGTTTGTCGCTCAACGGCTCCCGTGAGCCCTCCCTGGCTACGCAGTTACACCCGCGGGTGCCGACAGTGCCTTCACCCTCGGACGACCGGAGACGAAATTTCACCGGCCATTGCTTCGCACACGTCCAGCAACTCGAGACAAGCCCAATTGCCCTCTGCGAGAACCGCGAGACGCTCTCCACGCACATCTCCGAGCAGTCGACTCGGATGCCGTCCACACGCTAAGACTCCTACGATGGCGCTGACACCCTACCACGCCACCACACACCGCATACGACCAGGGCTCCTGCTAGGGGCTCGCCCTCCACCTGCTGCCCAAATCACATAGCGTCGCGCCGCGACACACGCGACATGCACGAACCGGGGCTATCCGAGCCCCCGGACGGCCTTATCGGAGGTTATAAGGGTGGCAACCTGACCGTCCGCATTCTCATGATCGTCTTTTCGTCCATCGCACTGTACAATGCCATCGAACTGTTTATACTCCTCTTCCTCACCTTCCAGCACTACCGCGGCCTCTACTTTTGGACACTCCTCCTTTCCGTCGTGGCAGGCGTCATCCCCCACACAGTCGCCTACATCCTCGAATTCTTCTCCCTCGCGCCGCTATGGCTGGCCCTCACCCTATCCACCATCGGGTTCTATGTCATGGTCCCAGGCCAGTCCGTGGTATTATACTCCCGTCTGCATCTTGTGGTCCAAAGCCATCGCATTCTACGCTTCGTGCTGTGGCTCATGATCGTCGACGCAATCCTCCTCCTCATCCCCACGACCGTCCTCACCTTCTCCACAGCCTATATCCAAACCACCCCGTTCATCCGCGGATACAATGTCATGGAGCGCCTGCAGTTGGCCTGGTTCTGCGCGCAGGAATTCGTTATTTCGGGCATCTACATCTACGAGACAGTCAAACTGCTCTCACTAATGCCAGAGAAGGACCGAAGGCGGTCAAAAATCATGTACGAGTTGCTAGCCATCAACTTTGTCATCATCATGCTCGACGTCGCGCTGTTGGTCGTCGAGTACATCGGGTACTACTCCCTCCAAACAACACTCAAGCCAATGGTCTACAGCATAAAGCTGAAGCTCGAATTCGGCGTATTGGGCAAACTCGTTTCCCTGGTGCAGACTCAACGCTCTCAGCCAACCTCCACAGAACATGAAGAGTACCCCGGCTTCGTGGATCCTTCACAGCTTACTTCGGACGTCACGCGTGTTGCGCCGCCTAACCGCGCGCGAGAGTGGAACAATATCTCCATGGAGAGTCTTGCGACGTCGGAACGGAGGATACGGCCTTCTACGAGAGACACGGATAGTCCCCATTTATCATGATTTAGGTGTTTCATGCGCTACGATGTCCCGATTGTATAATTTTGATCTTCCTGTTGATAACGCTGACATTGCTGTATAACTATGTTAATGACTTTGGACAAATTATGAATTATATCAGGTCTCTCCATTTATTGAATTTAAATCTGTAGACTGTATATCACACCTAATTACCCTGTTTCACATCGGCCCGGTAACAGTAGCATGGCGTTGACACAACACTATGCAACCCAGAGAGTGAAAGACGGGAAAGACCAAGACTTGAGCAGCCCCCGACGGGACCTTCGAAGCCCCTTAGCTCCGACCTGGTGCCAGTTATCGAAGGGCTATAAGCAACTCGCACGGGGTATAAAATCCATACGTTGCGATATAGAGTGCCCTCAACAACGAGATAAGACTGGATTGTGATGTAGAGCAATGCATTCTAGAAATAACGGAGCAAGCAGCCAGACCAGAACCCCTGGCCCTTCTGGCTTCAAATATTGCAAGCTCGAATTTAGCACCTTGATATGGTAGCCTGTGTTACGGGCCGTTCGAAAGAAACAGATTCATTCGGTGCCTACACGACGAGAATCTCGAAGATGAAGAAGGAAGGAGAAAGAAAGTCGGCCAGAAAAAGAGGGGTTAAGTCCCCAGCGAACGCGTAGTGCAAACAACCCAATATTATGCCTCAGGCATCCTTCCACGAGATGAGGCTATTCCCAGGTTCATCCGTCACAGCCTGCCAGAACCAACGGAAATACAGGCGCGTACCGAGGAGGGTGAGGTGTAATTACCAGCAACAGGGCTATTTGACAGCCGGTAGAAAGAGGATAGAAGTAGGAGCGTGTCTTGGAGGGGTGTGACTCGTTTGACGGTAGGGGTGGATCCTCACTTCTCACTTGATCGTCTATAACGCTATAGGAAGGTCGTATTATTCACAATAGTCGGTTGGGGGAGAGAGCAGCGCATGTCTGCGTGTGCGCTTCTGTTAACTATGGCCTTCAATGTTGGTCGTGGAGGGAGGCAGGCAGTTTGTGTTGATCCGTGATTCGGGTAGTCACGAGCAGTGTGCGTGGGATGCAGATGAACCTGCACTAGTATGCATTATCTGGTGGCGTCGGTGAATAGGGTAGTTTCATTACGGACCTTGAGGTCGATGTGTGAAAGATGCGTGATGTTTGATAGATGTTGGTTGGCTTAATTTGTGCGTGATGGTGCGGGAAGTCATTAACAGCCAAAATCGACCCTCCGGTGTAATACGCGCCTAATGAATGCGCAGGAGATACGAAATATGAACACCACGGACACGAAGGACATCCCTCAGTATAGAATGCTTCAAGACGGCTGTATTGATGGAACATTCTGTGCTGTTGATGTCTACATGATATAGCTACATCCACAACGGCCCTCCTAATCAACGGCCCTGTGAGTGTCGTACAAAACATAGCTACTGAAAAACAGACACACCAAGACAGTGGGTAAGTCATGATAACAGCCATGCCTCAATAGATCCAACTAGATATTTCACATCTTCTCCAAGCTCGAGTCGCAGACCCAGACCTTGATGAAAAGAAAGTTGAAGAATCCCCAAAGGGAAGTGCCAAATATGGTGCCTCCCAGACCCCAGAGGGTGACTGAACAGGCGACCAACGCGCTGTGCAATGCGGTGGACATTCTGTGCTGAACCGCCCTCATGACCGCGACTCACCCAAGCGTAAGTGTGGTAATTGGAGAGGAAGGGAAAAACCAAAGGAAAATAAGTTGACGGGTGATATTTATGCCTGGAGAAGAGACCGCGCTAGTCCGTATATGGATGACAGAGTTAATGGAGGGAGGTGCACCTATAGGACTCACCTAAGGTACGGCTGCCTTGGTGAATTGGACTTAGTCAAATTGCTCTTCAACTCCTCTACGCGTTGAAGTAGTACCAATTACTCTTCCACCATCTTCTCTCTGTTCATTCGCTCAAAAATTGCCAAACTCCACCCCCATATCTCCATCTCATTACCATCTGAAAAATGGCCGACCCATCCTCACCTCCGGGCCCCCTATTCCCATCTCTCACAACTGAAACCAACATCAAGCAGTTCAGCCCTGTCGAATGCCTTCACCAGCTCTCAATAACAGAACTGACCTGGACAATGAAATGGATGTACAAGCACATCATCGAGATGAACGAAGCAAACCACATCGACAAGGAGGCTCTCGGCCGGCTCACCATGCACACCGCCTCGATGGGGCTCCAGGAATACTTTTCTACTTTCTGGGGCCTCCCAGGTCTCTTCATCCAACTACCGGAGCCTATTGGGCTTCACAGTTACGGTCTGTACCGGCGTCTGTTCCCGGTTCCGAGCCTCAGGCCGGTGCCTTATACCCGCCTGCCCCGATGGTGTAAGATTTCCCGGTACGAGTGTCGGAAGTGGGGGAAGATGTTTGATGTGGTAAGTCACTTCGTGGATAGTCGGGTTAATATGTATCGTGATTACCAGCTTGCGCATATGCTGACACAGGAGGAGTTGGATGCGCCTATTGTTGAGCCCTGCGGGGGTTTCTGACTGTTCTGCGGGAGTGGGGAGAAGGTGAAGGTGGTTTTACGTATGTATTCCTACGCAATTTTAAAGCTTTTTCAAGATTGAAATGATCAAGAAAAGCTCTGTATCTCGTGACTCCGCATTTTACCATTGCCAGGAAAGTAGGAGGGAAGTCTTGCTTCGGCTCGATGAGCAGACAGCACGAGGCACAGCATGAGTACATCCTGCACCAAGGGCTGATCATCCACAATAACCCTGACGCGTATATATCCCATTTATGGCCCTTCAACACGTAGTATTTCATTCGCGAATCCTGTGCGTATTCTTCGCCGCTCAGGAGGACCTGAGGACCCGCATTAACGCACGAGACTTCGGATCTCATGCCGTGGTAACCCTCCAAAGCGTTCCTTATGTTCCTCACAACAGATTATCATTAGTATCCCCATGACTGCGTGCCTCGATACCCTGTATATCCCCGGCCAGGTAGGCAATGGAGTGTGCTGTTGTGAACGGATGTGTGTGGTCGATGAACCTCAGTGTTTCGGAAGTACTGGACAGAGGATCGTCCAGAGGAGTCGTGTTTCGTCACGCCCACAAGACTGTTCGTTTATCGTCCCATGTTCTAGTGGTGGTTGTAACGAGGCGCAGAGGGCCTGTGGCAAGTTCATTCAACAGGAGTCTTTATCCTGAACGTTAGCAGCGTTTAACGGAGAGTTGGCCAAGTCGAGGGGGTACATATCGGCAAGGATAGGCGGTATACTGAGTGAACGCAGCACAGAGTGCGCTTTGCTGTAATAGACAGCTGTTTTTTTGCAATGCCTGTGTGAGACCGATTGAAATCAACGAGGCGGCGAGGGTGTCCAGAGAGCGCCTCCCGGTTCCACGCGTTATACAACCAGGATTATGGTCCATGGTCTCAAATCCTCGTCACAGCCTCTATGGTCTACAAGATGAAGTATCAAAGTCATTCTACGGTAGCATCTTTTGTTCAATGCCATAAGTGACACCCTGAAATCCTCATCACCCTGCCCTCATTCATGGAGAGCTCGCAAAAGCCCCCTGTACACCTGGCGGAATTTTCCAGCTCCCTCACGAGCACATGCTTGCCCTAAATGAGGGTATTCCCTCCTCGCCTCGCTTCCATTAGTCAGATCGGCATTTTGGCTGCCTGCAACTTGTGAGGAAGGTGCGCTTACCACCCACACCCCAAGACATAAAAGAACGATTTCTCTCGCCGCAGAATTTCTCTTCTTCATCTCCCCATCCCCATATCCAACCCCCGTCGATATTTCCTTTTGTTTTTTCCACCCCGTGGTTCTTTTGCTCGTGTAGTGGCTGCTTCTGTTGATGGCCTGTCTGTGTTGTCTGACTCGTCTCACCCGTCTTCTGTGTGTTTTACTTGCCGCCTTACCCTCCTCACTCACCACCACCTTTCTTGTTTACAGATCCATCATCACTTCACATTCAACTCCACCCCTCATTTGCCTCGACATCGAGCACCTGAAGGTATGTTAACTTTCGTTTTTGTTTGCTCTCGCTTCTTCACATTTCAGTGACGATTTGTCCAGGTCTCGTCTACGCCTACCCTTCCCAGGCTCACAGGACTTACGCCGTCCCTGCCATCGTGACGCTGGGTGTTGTTCCCCGCTCCTGCGAGGTTTAACCTGCACCCAACACATCTCTTGACCCACCGACTAACCCTGGCTTTCGTGACTATTGTTCAAACACGAGATAAGTGTTCAACCTTGTCCCTTGCTCACAGGGTACCTCCGTGGGGTATGTGGCCAATGGGGCATTTCATTCAGCTCCTTGGTATTTTATTTCCTTTGCTATATGAGCATGCCAAATGGTGACATTGTTCTAATCTCCTCTCACATCTAGGACATGCTCTCGAACCGAATATCCACCGACGCGATTCCTCCACGAAAGATCCTGTCAAGCTGAAGATAAGTGTTCCTCTTTCCCCTCCCTGTTCCAAGTTGGGTACCGTTGAGGTTGCCCCGGCCATTGGGGCCTGATCATTGGGGTCTGGTCAACTTTCGGCGGGGGAGCTTGGAGGGTTGGTAACGCTTATTCTAATCCCCTCTCACGTTTAGGAAGTCCTATCGATACGAATATTCCCAGACCCGATGACCCGATGGCTGTACGGAAAGGCCCACATCATACCAAAGATAGGTGCCCCGAATTCCCCCTCTGTTTCAAGTTGGTGCGGCCAAGGTTCACCTGGCCATTGGGGTCCCGTGGATCCTGGCTGGAAGCACGGTGACTTTGGTGTACCTATTCTAACCTCCTTTTACATCTAGGACATACGCTGGATACCGATCACGATTTTTCTGCCTGGCCCGCAGACTAGGCAGCTCACGGTATACTCAAGATATGTACCCTTTCCTCCCCCCTCTGTTTATGGCTGGGGTTCACCTGGCAGTTGGAGCCCCGCCATTGGGGCCGTGTATCTCACCCGCGAAGCATATTGAAGTTGGCGTGTCTATTCTAATCTCCCCACACAATCTAGGACGTCAAACCGAGATGAGCTTCGATTCCTGACCTTCACTGTCACTACCGCTACACCCGGAACCATATCAATTTCAAGATAAGTCCTCTCCCTTCTCCGCTCGTTGAGGCCTAACTGGCATGAGGCTTTTACCTGCGTGTCATTGGGCTTCTTGGGGGTAGACCGAATGGTCCCGGACGGGTCGACTCAATCGCGGTCCCCTTATACCGTACCACCACAGAGTTCATTAGGGTTGGGGTCTTATTCTAATCTCCTCTCACAATCCAGATATCTTCGACGATACCAACGCCGTCCAATGCTGTCCAGACCCGCTGTCATCGCAGTCCAGACCATGTCAACCTCAAGGTAAGTTCTACGATCCCTCTTCTCACTAGTTATGGCTTGCTGATTTCACTACAACACCCCCACTAAACCAACATTCGATCAGTTTCAAATCATGTTCCTAACATACTGACACCTAGCATATCATTCGTCGATCCCAGGTGGACATGTCCCCCTCGCCCCGGGCCCTCAGATTCCTACCAAAAAGCGTGGCTATGGCCATTCCATTTCTTCAGGTACGTGCCTTAAAATCCCTAATTTCTCCTCTTACTCGGCAGTGTGAATGATTAAACAACGGTCCTAGAACCTGATCGTACTATGATGTTTCCGTGAGATCCCTCTGACACTATGATGTTTGCGGCGTGCCTTTTGCCGCTTACATCCTGCCTTTGCTTCATAGGCATTCGCTTTCCATTTCCTTGTCCATCCCTGGCTAATACTCGAGAGGTAAGTATGTTCTAGATGAGGAAATCGCAGACTGTCTGACCGTCCAGGTGACACATTCTTTCTTCCTTCAGAATTCCCCGAAATTCACCCATTGCCTCCATGATTGTTCTCAAATTTGCTCGTCGGTCAACCACCATTGCGTTACTTCGTTGCACCCATCTCCTGGGAACTTGGACTTCGTGTGAGGGATGGTTTGGCAAGAGTGGGCTAGTCAATCTTGGTCCAACTGAATTAAATGATTTGTTATTTGTTACTCTCCACAACTTTAACGCCCGCACAGTAAAACCTGTAGAGACCACTTTGTCTACCCTCGCTCGTTCGAAATCAATGCTAGCCATCACGTTGCCAGATCTCAAGTAGCAAGCTAGTCCTGAACTTTCCATGAGGAGAAGTACTATACTTAAGTTATCTTCATCCATTATTTACTTTTTCTTCACTTCTAAACTTCCAATTATACATGTGTTCCGAAGTATGTATCCGGGTTCTTCCCGGTCGTGGATCTTCGTTATGACACATGATGTGGCTTGTTGTTCCTGCGTCGTGAGAGTACGGGATCGATTCTTCACCATGCAGGCCCGTACGAAGATACCCCGCCCAACGCCTCTCTCGGTCTCCAACCCATCAAGCTCTTCTTCTCAGCCCTCGACACTCTCCGGTACCCTTCATCGCACCCGATGCCTGCCTTATTCTCCTCGACGCGACCACAACCGACTGTTCAATTTCTCGGTCCAGAATTCTGAAGACACGCGTGCGTCTTCACCTCGAATACATCCACCATGAGCATTGGACCAGCTCGCTCCACATTGCGTTATACGGTACTCTGGTGGGCTCAGAGATATTTTCGTCAGTCAAAATTTCGTCTACGACCTAGTTGCTAGCGGAACGATCGTAGTCCACACTGGAACCACCCAAATTTTCATCACTGAGGGACATACATATTCATCCATGTCGAGCCAGGAGATCTCATTTTAAGATCTCTGGTAATGGCGTTGACGATCCATGCGGATACTAACATGTTTCAGCCTTCCTATCTCCATGTTTACCTCGATATGTGAAGACTATTTGCATTTTTGATTGCCGGGAATACAATATTCCCAAGGCGGAAACAATCCGGATAACTGAATCAATCATGAATGTACGGTTCAATTTCTGTCTGAATATAACGCTTCATTCCCTTCTGGTAAAGATAAATAACTCAACACAGGACATGAGGTTGCAATCAGATAGACTCATTGTCATGGTATATTTATGGGGTGAACACAGCTCATCCGGAGCACTCGACAAGCTGCCGTGGGACTACGTGAATATGACGGAGACAACAAAGCTAGAATAAGCAACAACGCTCAACCTCACAACCTCGAAAGCTTGTATCAGATTCAATATGGTGCAATCAACATGTATCCACGACGGCTACTACGAGACCATGGCGCCAGATGCCTCCCCGGGCCTTCTTTTCCTCAAATCCTTCCTACCTGCCTTCGACTCCCTTGATCCAACCACATCCCTCGAACCATTTTTCGCACCGAGAGCGCCCATCCTCATGTGCAACAACCCACCAATCCCAGAAAGAACCAGGCTCCCATCTCTCGAGAGCCGTCGCCAACAGCTCAAGGAGTTCCATCACGAAGTCCATACCGCCTGGGACATCGATCTTTCGTCGCAAGACCACACCACGTCTTCCAACGCGAACGGCAGTCACAACAACTCTGAAGTTGAGCAAGCGGACACGAGGGCTCCCTATGTGGTTCCTTCGAACTCAGGAATCCTCAAGAGAACTGTCATGTTCGAATCAACAAGCCGTACAATCTTCAAAGATGACCCCGACGAATTCGCCGTCAAGGTTCGCGAGTTCAACATTTTGGAACTGGAGGGGCACTCTGCGGACGATCTGCAAATAGTTGAAATGCGCATCTTCGTCGATGCGAAGCCTGTCCAGGCGAGAGCTCAGCAGTTGAGAGTGGCCTACGTCTTTGGTGAAGGGGCGAGAGAGGCGGAGCCTCAGTGAAACCCTCGCTCCCTCCTGCTGTCTATCTTGTTGCACCACCGATGATATCTACCGCATACCTCGTCTTTTCTCCACTGCGGAATCAGCGGAATTCGATATTGGGTATCATCTTCGGCTACCCCTGCTGGGCTTGATGCTTTTGGCAGGGCGTTGCGCTAGCGTATGTGGAGAATATCTCGGAAGATTGCCGGTCGGCAACGGAGGGATAGCGCCTGATGATATCGTTGCTGTTTAAATGGGGATAGGGTCGTATTCTGCATCGCGAAATTTGGAATTGATTCGGTCATAAATCACCTAAATCTTTCAAAATGTCTGTACGTCCACAGTCGGATGTCATTCAAGAGGTCCGCAAGGCCCTCGCGAAGTATCAGTCGAGACTCAGCGAGATCAACCAGAAGGTATCTACACCCCTCGCAAATCAATCGGCTCCAATTACTGACAAAATAGATCTGGTCAAACCCCGAACTGGCTTTCGAGGAGCACAGCGCACACGACGACATCAGCGCCTTCTTCGACAGCCTCGCAAACAGCGGCTACATCGTCCAACGCAAAGCATACAACGTCGACACCGCACTGGAAGTATCCTACGCACGAGGAAAAGGAGGAAGAGTCATCACCTTCAACGCAGAATATGACGCCCTTCCGGGAATCGGACACGCCTGCGGACACAACCTCATCGCCACAAGCTCCATGGCCGCATACCTCGCAACCTGCGAGACCATGAGCACCCTCTACGGCGACGACATCGGGTACACGATCCGACTCCTTGGAACGCCCGCCGAAGAAGGTGGTGGTGGAAAGAATCTCCTCATCAAGGCCGGTGCATACAAATCCGTCGATGCGTGCTTCATGGTTCATCCGTTCCCTCTGCTGTCCGGCAATCCCACGCTCCTTAGCGCCAGTTCTTGTACCGGGATGTACTTGGCCAATGACAAGGTCGCTGTTACATATACCGGCAAGCCTGCGCATGCGTCTGCTGCACCTTGGGAGGGAGTTAATGCGCTTGACGCTGTTGTCGCGGCGTATGTGAATATCTCAATGTTGAGGCAACAGATCTTGCCGACGCAGAAGATTCATGGTGTTGTACTGCGCGGTGGGGAGCGTCCGAATGTTATTCCTGCTTCTACGACGGTGGAGTATTATATTCGGTCGCCGACTGCTGCGTCGTTGAAGCCTCTCACTAAGCGAGTGGTGGATTGCTTTGAGGCTGCGGCGACTGCTACGGGGTGTACGGTTGAATATGAATGGTATGCTATACTCCCCCTGGGCCTGAGATATGACTATTGCTGAAAAACAATAGGGAGCAATCGTACAAGGATATGAAAGCCAACCGTCCCATTTGCGAGTCTTTTACGGACGTCATGAATGAGATGGGGCATAGTACGATCTTTGATGCTGCCAGCCAGGATGGTGGATTGAGTGGTGGATCTACGGATATGGGCAATGTCTCGTATGAAGTCCCTGGCTTCCACGGCGGATTCTATATCCCCGCCGACGGCGTCAATCATACACCTCAGTTTACTGCTGCTGCTGGGTCGGAGGAGGGATTCAAGCGCGCTTTGTACTCTGCTGCCGGCATGGCTGTTGTTGGATGTCGTGTTTTGGCAGATGATGCCTTTGCGAGATCTGTAAAGGAAGATCTAGACGCGTAGAAATATCAAGAACTACCTTTGCTGCTACTACGTTAAGCCCTTTTTTTGGGGGAATCATATCCCCCGTAATTTTCGTGCTCCGACCCTCTATTGACATCGCCAAGATCGATCTCGCGGCTCCTCCCGCCACCCTTACTCAATTCCACCAAACTTCCCCCAAGTACAGCCCAACCAACCGTCCGAACTTCCTAGCGACAAAGCTAACGCATTCCTTACCCTTAGCTAGGATCCCATCTGCCGAATCCAACATCCGACCGAACATACACCCCTCGGTGCGGGGAAGCGGGCCCCACAACTCCAGACCGGCTACAATCCGGGGATTCAACCCCGGGGTTCAGACAGCGTTGTGGTCCGGGGACAACATCGTCGTGGGGGGATTTCGAATCTATTAGCAGCGAAATCTAAAACCGGGGTATCGATTGGTTGAGAGTGGTTAAGCTTCCTTCTGTGGATGGTGTGCTCCACCGCGGAACGTTGCCGGGTCTGCCATATGGGTAGGTTTATGCGGGCGTGCTCGCGATGTCGGAGCGTGGAGGGAAGTTGACACCGATCGTTTGAAATTTGGGGAGCTTGGACTTTTGTGTTTGTTGCGCTTTGTTCCGCGCGTGTTGGGATATATTCTGGAGCGGACCTTGCTCTAGGGGATGTCTTGGACTTTCTTGATTACTGCGAACTTTGGTCTCCTGAATCGCTGTCACTATGGCGGATGAATATGGACGTGATTATAAGCGCGAGGTTGACCTCTCTAGTCAGGATGTTGACCTCGGGCAGATACTTGCTGTTGAGTCGACGCCTGAGCAGGAGAGGAGGGTGTTGAGGAAGTTGGACGGTTAGTGAGTGCATTGCTCTCCTCGACTTTTGCTTTTTGGTAGTGCTGACTCCTGTGCAGTCTCATGCCTCTGATGGGAGCGGCGTACTTTCTTCAATTCCTCGACAAGTTGGCCCTCAGCCAGGCGACGCTGTTCAATCTCAGAGAAGACTTGGTGCGATCTAATAATACTGATCTCCGACTACTTGCTGATCGTGACAGAACATGCATGGGTCAAACTACTCATGGGCATCAGCAGTATTCTATTTTGGCTATTTTTTCTGGAGTTGGCCAAGCTCTTATGTGATCGTCCGGTTGCCGATTGGACAGTACTTGGCGTGCTCAGTGTCAGTATCTCCAGCCCGAAGAAGCAGAAAAATACTGACTCTTTAGGTTCATCTGGGGTGGCATTCTCATGTGCCATGCGGCATGCACCAACTGGGCCGGCTTGATGTGCGCTCGGTTCTTCCTCGGTGTTGGCGAAGCAGCTATCGCTCCTGGCTTTACACTGCTCACTGGCATGTTCTACAAACGTGAGGAGCAGCCTATTCGGTATGTCCCATTATACCCTACCTGCTATCTTCTTGACTAATATTCTAGACAATCTGCCTGGTTCTTCGGAAACTGCATCGCTGTCCTAGTTGGCGGTTTGATTGCTTACGGTATCGGCAACATCAGCACGACGGCAATCGCCCACTGGAAGCTCCTGTTTCTCATTCTCGGAGCATTTACCTCCGCCTATGCCATCGTGCTGTTTTTCTTCCTCCCCAACTCGATAGACACGACTGTCTTCCTGACCGAAAATGAGCGCGCAATTGCCGTCCAGCGCACGATCAAGAACAAGACCGGTGTTTTGGATAACGACAAGTTCAAGTGGTCGCAAGCCGTCCAGGCATTCACGGATCCCCAAATGTGGTGCTTGGTATTGAACTCGCTGACCTCGAATCTATGCAACGGCGGGATTACAACTGTGAGAAACCCGCAGCCTCATATAGGAAAGGCATCACTGACGGCTCCAGTTCACATCGATCATCACAGCCGGCTTCGGCTTCACGGATCTCAAAGCTCTGCTCATGCAAATGCCCCAAGGCGCTGCCCAGGTCGTCTTCCTGATCCTGACCTCACTGGCCGTAACCTGGATTCCACACTCTCGCGTGCTCGCTCAGATTTTCAATACGCTTGTTTCTGTGGTTGGTATGCTACTGATCTGGAAGCTGAATCCCGACGAACAGGTCGGTCGCATGGTTGGGTTGAGTATCGGTATTGTCTATGCGGTTAATCTGCCCATTTCACTCAGTATCGTCACATCGAATGTCGCGGGCTTTTCGAAGAAGAGTGTGGTCAGCTCGTTGTTGTTTATTGCTTATTGTGTTGGAAATGTGGTTGGGCCGCAGTTCTTCCTCGCCTCGGAGGAGCCGTCTTATCCGGTGAGCGTCTGCCTTTTTTGTCCTGCGCCTCGTCGCCCTGCTGATAATTTTCTCTAGACTGGAATCAAGGCTGCGATGTCTGGACTGGTGTTAAGTATTTTCTTCCTCGTTGTTCTCTATTTTTACTACATCTATGAGAACCGTCGGCGGGATCGTCTGTACGGCAGGCCCGAGGACATGAATGTTGGGGCAGAGTTGCAGGATGAATTGTCCAACAAGACTGACACGGAGATTGAGAGCTTCCGGTATATTCTTTGAGTGTTGAGATTGAAATTAATAGTAATATTTTGCAATTTCATTGGAATTGATTCGGTTCGTTGTACTTTTTCACTATCCTCGCCTATTTTTTTCTTTTTAGTAAATATCTTTCATTGCCAGATTCATCCTAATTTCAATTTATCCATCTGAAATCTTCGCGTTGCTCAGTTGGGACGAAGTTGTTTTCATGTCTAATTCCCGACTATAAAACTGTTGATGTGATATCAGATTGGCGCGGGCTTGGGATCATTGTGCCGTCCACACGATTTACAGAGCGAATGATCGCCATCTCCAACACTTATAACTCGTCAACAACACATTGCAAACATGGCCAGGCAAATGTGTCGTCCAGTTGAGACGAACCAAATTCTAATCGACTGGACAATCTTGAATTTAACAATTTCACCGTCAATAGGGCACCTTGGGGCAAGGTCCTTCAGCAACCGCTATGTGGTCATGGCCAACCCCGTGACCTCACCGCGACTGCGACCGCCATTGACATTCTCACCTCTCGCAACCTTCTTCATTCCTCCATGACAGCATTGATGTACATCACCCTTCGTTAAGCCCATTCATCGTTTTCTACTTATCAATTGCCGTCTTCGGTAAGCGGTGGCAAGCAACTCTCAGCAATTAATTTCTGTCCGATCGCCGAGGTTCGGCCGAACGTGTATTCGCGACGCCAACGCGCCCTTCTGGAGCCAGGCAGGAACCGTTGGAATGCAGCGCAGATATTGGACAATTTCGTCATTGCGCAGGATACCTGCAAGCCTCCTCATCAAACAACGATCGAACATTGCGTGTTCTCAAAACTTCCCTGCCGTGATGTCATCGAGGGCTCTGGTTCTGGGCATGCACGGTCATCTCATGCCTGGGCCCACGACTCTTCCACTGGCCGCGGCGTACCCGGTACTTGCAAAATCCTGCTTTTTGTCCCATTTCCCGGTACCGAGTACACCCTGGTTCAGCCACCGTGGTCGAAACAGCCCAAATGATGGCGAGAAAAGGGCCAATGGATTGTCTCTGCTACAGATTCCTACGGGACTTGATCCAATCATTCAACGGAGCTGGCGGCGTCTCCGTGGAGTAAGAGTGGACTGAAATTCCATTCTATCCCGCCTAACACCCAATGACACGGAGGATGCTGAAAGGCCAGTCGGTTGACAGCGGTCTGCATGTCCTTACCCTTTCGCTCAAACGCTGGCTGCACATGTCACTCTCCGCCTGCCACTCTCCACCTGCCCCTCCCTCCATAGGGCTTTCTTTTTCTCCACTGCCTGTCGTGTTCTCCGGATTGTCTCCATTCCCTCGGGTTCTATCATCTCAGGAACCTTCGCCACACCCTCTCCAATCAGATCGACACAATTCATGGTGAATGACGATCCCCGATGATCTCAACTGCGAAGATCCACCCGCCCACCTTCGTTCGGATTCCTATGGTGTTTCACTCACTGCTCCGTCGATAATCACAGGCAGTGTCTGCCCAGCGGCACCAAATATTTTTATTTTTTTTATTTTTTTTTTTTTTAAAAAAAAAAAAAAAAAAGGTCGCCGTCGGCGCGTGGACCTGGGATCTGTCCCTTCGCATGACGGTCTGATCTCATTGTCGTACGACCTCCCGAGCACACCGAACACCAGCAAGATCCAGATCCGAACCCGACGCAGATTTCGCCCCCTCTCAACCCCCTCTTGTTCCCTCCCCGGACATCGGTTAGCAGCGGAAACATGGGTTCTTCTCAGCCAGACGCCAGCCAGCCGGGGACCTCGCGACAACGGTCAGGGAGCGACGTGTCTCGACCGACGAACATCAGCCTTTCCGCATTCCCACCGGACACGAGGGAGCGGTCGCAGTCCACCACACAGAACGATGGTTTCTGGGCGCCCGACACAGGGTTCGACACTAGCGATCGTGTCTTCCCCATTCGATCCGTCGTCTCTGTCGACCCAAATGCTGGAAGGGCTGCCCATACAGCCTCACCGCGGAGTGCGGTCTCGCCAACTCGCGAAGGAGCCCGCCAATACACGATCATCTCGTCGAAACTCTGGGACTCCATGCAGTCGCAGCCCCAGCCGCAACCCCAAAAGCCGCCACAATCACAACCACAGCCACAGGACGCCGTCGGCTTCGACGCCGAACCGACGATTCCGACGGCTATCGATCGGCACGAGACCCATACTGCGAATGACGCGACCGAATTAGGTACACATTCTATGGCGTCCGAGGTGGTTCAACATCCCGAGATTTATGCCAAAATCAAAAGTGGCACAAACTCGGCAGCGCCGTCAGAGGCCGATTCGGTGCCAGGCCAGCCGTCCCATTCAGAAGACGACGGTGGCCTTATGACCGCGCGATTTAAGCATGTGGTCACTGACGCCGGGCACGCTGTCATCACTGGAAGGGATGGGGCGGCGTTTCAATACTGCGAAGATGAACCCATTCGTTTTCCAGGAGCCGTACAAAGCTTTGGCATGATGATTGTTGTCAGGGAGGAGTCGCCCAATCAATTGGTCGTTCGCATCGTCAGCGAAAATTCAACACGCCTTACAGGCTATACTCCGAAGCAATTGTTTGAGCTAGAGAATCTTTGCGATATTCTGAAGGAAGACCAAGCCGACACTCTTCTTGACCACATTGATTTCGTCCGCGATGATGCCTATGATCCCGTCGTAGATGGCCCTGAGGTGTTCATCCTGTCGATTCCGATGCCATCCGGGGAGGAACACCGATTTTGGTGTGCCGTCCATGTGAGCCAGTCTCAAAAGGATATGATTATCTGCGAATTTGAATTGGAGGACGATGAGGAAAATCCATTGAACGTGGCTGGAGCCTCGACCCCGGCCAACCCGATCGATACTTTGGGTTCAATGCCGAGCGCAGAACAGTTCGCTGCCAGTACCATCAATATCAGTCAACCCCTGCGTGTGCTACGCAATGCACGTCGACGCAAAGGCGAGGCGGCCGCGATGGATGTGTTTAGTATGCTGACACAAATCCAAGAGCAACTGGGTCGTGCCAGCTACCTCGATCAGCTCCTCAACATCACCACAGGCCTGGTCAAAGAGTTGACTGGTTTCCATCGGGTCTTGATCTACCAGTTCGACAGCAGTTGGAATGGTCTAGTCGTTGCCGAACTAGCGGATCCCAAAACCTCGATTGATCTGTACAAAGGCCTCCACTTCCCTGCGTCTGACATCCCTGCACAAGCTCGTGAGCTGTACAAAATCAACAAAGTGCGACTCTTGTATGACCGTGACCAGGAGACTTCTCGCTTGGTCTGTCGAACCTTGGAAGATCTGGAGAATCCGTTGGATATGACCCACGCCTATCTCCGAGCCATGTCGCCAATTCATATTAAGTATTTGGGTCACATGCAAGTGCGATCCTCAATGTCAATCAGTGTCAATGCTTTTAACGATTTGTGGGGACTTATATCCTGCCACTCCTATGGTGACCAGGGTATGCGGGTGTCTTTTCCGGTCCGAAAGATGTGCCGTCTTCTTGGTGATACAGTTTCGCGCAATATTGAGCGATTGTCCTACGCCTCCCGACTGCAGGCAAGGAAATTGATTAACACTGTTCCCACCGAGGCGAATCCATCTGGCTATATCATCGCATCGTCTGACGATATGCTACAATTGTTTGGTGCTGACTATGGCGCCTTGTCGATCCGCGACGAGACAAAGATCCTCGGCGACAATCAACACCAACAAGAAGTTTTGGCTCTTCTTGAGTTCCTCCGAATGCGCCAGATCCACTCTGTCCTTGCATCCCACGACATCATCAAAGATTTCCCGGACCTCCACTATCCACCTGGCCTAAAGACAATTTCGGGTCTGCTATACGTGCCATTATCGACCGGCGGTAACGACTTCATCGTGTTCTTCCGCAAGGGACAACTCACAGAGATCAAGTGGGCCGGCAACCCGTACGATATTGCCAAGCGAAAAGCAACTGCTGGGTATCTGGAGCCCCGCAACAGTTTTGCCGCCTGGCGCGAGACCGTTTTGAGCCAGTCCCGCGAATGGTCAGAATCAGACGTTGAGACCGCTGCGGTGTTGTGTCTTGTTTATGGAAAATTCATCAAGGTCTGGCGACAGAAGGAGGCTGCTATGCAAAACTCTCAGCTTACACGACTGCTATTGGCCAATTCCGCCCACGAAGTTCGGACTCCTCTGAATGCCATCATCAACTATTTGGAAATCGCACTTGAAGGAACGATCGATGCAGAGACTCGCGAAAGCCTGACAAAGTCTCACTCTGCGTCTAAATCCTTGATCTACGTCATCAACGACCTTCTTGATCTCACAAACACCGAGAAGGGCCAAGAGTTGATCAAGGATGAGAAGTTCAACCTCGAAACGACCTTCCGCGAAGCAGCTGAAATGTTTGCAGATGAAGCTAAGCGCAAGAACATTTCGTACACCGTCACTGTTCAACCAGGTATTCCAAACATCGTGCTGGGTGACCAGCGCCGCGTGCGACAAGTGTTCTCAAATATCATTTCCAATGCTATTCAGAAGACTACCTCCGGAGCAGTCACCGTTGAGATTTGGCGTTCGGCAGCACAAGGACTACCAGACCATGTGGCTGTCGAGGCCATGGTTGTCGACACCGGTGCTGGCATGTCTAAAGCCAAGCTAGAGGCCTTGTTCCAAGAACTGGAGCAGATCTCTACTGATGATGATTATTACCCCGAGGAGCAATCCGAGCAAACAATGCCAACAGATGTCCCGCAACAAGGTTCCAAGCGCGTTCTTGGACTGGGTCTGGCTTTGGTGGCCCGCATTGTTCACAACATGCAGGGCCAGTTGGGAGTGAAATCCGAAGAAGGGAAAGGAAGTCGCTTCAAAATTCTTCTGCAGTTCAAGGTGCCCGATGGTGTTACAACAGGAACTCCCACCGAAACAACTACTCCTGGCGACACGACAAAACCGCCTACGCCGATGATCTCGGACCGAGAATTTACTCTCGTTAGAGGCGTCGTAGATTCCCAAGATACACGACGACGCAGCTCCGAGAGTCTCCGAAGCACTGGCAGTTCACGCAGTGGAAGGAGTCATGCAGACAGACTTATCAGTGCCATACAGGAGCCACCTTTCTCGAAAAGCTCCAACAGAACTCGGAGTGAGGGGTCCGATCATATATCAGCGAGGCAGCAGGCGACCAGTCCAGCAAGCGCGGGCACTTTCCCTCATTCCATGTCATCTTCGCCCTTGGGCGCGAATCGATTGTCACAGTCGCATCCGGCTTCACAACCACACGACCCTCTTGCCAGCCTTGGCACAGTCACGCATACCCCGCCGTTGACCTTGCAAGCGATGAAGACACCACCAACACCGGGTACGGCTAACGTGACTGACTCTGGTGTACCGATGAGTGCCGTGCGTCTTTCGAGGCACGCCACGCAGAAGCAACCAGAACCACAACAATCATATTTCCCACCCATGTCCATCGAAAACGCCGAGTCATCGGCAGCCACATCGTGTGGGGTACCCTCCTCCACGGCACCGACCTCTAATCAACCAAGTCAACCGCAGTTACTTCGAGTGCTTGTGGCAGAGGACGACCCAGTCAATAGCAAGATCATTCACAAACGATTAACCAAGCTCGGTCATGCCGTCGAGCTAACTAGCAATGGCGAGGACTGCGCCAATGCATTTTGCTCTAATAGCAAGGGCTTTGATGTGGTACTGATGGATATCCAGGTTAGTGCCCCCTCAAACTATCGTGTATCTGAATCTCTAACCGTCATTAGATGCCAATTGCCGATGGATGCGCCTCTACCAAGATGATTCGCAATTTCGAGGCAAATGCCACACCAGAGATTCTTTCAGATAAGGCCAGGCGCAATACACGCATTCCTGTCTTTGCGGTTTCTGCTTCCCTGATTGAGTCGGAGAAGCAGAAGTACATCGACACTGGTTTCGACGGTTGGGTCATGAAGCCCATTAACTTTGCCCGCCTCAATGTGCTCCTCAGTGGACTTGTTGATAGCGAAGCGAGAAAGAATGCCACATACCGGCCGGGCGAATGGGAGAATGGTGGATGGTTCGATCACAAGTAAAGCCCCAACTCCCGTCGACCTATAGCATCGTTGCATACGAGTCATCCCACAATCGTCTTCTCCATCTTGCTGCGCAGCCCTCCTACGCAACCAGCCTCGCCATCAAACACATGCCGCAAAGCAGACCCCGTCCAAATAAAACGACAGCCCACACAGAACAAACTCCTACCACACGAGTCCCTCAGCCGCTAAAAACACGACACATCATCACTCAAACGATTCAACGGATATGACGATTTCCTTTCTCATCGCTAGCATGTCGGACTTATACACAGAATTGGCCCGGGGTGTTCTATTCGGAGTTCTTCAATTGTGGGAATTTTTCTAAGCCTTGAAATACATTCGATACCCATCTCATTTCTTCCTGTCATGCATATTTATCTTTTTTTCTTTGTGATAGGCAGGATATGGGTTTTTCAATGTGTTTACGATAACCCAGTTCTCTTTAGTTTTTACTTTAATGTATATCATATTGGAGTTCCGTATAGGAACGGTAAAAAGGTGATCTTGTCACTTGTTATTGGCTGTCTAGGCTCGCTAGTAATCGTTTGAATTAGATGTATTTTGGAAAAGTATTCCAAGGTTTGTCCCTTTCTCAAGCCCCTGAGCTTAGTTCTCGGTGTCGCCGTCCGTCATTGTCCCCACACCCCTCCAAAATGTTGGCGGCCTTGGCACTGCCATCGTTGCCCTTTCCGCAAAAAGTGTTCTTCGCGTTGGAGGCTTTCCCGCGACAGGATGCATCTGTATACCACGGCTCTTGAAATTTCTTTGAAGCGTTTTGCCGCGGATGGGAAGATTCAACACCACGACAAGCGCATCCAGATTATTCGAGCAATTTTCAGGCCGTTGGTGAATTCAGCTGGTCACGTCGTTGAGTTAGGTATCTGAAAGCTTGTGAGCTTGGCCATAACGCGCTTTTTGGGGCGTTCCTTGTCCCGATCTGCAGGTATAACGTGCTTGATCCTCTGTACATGAAATTCAGGCCGCAATCGTGCGAAAAGAGTAGTTCTCCACACGTACAGTAGGTTGAGAATGTGGAGTCGCTGGTCGGGATTTAAAATCGCGGCGCTTTTTGGGGGTTGAGGGTGGGCTGCGGATTGGTGGCATTGTTTTTATACAGTATTTAGATACGTGTCCTGAGATTGTAGGTGGTATGTACATAGGAGCATTGGAGGGGCTGGCATGACGTTTGTGTCAACTCTGAGAGAGGTAAAATACTGTGGATTCTCCACTGCTCTTGGTTATTCAGCATCCACCCACATTGCAATAGTAATTGTATGGTAATTCGGGTCATTCTCGGAAGAACTGTGATGTAATACGCAGTTTATAGCCCCTGGATCATTTTCAACAGATCGGAACACACAGACACACTCTCGTTAATCCATCTCATGCATCAATTGGCCGTCCCTCGATACTAGATGATACACGTATCCGACATCCTGACAGTTATGAGCCCGGTTAGCCGCGCCGCACACGTGTAACTGCGAGCGTACCACCCCTGGCAGCACTGCAGCAGCGATTCGCACGATCGGGATACCCCTGAACGCACGCATCACGCGAGAAATTGGAACCTCGCCCCGCGCTCAACGCAGCAATCCCGTACCCTTGAACCTAGTATCAACACAGTATCAGTATCATCGCGAGAGAAGACAGGATGGCCGATTCACAAAGAGAGGAGATGGCAATGATCCCACCCGATCAGAAACTACGGGCGGAATCGCAGTGGAGGATCTGGATAGGACATATCAGGTCAGCAGCCATATCTGAAGATGTGTGGAATTATCTTGACCTCGAGAAGTCGGACGAAGAAGTTGAACAGCTTCCAATCGCACATCGGGAACCTATGATGCCTGTGGACCATCGCGGTAGAGAGAAGGATATCGTGGACCTCACTGATGATGAGTTAAGGAGATGGCAGTTGCAGATACAGCTGTATGAGCGGCAGGAAACAAAGCGACAGCGGCTTGTTAAGGCTATGGCGCGCATGAATAGCCTTATTACCCGTTCAGTAGCCACTGAGTTTCACTATCTTATTGTCGATGAGGAAACTCCAAGGAAGAAGCTATTGAAACTGGCAGAGACATTCAAGCCAAAGCCTGAGAATCGACGACAGGAGCTCCGACGTGCGTGGAGATTGATGATCAGGCAACCTGCGAGAGATGTTAGCATTGATCAGTGGCTCACACAGTGGGAAAGCTTATATGAGGAGGCAAAAGCTGCCAAGGTTCCTGACTGTATTGAGAAAGATGATGCTATTCGTGACTTCCTAGATGCTGTGCAGGGGCTAGATGACACCTTCTGCTCGGGATGGCGACGTGAGCTTCGTATGAACACGACTGCTACGTTTCATGAGGTTATTGCCGATTATCGTAGCCGCCGTGGAGATCTAGCACTCACTTCTGGAAAGAAGCAACCGAAGATGGCCTTCGCAACCCTGGATGGTCAGAAAGAGGCAAAGCCAACTGGGAAAACAGAGAAGACTTATCGAACGAAGTGCCCATGCGGATACCCTCGACACCACTACTCAGAGTGCTGGTATATTGATGAGACCCTGCGAAGTGACGACTGGAAGCCAAGAGAAGGAATTGCGAAGCGCTTAACTGATGCTATCAAGCAAATGAGTCCTCAGGATCAACAGAAGATCAAGCAGCTGATGGAGAAAAAGAAGGAAGCACCACCAGCGCAGGCTCAATTAGCAGTATCAGAAGAGAAGCTTAGCTTCTTCATTGCAGCTGCAGCATCAACTGGTCAGCATCAGGTGGCCAAACCGCTCAGAAATCGCTGGATTCTTGATTCAGGCACTACCCTGCATATCTGTAATGATCGTGGGCGTTTCAAAGTGTTCATCAAAGGGGAAAGCTCTGTTAAAACAGGTGATACTATGACTGCTACTACAGGGTATGGCACTGTGGACATGGTAGGCCAGGACCCTCAAACTGGCGAGCCTCAAGTGGTAGAGCTCACCAATGTTCATTATTCCCCGGGCTTCCATACCAATCTGATATCCTATTCAAAGATTGAGGATAAAGGATATTGGTGGAATCCTAGCAAGAAAGCCATTGTCAACAACAGCGACAGTCCAGTGTTACATGTGCGAAAGGAAAAGGGATTATACTTCATGGAATACTGCTCTTCTGATGCAGCCTTTGCCACCAAGCAGTCAGAAAAGCCACTCATTTCAGCAGCATCAGCCAGGCGCTGGCATCGTCGGCTAGGCCACGCATATAGCCAGAAGATTGAACTGTTGCCAGCGATGGTGGATGGAGTCAAAATTGATGGAAAGAGTGAAGACAACTCTCATGGTAACCCTGAACGATGTGAGGTCTGTCAGATCACCTCTGCGAAACGTCAGATATCAAGAAGACCACAGGGAGCCACATACGGGAAATTTGGGAGAATACACTTTGACCTTGTTCAAATTGACCCTGCCTATAATGGTGATCGCTGGTTATCCCATTTCTATGTGGATGGAATTCGATTCCATGCAGCATTCACTCACGAGAAGAAAAGTGGTTGTCAGCAAGCTGTGACACTCTTCTGTGCATATGTGAGGACCCAGTGGAACCTACCAATCCGAGCCTTTCGCTATGATAATGAGCGTTCAGCAGGTCGTACGGTAGAGCAATTCCTAGCAGAGGAAGGCTTTGTTGTTGAGCATAGCGTCGTTGGAACGCCAGAGCAAAATGGCTTCGCGGAGCGATCTGGGGGGGTGATAGTCACTATAGCACGCGCACTACTGCAGGATGCAGGTCTTCCGAAAGACCTGTGGCCAGAAGCAGTCAAAGCAGCTGTTTGGATAGTTAACAGATCGCCCACGAGGATGAGAGATGGAAAGTGGATTGTCCCATACCAGGAAGCACTTCATGTCCAGCAAGACCAACCACCACGAGTCAACCTTGCCAACCTCAGAATCTATGGATGCAGAGCGTATGTACGCAAGCAGGGCATCCCGAATGCAGCGAAGATGGAGCCTCGCGCAGAGATCGGTTATCTCGTTGGCTATGAAGCCTCAAATATCTGGAGAGTATGGTTTCCACAGAGAGGAGCTGTACGGGCAGTGCGAGATGTTGTCTTTGATGAGAACCAGTTCTTCAACCCACGAGAACTAGACAAACCACCAGTCAGCGATATAATTGAATCAATGCCTTGGATCACTGAACAGGATGAGGAAGAGGAGATACAACACCAGATAGTCCCTCTTTCCTCAAATGAAGCAGGAAGCAGAGAAAGCGCTGCTGAGAACATGCATGAACAAGCAGCAAGACATTCAGCAGGAAAAGCAACAAATTCGCAGCAGAAGGAGGGACGACAGATGGCTACACCTTCACCAACGCCATCAGCATCACAGCAACGGGCACCTTCGCTTCCACCAGGAACATTCCCTAGCTCACCGCCACGGGAGTCATATGACCATGCTGAGCAGCTTCAAAATGAGCTCACAGCTGCATCACCCGCACAGGAGACTCCCAGAGCACCTAGAGATATCGATGGTGACATTTCAGAACGAAACATTGTGAGAGGAACGAGAAAACGACGAACAAGAGAGGATGACAACTTTGTCAGCTTTCAAGCTATCTCTGAGAAGGAAGAGGATAGCGTACTCGCAGCCTTCGCTACTGGATTAAACAGCTCCCGCACACACGCGCAAGTGCATCAGGATGAGTTACCTCCAGAGCCAGGAAACTGGAAGGAGATGATGAACCATCCTTACCGAGAGGGATTCCTGGCAGCTTGTGCTCTTGAAATTCGGACAATCAAGAGGAAAGGCACATATGAGGTCATACAACGACCAAATGACCACAGCATACAGATTCTACCACTCCGTTGGGTGTTCAACTATAAGGTTGATAGCAATGGCTATCTCAGCAAGCTCAAGGCCAGAATCTGCGTGCGAGGAGATCTCCAGAAACTTACCACAGAGGAGAAATACTCGGCAACCCTCGCTGCACGCACTGCACGAGCAGTCTTCTCATTAGTGGCTGCTTTTGACCTTGACACTTACCAGTATGATGCTGTCAATGCATTCCTTAATAGTTGGATTGATGAGGAGATCATCACTGAGATGCCAGAGGGTTTCAAGGAACAGAGGCAGTGCTGGAAACTCAAGCGAGCTCTCTATGGCTTACGAAAGTCTCCAAGGCTATGGCAACAAGAAGCTTCTAAGGTCCTGACTTCTTTTGGCTTACAAGTTGTACAGGAAGACCTCTGCCTCTTCTCCACAAACGGCATCATTGTTTTCTTCTATGTGGATGATATCATCATCGTCAACCATCCAGCCCAGCGCACACGCGCAACGGAACTGCGCCAGAAGCTTAATGAGCAGTGGGAACTACGTGACATGGGAGAAGCAGCGTGGTTTCTTGGAATCCGAGTTGTTCGAGATCGGCAGGAGAAAGCACTCTGGCTCTGTCAGGACTCTTATATCTCTTCTATGGCAAGCCGGTACCATCTCACAAATGGCCGCAAAGTTGACACCCCACTGCCCTCAGCACTGGCACTGAAGCCATATGAAGGAGAAGCAACTCGACAGCAGATCCATGAGTATCAGCAGAAAGTTGGATCAACGCAATATGCTACCACAATCACCAGACCAGATGCAGCAAAAGCAACCTCTGCGCTTGCACAATTCCTCACAAATCCAGGACCTGAGCACCTTGACGCCATCAACAGGGTCATTACCTATCTATATCACACGCGTTCTCTTGCTTTGACGTATCGCTCACGTCCACATGGAGACATTGAAGCAGTATCCTTCTTCAGCGATGCATCATTTGCGGATAACAGAGATAGGAAGAGCTCAGAAGGATATATCTGCAAGATGTTTGGTGGAGCAGTTGATTGGCGTGCCAGCAAGCAACGTACGGTTACCACTAGCACCACGGAAGCAGAGCTGCTAGCGATTTCGGAAGCCGCGAAGACCATGGAAATGTGGAAGCGCCTATTCTTATCCATCCGCTTTGATCCCGAACACCCTTTATCGATCAATTGCGATAACCAGCAAACGATTGGTATACTCACCAGGGAAATACCTCATTTACGTACGAAGCTTCGTCATGTCGACATACACCATCACTGGCTTCGACAGGAGGTTCAAACTGGCCGGATACATGTTGAATGGGTGGAAACAAAGGATATGGCCGCGGACGGCCTAACAAAGCAGCTCCCACGACAGAAACACACCGAGTTCCTGCAACAACTGGGAATGGAGGATATCCACACTTTGTTGGAATAACCTCAGCAATGAGAGCGGATGCTGGGGGGTGTGTCAACTCTGAGAGAGGTAAAATACTGTGGATTCTCCACTGCTCTTGGTTATTCAGCATCCACCCACATTGCAATAGTAATTGTATGGTAATTCGGGTCATTCTCGGAAGAACTGTGATGTAATACGCAGTTTATAGCCCCTGGATCATTTTCAACAGATCGGAACACACAGACACACTCTCGTTAATCCATCTCATGCATCAATTGGCCGTCCCTCGATACTAGATGATACACGTATCCGACATCCTGACAGTTTGTTTTACTATGACATCATTTTCTCTATTACACGAAGGGATTGACATACTCGGTCGAAATACACAAATATAGGCTGTAATTAATTGCTCGGTGTTTTTAATACACTCATTTAAAGCCCAGGAGGTTCACTGATAAAAAATTGATGTCTAGTGTATAAGATTAGAAAAGGAGTTGTTCTGAGACTTCGACATTCGAATATGCTCTAATCAGATTGTATACCCAACGAGGACATCCCCTACATAATAATGCTGAATTCAATAGACCAGAATATTTCGTATATTGCCGTATTGGTATTTCACAGCCCTTGAATTAAACCTAACACTCAAACTCAACCTTTCATTCAGCATGAGTAGCAATCCCGATCTCATATAAATCGCTACCCTCTGAAGGTTTCTCCCATCAGTATGAGTCTGATCAGAATCGGCACCATGGCACTCCCTGCATCGGAGTTGGTCAGCGTCTTTCAAATTGAGTTTTCAATAGGTGAGTATACAAGGACTTGAGATTTGGCTGATAGAAAAATATCATCTTCAGCATGAAAATGGGTTATCATGTCTTCTTGAGAACATATATCTCGCGGGCGGCACAATTGATGTGATTTCGTGGATGATTTTAGCGATGCATTCAACGTCATTTTTCAGCCACAGGATCCTTGCCAAGATGTGCTGGCTATATTTATGTATATAATGAGAGAAATGAATGAGGGGATCACCGGCTACTCCGAACTGATCAAGTTCTGGAAGACGTTAGAAATATGGGAAGCCAGTATCACGTGACGGACAGTGCTATCAATCGCATTGTCAAAGTCACAATACAATAAAGATCGACAACTCGAGAAAAGGGAGACAGACTACATCAAATCGAATTTGACGGAGGTATAGCAAGTAGACATAGCATTCACTAAAGAGTGTACTAATATATCTTCACGCCTTGCGCTTCATCACAGTCCCCGTAAGAGGAAACTCAACGCTAACAAGCTTTCCGTCCTCAAGATTGAAAACGAACAGGTCAATAGGGCCTTTCGAGTCAAGGTTCATCCAAGTGAAGGAATTATCGAACAAACCACCCTTACCACCTTCAACCTCAGCACGAGGATTGAGTGGAGTGAAAGGCGTCGCCATACGGTGCGCAATGCTAATCGATCCCTTCGTTTGATACAGCGAGGACAAGGAGCTGGAAGTCGAAGTGAGCCCGGTTGGATAAATGCGGTAATGTGGGCCGGAAAGTGCATTCTTGCCCTCGAGCCAGAACGATCTGATGCCCAGCCCGGGATGGCCACGGTCGACGGTCAGGGTGATGTTGTTACCAGTGTTTTCCTCATCGACGAATGTCCCTGCAAGGTTGCGTGCCGCATTCTCCGCTGCGGCGTGCTCGGCAGCGGGAATGAATGTCTCGCCTACGACATCACGGAGTGGCCAGCGAGCGGGAGTCGCAGTATCCCCGGCAAGAAGAATGGAGTAGCCAATGCCCTGATCGGGAGAAAGGGCGAAGATGGCCGTGTAATCGATGTTTCCGCCAGCTTTGGTGTAGAGGTCTGATATACGTGTTCGGTTGGACGCTGGCATAACCGGGATTTCTAAACGAGAGATCTCCCACGGGGCTCCGACAAGCTCGACTAGGCTGCCAGTGGCGCTGCGTGGCTTCATCCATTCCGAGGTAGTGGGGCCTGAAATCAGCTCTGAATTCAAGATGGATAGACCTGCCCTTCGGAGATCAGCTGTGCTGGAGTAGACACTTCCAGTTCTGAGGAGCGTTAGTAAGACTTGAGTTTCAGATGTCAGACAAGCTGATAAACTGCTTCCAACTTACGATGCAACAATTTCAACATCTGAGCCCCATGCTGATTCGTTCGAGATTCGAAGACGATCGATGACGTTGAGATTGGAGCCCGTCGGAACTTGCGTGGACGTGCTGTTCATGCCCAGTGGCTTCCAGAGGATTTCTTCGAATGCGTCTGTGACACTTTGGCCTGAAAGGCGTGCGAGTACTTGACCAAGGATCGCGAATCCTCCATCCGAGTAAATTGCACTATGGTATGGAGCAACGACGGGTAATCTCTTGTCGCGGAAGAATTCCAGCAAGTCTAGTAGGCTTGGAGTTAGCATGTATATCCTTAAGAGTTATATCAGCGATACATGTTTACCTTCAGCACGAAATTCCAAGCTCTTTGGATCTTTGGGGTCTTGGTAGGCCATGAAGAAATCTAGAATTCAAGTTAGCTTCGATACACATCAAATTTTGGCGGGAATTCTTACCTGTAATTCCGCCAGAGCCAGCTTGATGAGATGCCAGAGCTCCGACTGTGATTTCATCCCAGCTAATCCTGTCCAGTGGATTACCAGTCGAATTACCCGCAAGCTCTGGAAGATACTTTGTCACTGGGTGAGAGAAAACCTCCATCCCGGCCTTGGCGATGATCGCATAGACAGTGAAGAGTTTAGTCACGCTTCCAATACGAGAAATCGTATTATCATCCAGTTTCCCAGAGGTAAGTGCGCGTTTCGACATTGGCCCGACATGGGAGTAGCTGTAGAGCGACTCGTTTGTTGCGGCTGAGAAAACGTCGACGGTAAACGCTAAATCAGTGTGATTGAGCTCGCCAGACTTGAACAATTTTTCGATGAGACCGGGGAATGTGCTTTTGGCATTGTTGATGGCTTTCGAGCTGGAGGGGTCGAAGTTGGAAATGAAGGAAGGGCCGATAAGTGGTGTTTCGTCTGTAGCGATGATGCGAGCTGTTGAGCTTACAGCAAAGCCCAGCAAAGACCCAATGAACAACTTGTTGAGACGCATGGCGAATTTATAGGCTGAAGGATACGCTTGAGCGACCGATTTGAGTGAATCTGCTTCCTTTCAAGGTCGTCTTTGGCCTGTCTTTTATAGTCCCTTTAGTTCACAATCATTGCTCGGGATCCAAAATAAATCAAACGCTGGGGATTTACAGCCTCCGGCAGTGCTAGCTTGGCAGACGTAGATGTGCTATTAAAGTCTTCTCTCGCCAATAACGCAGCTACAAAATGCGTGCATGATCGGTACAAGGAACCATATTCGGGGTAGGCTGAGGCTTGGCGGCTGTGGTAGAGAAGTTTATTTTGGCCCCCAAACCCAATGCGCACCATTTGACTCAAAACGGAAGAGTGTGTTGCTTGCGGAGGTATATAGCGGTGACAGCCCAGGATTGAACAATCGGATGATGTGACATCACTTAGTTTATCGAAGAGAATAGTGTTATGCGCTAACAGGCGCTCAGTAGCTCTTTGCATATGATCCTCGCATCCAATCATGACCTTGTCGCAATCGTCACTGACATTGCTCTGTCATGAACTGTTGTCCAAGGCAGACCGTGTTAGCTCCGCCCCCTCCACCCCGGTTGGACGCCGGACAGTCGATGACAAGTGTCACGAACTTCTGCCAAATACCCAGAAGAATGGCATTCTAGACTCCTTGTCCACTTTGCAATTCCGGCCTCTGGCGATGGTGCTTAGCCACGAGACAACTATGTTCAGAGGAACTTTATCCCAGCTCGGATCGGGACGGTGATTGTAGCGACTCAGAATGGCAAGATCGTGATAAAAAGCGCCGTGGAGAGGATCATATGCTAGTCAAGATCTCTTAGACGAAGAACATAAAGGGGAGCTGCCATATCGACGTAGACGTGCGCTTTATTTGTTGATCCTCTTGCAAAGCATGATTTGTTTGGAGGAGGGACTCATGTGTTGGTCCGTGGTGCGGTTGAGCTGGACTGGCACTGGGTGATTGCACGAGCGTTTCCGCAGCTAACTGCGTCGCGAGGATACATTTGGTCGAGGCCTAACTTGAATAGTGGGTGTCCAAGAACTTGGCGTATAAGGTTCGGCTCTCCCACGATAACACTTTCAAGTGGGCCTTTGGTGGGAACGTGGAAAAGAGATCCGTGCTGTCCAAGGTTGTAATATCAGTGCCTTGTCTTGTTTAGCCGCAATGAAGCAACGCCAAACACCTCTGCTAGTATCATATTTTATTAATTCATCCCTTAACAACTGGAAGTAATACGATGCGGGATTTGATCTGATTTTCGCGCAAATCGAGTGTGCTTGACCATTCTTTTAAACCGATGCAAGGAGCGAGGATAAATATCCATCGTGGATGAGAGAAGACACAAAAAATATATCAATGCCACCGAGTAAAATAAGTCATAGGAGCAGAAGAGAGAACAAAACAAACGCAAACAGAGATTAACCGCCATTAAAAAGACAAAACCACCGCCATCGTAACAGGCAAACAAAGAGAGGGGTATAGAACAAAAGAACAGAATGCCGACCGACGCCCATGGACATGATTAATAAATGAACGCAACGTGCCGATCCCAAAACGAGGCAAAAAAAAAGTAAATGCCGGATGACCAAAAGTGGAAAAATGAAAGGAGAGCCAGAAACAGCTATCTGTGCGATTCCAACAGCTGCCGTTCGAAAGTCGACCTTGTCTCTGTAGACCCAATGTGCGGCCCTGTGCCGGCATAGCAGTTATCAGACGACAGCGAGTCGCCCAGGAAGCAATCCGCTGTTGGAGATGGAGAAGGAAGATGCATGTTTTCCCTTGATGTCGTTTCACGAAGGGTATTGCGAAAGTCGAGGGTGTTCTCCATGCCGACCACACCCCGCTCTTGTATTATGCGCTCCGCATTCTCCACAGACACGCCGTTTTCGAGACTGCCGTTGAATATGTTGATATGAGGGACAGATCGCTGGGACTCGGTGTCCGACGACTCGCGATGTCGGGCATTAACCAAGGCGTAAATTTCGTAGATGTTGAGGTCACTGGATCGGCGTGATGGATCAATCGTGTCAGTCGTGGCAGTGTTATTGTTGCGGTTTCCATGCCCGTTGGCGTGGAAGATGTAGGGATTGTTTGTGGAGACGAGGGTGCGAAGCTTGTTCAAGACAGTGAACTCCAGCTTGAGCTTGACGCTGTAGACAACTGTCTTGAAACTGATCTGGATGAAGTGGGCCTTGAACTCCGTCACGATGAGGAGGATGTTCATGATCATAACGACCAAATTGATTGCGATGAGATGAATTATGACTTTGCGTCCCTCGCGCCCGCGGATTTCCAGGACGGGACCCAGGGCGCGAAGGGCTTCGCGAATGTAGATTGCGCAGATGATGAGGTCCTGTGCGGCGAAGACTACTACTTGAATTCGGTCGTAGATCGCGGCTGACAGCACGAACTGATCAGATCCAAGTGTGACAAAGTAGAAGAGAACAGTCATTGGAATGTGCATCACGACCGCGTTGATGATGATCATCCACAGGAGCCAGCGCAGACAACCCATATCCGCGACGACAAGGTGCAGACGCGAGTAGAGGACGACAGGCTGCCCGCTAACCATACAATACCATCCGATAATATATGGGATTGACAGTGGGATTTCAGCACCGTTCGTCACAAATCGCACCTGGGCCGGGATTGAGTGCAATAGAATCCCCCAGGAAGCGACTTGCATGCTGAAGAAATATAGCCCGCGGTATCGCTTAAAGAGGTCGAGGCAGGCGATGCCCACCTCTAGTGCACTGTAAGTGCCTATAGCGAACATCGCCACGACCTCGACAGTGGCAATGTTTTTCAAAACAAACTCTCCCATCTCCGGGGGGAGGGTAGGCATTCGTGTATCCATGGTGTCCCTGCGTCGATAGTGACAGTTACCAGACGCAGAAATGGCGCCCGGGGGTGGGGGAGCGGGGAAGTTGCAAAGCAGACTGGCCTCGAGGAGAACAGACCAGGGCTGGGGTTAAAAGAAAAGCATGGACGAAGCGATCTGCACATGGAGGTCAGAATCCCCCTTCCCCTATCGTCGAATGCCCGCGTCTAGTCCAGACCGTTAGATCCTGGCATTTCCCAGAGGGGATCGATCAAGATCTCAAATCAAGTTCGCCGGTGATCAACAGCCCTTAAGGTTGTACGCATGGTGATCCAGTTCGATGCAACAGCTCGTGCGCGCCTCTGAATCGCGGGCTGGGCCAACCTTAGACAGGCTATTGCACCGCGGAAGGCCGGACCGGCGACTAGCAGTTCAGCAGTGCCAACTCAATGACAGGGAATCGAATCCATCGCGTGCATGCATGGGTCTGTTCTGATCGGTGGCGCTAGTGATCGCGGCCACGGCCGTTCAACCGTGCAGGCCCGGAGGAGAGCTCAGCTATGTCCATGCCGAATGTAATGCCAACCTCTCCAAACCCAATTCTTTCACGTAGAGCCCGCACTGGCGGTTTTCTTCCCATGGTACGGGAAGCTCGGTTTCTGTACAGGATCATCCCGTTGATCACGGCTAAAGGGCTGTTGGGTCGGTCCAGCACGAGGCTATCGCTGCGCCAGACAGGGGGGTGGGGACGCTCGACAGGCAGACAAAGAACCCCCCCCGAGGAGTTCGCGCACCTGTCAATTTCTCCCTTTCGGTGGCGCTAATCCCAGCCCTGCCAGGCAATCCAGACAGCTTGTTGACCGGATGGTCCGATAGCCATTTCCGAGGGATTATGCCTGGCCTAGGGAGTCGTTGCCCAGGAAGGAGCCGTTTTTGTTGATGTGATAGTGATGATCATCACCCTATTTGTGAACCTGGAGACCATCCACGAAATCTGATCATTTCTGTGCCCTTGACACGCGTCTGGCCGCTGTTGGACTCCCACATCGCTTGTGGTTTGCCTGCATTTTTGCTGTTTTTCGTTTCTGACTGACTGTGAAAGGAGTATCGAAGAAGAGCAAGTGCCAGCGGAACCCGCCCAGCTGTCAGCTGGCCAATCGGTCCGTGCGGCAGCTCACTTCCGCCGCGGCTGCCGGCGAGACTTTGCGACGTCAACGATGGTCTCTCTGTGGCCCTTCAAGGTATGCGATCCCCCGAACACTGCTAGAGATGTAATTTTGGGACTGACAGATCCAGGGCGAGGATAACTCCCCTGCCAGCTTCGAAAAAATACTTTCGGGGCTATCGGCCAAGATCACACAGGCGACCACGCGACTCGACCGTCAACGCTCCCAGGCGCGCCGCTTCAAAGCCCTTTTCACCCTCTACTCCACCTTCGCGTATCTCGTCTATAGTATTGTGCTAGCGCTTGTGCTAGGATGGGAAACATGGGGTGCAGTGGAATATGCCGCCGTGGTGGGCGGCCCAGTCCTGTAAGTGAGCAACGTCGCAGGCAACGGCAACACTTGTTCGGAGCCCGAGTAGAGCAAGAGCGAAACTAGGCTGACACAACCACCCTCTTAGGATTTATTTTGTTCGCGATCTCACTTCCCGCCTCTTCTCCTACCGTATCTCGAGGACTGAACGCCAGCTGGAGCACCTTCAGCAACAACGCGACGAAACCATCGAGAAGCTCAAAGTCGCGACAAAATACGACTCCACTCAGCAGTTACTTGACAAGTACGACGGAAAATCACCCCCTCAATCGCCGACCAATATGCCGCGCGGCGAGTCCAACAAGGATAAAAAGGGAAAGCAGGGACAAAATGCGCCGGGACCTGGTCGAACCAACCTGCCGCCACCCCCGACTGCCAACATTCGTCCTCGTCCTCCTCCCGATGGTGCCTCGCCTCCTCCATTCCTGGAGCCTCCTCTCTCACGCAATCCAGGCCCGGAATCAATGACCAACCGTCTCACCAACTACCCGGGGGAGCTCGGGAAGCCCCATGGTCCTGAGGGCATTCCCTATCCGGAGGAGACCCAAGTTCCGTCTCAGCAGCCGTACCAGCAGCGCCCTGTAGATCAAGCCATGTTCAACCCTACCCCGAGTTTTTGGGGTCGCTGCGTGAACCTGATGCTGGGCGAAGATGACATCTCGCACCGAATGGTCATGCTTTGCGCCCGGTGTAAACTGATCAACGGCCATGCCCCCTTGGAGGTCCACACGGCTCAGGAGCTCGGTCAATGGCAGTGCATGCGCTGCGGCACGATCAACGGTCCCCCTCATCCCCGAACTGTACTCGAGTCAAACTCGCCCGAGGCCCTTGCCAAGCAGCCCTCGCAGGAGGCCGTAGGCTCGGAGGAAGAGACCGATGTCGCTGACAACGTCAAGGAAAAGCGTCCCGAGGATGAAACTCACTCGTCTGGCGATGAGACTGAGGAGGATGAAAATGCGAAGGAGTAGGTACGCAGTATCTACTGAACACTGAATTTTTTTCAACAGGGATTTCGTCGCTTTCTTACTCAATATGGCTTTTGATCAGGGATTTTCAACTGGGACATCGCATTTTTTTTATCTGGACAGTCATCCAATTACTGCAAAGGCGAGGAGTTTTCAAACAGATTTATTTTCATTACCGAAGCATGGCTACTTATTCTCCCTGAATTTCGGATCTATTCTTCAATGCTTTTCTACAACTGTAGCCTAGTTCCAAGATTTTTTTTTTTTTTTACGTAGACTTTCTACGATATAGACTACGTGTTTACCGTGGAGTTGGTGACCAATATGTTATGTCATTTTCTCTTTAGCTGGTTTGAATCGCACCCCATCAACGATTGGCCTATTCCGCTACCCTCCTTTCACCCCCAGGCCTGATCCATTCCTGTCTCGTTCATTCCTGGTCATTGCTCAATGCGCACGCTGTACTGATTTCACAGCTGCTAGTAGCTTCAAGAGCACCATTTCTCCTTGATTCCTGAATCTCATTATGTGTGATATGACGTTCCTCATTCCTTTGGCCCTTTAGACATTTCTTTTTGTGGTGTGTTTTTTTTTGATTTGATCTCATTTCCTTTTCCTTGCTTCCTTCCTGCTTCCTACTTTCTACTTGTTGCCACGCCCTTCATTATTCATTGGTATTTTGATTTCCTTTTTCCTTTTCCTTGTTCCGTATGATTACCTTTCCCGTTCTACATTTTGCTTTTGGTGCTGCGCAGTTTTGTTTGGTTTTTCTGCGATTTTATTTTTAGATTCTGTAATTTTTGCATGTTTGCTTGGCGCTTTTTGTTTGTGTGATGCTGTGTGAGTGTTGTCTTGTAGTTTGCGATTGCAGTTGTTGATGTTGGTTTTGGTGTGGTTATTGTTGTTCTCTTCCCAAGCTTGTGGCCGTCGAGCGTGGTAAAAGTGCGGTATTTTAGGGGTTCGACGGCGCAAATTGGGCTCGTAAAATGCTCAATCAAAAGCAAATCAATGATACCTTGGTCTTGAGCATCGATGACTTCGAAGATGGAAGTGTTTTGGTATATTCCCTTCTCATACCCGAACTATGGGTTCGATGATTCTTGCCACCTGTCCCGATATTTGATCAATATGTCCTCAGAAACTCGGTATAGGCCTCGTGGGGAGGTCGTGCATCGCTCATCTATGCGGAACTCAAGGGCATTTGATTCGAAGTAGGTAGGGTTAGACAGCTCGGATAGGCAAGATTTTGTTTGATCTCGAGATTGCTTAAGGAAGCAAGTGGGTAACCGCGGACGATGCTGGGAGACCAGCTTCTCTAGTGAACCCCGCTCGGTCGCCAAGAAATTGATGCAAACGAAAGTCTTCACGTTATTTAAACAAATTCTGGCCAGAAGAGGCATACCTAGAAGGTTACATCTCCTATGCCCTGGATTCAGGCATTATTCCGATACGATGGTGAGGGACGACTAAAATAGTACAGTACATGTATCATGCTTGTTCTGTTCAATATACATGAATAAATATTTGCACACACTTAACTAACACGTGATTGGCGTCAACTCTGACTTTACCTGACCCCACTTCGTCAATGATCTTCTTGAAATATTCACACATCCTATCGTACATTTGCTGGGCCACGATCGGAGAGATGCCAGTGAGCTTCCTTAGTCTTCCTGCTGAACTCCGCGACGAGATATACATATATCTCCTAGTGCGCAGAGAGCCTATTGATCCTTGGAATGGAGATCATGAGCTGGTACCCAATCTTCTCTCCACCAACTCGACAATCTTACATGAGGCCAGGTCGTTACTCTATGGCCACAACCGCTTTGACCTTACCCTCTCGATTTGGAAATCCGAACTATATCCCAATTTTTTGATACTATAGGCTTTGTCAACGCATCTCACCTTCAGTGTATCCGCATCGACTTTCCTGGACTTCGTGATCTTGAAGACGACGTCAGCCTGGAAGAAGACAGCCTCCGTATCCTGGAAAAGATACAGTCACACTGTACCAATCTAAAAACGCTCATAGTAGCCTCAGAGAGCACCAGTACAATGGAAAACCGGCTAGATTCTTTGGACAGCCCTATGATTTGTGCCAAGGCATTAGCGCTGGTTGCTGCGCGCTTCAAAACAATCACATCTCTCCAGGAAATCATCGTCGAGGTTTATGAGGAAGGTCCAAGCTCAGATATCAGAAGGAAAATGGAGAGTCATGGATGGATACTCAATGTGGTGGAGCCGGTTGAAGAAGAGGAGTGGAACGAAGACAGATCTTGGGATGATGTTGAAGATGATGAGTTTCATTATGATGATTACGATGATGATGACTACGATATTGACAATGATAGTGACTTTTGGAGAAGGGCTGCGGATTAAGAATCTGAAGGTGGGCAGCCATTTCGAGAGGTTGCTATGACCCGCTTCAAAAAGTATATGAAGCCATGTCTAAGCTATCCAGCACCCTGGCAGATCGTTCTTCGTGACTGCAATTTCCTTGATTGCCCAAATTTTTAACATTCAAGACTAATGATGGATTTCAAACCACAGGAGTGAAGACTGGATTCTGACAATTCTTTATGAATGCTCACAAATACCACAACCTTCGCGACTCGGCCTCTTCAATTTCTTCCGTCTTGTTGTCGGAAGAGGCAAGAGCGGTTGGGACCCACTGGAGAGCGGTGTAGTGAGGGGGCTAGATGAGAGGCTAACTGAGACAAAAACCGGGCCAGTCTCTCTTCTGTCAACGCCGAGCTAGACCTTGGGAGAAGTGTGACGTCAGAATATAGGTCTTTGACCTCTCGATGATGAAAGCCCTGTGTTACAGTATCGAGATAAAGCAGCCACCTCAACATCCAGAAATTTGGGACCAGAGTTCAGGAAATTACATTTTAAGTCAACAAAATTGAGACTACTGTAAACAGCGGGCATGTTAAATACCCATCTGTCTCTTCCGATAATCGGATGAAAGGCTGGGTTATGCTGAGGTACTCGGGAGTAATCTGGTCCAAAGTTGCTGCACAAGCCCAAGATTACATACAAAGACATAGGAAAAGGGGGCAATGGAACAACCAATCAGGACACCGAAAGTAACTCTCCATTTTTGCGGACACCATGAATCAGGATCGTACGCACGCCCCATTCTGGCACATGCCACGGATGAAGAGTGCGCGGCGCTGTGTAAAATTATCAATCCAAGAGTCTCATCCATTAAGGATGGCTGCAACTCACACAACTTCTACCATCTGCGCTGATCGTATATGTCGAACCGTCTGTGATACTGTGGCAAATAATAGGTGCACATGGATTGAAGACCAAAATTAGGGAACGCTCATGATAACCTGCTCTGCACGTCTGTACAATTTCATCGAGGTCAGAATTATCGATGTCATTTCCCCGGTCTTGAGGAAATGAATGCACAGATGCAATAAACATCATGAAGAGGAGTGAGAATTTCATCTTTGAATAAGTGAAGGGAGGAATTCAATAATTTTTGGTTTGTTCCCTAGTGAAAGTGAAGGGATCTAAAAAGGTTTTTCTTCAATATACAGCACCTACATATTTATATAGGTCAGTTCGCCCCAGGTGTGACCGAGTCGAATCTTTGGAATGAAGGTTAATTGAGGTTAAGAGGTGAATGTGATATTGAACTCTAATATTAAGCTACAGTACCCAAGCACATCGATCAGCAATTAAGATCCACTTAACCTGAAATGATTTGATCCGCTATTACGAGCTATTGAAAAAGTAGGGTTCAACTCCATCCTACATAGTTCAACCAGCTCGCTTTGTTTTACATACACTCGGGCCGTGCTCCGGCCCAGTCAATTCATACCACCCCGCAGGGTAACTGAATTGCCAGAGGACTCGAATCAGATCGCCAGCTAGCCTGGAGAGCTAAGCAGGAGTGGGAGTCTACTGTATACGAATCTTGGGCAGGTCAAAATGGCTGGACTAGATAGCCGACTCCGGCAACCATTTTGTTCGAGGGAGGGTACGTAAGGCTCCAGCTGACAGGCTCTCGGGAGCATCAAAGTAACCTCTAGAATTTTAGTTCCCGTCACCCGGTGCTAGAGCAATACCAGGCCTTCCCAAGGTGGGTAGGACTGCCGCTAATGCCTCTTCATTCAATCATGTTGAGCTAAAGATGGATGTTCTGAACAGCATGTCGCCTAAACAATCATCACAAGGCTATCATACAACACGATTCCTTTACTAGCTGCCAAGAAGACAATGAATGTATTGTTTTGGAGACAATGTGAAAGCGCCCGACGCTGAAGAATAGCGAGTATGTCTAAGTACAGTACAGATGATTTCGAAAACAGTTTACCCCCCAGACATACAGGCTTTCTTTCCCGGCGCCCCACTCAGATTACGCTAAGCTAGCTTTGGCTAGATCTACTGTAGCCGCTTCGGTGGAGTACTGACGCAATATCATTGGCTGCGGGAAAAGCCGAATCCTGGTGACCTGGACAAGAACGCCTATGTGGGTCTCTGGGAGAGAAGTGTGTGTGTCCGGGGTTTAAACTGTTTTCGAAATCCTCTGGACAGTACTGTAATACTGTATGAACGGGATATTCAATGTTCCCCTTTGTTTACTTGAGAAAGCGGTCTTCTCAGGATTTGATGATTTACAGAGGATTTCGAAAACAGTTTACCCTCCGGATACACGCGCTATCTTTCCCAGCGCCCCACTCAGATTGCGCTAAGCTCACTTTGGCTAGATGAAGCCCCTTCCCTGAGGTATGACGCCGTATTATTGGCTGCAGAAGATTCTGAACCCAGCGACCCGGACTAGACTCCCATGTGGATCTCTGGGAACGAAAGCGTGTGTCTGGGAGGTAAACTGTTTTCGAAATCCTCTGTAACCGTGTCTAATCGGCCCGCCGTAGAACCACAAGGACCCCCAGTATCCCTACAGTCCTGGTCACACTCCCGAAGTTCAAGAACACTTTCAATTTCGCGCTTCAGAATAACCCCATTTCAAACCTCGGCTCTTCATGTCGTTCCATGTGATGCAAGGCTACTTAGAGTGCAGTCCTCCCTCTGTAACGGGAGCAGGCGTGACCGGATTTTGCACATTATCTGTCCGGGTTAGCCACTGCCATAGGTCTGCAGCTCAATGGAAATTGTGCAACCAAACAAGCCGTTGTGTAACAGCAAAATGCTGCTGTGAAACCACAAGAGCTGTTATGTAGATTCCAACAGACCGAAATATATCACTCCAGTACGCAGTTCCCGACTTTCACAAAACCTACCTCTGGTTCTGGTCTGGATATTATGAAAAACCAATCGCGAAACTATTCATTAAGGAAATCAATAGATGTGGGTCCAGGCATTGTAAGGTCTAATGCAGGGTACTGATTTATTTGTACTACTGGGAATCCGGCGGGGAAAAATGACCTTGCGACTGACGACGTGGAGGCCTGGTTCTATGGGAAAGACAACTGTGGTGATCAAAGAAGAAGCGTTCATACAGTAGCTGTTCCCGCACCCGCGTTCAGAGTACTTATAATCTCATTTGGCGTTCTCGAAGCGGTGGCAGTGGCTCGCTGCCGGTACTCTAGCCTCGCTGAAAGTATCGCGCCTCCGCTGATCGTGCTTATTGCACCGAGAAGGACCAATCAGGTCTGGCCAGGTATTTTAAAGCATAATCCAGTCTCCTTGCGCACTGTAAAAAGATTCAGCCGGTGAGTGGCGGCTGACAGCGTGCCTGGTTCGAGGTTGTCCGCATCGTGGTCTGGTCAGTGAGACTGATTCGACTCCTTCCTCCTCGACATTCGTGACCCAGGGAGTAGGCCACACGCCTCTTCTGGAACCCCATCTGAAGGACACGTGACCCTCCAACTCCAGCCTCATGTGTGTAGGTCGAAAATCTTGACAAGGCTGATTGAATTCGTGCCAGAATGGACTGTGGTTTGTGGCGAGCTGAGGAAATATCCCAGCCAAAGTAGATGGATGGCCTGAAGGTGGTGATGTTGATCGTTTTTCTTTCTATTTCCTGGAGGCGAAAGGGGGGTTCCTTTTTTTTCGTTTTTCTTTTCCTTTCCTTTCCTTTCTTTTCTTTTTAGTTTAACCTGGTTTTCGTTTTTGCTTTATAAGGGATGTCGAGTCAAGAGGGTTCCCAGTGACCAGCGAGGATACAGACGCAGCGAGTGACAGGCATCAATATTGACACCCTTTGCTCAGAGAATGTCGTGTCCCAAGCTTGTGCGTACACGTACATATCTCAGGAGCTGAAAACAGTGGTCTCGGAAGGCAGCGACATCCTACCTGGATTCATGTTGACAAAGTGGTAATCGCTGAGCGATCTGTCAGTCGGCGCAGCAGAGTAATCACATCATCGCTATCATGAGTAGGGTGTGACGGGTCCCATGGCCTGGAGCATGAAGAAGCACAGCAGCAGGACATCGTAGTTTTGGGAACCCCCCACTGCTTTCACACGAATGAGAAGATAATGTGTGAAGGGCATGGTATGGATGCGAGTTGGACTGTAATCGCAGGGTGGTGACCTTCGATGGTTGTATGCGCATTTTCACTTTCAACCCCGTTCCAGGGCATCGTGTGATGGTAATGCTCAATCCCTGGGAGCAGGATTAGGCGACCGTTGGTTACAAGATAAAGGGTTCGATCGATAAAAAGAGATATGAGCATAGTTGAGCAACCCTGCTTCTCCTTTTCGGCCTTGTGGATATCGACTGGCAAGTACCAGATCTTTGCGGTTGCAAATCGACATAGAGCAAAGTTTGGAGTATGCGGGCTTCACGGCCTAACTGTGTGGCCAGTCGCTCGGTGAAGTTTAAATTGGCAACAGGTTGGTGTTTTTGGGTCTTCCACGCCGATCGGAATAGCAAGGAGTTACAGGAAATAGTATTTGTAGGTTATGTCCTGATGATTGGAAAGTACAAAGCTCATATTCGTCATAATGGCGAGGATCCGGAGTTCGGCGTTCTTGGCAGTCACCCTTGGTGAATGGGCCTAGGGCCTAGCTGAAAGACAAAATCAGTTGTAGCAGCTTCGGCTGGTCGATCGAACTGATGCAAAAGTGATGGTATCCTGAACCTCGAAACAATCAGAAAAGAGGGTTTAAATTGATGAAAATGAGGTGTTGTTGATTGTTCGAATGACCACTGCTAGGGGAAGAAACGAGAGCTCGCTGATGCGTGGACTACCCCGGAGATACTCACTCGAACCTGAGGCTGTCTTTTTTTTTGGGTCGTATGGAATCAGGGCCGATGCAATCAGAAAGGGAAGACTGATTGATATTTGACAGCGCCTGCGACACAACATCTGTCGTGGTCATTCACATTTGATTGAGTGAACTGATATATCACTGCGATTGCCAGGATCTGTGACCCAGGGCTGTTGGCAGCGCTGTGACTTATGTTCTTTTCGAGAGAAGAAAGGGGAATCTTGACTTGATTCTTCATGCCGAATTGATGTGACATACCTTTTTCTTTTGGGGCCATTCCCGGGCGAAGAATGACTCGAGCACTCCTCAACAGCATTCTACCATCGTAGATATGTTGGAGTCATTCCCCACGGCGCTTGACTTCACGCTCTCCGCAGAAATGCAGAACTCTCACCTCTTCCAAAAATCTCACAACAACAAATCTTCATCTGGTGCTGCTTGGATGCTCACCCATCCTTCACAGCTATGAGGTTCAATTATTTACGTGGAGAACCCCTTCATCCACGGCCAGCTGGGAAAAAAGAATATCGGGACATTCGCATACGTTGCTATTCCCCTGCATTAATAGGGGCCATCATCAGTGGGCTTTCTTAGCCACTGCCTCTATTTCCACTTGCCCCTCAGCCACGACCTCCACCACGACCTTTATCGTCGGAGCTATCCCCGCCTCTTCCTGCACCTCTTCGGCTTCCACGTCGTCCTGCGACGAGCTGCCACCCGTCTGGATTGATTTGTGGGCCTTGTGAAGGGTTTCTTGCAGTCTGGCTGATAGGAGTTGAGCTAGATGATGGGCCTGCTGCTGGTGGTGGATGTCTTTGTGGCGGAAAATTGCCTCTGTCTTGCGTACTTCCCCACTCGTTGCCTCTATCTCTCGCTCCACCACCGCCTCTACCTGTACCCCTGTCGCTACCCTTTTGACCACGCGCAGCTTGGAAGCCTGCCGTGCCTCGGGGCACCCCTGCAACTTTGGGGTGTTTTGCAGGCTGGCTTGTTGAGGGTGGGTTCTTGAGTGACGGGGTTTTCTTTGAGGATCCAGGAAACTGCGTATTGGATTTGGGCGCATTGCCTTTGCCTCGCGTGTCCTGACCACGACCTCTGTCTCGATCATCGCCTCTATCTCCGCCTCGACCTGGTCCTCGAGTACGCCTATCCGCGCTTCGTGCAGATCCCTAGACTGACGGGCCATATGGAAGGCCCCCAGAGGTGCTGCTACCAGGTGGGCTCGGTGGAGGTGGGTTTGATCCAAGCAGGTGAGTGGGTGATGGGCCTGAGGACCGCGTTATTGGCTTTTGGCTTGTTGGTGGCGGGCTTGTTGATGATGGCCCCCCCTGTTCGGGCCCCTTTTCCGCTTCCCTTCCTGCAGATAGTTCGTCAGGGACTGGGGCCTGGTCACCTGTTGTTCGGGTACTGCCAGTAGACTCAGACTGTCCGCCCATTGGCTGCTGCGACAGGCTTGCCTTCCTCGATCTGTTTCGGGCTCTTCGATCCCGGACGCGCTGCCGTTTGTTGGCCCTCCGATCTTCTTCGACACCAGCTTCATCCAAGGCACGTTGTTCCTCGAACTTGCGCAGTTCGGGAATTGCGATTGCCAGGGCCCTAAGTGTTGCCGCGTCTTTGTTGTCAGAAGATTCGTCAGTGGACATATTGACGATCTGCTTGGAGATACGGTGCCTAACGAAAACAGTAACGCTCCAGGATTCTCTGTTTGGGGGGACTACCTTGTGACGGTAGTCGAAGTCCACCTCCCACTGATTCTTGACGATTGCAGCCGCGATGTTCCGCGGATTCCGCACTTCCACTTGCTGGTGGATGTATCGGTGGAGGATCTCCCAAAAGCCCAGTGCCTCCATAAACTGCCTGCAGGGGGTAAGGTCGAAACACGAGTCGACAAATATGGCTCCAAGTACAGATTCCACAATGTCGGAGAGCAAGTCGACTGGACGGATCTCCTGCAATTCAACCCAGGGGTGCTCGCTGCCGTTCGCGAGTTTGTCAGTCGCCGCCTGGTTAAACTGATCGTAACGTTGGAGACAGTCCTCGACATTCGGCTTGCTCATGAAATCATCGAGTCCGCGGAGGAAACGGTAGAGGGGTTGCGGCTCCGAGCTTGTTGGACTAGCACCGCCCCATGGCATAATGCTGTCTGCTTGAGCCCGGTGTCGCATGCAGAGGAAACCGAGCAGATTACCGTTCACTACGGCGTGCTTCAGGAGTGTCACCGCACCCGGTCGAACGTCAGTCTTGGTCGAGAGAAGGCTATCGAGTTCTGAGATGACGAGCATGTCCAGAACAGCGTCACCCAGAAACTCGAGACGCTGGTAATTCCGATCGATATCGGAAGTTACCGATGACGGGGTAAGTGCTTGCTCCAGCAACGTCCAGTTGTTGAAACGGTAACTGCCGAGAAGGTTCGAGAGGATTTGCATATTGGTCGACTGCAGATGCCCGGTTGGTCCGCTAACGGTAGCAAGCATCGCAACCGTTTCCGTGAGGGCATTGTAGTCGAACTCCTTGATGAACAAGTTTATGCAAATCGAGGCTTTCTGGATGCCTCCATCAACATAAGCTGCCCAGAAAAAAGCTTCGACAACGTCCGCGAGGGTCTTCGTAGAGAGGCGGGAATCTTTATCGCGATAACGTCGTCCCTGGGCAATCTTTCCAGAGATGGAGGGCATTTTCCAATCCGTTGGCACAAACCTATCGTTAAACACGTGTCTGTCAATGAACTTATCGGTCGCCTTCGCGGCGAGGTACCGATTGTTGATATTCTTATCACGTTGTTTCGACAGTCTGCCTTCGGGAAAGGACAAGTGATCGAAATAGGCTTGGCAGCTCGCAACGAATTTGAGAACTCCGTCTCCGAAGAACTCGTACATCTCGTAGTCCGGTTTGAGTAACGTCCTCGGCGTTGTCAAAGCAGTAATGACAGGAGTAACGTTATCACTAAAATTCAGTTGTCTCCGAAACAGAGATGTACCATGGAGCCATTCGTATGCGATTGCTGTCCTCTCGAATTCAAACAGGATGGGTGCGATGAAGCGTCCAATAACAGCAGACTTTGCAGAAAGCCTTTCAGCTGTGCATGAGCTGGCGGGAAGATGTTCGTACCTCTTCTCCTTCGGCTTATGGGCTCTCTCTTGATCCTGGTACAAAGACTCCTTCTTGAGGATGTTTACCCGTTTGGCAAAGGTTTCACAGTACAGGTAAACATCGCGCTTCTGTTCATCGACAACCCACTTGATAGCACGGCGTGGCTCGGCATACGCGCTCTTATCACGGATGACGCCTGTGGGGAGCGAGTTTGGGTCCTTGCGATAGAGCTCGATCACGCTCTCTGGTTCGGCTTCATGATCCCGTACCCACCCCTCCAGGGCGTCTAGAGGGATGTTAGGAACGAACGGAGCCACAGGATCCTCTGGAGCCAGACGCGCAGAGCTGCGTGATCTTGAGCCGCGGTCGAAAATGGCACTCGCCTTGCGCATCCAGTAGATGTGATCCTTCGTAACACCTTTAATACGCGTAGGTGCGCTGAATGAAGCAACGTATTGCTGTTCGATGTCCCAGTAGAGGGTAAACGGTTTCGGCATAGTCATGGCTCTTGGCAAAACCATGACTGTAGTCAGGTCATCATCCACGACACCATTCAGCGAGAACGTGATCGTCGTCGCGAAGTACATGTTTGTGAGTGACCAACAACGTGCCAGCCGGCGGAAGATATCTTCCACCTCCTGAGAGCTCCCTGTATTGTCGTCGTCTCCCATGGTGTCGGTACTCGTGGCTGCTGGGAGGAGGTGGTCGTCGACGATACCTTGTTCGAACAAGGTCTTGTAGGCGAGGAAAGCAACTTCCTTTTTGGCACCCTTTGCGGTGGGCCACCAAGTCAGACCTCGCACAGTTCGTGTCAAGGGATCGAGGGTCGGATGGAGGGTAACTGTTGCTTGAAACAGTCGAGTATCTTGGTGCTGGTAGATTGACACCGGGTAAAAGTTGCGGCCTCGGTCGTCGGGGGAAAGACAACTGAAGAAATGTTGGAGATGCTTAAAAGCGTCGTCCAAGGAAAGACAGGCACTAAAAGTGATTGTCAGTCGAGGCTGTAGGGGCAACTTGGGGAGAAAAGGGAAGAAGGAGGAGACAACCCTGGGGAAGAGCTCACTTTATAGCTGTGACGATGCGATGCTGTGGCGCCCAGAACGTGGGCCCCGCCGAGCCCTTTCGTAATTTCTCACTTTCCAGCTCACTTTCCTGGAGTTGTTTGTCCTTGCACGCATCCACCATCACCTTTTCAACCTCTTGCCACTCCTGCACATTGGACAAAGCATCTCTCATTGGTGAGAGAATCGCAAAAGCTGAGTTCTCACTCCTTGCTCTGCCCCGCCGTTGTATAAACGACTTCAAACTTGAAGGTTTGTCGAAAGATATCACCAAGCTGCATGAGCTAATGTCCAATCCCTCCTCGAGAACGTCGGTCGCGACTATTAGGTTCTTCCTGCCTGACTTGAACTCGGCGAGGGTTCCTAGTTGCATATCTTCAGACAGCAAGTCCCCGAGGATCTCGACCTCGTTACTAGACCTCGACCACCCCACGTACGAAGCACATCGGAATTTCTCCTTTGTCCTCGGGTGGATAGACAGGATACGCGTGAGGACAGTGACAACGACACGGCGTCTGGCAAAGATAATACTCGAGGGGTCTGGGTTATCCTGTTCATCCAGATACTCGAGCAACTTCGTCAGCTTCTCCGAGACGTGGAAGTCGCCCATCGCATCGTCAGGCATAGACACTTCTGCCAGCATTTTGAGAAGATAAACCCTTTCCATTCGGTCCAGGTCTGGCATTGCCTCGTCGTTTTCAATCGAGCTTCGCAGCTGGTCGATGGACGCATCGATGAAGTAGTCCGTTGCCCAGCCGCCAAGTTCGTCGTATATGTGGCAGCACCGTTCAAAGAACCGGTCGAGTTGTGCTTTGCAGTATGTGTCTCCTGTCCTGAGGACGAATTCGAGGTGTTCGTCTTGGTCTATATTTTCACGCAACAGCTCGACGGACGGGTCCTCTTCGATATCATAGTTTTCAATGCATCGTTGGAGCGGGAGCAGCAACTGGCTTCCAATGCCGTGCTCACTTTGGTCTGGGGTATATGTGAGAAGGTCAAGACGAGGTTGATGTATACACTGAAGCAATTCGTCACGATGCAGAGACGGTGTTTTGCACACTGCATCCATATTTGCCTCTATGGCCGCCAGTTCCTTCTTCCTGAATCGAACGATCGGAGTGGCTGTCAATCCTAGGATTCGGGGAACCGCTTCCGGTCCAAGCCTCTGGCGTATGGGGTGATAGTGATACTGCATGATCTTATTTGCCGGGTGGCGACGTCGGCAGTGGTGAGCTGTGAGTGATCAGCCAGAGTGTTTCCACTCAGTAGTGGGGTGTTCAACTACGTACCTTCATCAAAGACCATCAAAGCCAGCTGTGAAATCTGAACAAAGCCATGATTCAACGCATCACAAAGCACATCATGAGTGGATACTACTATGCGAACACCTCGAAGGAAGTTGTTCCAGATCGACTGCTTAGTCCACCGATCGACATCATCTTTGCCAGTCAATACCCGACTCCGTACGTTCGGGATCTGCGACTCGATAACTTCCTGCTGTTGCATACACAGTGCCACAGTTGGAGCGAGGAACCAGACCATCTGTTCTGTTGCGCATATTTGCAGTTCAGCCATGATGCGCATGATGGCTCTGCTCTCGTCAGCAGGTTCGCGCATGTTCGCACAGGAAGGACTTACATATGGGTCTTCCCGCTACCGGTGTCCATCTAGCACAGTTTGTCAGTTCTACTCTTACACTACTGACTAGTAAGAACACATACCGCAACAATGATATTCTCTTTCATACTCGCTTCCAGCATTTCAAGCTGGTACTTGCGTGGTCGATATGGGGCGTTGGGTACCGGTAGCGGCCGCGCCACGACCGCTGTCACATCGGGCATTTCATCCATCACGTCCGCGTCGATGAAATCTCCCATGATGGTTCGTTTTACAAACAGAGAGGCGCCCTCTGCCTTTAAAAATACACCTTGTCGGTGACAAACAAAGAAAAGCGAATGTTGGTCGTTAATTGTGGGGGCAGAATTGCCGGCTCCGCCTGGCTCACCGCCAGGTTGAACTAGTATCCGACGGGAGGCGGTGTGATGCTTGAATGACCACTTAATGTTTTCTAGTGATCTTGAGAAATTTTGCACTGAAGCACGCGAAAATTTAGTGCTGTTGGAAAATTTTGCCCATTAAAAATCAACTTCGGGTGTTTTTTTGGGTGTCCGATCGAGGTTCCCATTGTTTGTGTGGCTAGTCGATGATGCACGAATGGACTTAAAACAAATATATAATGCAAACAACATGAAAAGATGTAACTGATTGACCCTTGGGGGGGGGGGGCGGGTGTGTCAAGGATGTTGAGGTTCCAGGATAAGGCCCCGAATTGATGCCTCATTTCCAACCTCTGTCGGCATGCCTGTTCAGGGAAACCCGGGGCACTGAGCTTGATATGCGCTTCAAACGCTCTTGTGCGACATTATATTCTAAATTCAGGGGATCTTCATGGAAGAATTCCGATTGAGACCGATAATAGGGGTTTACTACTGTCAGGGGCTTGCCGCCCGTTCAGGGATAAATACCCCCAGAATGTATGTAGACAGTTTAACACGATACAGTCAAGTTCAATTCCATCAAGGTCGATTTGTCTAGCAGGCCCTTATTCAATATTCAGTGCTTCATCGTATCCAAATCTCAACAAAAGAGACGAAGCTGGAGAATACATGGAAGTGGATTAAACAGGCCCCAAGGCATGCGACACCCTTATCGTAATATGCACCTATCTTTTTGTTATAGAACGCAATTGAGGAAGTTTGTCACGAAAAAAAAACGATCATGAGCTGCAAGATGCAAGTGTCAAATTCTCAAAACAAGCACAATACAGCCATAAAGCCAGCAGTTGAATTATAGAAAATGAAAAAAATTGTGGAGACTTTGATCAGGTACGGCGGTCCCTAGTAGCCACAGGGTCAATGAATATGATATTTGAATTCGAGTTGAGATTCAATGCATAATCAGGATCTGGGCTACTATCTACAGGACGATCCATAATAGCCCTAGAGGGCTATTCAACTTTACTGGTAGCTTCTATCAGAATCACGTCATCAAAAACCGGTTCAAATCTATAGACATGCACCTGCCATGCCTTCACCCGGTGACCTGGCCACGATGTTCCAAATCACGCGCTTGATGGCTGATTAGTGTCTTGTCTGATAGCAGTTTGATTGGGATAGCCTATGCAGAATACAGGGCAGGCTTAGTGCCCTAAATATTTGTGGTTTGTTATCGAGACCTAGTGGTCAGTGAAGATAGATAATCTTGCACTGCTGTTATACCGATCGGATGATTGTTCACGAATAAAGTCATGGTTAGTAGAATGTGTTGTAATTACGGTGTGCATTAGAAACTTGTATTATTCAAAACAGCCTATTCTACCTGTCAAAATACTGATTGCGCATGTAATCTTAGGTCGAATGCAAATATCACAGTGGTTTATCCAGAGGCAGCTAAGGGCCGCTGTAACTGATCAAAGAATGATTACAAGATATAGTGCGTGGTTAGATTTATTACCAGAAATACAGAAGTAAGGTATTTCACGTAGTTCATCGATATTAGGCAACATTACTACATGACATGTCTACGAGAAGATGTCGCGGCGGTGTCTGCCGCATTGTCGCCCGGAGAAAGTGTGCATCAACAGTACGTCATTCTACGAATAGAACTGTATGAAGACACCGAAAACTCCGACTAACAACGTGAGTTGCTCATCCTCTACATCGCCCATATCGTCACATACAATTCAAGAGACAGAAATACCGACTTCTGACGCTGACAGCAGATCCGCCAACGACTGGACTATATCATGCCCATGACCGTTGCGCCGACCCAGAAAGCTACCACTGCCCGGGATAACAATACCACTGCAAATTCAACGGAGTCCGACGCCAGTACTCCAGATACGAGCGGAGGAGGGGAGGTTGGGCAAGTCGAGTCTGCTGATGAGGAAGGAACTGACAAGACAAGCGATACTGACCTGATAGGGCGGGAGTAAAATGTTAGTATACAGCACGAATCCGTCTCCAATAGGTCAATGTTCGATTATGACAGCCATTTGTCTGTCTATGCCTCTCCAATTGCCGAAGTAATTCAATGCGTATTGTGCCCCCTCTGCTCTGAAACACGTAAAGATCGTCATCCCTTCCTGCGCATTGTCCGCCCCCATCAGTTTCACCCCTTCCATCAGCATCTCCTGACCATTATACGTCTGGCTTAGAAGCCCCAACCTATTAAAAAGGCCATGAAAATTTAACGAACTCGGTTGTGCAGCTCACAGAGCCTGCTGAAAGCTTTTCTTTTGTACCGTCGATCAAAACGAGCCAAAACGAGACCTGAACCGCGTATCCCTTACGAAAGTCGAATTCCACACTCGCGTTATGTCGACTGCTTCAGAAGATGCTCAGCTCAAGGTGAGTTCCGTGTTTCCAGGTCGACAATTTGATCTACTAGCGACGATTCCTCGCCATTGGGCGTTAGTGCCGGGACAATTGCTGATCTGCGCGGTAGTCGCCGTCTTACCCAAGCAACTGCCTTCACTTTCTCCGGAACGCTGATAAGAAGTCCACCAAATCTACCAACGAAGGCAATGATAGTACTGTTCAACTCGACATCGCGATCGTGGGTGCTGGCATCGCTGGGCTGGCCACGGCCATTGCGCTAGCGCGCAAGAAGCACACCGTAACAATCTATGAGCAGGCAGAACGACTGGCAGAGGTATGTACATGGCGACAGCTGCACCGTCTCCAAAATTTGTGACCAAGACTAAGTCCCTGCAGGTCGGAGCGGGCATTCAAATTCCCCCGAATTCTACACGCTTGTTGTTGAATCTGGGACTCGGGCCGTACCTAGAGAAGTATGTCACTGAGCCTGGAAGTGTGCTGATGCGCCGATGGCAAAATGGGAAAGTCATCGGAAAAACGAGATTATATCCTGAGTTTCGAGAGCAGTTTGATGCTCCGTACTGGGTAATCCATCGCGCGCATCTCCATGAAGCGATGCATCGGTTGGCCGTTGACTTGGGTGTCACTGTCAAGCTGGTCTCGAGGGTTATTTCGTACGATGTCGAGGTGCCAAGTCTCACGCTGGAGAGTGGATCGACTGTTCTGGCGGATTTTGTCGTCGCTGCGGATGGTGAGTACTGCCTGCCTCTTTCTTCTGCCACAATATCTAACATTGCCTTAATTAAAGGGTTGAAGTCGTCAGCCCGGAAAGTTATTCTAGGCGATGACGATTATTTTCCAAAACGGACTGGCTTTGTCGCGTACCGGACCGTTGTCGATGTCGAACACGTAAAAAATGATCCTCAAGTATCTTGGCTGCTGGAAAAGCCTTCCTTTAACCTGTGGTTAGTCACTCAGTAGCTCCTATCTCTGCGAAGTATGCCAGATGCTGACATAGACGTGGGGGAATACTCAGGCTGGGAGACAACAAGCATGTCATGACATACATCATCGGTGCAGGGAAGTCATTCAATATGGTCTTCAATTGTGCGGACCCTTCAGATCCTGCCGAATGGAGTCAGGACATGTACACACTTCTCGACAGTATTCGCAGAGAGTTCAGGGGCTGGGATCCAGTGTAAGTTGGTCGCGCATCCTAGCAAAGCTCTTGGGGGGAGGTGGTTGTTGAAAGCCCCTGACGATGACTACAAGGCTAATGAAGATAGCCTCATGCGACTTACACAGATGATCGACAAGACGATGAAGTGGCCCCTGTACAGCGGATCAACCATGCCACGCTGGGTCGCTGGAAAGCTGGTTATCCTCGGTGATGCAGCCCATTCCATGATCCCCTACATGTCCCAAGGCACGTTCCCACAAAATCTCTTAATAGGATACAGCCTAGCTGACGTGAACGTCGTCTAGGAGCCGCCATCGCAGTCGAAGACGGAGTCGCCCTCGCCAACAGCATCGACAAGATCTCCTGCAAGGATTCGATTCCGCTCGCACTGTCGATCTTCGAGAATGTACGAATCAAACGCGCTTCGCGAATGCAAGAGGCCAGTTTGCTCAACAGCAAGCTGTGGCATTTTCCCGATGGACCTACCCAGCAAGAGCGAGATAAGGCGATGGAGGCAGAGGTTGAAGGTCGGCCATTCTCCCACAGTCCCAACCAGTGGAGTGATCCCGCAACGCAGATGTGGTGTTTCGGGTGAGAATGATCCCCCCACCTAGCCAACGTTGGCATTTACTGAAGGGTACAGGTATGACACCGACGCAGAGATTGACCGAGCTTGGATAAACTGAGATGCGATATACCTACAGTCGAAACAAAACGGCGTGCCTGCTACCTTGAAGAAAACCTCGAGCACCACGAGGTAAAGTGGTTCTATCGACGGGGGTGTTACTACCGGCTTTTCTATGTCTAAATCGTACTTGAAACGTAGCGGGTTCTTCGGGCTGTCCTTGCCGATAACTGTCATCCAGGTTCTACAACCGTGCAGCGAAGATCGTGGGTACCTGCCTGGCAACTGTGGTCGGGAGAGATTTGAGGTTCAGCTCTGAGGGCAATGTGTTATTTAGAGAAGGTAATTGCATCATTCGTGTCGACCTTTGCTGGTTCGTGAGTGTCAATCCATTCCTAAGCTTCATAATGTTCTCCACACAAGGTAAAAATTAGCTATATGTCCTGGTGATATAAATTTGTATTTGTGGATGTTGCTTGCGCTGTAGATTAAGCGGTACATGTCGATCTGATGGCAATTCTTCTGTTGAATATTCAAACACTTTTAAGCTGTGATCTCAGCAGTGACCCTTTATTCGGAAAGGCCATAGATACTAACCGCTTTGTCAATGTGTGATTACAATGTTGGCGTCGGAAAAAGAAAAGATTATTTGAACCAGTCCAAAATTCAGTGATTTGAACAGAAACTATGACTAATGAAGTGAGTGTCCAGAGGTTTGTTCAACAATGAATGCTTCCTGTATTTAATCGTGCGTAGAACAACCTGTCTAGGACGTTCACCGGACTATCAGAAACCACTTCTATCTCCTCTACCTTTCTTGTGGCCATCTTATCACATAATTTTGAGAGAATTGCCAGGTGCCTCTGCCTAGTTCCTGCCTAAGGCACAAAGTATTCATATTCCATTCACTCCTACCATCCCGAAACGGACTAGCGTCAGCCTGCTCACGGATATAAATATCACCTGCCGGCAAATTTTCCATTCCTTTTTTTCTTCCTCTTTAAATATACCTTGCTCGGGTGAGCCGCGGTCGTGAGGGTGGATCACCACAGGGCATCGCCGCATTGCACAGCGCGTGTGTATACTCTGTTGAGGCACCCTCGGGGGGTCTCTGGGGCGTATTCTTTGGCACACCCTTCGTGGGTTCTTACATTTTTTTTTTCATCAAGTGTTGGGTCAGCGACTCAAGCTTGGAGAGGAGATTCATAGATACTGCTCTGACTACTGTTCCAGGCAGTTACACTGCTTCGCGCCTGCCATTTTGAAGACCACCTCCGTCCCAAACGGGACTAGCGCCGCACACACCAAGTATGAAAACTGCCGTCCATTTTAAAACTTCCTCACCTTTTCTTCCCTCTCCATATATACCTTGTTTGGGTGGGCCGCGATCAAGAAGGCCGTCCACCACAGAAGCTCTATCGCATTGCACAGCGCGATGACCGACTGTTCAGTCGCCCTCTGGGGGCTGGGAGGCATATTTTTGGCACTTCCCCCCTAGGGATTCTCATCATCTTTTCATCAAGGCCTGGATCAAATTACTCGAGCTTGGAGAAGAGATTAATGGTGCTGAGATCCAAGTATTGCTTTCGTGGACGGGGGTCGCAATGTGCCGTTCACATGATAGGGACCTGCGGAAAGTGAGAGGAGGATGATGGTCGTTCATAACCAGTCCTTCCTGCCTTGTACGACCCCTGTATTTTTGAGTATACTAGACAAAGCAAACCATCAAAAGCTGGGCCTTCCAGAACCCTTTCTGCGAGGAATATTTTCGCTAACAGTTACGACTTGTTGGTTGCACGCCCTTTGTGAGGAATCTCGGGCAGCCGTTTGCAAATCTAGAGATAATGATCGCTCAAACACAATCTTTCTGCTGATACTGACATTTGAATTCTTACACTCGAGGCCGAATCCAGGAGATCCCTTGGGATGCTTTTCCATGGCTGGAACTAGACTCAGAGCGCGTTCAACATGGAGGCCGACAATCCGCGTGCGTTACAACATTATCCATGATGCTGCTCTGTTCACCGATGCCGCCGAGAGTTTGTTTACTTTTGAAGAAAGTCAATTCATTTATCATTTCCGGGTTCGAGGATTTTCCCCAATAGTATTAGTAAGTAAGTCTTCTATGCATTTCCGCTGTATCTTTTAGAATGGCTATCACGGAAGTCTCCGCTGCAGCCTGGACGTGTTGCACCTGCCCACAAAGGTCCCTTCGCGTCCATTTCAGATTTTTCCCTTCCACCCTCACCGACTTTCTGCATCCCCCTACGCATCAAAAAATCAGCCCTGATTTGAGTCCCGCTGCTCACGTACACGATGGGTCCTGGATTCTCAACTGCCGAGTCACCATTCCAGTCACTGCTGGAGAAGGAAGCCGCCAAGCACCTTTTCATTACTGCCGTATTTCTCAATAGTTGAACAATAAGAGGATCTGAAGGGATTCCAGCCCTCTACCCTCGGTATCACATCAGTGCCACACTGTGCCGCTATGAGCTCTGAATTGTGGGAGGAGGGTGAGGACTGCGTTCTACTGAAATTGCCGTTCCTCTTCAACGACGAGCCGGATGCCGATCCGAGAGGAACCTCCCGTAAAACACCTCTTGCGAGACAATGCCCATCGATCCGGACCACCAAGTCATTATTCCCCCGCCAGGAAGCCAAATGAGCACGTGTTGGCTCTTCATCAGGCCCCAGATCCAACGCCGATGAACCTGGTGTTGCCTGCGTCAACTGCCAAACACGTCCCAAGCCACCTGCGCGTGAGGCTCCCCGAAGCGGGATACCACTACTCCGAAAGTGAAAAAAAAAAAAAAAAAAATATTGCATCAACGAGCAAAGTCATGAAAAATACGGCTACCTAGAAGAATACGGTTACCTCAAAGAATTCGTCAGGCCAGGAGGACGCCGTGACTTTAAACAGTTCCTCCATCCCGAAAGCCGCGGCGAAGAGTTCAACATCGATTCCAGAACTGCGCATTCAAAGAATGGAACGTGTACAAGATCGCAGGTGCGGCTGGCTTTCACGAGGTAACCGCGAACAAAGGCACGCACGTCGTGGACGATTCTAGGTGCATCATTTCCTATCATTCAAGATTGGATTGTGCCAACTTATCCACTTTTGTCGTCGCCTTCGTGGTTTCCAAGGAGATGCACCAATACACTTAGCCACGTGAGCAGAATCACGGCGCTCAACTTCAGCAATCGGTAGAAGGTGAGCAAACAAAATTCAAGTATATATTTCCCCAGGCAGCACACAACCCAAAGCACAACAAGCAATAACCCCCAATACCCTCTTAATAAATATACCTAAAATTCAAATTCTCCTGGTCCGTCTTATCCTCGAAAGCATGAATCAAATTCGGATCCGCAGCCGAAAGCCCCTGCTCCGCAAGAATCGCATCCTTCTTCTTATTCTGCTTGATCAGGTAGAACCGAAGGAAGATGACAGCGACAGTCATGCAAGCGTAGCAAGCCAGATGCACACTCCAAGCAATATGGTATCTCGGCGCATCCCAGTCCAAGAAGACCTGCGGCCCGATCGCATTACCCGCAGCCCAGGAGATGAAGGTGCAAGCGACGACGGTAGCTTTCTTGGTCTGTCCAGCGATGTTCCGGGAGACCATCGACAAGGCCAGTGTTTGCGCAGACCAGAAGGAGAGCGTGATATAGTAACTAATCAGCAGTCCAACCTTAGTCGCCAGCGTGGTGTTGGCGACAGTCATGAGGACAATTGTACCGATATACGACGGGATGACGAAACCAAGCATGACGAGCAGATTCTGCTGGAAACGCTTGACCAGCCAGGCGGAGGTGAGCAGGATGACGATGATGTAGAATCCCAGTACCATGGCGAGGAGCTGGCTCTGCAGAGTCGTGAAGTTGAAGCTCTTCATGATGATTCCTGCGAAGGCGCCCAGGCCACTTGTCGGGAGGGTTGTGAAGATTTGGATACTGCAGTAGCACCAGGTCTGCGGGTCCCGGAGTGCCTCCCACATCTGGTATGCGCGGAATTGTCTGTTTTGGATGCCGGTTTGGTTGGAGCGGAGGCGCTCGACCATTAGGTGCTTATCTTCTTCGCTGAAGCACTTGGCTCGCATGGGGGAGTCGGGCATCCACCAAATTACGAAGAGGCCCCACAGAACTGAGAGACAGCCGTAGGAGAGGAAGAGAGCTTGCCAAGATTTTAGGGCTTTGTCGCCACCGATTAGCGTAAAACAATAGGCGAGGAGGCCGCCGACAATTTGTTGGGCTCCGTTCATCATGTACCTATAGCAATGTTAAGAGGTTGTTGAGAGTGAAGGCAGGGGTAGACGTACCAGTATGTGACGGTCGCGGCTTGTTCTTCACGCTTGTACCACATTGACGAGAGCAGGACGAAGGTCGGTTGACAGCAAGCCTCGAAGATACCGAGGAGGGTGCGGACGGCGACCAAACCGGCGAAGTTATGGCATGCTGCGTGCATTGCTAGAATGCCGCCCCAGATGCAGATGTTGATTCCGAGATACTTGGCGATGGGAACGCGCTGGATGATCCAGTTCGTTGGGTATTCGACGACGAGGACGGCGATGTAGATACAAGTTGTGAGCCAGGAGTACTGCCCGCAGAGTCAGCACTTATTCTTGTCTGTATGTGATTTTCTCGCGAACACACCTTTTGGCCATCCTCGAGGCCCGCGTCTGTCTTGATGCCCATAATCGATGCAAAGGACATGGTCCCCTTATCCAACGCCTGCAGGAAGTAGGTCAAGATCATAATTACCAGCACGCGGCGGTCGATCATCTTCTTTAGGCGCTTGTTGGTAGCCTCGTCGATCTCGACCTGCCCCCGTCCAGCATACATCTGAATCTCCTTATCGACACGTGTGAAATCCATATCCTCCTTCTGGAGATCATCCGGCGGCGAGAGGACACGCTCAACATGGTCAATATTCTCTTTCGCCTTGACATCGATCTCCTTGCGATCACTCATCTCAAGAGAAGTGCGCTGCACCTCCTCCACACCGAGCCCATCATGTCCCTCCGAAGTGGGCCTGCTCTGACCCATTGTAACAGCTCAAAGACTCTGCAGATCAGATGCGATGCGAGATGCAACAACATACGAGCCCAACTGGGCCATCCCTCCTTATACAAGGAACCTGCCAAGGGAAAGTGAGTGAACGCATTTTCCCGCCCATTCAGCCGTCAAACCACAAGACCAACCAGCTGCCACCGTAAAAGACTTCTCTCAAGCCATCAAACCATCTTCCCCACGAACAAACCAATCACCCCCGCGCTGGCTGCATTCTCCCCGGTTGCTTGGCGCGGATAGGCCTCCCAGCTGCAATCTCGGTCTACTCCACCGAGCGTCCACCGAGACCGACCCCACGCTGGTCAGAGTCCGGGGAAGCAATCTCCCGAAGGCGGTGCTCGCTTAGACTTCTTGGTCACTCACTTAGCGTCGGCCAGCAACACTTAGCGCAAAAGAGAGCTGACTGCTAGCCACGCTAGGGGATTTAGAGAGGAGTTCGGCAGTTACTCGCCCGAGGCCGGCTTGGCAGGCGCGGGGACGGTGGAGGCCCGCCGCCACAATTCTTCCGCAAATCATCGCTGGGCAATATTTAGGAGAGCTGGAGCTGGAATATGGCCACGAGATTCTAACACTTTCAGAAGCACTGGCAGCTGTGCGATACTCACCTCTCTCACAGCATAATGGCCACCAAACTCCCCGCCACCGAAATCCACAAGCTCATCACGCTCGTCATCGACAACCTCGTCAACATCAAAGATGAATCCGGCCAATTCCTCATGCCCCTCGCAGACGGGCGCATAATCGACACAAAATCCTGGCACGGCTGGGAATGGACACACGGCATTGGCCTCTACGGCGTCTGGAAATACTACGAGATGACCGGCGACGAGAAGCTGCTCAGGATAATCGAAGACTGGTTCGCCGGGCGCTTCGCAGAAGGCACAACCAAGAACATCAACACCATGTCGCCCTTCCTGACGCTCGCATACGTCTACGAGAAAACGGGCAACGTGACGTACCTCCCCTGGCTCGACGCCTGGGCTGAATGGGCTATGCACGATCTCCCTCGCACTAAGTACGGCGGCATGCAGCATATCACCTACCTCACGGAAAACTACCAGCAGCTCTGGGATGATACGCTCATGATGACTGTTATGCCGCTGGCGAAAATTGGCAAGTTGCTGAATCGGCCACATTATATTGCTGAGGCGAAAAAGCAGTTCCTCACGCATATTAAGTACCTGTTCGATACGAAGACCGGGTTGTGGTTCCATGGGTGGACATTTGAGGATGGTGGTCACAATTATGCGGATGCGCGCTGGGCGCGCGGGAATAGTTGGGTAACAATTGTTATTCCGGAGATTATTGAGCTGCTGGATCTCGAGTCCACGGACCCGATCCGTCAACATCTTGTTGAGACGCTCGAGGCGCAGGTTGAGGCGTTGGCTTGTGTGCAGGCGGAGAATGGAGGCTGGCATACGCTCCTTGACCACCCCGACTCGTACCTTGAGGCATCTGCGACTGCAGGCTTCGCGTATGGCATTCTCAAGGCTGTGCGGAAACGCTACATCAGCGCGAAGTATGCCCCTGTTGCTGAGAAGGCGATTCAGGCTGTTGTGAAGGATATCGATGCCAATGGTGAGCTGCTTAATACCAGCTTCGGTACTGGCATGGGTCCGAATCTGCAGTTTTACAAGGATATTCCGCTTACCTCGATGCCGTATGGCCAGGCGATGGCTATTATGGCGCTGGGTGAGTATCTGCGTACATACCTGTGACCTGGCCATACTGATCTTCGCATTTCCTGTTCTGTACATAGATGGTGGGATAGACGATTGCATGATAATATACAGTTGACACTAGCTCTGACGACCGCCGACATCCTGCAATGATTTAAACTTAACCTCCGTCTATGAAAAACTAACGGCCGGTCCCGCTTTGCATTCAACTAGAAGATATATCTGGTGAACCCGCACTCGCCCGCATATCTTATCACATCTCCATTAGCCCCTCTTGGGTCCCGTGGGGGTCGGCGGTCTCCGCTCTCCAACAGCCTGAAGATGAAGTCGATCGAGAGGGGATGATCGCCAAGTTAGCGCGGGGCAAGTCTGCGTCAGCTCCAAGAGAGTATAACAAATTATTCAAGAACGGCCACATCCCTGACTGAACCAACAAAGCAATCAAGTATCGATCCAGTTCAATTGACCTGAAGCAACCCACCAACTCGTCATAATGCTCTACACGCATGCAACAATCCTAACAATCGACGGCACCCGCCGCATAATCTCCGACGGCGCAATCTACGTAAAAAATGATACGATCGCAGACCTCGGCAAGACAGACCTGTTGAAAGAGCGGTATCTCGGTGATCAGGAATTCGATCTAACCGGCCGCATCATCATCCCCGGTCTGATCTCGACGCATATGCACACTGCGCAGACGCTTCTGCGTGGTACGGCCGATGACCTCGAGCTCGTGTCGTGGCTTTGTGAGCGGATTTGGGTGCTCCAGGGGAACTTTACGGAGGCGGATGGGTATGCGGCAGCGCGTCTGAGTATTGGGGAGATGTTGAAGAGTGGGACGACCTGTTTCTTGGAGAGTATGGTATGTGATCCTTTCGAACACCGGAGGGTGGGGAGGCTGTGGAGGCTGATGACTGTAGTTCGCTGATCGGTATGGTTTTGATGGCCTTGCGCGTGCGGTCGAGGAGTCTGGTATCCGTGGTTGTCTTGGTAAGATCGTTATGGATATTGCCAAGTACGCAAAGGACGACGCATGGGCTATGCACCCCGGTCTAGTCGAGAATCGTGAGACTTCCCTGTTTGGTACGCTGAAGATGTGGGAGAAGTGGAATGGGGCTGCGAATGATCGGATTCGTGTGTGGTTTGGAGCTAGGACGCCGGGAGGGTAAGCCCACTCCCTCGAATATTCATCACACCTGCTAATGTTGGATCAGTGTTTCCGACGCACTGTACAAAGAAATGACAGCCCTCTCCCGCGAAAAGGGTATTCCAGTCACCATGCATTGCGCCGAAGTCAAAGCAGACCGCGACTTCTTCTCTTCCGTCTCGCACACACCAATGTCCTACTGCGACTCTGTGGGTCTGCTGAGTCCCAGCACCGTTCTCGTGCACATGGTTCACCTCGACGACTCAGACATCAAGCTCCTCTCGAGCTCAGGCACGCACGTCGCGCACTGCCCAACCTCCAACGCCAAACTCGCCTCTGGAATCTGCCGTGTACCTGATCTCCAGCAAGCAGGCGTGAACATCGGTCTCGGAACGGACGGGGCGCCGTGCAATAACACCTGTGATCTCCTGCAGGAGATGAAGCTCGCCGCCATTATCCACAAGAGTATCTCATACGATCCGACCGCCGTCCCGGCGGAGTCTGTTCTAGAGATGGCAACGATTAACGGGGCCAAGGCACTGGGTTTGCAGGATTCTATCGGGAGTCTGGAGGTGGGGAAGAAGGCGGATTTTGTTGCCATTGATATGCGAGGCATTCATGCACAGCCGTGGTTTAATCCGGCTAGTGCGGTTGTTTATACTGCGACTGGACGTGATGTGGATGTTGTGGTTGTTGATGGGAAGGTGCTTGTTCAGAATGGGGAGTTGTTGACGATGGATGAGAAGGAGATTGTTGAGGAAGCGAAAGTGAGGAGTCGGGAGGTTGTTGAGCGGGCGGGTTTGTCGGGGGAGATGAAGGGCCGGTGGCCTGTTGAGTAGTTGCACTGGTTGTGACTCTTATCCTGTACAAAAAAAAAGTGGAGGTAGTGTAGTGTATAATAAGACAGTTATGATTCCTGTCTCTAAATTTGTCCTTGTCCTGACGTAGGCTAAGCTAAGTTCAAATTCAGGGCTTCTGGTAAGTCTTTGATGATTGGTATACGCTCAAATTCCACCATTCTACCATACCTTCAGTCAAGACTCGAGCATCGAAACGGCCACCATCCAATGACCTAAGACTGTCCTGAGGGATCTGGCATGACCCACATACCTGCCTCGAGTGTATACCAAGCTACAGTGACTGAGCCGTCCGAAAACGGACTAGCGCGAACTCCAGTCCACAGGTTGTTGAACAAAAAGGGGGCGCCCCGTGTCGTGGACACGGTCAAACAGAGGTATGAGGTGCAGGACTATTCAGGTGCTCCAACACGCCCCGTCTGCACCCATACTCTCAGGATGGGCCAGGAAAGGCGGCTCAAGGGCCCAGCGGACACTGTATGAGACTTATGAAACATGTGACAAATGACGGAAAAGAATCGCTCGAACTCAGGGTCGAACCTGCACCATGCAAGAGAACAGGCCGGGCTCATAACCTGTTGAACAAAAAGGGGGGCGCCCCGTGTCGTGGACACGGTCAAACAGAGGTATGAGGTGCAGGACTATTCAGGTGCTCCAACACAGGTATAAATATCACCCGTCGATCTATTTTCCCTTCCTTTCTCTTCTTCCTCTTCAAGTACACACTTACGCTTGGGTGGGCTGCGGTCATTAGGGCAGTCCACCACAGGTCGTCCACCGCATTGCACAGCGCGTGTGGTCGCCTGTTCAGTCACCTTCGGGGGGCTGGGGGGCATAATTTTTAGCACTTCCCCTCTGGGGATTCCTTTTTCATCATTCCTTGGGTCAGTGACCCGGGTATGGAGAAGAGTCTGTAGAGTCTGTGGGAGTAGTGCTCAGTGGTCTTGTTGTGTCTCGTATTATCCGCAGCTCGATAGCCCCTATGCTGTCTACACTGATTCCGCTATAATAGAGAATCTTGTTTTGTATGAGAGGCCTGTTGCATATGCCTCCATCTGCCATCGAGCAGCTCTACACTTTTGGCATCTCCGAGTCCCCAATCAACCACAATACAAGACTGCATCTGATCCATCATCAAGCACTCCTCCCACTACTGCCATCACCTCCTGTCCATATAATCTCGGAAACGGTCATGCAGCCATCAGCATGGCCAAAAAGCACAGACTCACCCGCACTCCCAAGGTGGAAATCTCTCGAGGAAAAGAGGAGCGTACGACACCTTACCCCCGAGAAACCTCAACACGATACCGACAGCCCTTCGCGCATCCTCAGACAACCCAAGCATCACGCACCGACGAGAGCCCCCATCACAACCACCGCCAGACCCGGACCACAACCTGTTGAGCGTAAGGACAGCCAGTCAAGGCGTATCTTGAAGAAGATCAAGAGCGGATTCCGGGAGCTCTTTTCGCGCAAGCGCTTTGGCGGACATCAGCGGCTGGATGACGGCAACGATAACGAGGAATATGTGTACTAGGGCGATGCCTGTCGCTGTGGATGATGCGTATTCCTTGACTCCAGATAGAGTGGGGGTGCTTATGAGGTGGTTTACATAAGAGGAATGTGTTGGGATAGTATAGTAGTTTAAGGTTGGGGACATGATGTGGATCTACGAAGATGTGAGACTGCTATACGAGAATGGAATGGATGAGGCAATACAGGCATAGTAAATGATCCAAGGTCAGTTCAATTACTCCTTACTTTATATAAATGTGTTGCTCTTATGATCTAGGCGTACTATACCCGACTAAAATTTGACCACTCAGTCTGCGTACTATCAAGCAGATATGGTAGTGGTAGACGAGAGGCTTCTGTGGAAGGGACAGAAGATGTATTTGATCTTGAACCGCTGCACTCTGTGTATTGTGCCTCACCTTTATCTCTCCTGTGTATTGGAGGTGGTTTGCCTGGGTGTTGCATACAGAGGCAGTCCTGTATTAGAGTCCGTGCGAGTAGGTGAAGTGTTGACAAGCTGTATACCCCTGGGTCCTGTCATCGTCCATGGGCAGCGGCATTGGGTGTTATGAAATACGTAGAGACGCAATGATTGACGAGACGCGCATGGATTCTCCAGGCTGCACAGCCGCAGACGCTGAGCTGGGCCACGATTTTGAAGGTAAGAGAGACCGTACAAACATTCGTCAACTCAAATTTGTGGTACGATTCCAGACTCGGTCAATCGCATTGCTCGAGTAGTATTGTCTTCCTAGGATCGAAGTCTACCACACATTGCGTACCATTGGACTATATAGCGAGTCTCACGCTGCTGCTCTGAGCCACGGATGACTTGCTCAGCGTCTCGTTTCCCTTCGCAAGATCAAGGACAGTCTCGTCACGCATTACAGCGAGCGTGTTGTTCAACCGCCAAACAAGGGGGGAATAGACAGTTCGGGTGTGCTGGATGACAGCTGGAAGCTTCGAATGCTCGAGGGGACGGTTCATGCAAGGGTTCGCAGGTACCTAGAGGCTCGGATAACAGGAAAGTATTGCAGCTGCGAAAAGAGAAGGGTTAGCAAATTCTGCCAACTTTCTCCGTGACTATTCGTAGGGAACGGTTTTGCTGTTTGATGTCTGACACTGAGCGATCAGATACAAAAATGGAAATCAGCACCGGACTGGCGATGCATGTCGTTGTATAGACCAAGTGGCATTATACTTTGTCAAAGCCCACAGGTCAAGCTGTAAACCACTTCATTCATAATAGAGTAAAAGGACGAACGGCACCTGTGCCACAAGGTCTAACGCTGTTTTGAAAAATTTCCAAACCGGGTAAACACATTCACTAAACTAATGAGGGAGGCAACCAGGCCCGCCAGAAACGGACTAGCGCAGATTGTCCTCAGGTATAAATATCACCTGCCGGCCAATTTTCCTTCACTTTTCCCCCTCCTTTTCAAGTATCACACTTACGCTTGGGTGGGCTGCAGTCATGAGGGCAGACCAGGTCGTCCACCGCATTGCACAGCGCGTGTAGTCGCCTGTTCAGTCACCCTCGGGGGACCACGAAGCATAATTTTTAGCACTTCCCCTCTGGGGATTCTTCTACTTTTTTTCATCATATTATGAGTCAGTCATCCGAGCTTGGAGAGGAAGAGGCTGTTGATCCAATGAGTATTCTTTGTCCATCCTCTTGTTGTGTTGGGCATTGCTACAAAAGCAGATGGAGAGCAATCAACTCAGGACATTGAGAGCCTCCTGGGTGTTATTTGTGGGCTTCTATCGTAGAGTGGGCTGTAGGTGTTGTATGTGCCCCTTTCCTGACTCCCATTTTTCACCCGCTATCCGCCATTGTGCACCTGACGCTCGTCCCGGTCAGTTTGCCTGCCCCCAGCCTTGTCGCTACCACTAAATCTCATCGGTATCCCATCAACCATCCCCGTGGGAACCACACTGCTCCCCCAAGCTCGGTGAGTTGGCTGCCCCCGGTTTTCCGCCCGGTGTGGTGCAGGTCCTGAATGGCGGTGATAACCTTGGGCCCATGATGACCGAGCACCCCCGTATTGACATTGTCTTGTTCACTGGCGTGATTTATACTGTGGAGAAGGACCAGGCCATCTGCGAGAAGGTGTCTCAACTGCCATATCACTTTCCCTGCATTGTTGCGGCTGCCGTGGACTAACTGCTGACCTACAAGTAAACAAAGCAACCAGTATTCCTTGCAACACTCTCAGCTCTTTCCAACAAGCAGAAACTTGCTTCTGAACCCTGGAAGGTAATGACGACTCTCAATTCCCAGCTTTGAAGAAACAACCGACCTACAGCTAATTTTTCGGTCAGCACAGTTAGAATGACATCACTCTACCCTATAGGCGGCCCTATCAAATACCACAACCAGGGTATCACCAGCAAACCCCTGCAAGCCACGTCGATCCCTGCCACCAGCCACAAACGGTATTCACCATTCGACATCGCAGCCTGCTAATCTACTCCGTGCGGAGGCGACTAGCACCGACCATGCTACGGATGACGTCCCGAACAAGCGCCACACACCCTTCTACAAGTAGAGGACCTATCATCTCCATTCTAGACGACGATGGCGCTTGGCATACGCGCGACCCTATACACCACTGATGCGATCGCGTCGTCAGTGTTTGATGTGGTTGTATAAATTGTGGCTAACCTCCCGACAGACCACAGATTTCTCAACTTCGTCCCTACAACGAAACTCATCAGTCATCACTTACAATTACTTGACACTACAAGTCCTCCATCTGCCACAATGTTCCACCGTCGTCGCCCTGCTACGACAACCACCCGCTCCTCGAAGCCAACTCTCATGACGCGCCTTCGTGGTCCAAACGCGAAAAGCAAGACAGTCAAGACGAAGACTACAACCACCCGCCATGGCCCCTCTTCCCACCGCACTACGAAGCGTCACTGGGGTGTGGGCAGGCCGGTTCAGCATCATCGTCGGAAGACTACCCTCGGGGATAAACTCTCCGGTGCTATGCTGAAGCTGAAGGGGAGTTTGATGCATCGGCCGGCCGTGAAGGTAAGTGTTACACAGGACTGCGGGTATCTATTTCGTTAGAGTATTTGCCAATGAGTTTTACTATCTAGGCTGCTGGTACTCGCCGAATGCATGGTACTGATGGTCGTAGTAGACATCACCATGTCTACTAAATGTATTTCTACGATTTGATGAGCGATGTGTTGCTTTTTTGTACGATTAATGCCCCATGTATAATTTACCACGCAAATGGAATAAAATTCGAAGCATTTTCCTGACCAAGGTTCTCCTCGTACTGGGTGTGTGAAGGAAATGAAGCGTGTTTGATGATGTAGAGCCATAACGTCACAGCCCCATCTTGGCTTGACGAATCGAGTCAAGATCAGCCTCGTGCGATCCACCCGTCAACGTCGACCCCATTCGTTTTCACCACGCCAGCAACACGATATCCTTATCGATACTAATGACATCAATGTAGACATATTGCCCTGCAGAGCCTACCTGCAATGTGCACAGGGGTTGGATGATGCCACCCCCGCCCGAGCAGCAGACCGAGCAGCAGACCGTCTTGGATATCCTCACGTCCGACTCCTGGACCGCAGACCACGACAACAACCAGATTGAATTTCGCAAAGAGGGATCTGGCGATGTAAGCCATCCCTTTTGCCGACACTGAGGATGATAGCAACTGACTCCCTGCCCAGATCCGGCACTGCGACAACCAGACGGCGGTCATCGCGGCCGAGTTCGACTGGAAGGCGCTCAACCCAGCATGTCTAGACAAAAGCCATGAACACAACAGCAGTGGAAAAGGAAAACCTTCACATATCGGTATCGAAATCACGCTGACCAGGCGTGAAGGCCCTGTCCCCTGGACACATTCCACGCGAAGCAATCTGAACGAATCCCGGCTTAGGGATGCCGCATTCCTCCCCAAGACGTTCACCATCCGCCTTCAAAAGGGGACCTTCACCCAGGCATCCTCAAAGCACGAGATATATTATACCTACCGACTAAACTTCGACAAATCACCCTACCCTCCAGCCGCGGAGTGGAAAGAAGCGCAATGCGGCCACGAATGCTGGACCCGACGCTCCTTTACCAGCGGTAAATACAAGAAAGTCGAGATCACCGCCTGGTACCGCCTCAAACGCAATGTCCTGTAAGTCGCATGAGCACCAGCTGCAAGTCCTTCGACGTCACCTCGGAGCAGCCCGCAGTTCTGCAGGACCGCTTCCTCAGGCACCAAACCGCAGCTGAGTCACCCGTTTGCTGCCTGAATTTAACGGCCGCATTATATGCCAAGACCTTCCCGATTGATCGCGATCTGATCTCAATTTCGTTTCGTATAGGTCCAACCGATATTCTTACGCCATGTCCATTTTTATGGTGTTGCTGGTAATTGCCGGCGTCGTGGCCGGCGTGCTTACCTCCTCACACCCGCTGCCAAAGTCGTCTGTTGTGGACTTGGGGTACGCGCGGTACCAAGGGGTGTCCCTGTATAACGGTGTCGACGAGTACCTGGGCATGCGCTTTGCCAAGCCGCCTTTGGAGGAGCTGCGGTTTCGAGGACCGCAGGATCCAGAAGATACCTCCGAATTGCAGGATGCTTCGAAGGTAGGTTGCTGTCCTGCCCTTGACGGGTTGGTACGCGTTCGGAATCAGACCTGACCTGTGCGCAACAGAATGGCCCACTTTGTCCCGGCGCTGGCGATTCAGTCGGGGATGAGAAGGAGGAGGATTGTTTATATCTTAATGTTTATAAACCGACGAATGCGTCCTCGAATTCTAGTCTGCCGGTCTGGGTTTTTATACAGGGCGGTGGGTATGCTAATAACGCCAACGGCAATTATAACGGCAGCGATGTCGTTAAACATTCTGGGCATGATATTGTCTTCGTCAACTTCAACTATCGTGTCGGTGCACTCGGGTTTCTTGCTGGCGAGGAGGTTCGGAAGAACGGTGATCTAAATGTCGGTCTGCTCGATCAGCGGAAGGCGTTGCTATGGGTGCAGAAGTACATTCAGCTCTTCGGTGGAAATCCGGATCATGTCGTGATCCATGGCGACTCGGCTGGTGCTGGTTCTGTCGCGCTTCATCTCGCCGCGCATGGTGGTGAGAACAAGAACCTGTTCATTGGAGCCGTGGCCGAGTCCACTTTCTGGCCGACGCAGCGTACGGTGGGCGAGATGGAGTTTCAGTACAAGCGCTTCGTCAAGCAAGTTGGCTGCGACGATGCCGATGACTCTCTGGCGTGCCTGCGCTCGGCGGATATCGACACCCTCCAGAAATACGATGTCGACGAGCCTTTCCCCGGTGGAAGCAGCACTCCCAAACCGCTTTGGTATTTCCTGCCTGTGGTCGACGGCGATCTCGTGAGCGACCGTCTATACAACTCATTCATGCAAGACAAGATCGTCCACGTCCCACTGATCGTCACGGACGATACCAACGAAGGAACCCTCTTCGCATACAACGCCAGCACCGCCGACGAAGTCTCGCAGTTCATGAAAAACAACTACCCAAAACTCAACGAGGCCCAGCTGCGCGGGATCAACAAGGTGTACCCGCTGATGGACCCCTTGCCAAAACACGCAGCATACTTCCCCTCCGCTGCCGCAGCATACGGCGAAGCAACCTTTACCTGCCCCGGAAATCTAATGACCGCCAGCATGGCGAGTTATTTTTCCTCTGACAAGGTCTGGAACTACCGCTTCAACATCCAAGACCCGACCAACATCGCCGCCGGCAAGGGCGTTCCGCATGTCCTGGATCTACCCGCGATTTTCGGGCTCGGACAGACAAACTCGCCCTCCCTATCTTTCGCGAATATCAACCAGATGATCATCCCGATCACGATGGACTATTATCTCAGTTTCATCAAAACGCTCAATCCGAATACCCTCCGTAACGCGAATGCGCCCGTCTGGGAGACCTGGGGAAATGGGACAGGACAGCGTCTGAAGCTGCAGACCAACAAAACTGAAATGGAGGAGGTGCCCCGGGCGCAGAGGGAGCGATGTACGATGTGGAAGAAGTTTGCAGCGGATTTGGAGCATTAGTCGTGCCCTTTTTTTATGCCTTGGGACAGCGTAGCACAGCGTTCTCTTTGTGACACCAGGTCAATTTGGCCCGGGTATATACATAGCCGTCCGGCGGGTTACCAGATTAACTTGATAGAATAAAGACTAGATTTCTTTCTTGTCAGCAGTCAGCTGCCCATTCATCTTGGCATCCACATGCTTCTGGCATATCCCCACCCTCTCCAATCCTTCCCCACATTGCGCCGTCAGCCACCCAGCCATCGCTGATTTCATCCGGGCATCTCCGCAGGCGTCGAGTCGAGCAGATGAGGGGTAGCCCCGGAAATCCCGCGATTCAAATCTGGGGAAGCTCCACAGCTACACTTTCGTCATGACTTGAGCTTGGAGAATATTCTTCTATACCATCCCAACCTTTCACATCAGTGTTGAGCACCATGAAGCCAAAACCAAAGAACCTAGCACACCTCCCATCCCTCGCCGTCGAACTAACAGAACTCATCGCGCAACACACAGACGACAAAAGCATCCTCTCCCTCCGGCTGGTCTGCCGCGCGCTGCAAACAAAAACCTTCCACCTCTTCGCCCGGCGCTTCTTCGCCACAATAAAAACAGACCTCTCATCTGAAAGTCTCGCAAGGATAAACGCACTGTCCTCAAATGTCGCACTCCGCCCCTACATCCAGTGTTTAGCATTCATGCTGCAGAACGGCGTCGGACGAGGCCTCATCTGGTCCCGACACACTTGGGGTCCTCTCTCTGCACCGTTGGAAGTCGACGCAATCCGCACCCTACGCGATAATTTAATAACCCGCCTGACTAAGTGCCGATCTTTCTTTATTGTGTGCCGATACCCCGAAGGCCACCCGGACATGAAACACGTAACCGTCACCGACGCAGTAGCCGTGTTCTTTGCGCTTGTCGTCGAGGCGAGACTGCCTGTGTCATCGTTCCATTTGATATACGCAAATAAGTACTCCCGCACACTCATCATGGATATGCGACGCATTCCGAAAATGATTTATCGACAGCCGCAGTTTAAGATCGTCTGGGCGAATTTGCAGAAGCTCTCGCTGGAGCAGTACCTCACGCTTGATAATTTCGGGTTTTTGTTGGAACTCGTTCTAAGCGCGACGAGTTTAAAAACGCTCTTACTTAACCTGGGCTCGCATGACCTTGCTTGCGAATTCATGCATGAAATCGCCGAGTCAGCGTCCTTAACGCAACTGTCCGAACTAGCGCTCTTCCGCACCTCGGCCTGCTTAAATGACTTGTTGAACATACTCACCCGGGTAAAAGGGAATCTGTCCGCGTTGACTTTGTACCATGTTTCCCTCGCGTCGGACGATAACTGGGCCGATGTACTGAGTGCGCTGGGTGGGTTTGTGTCGCTGCAGAGCATCTCGCTTTATTATCTTTGGGCGACGGCTCCGGAGAAGGAGGTGTTTTCTTTCCCGGATCTTTGTAAGGCGCCGGTGCTTTGTGGGGAGGGTGAGAGGCAGAGTTTACATGTGTTCTATGAGGAGAGTGCGAAGACGCCTGCTGTGCTGGGGGTTGAGTACTCTGGGAAGAGGATGGGGGAGGTTTTGGGATTGTTACAGGTGACGGGGCGGGGGTGACATTGTTGATGTGGATATCTATGAAGCGTTTTAGTGTAGCTCTGCGTTGTTGTGGAGGTTTTGTATAGGGGGTCGCTCTTCTTTCAGCCGGCACTGATGCTTTGTTTAGCATTTTTAACATCTGCAAATAATCCATTACATACAATTCCACCACTTGGTACCCCATTAAGCTCTGTTCAGCCCCGCCGAATCCCTGCTTACTTAGTTGGCCTTAAACCGAACACACTCACTTGATTGCTGTGTCTGTAGGCAAGTGGATCGCAGGCCATGACAGACACAATTCTTTGCATATTCCATCACTTTCGATCAGTCATAGATTCGCGCACATTCACTTTACCTAGGTAACGTTATTCATGACTGGATCCATTACACTGCCATTTTATTCGACGGAGTTATTTGATCCTTGCTCAGCCTGGTGGGCCCAGGGCCGATCCGTTGCCCCTCATCCGCCATCCCGCATCATTTCTCCTACCACTCTCTGCTGACATGTCGGACGATATTAAGATCTCCGTCGTAGGTGTATCAGATCGAAATTGGAAAAATGTCGAGGCTTATGCGTCTAGGATCCCGATTACTTTACTCGCGAGAAGGAGTTTACGCCGAAGGACTTTGAATCGTGGGTTGATGGTCTATTATCCGTGGTTTTGGCGCGTTGTGCTGACGATGGTAGGGATACGACTTCCATTGCGTCGAGGATTGCGCAGGGGAGAATCGAGAACGGCAGGAGGTAGGTGATTTCCTGCGATGGGACGTGGAGGGTATTGACTGGAGCAGATACCAGGCGTTGAAGGAGGATGATTATTGGTGAGCTTCTCAAAATTGTGCTGGAAGTTGTTTTGTTCAGCCTGGCTAATTGATTACAGGAGCCCTTCCGATGAGAAGCAGTTCGAGGCACAAGAGAATGGGTAAGAAGTACCATCCAGACACGCTCCGAGGCGGTCGATTGACAGACCTAGACACATGGTGTGCCTAGTACTCGACTACCACCGAGAAAACCCCCTGCATCGAGCTCCCATTGGCAATAAACCCAAGGTAGGAACCTATTCTCCCAGTGGAACTCGCTACTCACAATTTGCAGCACATCCTCGACATTGGCACAGGCAAGGGATCATGGGCAGTGTAAGTCTCGCAATGTCACGGATCGCCAGACCACGCTGATCATCCCAGTGATGCCGCCGATTGGTACCCAACAGGTACATTCCCAGGAATTCAAAAATGACAGAAGCAATGCTGATGAGAACAGCAACCGTCCGTGGAGTCGACGTCTTCCCCACCCCCTATTACCTGGATACCACCAAACTGTGTCTTTGAAGTAGATGACGTCCTGAAAGAATGGACATGGCGCGAGTCATTCGACTTCATCCACATCCGGCAGCTGCTCGGCGCCTTTGACGAAGAAGGCTGGGCAGAGCTATACAAGAAGTGCTACGAGTACGCACCCTCCATATTCACATTCCCACGTTAGTGGGTGCATCAACACTAACTCGCAAACCTAGAAACCTCACCCCAGGCGGTTGGCTCGAACAAATGGAATTCGACGTCCGCTTGCATAGTGACGACGGAAGCCTCAAACCAGACAGCCTACTAGCAGGCTGGGGCGACAACTTCATCGGCTGCTCCGCACGCGCAGGGCGCTCGTTGAAAACACAAGAGACAATGAGAGGCGCCATTGAGAAAGCGGGCTTTGTCGACGTCCACGAAAACCTGTATAAAGTGCCGCTGGGCCCTTGGCCGAAGGATAAGCAGCTGAAGGAGGCCGGCCAGCTGAACTATCTCCACTGGCTTTCCGGGCTCGAGGGTTATGCTATGTGGCTGCTGACGAAGTTTGGCGCCCCTGAGCCGTGGTCGCCCGAGGAGGTGCAGGTTTATTTGGCTGGCGTGAGGAAGGAGATAAAGAGTACTAGTACTCATGGGTATGGTTATGCGTGAGTTTACCCTTTTGGTCGTGGGTGTTGTGCGTGTGCTGATGTGCGATAAGGCGGAGGGTTTGGGCGAGGAAGCCGACTGCGGGGGAAGTTGTTAAGAGGGAGCCGGTAGATTAGGCCTTTGTGTTTGGAAATACTTCTTATCCTGTCGACGTGATGCTGTACATAGTCCGTGGGAAGCCACTCGTTACCTTGAAGTTTCTCTGAGGCGTTCGAGGCAGCCCACCTCATCCACGTGTATTCACTGTTCAGCAAGAGAGATACATCAACTCACGCCTACGGAAGGCCTTTTAAATGCAATACCAGCAACGCACATCCTTCTCCATGCCCGAGTCTATAAGCTAGACATGATGAGAAAAAGGTGCAGAAATCCTCAGAGGGGAAGTGCAAGTTCTGCTCATCACCGTGGTTGAATAGACAAGTTATGGATGACTGCCTTCATGATCGCAGCCAGCCGAGTCCTCTTCGCCGGAACCCGCCAAACAGAGGAGAGAAGGGAAGGTAGAACTTAGGGCGGGTACTCACAGGTGCGCCGGGCTGCCAGTGAGGCTTTCGGGGTTCTAGGTTTGTTACCTCCCACGAATGTAACGTGTGGGTATAGAAAGACGTGGTTTGTACGTCCCCGAGCCCAGGATATAGGGAACATCCAAAAAATCCCGATCAAAGAGCCCATTCCTCGTCGTTTGTATAACATGGTCCATAACATCGAGCATACTCGCTAGATCCAGCATGGCTGTCCGCGTCTTTTCGGGTCCTTTCCTGTCCGGAGCTTCCCCTGTTCTTCTGGGAGAGGTCCCACTAGATCCTTGCTGTGTTCCACTTCTGCAGCAGGACGGGGGAGGAGGAACAGAGAATACCGAAGTAGACTGGTAATGGTTTCTCTGTGTAGTTGTCGCTTTGCTCGAGGAGGTAAGCTGTCATTAGGGAGATGCCTTGGCTAAAGCTGATGAAGCCATCGAAGGTGACTTGTTCAAGGACGACTTATGGATGTAGTCGTGCGCGGTGCGGAGGCTTTTGTAGTCGCAGAACTGGGTCCAGCAGTATTATTGGGCCGCCGCCTTCGGAGAGTCTATTTAAAAAAGACTTGTTAGCTTCTTGTTGTATTCTGTTGTTTGTATGCAGGTTGATGGTACCTAGAGCAAGTGGACATTACACAATTCCGTTCAGGTAATAAAACTCCCTTCGGACCGCAGTGTTTGATAATTATGGCCATCTTCTTTGTCATTGCTTCTGCGTAGTTACCGTATGCGTGGAGACAGAGGCTTCGCATATTTGCTGTGTGGTGTTGAAGTTTGTGTTCGATCGGTTGCTGTTGTGGTTCTCGTAGTCAGGAGATTTGAACTCGCAGAGTGTGATCAAGCCTGAAATACCTTCAGCCGACCCGGGCAACTCTTCGAGATACATATTTGCCATAGTACTTTCGTGCTATGGTGAATCATGATGACAAATCGAATCCACAAATCACATTGGGTGTGAGGATGCGTTCGTGCAAAGATCTCACAACGTGTGCCGTTGTGTAATACATGCAACAGTATGAGCCGGAAAAGAGGTCTGATGAAAAATCAGTTGCTCTATAAGACATGAAAAGTACTGCATGCGTGATCGGCTGCAGGCTGATATGCGAGGCGACTCAAAAGTTCATGTCGTGACGATTGCTTCGCGTGCTCTAGCTGTGAATATTGTCCATTGAGGAAGTTGCTGAGCAAAATCACGAGACTTCAGATCGCGACCGCATGATCTTGAGCTTCCTCTCTATTCCTTAAGGACAATATTACGTTGTGGTATTTCCTTGGGTGATGTCTGGCTTGTGCGAACGATCGATCCAGCGCGTTTGGCGACCTCCGGACTCGTGGACGGCGGGGTTGAATTTGCTTGTCTGCTTCTATCGTCTGTCATCGCTGTTGTTTGTGAATTTGTTTTTGAGACTGGCCCCCGTTGCTAATTGTCGAGCATGGCTTGCGAAGGGCCTCAGAGGCTGCAACTGGCTGCACGACAAGCTGTCTTCGGTCGGTGATGTGTGGAATTGCCTTGGTGTGATTCAAGCACGGGAGAGCTGGGGCAGTGGGATCGAGGTCATGATGTCTTTCGGAAAGCAAGACGCGACGCGGGTAGTCAAGGCTAACGATGATGCTTCACGGCTTTGAGACACAGCAAAATCTCAGCCAAGATGATCTTCACACTGTTGTGAGAACACAGGGCGGTCAAGTTTGATTGTTGACTCAACTGAATGATAGGTGAACCGCAAGTCATCCTGCCACACCGCTGACGCCTACAGTACCCGCGGCAATATGAGACGAAGGGATAATTTGATCATGTACAGTATGGTTGGATGGATGGACTTCGTTTACCCTGACCCCTCGCTGTAAAGCAATATGCAGGCTATAACTACTGCTTAAATACATGCTTTCATGTTCCATGGGGATTGTTCGAAACTTCCTGAGCGGCGAACTTTGAGCCTCATCTGACAAGGCCTGTCGTGGCCAATTTGTCATTCCTGATGTTAGGCTGTCCTTGTGGTGCGGTTGTGATGAGTTTCCAAATAAAGCTGCCAATAACTGTTCGCAGCTGATTGCATTTCTGTCAGGAAACGGGAAAACGCTGGCAATGCTGGATCTAAGAATTGGACGACGACTGCGCTGCCGATGTGGTTTTCGGACTTTTCTTTACTTTCTTCTCGAGCTCAAAGGAAGACAGTTTTTTGTGGAAACGGCGGTGAAAATCTTCAATTGTGAGAGTATGTTTGTAATGTGCAGATCGGTGAGATCTGGTAGTCGGTTGTGGTGGAGTTGTAACGGGTTGCTGGAGGACAGACGCGTTGGTTTTTGTTGGCGTTGGCGGGAGAGATTGGTCGTCGGGGTTGATTTGACAGTTTGTGGAGAACCAGTGGCCGGTTATGACATTGACGGTGCCGATTCGGGCATGGCCGGTGGCACTTCGACAGGAGTCTCGTGATCGAATTCTATCTGGCTCGCGGGTATATGAACTGTAGGTGTTGGGCGAGGTTCGGGTCGTACATTTTTTGATGCCGAGCTTTATTTCAAATGATTGTTCGTCCCACTGTTCGTCTGATCTCTCGTCTGATCTCACATGGGGTATTTGAAGTTCAAACTTGTGTTTTTCTTTCTGCTTGTCAATTGCAGCGCTCCTTGATAAAATAATGCGAAATCAACTCATGCGAAAAAGCGGCCGTTCATGCCGTTTCGCCCGCCACTGATTTGTCGAGTAGGCCAGGTCACGACAATTTTGAATGACCCAACCCCAACAATGAGCAAAAGGCTCCGTAATCTCCCACCCAGCCGGATCCCAAGGGTCACTCCAGACTATAATGCCACTTCTCTGTGACCGTGGAGCTCCACTGCCCTTCATATCCAGACAAAGCTGTGTCTCCTCTTCAAAATCTCCGGCAAGGATCAAATTATCTCTCAGTTGAGGATCGGGGAGCAAGTCCAACCATGGGTGATGTGGGATAGACTTCTGGATTGCAGTAGGTTGGAGCATTATTGGAAGAGTATGGAGAGTGTCATTTTGCCATGGCCCAGCGGTATTGAATGATGATATTGCATCGTCGTGGAGTTGGTCGGATGTAAGGCCCAATATTCGTGTGTTTTCCATCAAGGCTCTGGTGAAGTTGAGTTGGACGAGATGGAGTAATAGATCGGTTCGCGGAGAGCCCGAATGGTAGTAATGGAAGGCGATTCGTTCTAGCATAGCCATTTTTCTTTTTGTCGCGGGCAAATGGCATTCTAGTATGTGCACGTCCTCGATCGCCTCTAATGAGTCACGGTCACTGGCAGTGGGTGCGTCTAACACCTCCACTTCATCGTTACCTTGAGAGACAGTAGAAGGCGCTGATGACTCGCGCTGGTCAATCGGAGCGTTGGAATTTCCCGCATTTGTGTTGTTGTCTTCTGACGAGGTTTGTAGATTTTTATTTTGTAGGCCTGCATGTAAAAATGGTCAAACAATACTCGCAGCATGGCTAGCGACGAATGGCGGACTTACGTCGAATTCTTTGATTCAAGCGGTTTTGGAGTCGCCGACGTGTTTTTGGATCGGAGATACCTGACCAATCCTCGTCTGGCCACTCACTCAAGCGCTGCTGGAGTAAGGATCTTGAAGCGATCCTCTTTTCAGAGGGGCCCTGTACTAGTCGATTCATACTTGCGATCCCGCCGGTGTACCGAGCTTATTTTTATCGATCTAGCAATGCTGCAACTTGATGACAGGATGATGTCGATGGATTGTGGATTTAGCTAGGAGAAGTGATGGAGACCGGTCAAGAGGGAATGCATTCACGTCAGGTGGCTCGGGTAGACTTGGTTATTATTAATATCGTCCTCAAGTTTGGAACCCAATCATACATCTCCGCCAAGAGTCAAATAGACCCACCATGTAAGCAGCTTGCATAACACTATTCCCTTGTGGTCAAGTTTGAAAGTACCATGGGTCTGGACCTTGGCACTAGAGGTCGAGCTCAATGACTACTGAGCACAGCTCGATCACAGATACTTCGGGGCTGGCGAGAATTGAAAAAGCACACGATGGAGATCTCAAACGACAACTCCAGAGACAGAACATTTATTGATGGCCAAGCACCTTCTTGGGCTCATACAGGCCATCGATACTCTTCAACTCAGCGGGGCTGAGCACGAAAGAGATAGCATTAACTGCTTCATCGACTCTCTCTTTCTTGCTCATTCCCAAAATTGGCGCCGTGATAAATGGCTTCGAAAGAGACCAAGCAATCGCCACGGTCGCCATTGACACACCATGCTGCTCCGCGATTTTCTCAACTTGCTCGTTGATCCTCTTGTCTGCCTCTGTCGCGGGTTGACCGAGGAAACCCGGACCCTGACCCTCTCCACGCGTAGTCTTCGAAAAGTCACGCCAGGGTCGAGCCAAGAATCCCATTGCCACAGGGCTCCAAGGAATGCCGCCCATTCCAAGTTTGGCACATGCAGGGTACATTTCCCTCTCTTCTTCTCGGTAAATTGCATTGTGAAGATTCTGCATCGAGATAAACTCCGTCCAGCCGTGGATGCGAGCGGTATACTGGTATTCAAGGAGCTGGTGAGCCCACATTGATGAAGCACCGATGTACCGCACTTTGCCGGACTTGACGATATCATGAAGAGCTTCCATTGTCTCCTTCGGTGGGGCTATAGGGTCGAAACGGTGAATTTGCAACAAATCAACGTAGGGCAGGTCGAGTCTCTTCAGGCTAGCATCGATGCTCTCAAAAATATGCTTCCGGCTCAGTCCGTATTGGTTCACGTAACCGGCGTCGTCCTTTTCATCGTCCGTCATAGCCAGTGGCTGCTCCAACCCGTGACCAACTGGTGCCCACAATTTGGTTGCGATGACGAGGTTTTCCCGGCGCCATCCATATTTCTTGATCGCTTTGCCGAGAATCTCTTCAGACAGGCCATTTGAGTAGGCATTTGCCGTGTCGAAGAAGTTGAGTCCTGACTCGTAGCAATGGTTCAGCACCGGTAGTGCTTCTTCTTCCGCGATCGACCACTTGAATCGACCCTCGGGATTTCCAAAGCTCATGCATCCTACTCCAATTGGGGCGATACGAAGACCGCTGCTTCCCAGTTGAACGTATTTCATGTTGACCGTATTTTCAGACGAAAGGCAGGTAGAAAGCTCAAATATTGAAGATGAGAATCTTACCAGAAGCGATCGGGATACTGTGACTACTTGTACCTTCAGGGCTTCCGTATCTCCCGAACGTTCGCCGGTTCAGAGGTGCCCTTGAAGCGTGGGACCCCAATTGCGGTGCTACAGTGTGGCGCGAGATGATGACCAAAGGCATATGATTGGCCAACATTTCAGATCGAATCTCCCACATCGGTTGCGAGCCGGGCCTCGTCACATCGCCCGGGAATAAGTACCATAGCTCCGAATTCCGATCACAAACGGACACTTTTCTTGTGGACACATTGTATGAACGTGCCCTGTGCTTTCCAAGCGTGAGCATCGATATATGTATATTCTGCTCGTAGTTTTCTTCAAGCCTTTCAACCCTCCCGGTGCTTGTTTGGAGTTATCCCGAATGCATCCCTCTCCTTCCCCCTTTCCCGAATCTTTCATTTTTCAGCCCCTTGAAAGGACTTCAAATCCCAGTCAGAAACTCCTGCTGGCATGGCGGAATGGACCAATCGGAAGGAAGTTGTCATCAAGTTGCAGACTAGCTGAGACTAATCCGCGTTATGACCAATCATTGACCTTTCAGTAACCCACTGATCAACACTCAAGAGTGGGGCATACCTATTCGATCCAAGGCAGTCTTGTCCTTCCGGCAACTTCAACTTTGGAACCTCTGGAATTGAATGGGAAGCCAAACTCGTGGAGTCATATGCCGATTTCCATCGGTATTATTTCATTAAGTAGCCCTGATTTAAACTTGTGACATTGTCTCATTCATCTTGTACTATCGCAGGCCATTTCCAGCGGTCCTGAGCAAATATTGCGACACAGGCAAGAGCATCAGACATCGCAGTAACATTGAAAGAGATTTTGCTCAGACATACTTTAGATAATAGCATATATCCCTTCCGCGTCCGATAAATAGCGAGTCGACAGATTCGCGCGCTGATTCAAGAAATGGAAGCATCTATCTGGGATTATGGGGCTTTCCCGCCCGGTCTGGCAGCTGCCCTTCCTCCTTCAACCGCTTGCTGGCAGGCAGTAACAAATCCGGCTTCGCACAGGGCAACCAACTTCTCGTGAAAATTTTGTCCTCGTAGGATTGATTCTTCTATCTTATCATAACTCAAAGATATTCCATTTGACTCGAATTGTGGACGTGTTGAATGAATTTCGACGAACGTAGACGACGGAGACGTCTGGAGGCTGGCATGATTGTTTTGGTCTTGTTGAATATCAATCAAATTGGGGATCACCGCCGCTGAAATGATAGCTGCCACGGACAGCTGCGAAGAGAGGAACACGCAGATGCGCATGCTTGCGAAGTAGTTGAATATTAACGGACTGACTGCGGTAAGGCAAGAAGAAAAATAGGCAGCTCGAAGGCCGCTTTACCGCGCTATTCTGTCTGGTGATCAAATCCAGTGAGCCTAACGTATTCAAAACCTGTTCGCATGTTCGGGTCTTGTATACCTTGGGTTAGTGCCGACACCCCCGGAGATAGGGACGTACTCCGAGCGAGCCAAGCCGGCTTTTGGCAAGATTTCGCCCCTTCTCGGAATGACTTGGCTCTTGAGGTAGTCAAACAAATTGATGACACTCGGCTTGTCATTGGCGGGTTCACTCGATGTGAGTTGCAATTTTGCTCATCCCTATATTCGCCCCTTTAAAGGCTCTTCGCTAGGAAAGAGCAAAGTAGAAGCGTGTCTTGTCTGACAAAATAAGAGAAGAGACGGAAAGAGAGAGGAAGCACCAGGTGTGAGAGAATGGCAGGCAGAGCGAGGTGAGGAAGCGGAGCTAACCGGATGGGGAAACCACATAGGTCCGTCAGTTGAAAACGTACAAGGGGGTTGCAACTGATGATCTTTCGGACTCACCCTACCTATAGACGCTTTTGCGCCTGGACACATGAACTTGAAGTCACAGTATGGAAAGGGATCCACCCTCAATCGCTTCAAGTTGGCTGCAATTTGATGACACCTGCATCATGGTTGGCTCGTAAATATGGGGAATGCAATTTGATGACAACCTTCGTATGATTGGTCAATAGTGTGGGGAATCGGTAACCTGAGCCTCAGCCCGTTGTTCCTACCTTAGGGTACCTCCTAGTAGCTACTAGTAATTACCAATGCATTGACACCCAGCAAATGCCCAATGAAAACCTCTTCGTGAACATTACAACATCGACGGAACCACTGGCAGACAGGACCCAAGTTATCTTAGTGTACGTAAGGGCAAGAGGGCGACAATCCCAGACTCTCTCACGAAGGATGTGTCTTTTCTCTTCGGCAGCGTGGAACTCCTTGCCACCTTGACTCGTCCTTTCCCTTCATGGTACCCCTCAGTATCACCCTAGAAGAGAGAAAAAGAGTCCGAAGTTTAACCGAGTTAATTCTATGCGAACCCGTGGTAGCATTTCCCGGTCTGAGTTGTCGTAGGCAACCACATGTACAAACGAGACAGTTCGAGAGTTTACGCAGTCACTTTGAGGCTTGGGAATATGACGCGTAAGGACTAAAACCCCCTCAGGCCCAGCCTCTTTACACTAGGAAGCTTTGCCGGTCCATGAAGTATAGGATTAAGATCATCGCGTGCACTGCTTGGCACGTAGAGAGTGTTGCAGCTGCAGCAGATGTAGTATTGCAAACCTGGAAGAGGCGTGGATCCTTTCTTGCATGGGGCTCTCGGCGAAGAGATATTCAGTTTGAAACTGATCCTGCAGAAATGGCTTATAAATGCCAGCTGCTTCCTGCGCCAGACCAAATATTTTTCATCCTGGCATTTACGTATCTGCGTGACATCGTCATATCATGACCCGAATTCTGGCTCCACTGGCGTGTCTCGTTGCTACGGGAAACGCCACCACACCTGTCCTTGAAAGAGCCAACGGCCTATCGGCACAGTCTGTCACTACAAACTGCAAACAAGCTGCATGTCCCGCCTAATGCCATTGTTTTCGCTCATAACTGACATGCCTCCAGTGCTCTCAGCTTTCCTCGACTTTCGGATCCGCCTTTCACTGGCCCCAAAATGACAACTTCACGATCTGGGACGCGAAGCAGCAAGAAGTTCACCCAGCTTGTCGAGTTGAACCCTCCTCGGCCAACGACGTTGCCGAAATTCTCGATATTCTCGTGTCTCACTGGTGCTATTTTTCAGTGAAAGGAGGGGGTCACTCCAGGAACCCAGGAGATTCAAACTCAGTTGGCGGAGTGACCGTGGATCTCAACCGTCTGAGCGGCATTGAGATCCTTCAAGGGAACAAACAGGCGCGTGTAGGTGGTGGCGCGACCAGCATTCAGGTTTACCAGGCGCTGGAAACTCGAAATTTATCTTTCGTTGGCGGCCGAGTCGGCAGTGTCGGTATGGGTGGTTTTACCCTCGGCGGAGGAACGTCACCTTTCTCGAACAAGTACGGGTGGTCATTAGACAATGTTTACGAGTATGAGGTGCGCAGTACTTTCAGTCGGACATTTTTTATTAAGCCACTGACATGCTAGCCTAGGTTGTTCTCTCGAACGGAACGATCACGACCGCTTCGGAATCACACAACCCTGACCTCTACTTTGCACTTCGTGGCGGCGGAAATAACTTCGGAATTGTCACGGCCTTTACTGTTCGAACTTTCCCCCAAGGCCCTGTCTTTACCAGCATGACAACCTATAGTGCGAATCAGTCAAACCAAGTTCTCGACAAGGTCTACGACCTATACACAAACATAAACCTCACCAGCGACAAGGAAATGGGGTACGATCTTTACTATTCATACAGTTCTGAAAGTGACCAGTTCACGCTGAGTGGCACCCAGCGATACGGGAAACCGGTCCGAAATCCACCTGTCTTTGCGGCCATAAATCAGATTCCTACGCTGAGCATAAGCACGAACATTGGTCCTATGAGCCAAGCTGTCGACGGGACGGATTCAATGGGCACTACACGGTATTTTCTGTCAGAAAGTGCTCCAACCTGGATTGGAATGTACTCATTTTTATTTTGCAGACACCTTTTTGCTACCCTAAGTGTGGCTCCATCGCGCTCATTGTTGTCGGAAGGCCTCAAGATCTTCCAAGAGGAAGTGGAAGCAATCAAGAAGGTCCCCGGCCTAGATCCCAACTTCATTTCCTATCCGCTGCAGAGGAACGCCATCAAGGCTATGAAACAGCGAGGTGGAAATGCATTGGGAATCGACCGAGACGAACCTCTCTTCTGTACGTCGTATACTATATCCCAACGTTGAGTTTCCCCTGTACTTATACCGACGCATCTTAAAGTGATTCTTATCTCTACAGCATGGTCAAACAGTACTAACGATGCTGATGTTAACCGGATGACGGCAAATACCATTGACAGACTCAATTCCACGGCTAATAACTTGGGTGTTGCAAACCGGTATAAATACATCAACTACGCCTCGGCCGCGCAGGCTAACACGGTGTTTTCTGGCTATGGCGAAAACTTGCAGAGGCTGCAAAAGATCCAGAAGGCGGTTGATCCACGGGGAATATTCACATCCAAAGGCTTGTGGCGTGGATTTGCCAAATTACTCTAATCCGATTATCCATATCCACGTCGGGTCCACAAGTCTGTCGACGTCGGTACATCGGTACACTAGGTGTCCAGAGCCAGGCCTGGTGGCTCTTGGTTTTAAGATCCAGCTGCGCCATGGCTTTCTACAAAGGCATCGCGAATGATAATTTTGCAACGTATTCCTACCGCATTCAGACACTAAATCCAATCAACAGAGCCTTTTTGTTAGTATAAAGAATCACGAACAGGCTTCTTGACCTCTTCGATAATAAATGTAGATTCAGCGACGGCATTTTGTCACAGTTTCTGGTATACTGAATCCTTCGAATTTATGAACATCCGGATCCTCTGTCGGCTTGTCCCACTCGAGAATCGTCTTGTCGGTGCTCACAAAGTGCCAAGTCCCAGTATTGTCCGACAACTAGCGATGGCATGTACCCAGAAGATACATGTGTACGCGGATTGCTGTCGAACTCTGTGGCAATAATAAATGGCGAGCAAGCTGCGTTTTCCTGCTCTTTCGTCAGTTTCTGAGAGTCATTTCTCGGTCTGCTGTTGTCTAACCCAACGCCACCGAGCCCAACGAGAGCGACCCTAGACCCCGCTATTGAGGCTTTCTCCTGTGTCTGGTCGAGGATTTCATGACGACCAACACATTCTGAATCGCGTGGGAACGGTACCGTCGATAAAGGTTCGAGGCGGGGTTCCGATCGTACTGAAGGCGAGGCCTTTGCCAGCTCATCCGACTCTTCGTGATTATCTGATAGTTTTCTGAAATCCTACCTTGTTGCAAGTATACCGATCCTTGATTAACTTCCAAATGGCATCCCGAATTTGCTTGACCGGATGATATCGCGGCTGTAGTCTAGAGCTATATAAAAGTGCTTAGTTCTTACTCGGGAGATAGACCCAGGTTCAGGAACCCTTGTTCCTTGCCCACTGTTATGTGACACTATTAGTAACGGATATCCACTGATCTCCCCACCTCCGAACGGGAGATAGTCTCGGCTGATGTAGATAGATAGTAGGCGCAAAGTTTCCTGTTCCTATTCGTGGTATAGCTACTGTGAGCCATCGAAGAGTCTGTCTAGAATCATCGATGTCTGAGCAAACAGACTACACCACCGATTAATCGCCAGCAAAAGGACCCTATGCCTATCTATATCTTGTCCACCCCTTCCTCAATCTGTTCTCTCTTTCCTTTTCTCGTAACTAACTAACTTTCGTTAGACCTTACAGAATCAAGAACGCTCATTTGTCTTTGTCCACCTATCTATAGTCCTTCCCGTTACTCTACTTACCCTGTCAGCTACACTTCTTTTCCATCGCTCTCTGGTCTTTTTCTGCTCTTAGCTGATATTCTGTGATACTATTAATAGGCTTCTTAGTGGCATTTGCTGTATAGGAGTACTGGTGGTTACTGCTCTAGATAATAGTAATACCTTCGACTCTTAGCTGACATAGCTATAGGACACAACCTCCTTATATGCCCTAATACCTAGTTATATTAGTCGTAACTAGACACTATCACTAAGTTATAGTTCTCCTAAGCCCGAGTAAAGATTAGATAGTCGCTTATAACTAACTAGTCCGGTCAGCCTCACATATCTAGTAGACAATAAAGGAATATCTAGTGAACAGCTCTCAGACTATATTCGATGCACTTACCTGATCGAGTGGGGAGTCACGCTCAATTATTGGGTGATAGTGAAGGACACAGAGCAGGATCTATCTGAACCGCCTAGTATCTTTTAGTCGAGAATCGAACAGGAGGCGGCTAAAATCCTGCAAAGTAAGACAGCTTATAATCGCTGAGTTAGACCAGACGATACGAACGTGGTAGTTTCTGTAAACGATCGATCACAGTGCGATTTAATCAAATGTTTTAAGGGCATAGATATTAATTAGACAGCGATAGAGAAGCAATCTGAGTTGTGGTAAGTGATTTGCTCAGGACCATATCTCGAATAAACTCGCGCGTGGAAGCGGGCAATGTTGGTGTCTTGGTGCCTTGGTGTCTTAGTAGGGACAACGTGGTCGGAGGTGCAGCCTCCTAGGCGGGAGAGACAGTTTGGCAGAAAGCGTATTATTGAAACCCATGATTACAGCAACAGTGGCGTATTAGCCTTGTCAGATATTTTACTGTTTTCTACTGACGTGCACGGGTGATTTATTCACCACCGCCTTAGCGTTAGGGTCTGAGATAGATTCTTTGTGTAAAATATGGAAGTCAATTTCGAATGTGAGTGTACAAGGAACAACCCATAGACAAACAATAACAACACACGAGAGGAATACGATGAAGGAATTCAATAATCGCGGGCAGCTAACAGCTTATTAAGCGCGCTCTCTTCTCCAGACCCGAGTGCAAGACCCAAGGAATGATGAAAACGAATAACCCCACGAAGGGGATGCCAAAGAATATGCCGCCAGTCAAGTGAACCAAATGATCCCCGCGCTGTGCAATGCAGTTTCTCAATGGTGGTACCCGGCCTAATGAACGCCAGAGTACCAGGTCCAGCCACGGTTTTGCCGGTGCGTATGAAGAAGAAAGAAAAAAATTGGGAAAATCCCGGCGAGAGATATTTATGCCTGTGGGAGGGGCGCTAGGCCGTTTCGGGGTAGGCGGACTGGAGTGGCAGGACGCGTACGGAATAGGCAGGAAGGGAAGCTGGGATGATGGAGTTGAATATGGGTATCTTGGGGTGCTTGTGAATATTGTCTTGAATCAGAGTTCTAGATGCCAAGACCGTGATGAAGCTCATATGGAGCGAGCATGACCGATATACCTGCTAAAACGAGGATACAGCTTGAACCAATGGGCGCTGTGCCAATGTGAGCTATGAAAAACCTCTTGTGCAAGCTCTATCCAGATCTGAGTAACCAAGAAGGCCTGTAAACGATGCTCTGAATAAGGATTCTCGAAGCCAGGGCCATGAGGAAGCAGATATAGGACGAGGACGAATATGAAGCCTTCAATCGACATCATAAACACAGCCCAAAAGTGTGTACCGTAGAAGATTTCCTCTCCAGGTCCGAGTCGCTGACCCAAGACATGATGAAAAAAGGTGTCAGAACCCACGAAGGGTGTGCCAAAGAATACGCCCCAGAGACCCCCGAGGGTGCCTCAACAGAGTATACACACACGCTGTGCAATGCGGCGATGCCCTGTGATGATCCACCCTCATGACCGTGATTCATCGGAGCAAGGTATATGTAAAGAGGAAGAAAAAAAGGAAAGGGAAATTTGCCGGCAGGTGATATTTATACCTGGGGCCGTCCACGCTAGTCCCGTTTGGGCAGAGTAGGCTACGGAGATGCAAGAGCCCGGGAACAGGAGGTATAGAGTGCCTGGTCTGCCTGAACAGCTCTAGAGGTTAGTTTGTGTGAATGGTGTGTCAACGACAGCCAAGGACTCAGCTACAATGATCTTCACAAAGAAGCTGCATATTAGACGTAGTCCTTATAACTAGATGTCGTGAAATTCGTGCAGCTGGGAAGCTGTGAGCGCTTTTTTCCGTGCTAGATTTCAGTTTCCGACAGAATCCCTGATCAAGAAAAAGAGGGAAAGACCTTCACAAATAATCAGCCGTATTAACACAGTTGAAAATAGTATGCTTGTTGATGTAAAGGCCGTGAAACCATCGATCCTCTGTCTGTTCACATCCCGGGACATCACATAACAGTTTTCCGTCCACTATCGGCAGAGGAGAAATACCGCAAGACCTCGACCGGCTACGTTGGTCCTGTTCGTCTATTCCACCCTTGTATCTGTACTTAGAATATCCCTAGAATCCCCAGTGGAAAGTAGGCAAATCAGTAGACTGCGACACCGTAGACGAGCTACCATGCCTGCTCTGCTAAAAAGCAATAACCAGATACCAAAAAAAGGGGGACGAGCTTTCCAGAAGCACAGGAATGCCAGTTCCAGTACACTACAGGTGCCGTCGTCGACGCGTAACTCATTTCTCCGGTCCGGGAAGCACGAGAATCATCACGCAGGGTAGCCCTCCTGGTCTTCATACACAGCTTCCCAGGGTTGATCTTTCTTCTCCATACCCGAGTCTCTCGTCTCTAACCCAGGAATGATGAAAAAAGATTAACCCCACAAAGGGGATGCCATGCCAAAAAATATGCCCGCCAGCTCCCGAGGGTAGCCGAACAGGTATCAACCCGCGATGTGCAATGCAGGAGACTTGTGGTGCGCTGCCTTTATGATCGCAACTCGCCCAGACGAGCTTGGGTATTGTGGAGTTTGTCCGAAGCTAAAGTGTGAAGAGGGAAGAAAAGAGGAGGAAGATTGCAGGCGGCAGGCTATATTTATACCTGGTGGTTGCGGCGCTAGTCCCGATTGGGTAGGCACCTATTGTAGGCAGATGCGTGTTGACATGACCTGAAGCCCGTAGAAAGGGCAGAGGGCCAGAGGGCCTGTATGAGACAGTCAAATTGCTGCTTCTGCTACTGCTCCTGTATGAAGGACCATCTCTTCTCCAAGTTCGAGTCATGACCCAAGCTTGATGAAAATAACGAAAAAGATAATCCCCAAAGGGGACGTGCCAAATAATATGCCTGATATGCCCAAGGGCATGAACAGGAAAACCTGTGATGATCTGCCTTCATGATCGCAGCTTATCCAAGCGGTACCGACCTACCGGGGGGGGGGGGGAAGGGAGTGGGAGGGTGCAGGTGGGTACGAAACGTACCAAGCCCAGGTGGAAATTAAGACGGCCATATAGGCATTTTGGTCATAGAGAGAGGAGATGAAGAAGAGAAGTTCTGATGTGGAGAGAAGACCGTATTTATGCACCGGCGGTGGCCTTTTAAGCGAGGTGGAAGTTTCCGCTGTCATCGATGGGAGTCTATGAGGTAGGGGTTGGGAAGCTCGTGATCAGGGTTAGGGGGGCACGTGCTTTGTTGGATTTTCTTGCTGAGACCTTTTGTTATCTTGTGCTTCTTGTGGAAGTTTCTCCTGCTGATTTGTCTTCAATCGATGCTAGGTTTTGAATTAGTACCCCCTTTATGACTTTTTCTTTGGCGTCTAGAGCTAAAGAATGCGTTGTGTGTGTAACATTTGATACTTCACGTTGCTTGGTATATAGACTGCACAGAACAAGTTTACTGGGAGCATACTTCCCAACAGTCCTTGAAGCCTATTGGTCTTGAGAAAGAATTTACGTGAATACAACTATCCATTTTTCACATAGCACAACATTAGTCAGCATAAAGGAATACATGTGAGCAAACATCGAAAAATATAATCCCTCCTCGTTGGAGCATACATGATATCAGCTACAGCCAAATGGTGCCTCCAAAAATCACCCAGAGCAATACTTCGGCACCGCCTTTGACGCTTTCTTCCGCCTCCATAAACCCTCCGAGTCAGTCGATCTCTTTCCCTTCTTATCCTTCAACTCCATTTTCTTCACATTCCGCCCAGAAACCTCAATCGTCGCCCCTTTCATATTCCCCTCAAACGCAACAGTCAAGTATACTTTCTCCCGTGGCCAGAGGGTGACATAATTATCGGACCAGTAGACCGGCGTGATATTCTCGCCGTTGGCGTTTAGTGCACTCAGGTGCAAGAAGAGGGCGGGCCCCTTGGATTTATTTTGCAGCTCGATCTCTTTGATTATCCATCCTTCACGCGGTCTGATGTTCTTGGGGTTCTTGAGAGTTGCTTTGACTTTTGCCGGGGCGAGGCAATTTAGCTTTTTGTAGTCGACGTATTCGGTTACCGGGGTGTAAAAGAAATTTGTCTTGTTCCAGTCCAAGGTGTCTGTTTTTGGGGTAAGCCAGTATACATTGCGGCTTATGTCTTTTTTGCTCTTTTTGTCGTGGAGGACGAGCCGGAGGAAGGCTATGTCATGGGCTTTCATTTTATCAATCCCAGGAACTGTTCCAAGTCGCTTGGAGGAACTGGGTGATGTGGTTGTCTTGACCTTTTTGCTTGAGATCTTCTGTCCCGCAAGAGTAATAAGGTCAATCTGGACCTGTCGCTCGCCCTCTTCTTCGAGAGAGTGGTTAATAAGCCAGACACTCTGATCCTCATAGTCATAGGCGACATGCTCAACCCTCGTCCCAACCTTAGTCCCAAAATACGCCGCCATTGGAGCGAGATAGTAATCAAAAAGCTGCCAATGCAAATTCGGCCACGCACTATTCAACATCCAGTAAATAGCCCCCGTCGCCGGACGAGAAGCATTCTGGCGAGTTGAGTACGCCTCGAACTGTGCGCGCGTAGCCTCATAATCCGCCATCTGGCACTTTTCAACATAATCCTCCGAATTCTCTGCCTCCCCATACCGCGCAGTTAACGCCTCATTATAGATCTTCCGATTATAGAATGATGACTGCTCACGCGACATATGATATAGCCCCTCTTCAGGCTTCGTCCAGAGCGTCTGCAAATCACCATCTGACAAGAACCTCTTCAAACTTCCCATTTCAGGAGTCCCCACGCCCGCCCCAAGCTCGGTTCCAAATCCGAAAGCTGCCCCGTATTTATCAGTGTACCAGTAGTTCGGTGGGACCCAGTCATATGGTCCGTCCATCTTCATGCCCGATGGACCAAGTGCGTCGGGGAATCCCCGCATAGCGGCGGATGCGATTACGGGGCTGCGCCAGTCCATCTGCATCAGGGCGTTGAGATAGACGCCTGTCGCGTGTTTGTCGGGCCAGTAGTCTGATCCCACGAGAAAACCGAGGATAGAGGGGTGGGGTTGCATCATTTCGGCTTCGTGGCGCATTGCGGTTTGTGCGGTGGTATAATCTTTTTCGCTCCATTTTAAGCCGTCTGCGTCTTCGTTGTACTAATGATAGAAATGCTGTTAGCTCGGTCTTCAATAGTGGCTGAAGGATGCTTACCTCCCACCCTTCCCATTTATCGCAGCATTCCCACCCTGGTAGGACCATCATCCCCATCTCGTCGGCCAATGAGTATAGCTCAGGGTGCTCCTGTTTACCCTCCAATCGCACAGTGTTCATTCCCATGTCTAGCATGTATCGGAATATATTGCGGACACGCTGCTCGTCAAAGCGCATGAACATGTCTGGTCCGTATCCGGCTCCGAGGACTTGGAAGGGGAATCCGTTGACGAAAAAAGCAGTGTCGTTGTGCTGATTTAAGCGGGAGCCGACGCTACGGATGCCGAATTGGAAAGACTTTGCCGCATCGGATATGCTGAAGTTATCGGTGACATATGTTTTGGCTTGTACTTCGTACAGCGGTTGATCACCCCAACTTGCAGGCCACCAGATCCGTGCGTCGTCGATGCGGACTTTGATGAAGGCTGTGAGTTCCTGGCCTGGCCGGAGGTAGAAGCTCTGCCCAAATGGGATTGGGTCCGAGGTTGGAGGCCATATCGTGCCGTTCACGCTAACATGCAAGGGATTGGGGGAGTGGTTGATTAGGTCTGTCTTCAGGATGACATTGACGTTATTTCTCTCGTGGGGTTGAGTGAAATCCGTGATGACTCGAAAAGGCGACATGGACACTGCACCAGTTTGCGCAATCTCGACATCGCGCCAGACGCCCGTGCCGTTGTCGGCAGGATATGGGTTCCAGTCGACGAAGCCCATCGCAAAGTCACGGAGGTAGTTCGTAGGGTACGCCCGAATGAGCACACAGTTTTTCCCCGCCTGAACGTGGTTCCTGATGTTGTAACTGTGGCCACCGTATGAACCCTGCTGCTCCTCGCTTGTTGCAATCTGGACGCCGTTGAGGTAGATATCCGCCTTGGAGGTGATTCCGTGTGTGATCAGCGTGAAGTACTGACCCTCGGATGGGTTGACGGTAAATTCCTCTCGGTAGAGCCAGGGCGCACGAAAAAGGTCATCGTCTTCGAGTTCTTTCATATTGTCTGAGTAGAAAATTTTGGTATCGTTGTAGACGCCGCTTTCGATCAGCCCGGCCATGACGGACTTGCGAGGGCCCACGCGATGCCAGTCCTCAGTGTTGACTCCGGGTCTGGACAGCGCGAACATATCATCTGACACGCTGGTGGCAGAGATGAGATGCCATCCTGGGATATTCGCCTTGTCGCCGGGTTGAGAGACGAGTGGTTCGTCGTTGGCTAGTGTATGCACACTGCATACTGCCAGCACGAGGGCACCGATGCCCCAGGAGAGCTTCATCGAGGGTTCACAGTGATATAGTCAAGTCCGAAGTATGATGCGATCGGTATTTTCGTCTAGGGTTTCTGCGGCGTGGCTAAATAAAATACCTGCGTTGACGGGTGCTAGTGCGGAGAGAAGTGGCAATGGAGTTGCATTGCATGAAGGCGAGTGTGGTGGTATTCTACACGCCGCCTCGAAGTGTAAGCGGTGCTGCAGGGTCTGTCCCGGACAGGCTTAGCAGCTCGCGATGCGCCGTCGGTGATCCCGGCAATCTGGAGATTTCCCCGGTTGGGCTAGTGATAGCCCGCTCAGTTCCCTGAATAGGGTATTCCTTTACAGCGGCGGAGCTATATTCGGTGCCGGTTGAGGGTCTTGTTGTATTAATGACATCGTCGGGAACATGATGATCGTATACTCTTGGCATAGCACTTGGAGTATTGAGCCAGCGCAATCAAATAGTTAGGTAGTTGTAAGTGTAGAAATTATGTACGTCACATCGGTCTGCATAGTCTGGTGGATATAATACATAGCACATTGTTTTCCGAGGATGATATCGAGCCCTCGTGTAGTGTTCGAGGTATTTGCACTTCCTTACGTGCCAAGGAAAGAATCGTCCTCGAGATACGCAGCCCAACTCACGCTGGTCTTCCACTCTGATGAGCTCTTGGGGGCTGGCGGACCTTTCTTCTCGGATTACTCCGTACTCTTGGTGGACTCTTGTCTCCCTGGATGCAATGCAGTAGACACAGCAGCCACCCCTTGTACGAACAGAATATGTTCGGGCTGTGGGCCTCTAACATGCATGCGCAGGCGAATCAACTTCTCTAGTGTCGATTCACGATTTTATGTTGAGGACCTGGTAGATATTGACGATAATGGGCTACTAATCGCGCCAGAGAAATGCGTTTGAGACTATTACTGGGATCGAGCGAGCAAATGGGGCACAAACAAACTTGTTCAACATAACACTTGTGAAGCTGAAGGGCATAGGGACTCGGCAAGTTGAAAGGCCCTGTAGAGCCTGGCTCACATCTGTCAATCGCGTGTTCAATATCGTTCGTTATCACTCGCTGCTCGACCAAGTCCCCTCTTTTGTTCCTAGGGCCTTCCCCAATATTTTACTGCCGACCCCATTCCGAATGGATGATTTCCCAACAAAAGCAGAAACACGAGCTTCAGCAAACCCAGGACCAAAACAACCGAGCATAAACAAATCCAACAAAGCACGGGCCCGCCAATACTTTGATTCCCATCGATGGCAACAGAATAGTCCTCATTGTAGGCCCTCTTTAGCCGCTTTTTATCATTTTCTAACAGCTGGTGAAGCCCAAATTCATTCACTCGAAGTCGGTGGTAGGCGGTGACGACTTGTACAGAATCTTCAAACAGCAATGTCCAGCTGTATCGTGCTCAGAGTTTATATGGAGTCTTCCTCGGGCCTCATACTCGGTAATAGAGTCGTCCAAGTCTGTATACATTAGCTCGGGGCGTATAGAGTGTCGCGGTCGCCATCCTGCGTGCGTCGGCGAAGCATCGTAATGTCTTTATCAGCGATGATTCGGTCCTGACGCGATGTATATATCTGCAAGTGGTGGAATGCCTGCGGTCAGGCATAGAACTATCATCCCCAGAGATTCGATATGATAAAGAAGCCCTGCAATACTGTGATGGATCAGTCGTTCTCTACCGAAGGTGGTGGACGAAGGTGGTCGAGGCGCTGTTTGTGGATGGGAGATATGCCCGCATCGCCACTACATGAATCGGTCATGGAGGAGTTCAAAATTTTCTTCAGGGCGAGAACTCTAGAATGACCGACATTAAGTTTGACGCTTCTGAAATCGGTCGGAAATTGTATAGGGTTGCACGTATCACCAAGCAGGCAATCAAAGCAAATGGCTTAATGCAGATCCACAGTCAGGCATTGCCATGGAATTAGATAACTATACTTTTTTTCTACGAGGAAATTAGATCTGTAAAGGTACAATTAATATCCAGGAGCTCCGAAAGGGACAGAGGCTGGGAAATACATGTCCCTCCGGCCAGGATCTATATCTAGTATTCAATGATCTAGCGTTGTGTCTAGAAGCCCGAACCAGGGAATTAAAATTAGATTTATATTCTAATGCCATATCCTGCTTCCTTTCTGGGTTTTATCTCTATTTCCTGCTAGCTTCCTCCTGTTGTGGCTCTGAACTTCGCAGGGCGCGACTTTATTACACCGCGCAGCCGAGGAGCGTGAAACCTGCCACCACCACATCCGACCTTCGTCCTTTCCTTCCCATTCCAAGTCCTCACCACTTAGCACTTTCTCGAACCTCGACACCTCAAATAATTATATCTCGTTTGCTCACACACCCACATCTCAAATGCGAGCCAACCCTTCGAAAAGACCATTCCTCGCTTCCGGAAAGGGATAACCATTACGCCATCGGCATGCCAACCCTCACATCGTCGCTTTCAGCCAGGTACCACAACACACCAGGCACCCAGAGCCAACGGTCGCCAACCCAAGAATCCACCGATCAAGCCCCTCTCCCCATCAACCCGGCTTGCCGACCTGCTTGACAGCTCCCGCCCACATTCCCGTCGATCACCGTCGTGGAGTCGGCAGGCCAGATCCATGGCACACGCGGACCTGACAGGCGTGATGTTGCACTCTTCGGCGAGCTGTGTTCTTATTCCGGGATTAATGGGTCTGCTAAAATGGGGAAATGCTTCATGCGGCCTGATTGCTGCTTGGAGCTGGCTAGGGAGTGCCTGTGATTCGAGGGGGCCGCCTTGTTACCATGCCAGTACTCCTGTGTTGTTGGAATGTGGACGATTGGTCCACTCCCACTGCTGATGATGAGATGGTGCTCGCTACCTTACCTTCTCTCTCTTTTGCTTGTTCGACTGTGCGAAGTGCCTCTATTGATTACTAGAGGTGGTATGAACGCTGAAGCGACTTTGTGAAGGGCTCGCTGTACTCGAGTCATATATCTTCGCCGATTTTGAACGGTCGGGCGACACATTGTCCCAATGCGCGTGGCAGGGAGGAACGTTTGGCCCTCATGGGCAGGTCTTTTGGCCTTTGGCCTGGCAGGGTTCTCGTCTGTTCAGGCGATCCAACTGGATGCTAGCAATGATGGTATGACAATCCACACCAGGCGTACCGATTCTACCATGTCTAACATTTTGCAGAGTCCGTTAAAAAAGCTGCGAAGATCGTCGCGACCGACATGATGAGCTACTACACAGGGTATCGCCCCGGCGACAACCCCGGTAACCTCCCAGATCCATACTACTGGTGGGAAGCCGGCGCCATGTTCAACGCAATCATCGACTACTGGTTTGTAACCGGCGACGACGAATACAACGACTGGACGATCCAGGGTATGCTGTGGCAAGCCGGCGACAACCTGGCCTTCATGCCGAACAACCAGACCAAGACGGAAGGCAACGATGACCAGGCCTTCTGGGGCTTCGCGGCCATGTCTGCTGCTGAGCGTAACTTCCCTAATCCGCCGAAAGACCAGCCTGGATGGCTCGAGATGGCACAAGCGACGTTCAACACGCAAGCGCCTCGGTGGGATACCTCTTCTTGCGGTGGGGGTCTGCGCTGGCAGATCTTTACGTGGAACAATGGGTATAATTATAAGAATACCATCTCCACTGGTGGATTCTTTAATCTTGCTGCGCGACTGGCGAGATATACTGGCAACCAGACGTACGCGGACTGGGCTGAGAAGGCTTGGGATTGGACTTATAGTGTTGGGTTCATGACGCCTGAGTACCACTTTTGGGACGGGGCGAGTGATCTCAATAATTGCACGGAGATGAATAAGATCGAGTGGACATACAATGCAGGTGTCTACCTTCTCGGTGCGGCGAACATGTACAATCTGGTGAGTCTCCCTTCCTTTTTTGTCATGGACACATTCTAACACCCTCCAGACCGAAGACCAAAAATGGAAAGAACGCACCCAAAAAGTCCTCGACTCAACCGACGTCTTCTTTACCAAGTCAAACATCATGTTCGAACGCGCCTGCGAAACAGTCAACACCTGCATGGTAGACCAACGCTCGTTCAAGGGCTACCTTGCCCGCTGGATGGCGGCGACCACGCAAATGGCCCCCTTCACCTACGACCAAATCATGCCCAAACTGAAAGCTACTGGTGAAGCAGCCGCGCGAACATGCACCGGTGGCCCGAAGGGTAGGTCGTGTGGCATGAAGTGGACGGAGAAAAAGTGGGACAATACCAGAGACTTTGGGCAGCAGATGGCTGCGCTCGAGGTGATTCAGTCGAACCTCGTTACTCGTGTCGCACCGCCTGTTACCGATGACAATGGTGGTACCAGTAAGGGTGATCCCAGTGCAGGTGGTAAGCCCGAACAGCCGAAGCCTGATGCGCTCTCGTACGAGATCACGACAGCGGATCGGGCGGGCGCGGGGATTTTGACTGCGATGATGATGGTTCTTGTTGGTGGGTCTGCGGGTTGGTTGTGCTGGGATTAGATACCAGAGAGTCGGGATTTCCGAAGGATTGCAGAATTGGTTTGATTGCTTGTTCTATTTCTTCATGGTTGGCGGGCGTTTTGTGAATACTCGGATGATATACACGCGTGAACCATTATGCATTTTCAACTTTTCCATATTATCATGACAATTCCCTAGGTTCTTCATCCCACTCCACTCTCACGGAGAAACCCCAACTCGGCCTGGTTCAGGCCCCGTCCAACCAGATCCCCTCTGCTGCAGTAGTATCCCATTGGCCCCCCACATCCATCTTGCGGGGAAACCGGGGCTGCTGTAGACACTGCCGGACTAGAGCGAGTGTTGAACACGCTATACCACCCTAGCTCCCTCCGAGTGTAACAGCCCACTTGGGACCGCCAATCGACCCCCGATTTAGGATTGCGACTTTAATTTCGGTCCGGCTGTGATGACACTAAATGACATCGACTAGTACACTCCTAGTCGTAGTATAGCAGTAAGTTGGAGACCACGCGGATTTAAGTTCACGCCACGCCAACCGCGCCCTTTCTTGTCTCCGAGAATTACCCGGCAGGAACGTGGGGGTGCTTAAAGAGAGACTTAAGAGAGCTGTTTGCTGTAGTATTGCGCTGCTGATCCGTTTTGGGATACTTAAGTCATCTAATGTGGGACACTGGCATTCTCGTGAGCATCGCGGCCTTGCTGGCTGCCGCCGAGGGGCAGGAGGTCTTCATCACGACGAAGGGTCCTGCTGCGAGGCCGCAGTGTACGCATGCTGCTACTTCGCCGAGTTATTATTTTCAGCCTTTTTCGTACACGCTCAATGAGACGGTTCGGTGGGTTACCCGGTGAGGACGGGGTGTGTGCGTGCTAACCCGCGCTGCAGATATGCGACCTCGATGCCCTCGCCTACAACTACGAAGAAATATGCGCCCGCTTATACAGATGCTTTGAAGCACTTTACCTCCCTGTCCACGACGACTTGGGGGAATTGGCTCCCCGGGGAGACAGTTATCAGCGCGACGGATTCCTCGGATCCATATGGACAAGCTGCGTGGTCTTCTATGTGGCTGGAGGCGGATCTTCAGAATTATGTATGTTTCCTTCCATTCAACCTGTATTTCATCTGTTGACACTTCTCCAGACGGCAACTGGGATCTACTCAACGACAGTCAGCCCTACCCCAGTTCCAACCAGCGAACTCGTCCTCCCACCGAGCGACTACTTCGGTCCGACAGATTGCTACAGTTTCCCCGATGGCTTCGTCTTCGGCGTCGCGGGCAGCGCAGCCCAGATTGAAGGCGCCGTTGCGCTCGAAGGCCGCTCCCCTTCATTGCTAGAGAAGCTCATTGCCGACGACAGACCGAAGGATTACGTCACGAACGAGAACTATTACTTCTACAAACAGGATATCCAGCGCCTTGCCGCTATGGGAGTGGAATACTACAGTTTCACGATTCCCTGGACTCGAATTCTACCGTTCGTTTTGCCCGGCACACCGGTTAACCAGCAAGCTATCGATCATTACGATGACTTGATCAACACCGTCCTTGACGCGGGCATGCAGCCTATCGTCACGATGCTGCATTTTGACAGCCCTCTCATGTTCGTTGCGAGCGATAATATCAGTGCGTTTTCTTTTCTGTCTAACCACACTCTACGACGCTAACATCCTCCAGCCCGCCATCCAGACATCGGCTACAACAATGCGGGTTACCAAAACGAAACCTTTACCGACGCCTTCGTAAACTACGGCAAAGTCCTCCTAACCCACTTTGCAGACCGCGTGCCAATCTGGGTAACATTCAACGAACCCCTGCTCTACGCCTTCAACTTCCAAGGCGTCGACAATGTAGTCCACGCCCACGCACAGGTCTACAAATTCTACCGCGATGAGCTAAACGGTAAAGGACGACTGGGCATCAAGTTCAACGACAATTTCGGCGTGCCGAAGGATCCGCACAACGACAGCCATGTGCACGCAGCGAACCGCTTCAATGAGATGCAGCTGGGTTTCTTTGGGAATCCTATTTTCCTCGGGAAGCAGTACCCCCAGTCGATCCTTGATACCCTGCCTGGTGCCCGGCCTCTGAATCACTCCGAGCTGGAGGATATTAAGGGGACGTCCGACTTTTTTGGGATTGATCCGTATACGGCTACGGTTGTTTCTCCTGCAGATGAAGGGATTGATGCTTGTGTGGCGAATTGGTCTGCTTCGAATATACTTCTGCCGTACTGTGTTAAGCAGGAGACGGCAAATGGGTATGGATGGAACATTGGGTATCGCTCTGGTATGTTTTCCCCCCAGGGCTGGGTGTTTGTGACTGACGTAGCAGAATCCTATGTCTATATCACGCCGACGTATTTTCGCGAGTATCTCTCCTACCTGTGGAATACGTTCCGACACCCGGTGTTCGTGTCGGAGTTTGGATTCCCTGTCTATGGCGAGGCCGATAAGGATCTACCTGATCAGCTGTAAGACTTTTTCCATTCCTTTTTCCTTTCTTTTGACTTTCTTTTGACTTTTATTCACCTTGCTAATGCTGATGTTGAATAGATTCGACTCCCCACGCAGCGTGTACTACCTCTCCTTCATGTCGGAGATCCTCAAGTCGATCTACGAAGATGGCGTCCATGTTATGGGCGCGTTGGCGTGGAGCTTTGTCGATAATTGGGAGTTTGGGGATTATTCGGCTCAGTTTGGGATCCAGGTTGTTAATCGCACCACCCAGGAAAGGTTTTATAAGAAGAGCTTTTTTGATGTGGTGGATTATGTCAAGTCGAGACAGGGAAAGAAGGTCTGATTGCGCGGTAGAATTATTCGCTACGTAGGTGGAGGGCTCAATGAGTTAGATTTGATGATGAATTGTCTGAGGTCGCGTAGAATTATATCATGCAACAATATATTTCTAGCTTATTCTCTGTATTACATTAATGTCACGTGATCATATAGGTCTGATGTTTCTGTCAGATGAAAACAACTGTAATTGTACATGGACAAAGTATACCCGATATAAGTCCTTACCGAGCAAATCGCACAAGGAAGAGGCCATCTAGCTATAGCGTGGGTAGTGCAGTATATCATCGGTGGTCAATTTCCTCGTGTCGTGCCAAGCTCCGAGTCGTTGCAGTGAATAAAGCCTCACCGCCCACGCTCCGACATGATGTCTCACGCCGAGTGCAGTCCTCCCCGACACACATCCACGCCAATTCAAGTCGCATTCGAGGTCGCACCGACTGTGCCTTTCGTCACCATGGGCGACACCTTCAATCTCCCCCTGCGCCCCCACCTGGAGAAAGGGGACCACCACGATACCCTTCCCGCCGAGATCTCGCAGATCAACCAGCAGTGGGGCTCCTTTCGCGATGTGAACGAAGAGGTCTTGCTGGCCAAGATGGCGGAGGAGGATGCAGCGGGTGGAGCTGTGGAATCGATCGAAGAAGAGGACGAGAACGAAATGACCACCACCGAGCGCCTGGAGGAGCTTTACAAGAAGCGCGCGGAGATGCTGCAGTTCGCCATGTGCGTGAATCCCACGATGAATGCTTGACATACCTGGGAAGCAGCAAAAGCTGACTTGAAATAGGACGGCTCATACGGAAGCGACTATGGCTCTCGATTTTGTCTCGCTGCTGTTGTCGAAGTGGGCGCCGCGCCAGGCTGAGTCTTGCATGTCCCCATACCTCAAACACGCCGTGCCATTGGGATCGATCGACGTCGACATCGTGAACCCGCCCCCTCTACTCGACTCCGTTGCGCAAAATAGCAAGGCTGTATCGAGCGGCTGGAGGCTTTACAACTTCAACTTTGCCAGCAAGAAACTGCTGAGTGCGGCCGGTCGACTTGAAAACGAGGTGGATATTGAGGCGAGGTACTGGGACTCGGTGCTGGAAATTAAGGAACAGGGGTGGAAGATCTGTCGACATCCGCGTGAGGGCCAAACCCTGGCTGTGCAGTATGGATTTTTGGAAGGTAGTCTCCCCTGTCGTTCTATGACGTTGAGATTGAAGACTCACTATTTACAGCTACCCCTGTTTTCCGCAATCGCGGCCTTGCTACTTTGCGACGGGCCCATGATGGCACTTTGAATTTGTATAAGGGACTGGTACCCCCGGGCTCGCCCTTTGTCCGTGTGAGCGTGCTCCGATGTTCGACTGTCACAGGCAGCACGACGCCCCCGGCGTCGTTGTCCGATACCGCAAAGACCATTCACCAGCAAATCCTACACGCGCGCGACTCGGTGTTTGAAGATGAGTTGTTCTATGAATTGCTGCGCGAGGCGAAATCCATGATGGACTGCGGTGTCACGACCCGACACAATTCGATCCAAATTCCTGTTACCGACGATGTCGAGATTCTGCTTGAATTGGTGGATGCCGAAGAGAGCCTGCGAGATGAGCCTGAAAATGCTCAACTCGACACCCAGCTTGCCGAGGGTGTGGCGTACTCTATGCGCATTCTGCTTTCATTTGCCCATCGCTTGAACCACCGTCGTCGAATCCGGCCCCCAGCACCTCTGGCTTCCGAGAAACCGCGTACTCCTGAATATCACCTTTTCCGACCCTCCCTTGCCTACCTCCAGCACGTCTCGCAGGCCCGCTGCGTGGAATCATTCATTCATGGCATTACCGGAGTCATGCGATCCTCCGGTTTCCAGCTTCCAGAGTACACTACAGAAATCCTCGCCAGCCTTAAGATCAACCAGAACCTACCTCCCATGACCGAATTGTCCGCCCTTGAATCCCTCATGATCAACTTCCTCGAGCCGATCGAATCAGTGTTCAAGGTGAACTTGCTCACCCCTAACAGTTCTTTTACCATCAAAATGCGTACCAACGTACTGGAACCGCCGTATGGCACTCATTTCAACGTGACCTACGACCTTCCAGCCATTCCCGACCTCCGATCACCGGGCAATCTGGAGATGAGACACGAAGTCGAAGCCGCGGTCACCCATGCTCTCCTCCTGGATATTGTGACCAAGGTTTCGTCCAGCAACAAGAAATCATCCAACAATATGAAGCAATGGGAAGCAATCTACCCCCACATCGGCGAATTGCGCCTCCCCCTCGACTACGACACATACAAGAAGATGCAAATCTCCCTCTCGCGCGACAACCTCACAATCTCCACCAACCTCATCCACAGTCCCGGCGGCCGCGGCTTCGGCGAGGCCTTCCAACGCAAGAAGACAGTTGAAAGCAAGACGTGGACACTGCGTTCTTCCGACAATCCAAATGAACATTCCTCCGCGCTGGACTTTGTCGCGGCGGAGACCGCGTAGTGTGGCCCAGTCGGGCCTGCCACCTGTCATAACGTAATGCACTTTGTGGAGAATTCTGCCAATAATTGGGGTTGTGGTTTAGTGGTATAATACCCCTTTCGCATTCACCGCCTTCCGGCGGACACATGGGATTAGGGGTGGTCCGGGGTTCGATTCCCCGCGACTCCAACTTTTTGTTATTTTTTTGCCTTTTCTTTTTGGTCTGGTCTTAGAGACAGCTTTCTCATGTGAGAATGTTTGTTGTGCCGGTCTCGAGTTTTGTTGCATTTGTTGACGGAGTCGGATACCCTTTGTTCCTTTATTCGTTGTTAGCCTGGTCGATTAGCTAACACATACCTTTTCGTTCTTTCATTCATGCCCTTTGTAAAATTGTAGTCCATTTGAGTCGATTCGATGTCATTGTAGAGTCATCGTTTTCCGGGTCGCATTGGAATAGCCACATGGCTGAAAGATAGGCAGGGGTACATTCGGAGAATAGCGATGCGCCTATAAGAGACCTCCATCAAAATGCTCATCAATGAAAGCCACAAATAACTGTACATCAAAAGGCAATTCAAACCGACCTTCCTACTCTAATTGGATTGCCCCAACAGCACGGTGCATGCCGAGATGTGGAATGCACGTTTCATGCAGCATGGCGTAACCGCATACCAGTGCGCATTCCACCAAGCAAACCAAGCTTTTCAGCCGACAGGAATGCAAGTATTTGTTTTCGTTCCTGAGAGATAAAACCTCCTCATCTCTCTTCCCCTATTCATCTCTGCAAGTCAAAATGAAGTTTTCTTCCATTGTCCTCGCTGTCTTCGCGCTCGTCTCCACTGGTCTGGCCGATAAGACCTGCACCCCTAGCTTCGATTACTGCTCGGATGTGCTGATCAAGTCGAAGGGTAGGTGGCTCAAACATGGTCAGTGTTGTTAGGCCGCTACTAATTGTTGATTGTAGGCTTCACGGCGGATGATCTGAAGGATGTTTTGAAGGGCACCGACCTCGAGAAAGAGGATATCAAGAACATTCTCTTCCACTGCAAAAATCCTGGTATTGTTGGCCATCCTAAGCTTTGTAAGAGTGGATGCAAGGATTCGTCGCAGGAGGGTAGCCACACGTGTGATGGGTGAGTTTCGCAATAGAGTTGGAGGTCGAGTGGGCGTTGCTAATTGTTGCAGTTAAATTGTTTCTCGGATCTACATAGTATCGAATTTGATATGCTGTATTTAAGCAGCGATAGAGTGATTGGTCTCTTTCCATTTATGTGTAGTTTGTTTTCGAGCCCAATATCGTATGTACATGTTGTAGCTGTGGTCGATTACCACTCGACCTCTTTGCCTTCGTATTGATTCGGTCCGGGCGCCTTCTCCCAGCCTGGGACGTGGATGTTCACGAATTTCCCGTTCTGGTGAGGTCCGGTCTTTAGGACGATGTCGACTACCTTTTCCGCGCCAGTTTCGACGGGAAGGTCTGCTCGTTGACTTCCGAGGTCGGTCCGTAGCCACTGCAATAGTCAGTATACACGTTCAATGAGATAAATGTAACGTGGAAGGGTGTGAGCCTACCCCAGGGCTAACAGCCAAAAAGGTCAATCCCTCAGAAGCAAAGCTCTGCGCGTATTGAACAGTCAACATGTTCAATGCGGCCTTTGTGATCTTGTATGCTGGCGTCGGCGATTGCGCATACTCCTGTGCCCTGGCGATTGAGCCCAGCGTTGTAGATCTATGTTTATGTTAGCCTCTGTTACTGAGTCGTGCCGCATTGTGACTCACATGTTAACAACAGTCTTCTTCTGTCCACGTCTCAGCAATGGCAAAAAAGCTCTCGTCACCTCGTGAACACCAGTGACATTCAAATTGAAAATTTGGTTCAGGTTGTCCCTGTCACACGTCAGAAAAAGTATCCACACCATATTCAGGACAGTGAAACTTACATCCCCTCCAGCCCGGCGGGGTTATAATCCAACGTGCCCGCATTGTTAATCAAGTAATCCAGTCCCTTCCCTGCTAACTTCGACTCAACCTGTCGCGCAGCTTCCTCGATGGTCTTTTTATCCTCAACATCGAGTCGGACTAGCTCGATCCGGCCTGACGAGGCTGTGACGAGCTGGTTCAGTTGTGGGGAGTTGTCTTGGCGTGCGGTCGCGAAAATCGTTTCCACTTGGCCTTTTGGTAGGGCGGCTAGGCGCGAGACGAGGGCAAGGCCTAGGCCACGCGAGGAGCCGGTTATTAGGAATGAGGCCATGGTGTAACTGTGTCTTTGGATGCAGGTTGGAGTTTGCTGTGCTGAGTTTGATGCAAAGAGCTGGATTTAAGCTTGCATCATCTCCGATGGTTTGACTAATCTCCGTTAAGCCCGGTCGCTAGCAGAGGTCGATCATACCAGCCACGTCGATTCGTGGACACCCTTTTTGCATTTATCGGCGGTTCACATTGACTAGTGATGAGTCGGATGTCGAGTCTGGTTTGTGGTATCTCCGGTACAAAGAAATCGGTCGGGATGTTGCGTGCGTGAACGGCGTGATGGGATCGTGAGATGGTGCTGTAGGTCAACGAAAGGAATCAGCCAGATGGACTTTGGATTTTACCTTGACGATATGGGCATTTGAGGAGATTGATATACACCAGACACACATCCTGCCTACAGTTGGGACCGTGTGCAGATGATGAGACGTGTGGTTTCTGGACAGCTGTCGCTGTTTTCGATGAACTCCGGGAGCCCAGAGCGTGACTTGTCCGCAGAGAGCGCAAGATGGCGTTGCCGAATCTCGGATAATATCAAAGAGATGACGGGAATTGAGGTAGGCAAAGAAGAATAGTTGATGGGCTTTCGTAGACAACTGTCGCGACAAACAAAGACAGGCTTGTCCCCATAATATTGGACCACAGCCAACATCACCTTCGAGCCTCATGGTGTCCATCTCTCTTCTTCAAGCTCGAATGACTGACTCAAGACATGATGAAAAAAGGAATCCCCAGAGGAGAAGTGCTAAAAATCATGTCTCCTAGACCCCCGAGGGTGGTTGAACAGGCGGTCATCACGCTGTGCAAATGCGATGGACCTTCTATGGTGGACCGCCCTCATGACCGCAGCCACTCAAGGAAGGTATATATGAAGAGGAAAGAAATGAGGAGGAAGTTTGAAAGTCGTTAGCAGTATTCATACCCAGCGGGTGCGGCGCTAGTCATATTCCGGGCGGAGTGCTAGTGGCTTCTAAAAAGGGCAGGCACGTAACATGGACTGCCCAAGGCAGCGATTTGAGACGTACTGATGGCTACGAATCCTCTCCAAGCTCGAGTCGTTGACCCAACACTTGATGAAAAGGTGTAAGAACCCACAAAGGGTGTGCCAAAGAATACGCCCCAGAGACCCCCGAGGGTGCCTCAACAGAGTATACACACGCGCTGTGCAATGCGGTGATGCCCTGTGGCGAATCCGCCCTCATGACCGCGGCTCACCCGAGCAGGTGTGATATAGAGAGGAGAAGAAGAACGGAAGGGAAAGTTGATAGGTAGGTGATATTTATACCTGGGGATGGTCTGACGCTAGTCCGTTTCCAGATGAGTCCAGTCACAACTATAGAATGTGCTAGCAGTGACTGAGGTGTATGCAGGCATCTATAATATAGAATCGAGAGTTTCTACTTTTAACAGTCGATATTGGAGCTGACTTTCACGATTTTCTACTCCCCATTGGTCCTCTTAACGGGGAACAGCTTGGTCAGTAGTTTGATATAGAATTTTAACAATGCTTTAGACATTTGATCCGTAGTTATAGTACAAAACTGAATGAATTGAGCAAACACATGACGGATGAGTGTACAAGGACAGTGATCACTTCCGCATTCTCACCGTCTATACCACATCCTCGTAATCTTCGTCCTCTGCATCTTCTTCTGCAAAAGGAAAATCCCATACAGCAACGCCTCAGGCGTAGGCGGACAGCCAGGCACGTAAATGTCAACAGGAACAATTCGATCGACACCACGAACAACACTATAGCTATAATGGTAATAGCCACCACCATTCGCACAACTGCCCATACTAATTACCCACCGCGGCTCCGGCATCTGGTCATATAGCAACCGCAGCGCCGGAGCCATCTTGTTTACCACTGTTCCCGCCACGATCATCACGTCTGCTTGTCTGGGCGAGGCGCGGAAGATGATGCCGAGTCTGTCTTGGTCGTACCGGGGCATGGATGTATGCATCATTTCGACGCCGCAGCAGGCAAGACCGAAGGAGAGGGGCCAGAGGGAGCCTTGTCGGGACCAGTTGATAAGGTCGTCGGCTTTTGCGCTGCAGGCTGTTAGTGATACTGATGGGCTGGGAAGGAGGTTTCGTACAGGATGTATCCGGCTGCGCCATCTTTCTTGTTTTCAAACGTAGTGAGTGCAGATGTTGAGTGGTTTGGCGTGGAGGATGTGTTGAGGTATCGTGGTAGGAGCGTCCATTGTGCTCGGGTCAATCGAAGGATGCTGCGGGTGGCTGTAGTTGAGGGCATGGTCACCAATGATAATAAAGTCCTGAATGACACAAAGAGCGATGAGCAAAAAAGTATTTCAAGGCGTTTTGCAGTGTTAAGAGAAATATTGTCGATGGCAGCTTCCCAGCAGCGTCGAAACACCAATCATAGATGCAAATTAGCAGCTCAGCTAATCAGCGCGCTGGAAATTCGGCGACTTGGTGGGTCGCAATCCGCCACTTCGCCGATGCAACTTCGCCGAATTTCATCTATCAAAACTATCCTCGCTGTCTGCAAATGCCGCCCACAAAAGTCGCTTGTCGTGTTTGTCACGATCGACGCGTGAAATGTGATCGCCGGGACGGTGCTGCGTGTTCAAATTGTCGGAATGCTCAGGTGGAGTGTGAGGCGATTGTGTCTCGTCGCGGACGGTAGGACTGCAACAAAACTGTTTATAACGAAGCTGACATGAACTAGGAGACGAAAGCTTCCTCTTTTGCCTTCAGTATCTGTTTCGAACAGTAACTCGCTTCCAATTGCTTTTGAAGCCTCGTCACGCAGGGCAATAGCCCCGAATTTTCCGATCGACTCCGATGCCCAACACGATCGAAATACCCAACAGGAACCATGTTTCCCAACTCGCAGTCCCAGCGGCAAGACCCCCTACGTCGGTGACTCTTCGAATCTAAACTATCTAATCCAACAATTCGGAAACCCCTTCAAGGGCACGACAGACGCCCGTCCGCTCCAAGACCGTCTGCAGAGTGCAATGCTAACACGACTTGGACAGTCAACGGCACAGGAAATCAAGCAAATTAACACGTCAACAATGAACAGGCTCAAGGTGGATGGAGCATTTGACTTGCCCTCTCAAGAAACTAGCGCAGCTCTGCTAGACGCCTACTTCAACTATTCACTCGCAGCCATACCCATCCTCGACAAAGAGCGATTCCTCACATCGGTACAGGAAGGCTCGTTTTCACATCTTCTTCTGAATGCAGTCTACCTCGCTGCTACCTGCTACTGCTCAGACAACGTCATTGCAAATGCCGGGTTCGTGTCTCGCTACGCTGCGAGTCTTTCCTTCTATCGCAAGGCCAAGGCGTTATATGATGCGGGCTACGAGTCGGATGCCATCACGACGATCCAGGCGACGTTCTTTATATGCCATTGGTGGAGTGGGTTGCTCGAACACAAGGATCCGTGGTATTGGCTTGGGATCTCGGTGGGTATTGCGCTGGCTTTGGGTATGCATCAGGAGTGAGTTCTCCCGTTCTCGTAGGGAATGAAACGTTGGGCTGAAGTGTGCTAGGAGATCGTATTTGCGGCTGGATGAGCGAGATCGCAGGCTGTGGAGGCGAATTTGGTGGATGGTCTATGTGAGTCGATTCCTCGGCCCTTCGAGATGAATCCAGGTTTTAATGGCTGGCCAGGCGATGGATATTCACTTGTCCATGCTGCTTGATCGTCCTCCTCGAGTACAGGGGAGGCTATGCAATGTGCCGCCTCTGTCAGAGGCAGACGTTGAACGAGTCTCGGAATCGCAGTTGAAAACGTCTGCTGTGACTTCGATCGACGAGGATCTATTCATGATATATGCGGTGCAGCTAGCCAGTATAGGTATCAACCTCAACCTCTTTCTTCGGTTGATAACCTGTTAACTTCTCAAGTTGACCAATTCTTCACGATCAAATCCGACGAACACGGCCAATCGCAAGACATCTGTCTCGAGCAGATTTCGTTGTGGTCGTCCTCGCTTCCGCCAGAGTTCAAGTCATTGTCGACGAATAGCAGTACGTGGGCTATCCTGACGCAAATACTATACCAGTAGGCAGTCCCTTTTTACATCACCACGCCCCGTTCTGGTTCCTTATGCAACTGTCTCCAGGGAATATCGACTCGTGCTTCACCGTAGCAACCCTCGATTCTCGCAGGAAACAGGACCCGGTACACCGACCTTTGCAATCTGTACGGAGATTTCTCATATGCTGGAGATTATTATGGCCAATAACATGGTCTATGCGGCTGCTGCGAGCATGTACGCTCCTCTCTCTGCCTCACATCTTCCCGGACCCTTTCTGATGATGTCTCCTGACAGAATTGCCCCCACCCTGTCCGTCCTCGCAATCCACATCGTCAATATTCACCGAGGAGATGCCGGCGTCCGCATGATCTCCGAACACCGAGCCCGCTTCTGCATGGCTATTCTTGACAAGCTGCAGGATCGATTACCCGTCGTCGCTGCGTTCTACCCTATCTACGAAGCCCTTCTCAAGCAATTCTCCACTGCCGGTGATACGTGCGAGAATACTGATGCTTCTGATCAAAGGGAAACAGAGCAAACGGTGGAGGGTGGTTCTCTGAGGAATGATGAGCCGGGAGGTTCACTGAATACGGTTCCTGCAGATGGTTCGCTTGAACGCGTGTTGCAGGAAAATATGAATGGGACATTTCCATTTTCGTTCCCATTTGGAAATCTCTTTGAGGAGATCTTTCTTGGTTCGGATGAGCAGCTGTGGCAGGCTCGTGAAGATGATGCTCTGTAGCATTGCTTTGAATTGGGTGTCTTAGTCTCGCAAACTACGTCTTTACCGTTGTGTGTATCTTGGGTATAGCAGACTTCATTTGTTCTTTTCTGTGCCAGGAGGCTTCGGTGATTATTCCCTCTTGGTTCTTCGAAACTCTGGCCGCTAGGTCTCCCAGTAAGACTATTGTTTCACGACCATGTTGAATCTCCTTCACGAATACTGTGTAGATTTGTTATCCATTATAATAATGTAAACCATAGAATAAAGAAGTCAGATGAAAATATTATTATTTGACAAGGACTATTTCCTTCCTTTCTTTCTTCAGCTCTTAAGAGCTGGCTGTTGCTTTTTCGACTACAGTTTATCAAAGGCAGGCTCTAACCCCCCCCCACATCCTGGTGACATGAAATACCCTGTGTGGTGAAACGTCCACCAGGTAGCTGCACATTCGAGCACCATTACTCCCAATCCACATATTGAATATTATGTGAGAGCAGCAGAAACAATAATTATTTGATTTTTTATTCGACACTTTTTCAAACAAAGACTACAAACTGTTAAAGTGGTAAGTGGTGAATTACATGACGACAAGCACTACTAGTAAATCCGCTGTTCACTACTATGACACCGAGATTCACAAGACCTCGAGAATTAGTTCATCGTAGTCGTAACTCTAAGGATTATCATCTAATACCCGTTTTGCTGGGGAGATAGCGCGGCAATTGCGACCGGTGCGAATGCACAGAATTTGCCCCCTATCAGGAGAGGAACATCAAAAACCACGGCCCTCGCGTACCCGCCTTTATTTCTGGACGACATTGCGGGAGGGGCCGGTAAGATGCTTAATCACATTGAAAACAATGGCATGGAAGACCGATATGTCACCGGATATCCACTCCGTCCCCTAGTACGCACTCAACGCCAAACGGGGCGACGGCCAGGGGCCAGGGGATAGTTAAGGTGCTCGAGACGCTGACCAAAATCAACATCGACACAGGCCGCCTGAATGAGCGAATCGACACTATAGAACGACAACGAGCGCATTATCGACGACTTTATGCACACTCCCCCAAAGCGAATTCTGCGGCAGCGTGGCGCAACTTCTGAGCTAGAGAATGGCAGCGCGACCTGGCCAAGGCTGCGGCGCCCAACACGCGGGGCACCGGCACGTCGTCTCCAGGAGTACCGGAAATCGAACTACATGAGGACCGCGAGGTCATTGTCAAAGTCGGACCAAACCGTGAACAAATCCGTGGATTGACGCCAAAGGATCTGGTTGAACGGGCAGAACGACAAAGGGCGACAAATGCCCGGCAGAAGAATTCCGGAGTACTGGCTGGACAAGGCTCATTCGTCGGAGCCCGAAAATTGCCCTCGGGCGACGTGGCGATGGTGGCCAACAGTGCCGCAGGGGCAGAGGTCCTCCGCAAACATCCCGCGTGGTTGACAGTTTTTGGACCAGGCTCGGCGATCCAGGAGCCATTATAGGGAGTCGTGGCGTACCATATTTCTGTGAAGTCGATGGATATTACTTTGGAGACGATGGCTGACGTTGCAACTGAGCTGCTCAGGCAGAACAATTGGGGCGAAGACTCTAAGATCCAGTATCTCGGATGGCTGACACGTCCGCGTGAAAGGGCGGAGGGCTCCATTCTGATCGAGTCCACCAGCCCAGTCGTGGCTAATCCCGCTATCATCCCCGGGGTAGTGTGGGGTAAGCAAATCCATAATGCATCACAATTCTGCCGCGAGGGGCGGATGAAGCTACGCAGGAAATGCCAAAAGCCGGGGCATATCCAGTCACACCTTTCCAACGTCTTCAAATATGGCCACTGCGACGGCGGAGACCCGACCTAGGAGTGTCCGTCGACAAAGGGACAGGTGTTGATACCAGTCAAGTGCGCTAGTTGTGGCGAGGACTATCGTCCTGCAAGTCGAGAGCGTCTAGTGGAGATTGCGGCGATAAATAAAGCTAAACAAGCACTGGCCGACTTCCCTATATACCACCGTGTCCCACCATATTTTCGGATCACAGCAAGTACCGACACAGCAACAACCTCACTTAGCTCAAACCTCACCGCAGCGGACGGAATGGAAGGGTCGACACATGCCCCAGAGAGACAACGGGAAGAGGAATTCTCAAGGAACCGCCAGCGAACTGTGATCGACCTAGAGGCTGCACCAGCGGAAATAGAGACATCGCTAGAGGAGCCCACTAAACCCACCCAACCCAAAAGAGGCCCTGGCTACCCAAAAGGTTCAAGGACCAAGCAAAAAGCTTCCAAGACACCACTGATACCGCTGGCAGGCTAACGGTCAACAAGGTTCTAAGTGGCTTCGCAAAGAGCGACACATAATGAAGCCAATTCAAAAAGGCGCCGCACAGGTAAGCCGGGTGACGATATAGATGAGCAGCCAGATGACAATGATTGGTTCAGCATCCAGCTCACCCCAGCTGATTTCCCCCAAACCAACACTCAGAAGGATAGCCTTGAAGACCGACTTTCTCAATTCATCAGCGAACTCACCACCAGCTGTTGAAGCGTTATCTCGTAAAAGACAATAGCAAGATGGCGGGGTACTCACGTAAAAATAAAATGTCAAAAAATATGACTTGGGAGGCAGCAAATGCAACGGATCGGCCACTAAAACGAATCGGTCACTTAAGACACTGGTTGAGCGAGAGGTTCAAGGAGACAAGCGGGCTTCCTGAGCAAAAACGCCCTCCTCTCTGTAATTATCCTCTGAACAATGTAGAAAAGAAGCGCTTTTGACCTTGACTTGGCCAGCAACATTGGACTGAGCAGGGAACCCTGTTTAGGAGACGTGAATACCACGACCGAAGGCACGTCCAGTGCGGCACCATGTCCGTGGCCGCCGATTATTGGCTGCAGGTTGGCAAATCATCAGAGCCTGGTGACCACTACAGCATTAGCGTGACCCTGTTACAAGATGTCTGCGCTGAAGCCGCACTAACGTGACAAAGTACGAGCGGCTGCACGGCGAACCCAATTCATATTTCGAGAGGAAATCTTGGCAAGCACCAAATGGTCAGGGTCCAGCCTCTAAGTAGCGCCTGGTTTTCTCTGTGACCTTAAACGGAATAGGAACACGAACGTATACTACTTGATCCCTGCGATTACCCAGGATGATCCTTGTGACCACCAAAGCGAACTTCCCTGACCGCCATAACAACACGGACACCTACACGGAGCCCCATCCAACCAAAAGACGTCCGACAGGGCCAATCCACGATACTACATCCCTGCTTAGATATGTTTTTCTGGGATTGGGGGGGGGGGGTGAGGGAGGGGGTTGCCGCCGCCAAATGGTGAAGGCAGGAGGACACGAAAAACTGTAGGCAGCGAATGACTCGAATTGACTACCTCGATGTGTGGAAAGATAGGGGTGGCTCGGCCCCGAGGAGTCCATGACATGGCCACTCCAGAATGGATTTTTCCTGGGAACGACTTCTTGGCCACGTTATCGTGCTTGCAGAGTGCGGAATTGATCGGTTAGTATGACTCTCACCCTGTGAGAGCACAAGCAACCTTGCGCATTTGGCCCCAATAATCCCGACACTCTCTGGGAGTCTTGCTTTGTTGGCTTCAGGAACAGAAGTGGTTGCGGCCAGTATGAATCGTCGACCGCCTTTGAATGGCTCGCTGATATTTCGAGTTAAATACAGTTTCTTACGAGAATAATTTACATACCTGCCTCGTACGTGTAAGAATGAGTCGTATGGACAAGAACCTTCCATTCAAATGCACAGTTGAAACAAGAACAGTAGCCCGTCGATTTGCCAGAGAATCCACCTGCCGCTCAGATTTCACCCAAAGCACGAAAAGGAATCAAGGTGCGACGGGGAGGAACGCACGCTCACAAAGTTAGACTCTTGTGCCCCTTGAAACCAGGTGCCACGAAACAATCTGTGCGCCACTGGTCGCTCTCGTGCGTATCACAGCCCCAGTTTCTAGGGCTGGATGGAGCGATCGTCTACCAGATCCTTCCCCGTTCCAATGAGAAGATCTACGGGTGGGTATTGGCGCTCCTGGAGGTAGTGGAGGGGCGATCTGCGCTGGTATCCAGACAACTGAGAGGCCCACGCGCCTGGGCCGTCGCTCTCCTTTTTTTAAACGATTAATCGCACCACGTACTCACCACTGGCTGTTGGAGTTTCTTTTCCTATTTTTGGTCGGAATTGCACGGGATTGTTAATTACATTGTTCTAGCGTTCGGAGTCTGTTCCTCAGTTTCTACGATTCCACCGTCAAGATGCCGACCGATGAGGAAATCGCAGTCGTAAGTGCTACCTGAACGAATTGACTTATTCACGGTAAATTAACCAACCAGACTAGCCATGGTCGTACACATACAAATCTGTGCGTGTACGGTCATAACCAATGGAGACTTCAGATTCTTGGTGATTGGTTATGGTAAATTGGTCACAAGCTGTTCCGACAAAATTAGACTCGTCGACTCGCGGTGTTTGGGCCAAAATACTTGTGGGGCGCGACTGAACTATGACTCGGATCGTCAAATCATAATGAAACAATCCATTCCTTGTCCCACTTAAATTACCCCTCATCCCGCAATCCCACTTTCTTTCTCTTTCCTCCATCTACCTCCACTGTCAGCAGCTTCCTTGATAACCTCTCAGTATTCTGTCAACATGTCTTCCAACCAGGGATACAACATTACCAACTCTGGCACGAACAGCCAGGTATGTCACATCAAACCCTTAAGTTCTGCCTTGTTCCTCGTTTTTCATGATCTGCCACGAGTGCTCTTGCAGTACGCATAGGCTAGCATGGATAGGATCTTGCATGTTAGGTACTAGATATGGAATATTGGATATAGTACTGACTTAAGGATCAGGGTAACCACTACTGCTCCCGCGACTACGGCTCCAGCGCCTCGAATTCGAATAGCTACCATTACTCGAACTCGTAAGATGGACCTGCTCCCTTGGCTTGACTTTTCCTATATATGCATTGACCGTCGATCCTAGAAACGGCTCTTATTACTACTCTAACCCAAATGGGAGCACGTACTACAACAATGGACACGGGAGCTCGACCTATACTGCTCCCTCAGGCTCCGGGAAGAAATAAGTCCAGCTAAACTAAGGGAATTCGCTTGGTTGACGACTATAAGTGTAGCTATGAATATTGTAGTGGGGGATTGCCAGTCAACCTTGCGATTTCCAAAGAGGAGGTTCTGCCTTTGTGCCTGGCTACTGTGGCATCTTCGCCCGAGTGCAATCATGAGGTTCATCTCGACGATAGTACTAGACTTAGTTTCTGGACACACCCCGAGGAAATGAAGAGTTATTGAACACTTGCATGATATCTGCCATCAACCCATCGCAGCCATTACTACCGCAGGGTTACGAGTTCTGTTTGGTGGCTGGTTTCTCTTGCTCCCGTGGATAGGCCACTACAGCTGGCTGCCACTGCATTCCTCCCTCCTCAATATCTAAATTTCATTGATGATAATTACACTGTGCCTTATACTCGTAGAGCAGAGCCATGGTAACTGTAGCAAGTAAAATTTCTATTCTCCCCAGTAGACCTCGCCATATTGCTTTTTTGGGTATCCTACTGGTACCCGCGAACCTGCCAAGAACCCATCAGCCCGTATATTACGGAATAACAGTTGTAATACTACCTGTAACGCATATAATATGTGTAATATGGTATATATTACCTGTATTCAAATCTCTTGGCGGGTTTTGGGTCAAGGGTCGAAACCCAGCCCGCGATTTTGGCGAGGTCTACTCCCCAGTAAGCGTTCTATTCTCAGCATCATTCCCACTATTCCCTCGTCGCTGGGAGCCATGCCCTCATTCAGAGAGTAGCGCCCCGCTGGAAGAGATTGGCCATTAAGCTAGTGACGGCGTAGGAGCTAATACGCACGTTCCAGCTTGCCCAGGCCGTTGGAGTCGCCGGCTCAAGGGTGTGGGGTTAGGTCCCGGGATGGTCGATCAGCGGTCGGCTGACTGAGTTGGTGGCGAGTGATGCCGCCGTAGTCGAGTTGCCGTAGGCGATGGTGAGGATCAACGAGAACCAGGTGCATCAACGACCAGGAGAGATTGTTCCAGTGGGATTAGCGGCGGTCCAGGAGGTTGAGCTAAAGCTATGACAGACTACGAGTCTGAGGCAGGGTTTAGTATTCGCCGTATTCTATCGACCCCCATAGAATAGGGACCACTCAGAATAATTTATATACACTCCTGACTTGACTCTATCTATTGCTTAGGCTATCACAATGGGTGGATGGAGGACATGTTGATTTGATCTGTGACATGATCCAGGGGTAATAACAGCTCGTGGGGGGTCGACGCGTTCTGACGCGACCCACACTTTTTAGCGCCGCGAAATCCCCCTGACTCTTGCAGTTTAATTTTTGACTCCTGAACTGTTAACACTTCTGACCACTTCACACCATGCCACCCAAAAGAAAATCCGATGGCGCCGCGGCATCCACCACTAAAAAGGGCAAGAAAGCTAGTCCTGTGCCGGACGAGGACCTGTCGCTCTCACGACACCCGCGCTGGGCAAAGGTTTCTGCCTCCGGAAACTCGGACGCAGCGTACCGCGAATTACTGCGTGATCCTGAATACGCATACGCGTGGCTCACTGCGTGTAAGCAGCTATTAGAGAACGGCACTCTAGAAGGAGAGGATGACGAAGACGACGAGGATGAAGAGGGGGTTGGTATCGCTCACTTATGGCAACCGATCATGATGCTGATAGCGTGTTCACAGAAAAACGATCCACATTGTGACGGGGGCGCCACCTGCCCTTGTATGGACCCGGTCGCTGAGCATCCAGAAGCCAAGTATTGTATCTCCCGTGCTGGCATGCAGCGATTCAACATGGTCAGGGAAATGTTCCAATATCGAGACCCTGATACCTTCGGAATGTACACCTTCAACGATGCGTCCGCTTATGGGCTACTCGAGGTCATGGAAAATCAGATTTTGGACTTCGAGGAGGCACATAAGAACTGGAAGGCACAATGGGCTGTGTGCGAGGCCGTGGCTATGTACATTGGAGCCGACGAATTTCCTGCGCTGGGACAGTATGTATTTGTCTCCATAACCTCTCAAACTGGGTGCTAATCTATTCGATGAATACAGTGTCGACGATCCCGACACGCGAGAGAAGTTCCTAGGTCTCCTCGGGAAAATGTTCCTTACTATGCTCGACAAACTTGCGAGTATGGATCTCCTAAATACAGACTCAGAGGTCAAGGACCTGGCTGTAGTGATGACTATGTTTGTCCAGAATTCTCAGAAACTGGGCCAATATGGCCTTTATTTCCCTGAAGACTTTCCGATCAATGTCCTTGCCTATGCCCTCAAGCATGATATTGTTCTGTCGGAGCTGCTTGAAGTTGACAAATTTGTGAAGGATCACTCTGAAGAAGCAGCTGGTGTGAGCCTTCCTGCCTTGGATTCTAATCGCAATGACCCCTGGAAATTTGCAGATGCACTCAAACAATACCGCTCATCGAAACGCCCAAACAAGATGGGCGGGGATGCGTATGATATTACGACTTGGACTTCGGCTAAGCGCAAAGCGAACGCTTTTGATAAGAGGAATGATCCCTGTCCTAAGCACATGATCGACGCGCTCAAGAAGGGAATGTTTATTGGACTTGGTTAATTGAGATGGATTTATTCATCTGAATATCGAATTAATGGCATGATATAGTTGTACATCGGCTGACAAATTGATCGAAGTGTTTTCATCCGAATTTGAATTACCTTGATGTTGGTAGATCTACGATGGCTTACTCATATATGTCGTCAACCTCGGTTAATCCCAACGTATTTTGTCAGGTTAAGGAATTGAGGTACTGGCTAGTACTGAAAATGTCTAATAAAATCAGATGATTGATTGAAGGCGTTAAGATCGGTTAAGCGATCTCAGCGGTCCCTTTTGATTGAACCGTGGCTTGTTATGAAACCATACTAAGTATATTTCTAGTATCGGATAGGAGTAGGCCTCTGCACCCGACCGAAAAGTCTGCAACAAAGACCGCACCGGACTGCACCGCGCGGTCTTTGACCCTAGACCTTGAGACCGCTGGGCGGTCCTACCTTTTTAGGGACCGCACCACTGCGGTTTGGTGCGGTCCTGCGGACCTGCAAACAAGCAAAACATCTCAAAACCTGAGTCGTGCTTAATTTATGTAGAAGCCACCTGTATTTTTGAGTATTTTGTTTTCAACTTCTTTTTGTAGCACGCCAAAATGATGCTCCCGATCTTACGCTTCGATGCGGCGTGGCCGGCCACTCGTGTCACCACCTAAAGGTGAAGGTATAAATTGGCATTTGATGGTGCTTCAGCTTCGAATACCCCGGTTTTTATGTGCCAGCTAGTATCTCTGCTAGACCAATGTGTGAAGTGGCAAACGTACTACTTGCAGAGCCAGTTGATCGTACGCCGCAGTCGGTGGATCTTTATGAGGTCTTAGATAGGAGATGATGAAATAGCAGGTTTGAGAGCAGACGGATAATGTGTAGATCAGGAAACATAGCCAAAGTCTCCCATTCACGTACTTCTTCACCGGGCGCTCTACGTCTCGCATAGATTATCTCAATTTTAAATCTACAATTACCCAGCACCTAGCTCGCTTCGTGTACATACTACAGAATAGGCACAAACACTGCTACAGCAAATGGCACAGATCCAAGCTATTCAGGACGAAGAAAGAGAACGGCGCACCCTGCAAGAGGCCGCTCAAGAAGAACTTCAAGGCAATTTTGGACCACCAAGTCTCTCTTCTGGGGTTCCGTTTGTTCATGTTCTCTCAAAAAGGGTGAAAAGGTGGTCGTGTTCTTTAGTGCCATCTTTTCTGAACTTGCATAGATATAGGCACATTGATCCAATGGGGGGTAAAACATATACCATCCACTCGCAGTTTATCTTCCATCTGTATCTGCCATGCAGGCTATTCGCTGGTTGATCCTCCGAACATTCGTGGGTTCGGTAGGGTCGCCCTTGGTCGACTAGCAACGACCGGTTCGCTATTTCTTCTAGTTTTGCTATTTCCGTTTTCTCGATGTCAGGACCGGCGGTGTTGGTCGTCTCAGGTTCGGTTCGTGGGTGTTCCGACATCGATTCGCTAGGCGTACGCGCTTGAGCTTGTAGCGCCTCGTCTATCTGACTGAAACGTTGATTAGCGCTAACCATCATCGCTGACATCATGGCTTCGATATTTGCCATGGTATTATTCGCTGATTGAGCCACAGGGGCTCCGCTCGATTGTTCGTTCGACATCATTTCGGTGTCGTCTCGTTGGGGGTTTTTCGCTGATACTCTATGGGTAAGAGGAAGCTTCAGATATGTGAAGGGCAACGGCCGAATTGATGTAATTAAGCGATGCAAACTTGCTGTTTATCTGAAGCTCAATGAAAGAAAACACAAGGGGCATCTAGCGGTGAACTGGATAACCCAGAAGCTTTGCCATATCCTGGGCTTCAGCCCGTTATAGGTGGGAACAGAATGAGAGACGCTAGATAACGACCTCAGTGGACCTCCAGTGGAGAGAAGATAATCTGTTCATAGCCCTTGGTGACACCTTTTCTACCGGCTATGAACAGATTTCAAGGGAGTTGTGTCTCATGACGTATATCCCCAGTACGAGGCCTGTTCGGATCCAAAGAGTACTCACCGAGTCCGTGGCAGCGTTCCTAGTGGCATCATGGCTTTCTTTAAATTTTTTTCTTTTTTTCTTTTTTTCTTTTTTTCTTTTTTTTTTGGATATATTAAGGAGAACTGACTATTGCAACCTCGTTTGCTGTCCAATTACAGTAACATATTTTGTACCGCCCATTCCAAAGCATCTATCAGTAACAGCAGACATCATTGCTGAACACCACCCTGGTCATTATCATTTGCATCGTCGTGATCATAACCATCCTCGTCCTCATTCGAGTCACTCTGTTCCCCTTGATTCTCGGTCATACTATTCGCTGCCAAATGCCTAAGAGCCTCCACAAAAGTCGGCCCCAACAACCGTTCAAGATAGTCCAGCTCCCCTTCAGGCCCAGGTGAAGAAGAGCTGACCGCATATTTTGCATGGTATTCCTCCCATTCATCTGAGACCCTGAAGTCCAACGTCACCGATCGCTCCAATCCGCGAACACCCTGATGAGAAACTAGCATCCAGCGATCAGGCTCGACAGTAATAATATTCCAGGACCTAGCCCACAACGAGTAGTTGTTCTGGAATGCATTCTCCGGCTCTTCACGATCCCAATTCTGAAAAGACGGCTGATAGAATTCTGATCTGAATTCCTTCTGCAATTTCGGAAGATCTTTCCTGAGCACAAATTGTCTGCAATAGACAATGATCCTCTTCAACGCCTTTTGTTGCCTAATAGTAGCCAACAGGACCTTTGCAAACGCTGCAAGTGTTATTTCGGTGAAAGAATCCGCGCCCCCTACAGCATCTTCTCGAGGTTTCAATGTTTTCCACATATCATAACTCCCGGTTGGCCGAAGGACCAGTTCCTCGAGGTTGCGAAGCCCAAGCTTGACGAAATCAAAATCAGGAATGGCAAACAGCCAAGTATGTTCCCCTCGACACATCTCATCCACGTAGGAGCAGATAGTGACTGATTTGATGGCCTGGAGTAGATCAGGCTTCAGTTTGGAGCAGCATTCCGCGAAATTCAAGTCTCCCCCGAAATCCAGAGGATACGAAACGCATGAGAATGCCAAAAATTGTGCTTCCTTGTAGATCTGGCGACATGTATGGAGTGGTCTAAGAAGATCTGAGGGGAGCGATCCATAGTGGCTTGGATGATCATCTTCGGTTGGAGTAAAAGCATTACGGTAAATGCGCAAACGAATCTCTGGGGGAAGAGCCAGAAGAGGGCTGGCAAATGGGGTTTGTTGGGTTTGGTCTGTCATGTTGCTTGAAATGGTTGTTGGCTCGGATTTCACTTTTCATGGGGCCGCCCACGGCTCTCGGTAGGTAACTACCCCTCAGTTACAGGCACATTCGTCTCAACTCCTCCTCACGGTTGCGGAACTACGTATGTCCGTGGTGCTAAGAATAGCAACCAACCCAACCAGACGATGGGCTTGTCTTGATGACGCCATAAAATATTTTCGAATTCGATATAGGCCCTATAAAGACCTTTGAAATCGAATGCGAATAAAGAAAATCCATATTCGATCCCACCCCTATATTTGCTTAGATACATTGCCTAGTTATGATGCACACCATTCAGTGGTGTCTCGACATTACGAGAACAGGGGAACCCAAAGGGTCGGCGGAAGAATGGACCAACCCGATCCGTGTGGGGGGAGGGTCCGAGCGGGCGACGCGCAATAGGGCATCCTACAAGCCCGCATCAGGTCCGGAAGGCAAAGGTAAGAGAGGTATGATAACACGCGACAGCGCATAGGCAAAAGGTGGGGCGGTTGAGGGGTGGGTGATTCCAAAGGAGCTGGGATCTCGAGATTGACATGTAGTGGCAGTATCGTTCTACTATTCCCTATTGTCAATTGGGACGAGCCCCTGATCCCAATTCTCTACATCCTGATTCGCCGATGGTGCGCACCTCGTGGTGCGTCGCTCTGCAGCACGTTCGTATCCTATTATTGCCTCGAGCATCCTGGTAGGAACACCGGCAGAAGTATGGACAGGTCAAGTATATAATTGCTTTTTAGAGGGTCGCTATCACTCACTGGACGCGCCGCGTACACGTCCTAATACCTCATAGCGATGTTCAGGGGCTCAATATTCAAATCACTCGAGCCCCCGCCTCCCTAGTATCTATCCTATTCCTCGACTTCCCTTTGACCGTCTACCGACGCGCCACTATAGAGCTTTTTATCTTTAATACGACCCATCGTGTAACGGATCAGATCCTGATCTATTGCCCAGGCCAAGCCTGTACGATGTGATCTATCAACTCCCTAGGATTTAGTCACCGCTGGTTCTCCCGCCCCCTATTTCTAAACTTTCCCAAGCTTGAGATAACCTGCATGTTGGCACCGTTCAATTGAACCAATTCGGCCGTAGCCCTTCACACTGTGGATGAGCGAAGGATACGCAAAATGCTATAGATACAGGTCGGGGTTGTGAAGACTCTACATTTCCCGTGTTGATTTAGGAAGTCTAAAGAATTTTGAGACTAGTCAGTGTTTCGGGATGTTCACATCTAGACAGATCTACACATGCTTCTAGTGCCAGTCAATTCATCGCTTCTGCCTCTTTATATTTCCCTTGGCCTTCGAGCGCTCCCCTAAGGTGACTGACAGTGTTGAGCGTGGAGGGATGGTCGTGTCCAAGCAACTTCCCTCGTGCTTCCAACGCCCGTCAATGCATCGTTTCCGCCTCTTCATATTTCCCTTGGCTGGCGAGCACTAAGCAAGGTTATCGACACTGGTGAGCGTGTCAGGATGCTCGCGTCCAAGCACCTCTTTATATCCTTCTAGTGCCCGTCGATGCATCGCTTCTGCCTCTTCATATTTCCCTTGGCTGTCAAGCACCAAGCCAAGATTACTGACACTGGCGAGCGTGGAGGGATGATCTGGACCGAGGGTCTTCTCATAGCCTGCTAGTGCTCGTTGGTACATCTCCTCTGCCTTCTCCAGCTTCCCCTGATCGTAGTAGAGAAGACAGAGCTTGTTGACTGTATCAAGAGTGAACTGAATATCAAGAGCTCCGCTCTTGGTGTGGACACCAGCCCCTCAATCTAGTAGAATATGCACCAATTTTTCATGGTCTCGATGTGACGCTGCCTGGAGTGCATTGCCATAGAACCCACCCTCCGTTTCATCACGACAACGATAATAATGCGGCCGCATCTATCAATTTACATCGTAGCAACGATCGCAAGACACTTGATCAATGTCTGATGACGACTAAAATCAGGCTGCTCACTCTCATAATCCACGTCCGAGAAATAGACATGACCAGATTCACCCCACCATCAAGCCGTCGTAGAAGTAAATTTCAGGAAGGTCAATCAGACGAGCCTTGGGGATGAGGACGCGCCATGCTGTATTTCCAGTCAAGCGAAGCATATGGTCGGGAAAGAGATGTTTTCTCACGACCTATACAGCTCAAAAATGTTAGTCAATCAAGCAGACGGAGAACATGGGAAGGCTTGCTCCGACGCCCAGAATGAATCCCATCAGCCCCAACCACTAGGTCTGCAGTCACTTCCGTTTGGTCTTGGAATAACAATCGTACCCCGGAGCCCCCCCCCCCCCCCCCCCCAGGTCTTCCAGGTATACAAGCTTTTCGTTGAATCGGATAATTCCCTCGGGTACCTTTGCCAGAAGTGCCGACTACAATCGAGTCCTACGGGCACGGATAGGCCCGCGATTCTCGACATCCGATTTTTCGGGGCGCTCAATCACACTGAACACTTTACCGGTGTATGCATTTCTGAAATAGTTAGTATAAATTGTCAAAACATTGATGCTGAGAGTTTGTCAATGTAGATACGCGCTCACCGTTGATGAGTGTTAGACTGAAAACCTTTAACGCCCTGGCTTGCACCCAGCAGATCCAAAACCTTCCACGCATTGGCACCGAGACTTATACCAGCGGCAGCTTCGCGAGGTTCGGAATTATTTTCGTAAAGCGTCACCTGGAGAAATGGTAATTGGGCGAGGGCTATTGCGGTTCCCAATCCGCCGGCACCGCCGCCAATTATAGCCACGGAGATGAAAGGCTGCTCGGCCATGCCTGCTTCGGATCCGAAATATCAGATTAAGATGATTGTTTCTTTTGACAAGTGGCCCCTCATAATTCGCTCGTCTCGTTTATGTAGAAGTCCGAGCCGAGACGTCAGTCGATGTCTAAATGGTCACATGGCACGTCATTCAGAGCCTGCATGTCTCATGAGCTAGTCGGTTCTTCTTCGGACTTTGGGTACTCATTGGTGATAAATATCCGATGAATGTTGAGCTTGCGGTATGCTGCACGTTTCTTGTGCCCCTATGTACACTGTACCCGTATTTGGATACTTTGTCTTCTTCCTATTATTGATATCACGATGCATAGTATAAAGGAGACATCAATGGCGGTGAATAATATTTGAGTACGATTCGGCGCAACTAGAAAAATCATGGGACGAGCCTCAGCTACGGAAAATATCGGATGATTGAATTTCAGATTAGAAAGGTACCATCGGCCTCAGTGAACACGCGCTCTTGCTCTCATTATACCACCCAACCAGAGTCTTGCTAATAATATACCCAGCACTTCGTAAATACCATGACGTTAAGGTGCTCCAAAGGCCTGATGAATATTGATGGTGAATATTGATGCCTTATGTGCACTAGCCTCTCCCGGCCCTTTATTCCTCGTAGCAGTCAGGTACTATACTCTGTTGTTCAGAAAGTTCTGGACCAGGTGCTAGCCGAATCTTTGAACTAGGTCACTCATAACATCAATTACCCTATTGAGTCCATTAGTGTGGGGCATTAAGTCTGTTGAAGGAAAGCTCACTGAGTGCGAAGTGTTTCATTATCGACAAAAAGCGCTGATACATGGGTGTCGAATCTCCTGACACTATATTAGATTCGTAGCTCTGAAAGAGAGAAAAGGTGGAGAGCAACTCACAATCGATAAAGATCCAGACGGCCTTCGAAATCCTCTTCGGGGGGTGATATTTGAGCGAATTTGCTGTAGGCTGCAATATATTCATCTCCAAACCTATTACAGGCTGGCCGCCACTGGCCAAACTCATCTTTGAGCCGGAGATGATTACTATGAGTATCTGAGGGACTTTGAACAGATCACTTACATTCATTGTGGGCAAAGAAACAGCATGCGTCGAAGACAAGTGGCTGATCACTGTCAACATCAATACCTGCATTTGCGTACCACAGGTCTCCGTGTATAAGCGAGGGCTTCACGACACGACCTTCACTCTCAAGTGGTCTCAGGAGCCTCGGGATGACTCGTTCAAAAAGAGCATGTGAGAGAACATCAAGCTCCTCACTTGGCCCTTTCCTCTGGATCTCCAAATCAAGAGCCTGTTTCATAGTCTTGGCAAAGAAGGTCTCCCAGCTATTTTCCCATTCAACGAATTGGGGTAGGTTCCCTGCGTATGTTGTGATGTGGAAACCGAATTTACCAGTGGGCGATACGCTTTTCTGATGCAGTTTTGACAGAAGAGTGCCGAACCTGTCAGGATCAGGCATATCGTCAATCATGTCATGAAACTCGCAAAGGAAAAAATAGGTGTCTGGAATTGTGCTGTAGGTGCCGCACGCGATGGGCTTTGGAACGAATTCCGGAATGGTGTCGTGCATCGCACTTATAGAGTAAAATTCACCCAAGGTCATATTCATACCCAGCTCGTGCGAGACAACTTTGATGAAAAATGACTGTGGAGTGCCATCGTGGAGCGAAACATCGATGCGACCCGTCTTCGCCCAAAAGCTTACGCCATGATTCTCAGTGGATATTATCGTGCATCCTTCAGGAAGTTCTTGACAGACAGTCAGTATGAGATGGCTTTCAAGATCGCGAAGGTGCTGTAGCTTACCCTTCAGCACAGCTGGGTCGACTTTAGTATTGCCCGACCCGAATTCAAGACCATCTGCACCACTGTAATTCATTTTCAGGAGCAAGAATTGTGGACAAGCGGTTCAGATTCTCACTGCATGAAAGACTCTCAGTGGAAGAGAGGCTGGTTTATAGGGGGTATGTCTGGCAAGTCCCCACCATAATGAGGGGCCGAAAGCGAAGGAGCCCCCGTTCCGACGGCTGAATTCCTGCAATTTCGCTTGCCGCCGAGCTGGCCTCGGCAGAGTATAGCTACGACTGGGATCGTCAGTGAGTTTAATCGATAATTTTTTTATCATTGCTTTTTTCTTTATTCCTATTTGAGGAATCTCCGACGATAACTCAGGGCGAATACGCAAGGCGAGCCTCACTTTTCACACTGTTCCAGTTCCACCCAGGTGATCAGTGATCAAGGGTCGTGGCCCCAGCGCTTAGCTTGCACGGGCGCTTCTATCGTAACATCTAGGATAGGCTCCTCAACATAGCAATGGTGATGCGTGATTGTGCTTGAATTTTTGATTGTCAAAACCTGAATTGATTGGCGATCCGCCATCTCCTGCTTGCATGGTGTGTGATCTAAGTCGGGCTAATGCGGAACACACTCTTTGGGCGCTTCCAGATCCCGGTACATTCAAATGGAGAACAATCCTGACGGGAGCCACGTATGTGACATTCATGGAACAGACAAGACCCATAGATTGATTCATACCGAGACATCCACGCGTGCAACAAGGGCCAGTGTAAAATAGAGCCGCGAATTTGGGCGGGCCGCCCGGGTATTGCCGCAACCCCTCCAAAGGTTCTTTTGCTTAATCCAAACTGAACTGTTCAGTGCCCAGCCATCGAGATCTTGGTAATCTTATCTTGCCAATGTGGAACAGGATAAACAATCTCGACTCCATTTGCCTTTAGCCTTTCCTGTCCGTTATTATGCGCAATAAATGTTCCGGGCTCTCTAATGCCAACGTAAACAGTCTTGATGGCGCTTTTGAGCCTCAGAATCCTAGTCGCACAAGTCATGTTTCCACTGAGTCTCTCATCGCATGGTTCCATGGTCGTGTAAAGGACTGTGCTGGGTGGCAGAACCTCATGGATACGTTCTTCCGGAATGTTGTGCTGATCAGCGATCTTGATAAAACAACACTGCTCTGCGTGCGTGGTGCCAGGATCTCCCTTGTAATCACGCGGGTATTCAAGGGAATACCCTGTTGAGAGGACCTTGCCGGTAGCGGCGTCAGCGAGTACGGCTCCAACGCAGAACTTGTTGCCAGCTGGCGGTGACTTTTGGGCCTGAACGAGCGCGAAGTCCATGAAAGCTTCGTGGTCCCCAATCTCGAAGGTTGGATTCTCTAGGGATTCCATCGCAAATTGTTCCTGAAGCGATCCCGGACCGGAAATTTTTTTGTTGTGGGCGAGACCAGGTTGGATACGTTCGGACTTTGCGAAAGGGGCGCGTGTCGCAGGAAAGGGAGAGAGTATTGAAGTCTTGGGGGCTGCAGCGTGAGGGGGCCGGCATGCCGCTCTTTTTCCCCATCCCGCGGGGGCGGCGACGGCGCCTCGAGAAAGAAGCTGATTGGTGACTTGAAAGAGGAGATAGTGCTTGCCACGTAATAGGTGCTTTTGTCATGGGGATTAGGGCTCACAAGAGCTTCTCGCCGAAACAACCTCGAATATATCCTTGTGTTATTATCCTTTGAAGTAACAGAACGTGGTACCGGCGTAACCTTGGAAAGGTCCGAGTGGCCAAGAGCCCGCGCCCCACACCGGCACGTATATGGACCAACAGAATGGTGAATCCTCACCTGCTTATCCTCTTAGTTCACCTCAGTCCGGTCGCTGACAACACCAGTTCTCGCGAAAACAGCGGCGCACGAAGCCTGACCAAAATATCAACCCTCCGTCAAGCAGCCGCGACTCAGCCAAGAGCTCAAGGAGTCTGTTCTCTCTGTCCAAAGCTCTTCCCACGTCGTCAACTACCCCGGCCGATCGAGCGGAGGATGCGAAGGGCCCTCTGGGACTGAACTTGCTACACTCACCGTCGAGTCCAGAGATTGACTTTATATTTGTTCATGGTTTAGGCGGAAGCTCTCGAAAAACATGGAGCAAGTCATCCTTGGAAACTCATTTCTGGCCAAAGGAGTGGCTCCCCAACGATCCGGCCTTCGAACGTGTCCGCATCCATAGCTATGGATATGATTCACATTACTTGAAGGGGAAGGAAGATTGCCTGAACGTCCATCATATTGGCAAGTCCTTCCTGGGTGCCATCAGCACTTCACCGTACATCCTCAACTCAAAAACCTCTATTGTTGTCATCGGTCACAGTATGGGTGGCTTAGTGATGAAAAAGGCGTACATTTTGGCCAAGCAAGAGGCAGTGCACAAGGACCTGGCTGATCGCTTTCTTTCTTTCTTTTTTCTGGCGACGCCCCATCGAGGCTCCAGGTCGGCCAAGATGCTCAAAAGCCTCCTAAAGGTTGCTTACGACCGCGCTTATGTGGGCAACCTGGAGCCAAATTCTGAAGCTGTTCAAGTAATCAATGATGAGTTTCGACATGTCTCCGCTGGTCTTGAACTTTGGTCATTTTACGAAACGCAGAACATGAAACTATTCAGCTCGCTCATCGTCGATCCCGAATCTGCTGTCCTCGGGTACCGCGAAGAAAAGCAAATACCAATGACGGCCGACCACCGCTCGATCTGCAAATTCGAAACACCTGAAGATCCCAACTACGCCATTTTACGAAACGCACTCATCTCGACAGTGGGAAAAATCACCGCGGATGTCCCTGAGGAGAAGCAGAAGCAGACTCGTGAGAGAAAGAGAGACTTGAAAAAATTTCTGGGAGTTCCCGACATCTTAGATGATGACCTTGCAAGCGTCTCCGAGGCCCGTATGAAAGGGTCATGCAAGTGGATATCGACCAAAGCCAGTTACATCAAGTGGAGAGACGGGCAATGCGGGGATGACAGAACTCTGTGGATCAAGGGCAAGCCGGCAACAGGAAAATCCGTTCTTGCTGGCTATGTGGTGGATCAACTCAAAGAGTCAGGTCATGCATACAGCTACTTTTTCTTCAAACATGGGGACAAATCGAAGTCTAGCCTTGATCGCTGTTTGCGATCATTGGCTTTCCAGATGGCTATTGCACATCTTGAAGTTTGCGATGCATTTCTAGCGATGCAAGCGGACGGTGTATCTCTGGATCGCGTTGATGAACGTACACTTTGGAGGATCCTTTTCATTCAAGGAATCTTTCAGACCACCATGCCCCGGCACTTCTGGGTCTTCGATGCCTTGGACGAATGTTCTAACTACGTTGACATTTTCCCTGTCATGCTTCTCAGCATGAGCGAATCTATACCTGTGAGAATCCTCTTCACAAGCCGGGATACTGTCCATTTTGATCAGGATTTTCCTACTTCTTCATCATTTCCGATTCATTCGTTGAATATTTCAATGGCAGATACGGAGTCGGACCTCAGTCTTCTGGTTGCAAGAAAAACACAGAGCTTGGCGGTGGTTGGCCCGGATGATCGAGCTGCTTTAGCCGAAAAGATTCTCGAAAAGTCAAGGGGGTCTTTCCTGTGGACAATTTTGGTACTCAAGGAACTTCTCCGGTGCCATAGCAAGAAAGCAATTGATCAAGTCCTGGAAGATGTACCAAGAGGCATGGAGCCCCTGTACAGCCGAATTCTAGACTCCATGTCACAGGCAACTAATGGGAAGAGGTTGGCGAAGACGATTCTCATGTGGGTGGTATGCGCAATCCGGCCAATGACAATAAGCGAGCTGGATGGTGCCTTGACTCTAGACATCGACGATTCGTTTCCAAGGTTGGAAGAAAGCGTCTCCGCTCTCTGTGGACAATTGGTGGTCATAGACAAATATGGGAATGTGAAAATGGTACACGAGACTGCTAGAGAGTTTCTCCTAGCTGGTGAATCTGAATCTGAGTTCTGTATCAACTTAATTGAGGCACACACTCGGATGGCGCAGGTATGCCTCAATTATCTTTGTGGGGACGAAATGAGGCCTCCCAGGAACAATCGACGCGGCTATTCAGCAGCCCTACCGACAAAAAGGCAGGATTTTGCTATCTATGCCTGCACATCGTTTTCGTATCATCTTTCAAGGGCCGATTCATCCGCAGGAGACACGTTCCGACTCGTCAAGCATTTCTTGAAGTCCAATATCCTCACTTGGATTGAAATAATTGCAGATTCTCAGGATCTCAACCACCTCACCCGCGCTTCAAAGCGTCTCAAAACATACGTCAATGCCTGCGCTGCCGAGCGGTCACCCTTAGACCCCAGCATACGAGCACTACGACAATGGACTACGGATCTTGCTAGGATTCCCGCGATGTTCGCCAATGCCCTCATGTTATCTCCGTCGACGATATACTCCTGCATACCTCCATTCTGCCCCACGGAATCTATGATACACAAAGCTGGGGCCTCAAGTCGAAGAATAGGAGTATATGGTACGCTGAACAAGGACTGGGATGACAGGCTGATGTGCATAGACTTCCGTCAGAGTCAGCCAAAGGCTTTGCGTTATGGGGACGATTTCCTGGCTGTTGGCCTTAGCTCAGGAAACGTCACATTGTACCACGCCACATCCTATCAGGAGTACAAGGTCTTAAATCACGGTGAAGCAGTACACTTCGTTGCTTTCAAACCAAAAACCGATTTTGTAGCAACCTGTGGGATGAAGGTGTTAAAGGTGTGGGATGTTCAAAGTGGCCAAGTGGTACATCAATTCACGAGCCCTCCGCGCCCGCTGGGAATGGAATTTGACGGAGATACCCTTTCGGTTGCGAGCCGCAACAACTACTTAATGACCTGGAATCTCGGATCTCACAACAGCTTAGAGCCGATGCAAAGGCCGTGGAGCGATAGTGATATGCCAGAGGTAACAAAACCGTCCACAGGCGGAACTCCGTGTGCATTAGCTCTCTCATCAAGTCACAAAATGCTTGCTGTTGCTTACAGTGGCAAATCCATCACCTTATGGGATATGGAAGACGATATCTATGTTGGTAGCTGCGGCAAGAAGCTTTCCAGCGGAGAGACTAGCACGCATATTGTGGTCTCGATTGTTTTCAACCCCAATCCTGACATCAGGCTTTTGGCAGTCACATACCTTGACGGAGACCTTGCTCTCCTCGACCCGTTTTTGGATCAGCAGCTGGAATGCTTCCGTGCCAATAGCCAAGCCCTAGCCGCAAGTCCAAATGGACGTTTCCTCGCAGCAGGTGGTGCGAATGGAATTGTCAACGTCTACGAATTTGATACCTTGAACCTCCTTTACCGTGTCAAGTCTTCAAACTCTTTCATCAAACAGCTTGCCTTTTCCAAAGACAGCATGCTTCTCGCTGATATACGAGGCTCTCAATGCACAGTCTGGGAGCCCGAGGCCCTGCTACGAGAGTCTCTGGGAGATGACAGCAGTGGAAACACCTTTACTTCAGTGGTCGAGACCGTTTCTGTGGAGGCCAAAGCAAGCATCACTGCTATCGTGGCTCACCACACGTCCGAAGTTATCGTTTGCGGAAAGAGTGATGGATCTGTCGCACTGTACAAGCAAGAAACGGGGGCAAATTTAGGGACTCTCTACAGACATAAGTCACCGATCCGTCTGTTAGCATGGGTTCCAGACCGAGACGCCCTTCTGAGCGTCGATGCTTCCAATGGAATCTCTCTGTACAGGGTTCAGAAGTCAACAGAAAAGGGTTGGCTCAGCGACTCGATTCAAATCTTCAAGTCACGCCTCGACTCCAATGAGGCCATCATAGATGTGTTAGTGGGTGAGAAATCAGGCAGATTTTTGGTATCTACTCGTGAGTCCGATCATATATTCAGCTTGAACAGCGGTAAATATGAGAGAGAGCGGAAACACACTCAGACACCAGGGATCCGCAAGTGGCTCCCTCATCCGCGGTCACCCTTGCAACTGGTCTGTGTCGATGGTATCGAAGCTTGCACATACTGCTGGGATGACTTGTCTCGAGTCTCATCTATTTCATTGCCGCTTGAAAACACGGTAGAGCTCAAAGACGCAGCCATCTTCTCGATTGGCAAGAAGCACAGGATTGTGGTTGAATTGATGTGTCCGAATAACTCTGTCAACACAAACAGGGTCTCAATAATCGACGCGAACTTTCTTGCACCTGAAAGCAAGGAGGTTCCTCCCTCGCAAGGAAGAAATGATTCTGTAATGGCATTAAATCAATCCTCCTCAGATGGAAATGATAGTGACAGGGGCATGGTGTCGATTCCAGCAACTGCACTCCATCCACATACAATTCCGTTGCAACTTCGTATTGCCCATGTCATCGGAGTCCACGAATCTGGGAGGCTTGTTTTTTTGAATCGATCCTTCTGGGTATGCTCTATTGACCTCAGCAATAGTCCGTCAGAGGATTCACATCACGAAGGCTCCGCAGCTGTTGAGGTCACAGAGCATTTTTTCGTTCCTTATGACTGGTTTGCCGGAAAGAAAGACATTGTCTGTGCTCTGGTAAAGAGAGATATCATGTTAACTCGGGGTGGAGATCTCGCTGTGATCAGAGGCGGACTTGACTATGCCGAGAGACTGCATGTAGAATAACAGGTCAGAATTGTATCTTTAGTGACCCATAAAATAATTTATTTGATTCCCATAACCTTTTCTTTCGTCGGTGCTCTTGGGTGAACATAAATCAAGGGCCTCCTAGCTATGCCATCAACAGACAACCACAGTCAATATTAACTGGTGACAGGGCTACTGATGTGGAATGAATGCAGAGCGGTGACCACTTTCACGGACCGAGTTGAAAACCTGTGACCATTTGGAGTCACGATTTGAGACACTTCTTTGGAAAATAGCATATTACGTGATCTTTCGCCAAATCTGGCACTGAAAAGAATCCGGGTTCGATATAGCGCAATGGTCCAAGGTTCACGGCAAACGTCTTTGTTCTATGGCAAGATTGCAGATATACTGACTTGGCGTCATGAGAATAGTTGAATTCTTCTTTAATTCCAAAAAACAGCATGAATCGCAACTAAAGCCTTTTGAAGATATGCAAATTGCGCTCTCTTTTTGACGTACTGTGCAAGTGGCGGGACTCACCTCTCTGATACTAACTTTTGTCTTATGTCGAGGCTTCTCGAAATTTATACGGCGACCTTTCCACTCAGACTTTGCCAAGGCCTTGAGATCTCCAAGAAATCAAGACTTAATATTTGATTGGCCATGAGAGCATTAACATCCATGCATCGGAAGGCCAACGGAGTCTAAAAAAAAGGGTATAATCTTTCCTCACAGAGAAAATATCCTTCACACCAAATATGGGTTGAAGGAATTGAGCCTCATGACTTTCACCTGTAACTGTGAGCTTGTATTTCTCTTCTAGTGGCCCCTTGATCAGCGACTATGTTTGTCAAGTAATAAATGCTGTCTCCTGCTCCCGAAGAACCTTCCCTTCTTGTCCTTCCTTTTCATATCTCTGTGGTCGTGAATAATCAGTCATGCCACTACAGGAATTTTTCCAGATCGCGCAGGATAAAGCAGCTCGTCCGTGGTCCTATAATTCTAGACAGGCATCCCCACCCGCTACCTCGCTCTATGTTTCTATCATTTCATCAAATACTGGATCGAAGCCTCGAGATAGACGCGACAACATGGAATCTGTGCAGAATCCGTTCAAACTGCCCGGGGCCGTCAGAAGCCGCGCCTGCCATGTTTACGTGCCTTGGTGTGTCCTACCTGCCCAAATCGGGACTAGCGCCGCACCACCGCCAGCATAAATATTGCCTGCCACTTCCATTCTTCCTCCTCTTTTCTTCCATCTTCACACTCCTAGCTTCGGCAAAACCCAAACTCGTCCGAGTATGTTGCGATCACAAAGGCAAAAGGCAACACACCACAGTCGCCTGCGTTGCAGTTGATGACTGTTCAGCTTCCCTCGGGAGCTGAGAGGCATTTTCTTTGACTTCTTCCCCTCTGGGGATTCTTGACCAGCTTCGGCAAAACCGTAACTTGCTCGGGTGTCTGCGATCACGATGGCAGCAAACCACGTCATGCTGCATTGCACAGCGCAGATGATATCCTGCATTGCGCGCTGCAGTTAATACCTGTCCAGCTACCTTCGGGAGCTGGGGGGGCTTTTTCTCTGACATTCCCTTCGTGGGATCTTTATTTTTTTTCCTTCATCATGCCTTGGGTCAGTGACTCGGGTATGGAGAAGAGAGGAGTCGAGTAGTGAGTAGGTAGAGTGGCACATGGCGTCGCGAGTACCTTGAACGTTGTCTACTTGAGGCTTTCGGCCCTCTCTGCTTAACGCTTCATGACTCTGCCGACCTCGGATCGATTGTCACGGTCACTAATTAAGCTGACCGGTGATTTGGTCTCCGTGAACTCATCAATGATACTGTCCACTGGGCATTAAATAGGATACGCGACCTCCATAGCGAATACGCGCCTTACCTTCACGAACTCATAACATTAGGCCCAAGCCTTTCTTCTACCTCGGCTCCTCGAGTCAGTCACATTTTTCTACTTCGCGTTCGGCGCCGATCATCCACTGCTGTGTACGCCAATCAGTGTTTACAACCCGGATCGCCAGGTTACGGCAGCCTCAAGCCACCACACCCACCAATCCACGAGTTCTACCTCCTCGATCGTTCCCAATCCCAATCCCAATTCCATGCTCCACACTATCAAACTCTATGACTCCATCACTGGCCCAATGTTAATGTAAGGCAGATGCAATCCCGCGGAGAAAGAGCTGGTCTCTTATCTCTACCTCGCCAAGCCCGCCCAAAATGATAAGCCGCTCCACGATGATTTGCTCCCGAGCGCGCCTGCGATCGACCAGCACTTTCAGCAACGCGCAAACTCAAGCTTATTCTTATCTCGTCTCACTGATGCACCAATGAGAATGCGGTTCCAATATTCATGAACAGCGGAGATAACACTCCGCCAAAAATGCTGTGATCAAGTCGATAATGCTTCCGATCTTCTCCATCTTGGGAATCGCTAACGATCTGCAATCTCCAGAGTCTCCATCTATCAGCTGGATTTTGTCAGGTATATCAATCCTCTCGAACCCCTTGTCCTCCCCGGAGACCCCAAAAGTACCATCCCACACCAACTATGGCCGTAGACGCGCTTTCCCCATTCGAGGTCGTCGAGGCCGTCGCCAAGGCCGGCGTGCAAAAGGGTAATATGAGTCTGCCCAAGGTCTTTTTCAGCTCTGTTTCTGCGGGCTGTTTGCTTGCTTTTGCGTGCGGTACTGTACTGAGTACAAATGCCACGCCTTGGTTTCAGGAGAATGCACCTGGCCTCATTCGCACGATTGCGGCGTTGGTTTTTCCGTATGGGCTGTGTATGATTATCCTCACTGGTGCGGATCTTTGTACGGGGTCTTTTATGGTATTTTTCACAACCTATTTGTGATTTGATCTGTTGATTTGCTGATCGTGATCTAGTTCACGACCGTCGCAGCCCTGCAGCGCCGTTTACCCTGGTGGAAAATGCTAATTCATTGGGCTGTGACGTTCCTTGGCAACCTTGCAGGCTCTTTATTCGTCGTTTCAATAATCTTTGGCTGTTCGTCACCTCCTTATCCCCATCGAGCAAAACTAACCCTTCAAATGTCTACAGACGGCGAAGTCTTCGCAACAGAACCTTTCAAATCCGCCGTAACCACCTTCGCAACAAAGAAACAAGTAACACCCGACTTCCACATGATCTTCCTCCGCGGAATTGGCTGCAACTGGCTCGTGTGTCTGGGCTGTTTCTTCGGACTGCAGGGCAGAGATCTCGCGTCTAAGATCATTGGTATCTGGTTCCCGATCTTCGCATTCGTTTCGCTGGGTTTCGATCACGTCGTTGCCAATATGACGTTTATTCCCCTCGGTATTTGGCTTGGCACGCCCGGGATTAATGTGGGGCTTTATATTTGGAAGGGAATTATTCCGACCCTTATTGGGAATATTCTTGGTGGGGGGTTGTTTTGCGGTATGTCTGAAGTTACTACAGTGGTGATTCTTTAGCTGACTTGTTTTAGGAACGTATTATTGGTATATGTACCTCTTGAATTTGGATAATGTTACACTGTCTGGACTGAGGACGCCGGTTTGTGGCTCGGTGCATCCTGGGCTTCCGCCGAAGGAGGGGGATGTTGAGGCTTTCGCTGCGGGTTCTCTTGGACACCGGAGTGACTGAAACTTTTCCGGGGTATTTTTGCAGTTTTGATATCGTCAAACTGCTGAAGTTCTCCTGCTGAGGATCTTGCAGGACGTGCGATGGTGATTTCTTGCTTGAACTCTTGGATACAACTGAATCTCCATAGTCGCCTTATTTCTACGGTACAGCCCAATTTTAATAGTTAATTAGCACTCAACTACCTTTCAGATTCCTATCAGTCTATCGTGATGTCCGTGTTAGGTTCTGAGGGTACGACGAAGGCAAACTATTGCAGCCATTGAGCTGTTGCATCGCCGTACCGTGTAGGCGACCAAGTCATCCAAATGACCTTGCAGGTAACCAACACGAACCAAGGACCCTATATCCTCAATCCGCCAACGGCGTCTATTACACGATCCACTGTCTCCACCATATTTTTAGATCGTCCAGTGGATCTGCCAGTATATAGTGGCGTAGTGCCCGCGGGAAAACCTCGGCGATTGGCTGGACTACCCAAAACAGCAGCTACGCCCGCCGTAGCTCCCCACGACATCGACCTCTCCTCATCACCCGCAGCTCCGCCTACAAATTCACCTCCACCCTGCATACGCGTCGCCTTCTCATTTAACTCCCACCCTCAATTCGATTTCCAACTCTTCTCCTGCGACAGTCATGGCCGCCACCGAAAAGCGACCCGAGATCATCGAGCTGTCCCGCGAGCTGCGGGGCGTTCCGCACTGCGAGGACTACGAGAAGATGATCTCCGGGATGATGTGAGCTCCCTCCCAGCCAACACAGACCATGAACGGGTCAATTAGGCTCCATGATTTTAGGTGAATACAATGACTGACTGGAATAGGTACAACCCCACCATCCCCCGCCTCCTCGAGGCGCGTCACATCTGCCGCGGTCTGACAGACGACTACAACAACCTCGACACAAAGAGCATTTCCTACGAAGACATCGCCGACAAGCGCTTCGAGCTGCTAAAGAAACTCGTCGGCAAAGTCGGCGAGGGAACCTTCATCGAGCCGCCCTTTAGACCGGATTACGGCTGTAACATCTCTATCGGGAAGGAGTGTTTCATTAACTGGAAGTAAGTCCCCTCGCCCCTCGCCTCTCCCTGCGGTCCCAGCTAACACAGATTTTTAGCGTCACAATCCTAGACACAAGCCTTGTGATAATCGGTGACCGCGTGCAAATAGGCACAGGCGTGGGCCTAATAACAGCCGGCCACGACGTCTCGGTTCTATCGCGGCGGAAATTCGTCGAGTTCGGCCACCCCATTTTCATTGAGGATGATTGCTGGATTGGGGCAAATGTTGTAATTCTTCCTGGTGTGCGCATCGGGAAGGGCTCGACTATCGGTGCGGCGTCTGTTGTTACGAAGGATATTCCGCCGTATTCGGTTGCGGTGGGTGCGCCGGCGCGCGTTAGGAAGACCATCCCCTCTGTTGAGGAGGAGATGGCTGATCCGCATAACCCATATCGGAATTTGCCTGATCGGAATGATTAGGGGACTTCTTTTGAGGGGCAGTTTCCGAGGTGGGTTGTTAAGATGCGGGAGGAGTTGGAGAGGGGAATGGATGAGGATTGATGCTGTGTGGGAGAGATTGTGTTGAGTAGCAGATGTGAGAATCATATTGAACAGAGTTTACATTCTTGAAGATATTTCCTGCTTTATACCTGTATACCTGTCCACAGTATATCCAATCCCGAAATACAACGCCTAATATACTCACTAACCCTATGCTTGCGTATGGCCATGCCCATGACCTTGCTCACGCATAGGAATAACCTCCTCCTGACCTCCATACCCACTATCATTCGCCTCAACATCAAATCCAGTTCCATTACCCAACACACGCTCCTGTCTCAGGGTTTCCTCGGGACCGGATGTATAAGAATATGCCCAACTATCAACACCCAGCGAAGTAGGAACCCCAACACCCCGTATAAATGCCCTCCTCGGTGCCCGCGGCCCCCACGCCCAACCAGCCCCCCTCTGGATAGGAAGATGATACATCCGGAACCCAATATACGCAAAGACGATCCCCAATGCCGAACCGAAGAGCACGTCGAAGCCATGGTGTCGATTATCTGCCCACCGCGACACGGCGATGAAGGATGCTGTCGCCGTTGGTACGAAGGCTAGCAGCATCATTAGGACGGGTGGCGCGGCGCCGCGGAAGCGGACTGAGGATTCGTCCGTGTGCGGTTGTGTTGTTCCTTCGACTGGGTAGGACGGCAGGTAGGGGAAGCTAATTGAGAATTTTGCGCTTAGCCAGAGGGTTAGGTAGCCTAGACCTGCGAATGCGACTGGAAACAATGAGGTTAGTGTATCTGGACTTGTATTTTGAGGCGTGGGGGTGCTGGGGGCATACAAGAAGCATGACCCGACGGAAACGACTGAAATCCACCGATCCGCAATGTATCAGACTGATCCTGACAAATCGTCCAGGCAACGATAATCGGTGCACCTGCCACACCAAGTCCACCGACCATATTCTCCTCAATTGCATTGAGGTTGGGGTTACACCGTGCCAGGAGATCGGGTCTCGGCTTCCCGACTAATTCCTTCAATCCCTCCGTCGCCATCCACGCGCCGGCTAGCGAGGATGCAAGGCCCATCCATCCCGCGTTCCATTCCCAAATCTTGGACTGGAAAAGTTGCATATATGAGGTGCGAGTGTTGCCGGCTTGCGCCGGTGTCGTGATGAGTGCGATGGCGAGGATTATGATTGCTGGTGCCATTAGTCCCGTTAGGACAAGGGCGGCTGTTGAGACGGTTTCGGTTTCATCGTAGGGATAGGCGATGGTGGCATCGGTTAGGGAGAAGGGGTGTTTGTTTGGTTCGACCTTGGAGAAGCCGTAGCCTATTAGTGCTGTGCCGCTGGTTATTGTTAGTTTTTTTGGCTTGGGATTGTACTGCGTGCTGGGGACAGGGATGCGGTCGCACATTATGAAGATCCAGTCGATTATGTAGCTGAGGACTAGAAGTTTGGAGATGCGGGCTAAGGCCGCTGCGAGTGGCATTTTGGTGCCGGTTGTGCGCTATAGATACGCGCTTTGTGAATTGTGTTGCTCAGGGTGAAGGAGGTTGGAATTGATGTCGTCTTGGTGGTGACGTTTGTTGGCGCGCGTGATTGTGGGGATGCCGGTGGGTCTTGCGCTGATAGAATTCCTGCGCGAACGATGGGATGAGAGGGTAAATACTACCAGTAGTATATGGCGGATTGTAGTTGAAAGGGGATAGGAAAGGAGGACGTGCTCCTGGCAGAAGCAAGAGGGGATGATTGGGGCGACGGTGACTGAGCGCGTGTGGAGTCGGCGCATTACAGTTTGCTGCTTAGCGCCGGCGTTTCTTGGCTGCCTGAAATCCCTCAATTCAGCAAGTATGAGCAGGCGCAGACCATGATAGTCGGCCTGTGGATGTCATATTGTGCTGTTCTGCTTGGAATCGACTCGTGTCACAGTGTGTTTGGATCGTAGATAGAACTGGAGGAGTCTGGGGTGAGCTCTGCGATCTGCAGCTGGATGGTGGAGCGATAAGATAACAGTGCCTCTTGCAGCTGCTAACAACAATACCTCCTCTAGAAATCTATGGCAGTCTGCAGAAATCGTATTTCGAGGTCAGGCATTTTTCCGCTGAAATGTCTTCCGTGCGGAGAATCTTCCCAGTCACTCAGCCATGAACTTCAAGGAGCTCCACAGCTACAACATTCTACAGTCCCTTGAGTTGCAGCATTTTTACAACTTCCCTTTAAGTTTACCCTATCTAACTCTCTTCTCAATACAGAATTCATTTCAATGTCCACTTCCGACGTCATCCGAGTATCCCGCCGATCTCTCTCCGTCCACGATGTACAAGGTGTTGACGTCCGTTTACGGAAGCATCAACAGCTGTCCATACCCGAGGAATGCTTGACTGACCTTGGTACGGAGGACAAAGCAGAAATTGTTCCTTCTATTACTTTTGGCAGTTCTTTCTTGTCACTGTCCTAAGATGTTCTTAGTGCTGCTGCAATAAATAGGACAAGGACACAATGCGAAGAGACAGTGCTGTCACAACAAATACAACCCACAACGGTCCACAGGAGCTTCCTGGTTAGTGCCAGGTGGCTGCTCTACTACTTACAGCTGTATAGGCGCTAAGGACGGAAAGAAATTATCAGCAGTCTCAATAGCTAGTTAGTGATAGCTGGGCCTGAGGGCTAATCCTCACCTGGGCAGTATTGGAAGATGGCGTATTCTTGAAATACATCCTTAGAAATACAAGTTTAAACCTCAACCTGCATTTCAGATTAATGGACCTTGCAGTTACTTCAATCAAAAACGCAGAAATCCTGCCCGAAGGTTGTCGGTCGTCTTATCTGACGGTGTTCTTTTGTTTACGCGGTTTTAACGGCGCACAAACAACCTGACAAAGAGAAAACCAATTCCTTGGCATTGAAACCTATTCTTCAACAATTACTATAGGTGAAGGATTTATTCACGATATTGTGAAATGCTTTGCAAAATTCTTTTCGATTTGGACTCGGATGATACATATCTGGTGGAGCTAGCAAAATTCAAACTCAAATTTCACGGCGGCCAATCCTTGACATACCTCGTGATTCTGACCCTAAATGATGATCAGGATACCTTCAGCGTGCCCACATACTTTATTCCAGTTGTTTTCTACCACCTTCAAAGCAGACAGGCGACGAATCGCTGATTTGCTTTGCTATGCAAAAGATGTTTCTCGTTTTTATAGTCATAAATGCAGCCATCTTTTATCAACTGGGCTTGTGGTTTAGTGGTATAATACCCCCCTTAGCATGGGGGTGGTCCGGGGTTCGATTCCCCGCGAGTCCATTTTTTTCCCAACAACAGATCCATGCAGTGGGGCGGGTGTTGTCTATTGTTTGTCAATCACGCTGGTAGATCTGGAATAAAGAGTGTCCTGATCATTTTTGGAGATCCTTTCTGGCAATCTGACGGGCGCCTGTTATTTTTGTGTCGGCGAGATGTGCACATACGCGGAAATATTCACTTTGTAGCCTTGCAATCAGAATCCCATCACAGTCAGCCAATTACGTCTATCTTGGTGTCCCTTCTTTGCTCCGTGGGTCCGCTTTCGTTGTCAGTCAGAGTGCAGCTGTCAGCCGGGACTGACCTGAGCCCTTTTTAGCCGCGTCTGAGTCCGCATTAGGTGACTACCTCACGGCCCAGGTTTACAGATGTGATCTGGGTATTCACAGCTATCAGCAACGAAGAATCGTTTTTGTAGCGTACAGTAATCTCTTCACTTTATTGGCGAGGAGTTCACGAGTGGGAAAAGTATCTGTGTCACGTCACAGCTGTGACCGGCGGGTCGACCCACAGAACAACGAGGCTGCCTTGAGGGGTTCGCGAAGGGAAAGCTGCAAACAGCGATATTTGTGTGCATCATAGGCTGGAGGCTCAACAGACTCAGAATCGGTCCTCAATACCCGAGCATGCTCAGTTTGGACGGCCGACAGCACCAACTATTCAAGCCGCGAGCAAGATACACATGGACACGACACTGCTCACCTACGGCATAACCCTATCCTCTTCTCCATACACAGGTCTCTAACCCTGGCATGATGAAAAAGAAAGAACCCACAGAGTGGAAGTGTCAAAGAATATGCCCGACATGCCTGATGGTCATGAACAGGAAAACCTGTGAGGAGCTGCCTTCATGATCGCAGCTCATCCAAGCGATACCGACCTACCCGGGGGAGAGGGGAAGGGGAAGGGGGAGATAGGTGGTGGGTGCGGGTTCTACTTACCTAGCTTCGGTGAGCACGAGGGCGACCACAGATGGTTTTGAACGAGAGGGGAGATGAAGAGGAGAAGTTCTGATGGGGGAGAGATGGTGAATTCATGCCCCTGCGGTAGCCTGCTAACCGAGATGGAAGTTTCCGTCTTAATTTTCGAAATGGGGATGCGGACACACACGCTGTGGGAGGATGGGTGCTCGAGGAATCACGACTTTCCTTCTCGAAGCTCGACTCAGTGACTCGAGGTGTGATGAGAAAGTGTCCACCAACTTTGAGAGCTCCCGAGGGAGTAATTCAAAAATAATGTCGATTTGTGCTGCGATCCGCCACGTGTGCACAATACAGCCGCTGATCAGGTTGGAAAGGCAAAGGTAAGTACGCAGCTGCTCCTTGATTATACTAGAGTGGAAAGATATGAAGAGGAAGCTGGTGGGCGGAAGATACACACCACCACATAAACAAGGCCGCTTAAGAACGGCTTTCATGGAGACGGGTACCAAGTCACCATGGATCTCTTCTCCATGCTCGAGTTCTTGACCTCAGTGATGATGAAAAGTAACCCCACGAAGGGGATGCCAAAGAATACGCCTCCCAGTCCCCCGAAGGTGACCGAACAAACGATCATCGCGATGTGCAATGCGATGGGTCTTCTGTGGTGGGCCGCCCTCATGACTGCGGCCCACCCAAACAAGGTATATATGAAGAGGAAAGAGAAGGAGAGGAAGCTTGGGAATCGACGATGGTATTTATACCCAGCGGGTGCGGCGCTAATCCCGTTTTGGAGGGTGGCCAGCCCAAGAAGCGCATTCACAGCGAGTAACGCCGCCTAACACGGCCTGAGTGTTCGAAAGGGAGATATTCAACTTGATTGTATGCTATTATAGATCTCGAGATATGCGATAGGCTGTAGAATGCTGTAGAATAGCTTTGCTGATTGTGGAAAACTAGATTCCATTGTATACTACCTACCGCTGTGCTACTCCTCCCAGTCAAAGTTCACCACAATCCGCCCAGCAACCTCCCCTCTCCGCAACTTTCCAACACCCTCCGGCAGACGATTAACAGGATAAATCTCACAGATCTGATGCAACATACCCCGTCTCGCAAAATCCAATGCAGCAGCCGTATCACTCCGACTCCCAACAAGGGTCCCCTTAATACTCATATTTTGAAAGATAAAGTCACAAGGGTCCGTCCCGAGCACCATCGAGTCCTTCGCCGGAAGCCCAATACACATACCATTGATCCAACGCGCTTGCCAACAAACGATATGGCTGTCTTATACGCCGCTGGGGCCGTAACGAAGACGCCGTGAGCACCGACTCCATCGGCTATATTGATAACCGCTTTGGCAGGGTCATCTGTCTCTATGAAATCCACAAAGGCTTCTGCCCCCATCTTCAGCGAGAGTTCACGCTTAGACGCACCTGTGTCGACGACGATCGGCCTCATGCCCATTGCCTTGGCCAGTTGAACACCTTGGATACCTACGCCGCCGCCGCCTCCTGGAAAGACGACCCAGGATCCCGCACGGAGGTTTGATTCGATCAGTGAGCGGTAGATTGTGCTTGCGCTGCACATTATTGGTGCGGCGATTTCGTCGGGGATGCCGTCTGGGATTGGGGAGGCGTATCGTGCGGGTGAGACGAGGTATTGCTGGTATGTGCCTGCAAGTGTCAGTTCTATTTGTGGCGGCATGAGTGATTGTTTACTAACCAGACGTCATCAGACCGGTGTGAATAGCGTCTGCGCAATATGTCTCTTTGTCATCCCAGCACATCGTGCACGAACCGCATGTATTGTTGATCGGCTTGATTCCGGCTCTATCGCCCAGTTTGAAGTTCTTGACATTTGCACCGACCTTCACGACGACGCCGACGCCTTCGTGGCCTGGGGATCGTACTCCGTATGATGACATGGTTGACATGCCCAGGTCTCCTTGCATTAGGTGAATGTCTGATGAGCAGAGACCGGTGAATTTTAGTCGGATCAGGATATCGTCGGGTCCTATTCACCTCGATCAGCATATACCGAAATATATCGCGGACGACAGTGATGAAGCACAAACCAGGTTCAGGAACCGGCACCATCTGCACCTCGACGTGAAAATCAGGACCCTCATTAACGACAACACCGGCCTTGCAGAAGGCCGGGATAATTTCCTGCGGCACCGGAGTGATATCGCCCATCTTGTGCTTGCATATACAGAAGAAGTGAAGTCGAAGTCTCGACAGCACATTCTCAGCTCCAGCAGGGTATGATAAGTACGCGGAGCTCTACCGAACCTATACCGAGGTAGAGCTGCGGAAGCCGACCGTTGTATTGACCCCTCTTCGTGCTACTGCGTACAGCAGTTTGGCTTGTCTGCTATGGTTCCCCTCTTCTGCGGATGTGGGGAAGCTACATCTCCGTATATCCGGGCAACGAGATGGCGGAGATCGGAAAGAGGGCGCTTTGCGGAGGATACAATGAGATATGAAGAGTTTGCACGATATCGAGATACAGGGGGCACTGGGATTATGTTCTCGTGGGTGAGCCGTTTCGATTTGACTATTCCCGAGGCATACTCTTTGTGTCACTTGTATATGTAACCACACGGTTCACGAACATACACTATTTGTGTCAATGGCAGGCTCACAGTTGCTGATATGGGATCGAATGGCTCTATAAGTGGTGGAGGTTAGGAGAGTAGGGAAAGGATTAAATTCCGGCCTACCGGTAATTCGATCGTCGGTTGACGACAACGTTCGACACTACCTTCACCATCTTGCCCCCGAGACGAGAAGCATAAGTTCAATTTTTGACCCTTGATGCAATGTGATGGTGTATCAACTTCGCCAGACTTTTGCAAATAGCGAAAGGATTGCAGTTGTTGAGGTTCCAGGATAAGGCACCGAATTGATGCCTCATTCCCAACCTCTGTCGGCATGCCTGTCCAGGGAAACCGAAGGCACTGAGCTTGATTTACGCTTCAAGCTCTCTTGCCACCATTGTATTCTACATTCGGGAGATCTTCATGGAAGAACCCCGATCGAGACCGATTATGAGGGATTTACTACTGTCAGGGGCTTGCCGTCCGTTCAGGGATAATACCCCCAGAATCGCACGTAGACAACACAATACAGTCAAGCAAAAGTTCTGTCAATTCCATTAAGGTCGATTTGTCTAGCAGGCCCTCATTCTATATTCAGTGCTTCGTCGTAGCCCATCTCAACAGCAGTAATGCGAGTGCATAATGTGACTGGTATCATGTCGATGTATATATATCGTTGTTCGACAGGTCGATCTCGCAGCAACACTTTGTTTGTCGAATACTCAGACAGCAGTTAAAAAACCTCAATGTTCATCAAAGCCAAGCGACAAATGGCCTCGAGGAACTACCCTACAAAGCACAGAAATATCTATACACCTCGTACCAGTACGCCGACCATATGATGACAAGACAGGGGCAAGATGTGGGGCCGGACCGGTACAAGTGGAGAAATCCATATTAACATGAAGCAGCGAAAGGTTTCAAGGCCCCATCAGCAGACAAGCTACAGTACACTACCTGGGTCTTGCGAAGAGGTACCTAGGTGGTATGAATCATGCTGCCAACGTCTCCTCCAGATAAAAAACCCCTCCTGCATCTCGGCAAAGTGGATGAAACCAATCCACTCTTTTCCCGTCCCGGCTGTATACCCATCAGGGCAAAAGCCCATGAAACAAGACTGATTCGGGTGATTGACAGTTTTGGATCGTCATTCTAGCCTATTTACGGATCTGCAGCTCCTCCGTGATGGAGACTGTGAGTTGGGATTGGTTTGGTCCTTTGATGGGATCCATTTATCCGCCGGCAAAACCTCGCAGTTTTGGCTGAAGGGTTGTGCTTGTTTGTCCATGGCGCTGGTTAGTGCCTTCCCTGAAGACTGATCTGGACTCGGGTCTGAAATATATAAAGGAGCTATCTCCTGCCTTGGGCTTGGTGTAAGGTCTCAATTACCGTCAACATGCCGTCTTTGACTTCTCTGCTCTCGTTCTTCACCCTCGCTGCTGGCGTCCTTGGCTCCACTGGTGATCTCTCGAAGAGAGAGTCGTACACCTCGAGCTCGACTGGAACGAGCAATGGCTACTACTACTCCTTCTGGACCGACGGCGGTGCCGATATTACATACACCAACGGCGCGGCTGGTGAATACAGCGTGACCTGGTCCGGAGACGGCAACTTTGTTGGTGGAAAGGGATGGAACCCCGGTGGTTCTCGGTAGGTCGCTTCAGAGCTGATCAATTTTCATGTTCTCGCAAGCTAATATACTGCAGATCCGTGAGCTTCTCCGGCTCCTACAACCCGAACGGTAATTCCACCCCTTAACATGTCAATTTCAACTGCACTCTCCAAATACAAACTAACACCCCTACGACTATAAAGGAAACAGCTACCTCTCAATCTACGGCTGGACCACTGACCCCCTGATCGAATTCTACATCGTTGAAGACTTCGGTACCTACAACCCCTCCACCGGCGCAACCAAGAAGGGTACCGTCACCAGCGACGGCAGCACCTATGACATCTACACCAACGAGCGCATCAACCAGCCTTCTATCGAGGGAACTTCTACCTTTACCCAGTACTGGTCGGTTCGCCAGAACAAGCGTTCCCAGGGTACTGTTACTACTGGCAACCACTTTAAGGCGTGGGAGAACCTTGGCATGGATTTGGGATCGTTCAATTATATGATCGTTGCTACTGAGGGGTACTATAGCAGTGGATCTGCTGATATTACTGTTTCTTAAGCTCCCCCTGTGAAGGAGCGAGGCGAATTTGGATATCAACTGAGAAATTTCCACACTGCAATGGCAATTCTTACAGTGGCCAGCGGCTATAGAACATCGAGCGATGTACACAACGCAAAATCCAAACGTAACCACATGTCGATCGGAGAGACTGATAACTAACGTAATCCACTAGCGAGTGAGACACACGGGCGAGTGAGACAGAAAACGCGGTCACGCCCCAGCGCGTCAACTTCCTCATTTCAACTACCCACTATGCCCCCAATTCGCAGTCAAAATCCTCAAAATTCTATCAACCAAGAAGGTAGAATCCAGCTCGCGATACAAGCCTTTCAGAACAAAGAATTTCGATCGATTCGCGAAGCTGCGCGCCGATTTCAAGTACCTACCGCAACTCTCCATCGCCGATACAATAACCAACTTCATCGATCGGAAACCCGCGCCAACAATTATTGATTGACTCCAACTGAAGAGGAATCGCTCCTACGGTGGATGCTCTCTATGGATACGCGTGGACCAGCTCCCCGACCTAGTATGGTAAGGGATATGGCCAATATTCTACTAGCAGAGCGTGGTAGTCAGACTGTTGGAGTCAATTGGGTTTACAGATATACAGAGCGCTATGATGAGCTCAAATCGCGGTATTCTCGTCGATATAATTATGAGAGGGCAAAATGCGAAGATCCGAGGATTATTAAACCATGGTTCGACCTTTTACGACGCACGATCGATGAGAATGCTATCCAACCTGAGGATACCTACAATTTTGATGAAACTGGCTTCGCAATGGGGCTTATAGCTACTGCGAAAGTCATTACAAGAGCTGAATACTATGGTCGGAGGTCAGTTCTACAGCCAGGGAATTGCGAATGGGTCACCGATTGAATGTGTGAATTCAACGGGCTTTATACTCCCACCCTGCATTATCTTCAAATCGTCAAAGTACCAACAATATGCATGGTTTGATGACCTACCCGACAATTGGAGAATCGAAATCAGTGAGAATGGTTGGACTACAGACGAAATTGGGCTTCGATGGCTAGAAAAGCTATTTATCCCTGCGACTACTAGTCGTACTAGGGGTGAATATCGACTACTAGTTCTCGATGGCCACGGCAGTCATTTGACCCCCGTTTTGATCGATTGTGCGAGCAAAACTATATTATTCCAATCTGCATGCCTCCGCATTCGACTCATCTACAGCCTTTGGGTATAGGCTGTTTTGCCCCCTAAAGTGCGCGTATGGGAGCTTGATTGAGCGCAAAGGACGGTTGGGGGTCAACCACATCGACAAGCTTGATTTCCTTGCAGCATTCCCAAAAGCTCGCAAAGAGGCCTTTAAACCAGAGACTATTCAAAATGCATTCATCGCAGCTGGTTTAGTACCATATGATCCCGATCAGGTCATTTCAAAGCTTGATGTTCAACTTCAGACACCTACCCCCTTAGGTAGTCGACCAGGGAGCCAATCGAGCGCGTGGGGCCCTAAAACGGCAGCAAATCTCAAACAATTGAATCGACAGGTCTCGTCAATCAAGGCACTGCTTAAGAAACGCTTGCAAAGCCCTCCAACGCCTACGAATATAGCTATTGATTAGCTCCTCAAGGGCTATCAGCTATCATTGCATTCTAATGCAATTCTTCTAAAGGAAATCCGCGATTTACGGGCTGAAAACGAGACAAAAAGCGAAAATGCAACAGAACGACTAAGCGCGTAGCTCATACGGAGGGCTTTACGGCCAAGAAGCCAGGGAGTCGATGAACCAGGCTCATGAAGCTCCTAATACTACCCCCGCGGAACCAGCTGCGTCAGCTTCCCAGCCAATTACACGCGCACCCCCGCGATGCAGCGACTGTCATCAAATAGGGCATAAAAGAACGCAATGCCCTGATAGGTCTAATAGATAGAAATTTGAAATCAATGGCGTTGTTGATTTAATAAATTGGTTTGAAATAATAGTAGCTGGTTTTCTGTCTCACTCGCCCGTGTGTCTCACTCGCTAGTGGATTACGTTATTACAATCAGGAGGAGGATGATTCAGCAGATACCCAGTCTCTTAACTACCTGTTTTGTACGGTAATCGAGTATTCTTGGAAAAAGCAGCGCTGCAACACACTCAAAAACCCTAAATAGATGGCATCCTGAACGGGAGCCGACAGATACTTCTTCAGTCAATCGTTCAATCGCTGGGATGGTTCAATGGGCCCTCACGAGTACTAGTCGATACCGATATCCGAAAGTCCGACACCACAACCTCGCCCGGACTTAAACGAACGGTCTACGAAAATATACCCGGGAATCGATCAACGCACAGCTGAGCCATGGATATCATTCGTATCTAGACAGCCGGGCCAGTTCGATGACGACAATGATTGACCGCGACGCCTGCATTCCCCACCGTTACATTCCCCACCGCACCGCCCGAACAACCGAGCAAGCATACCCATTGGCAGCTGTGATCGTTCAGCTCTGCCTGCCAGCGCCCCGAGATCGGTTGCGAAAGATCTCATGCACCGCATCTGATTTTTGAACCCTCGGTCGCGGAAGCGGTTCGGCCAATTGTGTGCCCTGCTCAGGCCAGCTGATGCAACCATACGATTATAGTATGGATGGACACAGGAGGGAGTTCAGCTGGTCTTCGCACAAGGGCCGCGGGGTTGGGTATAAAGGAGTACAGGACCCCCGAGCTCAATGATCCTGGAAAGAGCTTTTCAAGTTTAGCTCTACTCTTGGTCTGCTTGCAAACCGTGAATACGAGACATTCATAACTACAATATGGCATTGAACGGCAAGGTTGCTCTCATCACCGGAGGTGTCAAGAACCTTGGTGCCCAGTTGGCGCGCGAGCTGGCGAGTATTGGTGCCAACTTGGCTCTGCACTATAATTCCGAGAGCAGCAAGACCAGCGCCACAGAGTTGGACGCAGAGCTCAGGGAGAACTACCCCAGTGTGAAGGTCGCCTTCTATCAGGGTGACTTGACCAGCGCCGCCAATGTGGACAACCTGTTCCAGGTGGTCCTGAAGGACTTTGGCAAGATTGACATTGTTGTCAACACAGTGGGCAAGGTGCTGAAGAAGCCTATCACCGAGATTTCCGAGGAGGAGTACGATTCGATGTTTGCGTGAGTCAATCACACTATCCCAGACGCCAGCATATAGGGGTCTGAGCCAATGCTAACGGGAGATAGCATTAACTCGAAAGCCGCCTTCTTCATCCTCAAGGCCGCCGCCGCCCATGTCTCCGACGACGGCAAGATCATCACCATCGTCACGGCATTGCTGGGCGCCTTCACCGGATTCTATACCTCATATGCCGGATCCAAGGCGCCGGTCGAGCACTTTACCCGTGGCGTGTGCAAGGAGCTGCAGGCTCGTCGCGTGAGCGTGAACAATGTGGCGCCTGGCCCGATGGATACGCGTAGGTAGTCCCTGCCAAGAGAATTGGGATTTTTGGCTGACATTTCGATTGTAGCATTCTTCTACCCTCAAGAATCTGCCGAGGCGGTTGAGTTCCACAAGGCGAATGGTATGGGTAATCGGTTGACCATGGTGCAGGATATTGCGCCCATTATTCGCTTCCTGTGTACGGAGGGTACCTGGATCACTGGGCAGACTATCTTTGCCAATGGTGGATATACCACGCGCTGAAAAAGTGGAGGAAAAGCTTTGTCTGATTGACATAGGGATCAAATGAGAACCACGATTCATGAGTTCAAGATACACATCCAATGCCAACCGGTGCTGTGTCAATCACCTGCCCCGCCAGCCCTAGACTGTAGCCCTATTTCCTCTTCGGGACATGCAGGTCCTGCCACCCTACTCCACGTGACCAAAGCTAAGCTGACACGCACGTGACCGCGATTGTCCCGCACTAAACCCAAACGGGGTGCGGCAGTGACATCAACGTTTGATCTTTTTGTCGCAAAACCGACGATCGCCCGGTTTTGCAGCAGTCGAACGTCTGGAAAGCAAAGAACTTGTTCTGTTCTCAAAGGTGCGGGCTTGTCGTCACTGCATCCAGTTCCACTGGCGAATACTTAGGGGCACCCGCGAGATCCATCGCAATCGCCATTGATCTCATCTCAACCCAACTGCGTAGTGACGAAATCAACTCCCCACTTCTTATTTGTCTCACCGGAATTGGGTTGAACCCCTCCAACCAGGCCTGAGCTTCAATCGGCCGTAACAATTCAACTTTCCAACCTCTCTCTTCTCTCGCTATCTTCTCCATCGGCTTCTGCTCGACCTGAACCGAGGTCGACATTCCCAACATGGAGCCCGTTAACATCCCCATCGAGGCCAAGAAGCGCCGAATCGGCGTACTCACCTCCGGAGGTGATGCCCCCGGTATGAATGGCGCCGTGCGGGCCGTCGTCCGTATGGCAATCCACAGCGGCTGCGAGGCCTACGCCGTCTATGAAGGATACGAGGGCCTGGTCAATGGCGGCAATATGATCCGCCAGGTGCACTGGGAGGATGTCCGGGGATGGTTGTCCCGTGGCGGTACGCTGATTGGCTCTGCCCGGTGCATGACCTTCCGCGAGCGCGCCGGTCGTCTGCGTGCGGCGAAGAACATGGTCCTGCGCGGTATCGATGCTCTTGTCGTCTGCGGTGGTGATGGTAGTTTGACCGGTGCCGACGTCTTCCGTGCGGAGTGGCCCGGTCTGCTCGAGGAGCTCATCAAGTCAGGCGAATTGACCGCTCATCAGGTCGAGCCCTACAAGCAGCTTAACATTGTCGGTCTGGTCGGATCGATCGATAACGACATGTCGGGCACCGATGCGACTATCGGCTGCTACTCCTCCCTTACTCGCATTTGCGACGCCATTGACGATGTCTTCGATACGGCTTTCTCACACCAGCGTGGTTTCGTTGTGGAAGTCATGGGTCGTCACTGTGGTTGGCTTGCCCTGATGTCGGCCATCAGTACTGGTGCCGATTGGCTGTTCATCCCGGAGATGCCACCCAAGGACGGCTGGGAGGATGAGATGTGCAATGTCATTACCAAGGTGGGTACAATTACATGTCCAAAAAGTCCAATCATGAAGTGCGCTAACCCTCTCTGCAATCAGAACCGCAAGGAGCGTGGCAAGCGCCGCACCATTGTCATTGTCGCCGAGGGAGCGCAGGACCGCCAACTTAACAAGATCTCGAGCTCGACAATCAAGGATATCCTTACCCAGCGTCTGGGTCTGGACACCCGAACCACCGTCCTTGGTCACACTCAGCGCGGTGGTGCCGCCTGCGCCTATGACCGCTGGCTCTCCACCCTGCAAGGTGTCGAGGCTGTGCGTGCCGTGCTGGAAATGAACGCTCAGTCGCCATCCCCCGTCATCACCATCCGCGAGAACAAAATCATGCGCACTCCTCTGATGGATGCGGTGAAGGAGACCCAGGATGTCACTCAGAAGATCCACGACAAGGACTTTGCCGCCGCAATGACTCTGCGCGATGCCGAGTTCAAGGAATACTACCACGCTTACCTCAACACTGCTACTCCAGAGCACCCGAAGATGCACCTTCCTGAGAACAAGAGGATGCGCATTGCTATTGTCCACGTTGGCGCCCCCGCTGGTGGTATGAACCCAGCCACCCGGGCTGCTGTCGCCTACTGTCTGACCCGTGGTCACACCCCGGTTGCTATTCACAACGGTTTCACCGGTTTATGCCGTCACCACGCCGACAAGCCCATCAGCTCTGTCCGCGAGGTCAAGTGGCTCGAGTCGGACGCCTGGGTTAACGAAGGTGGTTCGGACATCGGTACTAACCGCAGCCTGCCCTCGGAGGATATGGAGACCACCGCCAAGTGCTTCGAGCTTTACAAGTTCGACGCCCTGTTTGTTGTTGGCGGTTTCGAGGCCTTCACTGCCGTCAGCGAGCTGCGTCGGGCCCGCGAGAAGTACAACTCGCTCAAGATCCCCATGGTCGTTCTCCCCGCCACCATCTCCAACAACGTCCCCGGTACCGAGTACTCCCTGGGTAGTGACACCTGCCTCAACACTCTCATCGACTTCTGCGACGCCATCCGCCAGTCCGCCTCCTCTTCCCGTCGTCGTGTTTTCGTCATCGAGACCCAGGGCGGCAAGTCCGGTTATATTGCGACCACCGCCGGTCTGGCCGTCGGCGCCGTTGCCGTCTACATTCCCGAAGAGGGCATCGACATCAAGATGCTCTCGCGGGACATCGACTTCCTGCGCGACAATTTCATCCGCGACAAGGGCGCCAACCGCGCCGGAAAGATCATCCTCCGCAACGAATCCGCCTCAAACACCTACACCACCCAGGTGATCGCTGACATGATCAAGGAAGAAGCCAAGGGCAAGTTCGAGTCCCGCGCCGCTGTCCCCGGCCACTTCCAGCAGGGTGGCAAGCCCTCGCCCATGGACCGTGTCCGTGCTCTGCGTATGGCCATCCGCTGCATGCAGCACCTGGAGAACTTCGCCGGAATGGACCGCGAGACCATCGCTGCTGACCCCTTGTCCTCGTCTGTCATCGGTGTCAAGGGCTCGCAGGTCCTCTTCTCGCCGATGGGTGGTGCCGACGGTCTCGAGGAGACTGAGACGGACTGGAAGCGCCGTCGCCCCAAGTCGGAGTTCTGGCTCGAGCTGCAGGATGTCGTGAACACTCTGTCTGGTCGCTCTGCTTCTCGTACACAGGAGGGCTGGTTCTGCTATGAGAGTACGTAAAAGTCGTCGGCAACCCTTGTCGATCACCCCTGGAATGTTTATTTGCGGTTTATTTACGATTACGACAACCATACCCCCTCGAGCGTTTCCTAAGTCAAGACTGGAGTTAACATTTCTTTCTTCTCTTCCTTTCAGATCCTTCTACCGTCCACTCCATCCCCTCGGTCCCCAACTCTCCTTGAAGAGTTCGAGCCGACTCCCACTCCTCCCCCGCTCCCAGATCATCTCCTTTCCCCGGAAGGATGATATCTGGAGTTTCAAGCGTCTCCTAGAGACCGGGCTGCCACGACCTTTACTCCCCCAGTCATAGTTATCTTTGAGCTGGTCGAGGTGGCAGCCGACGCCCCTCATGTTTGTATGATGATGCTACGCAACGCAGCCCCGACATACCCGTCCGTGCATAGCCTCGAGATCGGGCTTCTCTTCCCTTGTGCATTTTTTCTTGAATCTTTCTTTCTGGCTGAAAAGCTGGATAGTAGGTAGATCTGAATTGCATTGCCTATAAACTTTTATGGACTTAAGTGTCGTGTAAAGGTCTAGCTCGGGCAGTCGCCGTGCGTAGTTGAGAGCCTCCTCGTAACTAATGGGGCTGTAGAAAGTTGTTTTTAGAATCAGCGACATAGTACCAAGTCGTATCCTGCAGGCCAGACTAGGATGTGGAAGATGATTCATTCTGGTTCTCTGTCGGCCCGGTTATGCCCGGGCCGGCTGAGTTAATTCAAGGTACTTGGTCAAAGTCAAGGCTTAACAGTGCATCCTCCGAATACATAGCACCTTAGCTGCGCAAGAACGGTCAAAGAAAAACCAGGAAGGATCAGACGACCATATCGTACGAACAGCGTGTGTGCGCGTGCGCGTGTAGTCGGTATGTGTCGAGTAAAATCATTCAGCCAAGTCCGCAATGTCCCATAGCAGACTCTGTGCATCGATACTTGAAGGCCTAGTGATAGACTGTCGACATATCTGGCTAATTCTGAAAACAATCTATTCTATGCTTCAATTACTTGGTTTCTGTCCGATCTATTGATAGCATCAGTTCTCTGATAACTGTAGCTGTATATAGTGTTGGCGTAAGGGAATGGTTATGAGACCCATAATCGTTGTGGCCCGCTGCGTGGTGGGGGTCGAGCAGCAACATTCCTCCAGTAGTCCTCACGTCGCGTCCTCACCTCCTGGTCTGCCGTTGTTTCCCTCTTCTTTCGCATGTCAGACTGCATTAGATTATCCACTCTTTCGTTGAAGGATGAGCATCCTTTAGTAGTACTGCTTTTTGGCTTCGTAAGCTCTGATAACCGTGGTCTGCAGCAGGGTGCTCTGATTCCCGAGCTGCTCCCCCTCCAGCTGCAGCTGTGTGAAAGTCGCCTTGAGGCAATACAGGTGTGGTAGGTGCTGGTAAAAATAATGGATATCTTCCATGAATTGAGTCCTCGCCATTGCATTTGCAAGTGCTCAATATCGAGGCCTTTCGGAACTGAGCGACTTCGAGCCATGCAGCGAGGTGTCGAGTAGTTTACGATCTGCTGTCAAACCTCACGGCTGATTGCCACGCTGAGAGGGCCCGTAATAATACTACCAAGGAACGAACGCTCACTCCATGCTATGAGGCGTTCCCTGATTGAAGACTGGCAATTTGAAGCTGCATAACAATGTCAAGGTTTAGAAACTCAGATATGTTACGACATGCTGCCATCGTACAGACACTTCAATGAAAGAGTCTCAGACTGTTAACAGTATCTAGTTTGCGCAGTTATGAGGGCAGTCGAGTCGGATTACATTAGATCTGAGACATGACACCAATTGACAAGTGCGACATCTGAATAGGGGTCAGGCCCGCGCACGCCGTTCACATTGAGATCATCCATGGTAAATCTTGGCACTGCAATCTGCGCCTTTCTGAGTCTTTTGCAATCGCGGGAACCCGACCTCTTTTCGAACTTTCCACCAAGATCGACACGACGTTTTCCACATCATGTGCCATCCACGTTCGCAACGACGTCATACTCCAAATATGTCTCACAAGGCCATGTATTTCGACGGTGAGTGGTATGAGACATTGACATGGACGTCTATTCCGTGGGCTGTTGACATTATCACGAATTTTCGCAAGATTGTAGACCAGACGACTGACTTGTTTTGTGGCCCTTTTCAGACAGGACACGCTGAACTGAGGTGTTCATCGGATATTCAAAACGAAGGACCAGCACCCCAGCTGTACATGGCTTTTGCAGCTGTTTCGCATATAACATCCCGTTTGCCAAGCTCAAATCGAAAGCTTTGTGGTCCTCTGCATCATTTCTGCCCGTAAACGTGCCCTTATCCGTGGAAATTTCACTATTCCGTGTCCTTACAACGTGTGTATTCACGAAGAAGACATACTCAGCTTAGAAGTGCTGACGAAGCCGGAGTTCGGTTAGTGAAATCTTGATGCTCACGTCGACCGTGTGTTTCCTGTTACGGGCAGTTCGAAAGAAACAGATTCATTCGGTGCCTACAGGACGAGAATCTTGAATATGAAGAAGGAAGGAGAAAGAACGAAAGTCCCCAGCAAACGCGTAGTGCAAACGACCCAATATTATGCCTCAGGCATCCTTCCACGAGATGAGGCTATTCCCAGGTTCATCCGTCACATTTCCGCTAACTCAGGATCCTCATCATCCAGTGAGCCTTCAATCAGCACTCATTACTGGAAATGGTATCTGCACTAGAGCTGGTATTTTAAAATATTGCCTAGACATCCGGTGCCTAGGGAATATCGTTAATGAATTGCCTCTGTTTCCCCATAAATTGCCCATACGCTTTGGTCGACCAACGAGTGGTTGGTGAGGATATGGCCAATTGAAAGTACAAATGACTTTTTCGCATAGGGCTGGAATGGGTGCCTCTGAAATATTTCATGCAAAGCAGTTACCGGAAACCACAGCCCGGGCACTGCACGATGATACTCATCCCTCCTCGTTTCTTGTCGGCAGACGGGCATCCAAAAAGAAGGGTTGATTCACAGCAATGTCGTGGACTTGTGTTTGCAAGACATCTTGTCTTGAGAAAATTCCGCAGAGCTGTAGACTAGGGAGTCAGTATAGCCCCTAGTAAAGAAGCAGCACCAAGTTTCCCAGCTGAGATGATCATTCTGCTCCTGACGGAGTGGCACGACAACTTGAGAGATATCAACGTGCTACTCGGAAGCTATGTGTGCGATACCACTGAGTGTCAGGGTTCTGATCACATATACACTAAACAAGGCCTTTTTGCTCTCAAGGCCACCGTAGAGCCAGAGCTTCCTGTCCAGGATAGGTGAAATACGAGATGTGGAAAGACAGCCCGCGAAAGTAATGGGGTTGGAGAAGTAAGAAGGAACTCGAGGCTTGCAAATCAATAAAAAACCGAGCCAAGACGCAGTTGGCTGTTCTGGACGAGTACCAAGGAATTCTTCAACCGGGGAGGAAATGTCCCAGGCACGAAAGATCTCGGAACATGCGCTCTTCACAAGCACCCGGGCATCGTTAGCACCGTTTATTGAGTCTCCATGCACTTCTCTGGCATGACCGCCCTTTTTACTGCTGCGCATGGGCCATACTTCATTTTCAGGCTTTGCATGTCGTTGACAGCAGTAGACGAGATTAAGCCAGTGGTGTTATCTTCATCCCATCGCTGCCCACCCCCATTTAGGAGTCTGTTTGGTAGTGATTCCCACCGGGCAGTTGTCAGAAAAGGCAGCTGCTGTTTGGCGTAAATGCCAACAATTGTAGGACACAGTGATTGACAGATGTTTATGGGAGACAAATGCTGAGTTGAGTTCATGCTGTCTTTGGCAGATAGTGTAAATGAATTTCTTATATTGTATTGTGCAAAGCAGTTGACGCCGTAGACTGCGACGCATGAATGGCGTATCTGTCATGTGATCCGATCCTATGCTCCTTCTGGGGTTTGCGGATGAATATCTGCCAAATAGTTTGCTTTTTTGGTTGTCGATGTACGTTCACGACTCCCCTGACACTCGTACGAGAAGTCTCAGCACATATTCACAGTGCTGAGGTCCTCTATGATTCCGATCAGCGTAAGCGGCAAAGCATTGACAAATATCAAATCAAGACCTCCTGTCAGCTCAACAGCGTCTTCCCCTACTCGCCAAGGACCCTTTTTCAAGGAAAGTTTGCCAAGAGACGATCGTGAAATCCAACAAGAGATCCATTTCGAACCATGGAAGCTCGCGCACGCAAGAGCATATAGGGGGTCAAGAGGGATCGATAATACAGATTAAGTATAACATGGAGAAACCAGGAGACGCAGACCTAATCGATGGTCTTTTTAACACGAGTAATGAGCAGCAAGCTTGTCTTAGGTCATCGTCTGCGCCTTGAGTGTTTCGTTTAGGAGCCTTAAAGTGCTGTAACATGATAGACGTTGCATGAACACATTCAGACTTCTTGAAAGCTTATGGAGTGCCGAATATCAATTGCAAACACTGGTTTTTGTAAGAGCAGCAGAGACTTTTATGTGGTCTTTCAACCGCTCCCCTGGTTTTCTTGGTGGACGTCGTTCCTCCGATTGGCATCGAGAGCCGAAAGGACCTTAAACTGATAAGTTCATTCTGGGAAGGCCACGTATATGCCTTCCATGACCACCACAATAGCCAAGAAGAAAACCCAGGCAAAATATGATTATAAATTTGGCAATTTTGCAATGACATCAGTACGTCACGGATGTGAGACAAGAGGGACACCCAGTGAACCTTTCCCCATACGCCGTCTTAACAGAGGAGAGCCTCGTAGATAAACTCCTGCGTGCTCCCTTCAAACCTAGGTCAGGTTTGTGGACTCCGGTATTGAAATCGGGATGAAGATCGTATCATGCGGTTCTGCGTCACAGCCAACCCGTTGGAGTCCATTTCGAGAGACAAATAGTTGTCTTATGGTGTGACACGAACCGTCAAAGCCCGGAGGATGCTTAGAGAAGAACTGCATGTCTTTCGAAGTATGTGCAAGCAGTCAGCGTGCATAAACCTGATGATAATTGCAGACAGCATAAGGAAGGTCATGGTTTTAAGACCAGGTGTAAATAATTCTTTCCGTCGATAGGAAGACCACATACTCCGGGCCAGGAAGAGACTCCTTGGTGATTGGTATGTGTCCGAACTCTGTCGAAGACCATCGACTCATCCTGTGAATACACAAGAAATCCAGCAAAATGAGACATTGGCGCAGAAGAGACTTGGGCAGTCTTCCAACCATTCCTCAATGGATGTAAGAAAGGTGGGGATGCCCCGCTACTCTCCGGGTAGAATTCCCTCCTTGTTGTTGCAGTATCGGCAGCTGCAAAGCACAACCCGTCTGAAAACCGCAAAAATGGCCTTAAATTCCATTGCTCGATTGGAACGAACATTTGCATCCATCACGCTTACAGACACGGATGATCTTGTAGATCGTGATTCTCCGTAGTCCCTTTTGGTTCTGGAGTCCCAGGCGCACCGTACAGCAGGCCTGGGCCTTTCTCATAGTCGAATCCCGGTGTCTGAAATGGAAATATCGGACTTGTGCTGTTGTGGACCTAGCCAGATCAGCATGTCAGATGCTCGCAAAACCGCATGAGTTCCTCCTATAGACGCTCATTGCCATATATTCAGGATTTGCCGTCATCCGCATATGTGAGGTATGGTATGGAACTAGAGGTTCCCGGCTCTTGTTCTCTCAAGAGGAGGAACACATGCCATATTTTGACGTAGCCTGATTTCGGCTGCTCCCATGTTGCCTGCTTGATTTTCGTGTATTATGGTCTTCGTTGAAGTATAGTCTCAGTAGTCTCAGTACAGAGCGTTCGCAGATTGGAACGATCGACAATGAATGGGTAATATCCTGCGGCTACAGGAATAAACGTAATGCCATGGGCTCGAACAATCGGCGATGGCCCAGATTTGGTCTGGTCTGACCAGGATAGTCTCATCATAAAGGATGTTGAGCACCCTCATTTCTTCATGCGTAGTCATGGCTTTTTTTGAATTGCCAAAAATAACATCGAGAACGAACGCCAAGGCCGATATACCGATCTTGCGACATTCTTTCCATGCAGCGGAGCTCATTGTTGGAGCCCACAATCTGAACCAAGATATGTCCTGTCTTCATTTGATGAGAAAGTTCAAAACGGACAATTCTTGCTCGCTAGATGTTTCATCTCTGCAGAGCCTTTTCCATTGCCGGACATTCCAGCCCACTGGGAAGCTCGCCACCAAATAACTCATCCAGACGCAACAGACAGCAGTGGTGGAGGAGCAGCAGACCGTTCATAGATGATGGGATAGAAAACGCCTTCGGTTAAACGCTGATCGGTTAAAAGCTGTTAAGGGAACGAGACGTTGGAAGAACTTTCCGCGTATTAGACTCGGTAGCGGCATCAAAATCCCGGCTGGATCTTGGAATGACACATTCTGTGCCTTGCAATAGATAATGTTAGCGTTAGCGGCCCTTGTATCAATCGTCCCTGGTTGTGATTGCTGCTGGTACGTCGTGGGGATGCTTGTTGGATCTCCATAAGTAAGCCCATACTTTTTTAAATAAATCAACCACTCACATGGTGAAAGTTCGTTGTTGCAGATTTAGGACCTGCTAGCGCTGAAACCCCACTGTGGATTTTCATTGTCGCTGTAAGTGTCCTCGAAGAACTCGACCGATAACCAGAATTTGGTTACTCGCTTGTTTCCTAGAATCCCTTTTCAACAGCCAGGATTGTGCCATGAAGGCAACGTCTGACTATCGGAAAGACGACCGCCTGTGCAGGAAGATTTGTGACACGACCGTAAATTTTGCTTTCCGTAAATATGATCGGACTCATTTGCATGCTGTCGGAAACGGGGATATGGCTTCGGTCGGTTGGAATAGCCTTCCATGTTTGATTCGATCTCGATAGTTTGATCCAAGATCGGGCCAGCAGACAGCACCACAGAAGTTCAACGCAAGGTATTCCTGCACCATTTAACGGGCAAATAGATGGCCATAATGTGACAAGACCACAGGTTCAACTAGCTCAGCCGTAAAATGAAGGAGGTAGCTTCAATCTGGCAACGTCTGAAGGTCTTGAGATATCATTTCCCTCTGCAGGTTGATTTGGCGTAAGCGTGCCATATTCTCCATGCCTGGCTTCGAATAATGTGGCTTTTCTCAAAGCCCTTTTCAGAGTCATGAATGCTCAGCTTACACAGTGGCCCATCAGGAAGCAACGGCTCCCGCATAGCCTTGGATAAACAGGAATTTGACAGTATCGTCCGGTGTTCCATAAAGACCGATTGCTTGCCAGTCCATTAGTCTATCCCGCAGGCCTCTCTCCTTGCAGAACTTGCTGCCAGACCACAATTACGCAGCTCCTCCTTTCGCGCCCCTGGCTGCTTGATATACTTCTTGCCAGGGTACTTTTTGGGGTTAGTCTGACTCGCCAACCTGAACCATCGTCACCGTATCTGTCCACATTCCGACACAGGGGTAGGCGCTGAAAGTCGGTTGTGGTTGGGGAGAGAAGGTTGTATCGTAAACATCATCGACACATAATCTTCTTTTCCGGTTATATATGTCTTCTCGACATACCAAAGCGTAAGGGTCTCGGTGCTAATGTACCGAGCCCCGAAGGAAGCACTTGCAGTCTTTTTGGTGTTGGAGCTTACGGGTGCTCGATACAATTTGCGTGTCATCGGTGAAGATTGAGTGAGCAAGACTTGAGTCGAAGACTTTCACTTCATCTTGTGCGGTAATCCCGCTTCCTAGTAATGTCCTAAAAAGTCTTGAGGTTGCCCACTGGAACATGTATTTTATCTCAGACTCGTCCACTAGGGGTCAGGACAGCGAAGGGCTAGCCATGCGTCAGAAAGGATGACGTAGGTAGCGTCAAGGTACCAAGACCTTCGCGTGGCTCCTTGCTTGTCGTTTCTCGGCACGGATGACTTTCCATCGAGCCACTGTTCTGTAGTCGATGGGTGACGAGGAGCCTTCGCGTCAACGTTGAAACCGCGCAGGTCAAAGCGCCCAGCTTGGCTTGGTTGAAGCAGACCATGCCATACCCGATAATTAGGGTGGTCGCACATTCAAATGAGCGCGGCACCCTCTATATCAAATTCCATATTGCAATGGCAAAGCAGGGATCATTATTATCTCAAACGCCCGCTCCATGTAATCTACCAGGAAATTTTCCGGCCCCAATTAACAAGGAGCACGGCAGAGCCCACGGCAGACTCCTTGCATCCTTTGCCATTGTAGTGCGATTGGTCATGTCTGTTGACTCTCACCCTTTCGATGGTGACGATCGAGAGAGAAGGATGAGTAGAAGACCGCTTCATTCCACGTGTGCGAGGAACCCGCTTTCGAGCAGGTTGGAGACCGGTTGACGATTAGTTATCTCACTTGACGTTGCGCGTGGTATGCAATGGCTTTTCAATCACTAATGTACTGGGCCTTTGAGGGATACCTTGTAGCTTTTCCAATTGCGAAGCGAGTTGAAGTCGTCGTAAAGACCCTGAGGCCGCGCGCCATATCATTGCGCGGATTGGAGGAAGAATGAGTTGATCAAAGGCTATTGATTTGCCGTACCTGGGGTCGGCGCTCTCGCGAAGGCTGCCACGGGTGGTGGGTAGGTAAACCCCCTTGCCGCTCAGCGTGAAATACCATGACGTTTGTGTCACTGATACACCAGGCCCAAGGAGAGCGGTTTGCATGATATCTGATTCCGAACTCAGTCAAACAATGCCTTAAAAGTCTCGAACGCGTGGGTTTTCCGACTATGTGCTTGAGGAGGAAGAATGCGTAAGTCGAGAACTGTTCATGCTCCGTGCGCGGCGTCAACCAGATCCCAGACGGGTTGAGGGTTGGTGAGCTCTCCTGCCGCTCAGCGTGATGTACCATGACGTCTTTTTCATTAATGTAGCAGGCCCGAGAGGGGTGGTCCTTGTAAGTCCTTGCGGCTCTTCCGATTGCGAAGGGAGTTGAAAGTATCGCAAAAGTCTTGAGGGCGTGCGTCATCTCACCGTGCGGATATGGAGGAAGAAAGAGTTGATCAAAGGCGGATGATGTTTCGTGCACGATGTTGCTTCGTTCGAAGGGTTGTTGGCTGGGATGGGGAGTTGAAGAGAGAAGGAGGTTAGAGGAGGGTGAGAAGGGGTAGATAGTGGGAGGTGGAACTGATTGGTAAATGAGACAGGTGTGAGAGGAGGGGGATGGGTGTGAGATAACTCGGTACTGCCTGTACGCTACTTGGTTGAAATATGGAAAATTTGACATTGTCTTAAGGACTTTGGAATTTCGTAAATGCTCGTACTTAGCTGGCACTAGGATTGAGGGATATGAAGCCACGTAGAGGGGGGAGGCGGGGTGGTTTAACGTCGACGGGCAGATGCCGCGAGGTAAAGGCTATGGATTGCGTCTGGGTTCGTATCAACATCCTTTGTCATAGTGTGTCTCGGTAGTAAAGGGAAAGATGCCGCGTGGGCGCGCTCAAGTGGATGCATCGATGGCAGTGGAATAGGATTCGCTCAGCGGATGTCAGAGGACTGTGACCGGTCGCGAATATTCAGGAGGCCTTCGCGTGTGTTATAGTCACGCTATCCAGCTCGTCAAGGAGATCGACAGTCTCCTTAGGGCTGGCGATCCAAGCGGTTGTGGACGCCAGACGGGCCTGTAAATTGATTAGCATGTGGACATCAAATACACGGATATTCCGTCTAGGTCTTGAACTCACCCTGAAATCATTAGCCCCCGCGGATAAGAATTGATCGCCGATATGAAGCGTCTTGGAAGGTTCGATGCCGCCCAGATAGCGTTGGCATGCGCGCACACCCCAGGACTTGTCGCCGATATCGACGAACACGTCGTTACCACCTGTTCACGTTAGTAATTTTCGAAGGCGACCTTCTGTGGGAAAGAGGACTCACCATTGAAGGCGCAGAAAGGCAGCCGAGCTCCAACAGCCGATCTCTCGACCGTATTCTGAACCGCGAGGACCGTCTCTTCGAGCAGCTCTCGATCCATCTTCGCCCCATGGATCGGGTAAACACCCACAGCTCGATCCTTCCGCAGAACCTCGACAGGCAGATGCAGAGTTTCCTTACAAGTGAGCAAGGCGTTCTCCGCAAGATCAAGAAGCTCCTTGATATCTTCCTCCTTCCAGGAGCGCATCTCGTCCAGCAGCCACTCCTCCCGAGGAATGTACGACAGCTTAGACTTCTCCGCCGGGTTGAATCGGAACAAAAAGTTGCTCTCACCGCCCATAACGACAAGACCGTCTTTCTGGGCGGTAGTCAAAACACCATTCTCGTGTACAGCATCAAGCAGGCCATATAGGCGCTCGTAGTACTTTGGCGCCTCGGAGTACCCCGCAGCCGTGACGATCCCCACCTTGATTCCTTGGCGGAGCAGGCGGATGATGCAAGGGATGACGGGGTTATCAGACAGGAGATTGGTACCATCATCGTAGAGAGTGACATCTCCATCAAAGGTGATGAGCTCGACGGAGCTGGTCTTGATGAGACCCAGGACTTGAGCGGAGTTGAGGATCAATCGGATGTCGTTGAAAGAAGGGGCGACGAAGCGGCGGCGACTGATGAAGCGTCGCTGGTCTTGATATCGGAATGCCTCCCGCAAGTGCAGGGGAGTGAAAAATGTTCCTACGGTGGGCACGAGCAGTTTCAGCTTGGATTTGCCGGGGAGAGACACTTTCTCGTGGTGCACTGTATACGTGTCAGCTCGATCAGCGATTCCGAAGGTGTTGGGCTCGGCCTACTATGAGCCTCAATCAGTCTTTCCACATCTTGCATAATCTCAGCATAGCGCTGGTGCGTATCAGCGGCTGCAAGGGTCGTCAGACCCTCGCCAGGCTCCTGGTTGATGATTGTCGGCTGGGAGTGCAGGACGAACGGGACGGCCAGCAGACCCTGGTGGGAGATCAGCAAGCGATGACGATACCCAGGCAGAAAAATATAAACCTACCTTGATCCATTCAATCTGTGACCTGTTAGCTTGGACTTCATTGCAGGGAGGCTCGAGTAGTGCTTACCAGTTGGTCCCGACGATGTGTCTACCGCTGCGGTGTCAGTGAGGGGCAACCAATGCCGGGGCAGGAACATTTACCTTGAGCGCATCTAGAGAATATCAGCATCAGGAAATCCAGGCAGCAAGGCAGACGGCTTTACGTACATTCCACGCGATATCTGGTCGTCATGATGGCAGCTGCGAGGGACCAGCGAGGGAAGTGGAGATGTGAAGGTGGGAACTCCGAACTCCGCGCGCACGTCCCGAAAGATCAGCCGTGACTCACGCGGCGTCACCAATCGGACTAGCACTTCTTCCCCATGCTAGTGCTTGTTTCGCTGCGGATTTCCCCCCATTGGAGCTCGATTCGAGCTAGTGCGAGAAATACGATTTTTCTTTTATTTTTTGTCTGCCTAAGACGCCACCGACACTGACACGACACCCCCGAATGGCATTTCCGATAGACACAATTTGCGAGTGGCTTGTCTGATGAAAGTGGGATCGACCGCTGGGGGTTTCGATTGGTCGGATTTATGTCGCAGAAGAAAATTGAGGTCTAGATCGACTCTAGCGCTGGCTAGATGGAGTTTAGATGGACTTGGATACGGTGGACTCAGACATGATCCCGGATGACCCATGGTGACTCTAGAGCCGCAGTAGTATCTCTCTGCCTAACTCGTTTACGAAAGCTAGTCCGAGGAGCAATGAATTCCGAGTCGTGATTATTGGTACCCAACTACTCAATCACTATGAAGCCTCTGACGTGACGGGATACTATGAATATGCGGGAATATATATAGAGGTTGATTATGGGCCTACTTTACGAATCTATAGTCCTCACAGACCTAATTACATACAAACCTGAAAGAACCTCGAACCTTTTTTTTTTTAATCAAACATACTCCTTTTTATATGCCCCAAAGTGATGCTCGCTGTATCACCATCACTACCCACAACGACGATGAACCACCCGGAAAAGACCCATAGAGCCCAATCCCCACCCGGCGCTTCTCCACCATACAACTACACCTACGACAATGACGACGCCTCAACAGAGAACCTTCTTAGACCTCAGCCCTCAGAACCAGGCCTAGCATCCTCATCAATGCTGACAAGAGGTCTCCAAGTGCCCTCCCGAACATCAGCAACAACCTCCGGCTTCCCTTACCCAGAAGAGCTGTCCAGCCACAAAATCACAAAGGAAAAATGGGCGGAATTCACAACAAAAATCTGCGATGAGGCAAAGCTCTCCCGGGATCAATGGAAAGCTGTTATCGGGAAAGGGCTGGGGACGCTCGCGCTTGGCGGCGTTATGATCGGGTTCCTGGGTGCCGTTCCGGCAATCTTTGTTGCGAAAAATGCTAGGAGGCGGCAGGAGCAGCGAAATTTGATCTCCTCCATGGCGGGAGCGCGTGGGAAGGAGCTTGCCAGGCATATCGCGCATTGGAATAATACATTCTTTCAGCCGAGAGGTCTGCTTATTCGCGTTGATCTGCCTGATGAGTATCTTCAGGATATGGAGAATATGAATCTGCATCCTGAGGCGATCAAGAAAGGTGATGCAAAGGGACGGGAGAAGGCTGCTCTCAAAGCGAGAATCGTTATTATTCCCACCGAAGCCGTCAGAGTAGATTCCGACAGTTCTTTCAGAGGGAAGATTAATGGGAGGAGTGAAGGCTTTGAAAATGAAGCTTATTGATTTGGTGGCTCGTAAATAAATAATATATATGCGTCGTGGATACTAATATAAATCAATCCACAATATGGCCATTGTATTCTCAGATTAACAAGTGCTCACTAGATTTATGTACGCAATATACTACTGAGTCTTGACTTTACACTAATATTTTAATGCGAGTAGGCTTTTGTTTGCGCCCAAAAATATTGCGCAGAAATCCATGTTTCTGTGGCACCTACTCGCGCAAAAAGTTCCCTCCGGACATTCCCGTGAAATGCATTCTCTGGACAATACATGCTTTCCTAATAGGACAAGCTCAATCCGTGCCAGCTGACCGAGAAGCCCGCCCTCTCCTCCAGAAATTCCCTTTCCTCTATTCCCTCCAGGTAATTTCCCCCACCCATGTTTTGTCGTCTGTTGATTTCGAACAGGAAAACCGTACCCACGGCTGGTGGGCGGGCAGTCCGTCTCGGGCCCAGAAGCAGTCATGGTCAGAGCAATTGTTCGTGTTTCGTGTGTGTGATAATTGCTTGCTGTGATGATTCTGCTGTTACCATCGAGCCTTATCGTATGGGAATGTTACTTGATCAGCGCTCTGATCGGATTCCCAGTCTTTTGCTGGTCCACACCGTTTGCGGTGCTACGCGTGTTTGCTGCCACTGGTAATCCTCTTCAGCCCTTGAATCATTTCCATCTAGCCTCCTCAGTGACTTTTGCTAACAACAACTCTACTCACAGATCCTGACCACCATCACGTATACACGGTAAAGTTTCTCTACCTCATTTCTCTCCTATCGGCCCTCGAAGACCCTCTTCCCTTACTACTCGCCCCTTAAACACCCATCTATCTCATCATGTGCCGGTCATCATACGAGCTCCTTGCCTACACTCATTAGGTCTAGTGCCTGAACATGTCGCCCGCGACCTACAAACGAGATAGTGGGCGTTTCTCAAATCGGCCGGAGAAAGATTGTACCATGCCCTAGATAAAGAAAATGCAGTCCAACGGCCCCCTGTGCCTACAGACAAAGGTAAGAAACGATATACAACGGGAAACATGACAAAGAAAGGATCCGGAGAACCCTCCTTGTCTTATTGTCGACTTCTCTCCCGGATGGGAAGCACCGTACGAGTCACAAGTTACCAGGTAATCTGCATTGGCGCAACCTCCCTCTTACCGGGGTATTCATTGTGTGAGCTGTGAGGCTATACGCAGGTACAGCTTCGCATAGGCCAACGCCAACAGTAACACTCTTGATTACCTGTTATTAGGACTCACCAAAGCATACAATGCACTTATGGTCATAAATATGAAGCTGTGTTGGAAGCTTGGGCATATATGACTTCTGCGGGTGGCTTGTATATGGGCTAGAACTGATAGGCTATAGCCTCTCACGGCTGAGTGAGGACCAAGGGGCCAAGGACAGCACCAGGCTCTATAAAAGTTTCACAGATAGTTGAAGGCATGTCCGGCGTGTTTTTGTGCCTCCTCTCAGCACTCTGTTTTCTCAGCTGCGCTGATGTCTCAAGGATAATTCTCAAGTTGCAATCTAAACCAGGGGCTTTCAAAGGTCATGGGCATACCTCTATTGAATGAGCTTTGCAAGCCCAGCTATGTCGATTTTCGACCGGTAGAATGCAAGGCAATACCAGGGAGCGTGACGGGAACTGGAAATATGAAAACAGTAGACGACGGACCGGATAAAAGCGTTTCAACAAGTCTGTTGAGCTAGGATCATGGGGTTAGCCAGTTTAAACAGACATACTGCAGGCAGTCACTCGTATTCACCACTCTGCTTCTTCATTCCTGGAGGGACCAATTCAAGAATCGAGAAGAGACTCGCAAAGCCTTATCAGAGCACTGCCTGGGTGGGCCGCGACCAAGAAGGCCGTCCACCACAGAAGGTCTACAGCATTTCACAGCGTGGCGATCGTCTGTTCAGTCACCCTCGGGGGGCTGGGGAGCATAATGTTTGGCTCTTCCCCTCTGGGCATTCTACAACTTTTGACCGTGCCTTGGGTCAGTGACTTGAGCTTGGAGAGGAGATTCACAGCCATTCAACACTGTTTCTATAGAAGCAAGCTCTTTTCGCGGCGTTGTTTACATACAGGCAGGAGTAACCCAAACAGAATCGGTCTAGCGCTGAATGCGTTGATGGGTATAATTCCTACCCTCCTCGCACGAAACCCCCTCTCCTTCGCTTCCCTTATCGGCGCCTTTACTTCCACTACTGACCTAGAACTTCCAAATCTGATGAGCCGCCGCATTGCACAGCGCGGCAGATCGCAGGTCAAAAAAGACGCCATCACAATAGTTTTTGAAACGGCCCCCTATAGCTAAGGTGCACTTTTTTTTCGTCATGGCTAGGGTCAGTGACACGGGCTTGGAGAAGAGAAAGTCAAGTGATTCCAGATATTGCTCTGCTCTGAGTAGCAGTGGATTCCCTGCTATTGCCCTTAGTTTCCTTGTCGTCTACATGTTGCTTCCATTGAGATATCGACGGTTGTGTGCCTTGCTTCGCCGTTCTATGGCAGCTGAATCTCGTCATCTAGCTCCCAGCACTTATCCCATCCTTTACTAGTCTACCACGTTCTTCTGCCCGTCTGAAGCTATCTCCCAGCCGACATTCAGCCCGAGATGTGCTTGACACGCAGGCACGCATCCTGATTCCTGGTCCGTTCCACTGAGCAGACACAAAGCGCGTATCAACAAGAAGCCCTTCAACACAGTGTGCAAAACATTCATTGCTTGCTACGCCGTGAAGAAAGCGGAAATAATCATATTCATTATGGTTTACTGATGACTTTCTCTTTCAACGACAGGCCATACACACAACGCTCCCTCCTTACCCCATATCCTACTGCTCCCACCGCGACGAGACGCACCCCCTACATTCAACTGCATCTTCAAGCCAATCCCCGGGATACCTAGACATCGATACTCAACTTCGCCCTCAGGGTTTGAATAGGCTCAGCTAGAAGAACAGCTCCCACGCTGTGGCCGTCTAGGCTGGAACCAGAATCGTGATAAAAGGCGTGGAAGCAAGCAAAACATCATCAGCTCCCAACAACCCAGACTTATCGTTCAGAGGACTTCCTGCGGTATAGATGTACAGGACATTACAACACCCACAGCTAGAGGCCCACTAAACACGTCGACTGGTGAGCCAGGATCGGATCTGTCACTGGTCTTGCGTGAACCTGTGAGACCAGGCGTGAATATGCCCTGGGACTTGGTCACAGCGAGCAGCTTGCTGTCGACAATCGTGAAGACTACGTAGCTCATTGTGAGGAGGTACATTCACGCATATATCTTCTGGGGGCAATTCCCGTAGGCCAATTACTGTGGTTGATTTGTGAGAGACTGGAGAACTACAAGTCTAGAAGAATATGTGCACAAGGCCTGCTGTATAATAGTAAATAACTACAGCAAAGGGGACGAGAATGGTGATATTCCATAGTCATATTCGATATTGACACTAGCAATAACGCCAGTGTCAGGTAAGAATAGGGTAAGAACCCCTAGACCACAGGAACAAAACAAAAAAAAAAAAACAGTAGCAACAGAAGCCTTCGCCTCGAGGATAATCAGAACATTAAGGGAAAAACAAGTAGGAAAATGGAGGAACAGTGGATATCGTCATAAAACGTTGTCGAAGCTAGGAATTTTCGAACAAAGGCGCGATTAAAGCGGGAGACCATGGCCCTCCTGCTTAGGCACGTTCATACCGTCGTGAGACGTAGTCGACTCGTCATCTCGACCACGGCGGTTGGCGAATTGATTGGCCATGAACGGATTGGCTTCATCGGGTTTGTTGCGCATGCCCAGGCCGGCGGAGGCAATCCGGTTCAGGGAGGTCATGTCGTCGTTCGAGTTGCCGGTGGGTCCAGAGTGCTGGTTACCCTGCTGAGGAGCGGCCGGGGCCACCATGGTGCCTGGCTGGCCAGCGCTGGGGAGACCTGAGGCCATGCCGAAGTCCTGGCGGGGCTGGTGGAGGTCGATGTTGGGCGGGAGTTCGGGGACTTCGGCAGACATGTCCATCAGGCGGGACTGGAGGGTGATGATGTAGTCACGGAGCTGGTAGTTCTCGTTGGAGAGGTTGGTAATCTTATTACGGCACTCTTCGAGGCCTTTGACTTCATCTTCCAGCTTGCGGATGTAAGTTTCCTTGCGTTGACGGAAGGCACGCTGTATTCAGTTAGCAATTGTTGACAACAAATCAGCGGGGAGACACTTGCCTGAGCGGCACGGTTCTGGGCAGCACGCTTGGAAGTTGACAGTTCACGCTTGCCGTGGTACTTAGCGTTACCTTCATCGGGGGAAGGCTGCTGCTGAGGAGCTGTAGGGGGAGTGTGAGGGGAGCTCATCATGACACCGCCGGAGATGGCGGGATCTATGTTGGAAGCATCACGCGACGCAACAGGGTTCTGCATGGGGTTGGGCTGCAGTTGCTGCTGCTGCTGGTTGGGCTGAGCAGGAACTCGCGAGCCCATGTGGTGCTGGGCAGCCAGCAGCTGGTCGTGGAGCACTAGATGTACCGAGTTAGCAACCATTATATCACTTGGATTAGGTGAAACACGTCGCGAAAACAAAATGGGAGTGCGAATGAAGCCATGTTTGGACCAGCCTTGAAAGACACTACTGCACTCCCATCTGACTGCGACGACGCGACTTTGCCAGATTGAAGTGTATTACATACTTCGATCCTCATGGTCCTTGTCGGAGTAGTCAGCATTGTACTTGGCCAGAGACGTGAAAACATTCAGAGACGCGGTATCCCACGCGTTCTCGTGGGAATCTTCGGGTTCGCCACTCACCTGGTGATCGGTGGAAGACTGCATCTTGTCGTGTCTGCAAATAAATCCGGATACTTAATCTTCAGCTGGTAATAGATGTCAATCTGTACAAGGATCGGCGGCTGAGTTGGGACAGATTGGCGTGCCCAGTCGTCGCGGAACTCCTGCGGGACCTGGAACCCCGTCAGCGTAAAGACGCAAAAGAAAAACGCGAGCTCGCACTCACTAGACCCTCTTTACAGTCTTCTGTTGATGGTACACTTAGGGCTCTTGATGCCGAATGAGGTAAGCAGGGTGGTTTGGATGATGCTGTAAGCAGGAGGAGCGAGGAGGGATTACTTAAGAAAACTGCGAACGTGCATCACGTGGGCGGTGCGATAAAGGGAGGCCGCCGGATGAAGAGGCGGTAGGGTGCATGCCGCCATTCTGCCCGGCGATCACGTGGGATCCAGACCGAATTCTGTACGGTAGGCTAGGATTTGGCTTTCATAGGCTGCTAGAGCATTTTGTGGCTATCTTCGGATCTTCAAATAACAAGTCTTCTCGGAAATACACTAATCAATTCCCAATATCGTGACGAACGTTCATTCATTTGCCTGGCAGCGTATCTCGACTACCGGCGCGGTTATCCGAAAAAGGTTAGACCCGGTAAACACATCCTGATATCATCATCGCCTTGTCTCACGTGTTGACACCTTGAGGGAACACAACGGTCTTTTGTACAACCATTCGACTAAGCAACACACCGCGAGAGGGTAATTGCTGACAGCATCTGTCATCTTGGAGATGACACTGGTCTAAATTTTAGGCTTTTGAATACCTGGCTTGAAGCATACTCTTTCTTACGCCGTTCGCAGACAAGTAATCAGCTACAGCTCCAAGTGACTGCTGACAAGGATATTTGCGCTGATGGCGCGGGGAGTCTCAAAGTGAAATGAATTTGTAAGGATTATGAGCACCCACTGCAAACTCATCTAAGCTAGTCAGAAAATAAGGGGAAAATAATTCATAAAATTTCGAAGTATTCTACCTTGCAGCAAGCAAATACCCGCCCCTGACCAACACCGGGGATACACAATCTTGTAGAGCAATCAACTGTGTCAGCACCGTGCCATTTAGGAGAAAATGAAGACCCTGTGGCGCAGGAAACCAGGATGCGAATCCAGTTCCTCGGCTTCGCCGGAGTGATTATGGCAACCTCGTCTACCGCGAGATCCTACATGACAGGAGAAGACGAAGACCCGGCACCTTTGACCATCCCGGTTTCAGCTGGTGCAGAGCTCGCCATGCTCTCTGCTGCGGGGCTTTGCCTCTTGTCGTGCGAAGTCCGGGCGCAAGTGACTGTCCTCCTGGACTAACATCTGCCCGGACCCTACTCGGGATCTAGGCATGCGAGCGGCGCCCATGCTCAAAGATCGAACATCCTCGGGTGTCGGTGCGCCTGATCGCTCGATAGCTCGCCAAAGACCTCGAACCTCTTAGGAAATACTGGACAGAGTCGACGATTTGCATGAGGCAGTCGATCCAGAAGGGTTCGACCTCGGTGACTTGCCAGAGACACTGGATGGGACATCAGTCGTCATTGACGAGTAGCTGGATATTTGAGAGCCTGGGCGTGGCTGTGAGCGGCCCTTTTGAATGATTTCTGGTCGGTTATCTGTACTCGGAGGGTGAGTGAACGCTGTCTGATGTGGCGAGGCAGTCACCAAGGCCGAGTCGGACGCTCTCTTTTGGGGAATTGACCCATGCCTCTTGTCCAGGGGACCAGCAGATGACGACCTACGTCCTTGCCCTTTTTCAATTTGCTCGCTCAATTATGGCTCGTCCATGTGCGTCGGATTCATTTCTGTTGCCCTCATGGACATCCTATCCGTCGCCTTTACCTCTAGGGCCATTTCTACCACCATTACCAGCTCAGCTCTGATCAGGCCCTCCACGACCAACTTCGTGTTTCGTTCCACTTCCCTTTTTTGGGGCCATTCTGACTGGGCTAGAGAATGCTTTTCCAACGTTTGGAAATTAAAATTGATCTGTACGAAAAAGATCTGGTCAGTAAATCGACCGTTGTCTGGGAGTTCACGATATAGAACCGGGCGGGACAGACTCATCTTTTCAAACTGTCTGTTCCTGATGAAGTCGATGCGTTGCAGGATCATATGCGCGAGGGATGTCGAAGGAATCACGGAAGGACTTACGGAACGATGAACCGGCCTCATCGATCTGCCCAGGACCGGGACCGTTGATTCCCTTTTGCTTATAACGGATCGGAAGATCGTCGAGCAGATCAAATGCAACGCCCAACTGAGCCTACTTCTGCTAGCAAATTTCATTATAGCTTTCGAAATTGTCCCAGTCCGGGTCAAACAGCCTGTTCTGTGCTGGATAGGGAGACCTTTGCGGTCTAGTTGATCCCTGGGCAGAGATACGTTCAGACCAGAGCCTCTGCATTGAAGGACTGCTGAGAAAGATTTCTATTGTATTTGAGACGATCATGCATACGTTTTCAAGATTTGCGCTCAATTGTTGGCGTTCAAACTCACCTCTACAGGAACTCCCCCTTCCAATTACAACTTCTCCCGCTCACACTTTGTCTTTCTCTCCTTCCACCATTGCGACATAATCTGGCTTTATTTGACTCCTTTCGTGGACGAGTTACTGAGTCCCGTAAACTGCTTATCACTACACGTCACATATGAAAAGGCTCCCTAGGAACTGCTGGGAATTAATTTGATAAAACGTCTGTCTTCGATCGGGCCTCTTGATTGTTGATGTAATCTTCGCGTAGCTCCTGGCCCCTGGATGACCTAATTATGCCTAGTGGCGTGGAGCTGTGTATCAAAGCTGGGAGGGGCAACTTAAATTTTCAGGGAGGCTAGGCTACGTAAGGATAAGTTGAAGGCAAATTTGTTGACTTTTTGTCAAAATGTAGATCTACCATGCTAGTACTACTAACTGAAGAGGTGTGCCAGGCATTTCAACATTTCTGTCTCTAGAAAATCTATCCCACTTTGCCATGAAACAAAAACGCGAAAGGCATGCTGCTCTATTTATCAATATCAAAATAATGTACTTCAGCACTCCTATTGACAAACTAAGTCCAGTTTTCGCCAAAATTCCAGTAAGCTGTCATATACCATAAAGCCTATCCAACCAGCCCCTAACCTAAACCCCCGCCGCCAACTTTGTCAAAGCCTCCCCATCAACCATCATCTTCATCCACTCCTCCATCCCCTTAGCACCCACCTGCTCATAGAAGCGAATACTCGGCTCATTCCACTTGAGCACACTCCACTCCAGCCGTCTTCCGTTCGCTTGAACAACCTGTTTGGCCAGGAACTTAAGCAGCAAAAAGCCATACCCGTTCCCGCGCGCTGACGGCTGCACATATAAATCCTCGAGGTAGATTCCCGGCGCGGAACGCCATGTGCTGTAGTTGTAGAAGTACAGCGCCATGCCGACGGGGACCGGGGTGGGATTTGTTTCGCTGGCGGGGGGGATTACAAGCGCTGTGTAGACGGAGCCGCGCTTGGGGGCGTCGTTGGGGAAGGACAGCGTTGCTAGGAGTGAGGACTCGGTTGCTTCGACTTCGTGCAGGGCTTTTTCATAGTCGGCTAGTTCGCGGATGAATTGGAGGATGTAGGGGACATCTGCGGTGAATTGTTAGATGGTGGGGCTAGTGAGTGGTGTGTGGCTGGCTTACCCTCGGGGTTGGCGAGGCGGATCGTGGGTTGGGAGGCCATTTTGCTTGTTTGATGGGGTTGCGGAGGTGAAGTTTTTCGACAGCGGTTGGTGGAGACTTGGAGATCTGGGGTTGGGGTGGGTCCACTCTGATTGCAAGTCTGTTGAGGGAGAGAGGAAGCAAGGGATGATGCAATCTAAAGAAAAATCTCTGGATTCGAGTCTGGAATTTAAAATGATTATTCTTGGAGCTTGGCTTTGCTCTTATATTGTTTGTGGTGGGCTGTTTCGGCGCCCGCCGAGGAGCTTCTCCACTGTTCGGAGCCTCCGAGGCTTGTCATGGACAGGGCGCGCTAGATGGATCTAAGGAGTGGAGTGGAGAGCAGAAAGGGTATGGTATTAAATCTACACAGAATAATGTCACGGCATGAATATTGCAAATGGTATTGTACAATCGTGATGTTGCAGTTGCTCTCCTAGTTTGAAATCGAATGCAGTATGGGACCGACCCGCTGACGAGGGGTTTCATCGAGACATGATGGCCGACATCCACTTTTGTTCGTCCGCTCTGTGCAATCAGTTAGTGAATTGATCTGCGAGAAGTTAGGGAAAAGTATGCATACGGTTCAAAGTGGAGGAGCTTTGCCAGGACAGGAACCAGCTGCTTCTGATAGTTCTTGTCCTTTTGCTCCATGAACTGCAGGAGGACGTTCTTCAAGTACATGTAGTCAATCTCTTTGGCACTGCGAGCGTCAATTGGCGTCTCACTGCGTTGAATTGAAACACTCCGCTCCTTTCCAACGGGCGAGGCAAGACCCCGTCGGGATCCCGAGTCCATCGATGATCGCGATGACTGGCGTCCGGAAGGAGATCCACGCAGACGAACGTCTTCACCGAGGGTCTGGTGAGAACGACGCAGTTTCTCCAGGCGGCTGTTAATCTCCTCCACGGAACGACGGAGCTCGGCCTTGTCCTTCTCCAAATCGCGCACTTGTTTCTCGCTGCTGTCCAGTTGATCACGAAGTCCGGCCATCGCCTGACGCACTTCTTCCGCCTCTTGCGTAGATTGCTCAGTAAGAAGCTCCAGCTCGTCTCGACGACGCTGCCAGTCCTTGTGCGACTGCATGAGATCCTCCTTATCCCGTTCTTGGGAGCGCAGGGCTCGTTCAGTGTCGCGCAGCGAGGACTTGAGATCCTCGATTTCTCGAGCGCGACGACGACCTTGGGTGTTGGCCTCTTCCTCGACACGATCACGCTCTTCAATAGCCTCCTCCATGCGCTCCTTGAGCTCGCGGACCTTGGACTCGGTGCGGCCCTCGATGTCGTTGAGCAGACGGCGCATGCTCTCACCCTCGCGAGTTCGCTCATTCAGCAGACGGTGAGCATCGGCCAGTTCTTCTTCGAGACTTTCGCACTTCTCGCGCGCCTCCTTCATTTGCATGGCCACCTCCGAGGTCTGGTCGCGCATGCTGTTCATCAGGCTCTGCGCACTGGCGTGCTGGGCCGTCTTCAGAGAGATCTCCTCGCGGAGGCCTTCCAGTTCCTTGGCCACTTGTGCCAGCTGCTCGTCCATTTCACGCATCTTTGTACGAGAGTTCTTCAGGCCATCTTGGGCTTTGGACAGTTCTCCTGCCGTCTTTTCTTTGGCATTAACTGCCTCTTGCTTCTTGGTCTCGGCAGACCGGAGATCAGACTGGGCGAGTGTAAGATTTTCCTCGGCCTTGAGACGACTATCGGTCTCCTGTCGAATTTTCTTGTTCAGGGTCTTGACCTCTGTATCTCTCTCCGTAATCTTTGTCTTGGAGCTGCGCAATTCGGCGCGCAGGTCCTCGTGTTTCGCTTCGAGGGCAATCAACTCGGTGTTCTTGTTCGAAAGTGTCTCCTTCAAGTTCTTTAGCTCTGAAGACTCGGCGCGGAGGTCACGGAGCTCAGGCTGGATCTTCTGCAGGGTTTCGCGCAGATCCGTAAGGTCCTTAAACCGCGTGGCTGCAAGCTGTTGAGCAGCTGAGAGATCGGTCTCCAGAGTGGCCGCCCGGACCTTGAGGGTCTCGAATTCCTCTTTCAAGCTGGTGTGCATCTTCGCAGAGTCGGCCGTACTGGACTCGCTGCTCGTACGAATTTCAACCAGCTCCTTCTCCAACTTGCTGATGGTCTCTTCGAGAGCTGACTTCTCGGCTGTAAGCTCTTTGATCTTGTCCTTGGATTCGACGTGTTCCTGTCCCACATTGACCAGGTCATCACGCAGAGACTCGATCTCTTCCTTCAGGTCTTCTTCGCCCTTCAGCTTCGCGCTGAGGCGATCAATTGCCGCCTCCTTCTCCTCGAGGAGATGCGTGAGCGACTCTATCTTCTGTCTGAGTTCGCCAAGTTCACCGGAGGTTAGAGAGGGCTCAGCTTCAACAGGTTTCTCTTTTTCTTCAGGAGTCTCGGCTGGCTTCGCGGGCTCCTCAGCGGCCTTGCCGCCCTTCTTCTTCTTTTTATTCTTCTTCTTGCCCCCTCCACTGACACCACCGGTAGCGGCTGCAGCAGGTGCGGCTTTCTGCTCGGCAGCTGTGCTAGCTTCCGGCTCCGAGGGCTTCTCAGCAGCAGTGCTGCTGCCAGCAGGTCCCTCTTTATCAGCCTCTGCGAGTTCCAGTTTAGCTTGTCTCCAGACATCTTCAGTCCGCGTTGCTTGCGCGAAACTATCCAAGAAACCATAGAGCTTACCTAGTTCGAATTTCCTGTTGACCTCCTTCTTGAGTTCCTCAACGGTTGATGTCGACTCCTTGAGCTCATTTCGGAGGCTGTCTACCAGACGTTGAAGAACATCGAGCTTCTTCTGGCTGGCATCCTTGTCCTTGTTGGCTTGCTCCAGTTTTGAAGCGACATCGGCATCTGGCTCAGTCTTGGTCGATTTGTCGGCATTGGAGACCTGGGCCTGGAGTTTCTCGATTTGATTGCCCTTATCCTGGAGATCGGTCTTCAGCTGCTCAGCTTCGGTGGTGGCCTTTTCGAGAGAGCTTTCAGCAGAGGTGAGCTTGTTCTTGAGACCATCGATGTCCTTTTGCTTAGACGTCTTGAGCTCCTCGATCTCAGCATCCAACTTATCCTTGGTATCACGCAGCTCGACCAATTCTCGAGTAGAGGTTTCCAGATTTTGAACCATGCCTTCTGTGGACTCGCGAGTGACGGACAGATCTTTCTTGAGCTTCTCAACCTCGGTCTTGAGAGTCTCGATCTCCTCCTCGCGCTCCTTCAATTCACCCTCCAGGCGGGGTACTTCGTTGTCAAACGAGAAGAACTCCTCACTGGTCTCTTTGTTCTCCTCGGTAGACTTCTTCTCCTCCTCCGCCGGTGTCTGCTCTTTATTCTCTTTCAGTCCGGCCACCTCGTCCCAGGCGTCTTTGGCAGATTTCTGGGCCTCCTCGAGCCTCTTCTTGAAGTCTTCACGCTCAGTGGAAACACGCTTCAGTTCGTCCATCACCATGTCAGTTTTCAGCGAGGTTTGGTTGAGATATTCGGTCAAGGCCTTTGGTTCGCCGATTGAGGTCAGGGGAGTGTTCTCACGCAGGGCCGCTTCAAAGGGTTCGATGGAGAGGACCCGCGAGTGAGCCACACGGTATGCCTTGAGAAGTTCTGTAAAGCGAGTTAGCTAGTGCAATTTTAGAGAAGACATTCCAGCCATCCTCATGCCCGCAAACATACCATGGTAGCGAGTCTCGAGCTTATCGAGTCGCCGCAATTTTCCTTTGACTTCCGCTGGCAGCTCAGATGGCGCCTGGTTCGTGGGCTCGGTACTGGGGGCTGAAGTCGGCTCCTTCTCGGTTTTCTCAGTCTTCTCCGACTTGTCTGTCTTCTGGGTCTCGGTTTTGGCGTCCGCGGTATCGGTCTCCTTGGGGTCAGACTCGGTGGCACCCTCGTTCAGCTCCGAGCCGCCATCCGGCGTATCGACACGAGGCGTGGCTGAGCGACTCGAGCTTTCATCGTCGCCGATGGCGAACTCGGCCTCGAACTCCTTAGGATCGGGGCCGCGGACGGGAGTGCCAGAGTGTCGTCTTGGGCGGGTTCGCTGGCCGGCGGACAGGTTGCTGTTCGGTCGGCGCGCGGACGCAGATCGCGAGAGGTTTTCCTGAGCTGTTTTTTGACGGGCTTGTTCTTCAGCTATGCGCCCGTCAATGGCGTCGCGCAAGCGCTGCATTGTGTCGTCATCAGCTTGGGGTCACATATGCGGTTATGGGGTACGTAGAGGGTTGGGGCAGGGAAGAAGGGAAGGAATGATGCTATGAAGGAAATAGAACGAACCTGAAACATCGCCGCGACAGGTCTTTCGAGACCAGATCAAGGCAGGGGTGTAGGTTGGAAGTTGACAGTTTGGACCCGGCGGTTCCTGAGAGCGGAGCGGATGCGGAGGGCGGAGAACGAAGGCGGCGCGGTTCGAAGTGGCCGAGTCCACGTCCAGCCTAAGGTCTTTCTTGAGAAGCGGTAGTCGCGAAAGCACCACTACGTATCTATGTGATGACTGTGACTCGATTTCGTTATTGATATCTTGAATACGGGCCTTTTTTATCTTGCACTGGTAGATTTTTCTTCGGTGTTGCTCTGTTGATCTGCACTCTCGAAATCCCATGCCGACGTAATATATAAGGAATTTGAGCCCCGCTGGCAAAATGTATACTTTGGGAAATTTTGTACAGCACTCATCAGCTTTGGGTCTTTCCAGAGGCGTAGCTATAGCTGTACAAACTTGTGCTTAAGTTTGCTTGTTTCTCTTTCTTCTGTACCTATGTGATCTTCACGCGTTTCTTTTCTTCTTCCTCCTTTTAATGACTTTCATATCGTCTATCCTGGACTACTACATAACACTTCAAAGTGTTGACACGTACATCTTTACCTGTTGAGAGTTTTGTCCTTTCGAAAAGCACTATCGAAACAACTTTGCAACTTTTTCCCGACACCTTCCCAGTATTTCCTTCGGTACCTTGATTTTGCTGCAACTGACGCACAGATGTGGGCCCGGCAGCACTCGAACATCCATAGATGGCATTCTACCTAGGCAGAAACAGATCTTTATATGCTGGTCTATTTTGAAATATCAGACATACCCAAGACGGTATGATCCATTGAAACGACAGTACCAAACCAAAAAATCGATTAAATCGATTATAGCCCAGAAGAAAGAGAGAAGTCAAAAGTGTCCCTGTTCATGATGACCGCATTTTCCTGGGCGGTGGGCAGCATGAGGATTCTGCCAGCGCAGGAATGTATACCGAGGCATCGACGAATAACAAAAATGCCAAAAGTTGAGATTTAGACTTGTAGATCGTAGTAAACTCGGTATATATGATCTTATTGGCATCTCATTTATTATGATAGGACTGTATTTTGTTTTTCCCAACTCTGGCGGCGAAATTACCCGTGGATTGCGACGCTAATGCACCTACAGGATCGCCAGCTGCCCGCACGTTGGACCGACAGCCGTCTAATTGACGAACGACACGCTCAGTAACTTCGGATCGATGACGGCGAGGACCTGCGTCTTTAATCTCCGCTGTCTGGTACTTCCGTCTTGTCTACAGTATTGCTGCATCGGGGGCGTGAGGTCCTCCATACGGCATACTGCATCGACGCATCCCGTGACCGGTCGCAGTCTTCGGCCCAGCAGCATCTTCGAGGCCAGCAGAACCTGCACCTCCTACACGTCACGCTAACGGCCTCCACCATCCACTGTCGTCAGAGCCCGCACGTTTCCGATGCCCTCACGCTGGCCGACCGGTTTGCCTGTGGTTGGGCCCTGGATTCATGAGCGGGGCACTAGAAACCATGTCTGGCCTGGCTCCGTCGCTGGCCCTCAGCCTAACAGCGGCCACTTCGACTTCAACTTTTAGCGCTCGATCCGCCCCTCCCTTCCCTCCGGCACCTTCAACCATGGCGGGGTGGTTCAGCTGGATCTTGACCTTTATCTTCCAGGTCATCCCCCGCGGCCTGTACTGGCTCATCACCTTTACCACCATCACCCTGCCTACATGGCTGTTCACGTTGTTTTCCATGAGCCTGACCTTCACCATGAACTTCACAACTCTGTACGTACCAGCCGCAATCCAGGTGCAAAACTGTCCGGCTAACTGATTTTCTGTCTAGCATGTTGATCGTCCTGGCGCTCGTCTCGACCGTCAGCTGGTTCATTCGATACCGGTTCTTGAACATGTATAGCCGTCTGCCTCCTGAACCCCAACGCAAAGAAGCCCAGATCGACCTCTTTCCCGATATCCAAGAAGGCGACTCGAAGCCCGGCCTCGCCAACTACCTCGATGAATTCCTCAGCGCCATCAAAGTGTTTGGATACCTGGAACGGCCCGTCTTTCACGAATTGACGCGGACAATGCAGACAAGGAAGCTCATTGCGGGGGAAACACTCATGCTGGAAGAAGAAAAAGGGTTTTGTCTTGTGGTAGACGGCTTGGTGCAAATCTTCGTCAAGTCCACACGCGAGGGCAAGCAGGGTTCGGAGGAAACATTGCACTTGGACGATGCCACATCTGATGAGGAGGGCGACCATTCTGACGGACGGCAAGGTTACCAGCTGCTGACCGAGGTGAAGAATGGCGCCTCCATGTCATCCCTGTTCTCCATTCTGCAGCTGTTCACGGAGGATATTCATCTGCGCAAATCTCGCAGTTCCAGCTCGAGCACGTCCAGTGCAGCAGGTCCTGCCCACAGGCAGGCTCCCGACTCTATGCCTGTGAGCCCACGCGTCGAGATGATGAACAGTCCCGAATCTACGATAAGGGAAAATAGTGATGCAAACAGCGACACCACCACCACCACCACCAATGGCCACCATGCAGATTCTCTGCCTGCTGTTCCCCCACTACACCTGGACGATAGCCATGCCACGGCCAACTACCAGGAACGCCCTGAAACGCACCATACACATCCCAAGAAGCGCCGCCGCAAGTCAGTGCACCCGGATATTGTTGCCCGAGCCACCGTAGACACTACTATTGCGATCATCCCAGCCAGTGCCTTCCGCCGGCTGACTAGAGTCTACCCACGCGCCACCGCACACATCGTACAAGTTATCCTCACCCGCCTCCAGCGTGTGACATTTGCTACCGCACACTCATACCTGGGCCTGACGACCGAAGTACTCGGGATTGAACGGCAGATCTCCAAGTACACGACATGGGACCTGCCCAATGACCTCCGAGGCGGAGCTCTGGACCGATTGAAGGACAAATTCATGCGGGAAAGAGACCGACTCGGCCCGGAGGAAGTGTGCAAGGGCATTGCACTTCACAACCCCTCTGCCGGACGTAGACGACGCTCGAGCAGTTCGCTCCGAAAGGAAGCTGTTCTACAGGCGCGCATGGCCAGCGAACGTCGACCCCCGGCGTTTGCGGCCCGCCAACCCAGTGTGTTCAATGCCGATAGCACCGGCGTCAGTCCCGGCGACTTGCTTTCTACCATCCAGCTCTCTCGATTTGGGCCTCGCGTTGATAATAGGTTTGCGACCCCCCTGTCGGAACGAGAGCCTGTTCTGTTCCGCAATGCTGGTCTTGACGGCCGAACTTCGACGTTCCAACGCAAGGAATCTGTGGATGAAGACTCGATCTTCCGTGAATGCATATTGGATTGCATGATGCAGGGAATTGGATTGACTGAAAGCACTCGTGATACTTTGCGCCAAGGCAGTCAGGTTTCTGGCGATGCATCTCCACGACTACTCTCTTACGACTCTCGTCGACAAAAGGCCGTCTTCTCTAATGCTTTCGGCTTTATCGATCCGTACGAAGGATCTGGAGATGGGGAGACCGAGTCGATGATGTCTATGTCGGTGACCAGTGCCGGTGGCACATCGCCAGTTGTCAATCTCCGTGAAGAGCTCCGTCATGATATCGAGGTCGTGTACTTTCCCAAGGGCTCCGTGCTCGTGGAACAGGGAGAACGTCCACCGGGCTTGTACTATGTCATTGACGGCTTTTTGGACGTGGGTATCCCGGTGGATGAGCGAGGCGAGGATCTTGTCGGCTCTTCTCGTCCTGCTGGTTCTCAGTCCCAAGAGGAGCTGTTCCCGAAGCTGAGACGCAGCACCACCGGGTCTTCACGAACCCCGGGTACTCCAGGAAGCAGCGAGTCGCGGCGCAAGGGTCAATCACGCAAGTCTCTGTACCTGATCAAGCCAGGCGGCATGCAGGGGTACATCGGGGCCCTTGCTTCTTATCGCTCCTACACTGATGTCGTCGCCAAGACGGATGTCTATGTCGGCTTCCTTCCTCGGGGGTCGCTCGAACGGATTGCAGACAGATATCCCATTGCGCTACTGACTCTGGCGAAGAGACTAACCAGCCTCCTTCCGCGTCTGCTGCTCCATATTGACTTTGCTCTTGAGTGGGTGCAAGTGGGCGCCGGACAAGTGATCTACCACCAAGGAGACGAGAGCGATGCCATCTATCTCGTCCTCAATGGCCGTTTGAGATCTGTACTGGAGAGCCAGAACGGAAAGATGACTGTCATCGGCGAATACGGACAAGGCGAGAGTGTTGGTGAGCTCGAGGTCATGACTGAATCGACACGACCGGCCACTTTGCATGCTATTCGAGATACGGAATTGGCCAAGTTCCCACGCTCCCTGTTCAACAGTCTCGCGCAAGAGCACCCTGGGATCACGATTCAAGTGTCGAAGCTAATTGCCCAGCGAATGCGTGACTTGGTCGAACATCCCCTCTCCGAAAAGGGTATTGAACAAGGCCGTGTTGGTGGTGTCCAGACTGCCACTTCCACTGTCAATCTTCGCACAGTTGCAATTCTCCCGGTCACTGCGGGCGTTCCTGTCGTGGAATTCGGACATCGTCTGCTGAATGCCTTGCATCAGATTGGCGTGAGCCGGGGCGTAACATCCCTGAACCAGGCTGCTATCCTGAACCATCTTGGTCGACACGCTTTCAGCAAGATGGGTAAACTAAAACTATCGCAATACCTCGCTGACCTGGAAGAGAAATATGGTCTCGTGCTATACATCGCCGATACCAACGTCAACGCGCCCTGGACACAAACGTGCATCACACAAGCCGACTCCATCCTCCTGGTCGGCCTTGCCGAGGCGTCTCCCCGAATCGGCGAATACGAGAGATTCCTGCTCGGAATGAAGACTACTGCGCGCAAGGAACTCGTTCTTCTGCACGCAGAACGATATTGTGCCCCTGGTTTAACACGACGTTGGCTTAAGAATCGCGTCTGGATCAACGGGGGGCATCATCATATTCAGATGGCTTTCCGTCTCACGACTGAACCATCGCACCCACAGACCAAGAAATTCGGTACTGTACTCAAACAGCGAGTGCAGATTCTACAAGCTGAAATTCAAAAGTATACGTCGAGGCGCATCCAACAGACCCCGCTTTACTCGCCTCAGACCCCCTTCAAAGGGGACTTTCACCGTCTAGCTCGTCGTCTTTGCGGAAAGTCTGTTGGTCTTGTCCTTGGTGGTGGTGGGGCTCGAGGTATCTCTCATGTCGGCGTGATCAAGGCTCTGGAGGAAGCCGGTATTCCTATCGATATCATCGGCGGTACCTCGATCGGCTCCTTCATCGGTGCTCTCTACGCCCGCGACGCTGACGTTGTCCCCATGTACGGCCGCGCGAAGAAATTCTCCGGCCGAATGGGCAGCATGTGGCGCTTCGCTTTGGATATCACCTACCCAACCGTCTCGTACACGACCGGGCACGAATTTAACCGCGGAATCTTCAAGACCTTCGGTGACAGCCAAATCGAAGACTTCTGGCTCGAATTCTACTGCAACACGACCAACATCTCCCGCTCCAGACCCGAATACCACTCCTCCGGCTACGTCTGGCGCTACGTCCGGGCCTCAATGTCTCTCGCCGGCCTCATTCCCCCAATCTGCGACGAGGGAAGCATGCTCCTGGACGGCGGTTACATCGACAACCTTACAGTCGCACACATGAAGAGTCTCGGCGCAGACGTGATTTTCGCCGTGGACGTCGGCTCCATTGACGATAACACGCCCCAGGGATACGGTGATTCACTCTCTGGTTTCTGGTCTGTGCTTAATAGGTGGAATCCCTTCTCATCTGTTCCCAACCCGCCAACCCTGTCCGAAATCCAGGCGAGACTTGCCTACGTCTCGTCCATCGAGAACTTGGAGCGTGCGAAGAATACCTCCGGGTGCATGTATATGCGCCCGCCGATTGATCCGTACGGAACTCTGGATTTTGGCAAATTCGATGAGATTTATCAGCTAGGTTATGCGTATGGGAAGGAGTTCTTGGATCGTCTGAAGAATGAGGGGACGCTACCTATTCATGAGGAGACGGAGGAGAAGAGGAAGTTGCAGAGGACAATGGCGCCTAGACGGGCCAGTATTTGATTTGCCGCCGTACCGGGTCTGGGGTGTGCTTGTTGTGGAATCGCTTTTCCTTTGCTCCCTTTCTGGTGATGGGATATGCGTTCAACACTGAGAAATCCTGCATTGCATCTATGATACCCCCATTTGCTGGCGGTTTGATGATTGTTTATTGCTTGGCTTGGCTATCCAGGTATCAAGGTTTGGTGTGTTGATAGAGTAGAAATGAGAAATGTCAATCGGCTTTTGCCGTCATGAGCTGTCTCATATAACAGTGTAAGCTTTCCCAGCCTTTTCCAAAAATCGAGGGCTAAAAAAGGGGAGTAGTAGTAGTAGTAGTAGTAGTAGTAGTAGTAGTAGTAGTAGTGTCATAACATTGCTAAAATTAGCCCTATCTCGCCGATCACTAACGCTGATTATTCGCTGACAGATATCACCAACTATGTCTGCGCCAATCGATTCATCTGCGGAATACCGTTAAGTATCAGCACAAAAACCGTGCGATTGGCCGAACTATCTCAAGAAGTCAAATCCACCTCGTGGCCACCGTCATCCGGCACCGTGGCACAGGCGCCCATTGACGTCATCGCATGGACAATTAATATAAAGGAACCTAACACTAACAACCAGGCAATTCCAGTTTCATATTTCCTCCCTCGATATCTTCCTAATTGAAGAAAGAAGTGCTTGCAAGATACTAGGGTCCACCATGAGCATTCCAGACAACGAAACTGCCAAAAACACCTTCCCCGGCGAGACCGACCAGCAAAAGAAACAGTCCTACGTCTCCTGGATCAAGGACTTTTACAACACTCAGTACGAGAGTTGGATGCCCTGGATCGAGGACCAGTATTTGAGGTGGTTTGGGAGGGGGGATAATAAGGCTTCTTATGCGACGAAGGGTGAGCTTCGGCTCTTTATCCGAACGCTCGCAAGTATTAACCTCGACTACGGCGGGTAGACTCCCTCTCCAAAACGAAAATCGCCGGCATCGACCAGGTTGATCAGCTACAGGATGATACCGCGAATGTCATCGGTAACCAGATCGGTGATAGAGGTCTTTTGAGGCCTGTTGGAGAGGTTGTTTCGAAGGAGGGGATTAATCGGGCGGAGAGGGGTGGGAAGGATGAAAGTGGTTCTTACATGGGGGGTGCAATGGAGAGCCTGGGGGAGAATAACGATGAAAGGACTGGTGTTGGTAGCTTGGTTTCTTCTGGAAAGGCTTCGGTGGGGAGTGTTGTTGGGGGTGAGGTTGAGGGGGCTAAGGGGTTGTTTGGGGGGAATGGGAAGTTGTAAGGTTATACGATGTAGATTGTTATGATGTTTTATGGTTTATTGTAATGAAAAGGACAGCAACTGTTCCAAGACGAAGCCTCCAAAAAACGCAGGCTGAGTTTGTTGAATCATGAATCCACAAGAGTCAACTCGGAAGGTTGTCAAGAGCTTGCAGAGAATGCACTACGTTGAACGATGCTGTAGACAAGGCTCATAGACGAGCTCAGGAGGTAGAATCGTTTGAGGGCGAGTCAATTTCGGACGCACTGCTCCATGAACTTGGCGATTGTGATTTCTCCCAATCACTCGCTCATTGGCGTGCTTGGCGTACCCTCCTCCTACCTGTGCCTAGTCTACCTAGGAGAGATGGGTTTTCCCCTGTCTAGTTCACAACAGACGTCAATGCCGAGGAAGTGTTATAAAGAACCGTTATCAGTCACGTATATTCGTCTAGATGTCTCATATTTGAACATAGCAATGGCACAGGGTGGGAGAATGGTGACGTCGTCGACAATAGATCAGGACATACAATCGGTGGTAGTGGCCAGGGAGCATGAAGACTGAGTAATAAAAGTTGAATTTGATGAACCTGAGCGCCAAGAGGAAGTCAGGGAGTAATTCATACCACTCACGAGGCCTCTGCTTAAGGCCGTAGAGTTTTTCCAACAGTAGACTACAGCATTTTTGACATTTTTGGGTCTCAGGCGCTAGTTTCCAAAGTTCAAAGTAGCCTCTCCCTGTAACTCAGCGTTCAGGAAAGCTGCGACGAAGTCGGTGTAATGGAGGAACCAGGATGTTTAACAACGACGACTAGGAACAGTTTGATGCTAGTAGTCTTGGCCACCTGCGCCAAGACTTGAACGTAGTCTAGACCAGGTGGTTGAAGAACGCCTTCGGCAACAAGATGAGCTTTGTGAGTACTTTGACTTTAAAGGATTAGCGGTTGGGAAAAGTTTTTCAACGGCTTGGTCGGTCTCCCTAGTGTTGTCTCAAGACTGGGAGCAGGGAGAGTATCTGCATCAACTGTCTCTGGGGCAGGAGCAGCAAATGCTTTAGATTCTGTATGGGGAGCAGGGGAGGTATTCAGCGGTGGTGGGTCCAGAAAGATGTTAGTGTGAGACTTAAATGGGCTGACAGGAGGAGTCTTTCCCTGCGACTTCATTTTTTCTGAGTCCTGGAATTCGCTTTGGAAGGACATTTCGAGAATCTCTTGCTCATCCATGATGGAGAGGATGAGCAGGTATATTGAAGGAATTATGCCTGCTGCTGATTTATGTCTCCGTGTACGACTTCTCGATGGTGTTTTTGTTTTCTGTGTTTGTCGCAATTATCCAGCTTGCCACGTCCCCGTCTTTTGGGAGGCCTGGCAGCTGGCTACACCTACTCCCTCGGGACATAAATAGATGTAACAGCAACAACAGCCTTTTACATCGGCGCGACTGAAAAACTTGTAGGAGACTCGGTCTCAACTGCCTGGGATATCGACCACAGGGCCGAGAAGACCACAAGTAGGTCAAAACTAAGCAACCTCGTACCCCTACCCCAAAGAACCCTGTGCACCAGAGCACCTCCGAGTCGACCCCGACTGCCCCCTGGGGGAATTCCCACACAACCCAGGCAGGACCACGTCGGGCCACAAGTCGGCACCTTGCACTCAGAGAAGTGGTGCCGGTCTACACGTCGTGATCAAATTGCAGATTCAAGGTGGCAGGGACGTCCAGCTCTCGGTTTGCAGTATCAAGCGTCAAATCTCCACTCATTGTCACTGTAGCTCGAGTCATGGGGATGATTGCATGCTGGTTGCTTCAACAGCAATCTTCTTTTCCTCCTTGCAATGTCTAAGACGATGTCCTCTGCCGCTCGTCTTACTCAATCCCTGCCTTCTTCTCCCATTTCTTCAGCCTATGATCCATGCACGTACCAACTTTGCGGTAGGAGAGGTACCTGGTCATATATACGACCAATACCCCTGAAAGAAATGGACAAAATGGCCCTTGTAATTCTATTGCTGACCTCGGACAAGCCTCGATCACATTCCACGAGGACATGTGTCCTGGAAATCAGCATCTCCTCAACACGCCTCTTTTAACCGGCTTGCGATTGCTTTAATTCTTCTCCACCTCTTCACCGCCGATTGTGCTTCCTTGCTTCGATGCCTCGCGCATGGAAAGGAACCGTTGTCTCCGCCGACTGGAGCAACTGCTAGCGGAGTTTGGCGATGGAACGGCCATTTTGCTGCGAAGGCGCTGAAATTGTTCGTGAAAAGGAACGTGACTTGGAACCGTTCGGGAAAATCTAAGTCCTAAAGCCCCGGGGTGACAGAAGACGATGATGGCCGAGCACATCAATGGATTGGTTTGTCTTTGCGTCCGAACAATTAAGCATCGCCTGTAAGTCCATCGCCAGTTTGTAGCTGGAAAACGTCCGACAAATACCTTGGACCAGCCAAGCTCTGCATCACAGTTCAGCTCTTTTGTCGAGGAAGTTTTGCCTCGCACCGGGTACAAGCTGCCGAGGAGCAACATACCCTATCAGTTGACCGCGCGCAGTGTGGCTCTTCCATTTGCTGGTCGCACTCGGAACCCCGCTAGGCGTTTTGCTTGCCTGTCAATTCTGTGTCCTCTCGACCTTTTCATCATATGGACTTGGCTTGTCAATCAGAGGGTCCTCGGCAATATGAGTGGAAATATGGTCGACATATTCCTTGAACCAGTGAAGCCTATTTCACCGGTCAGGTTTTCCACCGAGAGCATTCTGTTTTTTGTGTGGAAGCCACAAACCAAATGCATCATTCTCTATCCGTTGACTAGCCGCACCTGTTTGAATGAAGGTATGGTAACTTCGTCGCTCACCATGCCAATATGGCCGAGTACCACATACAATGCCTCCTAGTGCGGTGACTTGGCCCCTAAAGCATCAGTTTTAGAAGATGACTCGCTCATCTTCAGGCTAGAGTCGAGGAGGATTGTTTTTGGCAAGTGGGATAGACTTTGACGATTCGGACGCTGTTGGAAAGGTCGGTTCTGAAAAGGCTTCCTTCTTTGAGAGCCTGCCTTCGGCATCGATGTCGAGTGAAATAGACCGGGATTTGGAAGTTGAAGTAGCAGGGATGAAGAAAGGATACGCCAGCGAAGTTGTAGCAGACAAGATCGTCAAGACCCCTCTGCAGTGTCAAGCTCAGCTCAAGAAAGGCTTTTAGGTCCTGTCTTGCGGTATAGAAGTAGATCTCAACGTCATAAAGACAAATGTCGTCAAGAACGCCGAACAGTATATATACGCCAGTTAACTCTGCTTGTTGGCATCCATTTCTCGCGCTACTTCTTCTCGGACAGGGAGTTCTGCCGGTGGCATATGCTGCTCCATTTCAACCTCACGGACGGCATTAACGCCTGTCCCCTCCAGCTCTGGGCGAAAGTCATCTGCGTGCAGTTGCGGTTTGTCATCTGGAGGCGGCGGACCATTCGTAGCGAGCTGGGCGGCGTTTTGACTTCGTCGACGACGGTAGAAGAAGAATCCCAGTATGATAATGAGACCCACTATCACAACAGGCACCACGACGGCTGGTGCAATGATGCTGGCTTGGGACTTGCTGTCCGAGCTGCTTGATGTGTCCTTCTGTCCCGACGCCGTCGCGTACACTGTAACCGGTCCGGGCGAACCAGACGTCGTTGTTGCGAGAGTTGTCTTTGGTGTGTTGGTTGCAGACGTAGACATTTCACCGCCTAGCGAGGCGATCTTTGCGCTGATGGAAGCTAGTTCGCTCTTCAGCTCATCGATGGATTCGTTACTAGTCGACGAGTTTTCGTTGCAGTAGTCAAGCAGTGGTTCGAGATCCCCGAGCGTACCGGCGTCTGTGGAATTGGAGTTCTTCTCGATGCACGATTTGCAATTTGACAAGGATTGCATGAAGTTTGAGTTCGGTTCGCAGAGCTCGGGCGTTTTGCCAGTTGACTGGACTTGGATGGTGGCATCGTCTGGTATGCACGTTAGTCTGACACTTGGTGGGGATATAGGGGTCTGGGATAAGGCGCATACTGCAAGAGTCGTAGCATATGGTCGGGATTAGATCGCGCTTTGCGAGGGAGCTCGCGGTGTCCCACAGCTTCTTGAGGACCATGTTGCTGGTTGACGTTGTAAGGGAAGGATCACACGGAAATTGCGGAAAGGTCTGTATTTAAAGAAGCAAGAGCCATGCCAAGCTGGGCCATTTGGTAATGGTATGGCCGCTCTGCTCTCATTTGAGCGAGACGTTCTGCATGGAGGCGCTGTGTACATGATGTTTTGTCGTTGTTATTGGCCGTGGGCCGCAGGGTCCAAAGACGTGACTATCATTTCCGGACAGGGTAACCCATCCCGGGACCCTGCATCCTGCTTTCAGCTGGTGAGGGGGCTATTCCACGGCTCTTGTAGTAGAGAGCAGCGGTATAGAACAAAAAACGATTGATGTTTGAGGTTGGTCGTGATCGGGGGATGCAGGAAAGGGAAGTGGTAAGAAGCTCAGAAGGGAACTTGAGTGTCAGGAAATAAGGTAACCGGGTACCGCCGTAGATGACATGTCATTTATATCGTGACCGCCAATATTGCAATAGCCTACAGGATTCCTCTTTTCTCGTCACTGAAGCAACGTCTCTTACACATAAGTCCAAGAGGCAAAAAGAAAGACGAAAAAAATATTCATTAAAATCGTTAAAACGGTATTAAACAAAAGAAGATAACCAAATTACCACCCAACATTCGCATACTAGCAAGCCATTATATATGCAAACAAACCACCCGACAAAATCTCATCAAAGCCACAGCCTATTCAAAAAAGCGTCCACCAAAAGGGTAAACACCCAATACCCCAGCGCAACATTCGTCCAGATTATCTGCTGGCAGGTAGAAAACAACATCCGACCACGCTGTATATCCCACGGCGCAGCGTAGAAAGTCTTAAACAGCTGTAGCAGGCGCAGCAGGATCTACCGGGGCATCGAGGGGAGGGCGGGCACCGCCGTTCTTCTCGACGGCGGGGGTCGAGCGTTTCTCCTTCCGGTAGGCCCAGAGGGCGGCGACTTCGAGGAACATGCCGAAGAAGGTGAAGATGCTGGGGGAGGTTAGGGTCTGTGATTGAGTGGGATGTGGGATGGGACGTACAAGGCGAGGAAGATGAAGGACTCGTTGGCTTTCTTCCGGCCGCACGTTACACCGGGTGGAGAGTTGAAGTAGCACGAGTGTTGGTTGTAGTCTTGGGCCGCAAAGATAAAAGCGGTTAGCCAGCTAAGGGTTGTTAGTTCTGTTTTGAATGTACCACTGGCAGTTTGTTGTTATGGTTTGTGACGTACAGGTAGGAGAAGATGACGTCGATTAGGAGCACGAATTTGCTCAGTGCTGTTGGGAGGAAGGGGGAAATGAAGGCCGGGAGGAAGAAGACGACGGAGAGGACGGCCTGGGCGATGTTAGAATGTAGTTGGAACTGCGGTCGAGGGCACGTACGATGACTTCCTGGTAGATAATGTGCTGTCCGTGGGGTCCGCGGCTGATGAAGAATGAGGTCAGGCCCATCACAATGACTGCGCTGGACCACTGCAGTGTGCGGGTTGCCAGCTGGAGCGGGCGGGAGACGGCTGTTGAGAAGAGCATTGTGGAGTTGCTGGATTAATTCAATCGGCCGATGGTATGGTATGTGTAGATGTGGGTATAGAAGTCGATATATAAGACAAAGACCTATTACCAAGGTTCGAAGGCCGGGATATCGCGACAAAAGAAAGAGAAAAGGAAATCAAACAGGGACAAGCAGGAACAACTTTATATCTCTAGACCCAAACCCAAGGACTTGCAGAACCAGACCTGAGCGGCACAAAGCAAGCAGACCATACCATGAGACACAAACACGACTAGCGCCGAGTCAAAAGTATCCGACTGCACATACCAGGGTCGAGCCCGGCAAGGACTGAGCAGAGAGATAGATAATTGGGTGCGCATTTCCCCAGATGCGTCATGATGGCCCCGGCATGAAGTCAGTTGGCGGTCAAATAACAGAGGACATGCGGTTCCTGCTTCTGGATTGGGAGATTTCCGTGCGATTTCTTAGTGCTGTGCCTTGCTTGGATACACTGCATGATGTTTACTTTTGGTCGAAATGAAGGATGTGTATGTACTTCTTGTACGATGTCGATCGGCCGGCTCCCAGGGGAGTACAGTAGTTGCTCTTCCCTGGATGCTATGGAGACTTGGGAAGTACCCCTCGTCAGTAGTGTTGACATGTTTGATTTCGCGTGTCCCGTGGGTGCGATCTACATGTCATGTCCTCGTGCAAGGGGGCCAGAACCAACCTGGGAAAGGAGTCGGGACCAGGCGTCCGTTGGGACCTGACAGCGAGTCCATTCGGCATGCGGCGGAAGTGCAGGGCGTAGAATCGACAGGCCTAGAAGTCGTATGCAAGCCTCCCTGAACCTATCATGCTACCTTTGGTAGCTTAACTAGCAGCTTCAAGTTGGAGAGCGCCACAGTCCTTCTGGCAGTTGCCAATCACATGGTCGCAAACAGATCACACCACCCGACAGCACCACGGGAATGTTTGGCGGCACCTCCCAAACAGGTCAATGAGAGGTGGGTTTCCTGCAGAGCCACCCAATAGCGGGGGTCACCCTGCAGAACCGGATCGACGGTGGCGCTGAGGATTCGAGCGAATCGATGTGGCGGGCTTGCGAAGGGATACACAGGAAAGAGCATCCCTTGGGGACCTGCCGCGAAGCTTGTCAGCGTGCCGCATTTTGATATTAGAGTGAGACACACAGCTGAAGAACTACTTGATTGCTTGTTTTTGTCGAGGGCGTGGAAGAAGTGGAAGTGTTCGGCTGCGATGCGATCGCCGTGTGGGATGATGGTGGCTGCAGTATTGTGACACGATGCTCGTAGCACTAGTGACGCAAGAGCTCGGGCTGGGTCTGGTGGTACCGGGAGAAAGTACGTCGGGTGAAGATGCCGGTGGGCTCGGGTAGTCGGCTTTGCAATATCGATCAAGTTGTTGTTTCTTGGGGGTGTATACTTCGCAGGGCTGGTGGGGAAGTTGACAGGAGGGGAAGTGCAGTAAACAAACATGTCTCGGATCCCCAGGTCAGCCCAGATCACGGGGACTGTCTGGAGTGAGGCCGCAATGTTAGGATGTAGGGGACCGAAGCGAGGACTCCTTGCAACTTGGAGGATGCTTCAATGTTGTTTAAACCAGGCATTGTGGTCAAGGGACAGCGAATAAACCGACAGAGTCGAGATAGGCAGAGAATAGCAGGAACAAATATAATGAATTTTATTTAGATAACACCATTAAAACAATCACCAGCCGTTATTTCCGTGCGACGGACTCCAGTACGCCTAAGATTGGATTCCACGTTCACCATGTAACGTTGCCCAGATCGTGTTCCTATAAAACCCATCAGCCCCAGCTCGATCGGCCAGTGTAAATGTTAGGGGAAACTCACCTTCATATACTCACTACCCTTCTCTAAGTATTCCTGTCGAGACACAGACGACCGAGCGAAATCTGCATTGGAAGCCCACTGCGCCGCGCCCTTCCACGCGTCTAGGGTGGGATCAGCGGCCCGACGCACGCGGAGTTCAGCGTCGATGGGGATGTATCCGCGAAGTTCGTTGCGGAGTCGTTCGTCGAAGCCGGTGAAAAGGGTATTTCCACCCGTTAGGAAGACATCCTTCAAGAGGCGGGTGCGGTCTTCGCTGGAGAACCGCTGATTGACAATGTCAGCGGCGATCTCGACAAGACCGGCCTGGTCGACACCGGCAATGGAGGGCTTGAAGACGACCTCGGGCACACGGATGCGCTCGACATTCAGGTGCAGCTGATGGGCCTCGCGCTGGCTCTCGGGGTCGAAGGGCCAGGGGCCGCGGAGGAAGGCGTGGACGAGACTCTTGGTCCAGTCGGACTGGGCAGCCAGCGTGTGGTTCTCGGTGAACTCGGGGTCGTATTGGAGGAGCTCCTGCTCGAGATTGTTGAGCATACCGCCGAGGTCCTCTTCCTCTTCGTCGTCGCTCTGCTCGTCCTTTGCGACTGTTCGGTAGACACCCCAGTCGTCATCGTTCGCACCAAAGTCATCGTCGTCACCACCGCGACGGCGCTTCTTGGGTCCGTCAGAGGCAAGATTGGCGAGGGTCTTCATGCGCTGTTGGCTAGCAAGAGACTTGCGGTTGCCGAGATCTGCCTTCATGCGCTGTTGGTCCTTGATCTTTTGTAGAATAGCCTGACGGTTCATTCGTCGCTCGGCGATCCAGTTTTCAAAGTCATTCTCGCGCTTCTCCCGGTCCAGGCGCTCCTCCTCTTCACGACGGGCCTTCTCCCGTTCCTTCTCAGCCTTGGCGCGGGCTCGCGCCTCGACGTTGGACTTCATGAGACGCTGGTGGCGCTTCTCCTTGATACCAGCCTCATCCAGCTCCTCATCGGGGACATCCACAAGCGGGAACGTCATTTCTTCCTGCGGTTGCTCTTCCTCCTCAATGCCCAGGTCACGATTGCGGGAGCGTTTGATGGACTTTTCAAGATCACGGATCATGCGCTCCAGATGATTCTCATCCTTGAGGTCCTCCGTTTCGAGAATACGACGGACTTCCTTCTTGGTTTCAGAGGAAAGACGCTCCTGGACCTGCTTCCAGTACTCCAGTTCCTGCTCCTTCTTGACCAGTTTCTCCAGACGCATCTTGGCTGCCTGTTCCTGCAGTCGACGGCCGCTCTCCTTCTTGCGCTCCGCAATCTTGGCCAGCTCTTCTTCGCTCTTCTCGACAACAACGTGCTCAGTGAATGGGTACTGGATGACATGATCGCGGTCCTCCAGCCCGGTCCAGTCGAGGTATCCGCTCAACTCGCGGTCGTAGTCTTGAGACACGTAGCAGTGGTTGCGAACCAAGTCCTCAATCTGGTGGTCGAGAAGACGGGCCGGGAAAGTCGGATACTTCAGCTTGAGTTGCTTGGCGAGGTACTCAGCATTGTTGAAGCCTCCCCAGTTCAAGCGGGAGCAGTTTGAGAGAAGAGGTTTCGAGTCCAGAACGGGAATGACATGGGTAGAGGTATTGGAGGAAGACACAATCAATCCGTCGGTTCCCTTGTTGTAGCGGTAGGCGAAGAGCGAGTCGACACCGTAGGCGACAGACGGGGCATTGTAGCATTCGAAGAGAATCTCGTTCATCACTAAATTTCAACGTTAGTACCGCGCCGTCTGGTTGGGTCTGAAAATAAGTTGCCACTTACTCTTCCGAGGGTATCCCATATTAGCGATTGGCTCTGTCATAATAATTGGTCGCTCCACACTGTCACTGGTGCTGTTGATGCCCATCTTGATAAAGACATAGTCCAGCACGCCCTCCATAACGTCCCAGTTGCCGACAATGCTGGAGCCGGGGTCGAAAGCAGGCTTCATCTGGCCGCGAGTGGTCGCATCGACGTACGCATCGTATCCGACGAACTGGCATTGGCGTGCGAGCTTGCGCTCCCGGTAACGGCTCATGACGGGGGAAAGGCGAGGCGCGGGTTCTTCTCAAAGGACCAGCCGGCCTTGACAAGATGTGAACCTAGAAGCAGGAGTTGTCAGTGTGCTGAAGTCTTTCATCTGTCGCGGCTGGGGCTGTCGCATACCATTGTCAATGACGATGGCGCTGGTATCGGGGTGTGCCTGGCTTTGCTCGAAGCCGTCACGCTGCGGCGCCTGGTAGCCCTTGAAGGGGAAGTCGGACACGCTGTAGATTTTCGGAGGGGCCTTTTCGACGCGCTTCTCTGTGGAATTGATCGCAAAGCGCCCTGGCAGGACGGTCTGGACGCCGGTGATGGTCATCGTGGGCTGCGCTGGCGCGGAAACCAGGAGCTTGGGGATTTGGGGTTAGGTCGATGGGTGGTCACTGGCAGTCGGACATGGCAAGAAGATTAGACGAGGCGGGTGTTGATTATATATGAAGTCTGTTTGAAGTGAATGGTTTGGCCCGCGAAGCGCGGAAAAGTTGCGAAAGGAGTGAACGGCGAAGTTCGGCTCGGATTGAATGGCGAGGCGGCGAGCGGAGGGCGGAGAGGTACAGCTACGGTCCAAACTACGATATACAGCTACAACACCACAACAAATAATGGTCTGAAAAGGACAAATCGAGGGACAAATAGAGATCATTCATGCATTTCGTCGTAGCCGAAAAAGAATATTGGATGATCAAGTCGGATTTTTGAGGTTCTCGGTGGCTATTGCGCAGTTAGCATACGTCGCTCCAATCCAGTAAGAGTATATTAGAGCGAAACACTCCAGCATACCTTCAAGATGGAAGAGAACATTCGACTGGTAGTTCTTGAACATTTGGGCAACCAGCTCGACGTTCATGTTCTGGATATTGACCTCCTGTTGGGCATTAGCGTGGGCATCATCCTCCGCAACGCTCGATACATACCTGGAGGCTCTTGTTCATGACCATGATAGCTTCATTAAGCTTCTCCTGTAAGATACAAAGTTAGCTACTGTTGGTTAATCCAAGAAAAGTAGGTGCTGGACGTACCACATTGGTGATGATGCGCGACAGCAGCACCGACTGCTGATGCTCATGGGGGCTCTCCTAGAGGGTGTCAGCCAGCGTTGCTCCTACAATCAGAAGACCATCACCGTGGTATTCAAACATACCATCGCGATAGATCGAGGAAAGGACGGCACGGGTAGATCGTGGGATGCTCGACCTGCTCGCGACGGGCGGTTTGTTCGCCCGGTCACGTGAGAATATACAGCATCCGGGCAACGGCGACCTCACATGGGAGCCGCCACTCGTCAGAACTCTGCAATTCATACCGGCCTCGGTATAAATACTTTGGCTCCTATTACAAACGGTGTCCCTTTCACGAGAAGTCTGCCGAAGACACTGCCGAACGACCTCCGCCTTTAATTCACTGCGGCGTGCCGCCCTTGACCGTCAATTCTCTGGTTGAAAGCGACACCGTCCTCCCTTTGTAAAGGCAACCAACCCCTACCATCCTATATCCTACTTCACACCGAATATTTCGATACTCTGAAATCGCCAGCCTTGGGCCTCCTCGATCCACACCCCACGATGCCTCCCGCAACAGCCGCCAACGACGAAGCTCACCTGCAGCTCCTCAACGACCTAGACCTCGGCGCCCTCCCAAAGCCCTACCGCAATCGCAACTGGAGGCCCTCCCAGCGCCGCAACAAAAATGTCAAACAGATAATCTCTGAGAACCAGCGCAAAGAAGCCTCCGTGATGGCCACGCAAGCCAACTCCGGAGCAACCACCCCCTTCGGTACCTCGGGCGTCACCACAGACGGTACCCAGACACCTACGGACGGAGCTGGCAAGGCGCCTAATCTAGCTCAAGCATCACAGAACCTGTCGACTCTTGTTCTGGAGAAGAATGCCCGTGCGACCTACGCTACCGGACCTGCGGTCACTTACACCAATATTGAGTCGGCGCCCTCGCTGAATCCTGCGCACCAGCGTCACTACTGCGATGTTACGGGTTTGCATGGTCCGTATACGGATCCCAAGACTCGGTTGCGGTATCACAATAAGGAGATCTTTGGTGTTATTCGGACACTGGCGCAGGGTGTCCCGGAGAGCTATCTCGAAGCTAGGGGAGCTCATACTGTCCTAAAATAAGGGGTTTGCAGAAATACACCCGCGGACTCTTTGTCTTATACGCAGAGAGCATATTTACGAGGTATGTTTGAGAACATATAATGGAAATTATATTTCAATACTTTAAAACAGAGCTAATTTCGCTCCTACAGAACTTTGCATGCGGATACGTAGCATGTCCGATCAACACAGTCAAGCCCTTTCCACCCCACCTGTCCCTCTCGAGACAGGCTCAAGAAAGCGCTCCGGCTTATTCGTGACCGTTCTTTTCTCCGCCCGCGCCAGGAAGCACTTTCGACTAGTACCGACATCCCAGGGGATGAGGTGTCAGTTACAGCACCATCGAGGATGCTGTCGTCGCGGCGTGTCCATCATCGATGGATTGTGGTTGGTATATCATGTTTTACGGAGGATAGGGGTAGCTGGAGTGCGAGCGAACAAAGGCAGAGCTTAGCCTATGGGGAATCGGTCGTCATAGCTTAGACAAATCAATCTAGCAGAATGTCTCCCCGGCATTCCTATGTGCCAATGCAAGTGCAATGCCGATTCGCAGTTATTTTCCAGTAGTCGAGTCGAGTCGTAGAATTCAGAGAATACCTAGGGTAGGTTTCATCCGAATGTGCGCAGGGAAGAAATCCGCTCCGCTTTTTTCAGCCTCGATAAATGCCGTCCTGACCGCCTTCGACGACTGGCAGAATTTCTGTTTACGGCCACGCCGCGGCTGCTTTTGTCTTGCTGGCTACCTTTTTTCGTTCGACGCCACCTGCCTCACTCTTGCGCTTTACTTTCCATTTTTCCAAAAGTTCGAATTACTAAAGATGCCTGGCATGTGGTTGTCTGAGAATCAGAGTGCGTATTACCCTTCCTATGGACCTTGCGATTACCGTGCCAGCGCATCGCATGGCCTGCTTTGGATGAGACTGACAGTGAAAATACAGAGATCGGCGTGGTTTTTTGCTCTGCTGGTACTATCATTCTCTATGAGAAGGGTTTAGTGTTTGCGCGACGACTAACCGGCGTTGTTTAGGTGGTCTCTTCCTGTTCGGAGGTGTCCTGATGTTTTTTGATCGATCACTGTAGGTCTTTCTCTCAGACCTCAGACCTTGAATGTCAGATGCTAACCATATTTAAGCCTCGCAATGGGCAACGTACGAGTCCTCAGTTCCCCATTCCTCGAACGTGCATACTCACACGATCCAGATCCTCTTCCTTATCGGCCTTACCCTGATCATCGGTGTCCAAAAGACAATCGCCTTTTTTTCACGCCCTCAAAAACTCAAGGGTACCGCCGCTTTCGCAGCAGGAATCATTCTCATCTTGCTCCGCTGGCCCTTGACCGGCTTCATCATCGAGCTGTATGGCCTCTTCATTCTGTTCGGCGACTTCCTCGTTACAATTGGCCAGTTTGCGGGCAATATCCCCGTCGTCGGACCGTACATCCAGCGCGGAATGGAGATTCTGGCTGGTGGGCGCAGCAATGCTGAATTGCCTGTATGAGCGAGGATTGCGGTAGTTGACTCGGTATTCTTCCAGCTGGACTCGGCCTTGACGAAGTTGATCAGGGGTACCAGTACACCTGGAGATGCGGAGACGCGGACACGACAAATAAACATGACGGCGGACTTGATGTAATTACTAATGACCACCAATTCAATCCAGCGATATCCAATTCCCATTTGTCGAGGCGTTGCGTGGTAGGGTATCTCAGGTATGCCTGGATTATTAGTTTCCTTATACATACTAGGTAATGAGCAATAGACTCCACGACTCTGTGAAAACATCAGACCTTGCGAAGAGCACGTCACCACCAAGGTAGGGGTGGCTGTTCATATAACGTATCTACTGAAAAAAAGACAGATCCCGGGCAAGAAGGGACTCCGTCACGTCGAGCATATCGAATCAAAAGGCTGAATAAAGCAAATTCAAATCACAGAGACCATGCTTCCTTTATTTCTTATTCTTCTGGCTCCGCCTTTACATCCATGTCCCGCGCAAACAGCAGTGCCGTAGCTCATGCCGCATCGAATTCTGTTGCGCCGATCCTTCCCTTCAGCAAACAGGGGGATTTATTTCGGGTTGTTGATGTAGTCGACCAGGTTCTCAACGACGGTCGCGGCGTTGGTAGTTTGGGCGCCCTCACCGTGGTGAGCGATCATTGTGCAGGCGGTGGCGCGGACGACAATGGCGCCGGTCTTGCCCTGTATTGCAGACTTGTTAGTCAAGCCAGTTTCTTGAATGCCCGTGCTTTTCCGAGCGCGATGCTCGGCGGGTCCAGCGCACCTTCTTGCCGTACAGGCTGCGGGGGTCAGCCTTGATGGTGACGAATTTCTCGCCGCCGATGGAGAAGCCGTTGGCGAAGGCATTGTCGGGCGAGGTAAAGGCCGAGGCCAGGGAGTTGATGTCCTCTTGGGAGAGCTATTCGCGGTCAATGTTAGCGACCGTGTTCAACGGTGTTTGGTTGCTCCTGAGCTCCTGAGTCACGTACCTCGAAGCCCGGGGACTGAGCCTCCAGTCCGGAGAAGTCGGCGGCGAGGATACCGGCCTTGTCGAATTGACCCGAGCCCATCAGGCTGTTCTTGTTAGCATTCCCGTACCTCAACGGTGACGATGGGGGCGGAGTAGATGTACCTGGAGTCGACGTAGCCTGCGGGAGTCAGCGGAGTCAGCGGAGACAGAAGAGAGAGCTGCGGGAAGGGGTATACTGACCTTGCCAGATAGCTGAGTGTGCGCCCATGGTGGAAGAGTTGTGGAAAGGTGGGAGAGAAGAGAGGAGGAAGAGGGAATCTCGTGAAGTGTGGGAGGCGAAGGTGCAAGTGGGGGGCTGCGTTGGCGGTAAATAAGACCCCGCCGTCGATCGTGCGGTGAGACGCCCTTGACTGTCACAGCATCCCAACCACGGCGATTAGCGGATATAAAACTGGACTATGGAAGAAAGAGAGAATGCTTTTCTTTACTGAAGCTGCAACAATCTGAAAAAAGGTGTGAAGATGTCCAAATCCGCAGCTGCAGATCTGGTCACGCGTTGCTGAGCTGTCTTAGCTAGCAACAGCTATGTGCCTGGCAGATCGCAGACACTGCACCACTAACTGGTGGCTGAAACTTCCAGCTGCTCCTTTGATGCGAGGGACTGCTGTCAAAATCAGGCTGAAGCAGGTGTATTGGACCTCGGCAACCTGAAGGGGAAGTCCGGGAGAAGATCAATCCAGCACAAGTACTACGTACTCAGCAGTCCGACTACAAGTATATATGTCGTGATACAATCACAAAACGCGCAAAACACATGCAATAAAATAGCTTGGTCTCGTAAAAATTCTTGAACACCCCTGTCCACTACTTCATCCACTTTCATTTGCAATCACAGCCTCACTAAACAACCTCGCAGTCTCATAAATCAGCTTCGCATTCTGCATCCCATCAACCCACCTCTGTGGAATAGAATCCACGCCATAAAATACACCCGCGAGAGCTCCATAAACAGCACCCGCCGTATCCGAATCTCCACCACGATTCACAACAGCCAGAGCACCCTTCTCCCAGCTGTCATACCTGAAGAACCCCCAAAGGGCCACCTCCAGGGTATGAACCACCCACCCCGAACTAGTTATATGCCCAGCGGTCTTCGCCTTCCAATCCTTGATGGTAACGTAATTTGCCATACGGTTTTTCAGGGCGGGATGCGTGAATTTCATTCGGGAAAACGCCGTGCAGAGCTGCTCCTTGGTTTGTCCTAGTGGGATGTTAGCTTGTCTTAGTCTGAAAGGAGCGGCGAACTAAGAACAAAACGCAGGACGCACCCCTCATCGCGCGACAAATTAACTCTGTAAACGCGTCACAGGCTTCTGGACAGGCTAGTGCTGGGTGTGTGATGGTGCTCTGGGCTCTGGCGACTTTGCGTGCATACTCGGGATCTTTCCAGAACGCCACGCCGATTGGGGCGATTCGCATTAAGCTGCCGTTCCCTGAGAACTCGTCCCTGTTCAGCTGGGAGTTGACCTTCTCTTGTGTGCCCTGGAGATTGTCGACACCCTGCTGCTTCCAGACCTTGAGTGATCTTCGCGTTGAGCCGCCCACGTCCCAGGCTTTGTCTGTTGTGCTGAATCGACCTGTCTCGATCCACTGGACATAATACTTAATTGAGAGGGCGTGGTTGTATTTTCCGTCTGTGTCCACGATTGACTGCGCCAGGGCGAGAGTCATGGATCCATCGTCGGAGTAGGATCTGAGTCTGTTAGGATATCAAATCTTCTACCCCCAAATCAACACTGCAACGTACCCAGCAGGCTTCCTAAACGGACTGACAAATTCGAGCTCCTTAATCTGCTCGAAAGTACCCGGTTCCTGGAACTGGACTGGTCCCCCTAGGGCGTCCGCAACACAGGTACCCCAGATAGCCCCGAGGCACCGCGATTTCAGCGAAACAGCCATGCTTGTTGCTGTGCGGACTGTGATCGTAGGGCCGTGAGACTCGACATCGGAATAAAGTGGCTGAGGGAATGCGCTAGCGTAGATCGGGCGCCCAATACGGGTTCGCCCTGCCAGATCCGTTGCGGCTCAGCCCTGCAGGTGTCCCAACAGTCGCTAATGTCGCACAGCGCCTTCGTGTCAGACAAGGACGACTGGGGATCCATGCGAGATCTGTACTCGAGGCTCTGCGGATCGTCAGTCTGCCCTGCAGGGCTGCTGCATGTGTCCTGCCAGAGGCGCTGAATGGGTGGACAGAGCCGCTGTATCCACAACCGTATCCATGGCTCAGCGGACTTCCATAACTCCACTCTTGGTATATCTGGACTTCGAGCCACTAGGATAGTGCAAGAATGCCGGATCTCGGCTGTTGTTTCGTGTGTGAATCCTGGTGCGTAGGAGTTCGTAGTTCGGCACCAGGGCCGATCTGTAGAGGAGCACCAAGCACGAAAAGGACCGGCAACAGCGAATTTCTGAGCAGGACCGTGAACAAAGACCCTATTAGTTCAGAGGCAGGTGATGGATGACTGCAGGGCCTGTTGATGGACGAGCAGTTTGCTGTGAAGGGCAATGGCAGCGTTCATCCCAAGCCCTGCCTGGAAACCGGCACCTTTCACGTACCACGGCAGCCAGGGTATGGTTTGTTTGACCAGGACTGGTCAGACGTCTGTAGACGCGAAGAATGAGGATGCGAACTCCTTAACTCGTGATGAATGGGCTCGAGGGATCGTGGGAAGACGTCCGAGTCTCGTGTGGGTCGACGAACGGGAGGCGAACAGGTCGAAAACGGCGCTTGGGACTCGGAACTGGTATCAGAGACAAGCGCTTTGTCAGTAGAGTCCAATTCTTAAATTGATGAGGGATAATTCAACCGTAAAGTTGGGGTTGTCGGTGTTTTTTTGGAGCGGGTGCATTGAACAGAAAGGCGTTGAACTGACGCGACCGGCACCCGATTTCGGGTGCTACCGGCCGCAACACCCGCATCAACGGCCGTCAGCAGCTGGATTCACGCGGGATAACTTTAGTGTATATCGATCAAGGATTAGAAAGCGCTGATTCTCGTCTTCATGTCGACCCTGGGCCCTCTGTCACCTCTGGTTGGCTTGTGTAAAGATCCTAGCACTGGGTCTAGTGCCGATCCTTGCGCCAGTCATTCGCAGCTTATATCGGGTCTGCATACAAATTTGCTGGTTTTCTTTCTGGTTTTTACGCTCTAAAACTCACAGAGCTAACACAAAAATAAACCTCTATTCTATAGTTTAACTCTATTAAGTGTAAAGAGTTCTTAGCCCGTAACTCTACCAACTCTATCAGGTACTTTGCCCAGTTCCACGTGGAGTCGAAGTTTACGGTTGTAGATCAACGACACTTGGCTTGTTCAACTATTCCTTTCGCAAAATGCTTCTTCAATAATCTATGAATGGTTATATTTACTTTTGGTATTGACTAGAGACGTGGAGGGGAGAGGATCACCGTGAAATCAACGTGGGCTGCTGGCCTGGGCAGGTATACACGCGCGGACGGGATTTTCTTCACTGTCTGCACCCTGCCTCAGTTTGCCCTAGTCCCCACAATGCGGCGAGCAGGCACCTGTCGTAATGCCCAGCAATTTTATACGTGGTCCAGATTCAACCTGTATGATTTGTATTTGTGCCCGGTATTAATGGGTTTGGACTCGCACCATCCAGCACCTTGTACACATCGATCCCGACTCCTAGACGCTCAAAACTTGGATATCATATACTCGTAGTCTATACAAATAAAAATACACTCTTTACTGCTCTTAATACACTGCTGTGGTAAATTCTCACAGTGTTTTCGTGTAGCTTGAATGAGAAACAGGGTCGGCATCTCAGCTCCCCCGTACGGCATCACAAGTTCCCATACTGGCAACTCCCAATAATACTGTAATTTGGTCGGCTTTTTGTTCCCAGAACCTCTAACCGCGGTCCTCAAGTTCACCAATCAACGGCAGAATTCCCCTGATCGAGGCCAGCCTCGTCACCGACCAATTCATATAAATAGCCCCCCGATTTCTAACTTTCCTTCCTCAAATATTCTCCTCCTCAACTTCCCCCTCGACAGCGATCCACACAGACACTCCATCCACCATGTCCCTTTGTCGATCTTCATTATTCCTTTCCTCATCCAGGTCCTCGACGAAAGTATGTATACTCTACACATATCCCCGCACTCTGTGTTCTTGTTTGCTCACTGAACTTCTGCAGACTCGAGTGGATTTCGCACTCCTCGTGCTGATTCTAGTGTGCACTCGTTAACCTGACGCGTCTTGCTGTCTTGGACGCATGATTTAACTGCTGTGGACTCGTGTCTCTCCCCCAACATTGTGTGTTCACTCCCTCTTATTGCCCCTCACTTCTTCCATCTCCCTCTCCCCTATCCACCTACACACCTACACCATTCCTTTCTTTCCTTTCTTCATCCTTCATCCATCACACATGTCTTTCATCATTTTGCACTTTAATTGTATCCTTTTATACCTCTTGTCACCCTCTTGCAACATCCTTTCCTTGCGTTGGTCACCAGTATTGTCCCTGATCATGTCTTGACACACCTTGCACCCATCTTCACACAACTTGTATATCCCTTCATGCCTCTTGAACATCTTGAACACAACGATCTGACCCTTGGACAGTCTCTTGCTTCGGAACCGATCTTGCTGTTGTTGTTACAATCTGATCCTCACGGTCGCCATGCACACATATCACAATGCACACACACATACCCCCCTACATCGCGCTTTCATCGGCCTTACACATGGAACACGCATCTCATCACACTGGAAACACTATCACCATGCACCGCAGCATGCACATTCACGAATCCGAACGGTGTCAATCTCATTCTTGACGGGAGCGATTGGAATTTTGGCCAGAAGGGCTGGCAACAGCAACTTGGTATATTTCACACACCCCATCATCTGGCGATTTCACTGGCATATTTCCTAACCCCTGGCATCATTGTAGCCCCAACATACAGGAACATTCTCTTTATGTTTCCTTTTTTGCCTAATTGGGCCCCGTGCCCCTCAGGTCATTTGGCCGCCCCGGTCGGGCACCATCCACCGAGGATGTCTTCCTGCTTCATGAGGTCTAGACACACACAAAGGTTTATGGCACCCCTTTCCCTCTTCGAGGGACTATAACTTTTGACGACCGATTCTCACCTTTCATACATAGATTCAGAAATTATTTTGCATTTATTGATGGAACCTGGCATTTTGACATAAAGTCATGTCAACAACACCGTCAACCATGCTGCTCTCTGTGTCGGCCTCGCTCCTGTGCGACAGGTGGGCGATCATGAGCAATGGTTCAATCTTTTGAGATTGCGATCGTTGAAGACGAGGCAAATGTGTGAGGTGTTGATCGACTTTCCCAACGTATGCATAAACTCATACTAACATTGCGTATTGCGGTTGGTGATCCAGATCTTCTTGTTTTACAACTCAACCTCCACCGCCCTGCATTTCCGATATGCTTTCAACCACCTCCGAGCCTGCAATAGTTAACAGCTCCGGTTGTTTTTCGGTTTGTTGTGCTTAGACCCTCAAGGTGTATCTTGTTTCATGGTACTCCGCACCCATTCCTTCCTGTGGAGCATTGGAGATATCCCCGCCTTGGAAATTTGCGTTTTTGTGATTGTAGATGCTTACTCCCATTCTAGTCTTCCGATCAACTCTTGCGATAGCTGCTTCAGCCGCCAATTCGACAATTTGACACACTGACGATCCCGAATTCGAAAATTCGACAGTCGAGGGCAAGGAGCAACAAGATTGTGTCCGATGACCCGCATTGAGATTGGAAGTCCTGGAGTGGCCTCATAAGTGGCCCCAGGCAACTAACCCATAGGTTTCGATTTTCCGTATACCGAGCGCGATATCTATACCTCGAATCAGAGCTCCACTGAGTCAATCCGACAACTCGAGCCATGCAACACATGGCCGGAGTGGGTGGGCGGGCATCTGGTATATCCAATTCCCCAATCCCCGGGCATTTAACGTCCCACTATGACAATGCGCATGTAACGGCTTACAGATCGATACTGGTAACCCTTGAGTTTTAAACTCGGGGTGGGCGGGTTGGGGACCACACCGATATTCGACCTTTTTCAGATATTCTGACGCTCCGATATTCGACAACTCGATAGTCGAGGGCAAGGAGCAACAAGATTGTGTCCGATGACCCTCACTGAAAAGAAAGTCCTGGAGTGGCCTCCTAAGTGGCCCCAGGCACCTAACCCTTAGGAATCGATTTTCAACACCCCGAACACGATTTTCCGTACACCGAACACGATCTTCATTCTCCGAATCCGACCTCCACTATGCCAATTAGTCTGCTTGACTGCGAATCGACAGCCTGAGCCAAACAATAATGGCCGGAGAGGGTGGGCGGGTATCTGGTATACTCAATATCCCCAGCCCCCCGGACATTCAACGTCCCACTATGACAATGCGCATGTAACGGCTTACAGATCGACATTGTGGTGCTCCGGGTGTTATACCTGGGGTGGGCGGGTTAGAGGGACCACATCGACATTCGACTTTTTCAGATATTCTGATGATACGATATTCGACAATCGACGTTGCAGATCCGATATCCGACATTCGACAATTCGATAGTCGAGGGCAAGGAGCAACAAGATTGTGTCCGATGACCCTCACTGAAAAGAAAGTCCTGGAGTGGTCTCCTAAGTGGCCCCAGGCACCTAACCCATAGAATTCGGCTTTTGACACCCCGAACACGATCTTCATTCTCCGAATCCGACCTCCACTACACCAATTCAACTCTCTGCAGGCGATTCAACAGCCCGAGCCAGGCAATAAATGGCCGGAGAGGGTGGGCGGGTATCTGGTATATTCAATATCCCCAATTCCCCGGAAATTCAACGTCCCACTATGACAATGCGCATGTAACGGCTTACAGTTCGACACTGTGGTGCTC